CCCCCCCCCCCCCCCCCCCTAAAAGTGCCAGTCGCCTACCAAAGAACCAAGTGTGTACCCCTGAGATTCCATGAATGACCCTTCAAACGCCATGTCCCCTTACCCAAGCCCGAAGCCAAATGCCTTAGAACCCAAAAGGTTACAACATGCCGCCTATAATGCACATGCAACTCGAGATGTAATCGAGCAAAGTGAGTACGCCACCCCAACGCCGCCATATTAGACCCTTTGCGTGCCTAACTTCGTGTCTGTGCTGCCGCCGCCTCCTTGTCCACACTCTCCGCAACCGTCTCCCACCAGATGCCGTGTGACTCTCGGTCGATGGCACCGACTCTAGCCAGTTCGTCTACGATCTCCCTCACCTTGTCTACGAACTCGGGCAGCCCAAGACCGGCAAGCTTCTCACCAGCTGTGCTCGTAGCCTTGACTTTCTCGCTGGCGGAGCCGGCCTGCAGTCGTGACAAGACGTGGACTCTGATCCGCACCACCAGCAGACGTAGTACCGGCTCTCTAGGTTCTGTGTTACTGCGCTTCGCCTCCGCACTAGCCGACAGGAACTTGGTCACCAGATTCCTGAGGTGGGTTTTGGTGGCAGCGGGCATTGAGCGTCCTGCTTCCAGCGCTGCCATGATGCCATCAATAGCAGCCGGCTGCTCGAGAGGTTTGTTCGTGTCATCGATGGCCTCTAGTACCATCATGAGACGCCCTGCTTCCGTTCTCCATGGCGCACGAACATCGCGTTTCAAAACATTCTTGCATTGCAGCAATATAGCACCAGCTGTCGCAATTCTCAGTGTCTGCAGGCCGATACGCAGACGCCGCCTGACATCGAGTCCCAGAGGTTCGGGGATTGTGTCGGCTGGAGGCGACGGCTGTGTGAATTCATCCAGAAGCATCTGCCAGTATATCTTATCTGGCGTCGGCCGCGATTTCGGGTGATTGACTCCTTCTGGATCACGTCGTGCGGCTTCATCGTACAACTTCGTGCGTGCCGCCTTCCAGGAGGCTTTGGCACGGGTCAGGCTGGTCGTACCGTTCTCTAATTCCTCAGAGAATCGTTTGGTCTCGTAGGGAGTAGCATTCTCGATGAGGTTTGGAGCTGCCACCTGCAGCATGTAATTTGCGTAATCGTACAACATGGTGTCAATGAAGGCAACCAAGGCTTCAAGTCGATCCACCATGTGGCCTTCAGTCAAATGCTTCTCGACCAGTTCCTTGACCTCTTCGTCACGCACTGGAGCGCACAACCTGGGTAGGAGAGAGCCCATAGAAGAGAAGAATTTCTCGATGGAGAAGCTACCAGCCAGAAACTGCTGCTGGGCAACTTCCGTGTCCAGGATCTCACCTATGAAGGTGTGCATTGTCGAACCAGACTTAACAAGGTGCTGTAGCCTGTCCTTAATGTAGTGGGCCATGACGAGGAGATAATGAAACTCCTTTTCCTCACTCCTCGGGCCATTCTTAAGATCTTTGAACATTGGCCCCATGCGCATCTTGTGCTGCTCCCGAAAATGGGAGTACTCAATGCGGTACTCCCGATTGATAGCGAGTTCATGAACAATAACCCTGTTATCCGGGAGTATAGGAGGGTAAATTGGCTGTAGTATCGGCTTTTTGCCCTCGGACTTGCTTGGTGGAGTGGGGGGAGGTGTCAAGGTTTGCAGCTGCCTTGAGACTACAGTCTCTGCGTTTACTTGGTCTTTTGCAGTGCCCTCGCTGTCGAGAGAGTCGTCTGCTATCCTTGGTCTAGTGTCGCCTGTTGGCTTCTTCGCTGCTCTAGCCTTCCGTGCTTCGCGCACAGCATCGAATATCATTTTTTTGCCCTGCTGGGCACCAGCAAGCCTCTTAATCCGCACCATAAGTTGTAACTGGTTGTCTCTAATGCTCTGCTGATATGTCTCGGACACTGCCTGCTCAGTACTGTCTTTGACAGTCTGTAGGATGGCGTCCAGCTCGACGAATTGAAGAATCATGACTTCGATCAGGGCATTGGAATCTCGCGCTTTCCAAGCAATGAAGGCGTTGTGGAATGTGGCATATGCCTCTGGTAAAGCCTCCTTGAGGGCGGGAGGTGTGGTCCAGTTGTTGAGTGAGGTCAAACGTGATAGTATGTTCTCGAACGAGATTAAGAGATCGCGAGCCTTGCCCACCAGATCCTGTAACTGTGGATTAGCAAGATCGTCACGAGGGATGGGTTGCCCAAGGACAGATCCAACCTGCTCCTGTTCCCCTTTGTTGTCCTTGTTGCTAAGGACTTGGGTGGGATGGCCCAAAATAACGAAGGCGCTGAGAAAAGTACGGATCGCGGCCATTTCCTCTACCGAGTCAGGCTCGCCTTCCTTCAGACCACACATTCGAAGCACACGCGCCGCCGTAAGGAGAACCTTTTCCTCAGCTAGGAGCTCTACGACCTTCTCGAACGAAGTCTCCCTGACGCTGTCAATGGTCAAGCCTAACTCGGAAAAGTCCTGAACAGCCTTCCTTCTCAGGGCAGCTCTCCACCACCACTGGACTTTAGACGCCGCACTCTCGTCACTCAGGACGATGACGGCCTGTTCCTTGACCCCAGACATTGCGTCGACGCTGGGCTTCTTCAATGACATGCTCTGGCCTCGCGACCTCTTGGCAGCATGCCGGCTGCGCAGCTCTTCTCTCCTCTTCTCGGCGTCGGCAAGGCGTTCTTCCATCTGCAGTTTCAGTTTGCGCAACTCCTGCTCTCTCTTCTCTTTCATGGACTCAGCTACGGCTTTTGCGCGCTTGACCTCCTCAGCACAAGCAGCCACGATCTCGGCAAGCTTGCTTTCCCTGGCCTGCGCTGCCGCCAAGGCCCGCTCTTCGGAATTGGAGGTCCTCTGGTGTGCAGTCTTGGCCATGGCTGCCCTCAGGCGCACCTTCTCTGCATGAGCTGCGCGATCAGCCAGGCGGGCCTTTCGGTCCTCAAGGATGGACGCACGGCGCAACTGCTGAGCAATGTACTTGCTCTGCGGATCGCCGTCCCGAGTGCTGAAGCCGTGAGAAGAGCGCGAATGGGCCGAAGAGATCGAGTTGCGGCGCGAGGAGGCGGCCGAGTCCTTGCGACGGTTCTGAGTAGGGCGGTAGAATCGCGCGGCGATGCGCGGCGGCGGCGTGAACTGGCTGGTTCCGTCCTCTTCTTCCTCCAGGGGGAGAGACAGATCCATCTCCGGGTCTATCGCTGTCGGTGAGGGTGCGCCGATTGACTCCTCGATATTCCGAGCGGCGTCGGTCAAGTCTGCTGAAGCGCGCCGCATCTTGTCGAGATCTGAGAGTGGCAGTGAGGCTTCCTCCGAGTCTCTTTGTTCGCTGGGAACGAACATCAAGGAATGGATGGCGGAATTCCGGCAGCGTCAGTCCTGTTGAGAACGGTGGGGGGTTGGAAACGTCATGTGAGACTGGCTGGTGCGGGCTCGGTTCGGACGACTCGATGCGGTCTCGAAGGATGTGCGAAATAGCCTTTGCCGCCTGTGCCAGATGCTGTGAGACTTGAGTAGCAGTCAGATCTCACGGGCTTGGGCGTGCCGCTCTGTCGCGACGCAAAAGGTTACTACTGGAGGTCCTGCAAGCGGCCAAAGTGGGCTGTCTGCTTAAGAATGCGAACGAACGGAAGGTTCTAGCCTAACCGCTGAGGACTGGGTACAGGCGCTGCTAACCAACCGCAGGGCAGAACTAGAACCGAAACTGACGTTGAGTCGAAGACGGGAACGAAAAAAAAAAGAGCCAAGGGGCCTTGCTAGGCGCTGAATCCCCCCAGGGCGACAATGAAGACTCGACTTTCACGGAGGCCGGGTGACAGCTGAGGTTGAACGAGTGCATTCGCAGGTCTGAGTTGTATGTAAACACGGCCCAGCCAGCCAGCCAGCCAGCCAGCCCAGTGCGCGGGTGAGAGGCTGGGGTCTGGAGAGATGACGAAGGATCACCCGCAGCCTGCGAGCGCTGAAACCCAAACACGCCTCAAATCTGGCGCAATTCGGGCACGAGGTGCCGCTAAAGCCCCGTTCGTCCCTGGCCTTATCGCGCTATCCAGGCCGCCAGGTGCGTGACCATCTGACTGCTAAGCCACTTACAGCACGGCAGCATGGTTTCCACGGGGGCATTACGACTATGGGTAGGTCGTCTCTGGCAGAGGGCCGTACGTAGGCCCCAGCTTCAGGCCCAGAAAGTCCAGAAATAGGCTCCTGGCGCTATCTAGAATACCAAAACAACGAGGTGCGTATGGTCGGTGCAGATACGGCATGAAGACCTCTCGTCCTGGCTGCTGGACACCGATAGCCTTTAGACACTAGCATAACTGAGTGCGAATCCAACCTTGTCCACTCCGTACCGTGTGTTCGCATTCGCTCTCTTTTCCACGCAAGCTGGTGGGGATAGCAGTCTGTTGAATCAAAACGCACAAAGCAACCCAGGCGTTGTTCCTCACAGTCCCATCGCTGCCCACTGTCTGGCGCCAGCTCTGGGTTGGGCATCGTGCAAGTCGGGCGAGCTTTCCAGTCCAACAAGCATCAGCAGGTCACCTTGCCCATCCTTTCTCTGCTCTCTACCCAAGTGGCCATCTTAATGTTGTGATGTACACTTACTTTCAAAAGGCAAAGATCACTCAGTGTTCTTTTGTATATTTAGCAAGCTGCTGCGTTAGGCAGCTCCCTAGTCTATCAGCATATGTTGATCAATGTCTGGGATGCATACTCTCCCGAAGTCATCGCTTTGCTTGTGTTGACCCACTCGGTGCTAGGAAACCCGAACGTCTACACAGGACTTATTATGCCTGATGTTATCGAGGTAATTGTGAAACTTGACGCAAGTCTCACAAGCTAGCTATTGTTGCTTGTCCTATGCTAAGCACACTAGTAAACATAGAATTGTACAACCATCAGATGTTGACAGAAGTAATTGTGGTGTATACTCCTCATGGAGCAAAGGCAGAAATTACCGGTGACCCTGGCTCTGCCTAATAAGCTCTTGTATAGAAATGTGCCCTGCTACCTGCGGTCCTTCAAAGTGGTTTTTCCATTTATAGGACTTACTATTGTGATGGGCTCCGCTGTGAAACGAACCTTTTGTATTTTGTCCCATTCCCTCGTTGGTTGGAACGGATCTGTCTACGGCTGCCTCGCATGCATGTTTTAGGCAACGCTGAAGGGCGCCGTCTCGACAATTGTTCGATTACTGTTGACAAGGGTGACAGGCAACGAAACTCTCCAACCCCATCATCCAGCTCTGCATCTCAAGTACCTGGACTGATGTATGACGTGATTTGGCACGAGTCGACGTGCGCCATTCTGTGTCGCACATTTCTGGAAGCGCATTCAGGTCCGGAAGCTGTTCAATCGTATGTGAGTGTGCATCGTTATCTGATCCGGTTGCAATTGGATAAAACATCTGACACCCAACAGCTTAACTTACATGGATTGTTACGTTACGACTTGCCGGGCGGCTGGCTGGTGGTCTAGAACCGGCCTTATATGCGAGTAGCCCACCAATACGGCCGTGGGCGAGGCTGCTCTATCAGCGATCTGCAGCGTGAGTGCTTTGCAAGGGCGCTCCAACGACAGCCGATGATGGGCTGCTGACGGCTTAGCGGAGCTTCCGATCGACAGAGCTGTTCTCCAATGTCCGTACTTGGACTATGACTGCGACTCTCAAGGGCGACGAGCGTCGCAGATTAGCCAGTCTACCAGGGAGTACGCAGTATGATCCTGGGATCGCCTACCAACTGACCCGAAGGCACAGAGTGACGACTCCTGTGAATGGCAAATCAAGTGATCGACCTGTCTATGTTGGTGCCCACCGAAATCGTTGTCTAGACCCCTTCCGGGAATCGAGAAGTAGTTGACAGAACCGGTGTGTGGGTAACCTTCCCATCGTTAGTAAAAATCGGCAGGATCGAAACTTATGCTTCAAATGCCACATTTTTATCGATTTCAAAGTGAGAAATGAGGCGGCATAGTCGCCGTTGTTTGTTAATGTGGGAAGGAAGTTCAAGGAATTTTACGGAGTCGGACGGAGTCGGATCCATGAGAAATGTCACGGTGATGGGAGAGACCTATCAGTGTGCGCCAGTCTCACCTGAAGGTTAATGCATGCCCGTATATCGTATACTGCACTCTTCCATAGCCCGGCTGCAATCCATGGCAATAGGTCGCCCACTTATTACATCAACTAATCGCGCTCATAGTGAGTGTCTGACCCAGCTGCCAGGTACAGGCCCCCCAAACCAACCGAGAAACCTTCCCCCCTGTGATGCTACTTATTCCCGTGAGCGCTGGGGATGTATTGATCTTCCTGCGCGCAAATGACCAGCGCTATGCGGCCAGTGACCAGCTTGGATGTTGGATCCTGCCGTACAGATGGGATGTTAGTGATGAGAGGCGGCGGCCGACCACTGCACTCAGGGTGGCTTAGATACATCCTGACAGTGGTTGCGATATAGGGTTATTGATTCCCAGGAATATACGAAATTGGAAGTGAAGAAAGCCAGGGTCGTGTGCCCGAAAAAGCTAATGGGTTATGCGATCAAGCGCTGACGAACCTCTCCAGCTGGAATTAGAGTCACGTCTTATTGGACACCCCGGCGAGGACCAACTGCCATAGTAGTAAACAACCAGGACGGTGAATTTCCAGGTCAACCAGGCCTTGATTGCTTGGGTGGTCACTAAGGGATCCTACAGGATGCAACACGGTGAACCAAAGACCCTGAAAATCGCTTGATTGCCGGATCTGACCGGGTGCCCACGGAAACCGCTGTCGGAAGGCCACTAAAAACCAGGATGGGTGGATGGGAAACTTGAAATTCGGATAATAAGCCATGGCAGTTCCCTAAATTAGAGTTTCGCCTATGGTGGCCCCACGCCAGAACTTGGTTCCTGGTTGTAAACCATCTGAACAAGCATAAACTTGCCTGGGCAGTCGAGACATCAACGTCGTTGTGAATGACTCGAACGTGATATAGGAATCACTGCTGAGATTACGCACAAAGCGTTGAAAGACAAGAAAAGACTGCCAGCGCGGGCACGGTGAATGAGGACCTGGTTTGTGTTACATAGGTACGACGGACCCGCCCACGAATGTATGGAGGGCGACTATGACGTCGCGACCTGCCGCCCATCGCCACAGATCAGACAGCCCTAGAGTCCCAACGGTGAGGCGCGAAAGAGCTCGGAAAACACTGGAGCCGCCATGTTGGCTTCTGTGGCAGAGTGGGCGGCTTTGTTTTCTCTTCGTTGTCAGGTGAGCTCATTACTGTGTAGATGACGGGCCATCGATGAATGCGACCCCGTTTGTCGTCAAGTCCAGCTGACCAAGTCCTCGGATGACTGGCTCTAGGCCTTCCATTGACAAGTTGACACGGCCGTCGGGGGTTTTGACTCAGTCAGCCATAGTCGACGCCGGATAAGGAGCGGCTGGCGGGTAGTCCTGAGCCCACATCCCCCCTCCCAAACTCCCACCACCACCTAACACCGGCGGTACCTGGGTACCTCTTTACCAAACCGAATTTCCGTATTTCAGGGTCCAGCTGTGCGATTTCGTCATCATTCGCCGCCGTAAGCTCAATTCATTGTGTCGAGAGATTGAGATGCCCGCAGTCAGTTCGACGGGTTTTCTGCCGTCTGTGAGCGCGTAAAGCGTACGCATGGTGTTTCGCAAGCAGCAAACAACGGACAAAATACCGTCGCATCCCAACCCTCGTGCCCACATGGCCTTTTGTAATATAGGCTGACCAGCACTGTCACCAAGTTCTCGAGGTCCCGGCCAACTTGACCTTGGTTTCAAGCCTCCGTCACGCGAGGGGACTTGCCCTGTTCTGCATAGCGCATCATTGGTGCGTAGATCCTTGCCCCTAATGACGCTCAGCCCAAAGAGGTCCCGTACAGTAGCTTCGTCCGTCCGGTTTCCCTCCCCATCTGAAGCAAGACACCCCATTTTTTCCCAGAGGCACACTCCTCCCACTGCATGCGTGACGAGGGATCGTCTTGGTCCAGACCTCCCACAAGCCCCTAGGACCCTGATTCAAAAGACCCTTCCATTCTTTCCCCTCCTTTTCCTGTGGCCCATTTCGCCGTCGCATGTGCCCAGGAGGTGCTATTCTTGCCACTTGTATGTTTTATCACTTGTCGTTTGTCCTCATTTCTCGTTCAACTCCCTGATCCAGCTGTATTCCGACGTTGTCTGTTGTCTATTGTTCATCGACATCTGAAGAGCACCTGGCACGAGCGCCGCTACAAAGTCGGTCTCCCGCGGATAACACACTGATGGTCTGGTAGATTCCGTCGAGACAGCCGCCGTGCATTCGCAATTCCCAAGAAAGACCGCCCAAATATCCGTTATTCCATTGTTCCGCCATGTCGAGTTCGTAGTTGTGTGAGGCTGCTCGAAGCTTGCAGAAGGAAGCGATTTCGTCGTTTCGTCGGTCATTGTCCCCGGCAAGGCGACGGATACTAGCATGCGAGAGACGTCATCCACAAAAAAATGACATCCGACCAGACGAGGAACAGCGAAAGCACCTCAACAACAGCGCAACACTTCACCATGAAGACTACATCAAGGTCGCAGATGAGCCCGCCTCATACTGCCCACTCTCACCACTCGCGTCACTCTCAAGTAAACGCACAATCATTCCGCGCAAACCATCGATCTACGACACCTTTGGCCTCACCCCGGATGGCCCATTCTGTCGGGCAACCCTACCCTCCTCCCTCCAAGTTGTCTCCGGCGGTTGTTTCCGATGTTCGTACACCGAGCCCCAACTACTTTGGTCTCAGCATCGATCCTTCCTCGGAGCGCGAGTCGGCAAACGTTCCTCGCGACAATTGGAGCCCACCAACCTCGTCGGTCAAGTCGTTCGCCGCCGCAATTCCCAAGCAGCTCCCTCTCGATGGCAATCCCGAGTATGAGGCGTTCAGACGCCAGGCGGATGCTAATCGGACACGAGGCTTCAATCTGGGTTCCTCTCACTTTGCCATGCAACCACCATCTTCGCTCAGGCCTGTACCGGCGCGCAGACCGACGAATCAGAGCGAGAATGCCTCGGAGGCGTCTCTCACGAGACCAGCAATGGTCAAAGCTGGTAGCAGCCGTATGGATATCGACTCCAACAGCTTGCACGACTCTGCTTACGTCTCGTCGGACTCCAAGAGGAACTCAGAAGTTTCTCTGAATGCCTCCTCCTTCTTTGATATGCCCAGGCACGAGTCCCCGGCGCAGAGTGAATCTCCTTTTCAACCGATCAGACGATCGAATCTATCCAAGGTGGAGGACGCCCACCCACGTCTGTCGTTGCCGCAGAATAAGATTGATCTGCCAAAACCTCACATATCCACAACACGCTCGGAGACGTTGCCACCGACATTGGAAGGTGGCCCAGGCTTGATCATGCCAGCGCAGTTGGCTGAAATTATTGAGAAAAAACCAGCGGATCAATTTCTAGTCCTTGACGTGAGAGTCTCGACGCATTATGCTCAATCTCGCATCAAGGGCGCTCTCAATTTATGCATACCGACCACTCTGCTCAAGAGGGCCACATTCAACCTTGAGAAGCTTCAGTCGACTCTCCAGACCGAAGAGGATCAGGAAAGATTCTCTCAATGGCAGGAGGTCAAGCATCTAATTGTATACGACGCCTCATCTGGCGAGAAGAGAGATGCGCATTCTGCTATGAATATGTTCAAGAAGTTCTCGAATGAGGGTTACTCTGGGAAATCCTATCTGCTTAGAGGGGGTTTCGAGGCCTTTTCCGCGTCGTTCCCGTCATTGATCGACACCAGATCTGGTGCCGAGCGTGCGGGCACATCCGCAAATTCTGCCAATGGAGGTCGACCAACTTTTGCCCCCGTCATTGGAGGAGTTACGCTTCCTTCGGGCGGAAACAACCCTAACCCGTTTTTCAGCAACATCAGGCAGAATATGGACCTAGCAGATGGCGTGGGACAAATGGATGTCGCGGTTCCACCCAACCTGAATTCAAATTCTTTGCCTGCGTGGCTCCAAGCAGCATCAGCGAAGGAAGACCGCGGCAAGACAGTGTCCGAAAAATTCTTGAAGATTGAAAGGAACGAGCAATCTCGAATGAGAGATGCCTATTCCGCTTTCGGGTCGTCTACACCGCGGAAAGCTGCAGCAGGCAAGATCATCTTGTCTGGGGTCGAGAAAGGAGTAAAGAACCGATACAAAGACATTCTCCCGTTCGAACATGCACGGGTTCATCTTGCCGACAAGTCTCCTAACGATTGCGACTACATCAACGCCAGTCATATTCAGGCCAGCTCGCGAAGCAACAAGCGGTATATCGCATCCCAGGGGCCTTTACCCGCTACATTCGACGTAAGTTCGAAGTCTATTACCTCCTGCTGCATCTGAAAAACAAGCTAACATGTCCCAGGACTTCTGGTCGGTCATCTGGGATCAAGATGTTCGCGTAATTGTCATGCTGACAGCGGAGTCCGAGGGCGGTACTCTCAAGTGCCACCCGTACTGGACCGGCCGGGAATTTGGACCGATCAAACTGAAGTCTTTATCGGAGAAGAAAGTTTCGCTGGATATTGACAAACACCGTGCAACCTCAACTGCAGCAGGGTCCAGCGCGTCGTACACATCCGAGCACAGTCGCCGCCGCGCCAACACCACCACAACACTGGAATCCTCGACACCAACGCCACAGCCTTTGCAGAGTCAATCTGAGACTCCCTATGTGATCATTCGCAAATTTGCTATGTCGCACAACGGCAACCCGTTTGCTCCCATACGCGAAATCACTCAGCTCCATTACCCTTCGTGGCCTGATTTCGGCGCCCCTGCACAGCCGTCGCATCTACTGGCATTGGTAGAGCTTGCCAACGTGATGCAACGATCCGCCTTGCCGATTGACGCGAATGCCATCGCAGCTTCTGCGTTGACAGATGCAGCGGTGCAACTCAACTGGTACGATGAGCCCGAGCACTCAGCACAAGCTAGGCCTATGTTGGTTCATTGCTCGGCTGGTTGCGGCCGTACTGGCACATTCTGCACAGTTGACAGTGTCATCGACATGCTCAAGCGGCAGAGGATGACTGCTTTAAAGGCACGGAAACAGGACTCGGACGGAGATGTTGACATGGAGGATCCTGTATCGCCTTTGACAACAATCAAGGATCCATTGGCAGCCCAAGGAACGAGCCGGGGAGGGAGCAAGGATGGTGTCGCCAAGCCTACCCTGGACAGAAACGCAAGTGATTGTAGCGTTGATATCAGTTGGGTCGGCGACAGCTCGCTTGACTTGATTGAGAAAACAGTCGAAGAGTTCAGGGGGCAGAGGTTGAGCATGGTGCAAAGTCTCCGACAATTTGTGCTCTGTTACGAGACAATCTTGGAATGGGCTTGGAGGCTGGAGGACCGCAAGAGTCCTGCCACGGCGACGAAAGGAAGAGCCAGAAGCGGCAGTTTGGAGCCATTTACGAGGTGAAACCCAGCCACTCTCTTCTCCCCATGAGGGTCAAGAAGTTACGGGCTTTGTGGAGGAAAGTTGGCATGATATGCCTCAGCACATGCATAGGGAAGGAGTCACATTTGCCATGAAATGCATACATCGGCATTCGCATCAATACACGGGGTAATAAGTAAAACACGCTACACGGGCGCAAGTTTTCGAGATTCTATTCATTACAGGCGTTTGGGTTTGGGCGGGTCATGACTTGAATCACAGATCCCTGTTAAGACAGCTTTGCGGACGCAGCATGGAGGCGAGCAGTCCATCGTTAGAGGTGGCTATGACACGGATACATTTGCTGTACACTAGAGTAAATAATGATACTGAACAATGATGAATCATGCACGACAAAACCTGTTCAAAATGCCGTACTCATCGTACAAAGCTGAAAGGTATGTAGTAGTGAACCGTACTGTGACGGTGTCTGTCCACCGGGCAGAGGCATGTCAAAGCAGAATGTCAACGCAATCCTTTAGGGGTATCACATCTGCATAGAATTATAGCACCATCACAGTGCCAACATCGCAAACGCCCGTATAACATATCAACAACGGTAGTGAGGCCCGGTACCAGCCACTTCTCGATTCTTCATGATGGTCTCTCCGACTGACAAGCAAGTTCACGGATCTTTTCTCCTGTTGCCTGCTCCCTGGAAAGCCCATTAAAGCAGTAGAGCAGCCCTGGGCCCATACAGAAATTCAAGGCAAAACGTGTATGAATCACCGTCCCTATACCATTCTGAGTTGAAGTCCACGTTGCGCCCAATACCACCCGCCAGGCCCTCTGAAATCTATTTCATCGAGCATCCGACGGACCAAGTTTCGACCGACAGTAAACGCTACCGGGTCTGTACGACTCTGTAGCACAGCATACAGAAGCAGAGCAGAGCAAGAAGAAAAGGCAAGGTCAAGGAAAACGACGAAAAGTTGCAAGTCACGGTGTCAAAAAGTGCACAAAACTGTCGGCCGCTGGAAGCGCAATGCCGTCTCGCGAACCCAGAGCGCCACCAGTGCCCATCCCTCCCAGCGCATGGCTGATGATAAGACCTGGGATGCGGTGGGATACCCATCAGCAAAGCCGGTATCGGGCGCAGCGGCGGGTGGAAAGGCAGTTTGAGCGGCAGCTGCGGCGGGATATCGCTAGGGAGCAGGGTTATCGACCGAACCCGTGGTAGGTATCTAGGTGGCAAGGCTGCTGGAAGGTGGTCGATAGAGCTAATGGGACATGCAAGTGTGTACATCTAATGCATGACAAGGCAGGAATATTAAACATGATATCAAGTAGGAAAAGGCAGACGTGCAAGACAATGCTCATGACTTTTGTCCTCTCTTGTCTAGAGTAACTTGTATCAATACACTGTACAATGATCCTCAGGTCACCTGGGCAGATGTAAAATCCCCAGTCGTAAGCAAGCATCCATGTAGTTCGCCCAACTCCCAGCATCCAACCCAATACAGTAGATTACTTCCAGAACTTCTGGAGCGAAACCTCCTTATCGTCATGCTTGTTGAGGATCTTGGCCGTCGCCAGCTCAAAGTCCTCCTGGGTCACATGGACTCTCCGCTCTCTGAGGGCATACATACCCGCCTCAGTACACACACCCTTCAACTCGGCACCGGAACAGCCATTCATCTTCTCGGCGATCTTGGTCAGGTTGATGCCACGGGTCAGGTTCATCTTGCGGCTGTGGATGCGGAGAATGTCGGCACGAGCCTCGACGCTTGGCGGCGGGAACTCGATCTTACGGTCGATACGACCGGGCCGCAACAGGGCCGGGTCCAGAATATCGAGACGATTCGTCGCCATGATGACTTTGATGTTCTTGGTGGGCTCGAAACCATCGAGCTGGTTCAGCAGCTCCAACATGGTACGCTGGACTTCCGAGTCTCCGCCAGATGAGCCCTCTACACGCGAGGAACCGATGGAATCGATCTCGTCCATGAAGATGATGGAGGGGGCGTGCTCTCGAGCCATGACGAAGAGCTCGCGCACCATGCGGGAACCCTCACCGATGTACTTCTGCACCAGCTCGGAACCCGACACTCTGATGAACTTGCAGTCTGTGTGGTGAGCGACGGCTCGGGCCAGCAGCGTCTTTCCTGTTCCTGGAGGACCGTAAAGCAGTACACCCTTGGGCTGTGCGATACCGAGGGACTCGAACAGCTCTGGGTGCTTGAGACCGAGCTCGATGACCTCCTTGATCTCCTTGATCTGCTGGTCCAGACCACCAATCATGTCGTATGTGCTGTCGGGGACCTTCTCAACCATCATGAGGGAGACGAGAGGGTCGACGGAGGAGGGCAGCATCTTCTCGAGCTTGTACGAGTCGGACAGCAGGGTTACCCGCTTTCCGGCTGTGAGTTTCGATATGTCGACCGAGTCTGCTATGTCCACGACTGCAAGGGCTGTTAGAACCAAGGCGCACAGTATGGCAGGTAGTTGGATGGACCGGAGAGGCGGGTAGGCGGGTTCGTTGCGGCTTACCATATTTGCCCTCGGGATGCACCTTGACCAGCACCTTCTTGGTGCCCATGACCTTGACGACCTCACCGACGTAGGAGCCGGGCTGCTGCAACAGGCCCAGCTCCTCGCGCAGTAACCGGACCCTCGAGTTGTAGTCATTTCGCTGGGCCTCGAGCCGGCGGAGGACAGCCTGGCCCTTGAGGATCTCGAGCTTCATCGCCTCGATCTTGTTTGCGTAGTAGTTGTCGAGCGCCATGGCTGCTTGCTGCTCCGGACGATCGGAGACTTGGTGGCGGATTGCAGGTTTGGCCGCGGTGTGAGTTTGCGCTCGTGCTGGGTATGTTTGGCGAGTTGGATGATGGAATCGGTCGGTGGGGGGGCCGCCGCGGGTTGATGTCGCCGTTGATGGGATGGAGTGTGTCGGCGGAGACGGAGGGTGAGGTGAGGTGTGGTTGTAGCTCTAGGCTGATGAGGCTGACGACAAGGCCCGGACCAGGGTGAACTCCAGCGCTTGGAAGCCAGTGGACGTGCGCTAAAGCAGGCGGTAGAAGACTTGGGACCTCAAAGGGGACCGTGGCGCGCTGGAGCGGAGGGCGGCACTACCATAAGTCCGCTATCAACAGGCTTTCAGTGCTTCCAGGGGCCAAGTCCAGCAGTACTGCCGGTATGTACAGCAAGGGGGTCCATCTTCATGTTGCCAAGGCCACGGAACTGGAGCTGCAGATGCCAGAGTGGGCCAGCGACGTTCAAACTACAGGACTAGATTCTGGGTCCAATCTGGGATAATTTGGTCTTTGCTGCCCATTGATCAAGATCTGCCTTGAAATGACGGGCGCACCTGTCGGTTCTCCGCAATGGATACTCCTGTACCCTACGGTGACATACTCGCAAGCATCGCCATGCCATGATAAACCGTCCGGTGCGTCTTTGTACACACAGTACATATGCAGCCACAGCGATCAACCACCTAGATACTATTTCTTATGTGTTATAGGTCATACGCGGCTGCTATCTCCACTGTAAGGTCTGCTTGTGACCACGGGCGCGCAGTCACAATGCAGCCCCCCCATCCCCCCATCCCCCATCCAAACCATCTGCACCAGCTCTGGTCATCTCACGGCTGGCAATCGTCACTCCGGACCAGGCCGTGGCCAAGGTTGCGACCGCCGACCGGGGGTCGCTGCTGGAGCGATCGCGCGCCAGGCCGCTTCAGGCAAAGAACAGGCCATTCGTACGCCATCCATATGGCTGAGACCCCATAATTCTCAGCACTTGGGCACCCATCCGGCTGCGGCGGCAGGGATCATAGGTGCTGCGTCAGGCTGGAGGGCACGCTGGATGATCCGTGATGCCCGCTGTAAATTATCACGAGGAGTAGCTTGCACGACTCGCCGCGGGATCGCGCCTCCCGCTTGAGTTTGAGATCTGACAGAGAGAGAGCTGAAGGACTCGACACACACACGAGTGCGCCTCGATTTTCTCTGGCCTTGTTTATTTTTTCTTCTTTTTCTTTTGTGTCTTCCGCTGCCTTGGTTGGGAGCACTTCTGCAGCATGCATCACGGCCGTTGACAACCCATCCCGCCGTACCGTCCTCCCATCGTCCCCGGGCCGCGTCCACCCACCTGCTTTTGCTGCTCGGTAGCTTGCGCCATTGTGTGTTTATCCTGATAAGTCTCCGCACCGGGATCTGCAACCATCGTTGCCAACACTTTCCCCGGACCCTTTGGCCGGCCGATCAACTTGCGGTCATCTCCTGCTTTCTCTGCAGAAAGTGGATTTGGCTTGTTCAGCAGCCCAAGACCGCTTCCCTCTCTGATAAGGGTGTGGTCCCCAGGCTGTCTCAGAGCTGTTGCATAGCTCATGCATCGTCGGCATCCTCGAGTGCTACAACACGCGCAGCATCCTCACCATGGAGCGCCCATCACAAGAGTCTCTCGAGTCCGACTCGCAGTCGCCGACAGATACGCGACCAGCCGGAACGCGCCTCGAGCGGGACGACAGCAACCTCCTGTCTGAGAGCTATCAGTCCCAGGCCACTGTGCGGAGGAGACCAGACGTATCTTACGGTTCGTCAGCCACCCTCACACCTCGCGGCCGAATCCCAACCTTCGCGCCTGATCCGGGGGACTTCTGTTACCTAACACTTTCGTTGCTAACTCTTGTTCCACCTAGGTACCGTGCAAACCCCTCCGCCGGCGAGCAATACCCAGTATCTGGGCGAGTCCTCCGCTCAGGGTTCATCAGCCCACGAGCGAGCCCATGGACGAGCTAGCCAACCCCTTCGATCCCCGATGCTGGGCCCGGATCGTGGCAGAGCGCGACCAAGAAAGCCACCCATGGCTCGCCGTGCTTCCTCGAACGTGCAGCCTTACAGGGGAGGTGTTTTCTCGACGGACGACGCCGCTGAGGAGATAGAAGAGGGAGTTCCCGAAGACCAGCCGAACTTCCCGTCGCCTCGTCCCCAACATTCCAAGGACTCGGTCAGGCAGGCGTCGACGGTGCGGCGGCGAACCGTCGCGGCTGCTCCGTCTCTGTCGCGGGTACAGTCGAGCCGAAGTGTTGATGGTGACGATGCAGGCATCGAGGAGCGCCTAGAAGAGGAGGATGATACAGCTAACGAGGCAGAGGCACAGAACGTAGACACCGGAGGGACGGATGAGGATACCCCCGTCGATGACGACGACGACAGTGATGTCAGCGATGCCGAGAGCTTCACCCTGAAAGATCGCCAGCAGGCCATCAACGAGACCCATCCGTTCGGTATAAGGCTGTGGAAACCTGCCTTGTATAAGAAGGATCGTTCAGTGCAAAAGACGGCAGAGGGTGATATCCACTCGTCCCCCGGAGGCCGTGTCAGCAACTGGCTTCTCTTCTTCAATGTTATCTGGACCTTGGTCTTCGGTTGGTGGATGGCCCTCTTCGCTGCCATGGGAGCCATGGCTTGTTTCATCTTCGCTGCTGCCCCCAGCGGAAGAGAATATGGACGCGTCCTTTGGGGTCTTGCTGGCTACCTATTCTACCCCTTTGGCAAATACGTGCGCTTGGAGCATGATGAAGCCTACCTGGATGAAGACGAGGGCGAGGGCCGTAGCATCAGCGAGTACGAGCAGTGGCAGAGCGGTGACCTCGAGTATGGTCGATTGTTCTTTGGACCCGATTCGGAGAGGAGCCGCTCCATCATTGGACGATCGCGCAGAAGCATCGATTCCGAGCCGAGCGAGACGGACAGCCTTCTGGGGCGTGCCGGACGTCATGTCCATTTGGATGAGCAGGGCAGACGACTCAAGAGGCGTTTGTTCGGCAGGGGACAGTGGAACATTGGAAGAGTCATCTTTTTTGTCTTTTTCTATGGTCTGCTCACGCCCTCCCTGATCATCGTCTCCGCGATTTGCTGGTTCTTGGTCTTCTGGATCCCCATGGGAAGGGTTACAATCCTTCTCTTTGACCATCTACGGAGGCATCCCTTGGCCCTCTCCTTCGAATCGGATATCTCCCTGGCCCGCACCTCGGACACTCCCCATGCGTCCATACTTCTCTGCACGTACAGAGCCGTTGGTACAAAGTACTGGAAGTACACTGTCGACGGAACCAATATCTTCCTGATCAACCTCATGGCTGTCGTCATGTTTGTCATATTTGACTGGCTGGTGCTCGAGGGCGTGTTGCACGTCGAGAACTTTCTCACCCACCCCGGCTTCTTATTCATCGCCGGCCTACTCTCCATTATCCCCCTGGCCTATTTCATCGGTCAAGCAGTTGCCTCCATATCGGCTCAGTCCTCGATGGGACTAGGCGCAGCGATCAATGCATTCTTCTCCACCATTGTCGAAGTCTTCCTATATTGCGTTGCCCTGAATCAGGGCAAAGGGGCACTTGTTGAAGGTAGCATTATCGGTAGCATCTTCGCAGGTATCCTCTTTTTGCCAGGCCTCTCGATGTGCTTTGGCGCAATCAAGCGCAAGACCCAACGATTCAATGCGAGATCAGCAGGTGTCACCTCCACAATGTTGCTCTTTGCGGTGGTTGCTGCCTTTGGTCCAACCTTATTCTATCAGATCTACGGTACACACCAGCTGACCTGTTCGGCTTGTGTGGATTATCCGGATGATCTACTAGGAAACGCAGAGCGTGACTGTCGACGGTGCTATTTCTCTCAGACGCCGAACCTCGAAGATCGATTCTACATCGAGGCCGTGCGTCCCTTCTGCCACATCGCTGCCATCTTCCTGTTCTTGTCTTACGTAACCGGGCTGTGGTTCACGTTGCGCACTCACGCTGCCGTCATCTGGAATACTGAAGTCGAGGAGAAGAAACACGAGGAACAGCAGCAGTTGGCTCGGTTGGTAGAGCAACACCAAATCGCAGAAGCGACTGGTACAGATATTAGAGATAGCAACCTGTACAAGCGCATTCTTGGCCAGTCTCTGAAACAGGTTGGCCTTGGGACAGCACATCACTCACGACAGCCTTCGGGTGTTGCTCCGCCCAATGGCGCGATGGCGACTGCCCATTTGGTACCGCCAAAGACGGCAGACAGCGGTGCCGATACCGACAGCATTCGCTCCAATGTCCACGTGCCAGGATTTACCGAGGCGGAGAACAACAATCTCATCCGAGGTGTTACTGAACTGGCTGCTACAGCGGCTGCCATTGCTGCTCGTGATGCTAGGAACCCGCGCCGGATCTCAGCCAACCCTGTGCCTCAGGCGCGCCCAACCCCACTGCGTACAAGCACGTTTCCTGACATGGACGACCACGCCGAGTCTGCGCACCCTCATGGAGGCCACGACGCCCCGAATTGGAGCCGGACAAAGAGTGCTGTCATCTTGATGTCAGCTACTGTACTCTACGCCATCGTTGCCGAGATCCTGGTCGATACAGTGGATGTAGTCCTCCAGAACTTTTCGATCGACGAGAAGTTCTTGGGAATCACACTGTTTGCCCTGGTCCCCAACACAACAGAGTTCTTGGTAAGTTTGAAAACCTTAGTCAATAGGACCACACTAATCAAGTTGCAGAATGCCATATCTTTCGCCATGAACGGCAACATCGCCCTATCTATGGAGATCGGTTCCGCCTATGCGCTTCAAGTCTGTCTTCTGCAGATTCCGGCGTTGGTCTTCTTCTCGGCTGTCTACCCCGAGAGGGAAGGTGTGGTGGACGTGTCGAAATACATGTTCAGTCTCCTCTTCCCCCAATGGGATATGGTGACTGTCATTCTCTGTGTGTTCTTGCTCAGCTACGTCTATGGCGAAGGCAAGAGCAACTACTTCAAGGGTAGCATTCTGATATTCACATACATGGTGGTCATTATTGGATTCTACTTCTCTGGCATGACGGATGACGTCCAGATGGGCATGTCCAGGTTCGACACGTTCAGTGCTGGGAATGGGTGGACGTCGTACAAAACGATTGGACGAAGCACGAAAGGGATGGCGTACTAGGACCGATGTGACGTTCCTCATGCGCACATGATGACCCGAAGTATGACTAAACGTATGGTACTTCTGGTTTGGTTTCCTGTTTTTTCTTTCTTTTTTCTTTGTTTTGCACTGCTTAAGAACAGCAAGCATCGTCCGTTAATACCTATTTGCATGGTTATGGCTATGGCTACGGCGAACGAGTCACAAGCCTTGGAGCATTGGTCGGTCGTTTGGTGGGGGTTTTGCCTCATTTTACAGGTATAGGCCTTTAACAGAATCAATACATCTCTGGCATGTCACTTCGTCTACTACTCCACTGGAAAATCAAAATTGTGCTTCTTGAAATGGCAGAAAGCGACTCGAGTACTATGAATGAAACAGCATATGAGGTGTCATGATATGAATGCCTTCGATAGTGAAAGATGCAATACATCAAAGAAACATGAAAACCCTACCGAAAATACACTGCGTTTACCCATTTACAAATGTCAGTATACGAAGACCCATGTGGCGAGAAGTCTGCAGCATGTGCCTTTCCGCCAATAGTCATCTCTAGAAGTCTCTTCGCTGACGGAATTGTGGCCGCGATGAGAGAATGCAAGGCCCCAAGTCTCCAGGTGAACCCATGCATGCACGACCAATTTGGTAACTCGGTAGAGACGAGGATTTCGCTGATTGGTTGCTCCGTTCCTCAAGCTACCGGATTTAATCGCGCAAGCCAATCAGAGTTAACGGCATGGGCAGAAAGCAGAGCCTCACCACCTTAGTCAGGAAAAAAAGCTGCTGAAGACCCTGGAAAAAGTCCACCGCCCGGCAGAATCCTCGAATCAGCCGCCCCACTATGGGATGCTACAAATACGTTGCTCACCTGCCCTCGACTGCTGGTTCTTCTTTTTCTCTCTATGCGATTTTACTTCATGTGAGTCCTGCCCAATACCTCTCCCGCGAGCCTTGGAAAGAGCAAGAATACTGACTTCGTCCGCCTCGCAGAGAATCATTTCTATAGTAGTCGTCCTACTCTTTTTTCCCTAAAAGAGCTACAGAACCTACGCCAGTTGATGAGCGGAAATCCCCTCCATCCTAGAGTGAAAAGTCTTCTTAGGGAGCCTCGTGCTTTTTTTTACCCGTTCGCTCTCGCTCTGCCCGCAAGGGTGGCGGTCCCCCAGGGGACTGTATAGAGAGTGGTGATGATCTCAACCCCGATCTGTTGTTTTCACCCTCGTTTGGTGCGCAGCCGGGGTGGTTGGAGGGGACGTCTGATGGCCGTATTATCCGTTTTTCTTTTTCGTTGCGTGCTGGAGCTCGTCTCTGGCTGTGAGGAAGAAGTACGATTGTCGTTAGCATGGCACGGGGCGGCCTAGGCGATGGAGCAAAATCCTATGGTCCCCTTGCCATTTCACAAACCTATGCCAACAGTTGCTTTATTTATTTATTTATTTATTTTTATTTATTCAAAGATTGACCCTGAAGGTTGAGGAAGTTCGTCTATCCCTTCTTTCAGGCTTGAAGTGAGGCCAAAACGTTGGAGCACTGTCTTGTATATCCTGCAGTAGGAACTCATCACGGGGTACACAGCCATTCAACACGGTGACACCTTTGCAAATCATGCACCTTGTATTCTGTGCATCTTATCTCTCTTAAAAGCTATGAAGATAGAACATATGTATTTATTACTAGGCATCCCGCCTTTGGCAGACTGCCATCTACGCGGCACAAGTAAACGCTCCGCCAACAGCTCCAGTGTTGTATGCGTCGATGATGCTCTGGAGTGTCGTATACGTGCCTGCGACGAGGAGGAAAGATCCGAGGACTACAGTAAACCAGTGCAATACGAAAACTGCCTTCTTTTTCCAGTTCAGTGCATGATTGCCCTTGTCCATGTAAAGGCCCATCAGAGCAGGGATTATCAACTGAGTAGAACAGAAAGGTTAGCAACCGCAAACAGAAACAGGTGATCATCTATGACTTACGCAGGTTGGGGCACAGCAGAATGAGGCAATAAGCCCGAGCAGATAGCTAAAGAAGGGGATAGCCTCCGCAATGAGGAAGGACAGTACAGTAATTCCGATAGTCGATCCTCTGCAAGGAGTCATTAGCACATGCGCTACTTTGGTAACGTACACAATGCGAAATTCCCTGTACTTACAGCCAGGTCACCCAGTGGATGATGCTGTTGCTCTGTAGATGTACAGAGTTACGGAGAATGCGGACGAAAACCTGAAAAAGTCAGCCACTGGTCAGGGAAAAGATTGATTGGGTTGTTTACAAATTTGGCGGCAAGGTGAACCCATAGAGTCGAGGTCATGATGAAACCAGGGATGGATATTCCGTATGCAACCTTCTCCAACGTACCACCGGCGCTTGCCAGAGATGGGCTGGCAACATACTGACCACAATAACTGAGGAGGTATTAGCATCAGGAGTCTGATCATGTCTCTCTCGGGACAACTGCCTGCCAAGGTACTCACAGGTAAACAACGACACCGAAGCTAATGTAGCAAGCCGAAAGCGCGCCCTGAGAGGAAAACAGAGCCTTCGGGAATGCCTTTGGTACTTTCATTTCCGCAATGACTGGCATGAAGGTTGGGGTAGAGCCATAGCCAGCTGTATTTCCGAGTCAGTCTATATTATGTAGATTGTGACGATGGGACTCACCGAAGAGGTTGAGAGTAGCCGTGAGTCCCGCAACGAAGCCGGGGACTCCAACTGCGGTGACACCAAGATCGTATGGGCCGGACTGGGGAGCCGCAGCTGGTCTCTCGACTTGTGTGACACCGACCCTGTACAGCAGTCTGATGAGCGCATGCTACAAGCATTAGGAATGACAGACTATCTGTGACTTACACGACAATGAAGACAGCCGTGAAAATCGACGCGAATCCGATCCAAGTGAGAATGGCCAGTCTACCAAGAGTCGGAATACTGGCCACTACCGCTGTACAAAGGGCAGCAACCATAGTCCAGACGACGGTGCAGACTTTCCCGTTGGCAAGGATCTTGAATCCTTGTGCCAGTCCAACGAATCCTGAGCCGGTGGCAAGGCTGCAATGAATCGGTCAGCCATGATTTCTACCTATAATACTGCATCAACAGCTTCTCACTTACATCCAAGTCAAGAGAAATATAGCACTAGCAATCTCGCGAGCAATCGGGCCTCCCAACACAGCAGCAGCATCGGCGATGTTGTGAATGCCACGGTACTTCATTCGAAAAAGGTACATGATCCAGGCGTAATCTTGAGCGTAGTGTCAGTGGCCGCGAATCCCATACAGATGTTCCCTTGTACTAACAGGTCGTCATAGAGCCCCAACAGGCCAGAAGGATGATTCCTGGCCCATATCCTACGACGTGAAAAGCGGATGGTATTCCCAGCACACCGGTCGCAAAACACAGTTTCATGAGGATGATCGTAGTTCGGATCCTGTCCATGAAGCGTATAAGTGCATGTACTGGCAAAGCCCTGTTGGGGCATTCTGGCGATCTGGTTTCAAGGCACATACCATCCGAGGGCGCGAAAGTCAGTGTTACCGGTGCCGCTTTTGAAGACTTCTTGATCATCGTCGAGAGCTTCGGTCTTGGAGACCTCGTCCGGAGTTGCACTCCGTTGCACTCCTTCCTCGATCTTCTCTACGTTGTTGTGGTCATTGCCACTCGACTCGAATTCAGATGTACGCATGGTGTCTTGCTGTGAGGGAGTGGACCTCTGCCAGGTGCTTGTGATGTCAAGATGCCGAGTGCTCAAGTATGCCCTCGAAAATCGAGCAGCAGGTTACATCTTATAGCAGTGCTTATCACCGGTTTTCGTTGAGCTTGATCCCTACCTCCACGCGTAGAGATCCCTTTCTGGTCCCTGGGCACTGACATATCTGATTCGGTCATGAACCCAAACTGGCATGGCCTGCCAGCCTATCGTATCGGCAACCGGATAACGAGACTGGAGGAGCGGGCTAGTCATGGCAATGCAGCCAATGCATGCCGAAGCTTTGCGTGGCAGACTCCACTTACTCGCCAAACCCCGACTGCGCAACTCACGGGTCGTGGAGTTACCCCAGTGGCTCAAGATAGTCCCTGGCTTCCCCAAGGCCGAGGCCATGGTTTCTTCAAGATTGGCTGGGCTCCATCTTGTCTCGTTTATTAGCGCGGCAGTAGTAGATTAGTGGTGCAAAGCCTCGATCGGCGCTCGTCCGCGTATCCCCGACTAGCGTATCGTGTAGAACCGACACCTGGGTGTGTCCGAGGGTGGGCTTGAATAGGTGCAGCCCTAAAGCGTCACAGCGTAATCTGAGGATGCCAGTGGTACCCTGCCGGTTGTTAAGCATATATCCTCTTCTATTGCAAGCAACTTTGATACGCCAGAGATAGCGTTTCCCAGGCTGTCCCGATTCCAGAACCCAACAAGACATAAATCCACGCGAATATGCCTATCAAGGACACACCGCAGACGCTCAAGCGTGTAAGCATTCGTTGGCTTCCAGAACCGGCCTACGAGGACAGTGATACCATCGCTCTCAATGTCGGCGGCTACTTTATGGATTTGAGAGTAGGGACAGCGGATGGCTCGCTTCAATGGAGCCGCTGCGGCGAGCGCAAGAAGCTGAAGGAGGACCCCCGTATGTTACTTTTCCTTAGGCAATCTGCCGTATAACGCATTGGAAACGCTTACAACTGTGGCAGTCACTTGCCAATGGACTCGCATTATCGACTCTCTAGGGAGCACCGATCCTGACGAGGCTGCCTTCTCAGAACTACCGAATGGTGATAGTCTCGAGTATGGTACCTTCAACAAGGACGGCGTGCCCACATCGTACGAGGAGGTATGGAGAGATGTGAAGGCCACGGTTGACAGTGAGAATTGGGCCTGGATTATCCAGAGCGTGGATGGATCAACGTTCTTGGGCAAACTAGACAACATTTTCTTGGGAATGAAGCAGCAAGTCAAGGGCGGCAGTTTTGCGGTCAGGAAGGAGGAGTACGATGGTGCCTCGAAAGAGTGGAAAACCACATTCGCAGACGGTGACACTGACACCATCCCGAGAGCACTAGACGCGCTGAAGATTGAAGGCGGGGAGAGAGTTACGGGGCAGACCGTCGTGGTTAACCAGGGCGATTATGTCATTCGCGGCATTGCTCGCTCCTAGCCAGAGTCCAGATGGTAGCTTACTGTGGGTAGCACGCCGGTCGGAATAGACTTCGTGAAACATCAACTATAATAAGTCCCATGCTTGCCATGCATCCGGCCGGTGTGGGGAAATGCTGCCACGAGCAACAGGCGAGGCCGCCAGACAGGGATTAGCAGTTGCTCCCAGGCTACGTAGGGTGGCAACCCCACGATTGCTGTGGGCACTGCCTTAGCTCCGGGTAGTGCAATTACTGTGTGCTATCGATTGACCCGAGAATCCTTGTATCGAGTTCCTCCTCACAACGCCGTGCAGCCTCCGATGCCCCGATGCCGCGATGCCACGATGCCACGATGAGCAGTAATCCCAGGCGAGACCGACAGACCAAATCATGTGCCAGATGCTTCTCTATGAAGAAGAGGGTACATATCACGGCTACACCAGCATTTTTCCCCTGTCACTAATTCTTTGGCCAGTGCGATAAGAAAGTACCATCATGTTCGCGGTGCACCCAGGCCAGAGCGCCGTGCGTTGGGATCGACCCCACGAATGGTGTCGAGATCCCACGGAGGTTTGTGCCAAGCCGTTTGTCTATATGTGTTGATTGTGCTAATTCCGGCAAGTGTCGTGTTGTATTTGGAAGCACGCTTGGCTGAGATCGACCCTGAAGGCTACCCAGCTCTATCCACAGGACCGACATGTCCAGCAAATGGCGACATCATTTTGGATCATACGCTTTCAGCGACCCCTAACAAGGTAGCAACTGCGTATGAGTCTGTTCTGCGGGTTGCCAGCTTGGCGATTGGGTCTCTATACTCGCATTCCGTGCTCCAGAGCCGCCCTGGAATTTACCATCAAGCAGAGCTGTTCTATACCTCTGAGAGGCCTCCGCTCAAGATACCTGTGAACAATGTCTATATCGAAGATCCTCCTAGAATGGCAAGTGGAGACTCTGCTTTTCGCTTGCCCGATACAGGCGCACGAGGCATTCCCATAGGGGTGGCGCACACATTGTTCGACAACTATGTCTCCAACATCCTACCGAAGTACCCGTGTTTCACCGTCACTGATCTTAAAAGCGAATTCGATACATTCTACTCAGCACCGAGAGATCACGCTCATGTTTTACCGGATAGGACCAAGTTCATCGTCTCCAGTAAGTCACACAAAAAACTGTCTTCTACCATCGAAGGCAACTTTGATTACTTTGGAGTCCATGTATTGTGGACTGCACACCCTTCAGAAATACAAATCTAAAGAGACACACTAATTCTACTGCGTGGATTTGGTTGAGAGGTTACTGACAGGTACACATCGTAGTGGTCCTAGCGATTAGCTCGCTCACGTCAAGAGCCCAACAATTCCAAAAAGTTGCCGCACTGAGCGAGTCTCTGCATCGAGATGCGATGAGGCACAGATCTTTCCTCAAAGAAACCAGCATAAGATCGCTTCAGTGCCTTCTTTTGCAAATTCAAATAGCACTCATGCTCCCATATACCTCAAACCTATGGTACATGAGCGGCGAGGCAGTCCGAATGGCTATTGCTCTAGGTCTACATCAGGAGGATGAACATAGTCGAGAGAACAGCTTACGACGAAACTTATTCTGGACGGTATGAATGAATTAACTATGTCGTGTATGCTCTGACACTCGCAGGTATATTGCCTTGAAAGGACGGTTGCCATCGCGTCGGGCTGCCCCTTAGCAATCAGTGATGACCACATCAGCACTCTGGTACCCTCAACGGATCAAGTGAATATTCAGCACACAGACTTGGAACGTATAACTCGCACAAAACTCTATCAATTTCTGAGTCACATTCAACTGAGCCGAATTCACTCAGAGATACATGGGGTACAATTCTTTGACCAAGACTTGCCGCGGGATACCCCCGATTACAGCGCTTGGGTACGGAAAATGGAAGAGACAATCCAGAGTTGGCAGGAAAGCATGAGCGCAGCCAACGAGGCAGTCCTTTGGTCGATAATTACAGCGAACCACTGTCGCTTCTTGCTTTATCGCCCGTGCTCAAGGAACATGGTCCTGTCCGAAGCCGGCTTGCAAGCAGCAACAACGATGGCCATTGCACTAGTTGACGGATACTGGCGACTTACCCAAGCTGGGGGCATGATACATGTATTTCAGTCGGTATATGCCCTGTTTCAGGTCGGGATCTTCCTATTGTACGCGTTGAGGAACCATAGCACCACCGTACGAGATTCGTCTTTGGAAGAGGGGGCCCGGCGCGCATTGCATCTCCTGCCGGACTTATTCGTAAGTTGTTGTCTCGTATCCCAATCCATCATGTTGCCATAATTTGACCAGATCCAATAGCTCGAATTGTCTTTGAGGTGGCCGGCTGCTGCTGATACAGGTCACTACGTCAAACTACTGCGGGACACAGTCCTACATAGCCTTGACTCAGTAGAGAGCCCTGCAAGGTCGCCTTATGATTTGAACCTTCTTGCTGAGCTTGATTTCATCATCACTCAGCGTCGGATTCACTCCGTCTTCCATAGAAACGTGGACATTATACCTGAACAGGGGACGTCACCAGAAGTCTTCCTCTGGGATCAGACAGATCACTTTGAGGCCATTTCACAAGAGATGTGGCAAGAAATTCTGGACATCGACTTCGACTTCCTTGCTGACAACACTATTCTTTCGGAAACCCCGCGTGAGGAGCAAACCACTCCAATGCACAGTTTCGGTCTTGTCCAAGAGTCAAAAGAGCAAGGGCCCGTCTCGGACTTCGCAATTGACACTGATGTGTTGATGAATGCTGTCCCTGCGTGCGTTGCATGTCGCAGCCAGCATATCAAGTGCGATCGCAAATTCCCCATGTGTTCGACCTGCAGGAGACATAATCGGGTATGCGTTTTCTATGACTGCATGCTGAAGAAAGAAATACCAAGAAGGTTAGCATTTTTGTCCACTTCTCAGCCAACATCTAACGAGCTAGAGCCTGACGCTAACCTTACACCACAGTTACGTCTATTCGCTCTATGAGAGGTATCAGGCTGCGCTTCGACTAGACCATCAACACAGATCAGGGGCAATAGAACATGACACGGCACTCCCTCTTCAATACGGACTCAATAGTAATGTGTTCGTCCCGACTTCCGAGTTTGGTACTATCTACGCAAATTTGGCATCTTCGCAACCGGGGATTCATCAAAGCAAGAACCTAGATCGTTGTTTTTATGGCCGTTCGAGTTCTCTATCCTACCTGTTACGCGGATTGACCACGAAAAGCGAAAGTATGCTGACGCTCCCCGCTCAGGGGCCTTTGGCATGGCAAGCTCAACCGCCAGAATTGCAAACCCCTTCAGAGCCAGCTGTCCCCCCGGTCGCAGTCACATCAGCTCTGTCACATGTTTTTACCAGCTCCGTCAACGTATTCTATCCCACACTGAAAGGTCCCCATCTAGATCGAATCATGTCAAATTTGTACCGCGACCAGATAAATCGCCGTGGAACCTGGGATCGGGGGTTAGGATACCTTGTACTTGCTATAGGTTCAAAGCTAGGAGCGGGTGCTAACATTGGCATAACACACACACCAGAGATATACTACGCGAAGGCCCTACAATTGCTGCAAGGGAGGCGTCACAACTGGCGGGCGCTCGACCAACTATCTTTACTCCAAAGAACACTTCTAATATGTCTGTACCTACTCCTTGATCCCGCCTCTGGAGACATCTGGCGGTATCTCGGGTTTGCGATCCGGATTTACTTCGACTTATCTCACAGACCGGCGGAAGATGATGATATGGATGAAGAACTTCTCAGTATGCTATCCAAGACACTCTATTGCCTCGAATGGTATGTTTCCCCCTGCCGAACCTTGATGTCACCAGTCTTACATTTTCGTAGCGATGTGTCGATAGCGTTTGGTCGACCGAGTTCTCTGGTTATAGGCGATAAAGTTCGCGATGTAAGACTTTTAGGAATGGCTGGCGAAGAGTCGGGGACTAACACTCGCGTATAGAACATCATCAAACCAAGGACCGGATCCGTTGAAGAGCGTATAGCTACCTATTTCTACCGGCTATCCCTCTTTAAGATGCAGATTCACAGTCACATCCTCTCGAACACAAGCGCCCCAGACATTGGCACAGCAACACATGATCATTTCCAAGCCCTTCGGGCACAGCTGGAGGCCTGGCTCAAGGACTGGACGGAAGAAGGATTGTTCATGAGTACTGACGAAACTTATGCCAATGATCCACACTCTTTACAGGTCCTGGAGGCATGGGCAAATCTGAACTATCACCACACCTTATTGTTGATGTCCAGCTTACCGTCTGCTCTGGTTGAAAGCCCCATGGAGAGCTGTGTTCACATTGCCAAGTCTTGTACTTTCCTTGCAAGACACCAACAGAGGTCAATCGCTTTATGGCGTTCCATGCCCGGCCAATCGCAGTTCTTGTTCTTCCCAAAGAACTGGACAACTGCGCACCTCATCCTGAAAGCGGGTCTTCAATTGTCCTGCTGGTCTCCGGAGTCTTCTCTCATTGGCGAGACAATGGGGATCATGAACCGGTGTTTAACAGCGCTTGCTCTTTTTGAGGGCGATCCGTCAAATCTATCTACCGGCTTCTCGGAAATCTTAGAACATATAGGCTCTGCGCAGAGCTCTGGAGGCGGGGATGTACCGTTCATCATTCACGCTATACCTCTGAATAGAGGACTTTGATGAGGCACGATGCCAGAAAGACTTGATTACCATGTATAAATACTTCAGGTAGTAATTGATATCAGGTAGCAGTGTCGATCATGCTCAAGCAACCTGATGGAGGTCCGCCCGCCAAAGATCTCGCAAGAATGACCACCATCAGATTGTCAGCTGCCACGGGCGCATGAGCCTTAATACTGGAACTATTTCTACGAATCTTGATTTCCACACTCTGCGCCTTGAATGTGTAACAGAGTTTTCCCGAAGTTTCGGTACTGCGCTTCAACTCTACCTTATCGGATGGAACATCAATGGCATTGATGGATATGTCAATTTCTGGTACAAGGGACTCTTGCGTGCCAGTGGGTTGTGTTGCCTGGCTTACGGATATAGAGCCCTCGATTGATATCTTATACACTTCCTGACCATCGGCTGTAGTCTTGTCGTCGATGGAGCACTTGGAAACCTCTATGCTCGGCCGGGGTGCCGTCTGTTGTGGATTAGGGGAATCCACGAGTTGAATCCTGTCTGAGGCCAAGGCTGGCGTCGCAGGCGGAGCAATCCGCCGCTGAGATTTATGTTCATAAGCTTGTGCCCATTTGAGCAAGCTTTCGTCCTCGCCGGATCGTCCAGCAAAGGTCAGCCCAACGGGCATGGCCTTGTCTTCCACGATGCCCATCGGCACCGTCACAGATGGGATCCCGAGGTGACGCAACGCTCTGTTGCCAGTGCTGTACCAGACGCCATTTTTCCATGCGTGCTCCGAACTGGCATCGTTTTCATCGGCATCCGCTGCACCCACGTCGCCGGCAGCAGGGAAAGCGACGCAATCGCACCCGAAAGCTGAGAGGTAGTCGTCGAGGAGCCGCTTTCGCATGGCCTCCAACGCCTTTACCGCATCCTCCAGCTTTTCGACCTCGTAGAAATCACATTCCTGGATGTAGGAGGTGAGCTGCGCCCAGTGGATCATATTTTTCTTGTCGTTGAATTTCAGCTCCGCCGAGGTTCTGAGCCAATCCGGATAGATACTCAGGCCGTCCACTGAAGTCAAGTCGGGTATATTTGGGTCCTTGTTCAGTTTCAGAAACTGGTTCCAGCCATGGGCGACGAGAGGGCCTCTTTCGCGACTATGCCAGTTCTCCGGCAGACGAGGATCGTCATCCTTCAACAACGCTGGGTTCTCGTAGCCTGTCACCGCAGGGAAGTCTGGGACGATGACGACTTCAGCTCCTAGAGCCTCCAAGTCCACTCTCGCCTGCTTCCAAAGCTTCACAACCGCCTCACTGGTGACGACAGGCCTTGCCCCTTCCACCGCCGGCCCACCGATATACATCTCAGGGACGGCGATCCGAATATTTTTCAAGGATTTGGGTGCTGTGCGGATATTGCTGAATGTATCTGGACCCTTCGGCCATGCCTTCTCTAGTTTCACCCATGGCTGATCCCGCCAAAAATCGCCTTCAGTGACGCTATCCTCAGTAGAGATAACTTCCAAGAGCGATAGCATGTCCTTTACTGTCCTTGTATGCGGCACTACGACATCGCAAGTGGGATACAAGGGCCAGTTTCCGCGGATGGACAGCCATCCTCTGGAGGGAGTATAGGCGACTAGGGCGTTGTTGGAGGCTGGCGACCTCCCCGATGAGACCGTTTCCTCCGCCATGCCAAAGGCCGCAAACGATGCCGCCGTCGACACGGCCGAGCCGTTCGACGAGCCCGAGGCAAAGGCCGCCGCGAGATACTTGGGGTTGTACGGGCTTTCTGCCCGCCCGTACACGCCTCGCTGCATTCCGCCGTACGCCATGGACGGCATGTTGGTCCGCCCGATGAGCACGCCGCCTGCGGCTCTAATTGCCGCCACCGTGAAGGCATCCTCGTTGGCGACCAAGTCCTTGAAGGCCGGGGAGCCGCTCGCAATGGTCATGCCCTTGGTCTTGTAGCTGTCCTTGACTGTGTATGGAATGCCCTCGAGGGGCCGGACTGGCTTTCCGGCAGCCCGGTGCTCATCGGACGTGGCAGCCTCGGCAAAGACATCCGGGTTGATGATGGGGATTGCGTTGAGAGTTGGGCCGGAGCAGTCGTAGCTGCCGATGCGGCGCAGGTATCTCGCGACCAGTTCCACACTAGTCAGGGCCCCTGACGACAGCGCTGCTTGCAGCTCTTCGATGGACGCTTCAACAATACTGAGTTCTGCCATGATGCCTGTTTGAAGAATACGGCCTTGTTTGGTTCAGTTTTCTTTCCTTTCCCATTTCCAGCGAGTCGTCATCCTTTATATCAGATAGCCATATCAAGCCATGCAGTCCGGCTCTAGCCCGATAATACGGTGGTGGTGCCGCTCGTCTCCCCTATATTCGGGGTCGGATATCCGCTAGCGGCGGTTTTTGGCGGCCGACGCCGGCCTCGACCTTATAACCCCCTCTCTCAACATCTCATCCGATCCGTAGTATTCACAATACGTCTGAGTAACGCATGCTTTGGGGGCGCATAGTACGGAATAGTGTTGTGGCATTTATAAGTATGGGTTTCATCAAAAAGTATTTCCCGCAAAGCTTTGCTTATGAAGCAAATCCAAGGCGATGTCACTACATTGACCTACTCATCAGCCAACTCTCGTGCCTTGCATAGTCGAATAGCTTTAGACTGGATACGTGATATATCAACCCACGCTTTCAGAGACATCTGGTGTTATCTGTGAAATGACTGTTAGTCCGCAGTCATGAGGAAGATACTGAACTGCGATTTCGGCGATTATGTTGCATGCACCACACGTTCTTCCTGTCTGAACGTACCCTATCGGCCCGTCAGTATAGGCGGTACACAAGCATGGCATTCGGGTCACTTGACGGGATATCCGCAAGATCTTGCACAATGTGCAGGACACGCCAGGAGCATATCTGCCTTTCCAATTCACATAAAGTCGTCACCTTGATAGCGTGATAGGTTGAATGAAAGAGATCGATACTGGCACCATGATTAAAGCAAGCTGTGGGCTCCAGCGGCTGGGAACTATCGGTAGCTCAACGCAGAGGAGGATTTGCTTGATGCCTTCTCGGCTGTCTTGTTGATTGGTAAAGTTGGTATGAATGAACGCGCGATATCTATTTTATCAGAAAGATAGATTATCGTGAATAAAAACTTCCAAAGGCAGGATTAAAACTTGACAGCAATGTAGTCACCAACAGTACCTCGGACGAAGACGCAATCTAGAATAGTGTTCAGCTCCTTGCTGCGTCGAGAAGGGATGAGTCTTTCGCAGAACCCGTCGAACCATTTGTAGGTTGCCAAGCTTAGCTGCTTGGTATGTTGCCAGCATGGTGACTACTTAGTTAATTTCCGGTTGAACAGGAGTTCTACAATAAGAGGCCTGCTACAGAGTGGCGGTCCGTTCCAAAGCGAGATTTCTCTCACGACATGAGGTCAACTCCATAATTGGAGATCCTGACGAGGACTGGCCTGAGAGGGTCCTGGCGTGCACGTTGTCAATTGATTGGCTTTGATCATATCTTTCGATTTGCGACAAGACGTGCCATAGAAGTCCGAGTTCCTGATACCCCGGTCTCTAGGAAGACCAGTCATTGGCCGTGGCAGGCCATGCAACTACGTCAGATACGTGATTGGATCTCTCCAAAGATAACATCCCCGCCAGCACTGTGAGCAGTGCGCCCCGGCCCGTCTTGATCCTCCTCAAAGCTTACGATTTGCCGGGGTCCGGGGTATCGTCGAAGTCAGACACAATTGAGTCTTGACCGCCGTCAAACGAAGCAGATTTTCAGGAGCTGGCGTTCTCCAATTCGTAATGATTCGCAGGTACGAGTACTACAGAGCTCGTGTACTCCAGGCTAGCGATGCTTGGCATGTGAGTGCTCCAATCAGAGGCGATAGTGGGACTGTGTGCTGAAGATGAGAGGAAGACAGCGTTCTATGTCGACGCCCTCGGCAAAGTCTCAAGCATAAGCCTATGAACGATGACGCCAACGTGAAACTCGCCATTCGAGGGTAATCTTCTGGTAGCATTCCTCCCGGTACCTGCGGAAGGTAGCCAGGGTAGCCTGTGAGCAGAGAGGAGCCTGCAACGTGGCTGCAGAGTCGGCTGAAAGGCAAAGCTTGCGACGATCTCCAGTGGTATAGATGAGACCTGGGTGAGACTAAAGCTTTGGGCAGGTAGCATGCTATTCGAGATCGGGATCCAAGTGACTTAAGGGTACTTGGGTCCTGAATAAGGGAGAAGACCTGCTAGCTGGAAAAGAACGGCCATAACTAAAACCAGCCCAATGGTTTATTTTATTTCTTAAACAGTAGGTGACCTGTCATTTTGGATATCACTTGGATTGAACTGATCTAAGCTGTATACCTTTGGCCCAATAAAGGAGGAAGGAGAGAGGAGTGCCCAGCTGGATGGGTGGGTGGAGAGACATCCTTTCGATCTCGGAGGAGTGCGTGCAAACCGGTGTGCTGTCAACAAAAGCTCGAGCATACGGATACTTATTCCAGATACCCGGCCTGCCCAGGAAGTACGGTATGCAACTCTCAGCAAAGATGCTGGGCAAGTGGCCGAGCATCGTTCCCTGTTCCTGTCAATGAAGGGAGAGGTGCACGGCTAGCGCGCAGTGCTAGGAAGCTCGGAAGTGGTGAGCCAGAGTTTGATTAAGAGTTGGATGCAGCCTCGGGTTGGTTGACAGGCTGGGCGATGCCCACTTGGGTCAAGGCAGTGCCAAATTCAGTTTTCTCTGAGCGTTGCCGTTCCGGAGGCGGGGCGAATGACGTTGAATTTGATCCCATGCTGCCATGTGATGAGAAAAAAATAATATCCCATTAGCAAAGCGAAACTCGAGACGGCCATCGATCGCGCATTGCAGCCATAGGCCCAGGGCAGTTGATGCGCGTCACTCCACGACGGAATTTGGCGGCATTATAGGGGTGTGTATACTGGTTCCATGTGAAGATGCGCCTACTATGGAACAATCAACACCAACGCACAGTAGCGACCCAGACGGGAGCCGTGGTCGGGTGGTGGTACTGTACCTTATCTACTGCGATTCCCATGTCTTGTCTGGGGTAATTAGGTGTGTTTCGATGTGGATGAAGGCCTGCCCTGGCCTGCCAATGCCGGTGCTGGGAGCCCGCCGTAGGATGGGGCCCTGGAAGGTTAGGGCAGGCCTAGACGGCCTAGGAACATCGATGACCCCTCTTTTTTGATGATAACGGGGCCCGGTTTGCGCCCGAGCTGCTGGGGGCCCTCCTGGCCGCCCAGCCGTCCAGCCGTCCTGGCCTCGCGCGGTGGACTTGTCGGTACCTACAGCAGGTACTTAACCAGCGGGACGCCGCCCAACCCAACCCACAAGTACCCTGATGTTACCTCCGTCATCCAACTGTACGCCCCCCCCCTCCACCCTCCAGCCCCAGGCCCGTCCGCCCAGTGTCATTTTTTCCCACCGATATTTGGCTCCGTAATTGTAGTCAGCGGCTTCATCCGATTTCCAACTGCACATGGGTTCTGGTTTTGGTCCTGCCCCTGCGAATCATCCCACCCATCTACTCGCAGCTCTCGCCAAATGTTCACCTCATGTCCAGTCTGTCCAGTAAGCTCGAAAATGCCGCGCACGCTGCATTGGTGAGCTCTGCCCTGCCGGATCAGCCAGTCGCAGTCCCGGTCCCGGTCCCCGTCCCAGGTCCAGAGCCTGCCGCGCCGGCCCCAGCTGCTGCTCATCGCCATGCTGCACCCCACGAGCGCGAGGGTGAGGGTGAGGGTGAGGGTGAGCATCCGAGCGTGGGCGTTGATGTAGACATGCCTGCCTCCAATGGCGCCACGGGTCACCATGCTGCCCCTTCACTGGCGCCTGCTGTCGCTGCCCAGGAGTCTGTACAGGTACCTCCGTTGCCAGCCTCTGTCTCTCCGCCGTCTCTGTCAGGTATCATCGGTTCCCCAGACCCAGCCCTAGACCAAGCCGCCTCCATAGCAGCCCTCCCGCCTGCCGCCGATCAGGGAGGCAATAATAAGAAGACCCGGCCTGCCATGCCAACCCTCCGGTCTAGTGGCCCGTCATTGCTGTCCCAAGCTCTTGCTTCTGCCCGTGGTATCCCCTCTCAGCCTTTACCCTCGCCCACGACGCAACCCGAAACTCGCCGGTCAGAGCAGACGTCGGCTCACCTGTCTGAAGGCACCCGGACCTACACAGCGCGGACTCCCCTTGACACGCGAACCAACCAGGCCGCCAAGGAAACGTTCCAAGATGACTCTGCCCAAGGGAGCAACCGCGCGTCCTTGACGCCCAGGGGTTATCTGTTCGATCAGCCTGTGGTTGCTCCGGACACAACCACTGTCCTCTCGACCTCTCCAACCAGCTTGATCAACGCAGACACTGTCGGACCCTCTACGCCTGATATGCCTAGTCGAACGAGTACGACAACAACGCTCCAGGGCAACCTGGAGGATCGTCGCTTGCGATCGAACTGCAAAGGAAGACCAAGGTCGCTGGAGCGTACCCAGAAGGAGATTAGAACCCACCAATTGGACGCTAACGGCAGCAGCTCAGCCAATGTTGGGGATACGTCTCTGTCCCGTATAGAAGGCGGGGGTCCTTCGGCGATGGAGGGCATTGTCGACAAAGATGCCATGTCTACTCCCCGCTCCCAGTATAGGACCTGGAGAGTGGAGCGTACAGTATCAGTCGGTCCAGAAAAAGCCTGGTCGATCGGCAGAGGTGATTTGGCCGGTACCCGACCCGGCCAGGTGGAGCAGTCCATCACGGAAGCACTCGCTGGAGTAGAGCCCACGCGGAGCCGCAAGGCCAGCCACAGTCTTCGCTTCTTCAAGGAGGGCCTGCCAGATGAAAAAACCTGGCGTAAGGATACGAAACGCCGGGAAGAGGGCAAGGAGCACGACGAGGGAGTACAGTTGCCTGCTTCTCCTTCACCTCGGACTATCCACGAGTTCACCGGCCTGGCCTCTGAACTAGAAACGAATCGGCTCGATCCGTCAAGTAACTCAGCTGTCGAATCGCCTGTGGATGAAAAGCAGGGAATGGATTACTTCGGCCTCAAGCCACATGCGACAGACACGGGCAAGGCTGGGCAGCTGACACCCATCATCGAGCAGCGAAACGGTCAGTCTGATACAGCATCCCACACTGCTGGAGCCTCCACGGATGTCGCGCCAGAATCGCATAAGGAACTGGGTGATGAGACGGAAGTTCCGGGAACTCATGAGGAAGGTGATGAATCTGGCGAAGAGAAGATATCGTCGGCCGTTTTTGTGCCACATCACGAGCTACCGGAACTTACCCGACCTGACGTGAAGACCGGCCGGCCAATTCCCGTTCACCGTCCCTCTATCGTGAAAGATGTGAGTCCTTGGCTTGTCAAGGCAGATGAGCCGGAGGTCGAAGACAACAGCGCTGAACAGAACCCTGGCGGAATAGCCTCTGAGAATGTCGAACAGCAGCTGGATCAGCGTGTCGTAAGTCAGACAGATGATGACTGCGCTGTGGTGGAAGACAATGAACCACCCGAGAAATCTCAGCCCGTTCCAGGTAGACTTTCGCGTCCAGTGTCTCAGTATTATGACGACCATGTGCATGATCATCAGCTCGAACCCAAAAAGCCTCTCGAGGCCATTGAGCTCATTCCATACAAGCACCAAGTTGGTGGTCACACAACCTTGTGGAGATTCTCTAAACGTGCTGTATGCAAGCAGCTGAATAACAGTGAGAACAAGTTCTACGAGAATATTGAACGTTACCACCGTGACTTGTTGCCATTCTTACCAAGGTAAGGCTGCCCATCATTGAAGCGAATTGCTACGCAATCATCACCCCTAACTCGCGGTTCTTTCAATTGCTAACACACTCTACAGATACATCGGTGTTTTGAACGTGACCTTCCAGAAACAACCACGGCGTCGATCCATCGTCAAGAAAGACAACGGCCAGGGGGGAGATAAGAGGCCAGGCGCGCAAGACGTTGGCCTGAATGGCCATCATGAGAATTCGCATTTGGATGTCCAGCCCAGTCCCAGTCTTGGCCCGAAAGAAAACAAGGAACATCGTAGGATCATCAGCCAGTCTTTGCAGTCAACGCAGATACCTATCCCAACTGTGACGTTTGTCGACAACCGACATATCCTGCCGAGAAGCCTGCTTCAGCCCAACTCCAATGACTACCCACTCCGCTTAAGAAGTGCTTCTGAAGCAGTCGCGCACGACATGGCTGATACGGGTAAAAACTCCGCCCCAACGTCTGCGGGTGCTTTGATCAAGCGACCTAGTCTAGAAACCCGCCATGCTAATAGCTGGGGGGCTACTACGGTCAACAAACGGCTTCGGAACGAGGTATTCAACGATGCCTTTCTGAAGCGGCCAATACCGGTTCAAAAGTACCAAAAGCCAGCTACACATTCGCGAACTATCCCTCGACGAGCTATCCAGCAGCAGGTACCGCAGTATGACAACCCGGATCCCGTTCTGAAATTGAATATCGAATCCCCTCTATCCGCTACTTCGCCCGAAATCCTGGTTCAGAGCTCTCCCAAGCCAAGTCCACGTCTGAACCAGACTCAAAGCGAGATTGGCTACGAAGAGGCGGGTCTTCACGTTGAAGGGGCTCAAGATGTCAAGGATGTCACAGGTACTAGTGCCCCTGAACCTGACACTATGGCTGGGCAATTCTCCCCCCACCAAAGACGTAAACGCAGATACTCGGGGACAGCATTGAGAAGAAGACCGGAGGATGTCAGCGGATCTCGCGGCGATCTCAAGTACTTCGAGAACGTGGACGACGCAGGCTATAAGGGAGACATCGAACCTCTGGCTTCACCGTCGGACACGAGCACAGTCACGAGCGCAGGCCAGATGCCTGGAATTCAACAGACCACCTCAATGGACGTGGCTTTACCCCCCTCGGCGTATTCATCTGAGCTTCCCAGTCCAGCTGCTGAATTTAAGAAACTCTCCCGCCCGGTGAACCCCAAGGAAGCTCAGACCCAGCAGGAATCTATCAAGTTCTTCCTACTCCTGGAGGACTTGACTGCGGGGATGAAGCACCCGTGCATTATGGATTTGAAGATGGGTACGAGACAGTACGGCATAGAAGCTACTCACAAAAAGCGAGAGTCGCAACGCCGCAAGTGTGCGGGTACAACATCGAGGGAGCTTGGTGTCCGAGTCTGCGGTCTACAAACCTGGGATGCTAAGCAGCAGACGTACATTTTCAAGGACAAGTACTATGGCCGAGATATTAAAGCTGGAGCAGAGTTCCAGAACGCCCTGAGGCTTTTCCTCTCCAACGGCGTTGACGACTCTAGCGTCTTGCGCCATATCCCAACCATTATTCAAAAGCTCAATCAGCTCGAGGAAACTGTCCGGCGCTTACGTGGCTACCGCTTCTATGCCGCTAGCCTCCTGATGTACTATGACGAAGATACACCGGGGGATGGAGCTAATACTATAATCGATGACTCAACGACAGACTATCCCACGGACACGGAAGAGGCGGCGGACGCAAGACGGCGGCGGAAGAACAGGGACATTGATTTCAAAATTGCAGATTTCGCCAACAGCGTCACACCAGACGATTTGACCCAGGACAAGCCCTGTCCCCCGACACATCCCGATGAACCTGACCGAGGCTTCTTACGCGGGCTCGCCAGCCTCAAGAAGTACTTCCTTCGCATTCAGAGGGAAATCAGAGAAGAAATGGGTCTGGATATGGCCTTTAGACGGGCGGCGTCTCCAGAAGAAGAGGACATATTCCAGGCTGAGTATGACTCCGTCAGTGAGTAAGGGTGCAATGGCGCCAGCGGAGCCAGGCAGATTGAGGTATCTGTCGTTTCAAGCGAGTTGGATTTCTGCGTGTTCATGCTTTTGGGGGGCCAGGGATTCCATTAGAATGGCGTATGGTTGGTTCTGCATTTACCTTGATGGTTGTCCCAGGAGTTTGGTTTTAGAGCTTGGGGGCGGTCGGGCGGCATTTCCTGATCATACCCTGCATCATATCCCAGGCGTCTCGAAGCTCAATTGCTGTTTATGTTGCTGATGATTGTCGCTATGAGGGGAGGGTTTCTGGGTTCATGAGGATGCAGCATTTGCAGTTCAGGTCGAGTTAGGGAGGCTTGGCATTATACCCGAAGCAGGAAATATTTTACAGAATGGTAGCACTTGCTTCTTCTCTACACAAGTTCTAGATCGGTTGGCGGGCTACTGTCATGGGACAGAATGAAGTGTCCTGATAGAGACCTGCTTTCATAGTAGATTGGTAGAGAAAAATAATAATTCATGTTCATGCGAAGTCAGCACTCGGGGAACAAAACTACACACCACGCTTTCGTGCTTTGCTCCTTTGATTTGCTCAACAGTGCAGCTTTAGCCAGACAAGTCGGAACCAGATTCAGCGCCAATACGTTCCCAGCATTTATACCAGCGATGTGAGACAGACAAACATTCCAACGCAGCCATTACAGGACCGGCACACCGGAGGACAAAGGGTACCAGGATTCAACTTCCCGCGACGACGCCAACAAAGAAGCCGGCAGAACAGTGCTTATTGTATTCCTCGCCTTTGTGCGAATTCCATCTTAAGCGGCCGCTATGCTGCGAGATTTTCAGGAGCGGCTTCCAATGGCCGCCGAGAGGAAAGCGCGGGCCGGGTCACGAGAACTTGGATCATCAGCATGGCATCGATCTCCAGCAGGCCCAAGAGGAAGAGAGCCCATTCGAAGCGTGAGATATTGGGACCCATCGGACGCCGCAGCAACAGCACGCGGCACAGCGCGGCGAAGCCCCCGAGGCCGGCCGCAGCGCAACGGCTGCCGAACGACGTGCTGTGGTACCTGGCGCGCACGTTCCTCTGGCGGCCGGGCGACGTCTACGAGCTGGCGCGCGCGAGCCGCGGGCTCTGGGTCGTGCTGGAGAAGGAGATCTACATCACGGACGTCGCCGCCGTGCGGTCCCGGCACGCGCGGGCGCTGGACCCCGTGCGCACGACGCTGCTGCACTGGGCCGCCGTCGCCGGGCGCGCCGCCACCCTCGACAAGGCCCTCGCGGCCGCCCGCCTCGTCTGGCCCCCCTACGTCGACTACCAGCACGCCCGGTGCGGCCACGCCGCCAGCCACTTCGCCGCCCACTACGGCCGCCTGGGCGCCGTCCAGCGCCTCGCCGGCCTCGGCACCGCCGTGTGCGACGTCGCGGCCCCGTCCGGCTGGGTGTGCCCGGCCCCGCAGCGGCTGGCGTCGATCCTCGAGCGTCTGCTCCCCGGGCGCTTCCGCGTGCCGCCGGACTGCCTGGTCCACTCGCGCGAGTTCCCCTTCCGGATCGATGCGTTGGGGCTGGCGATCCTCAAGGGCCATGAGGCAGTGGCGTGGTATCTCATGCGCCACTACGAGGAGAGACGGGCAGTAGAGGAGAAAATAATCTCGCCGCTCCACTTGGCGGCGTTCGTTGGCATGCCGAAGATTGTAGAGGCGATTCTGGCCAAGGGTACGGATGTGAATTTTCGGTGCCGGCATGTGGAAGACAGCACGCCGCTTCAATGGGCGGTGGCGGGTGCTTCGGGGCTAGGAAGAAAGGAAACGGTATTGCTACTCATGCAGCATGGTGCCGACCGCAATATAGTTGACCGCCGAGGCCACACGGCTCTTGACTGGGCCATCGGCTTCAAGGTGCCAGAGAATGTCTACCTGCTCCTGACCGAATCTGCCGAGATCCCGCCACGGCACTCTTGGTCTCCAAGCCTTGTCGAGACATGGACAAAGAGACTACAAAAGTGTATGGCAGACGACTGCTTCCTAGACTGCACCAAGTTCATCATACAGCGCTGTCAGGGATTGCCAGAGACGTGCCTGAAGCTGTGCGCGCACTCGACATTCTGGGACATAGACCGGAGCTGGGACGAGCCAGGGTCCGTGTCAACGGCAACCAAGAACATGGAGACGAAGCGGTGGCTCGTCGAGGAAGGGATCGGCCTCGGGGTGCTGAGCAGGGGGGCGCGCGAGAGCTGGATGCAGGAGGAGCTCTTCACCGGCCGCGCGTTCCTCCACTACGCGGCCGGGTCGAGCGACATGGGCCCGGAGCTGCTGCGGCAGATCATGGAACAGCGGCCGCAGGACGTCAACGTGCTCGACGCCAAGGGCCTCACGCCGCTGGAGCTGGCCCTGGGCTACCGGTGCCAGCCGCTCAAGGCGCAGGCGCTCGTAGAGCACGGGGCGAACCAGAAGCTCTGTTTTGGCGGCGACAGGGCGCGGGCGGATATAGATCAGCAGATCAGGGGGTTCGTCGATGAAGAGGATTGATGGGTGGCGTGGATGAGAGTATATTAGATGTAGATGTAAATGAAGATATCGATTCACATGCCCGTATATTCGTACCTTGCTACACTTACACTACGACACACTCAGTGGGTCATTTCTTGAAGGACCAGTAGTCGGGCTCTATTCAATGTTGGCAAGAATAGTCAGTAACTGGGGATTAATAACACGGCAAGATTGACAAGTAATTTAGCACCAAACCGGCATCACGTTGCTTCTCCCACGTGGCAAGTCAAACTAATCCAGGGGCACATATGTGCCCCCCCGGTTAGCGAATATGCAGGGCACGGCACTCGTCAAGTGCCGCCCACCGCCCAGGCGTCATGGTTTGTTACCTTGGTGGGGCAAATGCTGTAGGGCTGAAGAGGACAGACGGACGAGCTCGGCTTAGTAACTGGGTCGGTAGCTTCAGCTTCCCAGTCCGACTCCAATTCAACCCCAGCCACCAGGACATGGCCCAGCAGACAACATGGCCGACAAGAGGGAGAAGCAGCAGCAACAGCAGCGCAAGGCCAAGACTATAGTCTTCCTCCACCCCGACTTGGGCATTGGCGGCGCCGAGCGCCTAGTCGTCGACGCAGCCGTCGGTCTCCAGAACCGCGGTCACAAAGTCGTCATCTTCACGAGCCACTGCGATCCAAGCCATTGCTTTGACGAGGCACGCAATGGTGCGTACGCCTACTCTCCAGCAGCTTCGCCAAGTTCCTGTGAAGGCTAACCGTAGACCCCAGGCACCCTCGACGTACGCGTTCGCGGAAACTCCATCATCCCCTCCTCCATCCTCTCGCGCTTCAGCATCCTCTGCGGTATTCTACGACAGCTACACCTGATTCTGCAGATCCACTTCACCTCCGAGCTGGCCGAAATCGCACCCGATGCCTTCTTCGTCGACCAGCTGAGCGCCGGCCTTCCGCTGCTGCAGTACCTCTACCCTCGCGGTCGCATCTTCTTCTACTGCCACTTCCCCGACCTGCTGCTCGTCCAGGGCCGCCAGAAGATCTGGAAGCGCGCCTACAGAATACCCTTTGACTGGCTCGAGCAGTGGAGCATGAGCTTCGCCGATGCCATTGCCGTGAACTCCAACTTCACCAAGGGCGTCGTGGGCAGGACCTGGCCCAGCCTGGCGAGCAAGAGGGAGCTTCAGACGGTATACCCATGTGTCGACACCAACAACAAGAAGAGCCCGGAGGTTGAGGACGGCAAGCCGTTGTGGAAGGGAAAGAAGTTCCTGCTCAGCATCAACCGTTTTGAGCGGAAGAAGGACGTTGCCCTGGCCATCAAGGCCTACGCCGGATTGAGCAAGGAATCGCGCCGAGGCGTGCGCCTGGTTGTTGCCGGCGGATACGACAACCGCGTCGCCGAGAATGTGGGCTATCACAACGAGCTGGTCGGCTTGGCAAACTCGCTCGGCCTAAGCAACATGACCGCCAAGACCATCGTCACGGCCCTCGAAGTGCCCGACGACGTCGAGGTCCTCTTCCTCCTCTCCGTTCCCAACCTGCTCAAAGAGATGCTGCTCGCCTCTACTCAGCTTCTCGTCTACACGCCGGCAAACGAGCACTTTGGCATCGTGCCCCTGGAAGCTATGCTGGCTGGTGTTCCGGTCCTGGCCGCGGACACCGGCGGGCCTACCGAAACCGTGGTTGAGGGCGAGACGGGCTGGCTCAGATCGCCTGCTGACGTTGGCAAGTGGACCGAGGCTATGGAAACGACTCTGAACAAGCTCTCCAAGGAGCAGCTGGCCAAGATGTCGCAAGCTGGAGTCTCCAGGGTCAAGAACAATTTTGGCGACGTCCAGATGGCGGAGCGGATAGATCACATCATCGATCAGAGCCTGGAAGTAAAGAAGAGATCTGGCTCCTACATGCCAATTGCGCTTCTTGGTCTGAGCGTGCTTGGACTACTTGGAGCTGGTCTCGCCATCGTGGCCCGGGTATAGCCAGGCTCCAGTCAGTCTAAGGTTAGCGAACCGACACTCGGTCCTGGCATTGTATGCAATATAGATCCGATTGAAGATTCTAAATGGACGAAAACCGTCTTCTAGGTATCCTTTCATGTGAAATCGTCTCAACACTGAGCCGATCTCAATCTGCTTTTACACACTAACAAGGCAGTCTTCACTACACAATATTTGCTGCTTCTTCTCCCCCCTCGCTCTGCTTTCTTTTTTTAAACTTTGTGGGGGTGTTTCATACGTGGGCGCGAAGATGTCCAACGAATCCTCGGGGCAACGCCACGTTTAGGTTTTTCCAGTAAAGAATACACATTCCTACCGAGCTACCTGCGAAGATGCGAGGCTGCAGCACGCGTAAAGTACCAACGTACCTATGAAGTGGTTCGAGGCTGTGCTGCGCAATCTGAGTACAGCCCCAGGACCCCGCTTTTCAAGGGCTTATAGAACGAGGTTTGTATCGGTCAGCAGCGTGTCGTCTTCAACTTTCATCAATAGTCCTTGTCAAACTTGGTTCTCCTGTATACCGCAAGCCTCTGGAAACGACGCTCTCACTATGTCTACCCTACCGCACCGCCTACTAGAGAGCTCCATGTGGTTCTGTGAACGTTGTCAGGCAGCAGCTTTGTTACACAAGTTAGAGCCGTTGCTACTCGGAGCTGAGAACCCTGAACCAGACCGGTGGCATATACTTAGTGGTTCTCTTTTGCACGACTTCCTGCCTAAGCTCCCCAAACTTCATAGATCAGCCAAGGAAGGGTGCCATTTCTGCGCCTTTTTGCGGGATACGATACTATCTGGAGATGCCATCGACACCCTGCGAACGCGATGTAGACACCAGGGTGTAGACTTGGGAATACAAGAGATAGAAGTGGCAATTAACTTTGCTTTGTATCGCACGGCAGTACTTGAAGATTTCCTTCGTAATTACCTAGTTGTAATACTTCAAGTCGCCAAAACGTTTCGAATAAACTTGTTCTGTGGCATTGAATCTACACACGGTATGTCAAAGATGATTCCCGTGCTAGCTTCCGGATCTCGATCTCACACTATCTAGAAGATGAAACGGCAAGGGAACGGTTTTGGCTTGATGGCCCGTCGACTCAGCCGTATACCGATGAGATAAGTATCCAGTGGATGAAGGAGAGCATCGCATCCTGCACAAGGCACAACCACAGCTTACCATCGGCCGACTTCACGCCTGAGCGTCTGGTTGACGTTCGGGGAGACACGCCGAAGCTTGTCGAACGGAACAATGTGATTGCCTCTTGTTCAAGCGATCCACAATCTCAACTTCAAACTCCACGATTTACCGCTCTGAGTTACTGTTGGGGTACACCGGACGAGGCCAAAGGCCAATTGACGACAACAGCCAGCTCCCTCACGCAAAGGCTAACGGGAATTGAGGACCACGAGATAACCCCTGTTTTACGAGATGCGATACACATCACAAAATTGTTGTCAATACCATATCTCTGGATCGATTCGCTGTGCATCCGACAAGATGATACCACCGACTGGGAACGGCAATGTGTCGACATGGACAAGATTTACGGCCATGCCGAGGTCACAATTGTTGCGGCATCTTCAGGATCTTGTCACGAAGGATTCCTGCGGCGGATTGAAGGGCACCAGATTCGGGTTCCATTCCATTCCACTCGTGATCCAAGCCTTAGTGGTTCGGTCTTGATACACCTCAAAGGCGTAGAGCGGGGGGACATATGGCCACCGCCTGACATCTTCCGTTCAGACGCCCTAAAGTGTCGCCTGGCGAAGAGGGGATGGGCAATCCAAGAACAAATATTGTCGACGCGCCGCATCATATTTGGCGTGAACAATGTGCACTTTATCTGCCCCGAGTTGTGCCACTCTCGGGGCAAACCCCCCAGCCAGCGAAAATATGATACTACGATCCACGAGGTTAAGGCGGTGCGCAACAATCAAGAATTGTACGATAAGTGGGGTGACATCCTAAAATCGTTCAGCCAGATAGATGAGGAGTCATTCACTCATGCAACAGACCTTCTGCCATCTCTATCTGGTTTGGCGAGTTTATTTGCCGGACTCTTACAGGATGAGTACTATGCCGGCCATTGGGGAAAGGATCTTGCCACAAGTCTGGCGTGGAAGATAGGTTTGATACCCAGAGACGCAAAATCCGTACACCTAGACCGCATCTCCTCGCCAGATCCCTTTCTCGTGCCGTCGTGGAGTCAGCTGTGCAAGCCGTACCCCGTCAACCTCGTGGATTATTATCCCGCAAGCTGGCCTCCTGTCTCAGAGTTCGAACATATCGATGCAAAAGTATCGCTCTGCGGGAGCAACCCGTTTGGCGCAATCAAGCGTGCTTGGCTCCAGGTGCGAAGCCACACCATGACCCTTAAGTCGGCGACTGGGATCGAGCTAGTCGAGACTCCTCTTTTATATCATAGACTGACACCACTAGCGAGCTGCCGGCTATCCATCAAAGGTACTGATGGCGGGATATCATACTGCCACGTCTGGCCAGACTATGACATGTCAGAGAAGGAAGCTCATGAAGAGGCGCTGGCATGGAAGTGGATATTGCTAGGGAGCTGTTCGATGACAACGCGGAAGACATCTATTGCCACGGAGGGAAGAGAAGACAGACAGCCCTATGGTCTTCTTCTCCATCGGGTGAATATATCAGAGTGGTGCCGAGTCGGTATGTTTTTTGCCATGCCATATGGTTGCAGCCACGCAATGTTCTCGCTGCAGGCATTCAAGAACGCAAGCGAGATCGAGACCGTCACCATCATTTGACTCAACATTGCAACGTTAGTACCAATCTCACTTTGACGAAGACACGATCGTAAGACAGATTACTCTTGCATAGCGTTTGATTGTTAAGTTTACTGACTGCTTTTGTGACGGTTGTTTTCAAGGCAGAGCTGTTAATGGAAAGGATATGGCACTGCGTATACAGGATGTTATTGACTCCAGATTTGGGATAAAAAGTCCTAATCGTGCACAGTAGACAAAGACTTTACCCTCAAGACTTGACAGGTCTCAAATTCATCACTCGTTGGCATTATATACGAGCAGCAATAATCACGTGCAGGCCAAATCATGCTTTGAAGATGTTTGACAATATCATTGCATAAACCGTTACTCCACCTATTTACTTCTACAAAATGAATACAGTTTGCTCATGCTGAGAACTACTCATGTACAGTTTAACTAGAGTAGCCGCCTTGATTCCCTCCTGAACCCCGGGTGCTACTTTTATTTCATGCGTGCATAGATGAACCACGAACTCCAAACACATAACGGCTTCAACCTAGATGATAGCTTTCTCAGAGCAACCAACCGTAAATTCGACTGATACCAATGCCAACCCGTAACTCCACTAAACTCGCACCTCGCAATGATAACAACAATAATTCAAGAAGCGCTATACAGTTGAGGGCCAAGTCACCTCATCACCAGGAGGGTATCGCAAAAACAGTTCATCACTAACAGTTGATCCTAGGAATGGAGCGTTACTACCGCCCATACCGGTCGGGGGCACGGTCATACAGGCCTCGGTTCGGATCCTGTGGCCGCAATTGCTGGTGTAAGATAGACTGCTGTTGCTGCTGCTGTTGCTGCTGCTGCTGTTGCTGCTGCTGCTGCTCTCGAAGCTGCGCCTCGCGGGGGTCTTGGCTTGGCGGTGGATATGCTCCCCTGTGATCGTAGGCGCTTGGTGTGTAACTGCGCGGCGGTCCAGGATCACGAGGATCCCTACCAGGTGCTGGTGTATTTGCATAACGGGGATAAGCCGAAGGTGCTTGGGGTGGCTCGGGTGCTCGAGCTGATGGCGCATAGGGCGACTGCATCGGTGGCTGCATTGCTCGGTGCGAATGGTACATGTCTCGAGGATCTCGATTATCGCGCAGGCTCAGAGCCTCTCGAGGATCATGGGTACGGGGCGCAGCCCAGGAGGGTTGCGGAGGAACTGAACTACTTGGGGGTGGGGGTTTTGGTGCTGTAGTGGCGTGTTGCGCAGCCCATGGTGACTGCGCAGGCGGAGGTTGAGACGACTTGGGTGGCCAAGCTGATTGCTGTTGCGGCGTTGCCTGTTGTTGCTGCGAGAGACCTGGGTGCTGTCCGGACCAGCCCATATCACGGGCTGCTGCAGGCGGAGGCTCATGCACCCTTTGCATGTTGGGATGACTGCCATACTGTGGTGGCGGGGACGCTGCCGAGGCAGGCGGAGCTGTGGGAGCACTGTAGGGATAACCTGGCTGAGGCTGGTAAGGCATCTGGGCTGGCTGGCTCTGGGATGGATAGTGATGCGTCCCCTGTGGGGAATTGGCGGCAGTCTGGTGCGGTGATGAGTACGGGCGCTGTCTACCGTAGTAATCACGCTCGCCACCACGATCAGCTGGCGACTCCATTGCAAGGTGCCGCGGCGCACTCAACGGCTGGATCTGTGGAGAACCAGTGGTGTATGGTTTCAAAGAAGGCATTGAGGAGACCGATGAAGGTGCCGAAGGTGGTGGGCGACCATAGTGTCCGTAGGCTGGACTCTCTGCCATAGGAGTCTGCTGGCGAATCTGAGTGGGAGCCGGAGGGGGTGGCGGAGGGCGCGAGAGACCGCTCGGCGGCGGTGTGGATGATGTCTTGACAGCAGCTGGGACCTCCGAGACCCGCTTCGGTTGCGGCGGATCATCGTTTAGTAGAGACATGATACTCGACGTCTTAGGCCGGGCGGGGGGTGCAGCTGCAGTCGGAGGCGCGGGTGGTGTCGGTTGAGCCGGCGGAGTACGGCTGTATTGCTCAGGCGGGCCAGGCATATCAGACATTGGGCGCGATAGGTTGGACAGTGGACGTGGTGGAGCCGGGGGAGACGGGTTGAGTTCTGACAATAAGCCGCCACGGCTAGGCTGTTGCTGCAGCATAGAGCCAAATGGAGAGGGCTGTGAAACTGGGGCAACTGCACGTGGTGGCTCCGGAGGCCGCGAAATCGGCGGCATGCTATCTCTCGGCGCAAGGCGACCAGGTTGTGCCTGGGCGGCGTAGGGATCAATGCGATCGTAGCCATGTGGAGGCATGTCAGGCTCTTGCTTCACACGAAGGGGCGTTCGCTCCGGTTGACGGGGCTGTTCCTTGAGTGGCTTCATATCAGCTTGCTGCCGGTCCGCATGAGAGTCCATAGCCCCAGGCAACGGATGCCGTACAGCGGACTCAGACATAGGCGGAGGTTGAGCCTGGGCCTTCTGTGGGAGTGGGGATCGCCCTGGCTGCTGCAGCATAGGCTCGCGCTCCCTCTCAGGATATCCGAATGGAGCTCTCAATGGCCTGGTGGATGGCGACATGGCTTGCGTGACTGGCTGCGCCAATGGCTGACTTGTGGCCTGGACCTGAACCAGAGCCGGTGGCGGCGGCGGCGGTTGGCTGAATGGTGACTGAGTGACTGCTGCCGTAGGCTGGGCTGCGATAGGAACGTTGAACCGTCCGGCCGGCTGTTCGACCTTCGTTTGGGGAGCGTCTTCCATGACAGTATCGGCAGAGACAAGCGGTCGGTTGAGATTACTCGTATCATATCTGCCTTTCTTGATGGCTGGCGTGGGAGTCGGCGGGGCAGGTAACTTTTCTCCCCTGGCCTTCTTGGAGTCGGCTTCGACAACGCGAGCTTCCCAGTCTCGTTTGCCATTGTCCTTCTGTCGCGAGTAAAAATTCTTCACCTATAGGAAGTCAGCAGGAGGAAACAAGCACTTCAGCACATATCACCTACCATAACAGGAGTCTTGGTGCCCATATGCCCAGCAATGGCAGCCCAGTCGCTGCCAAAGGAAGACAGCAGCTGTGGGAAGTCTGTAGTTTCTGGCACACTCCAATAGCTAGAGGCTTGAGACCCAGCCTTACGATCCGATGAAGACGGCTTGAGTTCAAAAGGCGTCAGCATACCGGGTTGCTGAGGCTCCGGCCGCAGTGGCGGCGGTGCCATGACGTCTGACATCGAGCCAACCGGTGTCATGGTTCTCTCCGGACTGACTATTGATTTCGTGACCGCGAATGAGGGCTGCATCGTAACCGGGGGAGCTGACACACCGCCTGGGGCTAGTTCGTACTGTTGAGGTATTTGAGACACGTCGCCTGGTGGCGGCTGGGCTGTCCAGTCAGGAGCACCCTGAACGCGGGAACTGGAGCGTGATCGATTCCCCTTCCCAGCGGAAGCCAGCGGCGCTGCAGCAAGAGTCTGGTTGGCGCGTGGTTGTTTTTCTTGCTTGTCCTTGGCCCGACGGCCACGAGGTTTGCGTTCGGGTTTCTCACTTCCATCCCCTGCCCTCGATGATGCTCCTCCTCTGCGGCTAGGCGTGGAAGCACCAGTGGCATTTTCGCCATCCGTGGCAGGTGTCGCCTCTGAGTTGAACGTGGGAGCAGCAGCACGCCTTGGTCGACGTCTCTCACCGTTCTCACCAGTTTCTTGGTTTTCGTCATTGTCAGCGAGCTCCGAAACCAACGCGCTAGATCGCTGCTTGCCCCTTCCTTTTCTACGCTGCCGCGGACGCTTCTTGAGCTTCTCCTTGAGGTTGAGCTCGCCCTTATCCTTCTTGAGGTAGTAGAACTGAATGGCAGTTCCAAAATCCCTGTCCGGCAAGGGATCGGCAACCCGGCCCCACTGTTTCGGAAACTCCAGATAGGCCTTCTCGAAGAGCGCAATCTCTTCCTCGTTGAAATTGGCGAGGGGCGGTAGCACCTCCCAGGCGGCAACGATTTTGCCTGGGCTAATGAGCCCGCTCTCATCGACGTAAAACGCATTCTCCATCTCTTCTTGAGTCTGGTATTGGTCGGGTATCACAGCCTCTTTTTCACTCCTATACTTCTCCTTCTCTGCCCGCAGCTGTCGTTCTCTCTTTTCGTCCTCAACTCTCCGAGATTCTTCCAAAACTCTTTCAAGATCACGCTCAGAGGCATATCTACTCCGTCTCGTAGACTCAGGCTTAGGTCCCTCAACGTTGAAGACAGGCTTCTGCACCGGGGGATCCGGTGCTCCTGGGACATAATTGAACTTTTCTCTGCTTTTCAATGCAACAGGATCATTCGACATGGTGAAACGAAGATAAGACTCGTAATTTCCAGCGTAGATCTTCCTCTGCTTCTGTTGTTCGGTATGGACTTCGTCCCCTGATTCCCGCATTCTCTTTAAGATGAAATTGTCCAGTCCAGGTTTGGGTGTATCCAGGGATTTGAGGAAGGGCCGGTCCTCCAGCCACGGTTCCTCGTTGAAGTCCGGCAAAGAGTCGACTGGGGGAGTGTTCGAGTGCACCCGGACTGAATCTAAAGTGCTTGTTTGAGGCTCGACATCGTCGATCTCGGTCTCTTCATCGTCCTCAGCAGGGGAGCTAGTGCCTCGCTTACTCACGTCTTTTGATAAGGGTGGCTCATCGTCAGGATATATGGAAGACCTGTAAGACTTGGGGGACTTGATTCCGTTGATGGCGGGTAAGTTTCGTTGAAGCTCAGATCCAAGCTTGGTAGGATCGGTAGAATCTTCCATCACCACATCGCCGTCCTCTGGCTTTGAGGGCTTCACTCGTGGAGCCTGACGCTCGTCTGCAGGTGTCATATCGATATCCTTTTCGATCGAGGGATGTGGGAGTTCTTCCCTGGCGACACTTGGAACCAAGCCCGCTTTCACGGCAACTGGCGACGGCACCTTGGTCGCTTGGGCAGCGGTTGGCGCTTGTGGTACCGCGCTTGGAACAGGTGATTTTGCTTCCACTTTTGCCTCTGAAGCTTCAGAACCATCTTTGGCGATGCGAATACCCTCGGGAAGAGGCCCAACAGCAGACTGCAGGCCCTCCGATTCCAAGACAAGTTTGTTGACCGCCTCCAGTGAGATCACCATGTGTCGGACGATGACATCGACGGATACTGGGTCTTCGGCCGCGTCCAGGTTTTTGAGAGTCGACTCTGTCTCGGATAGCTGAGTCTCGATCACATCTCCAAATTCTTCGTCGTCAGACTCCGAGGATTGATCTAGTACTGGTGCCTTGACTGGTTTCCTGGGATGTTCAAATTGCCCACGGGACGGGCCCAACCCTAGCGAACGACGGGTAGGTCGGTCCTTGCTTCTTGCTTCTGCCAACTTCTCCGAAGCTTGGGCCTCTTCCTTTTCAGAAGCGTCCTTGATATCTTGGGTTCTCGCATGGTCCTGCCCAGTCGACGTTGGTGAAACCTGGGATCTGTAGTCTCCTTCAAAGGCGGAGCCGGCAGACTGGGGTCTCCGGTCGAAACGGTCTGCCTCCGATTTCACGTCTGACATATGTATGTCACGGTCGTGTCCGTCGGTGGTCGGAGCCTGCATGCCAGTCTGAGCATCGCTACTACGTGGTCGCTTATCGCCATCAGGCTGGTAGTCTGAGCTCGAGCTGTCGGGGCGAAAGCCTGGGAATCGATTTTGAGCAAAACTTTGTGATCTGTTCATCTTCGGAGACTCCGGGCCACGTTTGAGGTTCGGGTTGATCCATTGCTTGGATGAAGGCCCAGTTCGTTGAGCGTGAGTATGAGCGCGAGGGCCTGAAGGAATGGGGGGCGCGCTGTCTGAAAATGATGATTTGGACGGGCCTGTGGGCGGGGGCCTCGCCTCTGCGCCAGTCGCAGGGCCAGCAGGGGGCGGTCGTTCATCTTTCAAGGCCCTTGGCCCGGTTGGGGGCACTTTCCCGGTCACCGAACTGATATCGGAAACGGATGGGGTTCGATTTGGGACCGAACCAAACGAGGGCGCCGCAGGGGCCACCGGTGGTGGCGAGATATCTCTCGTGGATGGCGGTGGCTCGTGTGATGTTCTCTCGACCTTGGCGCGGGCGTCGCGCTCACGCATGTCACGTTCATCCCGGGGATCCCGAGGTCGCGGAGGTTCGTTGTCAAGGAACCGACTGTCCCGGTCCCGGTCGTCCCGCTCGCGGTAGCGTCCTTCCTGAGAGCGCGCCCGCGCACCGGGTCCGTACCTGTCGCGATCTCTGTCATCGTAGAAACCTCTGCCCCGACCTCGATCCCAGTCTCCACGTCCTTTACCACGTCCTCGTCCGGCAAAACCTCCACGATATGACGATGGCCCGAACGGCGGGTCAGAGTTAGACGAGCCGGCAGAAAGAGGTCCATCCCTCGAACCGCGCCGTGCACGTTCCGCGTCGACTCCTAGAGGCACGTCCCTGGGATCCCGGAAGTCCCTCCCTGGTGGTGACCTCCCTCGCGGTGACGGACGTCTGCCTCTGAAGCTCTCCCGATCTCTGTCACGCCAGTCGCGATCACGTTCTCGACTTCGCTCATCTCGGTAGGCGGAGTCACGTCTATCCCGAAAGTCGAGTTCTCGATCCCGCCCTCTATCGCGGCTATCGTCCCTCCATCCACGGCCTCGCCCACCGCGTCCTCTCCCTCGGAAATCTCCAGACATGCCTCCACCGCGGGGACCACTCGGCGCATCCAAGAGAGCACGCGGTCCCCTAGGTGTGTCTCTCGGCAAGGTGTCACGGAAGTTGTCGCGGTTTGGCTGGAAAGCGGGGCCATTGGCCCTAGATTCAGCTGAAGAGCGGCGGGGCCCCCCGTCGCTGTACTGCGAGGCGCGATCATTGTAGCGATCAGGAGATCGGTCGCGAGATCTCGACCTACGCGCCTCGCCATCGTATCTTGAACCTGAATAGCGGGAAGCCCTAGATTGCGAAAGGTCAGGGTAAGCTGGAGCATGACGAGAAGGGGTCAAGGTCACAATGTGAGACCGCGGTGCTGGCGGGGGCTTGCGACCACAGTCACCGAAGTGATCAAGTCTGTGGCGCATGGATTTGGCAGTGAGAACCAAAAGACCTTCGGGCGACAGGGACAGTAGAGATACTACGATGTAGGTATCGCTGTGGGTGCTACAGCGCACCGAGGTGCAAACCAGGACAGGTGGAGAAATACGTACATGGCCACTGGGGCGGTCTATGGCCCGCAACAGATGGAATGTGTTCCTAACAGCTCATGTGAGCTGCATACGATAGGCACCACCAAGGCCGACGAAGTAGTGTTGAGGCGCGGTCAGGTTGAGTTTGGCAAGCGGTTTGGGTATGTGGGTAGCGTTGAAGGCGTGGCGGGCTACCGGGTACGTATACCTCGGTGGTAAGAGGCACAGCAAAGGGTGGAAGGGTCAGCGGACGCCCGAACCCTCTCCTGGTAGTCCTGGGCGGTATGATGGCGTAAGGGGGGAGGAATGACGACCTCTGCTCACCAGTGCGGCGGAGATGGGCCAGTTGGTCGAGGTCGATGAAGATGAGGATTGGGCGAAGTCGAAAGAGGCTGAAATTGGAGATCTCGAAAACACAACCTTCGCGTGGCGGCGCTAAGCCTGACATGGGGGAAATGGGCACTAATCGTTAAATGCAGCTATGGCCACCCGCACCATCTGCAGAGGCCATCATCCAGGCAGTCCCATCCCCGAGGCCCCCCTACCAGCTGCTTACCTGCCTAAACCCCCCCTGCCCGCCTCCAGTCGCCAATGTCCCGTAGGCAAGTAGGGGTGCGGTACCTGTGTACCCCCTTACCCGAATCGAGCCAGGCCCAGCTGCGGGGCGGAGATGCCTTCGGGGATTCGCGCCTTGGGTCGCTTGGTCCCCTTGGTCCCGTGCTGCCACCGGACCCAATCCTTGGGGCTGCCTGCAGAACCTGCAACGAGCTGACGATGACTCCCAGGCATCGTTCAGACAAGATGGTCAATCACCCGGATCAAACGCATCTCTTCAGGGCCAGCAAAGACGGCTGCACCTAGGCATTCATCCCTGCATTGGGTAGTCGTTGAAGGCCGAGATGGTTCGTCCCTTCGCGAAAAGCGAGATGTACGTACCCCCCTGGGCAGCCGCCCTGTCGAGAAAAAGACTGGGGTGGGTACGGCGGTACATGAGCTCCCAAAGCAGTTGGGAAAGCTGCTACTGTGGGCAAGCCAGGCAAGCCAGGGAGCCGGCCGGCTTCCAAGTTGAAACTGTGGGGTCCAACGCTGCCAGCCCGCTAAAGTCGCACAGCGGTTCTTTTGTGTCGCTTCGGCAAGGCAAGGCGAGCCAGGGCCCCAGAACGGCATGATCTGAAAATGTCTTTTTCGGGGCCCACATTGACATCTGAATTGGCACCTTGGCTGGGCTTGATTGGATGCGATGTTTCAACTGCGGCATACAGTCATTTTTATCTTTTGGGAGAGAAACCACTTTTTTTGGAATGGCATATCAGATCAAACAAAATCCCACCTCCTTTGTGATACCGCTTGATTTGTGAACGCCGACCTCGAGAGCTGTGGACGTTTGTTTGTCTCCTCGTATCTCAGGTGCGGAAGCCTCGTTTGAGGACCCTGCCAAGGTCCTATTCTGGTGACAGATCGTCTGCCTTATACAGGCCATTGAACGGCTAGTCTTTATATTGATTGTTCGGCCCGCGAATTACAGCCAGTACTTGGGACTACGATACTGCAACCGGAGCCATCGTCTTCTCCGCGGATCAAAATGACATCGGAAAACTCTAATCTGCCGCCTGCGGCAGCGACGGACGCTGTCCTTGTCCCCTCGGACGAGCTACCCAAGGACGCTCAAAAGGTCGAGGAAATCGACTTCAATGAGTTCAAGGGGAGGCCCATTACGGTGGATGATATGTTCCAGAACATGCGGCACATGGGCTTTCAGGCAAGTTCGATGAGCGAGGCAGTGCGGATCATCAACAACATGCGTGCATGGAGGGATCCGGAGACCGGGGACAAGACAACCATTTTTCTTGGCTATACATCCAACATGATCTCCTCTGGAATGCGCGGCGTTTTCCGGTACCTGGTCGAACATAAGCACGTCGACTGCATAGTCACGACCGCTGGTGGTATTGAAGAGGACTTTATCAAGTGTCTCGGTGATACGTACATGTCCTCCTTCAGTGCGCCAGGCGCTGAAATGCGATCGAAGGGCCTGAACCGCATAGGGAACCTCATGGTTCCGAATGCGAACTATTGTGCTTTTGAGGACTGGGTTATGCCGATTTTGGACCAAATGCTGGAGGAACAAGAGGCATCGAAAGGGACGGAGGAGGAAGTCAACTGGACGCCGTCCAAGGTAATTCACCGCCTTGGAAAGGAGATCAACAACGAGAAGTCGGTCTACTATTGGGCCTACAAGAACAACATCCCCGTTTTCTGCCCAGCATTGACAGACGGTAGTCTTGGCGATATGCTCTACTTCCACACATACAAGGCGTCGCCGAAGCAATTCAAGATCGATCTCGTGGAGGATATCCGCCGTATCAACACCATTGCGGTCAGAGCGAAGCGGTCGGGCATGATAATATTGGGCGGCGGAGTCGTCAAGCACCACATTGCGAATGCAAATCTGATGCGGAATGGAGCCGAGTATGCTGTCTACATCAACACGGCGAACGAGTTCGACGGCAGCGACGCAGGCGCAAGGCCGGACGAAGCCATTTCCTGGGGAAAGATCAAGGTTGGCGCAGAACATGTCAAGGTATGCTTCATTCGTAGCCTTCCAACAAAGAACAATAACTGACCTGATGTCTAGGTTTACCTTGAGGCTTCTGCATGCTTCCCGTTCATCGTTGCCAGCACATTTGCCAAGGATGCATAGATAGTCTTGCGTAAAGAAAAGACAAACTTAGACTCCTAGTGACATAGATCTTCCACTTTGAGACGATGATCCGCACGGTGTTTACTCTGCATTTTGGCAAATATCTTGACTGTCGTTTACGAACTTCTTTTGACGCTTGAGTGAACTCGTTTGTGGCCTGGCGTATTGCATGTAGGCTCAGAAATCATCTTCCTTTATAAGCGACTGGACATACGGACCGGAGTCGGCACCGGAATAGGGAGAAAGGAGGGTGAACACGAGAATAGACTTTGTTCAAGGCCATCAAAACACTGCACGTCTTCTCGTGGCTACATGTTCCGGGCTCAGGTGCCTTCTGTCTAATGCTACATTTGATAAGGATCTCAATATGCTCGAGATCCCCCTTCGCCAGCACGCATCAGATCTGATGTTGCGTGCCCCACGGCAGCATTTGAATATCATAGATTAAGGCCACCGCTCCAGATGGGAAGATAAACGAGCGATTTGGCAGCCTCTATTGTGGCGAAGCGAGCGCTGAAAGGTGCTCATCCGTGGAGCATACCTCTGCACAATACCCACAGATCCGCAAAGACGCATCATGCGGTCTTGTCTGCAAATTCTCAGCATTTCAGTCCCCCTTCCGAATGTTCTTCAGTACGTTGCAAGCGCCACGGTCGCCTCTATAAGTCATGGCTGCTGCGGCTGCAATTGTCTCGTAACCCCGTGGTCAGAGGAAACAGCGATCAGGCCGGTCCTCAGGTCAAGGTCAAATCGTCCGGAGTTGGGCGCATCTCTCGTCGCCTACGGATATCTCATTTTTACGTCTGCTTCATCAGAGAATATATTATGATGTTTCATTCCATCAGTCAGAAACAGTCTCTAGGCCGACTCGCAGCACGCTTAGCCCACATCTTATCTCACACCGCACAGCGTATTTAGGCCCTTCCAAGGCACCTTCCTCGCAACAAGACTGGATATTGGTACCATTTCTGCGGCGTTAGAAGGCTGATCATGGAGCCCGCCTCGTTGCCACTGGCGTCTGCCGACCCAGTACATCCATCCGTACACTCACCAAGTCAGTCGCCCGGATGCCCACCCACCAAAACGAATTTGTCCTCGCTGCCACCGGGTTTCTCAAACAACTTAGACGGGGACAAGCAGCCACTTCCGAAACTACCAGCAGAAGCCGGGCTTCGCGCCTCGATACCTCCCGGAGCACCGCCTTCGCCCTTATCACTAAGGCAATCGCAGCCACTATCCCCTGAGAGTGTCGCTTCGTCGATGACCAGCGTTCCTAATGCGGATCCAGAGACTCTAGAAGCTGCAAACACTCTTCTGAGCCTCAGACACCCACGCCTGTTTGATCCGCAAACATCAAGCCATCGTCAGCATACGCCCAGGCCACTCCAAGAACTGTTGTCGTCATCACCGCGCCGACTCAGACCGGCTCATTCATTGCAATTTAATTCCAAAGCAGATCCACCTGACCCGGACGTGTACGACTCGGAAGAAACAATCGATCAGCCGATCAATCACACTATGCGGTTTCCAAGTTCCACAAGGGGAGACAAGGTGGTCCCACAGAGCAGTAGCAGAGGTGTCAATGCGAAATCCCGATCGAGCTATGAGAGTTACTTGGACGCAAGTAGAAGAGACGCTCGTAAGATGATCATCCACCAGATAACTAAGAATGTGTGACTAAATTGTGGCGCAGAAATCGACCAGCATCCATTGGCAGAAGAGTTTCGTCAGAAGTCTCTGATAGAGCGAAAGGGGGTAGATGCTGATCCAGACGCACAAAGAATCGAGCGGGATATGGCCGTTACTGCCGGCTTTCCCCATGGCATGCCTGCAGACAAGGACGGAGGCGATCGGTACATGGGCGCAATCCTCGAGGGGATATCACGTACAAGGATTGAACGACACGGCCACTGGCCCCAGTTAGCTGCTGGTGAGAAGGCCTTGGATCAGATGAGGAAGGATGTGCTGCCAAACAGCCACGAGAAACGCCCAAGCACTCTGCTTCGACAAGAACAATCACGTAACCGCCAACAAACGCGGAGATCACAGAAAGAGCAACCTGGCCATACGGCAAATCGTGTGTCTCCCAGCGACGAGTCAGACGCAGGCCTGAATCTGGCGGATGACGAGAGGGAATCTGGGAGACAACTGGCGTCGACCGAGCATACTCCTTCAACATCAAGCCAGGCAAGCTTCACGCTCGACGAACCAGCGATGGAACTGAGGCCCAGCAATACAGCAGGTAGTGAGCCTAGGAAAAGGCGGAAACGTGAGAGTGACAACCTGGCAACCGACCTGGGCGAGGCGTGGGCTGTTCATGTTGATCCGAAAGGCGGCCGACCCAAGAAAGTGCCCCAAAGAGATCTCTAGTAGGGCCTGTTTCCTAAAGAGCCTTGGCGAATGGAATATTGGTGATCCCCCAGAGGAGCTGTCAATGCCGGCTTGAATAATCGTGCAGTAGCCGGGTTCACGCCGTGTGCTCGCTCATAAGGACGAGTCCCCATATACCGCATCGTATATGGGCGGCAAAATGAACCCTGGCCGGGAGAGCCTCTGCAAAGTCACTCAAGGTAGAGTGTTTCAGGGCAGCAGCACTCCATGGTTGATCTAGAGACTGCCTCGCAGAGGATATGGATGAGTGCATTGGATGAATCATTCCAGCTTGAATCATATAATTACAGTAGACGAAATTCAATGCGCAGACATCCTTCAAGAGGGTTGAATTGAATTTCAAGCTTCATTCTGGTAGAGCGCCGTGTCAAACCCTCAATGCGCATAGTTGTCCAACGATATACCACTCGGATCGCAACTTGCGTAATCATGGCTAGCTCGACTGGATGGAGAGATAGTACCGGTGAGATGATTGGGGATTGACGTTGATCAAAGGCATGCAATTTTTTGTAAAGCTGCTGAATATATGCTGATTACAATCTCGACTTGAATAGTTTGCATAGAGGCCGCGATGAGACATTAGGAACATGCGAGATCGATTAGGTTGAGAAGTTGTCTCAGTCCGCGTGAGGCTGATGACTACCTAACTTAAGCTGAGGTGGCGCCACGCTAAAAAAAAGAAGTTCACGTCACAACCGCGAGCCCTGCAGCTCTGCAGCCGGCTAACTTAGCTCCCTTGAGCTTCATCCAACCTCTCGCTTCGTGGATTGCCTCGACATTACGCCTTCGGGACAAAACATCGTTTCGTCGGCGGCGTCCTACAGTGGGCGCAGACCAAAGGCACCATGTCCTCCATCTACAACCTCGAGCCCCAGCCGACTGCGTCCGTCATCCTGCACACGACCCAAGGAGACCTCTCGGTTGAGCTCTTCGCGAAGCAGACCCCGCTCACGTCGCGAAACTTTCTGCAGCTCGCGCTCGACGGCTACTACGACAATACCATATTCCATCGACTGGTTCCGGGCTTCATCCTGCAGGGTGGCGATCCCACAGGCACCGGCAATGGCGGCGAATCCATCTACGACGGCGGCGCCCTCGATGGCGACTTGGACCCGTGGCCCGCGGACCAGAGGCGCGGCAAGAATGCCGGACCCATGGGCGTCAACTTCAGGGACGAGTTCCACTCGCGCCTGAAGTTCAACAGGAGAGGCCTACTGGGTATGGCCAACGAGGGCAAGCTGGACACCAACGGCAGCCAATTCTTCTTCACCCTGGACAAGACCGAGGAGCTCAACAACAAGAACACGGTTTTTGGGAGGATAATGGGCGATACGATATACAACCTGGCGCGCATGGGTGAGGCAGAGGTTGCCGAAGGGAGCGATCGCCCCCTATACCCCATCAAGATCACAAGCATTGAGATTTTGGTCAACCCTTTCGACGACATGAAGAAGAGGGAGCGGGTAGCACGGCAGAGTCAACCAGCCCCGGCTGTCACACAGAAGAAGAAGAAGCCTAAGGCTGGGAAGAAGCTACTGAGTTTCGGCGATGACGAAGCAGATGGCGAACCGGCGCCCGTACTCAAGAAGGCCAAGTTCGATACGCGCATAGTCATGGACATTGACGAGGATGACGAGCGTCCGAGCAAGGCCCCGAAGAAGAGTCACAAGGAGGAGAGGGCCGCCAAAAAGTCCATACCAGTCCGGCAAGCCCCGACCGAACCAGAACCAAAGCCCCGGTCACCGTCGCCTCAACCAGCGAAGGAGATAGTTAAGCCCAAATACGAGGATCTATCGTCTCCGGAGCCAGAACCAAAGCAGAAATCAGCTCTGGAGCGCGCAAACGAAGAAATCGCGGCACTGAAGGCATCAATGAGAAGGAACATCAACACTGAGCCAGTCAAAGAAGTAAAGAAGACGGGCATCGAACAATTTATACCCGAAAACTCAACACGGGGCCGGAAACGAAGAAGAGGTGGTGAAACGACCATGTCAGCGTCCGAGTACGCGGATTTCCAAGACTTCCGGTCTAGACTGCAGCAGGTAACCCCTGCAGTTGAGAAAGAAGTACCCAAGCCCAGCGTCAGCGAAGAAGATGGGCAGGCGAAAGCCGCGTCCGGAGACCAAGATGAGGAGGCCGAGCTTTGCGACTTACACTTCATCGCCAACTGCCAAAGCTGCCAATCCTGGGACAAGGCCGAGGAGAAGGAGGATAGCGACGATGAGGGTTGGATGAGCCATGCCCTCAGTTTTGCGGCAGACAAGCTGGGCAAGGACCTGAACTACCGCAAGAAGGCCGAGGACGAGCTGGTAGTCATCGACCCCCGAGAGAAGGCACGGACGCTGAAGGAGGAGAAGAGGGCAAAGCAGGAGGCCAGGTCTGGCGGCAGCGGCAGGGAGTGGGATCAGGCGAGGAACGCGAAACTGGCGAGGCAGAGTGCACTGGCTGGACGCGGTGCTAGATAATCGTTGAAATTTGACTCGAGCTGTGATACCCCATAATGATTTACTGTATTCATGCTATGTGCGGAATGCATCGAACTGTGACGGCCAATCCTTTTCTCTAGCTTTCACACAGCGGAATACAGTGGCACTGAGCCAGAGATTCGGTGTTGTATAGCACGGAGATAGTGATTTGCAGCAGCACTGCGAGGCACCTCCGATCCACTGCCCAAATCCCGTTCCTTAGGACAGCATGTTTGCGTGGGGATCAGTACAGATCAGCTTGATCAGTCCATAACTGCTGTTCACAGACGCTCGAAACCCATGCCTTGCAAACTCTATTTCTACCTAGGTACTCCATAGCCGACCCCCCTGTCTGTTTTTCGTCCCTGGGCTGGGTACCGGAGCTAGCTCCGGGCCGCGCAACGGGTCCAATCCTGTCCGTGAAATGAGCGTCGATAATGGTATAGAAGAAAATCGAAGACATCATCTCGCGATCTCACTGCTGGTCGCCCCACCAGAGCCCGCTGCAGTCTGCACTCCGTCGCCCGTCACTCTGTTAGGCTGTGTACCGAGGTATTGCATGGCTGTAGGGTGAGGAGCACGCGGAGGCGAAGCTGAGAAGAGTTGGTTTGTGCATATTGTTAGAAAAGGCTACGATATATGTTATACTTGGGATCGCTAAGCCCGTAGAAGCAACCGCCCTAGAAAGGCTATATAGCGTAGGCGTCAGACTATGTAAACGGATACAATAGCGCAGAATCGAAGTATTGCACCGACTCTAGGTACCCAGGTATGCAACTAGCCAGCCTCATGAACGCGAGTGCAATAATATACACAACGGAAGCCCGACAAGCCCTCGGCGCATTTGCTCCGGCCGCAATCTGCCAAGGATTGGATGGAGTTGCAGTAGTTAAGAGATAGCTTCTGTAGAGAATATCACGATGAGCTGGAACATGGGAAAGACAGGGCCTTGGAGGATGGGACCTTGGAAAAGTGCCCGCCTTGACATGCAGCAGGCAAGGCCCAGGAGGGCCCCCGCCGTTGTTTAGGCGCACCGAGCAATCCGGGTCGATTTTCATTATGGCACCGGGCCTCATGCCGCGACATGTACAAAAGGGGAGCCTGACCACCTAGGGGCAGCGGAGAGTGAGAGGCAGAATAGCTCGCTCCTCTTCTCCCCTCGAGACCAAGACAGCAGGCCCCAAGACGCTTTTGTTGCGGTGTGAGGCCGAGACAGGTTGCAAGCACCGAAAAGGACAGCCGACAAAAAGGAACGGGGTTCACCTATAGTAGACACGGTACCTAGCGGTCGGTGACACCATCGTATCCACTCGTCAGAAGGGACGGACTCTTCGGTGAGCAAAGCTTTTCCTTCCCCGTCCAGCCCAAAAATTTCCCCAAGCCCGCCTGGCCGCCTCGTGGTTGGCTGGTTGGCTGGTTGGCTGGTTGGCTGCTGGCACAGTCGGCCTGGCCCGTGCCCCTTCCCTCGCGGCTACCATACCATACCATGGTAGACGGGGCCGTTAGCTCCCACTGCAAGTCTCTCTCTTGTACCTACACACCAAAGTCGGGTATGTAGGTACCTAGCGAGGTAGTCAGTTATCCTCCGCTCCGTCCTTAGCGGAGCTAAAAATGCGGTTTGTGGCTTTCAGCTGTCAGCAGCGCCCGCCGCCCGCTGCTGCTTGCTCTGCTCTGTGCTTTTCGAATGTTTCCCATTGACCCCAAAGCTTAGGACCCGCGACGTCCAAGTTTTGCGCCGACTCCTGGGAGGACAACGGGCTCTTTGCTCCTCGGTCTCAGAGGACACCTTCCATCACGGCGACGCCCAGAGAGAGAGAGAGACAGTCGCTCTCTGCGTGGACCCGAGACCCGGGCCCCGGCTCTTTGCCTCTGACGGCGAAAGAACTCTGCAAGAGAGGAAAATATATAGCCTGCTCTTACGTGGGGTGGGCTTTCGGCCTTTTGGGCATTGGGACGAGAACACACCGCAGCCTGGAATCCACCACCACGATCCAGCGCGACCGACGGGGGGCAAACAAAATTCAATCAGTAAACAAGACGCGAACAATAAACATTTGGGAAAACGACAGCACCTCGCCGCGACCGAGCAAGGCCCCATTCGAGAAGCGCGGCCCTCCCTTACTTCGAATCCCTCACGCCTGCGACGAGCCGCAATTGGTCGCACCCTGCCTGGACCTGGACGCCCGGCGCGGGAATAGCCTCGTGTACCACACTGCAGACTGCATGCCAGTCGGCCCAGCCTGCTCGCTGCAGCCTCGTGCCTGCCCCGGTGCGCGCGCAACCCTCCACGACTTGCTACCACGGCACCTTCGCGAACCCATCCGATCTCGACACCCCGCTATCATCCGACTTCAGTCTTCTTCCACCAGCTGGTAGCTATCCAACGGAAGCTCGAGCGTAGCCACCGACGCCCGCACCGACTGTCCCCTGCAGACAACTGAAGCTGCTGCTGCAGACCCGGCCTGTCGTTGGGTTCTGTTGCAATCCAGACTATCCGAGACTCCAAGAGTCTCCGGGTCGGTCCATTCAGCCCTGCTCGGCCCAGGATTTGAGCATCGAAGCTACCAACGCGGACCACATGGTTTACGCTCCGTACCACACGCCATATATGCATTCTATACAGGCCTCGCATTATCCAATGTCGTCGCCGAACCCATCGAGGAAACGCCGAGCGCCAGGAGCCGTTCCCCCTTCGATGCAAGAGACCTACTTCACCGCACCACCAAATACAGAACAGGTTCCCGCCTGGAACACCAACAACTCGAACTTTATGGACAATTCGGCAAGCAACATGAACCCCTACAACATGATGTCGAACTCGAGGCAGGCTCAATTTCCCCAGCAGCCTGGCCACCCTACCCCTGCCACGCCGTCTACTGCTCTTGCAAGGCGGGGCCTGAACAACCAGTTAATCGCCACAACCAGGCCGTACACTCCGCCGAGCGAGTTGTGGACGGGTTTCGGAGATGAGGGCGCCGTGTCACAACAGAATGGCAATGACACGCTCGACGAGAATGACAACATCGAGCTGTTGGAGGAAAAGGCCCAAAAGGCCAAGAGGGAAGCTACTGCGAAGCGGAAGCAGATACCGCCCTTCGTACAGAAACTGAACAGGTCAGTGATCTGGACAGCAACCATTGTAGTTGATATTCGCCTTTTACTAACATGAGCGTAGCTTTCTGGAAACCTCCAAGAATACGGAACTGATCCGTTGGTCAGAGAAAGGAGACTCCTTCATCGTACTTGACGAGGACGAATTTGCGAAGACGCTGATTCCAGAGCTCTTCAAGCATAACAACTACGCGTCTTTTGTGCGTCAGCTCAACATGTACGGCTTCCACAAAAAGGTCGGCCTGTCGGACAACTCCATGAAAGCGAGCGAGCGGAAGAACAAGAGTCCCAGCGAGTATTACAACCCCTACTTCCGCCGCGGTCACCCTAATCTACTGTGGCTCATCAACAAACCCAAGAGTGGAGCTTCCAAGAAGAAAGGGAAGCGGGCTGACGAGGGAGATGTTGAGAGTGAAGAAGAGAATGTTGAGGATGGCATGCTCGGCCCAACTTATACCGCACAGCCTTTGCCGGCAAACCGCGCCTTGCCGGCCCCAGAGTCAGGCGCACTATCCAAAAAGGAGCTGACAGTCGTACGCGACCAGATGGCAGTCTTGCAAGAGCAACAGAGGACGATCCACGAGGCAATTACACGGTTGCGCAGGGAACATGTCCAGCTCGTGCACCAGGCGAGCCAGTTCCAGGAGCAACACAACCGCCATGAGAACTCCATCAACGCCATTCTCTCTTTCCTTGCAAATGTCTTCAAGGGCAAGCTCAACGATCCTGGCTCGCTGCGTGACATGAACGACCTCTTTACGAATATAATGGCCAACGTTCAGATGCCCCAAGGCCATTCCGGCTCCGTTGTGGACCTGGGTGACTACGACCAGCAACAGCCAGGAGTGGTACCTAACATGGCGTCACCGCCTAAGAGACAGCAACGCCTCCTACCGCCCATACCTCAAGATGCCGGAATCAAGCGCTCACCGTCCTCCAGCGCCACACCGACGCCGTATAATCCTCACCCGCCCCAGATGGGTACAGTCGAGGAGCTTTTTGACAGTCCGGCCGAGTCCGGCCCCTCGCCGTCTATCATGCAGGAGCTCGACTCGAACCCTCAAGAGGGCATGATGAGGCTTATGCATGGTGTAAATTCCAACGCCAACGCCGTCAACGCCGCCAATAGCAGGAACAATCCTGTCCCCGTGCCGGAAGCAACTCTCAACGCCCCTACCTATAATGTGAACCAAAGGAACCAGATGCCGAACTCAATGGCAGCTGCCTCGGGCAGTACTGGAACAGCCCCTGTACCGCCTTCTTTCAATGCTTCACAGCCAGCGCCTCCACCTGCTGCACCCGCGCCGGCTGGAAACACATCATTGTCTCCTATCATGGGCACATCATTCCCGCCGCCATCTATCCAGCACATCAACCAGACCCAAGAGGAGATCGACCAATTACAACGACTACAGGAAGAACAAAGTCATAAGCTCGACGAGCTTTCCAGTCTGCTGGGACCCTACAGTCCGTCAGGAAGAATCCCCGGTCTCGGTGGTGAAGGCGGCAGCCAATATTTTGACAACGACATTGATTTCGGCCAGTATCTCGATTCAAATGCGTACAATGCAGACGGCTTAGTGGGTGACTCGACTGCGTTCAACGCGGACGGCCTGCCTAGCGATTTCGACTTTGGCACAGCCAATTTTGACAACACCAACCTCGACTCCCTCAACACCGACAACCTCTTTGCAGACACTACAAATGGCGGATCTCGCATTGTCGAGACTGCTACCCCGAGTCAGAAGTCTCCCAGCTCCAACGGAACCGAGGAGATCCCGAGGGAAGACTTCGAAGACAGCCCAGGCCGCGCATCCAAGAGACAGCGAAAGGGCTAGCTACCCTCGTATGAATCATCGCTTTACAGAGGTCCGAGCTTGTAAAGTGCGTGGAATAATGGTTGGGGCTCGGCTCCCGGGATCGAGCTCCCAGGTGTACATTGAGCAAGGGGCAAGCGTGTTGTCATTGAATGATACCTAGAGGCTACTATGGAACGGATGGGAAAAGCCCCCTTGCCTGGTGGCGACGATCTGGCAGGAACATTGGGTGGGATTTAATGCTCAGGCGTTATTGGAGTTTTGTCGGATAGATATCTAAACCCTCGCTCAAAGATACTTGGCCGTGAAAGATTTTCCCGATGGGCAGGCGGAAATGCTTGACGCGATGGCGATGAATGACAAGGCGCGGTAGTCAGGACGCTAGACTAGCAATCCTTATGAATCACGATAGAAACGGACTATTACGTGCCTCTTAGGTGGTGAAATGCTTAGACATCTTGCGTGTTGATACAATGCCCGTAGATGATCCAGAAGGAGTCAGCAAAGTAAGTCGGTGCGTTGGCAGGTAGTTCGGCTGCTCAGATTTTTGAGGTTGCATATGTTCATTCTTGTTTTCTTTCCGTGCTATACTGAAGTTCAAATGGGGTATCATTAATCGCTATCCTGCCAATGCCAAAATTCGTGCCTCGCCATGTCATTCTAACCGCTATACCCTACACGAATTACAGGGCGCTCATTTCTTGTAGGCGTTACTGGAGTCCCCCCAGAACGGGTTCGGCTGGAACGTGTGCAGCTCGTTGCCCGAGTGGCCCAGCAGCTCCGCCTTGTCGTCCTGATCGGCCACGGGCGGCGCGTAGCGGAGCTCGCCGCGCAGGATCTCGATGACGGAGATGACGGGCAGCGCCAGCATGCCGAGCGACACCCAGGCGCCGAAGCTCCAGTGCTTCTCGTTCTCGTCGCTCAGCGGCACCGAGGGCTGCCCGAAGGCCTGCGACAGCATGAGCACGCGCGCCGCCGCCCCGATGGCGCTCGCCGCCATCAGCACCAGCCCCACGAGCTGGATGGTGCGGTAGAAGCGCTGCGCGCGCGAGTGCAGGTACCAGGTGGCCATGGCGAAGATGACGGCGTTGCCGGCGATGACGGCGATGGTGCCGAAGAAGGACAGGCCGATGTTGGTCGGGTCGTTGGCCGGGGTGGGCGTGGCGTCGTCCCAGACGCACGAGATCGGGGCCGTGGACTCGGTCAGGTGGCGCTGGACGGCCTCGAGCATGAAGCTGCCGTAGACGCAGCTCAGGGCCAGGTTGACGAACATGAGGAACTGGCGCAGCCAGCGCAGGACCCAGTCGCGGCGGAAGTCGTGGACGAGGGCCAGCAGCGTGGCGTTGTGCACGGCCATGGACAGCAGCGACAGCATCCAGATGATGAAGAAGTGGTACGGCGCCATGAAGGCGGCGTCCATCTGCGCCAGCCCGACCACCTGGATCCCGATGCCCGTCATGATCTGCTGGTCCGAGTAGGCGTTGAGCAGCTTGCGCCGCACCACCGACGGCCGGCCCCGGTTGCGGAAGAACTGCTCCTGGATGATCAGCGACGCTGACAGCGCCAGCGAGATCACGGCCGTGATGATGAAACTGAGGAGGACCTGCAGGCAGGGAGAGTAAGACGTTAGCCTACTGGCGACACAGCGTAGAAGAAGTAGTATTGAGGCGCCCAACGCGCCTCCATCCTCAGGTCTCTTGATCTACATGCTGACGTCGAAATTGCCCTCCTGCTCTACGCTGACCAAGGGGCATCGCACATCACCATGTTGACAATGCTGTTTTCCTCGCCCTTCCCGACCCGCCATCTAAGGTTGACTTTTGACTTTCATCCACCAGGCCCGTTGGTACCTGCATTAGTGGGGGAAACAGGAGGCAAAGAGAAAGCGACTTACTCCCGTGCCCGCGACGCCGGCGTCGGTCGGCACCGTGTCCGGTGGGTTTGTGCAATTCGTCGGCATGGCGACTTTTCTCTATCTCGCCTGACTTGTTGATTTGGATTTAACAAAGCCCAAAAAATGTACACACGGGCGCGTAGAGGGTGGGAAACCAGATGATTTTCTTTGCTGGAATGAGCCTGCTCACAACCCCCCAAGAGACCCCTGTTTTGGCTTTAGTTATGACGCAAGCGCCTGCTGAAACGCGGGTGAGGATCTCCAGATTGGCGCCCGGGATGGGACCCCTGGCGGCAATTCTAGTGGATGGGGATTGATTGAGCCAGCGGGCTGTGCTTCATGCCACTTGGTCCTGGGCTGCAGGGAGACGTCAGGCAGCCCCAAGCGCCCAGTCGACCTGTCTTTGTGCTCTCAAGCCCGCACGACGGATTCGCCCTCCTTGTGTGGCGGCCACTGGACAGGATGCCTCCTTCGTTTACGAGAAAAGCCCAGGATTATCCGCAGCAGGCTACCTCCGCCCTAGGCCTGATCAGCTAAAAGACAGCTACCTCTGGGTAGAATGTTCACCTGGTCTGAGCCACGCCGCTTTAAGCCTGAGCCTGGCCGTAATTTGGCCTGAGCTCGGGCCCCATCAAGCAAGATAAAAACATGCATAGAAGTAGTATACAGATAACTTACCGTTTGTTTACGCAGCGTTTCGATTAGTAACTTGTGGCTCGCCATTTATGGCGCTCGTCTACCATTGCGCTCCCATGCCGCATCCTTACCACAAATATGGAAACCTCTCCCCCTCCTACGCCGCCATCACGTGCTCCAAATGATCACGAATGGCGATTTAAAACGATGACCTCGCCTTGTGAAGGGATCGAGGATTACCGGCCGGGAGGCTACCACCCGGTTCATCTGGGTGACGTTTTCAAAAATGGCGAGTACAAGATCCTGCGGAAACTCGGCGAGGGCTCCTACTCAACGGTCTGGCTGGCCCGAGATCTGAGGTAAATTTATTTCCGTTTGCGATCTGCCGGTGACACTATCGATCTGCTTTACCAACACCCCTAAGTAATAGTAAATACGTCGCAATAAAGATATTGGTCGGAAGCTCGGAAATGACTTCAGAGCGGTAAATTCAAATAAGAGTCTCTATGTTGTACTGCCAATGTTGGAGCACAGAGGATGGCCGGAAGGGAAGTCACAGAATAGGAGGAGTAAGAAGTGTATCGAGGCTAGAGATGTCTTATATAATGATGGAGATCAGTTGGTCAATGATAGGAGCGAATATGAGGTCCAAGAACTATATAAGAAATGCAACTTTTATAGGTGATATTAGATTACAAACTGCGCCGATACCTTAGAGCTTTTCCTTCCTATCGCCAAATCCATTTACTACAACTATTTTATAGGGTAATTTAGTTGTTCAAAATGTACGCCCAGATTTGGGATTCCGTTAATAAAAGTATCGAGCGCAGCCACCTAACGTTTGTTCTACTCAAGCTTCCCGATCGGTTATTGAATACTGGATCAAGTCGGGATATGGCGCTACGGATGAACCCCATCATCTCTTTCGACCGCTTATAAAAGTCTATCAGAGAGTCTACGCCATATTACGCGATTAATGCATGAATGAATGATTAGGCGCAAGCGGCCAGGCGAGGACAGATGAGCACCACATCGTTGACTGACGCCAGTCCTTCCCAGTTCTTCGTTTAGATGATTCTTGAATGTTGGGACGGCTTGGACTGCCGTTAGAGTACATTCTGTTCCACGAGAGATCCTCGATTCACAAGTTTTCAACTCTGCAGTTCATATAAACTTGGTCAAAGAAGAGGACCGACGAGGACAGGGCCGAACACTTCCTACATGATACAATACCGTTCGAAACCGAGTTAAAGCGGCATTGGCGCTAGGCTCGATCTATCGCTCAATGGCCATCTGCGGAACAAGGCCAGCTCCCAACCAGAAGGAGCTTGCCTTTAGTAGGATCGCCGCCCACCATACTCAAAAAGCTTAGATGCACATCCAGTGAAATAACATTTGGCTATCAAGCTACGTTGTGCAGGGTGTTCCGATTCAGGATTGAACCGACAGCGCTTTTGTGTGAGTACTGGCACACTATACATACCTACTTCTAAGCGAGACAGCGCATACTCCAGCAGTCTAAGACGAATAACGATTGTTATTTGCTGTGCAGACAATTTCAACTAGAAAACCGGTGTGATATACGACTCCTCAAAATGCCAGTACGGTATCCGAAACTTGTCAGATTAATGGCGCTGTTATCAAGCCAAGCCGCGAACTCTCAAAGAGTCAAGTCTCTTCTAGATACGACAACCCTAGTTACCATCGTGTTGTTTCTCGATATATCTGGCGTCTCGTTGTCGGCCAACGTCTTTGTCTAACACGCTTGTCCGCGAGGCATTGCTATAAGGCCAGCAGTCACACATCACTTGTCCATACACTTCAAGCCTTTGTCCTCACAGCTTAGCCGAACTTCTTGTGACATGGCGTCTATGAGTTGAGGCCGGTAATTCCGGGTGAGAGCAGTCACCTAGGTGGCAGTCCTGTATATATCTTTGATCCAGCAGGCCCCCGTTATGGGAAAGTGAAAGGGAGTTGACCAGAGCCTGAAATTCTACCGCTGTACACAAATTTACACAACATACCACACAAGGCGTATTATTACCCAGGAATCAATCGGCGGCAAAAGGAAGAAAATGCACGCACTAAGCATCTGGATCGAGACGGGCTGGAAGATTCGCAAGTTCCGGCTCACCTTTGCGAACTCATCCCGTTTCATCGCGCAGTTCGTGTACCCGGCCGATCTGTTCGTGCAGCTGCAGCCCTATGCGGACCAATTGGGCCTCGATTGGGACATGGACGAGCGCGAGCTGTGCGTACTGTGGATGAAGGACCGCCTGCTACCCGAGGTCGGCGCCGAGGAGGGCGACGAAGAGCCAGACGAGTGGCAGCTTGTTGCTGGTCAGCAGGAGCTGGATGAGCTCTGCAAGGACGACCTTAAATGCACGTTGTGGTCCATGGCGGCTCGTGAGTGGAACGACGTGCTCTTCGTCCGCGATGTGACCCCGGAGAAGCTGAGCACCGAGAAGACGATGTGGGATGCCATGGCTGGTATATCCAGTATGGCTCTAAGAGAGTAACGAACGTTCTTTATTGAAATTGATCCTGAAAACCCCCCGTATTTGACTCCGCATTTATAACCATCCATACCTCAAAAAGAACAAGCTCTAAATCAAATCTTTCTATTGCAACTCCAATCACTGTTGACGACCCTTGCCAATACGCTCGTAGACCTCCTTCTGGAACGCCGTAAGCAGTTTCTCAACCTTCTTGTCCCCAGAGGGGAACACCTGGGTTCCCAGGACAGCGGAGACACCGGACTCTCGGTCAATGAACTTGATTTTTCAACGTCAGCATGCACGAAGGAACAACTTGGGCTTAACCCCAAAAGAAAGGAAGACTTACCCAGTACTGATTGCCCGCGCCGCCCCAGACCAGCGTTCCTTTCCTGTGGTAGTCGTGAAACGCCCCGTCGATCAGCATCCCGCCAAACCCCCAGTCGTACTCCATGCTGCTGGGGAAGTCGCCCACGGTCCAGTCGGCGTTCTGCATCTGCTCGCCGAGCCGCGCGCGGCTGGCGGCCGAGAGGTGGCCGCGGAACATCAGCGCGCTCGTCTTGCGCCGCAGCAGCCGCTCGTCGTCCGCGAGCAGCGAGTGCAGCACCTCGAGGTAGTCGTCCGCGCTCATGAACAGCCCGTGCCCGCCGAAGGGCTCGGTCAGGCCGTCGGTCAGCGACTCCTCCTGGGAGGTGGCGACAACGCGGCCCGTCTCCGGGCTGCGGTACGTCAGCGCCGCGCGGTGCGGGTCCAGGTCTCGGCGCCGGTCTGGCCAGAATGTGCCGGTCGTGAGGCCGAGTGGCGCGTAGATGTTGGCGGCGAAGAAGTCCTCCAGGGACTGCCCGGAGATGGCCTCGATGACTTGGCCCACCCGGTCGATCGAGCTGCCATACTGCCACCCCTCGCCTGCTTCGAACAGCAGTGGGTAGTCGAACATGGTGTCGATTGTGTCTCCATTCAAGAGGGTGCGCCCCTGGATCCGAGTCCTGTACTCAGCCAGTGGCGAGTCCAGGGTGAACGAGTACGCGGCGCCGGAGCTGTGCGTCAGCAGTTGGCGCAGTGTGACGGGATTATGGCGCTTCGTGAGGATGGGCTTGCCATCGGCTGTGTAGCCGTGAAATATATCTAATGCGGCGAACGCTGGGAGTAGAGGCAAGATGTCTTGGTCCAGCGTCACTTGGCCTCGTTCCACGAGCTGAAGAGCAGCGATGGATGTTAAGAGCTTTGTCAGCGATGCCAGCAGCATCACACTTTGGCCTGTGTAGGGCGTATCATCTCCTGGCTTTAGGTTCTGAGTGCCTATGGCTTTCGAGAGAATAGTGGACCCTAGGGTTGTTTATGAGCAGTTGGAAGCATTATACATGGCACATATCAACTGACCAGATTTGCTCTTCGCCAGCATGACGGCGCCTGCGATATCGCCGTTCTGGACGGCAAGGTCGAATGTTTCGTCAAAGCTAGTCATGATGGGAGATATTTCAGTTGTTCTCTAAGTATGCTGATTTGGTTACAGTATCTTTCTGTGACGAGAGTTGAAGGCACACGCCCTTTTATTCTCACAGCATTCCTTATAACAACATTTCCATAGCCTTCGCGAAGCTCTCCTGCTTACGAGCTTCACGATTAGTGATGTGCATTAAGAAGATCCAGGTAGGCACCCGGGTCATCTCGAAATGGCATGTTTACACAACGAGAAGTTTTCGAAGAAGTGTCTCCTGGTCTGCATCAGTAACAGGCTGAAGTAATGTCAAGGTTTTTGTCATCTACTGGGCACGGAGTCGGGCAAATGGGGTCCGTCTCTGGTGGAAAGGAAGTTGAGGATCGTCAAAGTCACAAGGCTCTAACCAATATGTTTCCACATTTGCCAACTTGACATATCTAAACATGGTCCGAAAGAGGATTCACTTATAAATCAGGTCGAGTCGGGTTGTCGTGTAAGTGGGTGGAGGCATTATCTTGAGCCAATGACAAATGGAGATGGCATGAACGTAGGACTGCGGGCCCTCGTGCCGACAGCCCGACGGCATACCTAGGTACTCGGAGTACGTGGTTACAGGGAATCCCTTTTGTCAGCCCAGCCTTTCTGGTCGCAGAGCAACTATGCCGGTGAGGAGTTAACTGGAGTTAGAAATGAAACAGGGCGTTTTGCCCATAGCACGAGAGATTCAGCCTTAGGTTGTTTATTAACATAATTTATTCAGTCGCCAACCCTACAGCAGTTTGTCCCTGCATTGTAGGCACAATCGGGACCGCAAGGAGATAGCTATCAAATACAGGACACCCCACAGCCAAAACAAATAGAACCCTGTCCTTAATACAAATGCATTGATGCGCGAGTCTTCGCAAAACGATAACCACCGTAGCAGCGTCTTCTTGGTCCGGTTTTGTCCTCTGCCCGATGCTCCAGGCAAACAGCAGAGAAACGGGAATAATCAGTAAATGCCAACCCCCCTATCACATTATATCCATCATCAAACCCAACTCATATCGTCGTCATCACAATCTCGACCCCGGGCTACTTAACCGCTGCACATGACGCAGGACTCTGGGTTCTCGATGCTGCCTGTGATACGTATTAGTTCCTGACACAATGCATGGCGAGGGTACTCGTAGACTTACAAGCTAGTGCAGCTTCAGCATAGATGTCATATTCACGCTCCTTGCTGTCTGAATCTTTGTCTTCGGTCTGGCCAGGCGTCTTCTTGCCCTCAAGCGCGGACTCCGGTAGCTCCTCAATCTTATTGGGCTTCTCTGACGGCTCAGTGGGCAGAGCTTTTGGGCTGTCGCCCTCCTCCTGGTCTGCCTTGAATGGAACGCTCTTCATGGGAGAGACTGCAGGCTTTGACGACACAGGGGGAGGTGTGGTGCTCGGCGTCGGAATACCGTTAGGGCTGCTGACGCCAAGGGTGTTGTTTGAGTCCTCGCGCTTGGCATATGCGGGACGTGCAGACGAAGCAGACGACTGGTAGCTACCAGACGGGGGAGCGCGCTTCTTCAAGACACCCAGAGTCTTGGCTGCTTGGTTCTCCTCCACCTTCAGAGCCTCTTGGTCGACAGTGAACTGGATAGGGGCCGCAGCGGCCTGTGTCCTCAGGTAGTACATGCCGGTCTTGAGACCGAGCTTCCAGCCAGCGAAGTGCATGGAAGTGATCTTGCCCATAGTAGGTTCGCGCATGTGGATGTTGAGCGACTGAGACTGGTCAATGAAGGCACCTCTGTCGGCAGCCATCTGGACGACAGTGCGTTGAGAGATCTCCCAGACAGTCTTGTACAGAGCCTTGATATCGGCAGGGATGCTGGGAATGTTCTGGACGGAACCGTTCTCAGAGATGATGCGGTTCTTCATGTTGTCGGACCACAGACCCAAGTCGACAAGGTCCTTGAGCAGCCAAGGGTTGACAACCTGGAACTCACCAGCCAAGACACGGCGGGAGTAGATGTTGGAGGTGTAAGGCTCGAAACATTCGTTGTTACCCAAGATCTGGGAAGTGGAAGCAGTAGGCATAGGTGCCAGAAGCAAACTGTTGCGGACACCGTGCTGCTTGATCTGCTCCTTCAGCGACTCCCAGTCCCACAGATCCGAGGGGGTGACATCCTTCCACATATCATACTGAAGGATACCCTGAGAAACAGGGGAGCCCTCGTAGGTGGAGTAGGTGCCCTCATCCTTGGCAATGTTCATGGAGGCGGTCAGGGCAGCGTGGTAGATGGTCTCGAAGATCTGCTTGTTGAGCTGGCGGGCCTCGGGCGACTCAAAAGGCATGCGGAGAGCCAAGAAGGCATCAGCCAAACCCTGAACACCAACACCAATAGGACGGTGACGCATGTTGCTGTTGCGTGCCTCCTGCACAGGGTAGTGGTTGACATCAATGATCTTGTTCAAGTTGCGGACAACAACCTGGGTGACTTCGTGCAGCTTCTGGAAGTCGTAGGTAGCCGTCTCGTAGTTAACAAAGGCAGGCAGAGCCAAAGAGGCCAAGTTGCAGACAGCCACCTCATCGGGGGCAGAGTACTCAATGATCTCCGTGCACAGGTTTGAGCTGCGGATGGTGCCCAAGTTCTTCTGGTTGCTCTTGCGGTTGCAGGCATCCTTGTAGAGCATGAATGGGTTGCCGGTCTCGGTCTGGGCCTCGAGGATGGCATACCAGAGCTTCTGAGCCCTGATGGTCTTGCGGCCACGGCCCTCAGCCTCGTACTTCTCGTACAAGGCCTCGAACTCATCGCCATAGCAGTCAGCCAGGCCAGGGCACTCGTTGGGGCACATCAGAGTCCAGTCGCCGTTCTTCTCAACACGCTTCATGAAGAGATCCGGGATCCACAGGGCAAGGAAGAGATCGCGGGCGCGTACCTCCTCCTTACCGTGGTTCTTGCGGAGGTCGAGGAACTCGAAGACATCCGAGTGCCACGGCTCGAGGTAGATGGCAAAAGCACCAGGGCGCTTGTTGCCACCCTGGTCAACGTATCTGGCAGTGTTGTTGAAGACACGGAGCATAGGGATGATACCGTTGGATGTTCCGTTGGTGCCGGCAATGTAAGAGCCAGTGGCACGGATGCGGTGGACATTGAGACCAATACCACCGGCCATCTTGGAGATCATGGCACAGGTCTTGAGGGTGTCATAGATACCCTCGATGCTGTCATCCTTCATGTCGACAAGGAAGCAGGAGGAGAGCTGGGCCTGGGGAGTACCAGCGTTGAACAAGGTGGGAGAAGCGTGGGTGAAGAACTTCTGCGACATGTAGTTGTAGGTCTCAATGACCTTCTCGACATCATCTCCCCAGATGCCAACAGCGACACGCATGATCATGTGCTGCGGTCTCTCGGCAATCTTGCCATTGAGCTTGAGCAGGTAGGAACGCTCCAGAGTCTTGAAGCCGAAGTATTGGTAGTTGAAGTCGCGATCATAGACAATGGCCGAGTCGAGCTCTTCCTTGTGTCTCATGACGCACTCGTACGTCTCCTTGGCAATCATGGGCGACGCCGTGCGGTTCTTGGGGTTGACATAGTGGTACAGATCACTGATGACAGACGACCATTGCTTCTTGGTCTGCTTGTGTAGGTTGGAAACAGCGATACGCGCTGCCAGAATGGCGTAGTCTGGGTGGGTGACGGTCATGTACGCGGCGGTCTCGGCGGCCTGAGAAAATCCTGGTTAGTTGTGTTCTTGGAGGCGGCTCGACAAGATGATGGTACTCACGAGATCGTCGAGTTGTGCTGTGGTCACGCCTCCGTATACACCAGAGATGACCTTCTGGGTGATGGCCACAGGGTCGACATGGTCCGGGTCGAGACCGTAACACAGCCGCGAGACACGGGCTGTGATCTTGTCGAACTGGACGCGCTCCTGGCGTCCATCTGGATGCTGGTCAGTCTCGAAGGGACACCAAGAGCCGGGAGAGGGTGATTGGGATACATACCTCGCTTCTTGACATACATGGCGAAGGGCGGGTGATGGCGAGCCCGGGTGAGGGACAGCGGCGGGGATGGCGAGGATGCAGGATCCGACGAGACAAGGTCAACTGGCTGTACAATGCAGGGAGAGGAAACAAGCCAATGCCACAGTCGGCTGTGTGTCCACGAAGCTTCGGAGAGAGAAGCGCGTTTGATGTCGTGGATGGTTGGTGGCGTGATGTTGAGTGGAAGATGGGACCAGAGTCTGCACCGAAGTTGGCCGCCACTTTATATGGGAAGACGCGGTCGACACGGGCTGGGACGCGTCCTGGGTGTGTTTTTCACGCGAAAAACAAGCTCGGATCACCCAAAAGTTCGCCCGGGGCGATGCTGTAAGCTCTTAAAGGGGAATTAATCAGCTGTGCCGCGGCCAGTCTGCCCCAGGGCTGCCAGGTTCTCCAGCGCGTTAAGTGGCAGTTGGCAGGGCGAGCGCGTCGCACCCGCCCTGTCCTGGCCTAGGTTAGTGGGGTGGTGCCTGGGCTGCGGGGACTGCCTGCAGCGCTCGCGCGGCAGCACGCTGCCCGACGCAGACCGATCTGGTCAACCGTTCAATTGGGATCAGGCACGGCTCAGTGATGCCTGCAAAGCTTCAGCGAGAAGTGCTTTCATCGATGCAAGGCCCCTCTCGTCTGTCAGAGTATATCGAGGCCGTATGTATGTCAGAATACGGCATACATAGGGTTCTATGACGAGGCCCGCGAGGCAGGATGCTGCCCCACGTCCACGTCGCTGGAAGCACTTAACGCGTTACCCAAGCCCCTAGCGGCTTTCCAGGTTATTGGTGAGCCGGCACGGGGCTGCCAGAGTGTCTGTCATGGATTGAAATTGGGTTTCCTCATGCAACGCAGTATTGCTTGAACGGTCCAAAGCTGGTATACTCCGCACTTTCTCGCTATAAAACTCTTGACGCACGTTCGATAGTACCATCGGCGGACCTTGGCTGCATTTTGAGGAGTGCGCGGGCCCCCTGGTTCAGAATCCGGGACGCGAAAACACGTGGTTCCCTGCGTCAGCCTCCCATCGTGAGAGCCTGTGCCTCAATTGAGTCAAGAAGCTGAAAATTCCCCCATACGTGACACACAAGTTGCATATTCCTATAAAGGCCCAAGCCTATGGTCTAGCACTCGATGAGAGTACTGACAAGATCATCACCGCCGTTCACGCATGCACGCCTTGGGGCCACGTTCCCGTCTACCAGATATCTCGCAAGACAACTCACTCCAATCTCCTATATGGCTGCTTCAGAGTCGTTAGACCCCACACCAGTTGTGGCGGGCTCAGCATCCAGACCCCGGTATATTGATGTCAGTTGCTCCTGCACTTTACTACCGGCCTCGTGTTTGCTTTTCATCCCACGTGGAATTCAGCGTCCAAGTGAATTTCATGAGATGGTTCTATATCACTACCCAAGTCTTGCTTGCACGGTATATTGACTGCTGCACTTATAGATCGGCATCAATCTCGCAGACCCTATCTTCAGGGGTTTATACCATGGGAAGCAAAGACATCCGGACGATCTCAGCGCGGTGGTGTCCAGGGCCCAGGAAGTGGGATGCAGCAAGTTGATCATCACCGGGTCTGACTTCACGAGCTCGAGGCACGCGCTCGAGATCGCCAGGGAGTACCCGGGGACTGTCTATACCACCGCGGGCATTCACCCCTGCTCCAGCTCCATCTTCAGCACGTCGCACAAGCACGTGGACACGGACGGCCACACCATGCCCTGCGACCCGGACCCGAGCCAGCCCATCCCCGAGGACCAGGAGCCGGACCCGGAGAAGACGGCCAAGGTCATCGCCGACCTGCGGCAGCTCATCGAGGACGCGCAGTCGAGCAGCCCCGGCGCGCTGGTGGCGTTTGGCGAGTTCGGCCTCGACTACGACCGGCTGCACTACTGCTCGCGGACGATCCAGCTGCACTCGTTCGCGGCGCAGCTGGACCTGGTGCTGGCGCTGCGGCCGCAGCTGCCGCTGTTCCTGCACTCGCGCGCGGCGCACGCCGACTTCGTGGGCCTGCTCAAGGCCAAGTTCGGCGAGCGGCTCGAGCGCCTCGAGAAGGGCGGCGTCGTGCACAGCTTCACGGGCACCGTCGACGAGATGCGCGAGCTGATGGACCTGGGCCTGTACATCGGCACCAACGGCTGCAGCTTCAAGACGGCCGACAACTGCGCCGTCGTCCGCGACATCCACCTCGACCGCCTCATGCTCGAGACCGACGGCCCCTGGTGCGAGGTGCGGCCCAGCCACGAGGGCTGGAAGTACCTCGTCGAGTCCAAGCCCCCGACCCCAGCTCCCACGCCGGACCCGGCTGCGGCGGAGGGCACAGCACAGCAGCAGCAGCAGCAACAGCAACAGCAACAGCAACAGCAACAGCCGCCCGCGAAGCCCGCGCAAAAGTCCAAGAAGCCGCAGAAGAAGGAGCCCGAGGTCCCGGAGCGCTGGAAGTCGGTGAAGAAGGAGAAGTGGGTCGAGGGGGCCATGATCAAGGGACGCAATGAGCCGTGCATGATCGAGCGTGTGGCCAAGATCGTCGCCGGGATCAAGGGCGTCTCGGTCGAGGAGGTCTGCGAGGCCGCGTGGAAGAACACGGCGACGGTGTTTGACGTAGACAAAGAGACATAGAATAGAATGCCAAGCGCGCAGTAGATGCCATAGAAACGGATATACCCCCCGGGTCTGTTTTGCTGAAGAAGACATTGATCGTAAAAAATACTTCCGGGCGCTCATGAAACAATTTATCCATTGGGGTATTCGCCATATGCCTCGTGAATCTACAATGCCAAACGCCGTGCCTCACAATCCTGTAACCAGTATCAATGCTCTGCAACCGAAATTTCCCAGCTAGAGGCCCGACCCCTTGTTACCCCTAACCCTCCCGTATCGTACAGCGCCAATTGTGATGCCCTCCTCGCCAGTCATCCAGGCGGGCATGCGCTCGCCGTCAATGATCCCCGCCTCCACGAGTTGCCTAATCCCGGCGAAGACGTGGGTACCATGGAAAGCGAGCCGGACACCTGGCCGCCACGCGCCCTCCGTGCCGCCGGCTTCGTCGTCGTGTTCGTCGCCGTCCCGCGCTTGTTCCAGCTCGAGATGGACACCGCTCCGCCGGCCCTTCGATCGCCGCGACCGCCGAACCTGCGGAGTATCTTCGTCTTCAGGCAAGGCTGCGGGGCCGTTGGGAAACGGGTCCTCGAGCAGGATATCGACCCTCTCGACACCCTTACCGTCGTCTATGCTGGCCGACTTGCCGAAACGGGCCTTGGCCACGAGCTGGCGGCGCTTGGCCTCCCGTTCGGCTTTTTCTGCCTGTGGATTGAACGACCTCTTCCGCTTCGTGGTCCGGCTGGCTTCCTCGGCCGAGGATGAGTCGGACAGGGGCGGTGTCGGTAGAACCGGGTTCAGCGGTGAGTCTTTCTTGTCGTCCTCGGCGTAGAAACCCCATCCGCCACCGGCCGCGTTGCCTCGCCCGGCACCCTTGACGCTCAGCAGGCCAGCAAGATTCTTGGACGACAGGTTGGTGGATTTCAAGGTGTACCGCTCGCGCGGACGTGATAGTGCTTTGGGAATGCCCTCGACGATGAGACTGCGGAGGCTCTTGAAGTCCCCGGTAGTGGTGGCGCCCGTGCTCTGTGACTTTGATATGTATATATGTGGCGACGCGTCGGGGAACGCGATGTATATGGTTTGCGAGGCGTCAAAGCTGGATGTGGCGCGCTCGCCGGTGCGGCTGGGTATCGCCAAGCCGGTGTTGTAAGGCGAGTCGAGGATGAAGATGCGGAGGAGCAGGAGGGCGAGGTCCTTTGGCCGGTCAAAGTTGTAGTGGGCTTTGACATCTGGCAATACCTCTGCTTGTAGGTTCTGTAGAAATGTAGAGGGGTGGAATCGCGGAATGGTCAGGGATTCTGCGTCCACCTTCCCAGCGGCTTCGGCGTCCTCCTCACTGGACGGCATCCTCAGGCGCTGTATCCTGTAGGCGGTCCATTTCAGGGACCCCGGGTGGTCGTACAGATACTGGAGGTCTGCCATGGCTAGTTGGTAGAGCGTTAGGCCATTGCGCCAGTCGCCCTCGACAACGCGATCGACGACGTCTCTCCTGCTGCCCTTGGCGGTCTGCATGTCGGTATAGAGCTCCCGCAGAGCCTCCAGAGACCCCGTCAGAGGATAGAAATCGTCGTTATCCTCTCCATCATCGGGCCTATATCGTAGAAGGGGCGGACATAGGGTCTGATTGCTATCGGCGAGCCAATCGAGGACCAGTGACAGTAGAGACGGGCGGGAGAGGCGGTTCAAGAGCTTCACAACAAGCGTGCTTGACGCATCCACCCGCAACGATGACGGGAGACGGGCTTTGGTAGGCACAGAGAGACGAGGCATCTCTGGCGGCCTTGGGTAATACGTGCGCGCAGCCTCAATTGTGTTCTGTTCTGTAGAGGAGATCCATGACCTGTCGCAAAGGGTCGTGGTGTAATTGGGAAGACGCGCCGACGCGTCGCGGGGTCCTGGGCCGTGGAGAGAAAACAGTACCCAAGCTCACGGTCCTGCATGTCACGGTTGGCAGGCAGCTCAGGCGGCTGGGAAGTGCCACAGTTCTCTGGCTGACAAAGGAATATTTACGTATATTTGAGTCTCTACTGGCGAATCTAATTGATGGCTTGACTATAGATTTTCAACTCCTACCGTTCGGCGCACACTATATCGAAAGACTGCATCGCCCTACCTAATCGAGACGAAGACGGTGACAGGCAGCCAGCAGCGGCTGTTTGCACCTTGCTTGGCACCTGGCTAGACTTCCAGGTTAGCATTCAGGGATCTTTTACCGACTACCGAGCTCGTCTGATCCGTGCGCCAGGTCCATTACTGGATATGGCAAGCCGATGCTGAACGCTGTGCCGCCTGGTTCCAAGACTGCCAGTGTGCCAGGGCTGTGGTTCGTTAGTGGACCCTGCATTTCCCGTGCAGCATTAGCAGCTCTGCGTGCGAGCGCCGCGACGGTTGAGGGTCTCCGTCATCGGGAATTTGCGAACAGGCTGATTGACGGCGGTTGGCGAACGTTGGGTGTGCAACCGCCAGGAGGCTCAGGTGACTCGATCCAGATCTGCATCGCAGGCGCAGGGCTGAGGTGAGCCTGGTGCGACGGTAAGATTCCTCGCTGAGCTTGAACCCTTGGAGCGCCCTGGTAGTCTTGACGTCAGGCGGACGTGAAAACATGGGCAGAGGGTCAGCGATCGCAGTTGGCGGTGGCGGTCCGGGCGTTGGAGGGGTTCTTGTGTTCCCGAACATCAGTCGGGATCTCGCCTGGCGAGCAGCGTCCTGCCACCATCCGCTCTGCCGGTAACTGGGGGGGCAAGCCGGGTGCATACGGCATCAGGGAGGAGGCCTGGGAGGTTGAGCACCTGGGCAGAGCCCAAGATCGGAACCTAGGGCAAGCCAAACAGCCCTTGGTCAAGTTGGTTAGTAGGGGTACGCCCTTTCAGCTTGTCGCATTTTGGATGCTGACTCGTAGTACGATCCGAGAGCCCACCTGCCCACCTGCCCACCTGCCCACCACATGCCCCAAACTTTTTGCCCAAGGGGAGCCCCAGCTGGGCAACAGCTAGTTAAGAGTTAGCCGGCCGATTCCCACCCGAGGGGATTCAAATGCCCGCACCCAGTTGCGCCAGTTTACACGCAGCGCAGAGCCGGCCAGCCAATCGTTTTGCTGGCCTCCCCACATCTCACCCACGCCCGGGCGGGTTTGCTCTCGATTTATCCCACTCTGACTAATTGTCCAGACTGGCAACTCGGCCGTCAAACCTGGCGTATCCCCAGCGTCGTTCGTCTTTACGTTTGCTTTTTCCCCTTTTAACCACTCTACATACCCATAAACCAAGCCAGCACCCCGTACCGAGAGAGAAAGTCTGGGGATAACTGTCGCGCATGGAACTCTGATCTGCGACCCCCCAGAGTCGACAGAAAATTCCAGCGGCCCGGCATCTGACGTCCGGCATTTTTCGACAATCCGTGCGGCGCCGGACTCGACTGGCTCTATTGATCGACCCACCACCCACAAACTCTCGCCGCCAAACGACGTGTGGGAATTTGCCAACTACATCACCATTATACACGACGACACAGCCGCCTAACCACGCATTGACCTGACTGTTGGCCCATCTACGAGCCCCGAAATTGCGGTCGCAAGTTGGTTGTTGGAGGAATCAGGAATCAGGAATCAGGAATCAGGGCCACCCGGCAGAATGGCATCAAACTACAACGGCGCCCGCCGCGCCGGCCATGTCAACTTCTCGAGCTTCATTCACGATCTGAACGAGATCACGCCCCCGCAGCAGGAGGTGTCGCCCACCAACGACAAGTGGGAGGATGACCTCTCCATGTTCACCAACACGAACTTCTTGGACTGGGACCAGTCGTCTGCCTCGGCAGCGCCGCCAGCAGCCGCAGCACCAACGCCAGTCATGCCCGCCAAGGAGGTAGAGGTCAAGACAGTTGCGCCAGCAGCGGCCGACCCTTCGCTCACATCGGCAGTAGGAGACTTTGACTTTGCCACAGGTTAGTTTGGCTATCCTCTTCGCCCTCTGCACGGCATTCTGCGTTTCTACACGTCGTCCTGGGAGGAACATGCCCCGGCACACGGGGTATTCCAGTTTTCACGATTGCGACGATCGTTTCCCCCTTGGCGGTATGGGTTTCACGGCGAGGCAAGTGCCTCGTTACTTGGGAAAACCGCATTATAGCACTTGAACATGTGTTTCGAGGCCAAGATGCGTCCACGATCCTCCATACAGAACGCTTCTCGTTATCACGGCAAGGGCCCTTGAGCACGAGATTCGTTTACCCCACTTTGCTCTATGCCCTCCCACGCGCAAGTGCAGGCATGTCGGTCTTCTCATTGGCAGCCCGGTCTCACGTTGCATTTCTCCCGCTTTCTGAGAGTGTGCATTTGGCTTTGGGCTAGCGCCTGCTTATCCTGAACCCCCATGCCGGCGGCTTACAAATGCGCCAAGCAATGGCGCAATCACTCTATGGTGCCATATCCCGTGACTTGGGAATCCGGGGAGCAACCCCATGGATGCCCCATAATGGCATCAATTCAAGGATTCCAAGTCCTAAGTCCAGCACACCCGGTGGTGAAGTCCTCACCAGTTGTTTGCGCCGGGCACCTACTCGATGCAAAGACCACGCTATCGTCCCCCTTGTTCCCGCTTCCGAGCCCGTCCTAACGTCGCACGATGCCTCTAGAAGATTTCAACGGCTTTGACTTTGGCACTTTCGCGACTCCCAGTGCCGCCAGCTTTACGGACAATCTGGGTAGCCTGCAGCCACTGCAGCCCAACCAACCGGCTTACCAGGCCGCTGCTCAGCATGGCCCCTACGCCGTTCCGTCCCAGGCTGGGACGAAGCGCCCCTCAGATGCCGGTCACAGCCGACAGATGAGCTTCGAGGACCAGTCCCGCCTAGCAGCTGAGGAGGATAAGCGGAGGCGAAACACCGCTGCGAGCGCTCGGTTCCGGGTCAAGAAGAAGGCTCGTGAGCAGGCCCTCGAGAGACGGGAGAAGGAGCTCAACGACGAAGTCTCCCAGCTGAAGAACCGTATCACCCACCTGGAGACCGAGAACAAGTGGTTGCGGGGACTCGTCATGGAGAAGACGGGCACCAAGGAGTCCAAGTTCGACCCCAAGCTAGCTGCCGCATTGAAGGTTCTGGGCAAGGAGTCGGATTCTGAAGACGACAAGGCAAAGTCGGAAGACTCGGACACGATTGAAGTGAAATGACGGAATGTTGATAAATGTTAAGAGATGAGATCATATATGGGTTGGCGTTAACAGGATAGGCCGCGTGGGAGGCTGGGTCTGGTGCGGTGATACCTTGCGTGTTCTGCGCGCTGTCGTGTGTCACGGACGAGCAGTTCGAAGGCGAGGAGCACGTGTCTACGGGGACTTGTTTTTTGTTTGATATTTTTGCATGTTTGAATGATACACCAGTGCATGCAGCATCTACCTCTGCTGCTACTTCCAACAGCAAACACCTATCGTTCAAATATTTTTGTTGATATATGTTATCATTCCAGATGTCAATGCCGGGATAGACTTTTGTGGTCCCAGTGCACCCTTTGCGCTATACTCACGATAACATGAACTGCCTCCCTTCTGTCGAAGCTGAGACAAGCCCACTTCATCTCACTATTCAGAGGCACATGCTCGATGCCTAGGGTGATACCATCTGCTTAGTCGCCTTCCCAGGGCTAAGAAACCGGGAGGGATAGACGGGAGCGATCCTAGGCGCGCCTCAGGAGGTCGGACCGCAAACGCCAGAAAGGGTCCTGATCACGCCATCGCCTCATGGCCTATGGGTTCCCATATTGCGACCCCATACAGCCCGGAAACCCATGCAAACGGAATCTACACACCGCAGGTAACCGTGTTCAGTACCGGACCTGCTTGCACAATTGGCCTGGCGTCCATGTCGATCGAGTGTCAGCTCCTACACTAGAGCTTGTCGGCAAAGGATCGTGTTTGTGCGAGGCGGTACTGGGCTTGACCTGCACAAAGACGCATTGAGATACTACGATCAGCCACTAGATTCCAAGGCTTTTTCAAGCCCTTCCCAGAGTGGAAAGAGAGCATGGCCCTCGACTTTGCTGACCCCTCGAGCATGGCATAATGGCGTGGCCAGGCCAGCCACGCACATGCGCATCCCATTTCTTTCTCTTTCTCTGGCTCCTCTCCATCGGTCCGTCTCGGGATTTGCTACCCAGAACGACACAAATTACCTGCCCGCTAGCCTCCCCCCCCATAGCCCGCAAAGATACGTTTCTCGTCACCGAAATTAAACTGAGTGGGATGTGGGAGCATGGCCGCGCGGGATCTCGGGGGGCGCTTCTGCCAATATAGGCCATTCTATATAGTACTTCTTACGTACTCGAGCCCTCGGCGGCGCGGGAGGTTCCATGGGTTACATCTCTTTGGGACTCCATGTGCTGAGACCCTGCCTCGCCTGGCCATGGTCCAGACCGCCGCGGTGCGGCTCTCGCCATCGCTACCTGTGTGGCCAATTACTGGCTGCCCTGTTTGATGACCAGGTAAATGAACTCTGCGGGTATTCAACGGTGCCTACACGCTCACTCAGTGTCTGCGACGGGCCGACTATGGCTTGTGCAACACTCATCCTCAGATACACGTATAGCTGGGTTGAACCAGTGACTACGATGCTCTCGTCCCAATTTTCCGTCCTGTACCTTATTTCTGCGCATAGAGACGGGCTCCTGGAATATCCATATGCGTATAACCTTTGCCTCACAAATCCTCATGGCCAATGACTACCCCAGTCAGGCCGCCGGCCCTGTCAAGAACGGTGAGCCTCGGCCAGATCCTCTTTCCTGCACATGCGAGCTCTTGGATCCTCTCTCCAGTTAAGCTCCCTTGACGGCGGAAGCGCGAGCTTTCGTCCAGGGGTTCATGTCCGTCCATCGGCGTGGGGGCCTCCTGCCGTCGCATTGCATATGGCGACATCTGCACACTTCCACAGCGGGGCTGAAGAGCGGTGGTACTGTGTATATACTAAATTGACGACTAGTCACGATAGTCCCTTCAGCTGGAATCACGCCATATCTATGTACACACGTGTCGACCAAATAGGGGATCGTGAGCATAATCCTAGCTGGCAATCACACGGGCCGGTCCAGTGCGCTACCTCGGGACAACTACTCGTGCGGGAATTCTCGTAGGTTTTTTACTGAATTTTTTTTCACCTTTGTAGCTCTTGCCTACATAGGCATCGGCTGTCGAGTCGGACACAAGCTGGCAGGGGCTGGGCTGGGGCGAACGGATCACGGCAGCAGCAGGAACCAGAAAACTGGGATGCAGGGCACGGCTTTAGCTGCTCGCGTGAGAAGCTGCGAGCTTCAGGGTCGCATTCAAGGTTATTTGTGATTGTAAGATTTCACATGTGAGTTGCCTACCACAGTATGACTTGGTTATTGTAGCCCGGGTCCAGTGATTCTCAAGATTATCGCTAGAGTTCGCATAGCATACCAGACGCAACGTACTGCCGCCGCGCACATCCAGTTACCCAACTATTGAATCATAAGGAGGTGGCGCTGAACCAAGAGGCATACTAACACTCGCATACCAGGATCTACGAGGTCCTTGAAACGTAATCATGGCACATGACCTTCTTGTGGCTCAGGAAAAGCAGATCGGCCAGATATTTTGCACCCCTTCACATGGGGGGAGCTGGGGTATCTACCGCACCGCCAGCTCCAGAATTCCCAAATGGACCCAGAAGCAGAATTACAGTTCTGCGTATCTATGGTATAGTTCGAAGTGGCCAGGCTACAGGAAAGCGCATTGGTCTGCTTCAGACTGCTATTCCACCGTTCCTTTGGTTTATCGCAACACTAGCTCCGTGACGAGTTGTTCATTCTAAAAAGGGTCATAGTCACAAAAAAAGAAAGTAAGGAGAAAAGTTTTCCTGGTACAGTTTTCCGCCCATGGTTCCTCCCAGTGTGTTGCTGTGATTGTGATGATGGGATGTGCCAGCCTTCTCATTCGTGCCAGCTAGGTCTTGTGGTGACAGACTGCCTTAATCGTGAATTTCTCTTATACATTGTCCCACGTTTGTATTCAGCGGCTGGAAGCATTATCATCATACGCCTTCGAGCTGCATGAGCGCCTTCGGAAATCGACGCTCGAGAGTGATGATGTAGAGCCTCAAGATGTCACCACAGCATCCCTGACATGGCGTCACAGCTCTCCATTAGGCATGTGGCATTTGTTCCCGGCTCACTACCGCGAGTTCTCTGGTGGGAACTACTTAGGCAATTGTACTATGAGCCTCGCAGTATACCATGTTCCTGCAGGAGCGTTGCATTCGCTTCGAGCGCCAAAGCTAATGTGCCGCTTGCGTCAAGACGAATGTTAAAGCTTCCTGATTTGCACCTGAGATTATACTGACTTTCAATATTACCAATCGATTGCCAAAACGCCTTGGTAGTAGTTACGATTATATTGGCATCTGCCAGCTTTAACATGCTATAAAGACCAGGACTACGAAAAATGGTAGCCCAAACTAACAGAAGCTCATTTACCCCAATGTGTCGCAAAGGATATTCCTTAGGCCAAGAGATCAACAGACGATAATTCGGAAACTGTAGGGCCCAGGGGACGTGGATCACATGGGCAGCCAAGACAACGTGATAACTAACACTGTGTTTCATGAGATGGAGCAATCGTACAGTTTGAATTGTTGTCGCCATTGGCTTGCTATCTTACAGTAAGAACTACGCCAGATGCCCATGCTTGATCCTCCTCCCAGTCACGCGGCATCAACACTTTCCGCCACGTTTCGTAGAAGAACCTAGTCACGAGCTCACACAGCTCGAATATATGCCTGATTGGCAGGCAACAGTAGGGTTCAGCACAGGCAGATCCACCTGACCTAAGTTGTCGATTTCCCGAGTGAACCACCTCGCCCTTCGAGACTGACCCCTTCACCAATTAGGATCGAGACGACGTCTATTTGTTCTGCTCTGCAGCTTCTCTCAGTTTCTTCAACCGAAGTTGGTTCCGCTTGCCCAAAATACGTAGCGTGTTCTGCCGCTCAATCTCGCTCATCTCGGTCCAGTTGGAGATGCGGCTCATGGTGCCATTCTCGTTCACGACCAGGGGACCCAAGTGGTCCAGCTTGACACCCTCGCCTCCCACGTCCAGATTGATGGTATCACCCTCCTTTGGCGGCTCGGGCAGCGTCAGGGTTGGCTTCTCCGTGGATGGCTTCTCTGGTTGCGAGCTGGCTTCTTGAGAAGAGCTCGAGGAGGCCGGGTTTGAAGGCGGTGTTGCCGACATGGTCCTCAAAGGCAACCAGATGTGTCTAGGGTTTGTTCTGAAAATGCTCGCTCTAGACAGGTTGCGTACTGCGAGATATGATGGCATTTGACGTTGGGGACTGATGATTGTTTCAGGTGCTGTGTCGACTGGGAATTCTCCCTAGCAGTTGGCCTTTTGAGCAGCTATGGGCGCTCAGTGCAGGCAGAACCAAGTAACGATCGTGACCTTGAGTAGTCTTCGTGCTCAAGCGATTGTGAGTTCTTTCTATACCGTCCGCTGTGCTCTCTGGGTTGGACCTCCCTGTAGGTCGAGAAAGAAAGTGAAGTTTCTGGAAGAAGTAGACTAAAAGACAGTGCTTTCTTATACTGCGCACAGTCCATGTTGCGACGCAGACAGCGGATATTCCTTTGCGTGAACCATCAACATCAAACTCGCCGGCTTATTATACTTTGCAAGCCAACTAGTTTACAATCGATGATTTCGTTCCATATTCAATGGTGGCCATACCAGCCTCATCGGCAAGAACATGAACAGTCCCTCACCACTGATCGCGACTAATTGGTCCCACATGCACCCGCCGCTCCAATCAGAGCCCTGCTTCTTGGATGGGCTTTGTTCCTCAACCTGAGATCGCAGGGACCGACATGCTTAACAGTGAAGGTCAGCGTTATATAAAGACTTCGTTTTGACTTACTGGCTTTCCAAGAAAACATGCAAGATCACGAATTTTCCGTCAACCATGGAGTTCATGTTGGTGGGCACTCTAGTATCAGTGGAAACCCACCAGATGATATATATATCTTTTCGGAAGATCCGACTTATTTGTATACACAAGACTTGTGATTCACTTGAAGGCTTGACGGTTGAGTTACATCAACTCCTTTAGCATGGCATGATCGACTGATCGCTGTGACTTTGGCAGAAAAATACCATCAATGGCCCCATTGGTTACAAATACGAATCATTAATATGCAAGCTCTCTTCGAGCAGCTTAAGGAAACGCTAATTTCGCAACGCGGCAGGCTGTACTGATGTACTACTGTTGATGCATTTCTTGATCCTGTCCTTTGAATCAGCCGACCCGCTTCACCTGCGAGGAACGATTCCCTTGTTCCAGCGAAATGGGAATCAAAGCACCTGTACAACCCCAACGCCATTTTCCATGCTCTAATGCACTGGCCAACCTTAATCGTACAAGTCTCGGTTCCTTCAAGATGGTTTCCTCGCCTTATTAGTATGATACCCAGCCATCTCCGTGACAGGATGCATCCATCTCCTTTGCAAAGTCTTCTACTCGGCTCATTAGCCACCCAGAGGTTACATGATTTCCTTCCATAACTTCGTCTCTCTGTGTTTGTTGTTGCCCTAGTCTTACGGTATTTGAGGTTTTACATATCTGCGTTTGATGATGGAAAGCAAATTGGACACAGCTAGATCGCCTTTCACATGTGTTGCGACAGTCCCACAACGAGGTGGAGGCTTCTTCTTCTGAAGATAAGTTATCCCATCCATCCGCTTGCGCTCTGAGCCTCGGCATCACCAAGTGGCGGAAGACATCTGCATGACGTAATAAAGTCGAGTGCTGCCAATTGGTTAGTCTGATTTGGTACTTTCTCCAAGCTTATAGAGTGGAAAATCACCTCTAGATTCCATTTTTCCTCGAATGAGGAGAGCTCCTCTATATCGGAAGGGGATAGATGATGCCAGGTCATGGCATGGTAGCACCACAGATGCGAGTCTGGCCCTGTGACGGACGAGTTGTAGTCCATATCGAAGGGACTTTCGCTGTAAAATGTTGGCCATGCCTGAGTGAAATCAACCCCAACATCCTTCAAAGCCTTGCCGAGTACACAGTCGCCTGCCCAGTGATGGCCGGTGTAATCCTCGTACATGTCTATCTCAGCCATGTATCGTTCAGTAACAGATTTCATGGCTGCGTTGGAGATGACAAAGCTGGCCCCGCCGTAAGCAAACTCGACATCTTCAATAATCATCAACTGCCCTGCATAGGGCATTGACGGGTCGTGACGGGACAGCCAATACATAAACGAGGTCCAATTTATGTATCCATCACATTCCGTAAAGATGAACCACTTCGCATCCGGCCGCTGTTGGTACGCTTTTTTGGCTAGCGGTAGGAATTTCCACTTGTCTAGTTTCCAGCCTGGAGTATTCTTTCCACTGCCTGAATTTGGGGCAGATGCCCATGCTGCAATCTCTTCCGCCGAGAATGCCTCTCGTCCGTTTTCCTTCAACTGCTTATAATAGTCGAAATCGGGATGCTGATCAACAACACCAGGACTGACTCCGTTTAAGGCATCACCGACGTAATGGCCATGAATAGTCTCTTCGAGGTCGGACCAGATTCCGTAGGAATCTTCTGGTAAACAGCGCAAAGTGGTGTTGAAATGCACGGTAAGTTTCTGCAGAGCCTCGCTAGCACCAGTCCTCACTACCAGAAAGATGTCGTCCAAGCCTTGAAGAGACTGACATAACAGACGAGTAGGTTCAGAAGGAGGTTCTGGATCATGGGGTGATGCTATATCGGCAAGGACTGATTGTGACTGGCTAGGATCCTCGACGACAGCGAGCGGATGCGATATTCGCTGTGCAAGAGTATAGACTTCACGACGTTTGAAGAGGTGGTTCAGTAGCATAAAAGTAGCCGCAATGGCCACAAGGCATAGAAATATACGCGACCGTGATGCAAAGAATCGCCTATGAAGGGAGGGCGCCACTTTGTGAGACATGAGGCTACCAAATTGACTGAATTACGTCTCCGTGACAGCGATTCAGCGATTAACAACAAAGAGAATGAAAGTATAGGTGGGGGTAGATTCAAACGTCAAAAGGTGAAGTAGAAACGTAAGTGCCGCGAACAAGAGTTTAGACCTCAGGGGCTCCAGAGGAGCCATACCTAAATTCCCAGGGACGGCGCCTATGGTGAGTGATGTTGGCGACAGAACCCAAATGATGGAGCTCAAAGAGGCCAATCAAGCATCAGTATGGGATCCGAGAAACCAACTGCATAAGTAGGGCCTGCAAACTGACAGGGAAGAGCAAATGTCGATTCAATGATATGCCCTGGACAGTACATCGCGCGCTATCCCATTCGGGCACAGTAAATGTCTACAAACTATTCATCTCGTACCGGCTCTCTGGTTTCGCCTGCCTCATCGTGTTGGAAAGCGCCAGAGTTATGAGTACTGGTCATGCAAATAAGCGCCTTTGAGTGGCTGGGGGCGGGCAGGGTAGGTCGGGACTCGTTTCGATTGGCAGGGCGTCAATTGGAATGGGTTGCATCCAACAGGGGTTGGGGCTTTGATATAATTAGGCATATACAAACTGTTCTCTGCCGCTTCTTTTCCAGAATTATATGTTCCGGCGAATGTGGAGCGAAGGCCGACTTATGAAAGAGGGTAACAAGATTGCTGATATGGTTCTCTGTCACCAGGCATGAAAAGCTTCTACGAAGCCTTTCTATTCGTGAAACTAATCTCGTGAGTTGTTGGTAGCATGTGGGCCATTCGGGAAAGAAAATATAGAGCTGTGCGAGATAGATCGAATACAATTTCCAGAACAGAAATACTGTAAGTGTCGTGGGTTGGGCTACTGGTGTTTCGACCCGCCGATTTTAGTGTCCTACTGCAAAACAACCCCGCTAAGTACATTCTTAGCGGGGCTTAAGTGTTATATGGGATCAACTTCAATCCATTCTACGCCAATCTGCTCCGTGTTTAGTTACGTTTACCACCCTGCGTTGCTCGAGTGCCGCGAGGCTTTGCTGAGCGCTGAAATAAAAATACATACACCTGTGCCTACTTATTTGTTTAACAATGGGCGGGGTTCAATCAAAGGCGAAGGGACTTTGGTTGGCCATCAAATACCTCTTCGAACTCAACAAGAGCTTCGAGGAGCTGCTCAAGAGAGCAAGCCAGCCGCCTGGCCTCCCAGTATCGAACCCGTCACAGTCGTACTGGCTCGAGGATCCACCCTTTCCGGAGTTAGTCGACATCAGGTCGGAGGAACTGCCGGAGCATGCCGACATCGTGATAATCGGCTCCGGGATCACGGGTGCTGCGGTCGCGAGGTCTGTCCTACAGGAATGCCAACGCAAAGGAGAAACCCGAAAGATTGTAGTGTTGGAAGCTCGGACCTTGTGTTCGGGTGCCACAGGGCGCAACGGAGGCCACATGAAGTCGTCGCCTCACGAGCTCTTTGTGCAACTCAAGAAGAGATTTGGCCCGGAGCGGGCCGCTATCATTACTAGATTCCAGCTGTCCCATGTGAAGGTCTTGACAGAGCTCTGCAAGTCCGAGGGTTGGGACATTGCTGAGTGCCGCGAGGTAACGACCTCGGACTTGTATCTTGACGAAGAGTCCCGAGTTGCTGCGCTAGGGGAGGTGGAAGAGTTCAGGAAATGGATCCCAGAACTGGATATTCAGACATGGGATGCTCCTGGGGCGCAGAAGGTGAGGATTCGGTCCAGATTGAAATGCTGTACGGTGCCATGTGTTGACTTGAAGCAGCATTTCAAAGTGAACAACTTCGTCACGGGCGCTATTTCCTATATTGCTGGAGCACTCTGGCCCTATAGACTGGTTGCCAGCGTCTGGAAGGATCTCCTTACCAAGTTCCCAAAGTCGCTATCTATAGAGACAGGGACTGCGGTGACGGATATACTACCATGGACCGATAATGATTTTGCTTATAGAGTTGTGACATCGCGAGGCGACATCAAATGCAGGCATATCGTGCACGCTACAAACGGCTTCGCCAGTCAATATGTACCGGGTCTTAGGGGTAAAATGACAGGTTTCGTCGCGCACATGTCTGCCCAACAGCCTGGCACGCAATTCCCCGACTACGGTGGGTCTCGCTCCTGGTCTGTTGTCTACGGGACAGCATACGATTATGTTACACAACGTCCAACAGCAGATGGAGTCCCCGGTGATATTATGCTCGGGGGAGGCTTTTTCCGTGGGAAGGACCAGGGCATGGCCCAGTCCGGCTACTGGGACGATAGCAATGCTGCTATGGACGCCCTGGCCGTCAATCATATAGGTAACATTTTCCCGACCATTTTCGCGCCGCACTGGGGCGATGATCGAGAGGGAGGCAGGGTCAAGAGGATGTGGACAGGTATCGTGGCTATCACTGGTGATTTCCTGCCCTTCGTGGGGAGATTAGATCCGAAGTTGACGGACCGCCGGCCGAAAAGCCAGGCTTCGTCTGAGACAGTACCTGCGGGCGAATGGGTGTCGGCGGGATATTGCGGTGACGGGATGGTATGGGCTTGGCTTTCTGGGACGGCGCTTGGGGTCATGCTGATGGGGAGCGAAAAGGAGGAGCTGCCGGCCGTTCCAGGTCGGCCAGCTGGGAAGGTTGCAGATTGGTTCCCCCACGAACTGGCACCTACCCTTAAGAGAGTCGAGGAAGCAGATCTATCCAATCTTGCTGGCCGTTTGCTATAGATTACGTCAACTGGTTTGTCTACCGCTGGTAGCTAAGGACCTTGCAATCGAAACAATTCGATGCGTGGCTTCAGAACCAGTGCGTGCATAGCGATGAACGAGCTAGCGACATGAATAAAAAAGAGCTATCCGATGCAATGGAATGAATCATCTCTTGATGTCAATACTGCTGATGCTTGAATATAGCAGACTGAGCAGGCACGTGTCCTTCAAGTAAAGATCCGCGATGGTCTTCGCCCCAAGGCCTCGCTTCGCACTTCGCTGTTGCGGGGCCCCTCCCTATGTTGGATTCTGACATCACTCTCTCCGAAGGAGTTCGCGTGTTGCAAGTTCATCACTCTTTCTAGGTGATAACAGAGGATGAGTCTTACTAAGTATACTACTGAGGCCCTCCGTTCCAGAATCGGTCTTAGTCATAACGGTCTCCACCAAAGCCCGGGATATATAAGGTTCGGAACCCCTCACTTATACAAATCGGCAGCTCGTACACGCACCTCAACAACAACTTGAACTCTCCCTCCCCGCGACGATGGCGAACCAGAAGATAAGGCTTGCAACTTCTTCTCCGGGGACACAGGAAACCCTGAAGCAGACGCTCGTGCAGCTCCATGACATTGCACGCCGCGCCGCCGCGGAGAAGGCGGACATTCTCCTGCTCCCAGAAGCTTACCTGGGCGGATATCCTCGCGGATCCAATTTCGGCTGCAAGATCGGGGAGCGCACAGAAGAGGGCCGCAATGAGTACCTTCAGTATTTCAAAGCTGCGGTTGACCTCGGGGACACCGTCGGCAACGGCGCCGGGGCAGGGGAAGCATGGGTCCAACGACGACTGGGCGGTGATTCTGCGGATGGCAGCACGAAGCGAGGAGATGGCACCAGAGAGGAGCTTGAACGAATTGCCAGGGAGACTGGAGTTTTCGTTGTCACAGGACTAATCGAGAAAGCCGGAGGCAGTCTGTATTGCGCTGTCGTCTACGTTTGTCCCCAGCTGGGTATCATCGGCAAGCGAAGGAAGACGCAACCAGTAAGTCCTACTTTTCTCCCTTTCCGACTTTGACCCTCCTACATCTATTCTAAGTTCGCCACGGCTCTATGCAAATTGTTTTGGGCATACGACATCACCTGACCGTTCGGATGCAATCGGCCAGAGTCGTTGTTTAAGCCGCAGATCCACAAAACGTTCCGGAGTCGGACTCGTTGCATACCTCTAGAGAGACCGACATTCCCCCACTCTCTGAGTCAGGAAGAATGGTCCTTGAGCAAAGGCCGTTGTGCCTGCGAACTCTTCTTCGTACTCACTACAGTGCTATCATAAGCTTGGCTGTGTGAGGCACTGTTGAACGCTTTTGTTTGTCATTTTTCGTCAAACAAGGGTCATACGTTAAACGAACTGAACATAATGGCTTTGTCATGAGTAAGAGTATAAGACTGCATCTCAGGTGGATACATGTTCACCGAAGAAGACGTCTTGAGAGCGGATGTGTCTTATGCAGTCAACTGTACACAGCTACATCAATCTTGCGGACCAGTGGACCATGCAATGTTATACAAAGTCTTCGACCATACAGGGGCACTGTAGGTCGTGAAGGACTAGGAGTGTTGGTTTAATTGCTGGCTTCTGTGTGCGCTCTTGGTACAAGCCAGTCTGAGCTCCATAGCCACGGCCGCCCGGAAACCATTATGCCCTACTATATCGAGAAGCGCCTATGATTTCGCATATATTACAACTATGGTATAGGCAAGAAGTTTACTGACCGTTTCATCAGACCGGCACCGAACGCCTCATCTGGGCGCAAGGCTCGCCTGCAACCCTCAAGGCCGTGAGCACAACGATCAAGGGCGTGCGCATCAACCTGGCCGCCGCCATCTGCTGGGAGAGCTACATGCCGCTGCTGCGGCAGGCCCTATACCAGCAGAACATCAACCTGTACCTGGCGCCGACGGCGGACGGCCGCGACGCCTGGCTGAGCACAATGCGCACCATCGCGCTCGAGGGTCGCTGCTTCGTTGTCAGCTCCAACATGTGCGTCCGCAAGAGCTCGCGCCCTGCGGCCCAGACGCAACAGCAGCAGCCAGCCCAGTCGCCCACCGCGGCACTGGACATGGAACCCGACGGCGAGCCCCTGAACGGGATCCCCGAGTCCCACCCCCGCGGCGGCGGACGACGCAACTCGTGCTTCACGGAGGAGGGCTTTGAGATCGCGCTGCCGAGCCCCGGTGGCGTCGGCCACGGCCACCCGGCGGGCCACACCAAGATGGAGCGGCGGCGCTCTGTTTTCGATGAGGACGGGCACGAGATCGTGCTGTGCGGGGACACGTCGGCCGTCATCGAGGAGGAGAGCGGCAGCGGCAACAACAGCGCCCAGAGAAACGGGACGGCCGCGCCGCGTCAGAAGCAGCAGGCGTCCTCCAAGACCAACGGCGTTCGTCGCCCAGGGGCCGCGGACGAGTTTATCTCGCGCGGCGGTTCTGCCGTGGTGTCGCCGTTTGGCGACGTGCTCGCCGGGCCGCAGTGGGAGGACGAGCAGGGCATCATCTACGCCGACGTCGATTTCGAAGATTGCGTCCGGGGCCGTCTGGATCTGGACCTCGGAGGAAGTTACTCTAGGAATGACTCGTTCAAGTTTGAGGTTGAAGGTCTGGAGATGGATCCGTTACCGTACTATTGAATTACCATGACCTACCTAAGTTGAAGTTGATGAGGGTTTTGTACGGAGCCAACGTTGTAGTGAGACGTCATTAATAAGATTGTAGCATTTGTTGCACCAAAGTCCACGCGACTGATGATCTCGTAAACATGTCTTTAATTAGTTATAAAACGGGTATCTATTTGGCGGTCCTCGCCCAGCATTTCCATTCCCATGATCGATTGATGTAATCGCTTGCCGTGTCACCTGTTCCCTGGAAGTCACAAACCTGCAGTGCACAGGTGATAGTCCCTGCATAACGCCCCAAAAGCACGCCTCAAAACCTTTCACTTGTGAAAATCAATCATGTGCTTCTCAGTTGAACGCACTGCCGAAGAAAAGTATCTTCTCCTCGTAATATGAACCAAACCGCCCTCCGGGTTGAGTGTCGCCCCAACTTCAGCAGAGAAACAAGGTCCACGTGCATTTTGGTGGACTTGTCCGTACGTCAAGTCGCAGTGGGGCACACCTAACAGTGGGTTTCATCCGTCGGCTCGTATGAAGAAGCGTTCTACTCCTTCTCCTGACCATCGAGTGCATGATTCTCGTCCTTCTCAGCAAAGGGACCTCTCTCAAGCATCTCACGAGGACTGGCCAGCGGGCTGGCCACGCCCGCGACGCTGCCGCTGATGCTCTCGGCCCGACCATGTCCATAGAGCCCACTGCGCACACTTGCGGCGTCCCCAGCAATACTTTGTTTTGCGTAGAAGCTGTTCCTCTCGCTTGGGAGCGCAGGGGCAATGCCGGTGGTCGAATATATACTGTTCCGTTCGTTGCCCGCTCCGATCCTCGAGGAGGTCTGATGTAGACCGGGAGTCGCGGGTATACCATCCATGTTGGCGCTAAGGATGCTCAAAGGCAGACTCTCTCTCGACCCGCCCCAGAGGGAGGATGGTGCCATGGCGCGGACTGAAGCGTCCGTGTCAAACGACCTTCGCCGCCTCCGCTTGGTAGACGATGCCAAGGTAAGTATCGAAGCATTGTCGGTCAAGAGGTTATTGGCGGTGGCGGATTGATACGTGGCGGGCTGGCCCCCGGGCACATGCGGTGCAAGGTGTGCGGGGATAGCTGAGGCTGGAGACGCCGTGGGAAAGGGCTGGCTGAACTGTATGTTCTGAGAGTTGCTATTTTGATGGTGGGTCGACGATTGTCCTTGGTGTTGGTTGCCATTGACAGCCATGGACTGAATGGTGGTCAAAGTGGTGGTTAGAGACCGTACCGAGGGGGCCGGAGACGAAAACGTGCTGTCTCCTCCCTTTCTACCGTTGGCCGTTCTGCTGGTTCCCCCGACCGAGGACGTCATGTGGGATGGGGCATTGATGGAGCGCGAGGCTTCGTGGTCGGTCGAGACGGTGCCGGCCATGGAGAGGCCACCGGCAGTGGGGGGCGCGTGGCCGTCCACCGACGAGTTCAGTGATGTCCGGCTCTGCTCGGGGGACATGTCCGTGGTCACGCCTGTGTGGTTCGTAGACAACGAAGGTTGGCTGTGGTGGCGAGGCGGCGCAATGCAGCCGGACTGCGGGTATGGGTTGTTCTGTTTCGAGGGCCGTTTCTTGGAGGCCTTGAGCTGGTCGCGTTTCGAGTGGCCATGCTTGCTTCCCTCGGCCGACGAGGAGCCGTTCTTGAAGTTGGCAAGCTTCTTCACCCAGGTAGAGAAGGGCCTTCGGCGACCTGTGCGCTCGTGGGAGTCTAGCAGTCGCATCAGAGGGGTTGCTTTTGTGGCTGCGTGATCCGAGACGACGGGGCAACCATTGAGGATGAACAGGGAGAGGGAGAGGGAGACGAGAGGGGACGAGAGCGGAGAGGTCGTATCGCAAGTGATTGATAACTTACCGCTTCCCAGCGCTGCCTGGGTCATGGCCATCGGTTTGTTCTTTCTTTGGGAATGTAGCACGTTGGTGACAAGCGAAGAGAGTTGCCAACTCAGATGGATGCCAGTGACTGGAATACGTGATGGGATCAAGGTCGCGGGAACAAGCAAGTCGCCAACACGGGAGGGACGAGGGCCGGTAGGGTGATCGGGCAATAACAAAGGGTCGAGAGATGGCCCAGCCGAGAGGGCCGATCGATAGAAGATGATGAATGTAACTAATCGTGTGCGCTACGGTGGGAGGTGAGGTCCCGCGGGTCCGAGCTGGGAGCTGGAGGGACAGCTGAGGCTTCCGGTGCTTTGAGTTGGTTGGTGAGTTCCCTTAGCCCTGGTACGGACGGTACTGCGGACTATGTACGATGTGCGGACAGACTCAGACTCGGGCAGGTATCAGATGCCGAGGAGGAGTTGGGCTGATGAGATCACCGAGAGCGGGCCAACAGACGATGCGCGATCTCTGCTGCTGCGGACCCTGGTGAGTTTCTGCAGCTGCATGGGACAGGGAGGCAATCAATTCGCATCACCAACCCAAAACCGCATCTGCATTCGCGTACATTGCTGTACATAAATAACTACCTAGTCAAGATACGACACGACCAGATACCGCTGGCTGGCTGGCTGGCTGGATGCGCATCGGCGACGGCTGATGGGCGATGGGGAGCGGGCCAGGGCCCAGGGCCCAGGGCAGGCCAGGTAGGGGACTGGGGGACATCATCTCAGCCTAATAATGGAGCAGTGCCCAGAAGCACGCCCCGTTTTTCAGCCCAGAAGCCCCAATTTTGGTGTGGATAGGCCCTTCGGGTTGACGCGAGCCGCTGAAGCCCCCCAAACCGCCCCGACGTCCTCCCCTGCAACCAATTACCTTAAGGTGTCCAGTTGGCTAGACTCCAGCGGTCGGTCTGGTGCAGTTCGTCATCGGGCATACACGTGATTTAGTCCACCTCTTTCACTTTGCCCCTCTGCCCAACTTTATACGAATACGTGAGAGAGCGCTGGACAGCAGCAGCACTTGACCACCAGCACGAAGAATAATGTCTATGAGATAGCTTGGCGCGACGAGATCTGTGTTTGTCGTTTGTCACCCGGGTACCTGTTGGCTTGCGCAAGGCAGATAGGTGCCCTCAGTTGAGATTATACGGGCCAGGCTAAGGCAGCGAGTAGCCCTCAAGGTCGCAGCGCGCCGCTAAGAATTACCTGATCTGCTACTTAAGTGCCGTCGTACTGTGTCCTGTGCTGTCGTACCAGGGTGGCACCTACGTGGTCGGGGCTTCGAGATCATATGCATGGAGACCCGTGATCATTAGACACCAAGACTCAGGCTGGGCAAAATGAGGGATGGGCATTGGGACGGCTCGCCACCATGTCGATCCAACCACTGCCCGAGGATGTCATCGCACAGATCAAGTCATCTACCACCATCACCTCTCTCAACGCAGTAATATGTGGCCTTGTCAAGAATTCCCTGGACGCCGGTGCCACAAAACTCACCGTTTCAGTCGATTATACCAAAGGGAACTGCTCAGTTGAAGATAATGGAAGTGGGATCCTGCCAGCTGAGTTCACCCCAGCCGGCGGGCTTGGCAAGATCTATCGTAAGCTCGCCGCTTCATGAGAACTACAGTTCTGAGATGTCAGATATCAAGCTCACACCAAAACAGATACGTCAAGGTTCCCACCCCTACCTGGTATCCATGGTCATAGTGGTACATTTCTAGCCTCAGTTGCTGCCTTGTCGCTTTTGTCCCTCAACTCCCACCATGAGGGCCATCGGTCACATAATTCCCTTCAAATTCACAATTCGACCGTCCTTGCTCGCCATACCCCGTCGCCTCCGGAGCAGAGGCTTCTTACATTCAGCCATGGGACTCGTGCTACTGTCCGCGACCTTTTCGGGTCCATGCCCGTCAGGGTGAAGCAAAGAGCTGCTGCCTCGGATAAGACAGCGCACAACAGAGATTGGGAGCAGCTTAAGATCTCCTTTGCTGCCCTTCTGCTGCCGTGGCATGGTTCTGTAAACGTATCCATGCGTGATGCTCAGAGCCAACAGTCCGCCATTATCAGAATCCATGCAGACGCGCTGGATGGTGTTGCGGAAAGATTACGACGGCCGACTCTGACCCGCCGCGTATCGAGTGTGCTCTACCAAGCCGGGCTATCGGGGGAGACTTCTATCGATTCCTGGGTTACACTGAAAGCGTCAACCGGGCAGATATCGATCGGTGGGACAGTATGCCTCATCCCAATTGCCACGCGACGGGTACAGTTCATCAGTATCGGCATTCAGCCCCTATTTAATGAATATGGCTCAAATGTGCTTTATGAAGAGATCAATCGTCTGTTCGCCAACTCCAGTTTCGGACTTGAGCAGATCCCTGACCTCGATGATGAAGAGATCGGTCGAAGGGCTCAAGATCGTCGTTACAAAAGTGACGGCTACACTGAACGCGAGTTGAAGACCAGGAAATGTGTCGACAGGTGGCCAATGTTCCATGTACAAATCGATTTCGGTCATCATGAGAGGGGACGAGCAGGCCACGATCTAGAAGACATCCTTGACGAACGCCGGGGAAATCTGCAGGTGATTCTTGATGTCCTCAAGGCCATGTTTTACGAGTTCCTGAAGAAACATCACTTTCGGCCCATGTACTACAGACCCCGGAAGCGTGACCTCACCGAGCAATCGGGATTTTTTCGAGATACTGGTAGTGGGATATCCTCGGGATATAGTACCCCAACCTTACCTTCCCGGCCGGCCTCTCGATCCAGTAGCGTACCAAAGCAAGGGACGAGGCCCTTGGGAAGAGATCTGTCCACGACTGGGATGCGCTTGCCTAGCAGCGAGCAGCAATCAAGGACCGAGTCTCCATTCGACGGATGGACAAGGATCAAAAGCGGACGGTGGCTGCCGACGACCGCAAAGACCCTCGAGACCAACCTACAAGCCATGTCTAGTCGAGAGATGAGCACCGAAAGTCTAGTACCGAATGATCGAGATGAGCCATCAGAACCTTCTCTATTCAACACAGGTGGCGATCTTGTCCGTCCGCCCTTCTCCGATGTGGAAGTATCGGGAAGTCAGGATATTCAGCAACAGTCAGATCTCCGCCCTGAAATGGGATTTCGGGGTGGTCGACCAACTGTTAATGATGAGATTGTCTGGATCAACACTGTGTCGAAGCAGCAGTCGCTGGTGGATGCACGGACAGGTTTCATTACCAACATGGGAGCAGACGGAACCCCATCCGAAGCTCGCGTTCATCGTCTGACCTCCAAAAAGAGACTCCGTACGCAACCGCAGGAGTCCACGCACCATGCTAACGATTGGTTAAAGGAACTGCTTTCAACTTGGAAGAACCCTGTTTTTGAGCGTGCCGAACCCGAGATACCTGTGGCATTCGATGAGGCAAAACTCACCATGTCATTCAGCAAGTCGAGATCCCAAAAGCATAGTTGTCATAACACCGAGGAGCCATCATTCAGCGTGGAAGGGCGCGTTTCCAGGGAATCTCTGCGGGAAGCTGAAGTTATCGCGCAAGTAGATCGAAAGTTCATACTTGCCAGAATTCCTTTGCGAACCAAGGCGGCAAAGAGGCAACACCCACAAACGGTCCCGACACTCCTAGTCATCATTGACCAACATGCTGCGGATGAACGCTGCCGAGTCGAAGCGCTTATGAGCGAATACTTCTCTGTATCGGAAGATGAAACAATCCAGGCTCAGACGGAGGTTATCGAGAAGGTGCTCCAGTACGAGATTTCAGCACAGGAACGTCTGCTCTTCGACCGATATAGTCTTGATCTGAGACATTGGGGCATTGGCTACCAACTAAGCCCACTGCCTAATCCTACGCAACCAAGTAGAACAAGACTTCCGTCGTTCTTGAAGGTGGTGTCTCTTCCGCCAAGTATTTTGGAGAGGTGCCAAACTGAACCGCGGCTTCTAATCGATCTGCTGAGAAAAGAAATATGGAAGCTCGATGAAAATGGACGTACTGGCAATCGTCATCCCCGCAGCACCCGAAACACCCCCAGTCTTTCGGACGACAAAGATAAGCTGCACTGGATGTCCAGATTTCACGGCTGCCCGCAGGGGGTTCTTGACATGATCAACTCTAGAGCATGCCGAAGCGCCATCATGTTCAACGACCCGCTGTCTCTGGAGGACTGCACGGATATGTTGACGAAGCTTGCGGGTTGTGCATTCCCGTTCCAGTGTGCTCATGGACGTCCCTCTATGATCCCGTTGGTTGATCTGGGCGATGATCGGATCAACCAAGTCAAGGATTCGAGTGGTCCTGGTTTCGGCAGGCGTTTCAGAGAATGGAGGATGAACATGTAGGATTATACTACGTAAAGCATGTGCTTAAGTTATGTATGATTGAGTTACCCCATGCATTTAGAAAGGATACCCGGTGATGCCAACATATATTTATTCCACCACTTGATACCACTTTGAGTAACGTCCGTCGCATAGTGTCTGTCGATAGAGAGAAACATTACGCCTAGCCTATCCTCCCATAAGAAACACTTAATCACGGTTCATTGACCCCATTCAAGCATGCCGTAAGCGTTAGAAAGCTGTCTCTTAGCCTGTAAACGATAGTATAGTAAAAAGACGCCATTACACACGCGGATCAATGGCGCTGGGAGTTGTTGTAGTTTATGGGGCGGCATGAGTTTAGCTACCACGTGTCAAAGGAAATTTCTATGATATAAAAGGCCAAACGGGATGAGTGAGTTGAAAGGAACCTTCGCTGCGCGTGGGTTTCGAAGCTACGACCACACAGAGGACGCATTGCACCTAGCAACATCCCTAAGTTACGACCGTCAAGCATGTAAATAGGTATCAGCCAACATAGCCCAAGATGTTACGTCTTCACTGATTTTCAAGAAAGTGAGATCGCCCCGTGAACTCGATGCAGGACAAGTAGTCCGATCACTACTCACACATACTCGGACTTTGCAATTTGCAATGTTTCTTTCCGTCGACAACAATATGCATCAGTGGCGGCAGCTTCGTCAACATGCAAAGACCGCCATTGCGCCTGGCGGCCCCAATGAATAGTCGATTCGATAGTCTCTTCTCTCCAAGACCCTTGCCGATTTCGACAAGGATCAGCAAACGTAGTCGACAATGTACTGGAGTATGTTCTCACCGATGCCTATGTCATCCGCAAGACGTGTTCCTCGGTATTTCCAACACCACCGAGGACCGAACCCTGCCGCTGCCGCTTTCTGTCAACGTTCGCCGCCACGGCGGCGGAGCGCGCGGCGGGCGATATCAGTTGGCTCCCTCCGAGAACATGGGCTTATGGCTCAGCCAAGTGTCGAGGCCGAATTCGCGTTCTAGATCCTACGGAGTCGGTCGCAGTACCGCTCCTAGGCACGCCACACACTACCTACGGCAGCAAGGCGTTGGGGCGGCTCTGCCTAGTCAAAACCGCAGTTCACCCAAGCACTACTATGTAATTGGGGCAGCTAGAATCGGCCACAGCCGAGTGCTAGGCCGAGACGGCCAACACGCCAATTGCAGATACACATTCAGGAATCTACCAGGAGTGGCTTGGGAGCAGCGAAGCCCTTGAGCATCATACCGACAAGTTACGCTCGTTTCTGTTGTTTCAGTTCGCGAATATACCTGTTGTACGTGCATTGCTTGGGGTAGATGAGTCTTCTAAGTCATTGAAGATACAATGAAATATTTGCTGAAGGACAAGGCACCAATCTAATAAGCATACAATTTGGCTTCTTGGAATCTAGTGAGTAGTGCAAAGGGCTCTTCTCGGCGGCCGCAAAGCTGGAGAACTGCCCGAAATGACACCAGCTCTTCAGGGGCATGGTCTGGAGGACCCGGCGCGGCCAAGCCAAGACAGTGGTTCGGCACTTGTCAATGACTCGAGTAATTCCGCGTGCCGTTAGCTAGTGTGTGCTTGCCAGCTGAAAAGAGTCGTTTGTGCCGAGGGACATCACATATTCTTGTTTGCCTGATGTAGGTTGTGGGAAAATATCATAGCGCCAGTCAAGCAAGCTCATAGAGTGAAAGGGAGTGCCTCTGGCCCAGCTAGAGTTCACGTGAAGCGACTCTATTACACTACTGTAGAGATCGAAAAATGTGAGGACGATCCGGATAGGTGAAAGGAGCAGTTCCAGGCATGAGGAGTAAATTTGAACAGCAATGGTAAAATGGAGCTGATTGATGGCAGGTGTTGTCGCTGGTCTCGTCCCGGCTTGATCATGGGATTGTCATGAGAAGAGGGAGCCGACAGAAAGAGTAATGCTGCTCGCTATCAGTGCAGTTGGTGTCAACTAATCAGCGCTAGTCTGATCAATAGTATTCCGCAGTGGATTTCTCGTGGAGCAACACATGATGTTTCCGGAAGCGGCAGTCGGCAATATAACCACAGGCTATCCCCATTGGACAATCTGTGAACACGGCCAGTCCGACGAGCTTCTCCAGGAGAGGCTCAACTATCGCGGGACCTTTTGGTCGTCTTTGCGGGGAGCTTCAGCGCATAGCCGGCGAAATGTCGAGTGGTCAAGTCAAGTTCCTGATCCAAAAGAGGCAGCCGACGCATGAAGTTCAAATCTAACCCATGAAGGCACCCTTTACCAGCCGCCACCACTTTGACGTTCTAGACCGATCGAATTGCTGGTGCCGGGTGCTTTTCGCAGTGATTGGGTAGTTACTGTATCGCTGTATCGTCAGGTCGATTGTGTGGTAACGAACGTGACTAGGTAACAAGCATTGGTCGGTGGAATCGTCAATTGACTAGATCAAGCAGGAATCGTGAACGATGCTGAAAAGGTGTACGCTACAGTGGGTTTGGTACAGGAAACTCTGGTTGACAGTGGGCCTGGCTCTTCAGACCATTGGGGAGCCGGCCCGCTTGGGACTGTTGGCAGGGAGCGATATGACATCAGTGGGCGACCCAAATGCAGCCGATCAACCGCGACTGGTTCCTTGCAGCCAGCCCGTCGGGTGCGAACGAGCACCAGGTTGCCAGGGCATCAGATACCACGGTAGTGATTCCAACTTTTTCCCTCCTTATGCAAACTACGTACGTAGTTCGAAGAGAGACACGTCAGTATGTAATGGTGACCAAGTACCTAGGTAGCGGGGGTCTTGTAGTGGCAACCCTTGCGGGCAGACAACTGGTAGTAGCTACTATTGCTCAGAAGGGCGATCAAGCTGTGTATGCCGACAGCTCATCCGTGTGCAAATGAAGAGAGACGGGACGGCGACAAGCCACGTGTGTTTCATGATCCCCTCCCTAATCGAACTTGAGGTCTCCAACCCAGTAGACAACAATTAAGCACTCTCCGAGCTCGACAACAGTCACACCCCGGCTGGTCGCTGCCAGACAGCCAGACAAGCATAGGAAAGCAAAGCTAGCGGGGAGTCTAAAAAACTGGAACTCGATCCAATCTCGGCCCCTGGTCGATTGCGGTCAGGATCATCAACCAATTGGCAGCTGCCAACCACCCAGCTTGGGCCTTCCTTGGCCATCAAACTTGACTTCATCCCATGTCACTTGCATCTGGGCCTTCTGGTTGACGCTGCCCTGATTCCTCGCGCTGCCTTCAGCCAATTCCGTGCGTGCTTCCCTCACCGTGAGGCATCATAGACTCAACGTAGGTAACTAGGCATTCATCGGATCGCCGACGTGTTCTCGAGAGGGCAGTTGCATTAGTGTGCCGCCTCGTCACCAAGCAATGCGCCCGCTGTTGGCAGGCTGGCACTCCAGAGACAGCCCCCTGGATTTGCTGGTAGTGCACCAACACGGGCTGCCTGTGAAACATGCATTCGTCTGCATGTATTCCAAGGGCTGCTCACAGAGGCAATTACATAAGACAGAGAAACGGGTATCGCTCCCCCATGGGAGTTTGAGAAGCAGCCCTCGGAGCGGGAAAGCATGGGGCAACCCAGCATCTGTCGCGCGGTTGTGCTTGTCGCGCCCTGGCAGAGGCATCTCGATAGGTCGGCCGGAAATGAAAGGAAGTGTTACCTCTCGGGACCGTGATGTAAATGGTTACACAGCCAGTTTAGCTTCACCATCGCGACGGTGGCGCCGTCCAATGCAGCGAAGGTGCCTGTCCGCGCTATGCCGTTTGCACGAGATTGCATCGGCAGTGGGCAGTGGACGTTGGCAAGGAAGCAGCTGGTGCGCCCTCCCACCAGGCCGCGGACGCAACAATACCGCCCCATGGTATACATGCTAATTTGTAGCTGGGGAAGCAGTCGCCGGCTTCCATGTGGCTCTGATATCACCGGCGGCTGGGCGGCCGGTTTCTTCTTTCACCGTCAATTGAAAGACATTGACGTACAAACTAACTAGGCGTCGTAGTTTTCCGTCTATCGTCCCAAGTCCCTCCGCAGGACCCATACAATGAGCTCAGAGTCCACGGGGAACAGGGGTGACGAGGTACCTGTGCAGGAACCTGCGGCCGTGCTGTGCGTACTATGGTGCTAGCAGGGCCGCCAAAGCGGGTTGCACCGGACTAGTGCGGTTTTCTACACAGCAACCAAGGAAGTCCATGTTGACCATGGGTGGTTGGAGTCGACGGGTGCTGGTGAGGATCGATGGCACTAGGAAACACATCTGGGAGGGAGGGGATTGGCATCGTCGAACAAGCCTGAGATTCCTGTATGACCTAGCAAGATGCTCCCGACCTTGGCTGGGTGCCCTGCTGGCCTGGGCATATTTAATAAGTGCCGGTTGTCCTCCCCAACCATCGTACCAGCATCACCACACGCTGTTCATCCCACAACCGCCCTCCCTCATCTTGACGAGCACTCGACGCTTCCAATCAAACGCTCCATTCTACGAGAAAGCTGATTCACAGACTGGTAAGTGATACATGCTGCCGAATCCTCATCATGTCTTCGGCGCCGCACAGGCTTGTCGTCACCCCATTGCCCCTTCCCATGTCGGATCCCTGTCGCGGTATACTTGGACTCTCGTCCACCCACGCGTGACATCCCAAACCCGGGCCTCACTTACTTCGATGTCCGCCAACGCGCCCTACAAAACCCACGGCTCGTCGTTCTTCCCTCCAGCAGGAGCAGTCAGAGAGGAGTTTGTGAGCCCGCGCAGCTGCCTCGGATCCATCAACCAACTCGGACGGCCATTCCACACTCATAAAATATAACCAACCCTCCCACCTCCAACTAGAACACCAACTCCATCACATCACATCAACAACTTGTTCCGCATTCATCTTCCGCAAACATCAGCACCAACACGCGAGACACGCTCTTCTGCGCATCGCCTCATTTTTGCACGCTTTTTTTGAGCATCATAGTTCTCAACCATCCAGTTTCTTACAATTTTTGCAGTCCCACCCGTCAACCTCAACTTCAAAATTCGTCAAGATGAAGGCCTCTGCCATCCTCCTCGGCGCTTCTGCCGCCTTTGTCGCATCTCAGTCCCTGCCTGAGGGCTTCCCCGCTTGTGGTGTAAGTTCCTGTCCACCGTTGCTCTTCACGTTGTCATCAACTGGGATATACATACTCCTTGGCCTGTCCAGGAGTATTGTCGGTCGATATGTCCTCCAGATTGTTATTGCTTTATCTGCAGCAACTGACCAACTTCCTTCTCCCAGGCCACTTGTATCTCTGGTATGCTCGCCAAGGCCGGCAGCGAGTTCCAGTGCCAGGCAAACGACATTTCTTGCCTCTGCTCGCAGGTCAACTTCCTGTACGGAGTTAGAGACTGTGCAGATGAGTCCTGCCCCAGCGCTGCTGAGGCCCAGACCGTCAAGGACTACGGTGTAGGCGTCTGTGCCCAGGCCGGTGTCGCCGTGTCTGGCGTCCCCGTCTCCAACACCATCGTGAGTTCTGATCCGAGACAGGCAACAACCTAGTTCCGTTTGCTGACCAAATTCATAGACCGCTTCTGCCTCCGCTTCCACCACTGTGTTTGCCACCAACTCTCCCTCCAGCGTAAGTGCATCACACCAGCAGCATCCTGCTCTGAGACTGACAGTGATTTTTTTCAGGGTGCCGGAAGTGCCACCGAGACTGGCTCCCAGACCGGCTCTGAGTCGGGTACTGCCACTGGCGGTGCCGCCGTTCCCATCTCCACTCAGGTCTCTGAGTCCACTGACAGCACCGGTGGCGTCCACACTGTCTCGTCTACCATCTTCAGCACCGCCAGCGGCACTGCCACTGGCACTGAGACTGGCACCGAGACTGGCAGCTTGACCACCGGCACCTCCACTGCCACCCTCACCGGCAGCGACACCACCTTGACCACTGAGGTTCACAGCACTGGCACTGCCGCCAGCAGCGGAGCCTCGGGCACTCGCGCCAGCGGCAGCTCCTCTAGCAGCTCGGCCTTTGCCGCCCAGCAGACTGTCGGCCCCGCTGGTCTGATTCTTGCAGCTGGTGTTGGCATGTTGGCCATGATGTAAAGGTGCATCAACCAACCATACACGAGTAGTCTCGGTCTCCGCGGGCGATACATAATAAGGGGTGGCATGTTCGCGGATTGTAATGGGCAGTCGGGCTTGGGGAAGAAACACGTTTACTTAATGATATTGGCTGTCTTGCGCACGGTTTGACGATTATGGAGGAGAGACGGATTCACTTACGACGCGATGAGTTCTGAAAGGACCCACGGGTTACTTTTTCATGTATAAATGAAGGAAGGTCATGGTAGACCACTAATTCCGTATGAAGATACCCTCCCTGATGACCACTAATTAGGGCGATGGAGTTGGCTCGCTGCCATGCCTTTAGTAATAAAACAAAGTGCATTCACTCACTCACTGCCTCTTTACACCCTGCTGTGTTTGATCTGTTCACTAAGCTTGGTGTTACTATGCGGGCACCTGGCAAACCCTGGTTGATTTTGCAGACGCCACGGTTTCCGTCTTGATGGGTATGCGTTCAAGGCGCATTGACTTGCATTTTGTGACCAAGAGCCCAGCCCAAACGAAGCGGAGGCTGATACGTCGCGACAGTTCAGCTCTCAAGTATTTTTCCTGTGTGTAATCGAGACGTTAATTTGTTCCCTTTGTACTTGCATATGTGGCGAATACACACAGGCACTAAAGCGTCTGATAGCTGATAGTGATAATGAAACCGCTGATGGGTGCTAAGCTACCGCGCATCGGAACAATGCAAGGACGGCATATAACGATCCAAAGACCCAAGACGAACAAAAGCCCCCTGGCGGGACTTTGATACTCCCTTCCACTAACAGGAGTGTATTCTAATGCTTATTATATTAGAAATGGAGTGGAAGGACGCGTAAGGACGAGTCACACTACGCAGTCATTCTGTTCGAGAATTGCTGGTATTGCTCAATGGTCTATGTATGGTAACGGTCTCCAAACCCAAAATATCCAAATGGTTTTTGATACAAGAAGTCGTGCCCCCTTCCCCGTCCTCTTGAAGCCCCGTCTCTCCGAAAAAGCGCCGTGGTATTGATACATCAGTGGGTCATGTAAGTAGAACAATATGTCGGGATATAGTGTGAGAAAGCGGACCGGTCACAGCCGCTCTATAGACGGGGGAGACCAGGCTCTTTATCAGCTGGCGCCTCACCGCGGGCTGAGAGGGCTCTTTCCAGGCCCCAGGTTCCTCTTGAGCTGTCGGAGCTCCTCCTCCAGTCTCTTCTTGCCCATTTGTTCGTTCTGTGGATAACAAGCGTCAGCATGTCTGGTAAAAGAAAAAGCCCAAAAGAGGGCCGGGGGAGACGGGAGACGAAATGCTATTACTTACTCTGAGCTGCTCCTCGTACTTCTTCCTCTCCTTCCGCAGCGCGTCGCGGTACGAGTCCGTCAGGATCGAGGCGTTGGGCCGTCCGCTCGGCGAAAGCGGCCCGCTGTTCGCCTTGAGCCTCTCGTGGTCGAGAGCGTCTTGCAGCTGCTCCTTCTCCTTGCGCGCTGCCTGGGTGACTCTGTCGAGATCGGTTTCGAGGTCGGCGATCTTGGACTCGGCGTCGAGGGCCTGCTTGGTAATGTCCTTGAGATCCTGGACGGTGCCCTTGAGCTCCTTCTCGAGCTCGTCAATCCTTGGCTGCAGCCTGGTGACCTTGGCCTGCAGTTTGGCCGTCTCGGAGGTGTTGGCCAGGGCGGCGACCTCGGCGGCTCGCTCACGCCGGGTGCCGTAGGCTCCGTCCAGCTCGGCCTTAGCGAGCGTAGCCTCCATCTTGAACTCGGCAACCATGCCGGTCATCTCGTCGAGCTCCTCCTGCGTGCTGTTGAGCTCCTTGGCTTTGGCCTCGAGCTTCTGTTCGGCCTCGCTCTTAGCCTCGTTGGCCTCCTGAAGCTGAGCTGTGATGGTCGCTATGCTGGCCTCGGCCGCAGCAAGGCGTGTCTGTACATCCCTGGAGCTGTTCTCCAAAGAGTCGATCTTGGCGTTGCGCTCCTTGAGCTGGACTTGTGCTTCACGCACAGCAGCCGACTGTTCTTGGCCGTTTTGCTGTGCTGCCCTTTGAGCAGTCTCAAGCTCAGCAAGGGCATTGGAGAGTTGCTGACGCATACCGTCCGCCTCTTGCTCCACGCGACCGAGAGCACCACGTGTCTGCTCAAGCTCTTCAGCTTTGGTCCTAATTGCCTCGTCTTTCTCGCCGTCTGACTTATTATTCAGCTCGCGTTGCTGCTTGATCTGTCGCTTGAGAACCGTCTTCTGCTCCTTCAACTTCGTAGCCTCGGCATACAGCCACTGGACCTTGGTAGAGAAGGCAGGTAGCGAGTATGGCTCGTCAGTATCGAACGCGTCTGAGTCGGATGCGTCGTCATCATCTTCCGGCTCGAGGCCCTTTTCAAGGCGAGTTTTCCTTCGATCCTGTTTCCGTGCGCGGATATCGGCGTAGCCTGACTGGATAATATCCCAGAGACCTGAAAGGACTGCATCGGCTTGCTCACCCTTCTGTCTGTCCGCAGAACCGGCCCTTGACAGCTCTGCAGCATTCTGTAGAACGAAGCTGAGTTTGTCTAGTGCACCATGCATATATTGGACTTGATCGTCAAGTCCTCCATCTGCGTGAGGGACATCTGGGTGGCGGTCATTGCTATGCTCGGAAATGAGTTCCTGAACCCGGCCATTGAGGTCTTGAACAGTCTCCGTCGCCTCGCGGCTATTGCCTTGGTTCTCGCCGACTGCGGCGACTGCTTTCTCGAGGTAATCAAGATGGCTGCCAATCATATCACCCGGCTCGAGTTGGCCAGAGGGTGGAGCTCTGTAGTTGCCGTTCTTCACCGGATCTGATTGCACAATCACCTGGCGTAGTTGATTGTTGAACATCTCCAGCTTGCGTTCCGTATCTGATATCAGTTTCCACTGATCCGCTGTCTGGTCTTTGAGTTCATCGAGCTCCAAGTTTAGAGACTGGGCTTGTGTTCTGAGTGCATCGGCCTCTCGCCTTAGCGCAGTGTTCTCGTCTCGTAGCTTTTCAGTCTCCTCGGTCAACTGTTTCTGCTGCTCTCGCACCGGCGACTTCAGAGGTATCTCGATGGGGTTCTTCTTCGGAAGGTTTCCGCCGAAGCCTCGCCCCTCGTCAAAGGACCGGGACCAATTTCCTTCGTCAAAGAGCAGTACGTCATCGGGTTCCATACTATCTCTGCCGTTGGAGACGGTATACATGCTCTCTGGGCTTGCCGGTACGCCATTGACAAGAGGTACCCTTGGCGTCTGCGTACCCAGCTTCCGCTTGGCTTGCGTCTTGTGCGTCAGCTGCAAGATGCCGGCCGTGTGCTCCAGTAATCTCCTTTGTGGCTCCATGATCCGTCTCTCCAGGACCCACAGCTCCGAAGCCAGCTCCTCGCATTTCTTCTGTATGGCATCGCGTTCGGCCTCGACCTCGCGCGCCGACTCGCCGCCGCTGGCTCGGTTCCCCAACAGGCTCTTCCGTTTGGCAGCGTTTGGTGAGTAGAGCTTGGACATGGAGATGGCCGCGTCGCGGTATTTCGACTGGATCGCGAGGTTCGAACGTGTCTGCTCGATCATCTGGCCGAGCATGCGGGTCTGCTTCTTCAGGTCGTCCACCTCCTCTTGCGACAAGACTTCATATTCTTTGCTGTCAAACAATGCGGTCTCGGTAAGGAGGTGCACTTGGATAGGGTCCTTCAGGTCAACGAGAACCGAGCTTTGCGTCCTATCGGAATTCATCTGCCGCCATAGTCAGTCGTAGCCCCGAGGACTCTACGCGCAAGACCCGAGGCCGTCTTACAGGGTTGAACCGCGGCTTCTCCCGCTGGAAGTTGTTGAAGGAGTCCTGCCTGTATCCCTCGACCAGCGCAGGACCCTTGGGCGCGCCCAAGGGCCGCAGCAGCTGCGGCCGCCCATCGAACCCGTTCATCCCCCTGGTCGATATGCCGTTCATATTGGGTTTATGCCACACGAGCAATCCAAGCAAGAGCACTCGCGCCGTTCAACAAGACATTATCCAATCCGTCCAATCCGTCCAATCCGTAACAACCGTGACCGAGCTATGCGTGGGGTGTGGTCGTTCTCCGTCGTGAAGGTCTCGTTCGCGTCACACGATGGGTACGTTGACTCGTAATTTCATATGGTACTGGATGTGGTACAGTCGCGGGAAAAGGGGGGGTTGGCTATCCGACGAGGATCCAGCAGAGTATATCTAGCGCATGTACGGAACACAAGAAGCCGAGTATCCAAAGAAAAAGACGATCAGGTATCAATGACAGGCAGGCGAGAGCAAAGGTGTGTGGCTGGCACCGCGTGTATGTAGGAAAAGGAGATTTGCGATTGCGAGTCCCGTTAGATTTGACGATGCATGCCCCAAGCCGGGCCCGCCCACCCCGTCCCCAAGCCCCCGTCTCATCCCAGACCCAGGAAACGATACCAGGCACAGAAGCAGGCCCCCTGCTCCCCCGAAAAATGACAGCGCCAGTGGGCTCAGCAGCGGGCACCCAACGCCGATCCCTGTCCTGAAGGGGCAGAACACTGTCGCTGGCTTTCCGCTTTTAGCATAGAAGGCTCACATGGAGCGATGCGCCCGCTAACCGCAGGAGGTAAAAGGTCTCACGCGGACATGTGCACTGCGTGGCTGGGCGAGCCGAGTTTTCTGCATCAAGCCGACGGGTTTTGATCTTATTTTATTAAAGTGTACATAGCACACTGTTCCTCTCTCTCAAGCGCCTGGCGCTGAGCTGCCACCGTTTAATTTTTCTCAACAACGCTGTCTCTCAAAGGGGGCGTTTTTGCCGCTGGACCATCGCTGCGCCTAAAAATATCCCGGCCGCGCCATTGGGCCATGGCGCTCCCAGAGCACACTAATCTGTCCAGACCGATTCAACCATAGGAATGCCAAAGGCTTTTGTTATTCGACCACCAACTGTTTACTATGATAGGTACACATCAGAGCGAAGAAACTCCATTCCGCGTGGAGTCATGTCTGCCAACTGTATATGTTTTGTGTCTCAGTCATGGCTCGGACTTCATGCAATGCAGCGCGCCGGAACTCTAATCATCCTGCGTCGCACGGCGGTCTTGGGGCGCCGTTTGGAATGACTGCTAATTTTGGGCATCTGTCTAAAACTTACAAAAACTGCGGTGAACATGGTGAATGCCCATCTCGCGCGATGTCGCGTGATCTGCCGAAAGGAGCTGAGACGCACAGCTCTCGCCTTGCCGGCGGGAGGCTGTGTCGTCAGCCGCGCCTCGCCGTTGGCGTAGACGTCGTAAGGCAATACCTTAGCTTTTGCTTATTGTCGTTTCTGTAGTATATAATTAGTCGACTCGTCAGGATCCCCGTGGTCCGACTTACCTTGGCGCCAGCGCACCAGAGGTTCCCGTACCCGCAATCCAAACGACAACAGCTGATATCCATGCCTTGTCTCCCTCGCTTCCTGCCGACATGTTACTTAAATCGATGACTGATAGCGATTCCTACGGATACACTCTCAGCCTCTTCAGGATGAGACGGGCGGTGGAGTGCAGGGGTGCGCACGCCAGATCATTGTTTAGCATTATAGAGTTCTTTGTCTTGTGAACGTGCACGTTGGCTCTACTATTCAATTTGCTGCTAATTCAGACTGCTCCTCGGAACTGGTCCACAATCTGCTGGCCCATATTCCGGCGTCGGCCTGAGTCTCCGCCCTCGACATTACTCTGCAAGCCTGTCGTCGTGGCTGTGGACGTTCCTTCGCCCTCCAACCGTCTTCGCAGGCCCTCAAACTCCTCGCTTCTCCGCTGAGTCCGGACGCCCACCATCCAACCGGGAATTCTCCATTTCGTCAGGGATCTGGGAAGTATCTCCATCCTCCACGAATAGCCCACGACCCAGCCAACAACGGCACCCAACAGGGAGCCTGGCCACTGGAAAAGCGCCAGCTGGACAGCAAGCAAGTACCGATATGACTTGTCAGAGAAAGTGAGGCCCTGAAATTGATCATTGGTCGGTGGGGAGGTCGACGTGGCCAGCCTATATTTATACATGTGCGGAACCATGGCATGATATTGCGCGAGAACCGCAAATATGATAGGTGTAGGCCCCGCAGGAAGGTAGTTGAGAAGTCCAAAGGTGAGCGGTCTCAGGATGAATGCTAGAATGCCTGGAACGAGAACGCTTGTGAAGAAGGCCGTGACGACGAGAAACGACTGGCAGGCGTCCGTTCAGCTACGACCGTAAGAGAAACCTGGGATGTATAAGATAAAAACCTACCGCATATTTTCTTGATCCCCACATGCGCTCGACGATTCTCAAGTTGTATAGGGCCATGGCGCCGAACAAGACCTCGGATGAGTTCGTGTAGCATAGCTGGTAGATGAGGGCGCGCCACGTCTGGTGGAAGCGCCAGAGATGGAGGTCGACTAGGATGTAGAAGTAGTGCTTCAGGTCCAGGAGACTGGCGGCGATGGATGCGCCAATGAGCCCGTAGACCAGACTCCGGGTCACGGGGGCATTGGTGAAAGACATGGTAGCCGGCGTTTTGGGTCTTTCTCGTTCATGCGCTCTCTCACGCGGTGATCACCGTATGTCAAATCTGGGTCGGAATAATTTGAATCTCATGCGATAGACATACTCGACATGCCCTGAACAAGGTTCACTGCTTGATTGCGAGCAGGGGAGCCAAGTGGTGTGGTGTCGCCGGCCGACCTTGATATCCCGAAAGGTTGGACGTGGCCTCAAGTTTGGGGATGGGGTCAGCCTTATCAATCAATGCAAGGCTGCTGCTGCTGCTGCTGAGGGTCACTTCCTCCCGAGGCCCCTAACTGAACTCAAACCCCCCACTGTCATTAACGGCCAAATTGAACTGTGTACCGATTGGTACTCGGACTGGGAAAGCCACATTGTCTCGTTTTTGAGTTTTGCCACTGGGAAACAAAACTTAGTTGTGTCAAAGAAGATAGTAGCCGAACCTCTGCATCGGCCAATATACCATGAGCGTGTACGGCATCTTAGATTCTGCTTTGGGATTCCAGGAACGAATTGGGTCACAAGCAACTCGTACCCCAGGTACCAGGCAGGCTCCAGGTTAGCTTATTCCCTGCACAACTGTGTGGGAGTTGAGGGGAGATGACCTCGAAGCACCCAGTGGCGTGGGACGTGTCCCGTCCGACGGCCGAGGCGGCCGGCGACGAACAGGGGTCCTGGGCGATCACAGCAGCGCAACCAAGCTTGCACAGCTGCACGGCTGCTGGCATTATTTCAGCGTCAGCGGCCACTTAGATCAACGTCCAAGCCTCCAAGACCACGACACGCCTGACGTACGATTATTTGCCTCGGCCTCGGCATCGACAGTCACATCTTTCCCCTCCATCATGTTTCGTTTGTAGAGCGCATCCGCATAGCCCGTCATTTTCATTTGTATCCGTCCCACTTGAGCCCGAGATACCCTCCTCCGCGATCCCAGTTTCATTGCGACTCGCCGACCCGCCACCCCGACGTCTTCGATATACTAAACTCAATTCAAAGAGAAGAGCTACAGAGCGACCAATCGAACCAACGACGAACCGCCATCCTCTGTCGCCATGGCGGACTTGAGCAGGTGGCTCCTCACTTCGCCGCCCGTAGAATGGGCGCTCAAGGGCGCGCGAGAGCTTCTGATCGGCACCTTGCGCCAGGGACCTATCCCGCAGCATGTGGCCTTTGAGATGGACGGCAACCGGCGTTTCGCCAAGAACCACCACATGGAAGCCATCGAAGGACACAACCTGGGGTTTGAGGCGTTGGCCCGTGTGCTCGAGATCTGCTACAAGTGCGGCGTCAAGGTGGTCACCGTCTACGCGTTCAGCATCGAGAACTTCAATAGGCCGAAGTCCGAGGTTGGCGGACTGATGAAGATGGCCAAGATCAAGCTGGAGCAGCTGTGCCAGCATGGCGCTCTGCTCGACCGCTACGGCGCATGCATACGAGTGCTGGGGGAGCGCGATCTGATCCCACCGGATGTCCTGCCCTACGTTGACAGGGCAGTCGAGATGACCAAGCACAACAAGAAGTAGGTTTGAGGTTCCCGTTCTCAGGGTGCAATAAATGTACCTACGTATGTATGTGTGTATGTGTGGGCTAACCATGTGGCAACAGCGCTGTTCTCAACATCTGCTTCCCCTACACCTCGAGAGCTGAGATGACGGCGGCGATCAAGGCCACCGTCGAGGAGTTCTCCGCACCACCAACACCTCCCGCCACACCCTTCTCGCAGGCCAGAATTACGCAAAAGATCAAGTCCAATCAGCTTAAGAGGACGGATTCGGTGCCGTCGCGCGATCCGTCGCCAGACCCCCACGCCAGATCCGACGTCGATGACTCGGTCTCGTCCACGACGACCCTCAACCCAGACTCGCCCCGGCACACGCCGAAAGACAAGGCGCAAGTCAATGAGTACAAGGACAAGGAAACAATCACTGCCGAGACGGTCACGGGCCATATGTACACGGCAGACTGCCCACCGCTGGATATCTTTGTCCGAACTAGCGGAGTGAGACGACTGAGTGATTTCATGCTGTGGCAATGCCATGAGGACGCGCACATCTTCTTTCTAAACTGCTTTTGGCCAGAGTTCGATCTGTGGCATTTTGTCCCCGTGCTCTTGGAGTGGCAGTGGCGGCAGAAGCAGATGGGGAGAGAGGCGCGCCCCGGAAGACGTGTCAAGGCCGAGTAGATGACGTCGTCGGCTACTGTCTCCTTTGTCCATGCTTCTCCCTTCTGAACAACACCAGTGTGGGTTGAGGCATCTAGATGGTTTTCTGGAGGTTCCATGGCAGGCGTTCTGGAATTGGCGACGGCAATATGCTCTGCCGAGGGTCCTGCATTTTGTTAATAGAAACCGCATGTATAGCCGGTGCCGACTCCTATATCTGCACTGCTCGTGAATGCAAAGGCACATGTCTCTTGTTCTCTCCTTTTTGACATTTCTTGCCAGGTCCGACCGTCGTCGCTCTTGATGGAGCTAATATGGTGAACATGACAGTAAGCCATCTCCAGCACTCTGCCCCGGTTGGGTGTATGCACATGGGTAAGGGGTATACGGCAAGGCTCTGGGGGTGGTGTCACAGTTCCTGAATGACATCAAGCTTACCTACTCTCATTAACCGCAGTAACCACATCGCCTACTGCTGCACTTTGTATTTAGGGAGAGTATGCATGTAACCAGTCGTCTCTCCTGCTGTTGTGCACAGACCCTCCTCCCTCTGTCTCCCTCTTTCTGCCTCTCTCATAGGCACAATTGCGCGACGGGGGAACGGCCGTTCTCCTCTTATCTTATCGATTTCAGATTACCGGGGGGTTTACTGGATTGGCGACTGGCGCGGTCCAATCCGTGACCGTCTTCCACTTTGACGCCTCTGCGCCTTTGCCCATCCTCTCTCGTGCCGGTGGTACCCTGTCACCTGCCGTGGCCGCTGCAGTGCGTCTTCCTCTTGTCTTTTCCCATTTTGCGCCCTCCCCTCTCGACACCTTCCCACCCGACCCCGTATGCTCCCAGCTTGGTCCCCTCGTTCCAGCATCCCAGAATGAGCTAGGTTGCGGCTGTTGAAGCTTCCACTTGGTTTGTTTTCGGCCCCTCAAGCTTTGATTTCGCTCTTTCGACACCCGCGCCTCACCCAGCCCTCACCACCCCTCGAGCGCCGCGAACCGACCCCCCTCCGAGCGTCCTCGCCCTCACCCACGATGAAGACGGCAAAGCCTCTCCCTGCCGAGGCTGTCGCTGGTGCTGGTGCCGGCGCCGGCGCCGCCTCTGCTCAGACCAGCCGCCGCCAGCCAGCCCGTCAAGCTCGCAGCAACCCCCCGCGATCCTCGTTGCCCGTCGGCGCTGGCCGCGACCCCCATGGCCTCGACCAACCCATCGACATCTTCCCCGGCATAACCCATTTTACCGATGCCATCACCTCGCTTCCCAAAGACCTTGTCCGCCACTTCACCCTGCTGAAGGAGGTGGACGCCAAGATCTTCGCCCCGGAGGACAAGCTCTTCCAGCTGGTCGAGGAAGCTCTCAGTTCCAACCCTCCCGAGCCACGTCTTGCTCTACCCTCCACCTCTGCCCAGGACACGGCCAGCAGCATCGCGCCCACATCGGCCCCCATGAGCGCCCAGAATAGCTCGGCCGGCTTCACCACCAATGGAAGCCTGCCCGGGGCGCCGTCGACCGACCAGAACTACAACGCGACCGTCTACGACCCGGCCAACATCCCCCGCCGCCAGCTGTTCCGCGAGACGGCCTTCAAGATCCAAGAGATGCTCGTGTCGCTTGAAGAGAAGAACCACGTCATGACGACAGCCAATGAAGCTCTGTCCAAACATCTTGCCCGCATCGACAACGTTTGGCCACATCTCGAGGGAGAGTTCAGCGACGAGGCCAAATGGGGCAGTAACACGCATTGGGCCTACCCGGAGAACAGGATCAGCAGGGCGAACGCCGCAGAGCGCTCGCGACGGGACGGCGCTTCGGCCATCACAGCTGCGGCGCAACAGCTCGCCGAAGAGGCCGCTGCTCGAACCGAGGCCCGGAAGCAAGCAGTCGCTGAGAAGCGAAGGATCAAGAATCAACAGCAGGACTCAGACGCCGACGCCGATCACGAGAAGAAGGCCGAGCCTTCGAGGAAGCAGGGAAATAGCACCAAGTCACGAAAGACAGCCGACACAAGCACGCCCGTGGGCCTCGGCATCACAGCAGACACACCCGCAGCTAGCGCTAACCCGCCGCAGAAGAAACGCAAGGTCGACAAGGAGAAGGCAACTGCCAATGGCGGCCAGCCCATGGAGCGGGCTATGAGCAGTGTCTTCGGAAACAACAATGCGTCCAAGGCCAAAACTTCGAGCCCTCGAACTACGCCGGCACCAGAAGCCGGCCAGAAGAAGCGCAAGGCATTACCCACGGTCAACGGCAGTCAGCCGAAGAAGAGGTTCGTTCTCCCTCTGGTCCATCTAGCGTCTCACACTGCGTGTGCGAACGGTAGCTAACGATTTACATCAGCAAAAATGCCATGTCTACGGCCCTCTCTCCATCTATCGTTTCTTCTCCTATCCTACCCAACTTCGACCCCAAGGCTCTGAGCCGTGCGTCTCCTGCGCCATCGGTTGCCCCTGCTCGCCCAGCAACTTCTCGGGCCCGCAACAACTCGACCGCCTCGGTGTTGGAGGGCGCCAGACCACGTCCATCCTCATCTGCATCAAATCGGCCAAATGGAGCTGCACCTCCCCCTATACCAGAGAGCGCTCCGCCCCAGAATGGCCCTCGAGCCAATACGGAGCCCAAGGCTGCAACAAAGGAGACTCCTGTGCCCGTCAAGGTCGAGAATCCACCCAAAGAAGTCACACCACAACCTAGCGCTCCCGCCAACCCTGCTCCAAGCGGAAGCAGAAAGAACTCGGTCGTCAAAGAAGATGCCGAACCCAAAGGCGAGCCGGTACAGAGCACGCCACAGACAGTGACCACCACAGTTGTGACTACCAAGAGTGGGCGGGCTAGCAAGCCTTCAACCCCTGCTCTAGGAGGATTCCCAGAAGCCGCCAGGTCTAGGTCCTCGCGGAATGCACAGGCGGGGGGTGCAAAGCGCAGCCACAAGAAGGGGGGTTCCGTGCAAGTTACCCTACCTGCCCCTCCAACCGTTGACGAAGACGCAACTGGCAGCACTCACGGCGACGAGGAAGGCGAGATCGACGCCAACGAGCCTCGATATTGCTACTGCAACGGCGTATCATATGGCGAAATGGTGGCCTGTGATGCGGATGACTGCGAGAAGGAGTGGTTCCACCTGGGCTGTGTTGGCCTAAGGTCAGCGCCCAGTTCTAGCAGTAAGTCAAGAGAGTGCCTTTCGCGTGACCCAATCGCTGTGGGACAAATGCTAATCGATCTGCAGCAAAATGGTACTGTGACAACTGCAAGATCCGTATGAAGAACGGGGGCAAGAAGGCGAACGGGAGGTAGCCGGTATCTACGTGACTCGGCAGGCAGTGTTGAACGGCCCTAGAGGAATCGAAAACCGTAGCACGGAGACCAGTGCACTATCCATCGACTGCAGTACGCAGACACCGGACCTTACCATATTCTCAGCGAGGCACCAGACATATATCGGCAAAAATAGCGCCATAGCGATCATCAATTATTGGGAAAGGCGTTCAGGTTGGGAAACAACCACCAGTACAGACCTGAGAAGCGAGAGTCACCGGCTTTATTTAGCACGGTGGCTCCCGTCTGGATAAAATATAACGAATCTTAACGTCGACGGATCCCTCTTCGAGAATTGTCGATGAACACGACGGAACGAAAGCATTATAATACTCACCAACCGGACGTTATCTGGCTAGATAGGAGACATTTTACATGGTCGGCGCTGCTTGAGAGTGTATATTAGCAACTGTGTATTCACATTGACCAGTGGGAGTTGATCATGTACCACTAGTCACTTTGGAACTGTAAACAGGGTATCAACGACCAGGGCTAGCCCTAGGAAGAAGTGCATTCTCCTGTAGAAGACAATATCCATATAATTCAAATGCTTCCCGTTGGCCAGTGCTTTGCCTGAAGCCATTTCCCCCTTGTAGTATCCGTGCTAGTGATGGATCGTGGGTACTGGCCGAACTATTTGGGGATTACAAGCAATAGTAGCTTAACTCGTACGAAGTGTATAGGTGATCCCTGCTAGCTCCGAGGAGATGTTGATCCCGTGTCACACTACGCGTGCACACGAGGATGCGTTGTGAGCCGCAAACTCATGCACAGGATGGAGGCGTAGCTTCGGATTGGCTGCGTCTCACTCTCCGCATTCTGACCTTTCGGCTGGGGACCCGTCGAGACTTGTCCGCTCACTGCGTTCTCCGTGGGCCTATACAGTACGTATTGTATTGATTAAATACAGCTACGACGACATACTGCAAGCAGATGGCGTATGCCGAGCACTTGCCGCATTCACCTCGCCAGACCGCCGGGATGCCCTCTGCTGCCTCTCTCTTGCCTCTCACCTCACTACATTAGCGAGCTGCAGGATCGTGTAGCAATGCATAATTTGCGTTGCCTCGGCAGCTGGCGACTTATCTAAGATTTACGAGCCCCAAACGACGGATTCGTCGGCAGCGCCTCGATGCGAACACGGAGCAGTCAGACAGTCCTTTTGCGGCCACATGACCTGGCTCCAAGCGTGGTGCCGGACCGCTGGGCGGCTTTCCCGTACCCGCCGCCAGTCGCTCTGTGCTCGGCTTGGATCGGCCAAGCTTTTTTTCCTTTCCCCTAGGAAGGGTCCAGGCAAGGAGCTTCCAGCCCCCCCAGCTCTGCTAGGGGACCGTTCCGTTTCCGAATTGTTGAATCGATGACCCCGTGACCCTCGATTGACTCAGCCAAACCCTCTCCTTTCATTTCGAGTTTGATGAGAGCTGTCGGCGGGGGCTGTACCTTGATGGGGACCCTGGCGACATCGCAGCACACGGTAACCACGTGTGATGGGGGTTCCAAGCTGAAGTAGCAGGGGGAAAAGTGGTTTCATGCTGCTGTTCCCGGGCTGTTTTCCTGCCCGGTGGAGTGGGAAATAGCGAAAGCCGGCCCGTCACAGCAAATTGGTGACCGGAGTACAGAGATTTTCGCTGGCATTTCGGACCCCGATGAAGTCAGACCCTCCAGGGGGCTGTTACCCAGCTAGGGCGAACATGGTTTCTACCCCGGATTTTCTGATCGCCTTACGCCTGGGCTGCCAGCCGCGCTGCCGCTTGTGCTGCACGCCATGTTACCTAGCAGAGATGAAAGAAAAGGAAAAAAAAGCCCAAGGAGGCAAGTAGATCCAGTACGACGTCAGACTTCTCCGGCCACTCGGATGCCCGACACAGGCCACGCAAGGTTCTCAACAGTAGGTAGCCAAGTAGCGGGCCACCTCAACCGCGATGACAAGTCTTCGCCATCGGCGAAGATTTGCGTGACCCGACATTCCTATTACTCACACTGATCCAACCAAAGCGCAAGTGTGGTCTTGGCTCTTGCCCCAGTGCCTCGCCGCCCGTAGGCGCCTGGCGTGGTGTTCAGGTGACAAAGAATAACTCAGCCGTCGTGCGGTCCCTTGTTTTCATTACCCAATCCGTGATCAATGGATTCCCTTCTGTGGCTCACTCTGCTCAGAGGCAAAGTGTGTCTGTAGCTTTCGCTATATTAATTTGACTGCATTTCGGCACCCAGCAACTCCTCCTCCTCACTATTGCCTTTGACCGACGGGGACTGACCTACCAGACTCCAAACACTTGCATGATTGCAGCTCTAGCTCGCTCCCCGGTGCTGCTCTTTTACGTATTCGCAACCTCAACCCTAGCCTCTCTGCACGACGTCCCTAAGGCCTACGACACGGACAGCATTCCAATTACCAACGACGGATCCTTTCTTCATTTCCCCTACGTGTCACGGCCTGTCTCTCACCTCACGCGGCACATCACCATTCCTTCCCCGCATTGCGCCAACACAAGCTCTTACCTAACAAGTCGACGTTCTGACTAACAGAAAGCCCATCTGGCAGTCTGTGCCTAGCTTTCGTGGCACCGGGACCTGGTAACACGTCCGGGGAAGAGACCCAGATAGTCAAGCCTTGGCCCTGAAGAACAAACGGGCGGGCACGCTATCGAAAGGGCCAATCTCGCCTTGCGCAGGGGCTAGTCCCGTCCGTCAGAGCATACTGTTGTGCCCTTGTCGCAAACCCCAACCATGGTCACGACACCAGTCTTCTCTGGTTTTGGAAAACCAGAGCCGACCTTCTCGAAGGAATTTAAGAGCAGCCCTACACCCACCACCGCTAGGATGCACCAAAGGCAGGGTAGCCTCCGGGAGATCTCACCAGACCAATCTGGCCGTTCCTCCTTCTCGTCGGTTCGTGAGAACGACTCAGACCTCGCCCAGACCTTTACTAGTACCAAGGTCTCTTCCTACTCAAGGCTCTCAGACGACGAAGCAGTGGACGACCTGCCCACACCGCCGCCCGAGATGGCTACCATGACTACTACCCAGTTCAGGCCGCCCATGACGCGGCCGCACAGCAGACTCCACGGTTCCTGGTTCCCTGCTGTTGCCGCTGACGGCTTCGAGGGTTGGAAGCAGATCGATGTCAGGGGCAAGACGGCCAGTCGTAGCTTTGGCGACTTGCAGGCCCTCAAGATTGTGTGGTCGACTCCGGCCTCTCCCTCTAAGCCCAAGGGTCCTCGACGGCCACCACCTGGCCAGGCCCCAATCGAAAGGTTGCCTCTTGAGCTTCTTGGTAAGTGCAGAATCGTCGTCGACGCGTAAGTACATGTAGACTCACAACGAGACAGGCCCTATCATTGAACTCCTCATGCTCGACATTCCGCCGAATGGCATCTCGGCCCGGAATGTTGATTTGATGTCGTTGCTTCTGACATCGAGGACACTACACACGGCAACACTCCATGCACTGTACCGGAACATCACCATCCCCCACTCAAGAATCTTCCGAAAGTTCCTGAACCACCTTACACTCAACCAAGAACTGGGCACTATCGTTCGTCGACTGGACTTCAGCCACTTCAACCCCACCACTCTGTTCTCGACGGCGTCGGAGCGAGCTACTACTCAGAACCTGACGCCTGAGACCCTTTCCCAATGTCTGCAGCTGACTCCATTCCTGAGAGAGTTCCTGGCGCAGGAGTATATCGATGATGAGATCGACGAAGGTGTGTTGCAGAAGTTGTTCTTTGGCATGGAGAGGCTGAAGGCTCTGGATTTCACCGGCTGCTCCTCACCTGAGTTCAAGAATGCCATGACTGCTATTGTCTCACGCGAATGGCCCGAGATGCTGTCGATCACACGCCTGTCACTGCACAAGTGCATCAATCTTCCAACAGAAGTGTTTACCACAATTCTTCCTAGACTGTGCAATTTGACGCACTTGGATGTTGCAGGCACGCGGATCACCGATGAGGCTCTTCAGTCCATTCCCCACACTGCGAGAATCACGCACTTGAACCTCGCCAAGTGCAAAGGACTTACCTCCGAGAACGTCATCGACTTTATCAAGAACCACCCAGCTGCAAAAAGTCTTGTCTGCCTGAGTCTTGCTTCCGATGCACGAAGCCATCAGCTGCTGGATGAAGACGACCTAGACCAGCTGCTTCCGGCTCTGCCATCGTCCCTACGCTCGCTAAGCCTTAAGGGAAGCAGGATGGATGCCTCGCACATCGATGCGCTCCGGCCTCTGACCAAGCACCTTGAGGAGTTGGCCTTGGGCCGAAGACTAAAGATCGGAGACATTGAGCGGCTGTTCAGGCCGGATGAGAATGATGACGACATGAGCATGGAGATCGACTGGGAGCCGCACACTCTCAAATACCTCGACATTTCCGATTATGCTGCTACCGAGCTGGACCTGGGCGCGCTGCTCAACAGCAGGTCCTCGATCATGGAGAAGTACAGTGCGCCCCTAGAAGTAATTGAAGTCATTGATGACTTGTACACACGTCTGTCCAAGTCGCCAACTGTTCAGAGGAGCGGCTGGACTGTTACGGAGTTTGGCAGCCGGGCTTGGCTCGTCCGTGTCCACTCCCCCGATGATGGACCGCGAGATTCGGGCTTGCGGTCGTGGAAGATGGGTGCCTCGTTCTGGGGCATGCGCAAGATACCCATGGCCACCCAGGAGGTCGGCGGCATGTACGGCTCGTACATGTTCAAGCGAAAGTTGTGAGTTCCGTAAGGGGCCGAATATTTGCATTGGGGCGGTTCTTTTTTGGTTGTTCATGCGATGGGAAGAAAGTCCCCATTCCTGGCTTTGGTATAGCATGTCTTGCATCAGTTCACGGTCACGGTTTCTTGTTTCACACACAGCGCGGCGCCTGCGGGGAAAGTCAAAAAGCATCAAAAAGCAAACATCATCCTACGGGGGTTCCTCGTCTAGTATTTTTAGCATAGCGAGCATTATGTGTCTAGATAGCACGAATCATGATGACACGAACATATTTATGTTAGGTTTTAGCATGACTGCCGCGGTACCCGTGTTTGCCGGTGACTTTAATTTGGAGATTTTCATACCAAATCAATGGCTGCGAGGGATTCCAAGAAAACCCACGATAGGTATACCTGAAGTACGCAGCCGCAGTATCTCCATGAACGGCCAACAGCCCATATGGCGAGTTCTTGCATTCCTGAGTTACATACAAAAGTGGCGGGTCGATGAAGCTACTAGTGTTGAAACTTGAGGGCGCTGTTCGCCGTGGCAGCTACTTGGGACCTAGCAACCTAACACGATGACAACGGGATCAGCTCGTATGGCTAGACAGATGCTTGGAGCGTTTACTTGGAGAAAGGCCTGGGGATATATAAGTGAACATTCCACTTGAAACGCGCATACCAATTGGCTATAGAGCGGCGAGGCGCACTCGAACAGGTTATTCTCCCAACAATCTCGGTGGTGACTACTGAGATATAAGAAGCAGCCCCGCGCCGTGGCTCCAGAAGACGCCCTTTCCGTGGCTAGAGATCATGGCCTCGCAAGGAACTCACGGCCCGACAATGATAGTCAGCCTTGTTCTTCCGTCGCACGGCCTTTGGAACTTTGCCCTTCGATCCCCAGATTACTGGCCCGTAACCCACTTAGAAGCCCCCCCAGCCAGCCAACCGACCGAACGACCAAGCAATGCAATGGCACTCGGCGCGTTCCTCCGGCCGCACGCCTTCGTGGCGCTCTATCTCATCGCAGCGATCTACATTGTACACGGCACCATCGAGCTGGTAGGTCGGTGGAAGAAGGCCGGAAATGATCACGCTCCGTTCCACGCCATGGTGGTTGTGTGCGGTTCACCCCGCCCCGGTAGCTTGCCGTGACTAACATCCAACAGGGTGGTTCTCATGGGACTGAACTGGGCCATTATCCGCACGGTCTACACCACGACTGAGAGCTGGATCGGAGTGTACTGCATCAGACGCGAGCAGGCAGCCAAGGATGCTCATGAGTTGTTCGTGCACATGGCCGCCATGCGCGGTGGTTCACCCGGGGCAGAGTGAGGGCGATGAGTGGCAGTAATTACCGCTGCAAGACAAACGAGGAGCGAAGCTACTACGAGTAGTGGGCGAAAGGCGGCGGAATTCGGTGTTGATAAAGACTAGAACTCAATCAAGTATTTGTCTATGCTATTGACTGCGGATTCTTGATCATACACGCCCCTATCTTGCTCTATAGACTACAAACCGACACATGAATCAAAGCTGCCCCAGACTCAAGAGGGATTGCTTAAACCCTGTGCCGATATCAAAAGGAAAAGAACGGAAAAGATGGGGAAACGATGTCTAGCCCCGGAACTCGGCTAGCCCTTCATCCTCTTCCAGCAAGGTGAAATAGGAGAAGGGTGTGAACATGTGGCCGGCGAACTCGGCATATTTGGACTGCGCCTCGACCCACTGGAGACGGAGGGAGTGCAACTGGAAGAGAAGTGTCAGCAGAGGTACATGAGCGTTGATGAAAGATCCAGGGGAATGGACCACGGGGGGTGACTCACCATAGCGGAACAGCCTTCCATGGCAATGAGAATGGCGCATGTCAGGAAGAACCACATGTAGAACATGATTACGATGCCGATAACGCCGACGACACCCGTCTTGCTCAAAGCGGGCCCAATCGTCATGCTCCAGAGGACCACACTGAGCTGCTGGTGGGCGAGTGACAGAGCCCACAGGCGGAGGTACGAAGCCGTGTGGGAGATACAGTTCAAGCAGAATTCTGCGCCTTGTTAGTAGAGTTGATAATGTGGGTATCATTCCGAACTTACCAATCGTGTGGATAACTTGGTGGATCATCTCCTCGCTGAACTCGAATTCATGGTGTTCTTCGTCATCATCCTGGCCTTGCGCGATCATAGCGACGCCCTCACCGTCGTCCGAGTCGACACTGGCTCTGCCATTGCCAATGTGACCATCACCATCCTCGTCGTCGTCGAGAGCAGAGACTCTCGAGTGCTCACCAATGCCGCGATAGCCCTTGGCGCGCGCTCGATTGTGCTCCCAGCGGAGATAGAAAGGCTTGAGAAACAAGAGGATGGGGACCTGGATAAAGGCAAGCGCGAGCAAGACCTTTTGTACACCTGATTGGCCGGGGTACAGCTGCTCATCCACAAAGCCGGGTCGCAGGAACATGTAGATCAACATGTTGAGCAGGCCGGGAGGATTCCTGCCTTCGCCAATCCAGTCGACAGACCACTTGTAGAGGATGCAGACGACGAGGTAGCCGAAGATGGACTGGAAGAAGATCATGCCGGGAACGAAGTTGCCCCAGATGTCGATGGGCTTCTTGAAGTGGCGGGCGTTGAACCAGGAGAGACAGAGCGAGTAGGTCATGTGGACCCAGCCCAGAATGACACTCATCTTCATCTTGTAACTGTTGCTGAAGAGGAGGTCGTTCTCAGCCCCATGCCATCTCCAGTCAAGACCAAAAGGATATCTATACGAGCCGGTAAGCTCTCCAGTCAATGTCTGGCCCTCTTCCCAGTTCTCAGGGACCTTCCATTCCCAGGCGCTCTTAAAGAAGGTGAAAGACAGGGAGAAGACATCGTTGTAGATCAGACCAGTGTACAGCGAGAAAACGGCCATGACGAGGGCGATGTAACGACCGTAGTAAATCATGGCAAACAGCTCGAACGTGACCTTCTTCAGCGGCTTCTCCCAGTAGATCATGGCCAAAGAAGCCAGGAACATGATGACGGCATGCCCGAAATCACCGAACATGACAGCGAACAAGAAAGGAAAGGTGACGATCGCAGGCAGGGCAGGGTTGACCTCCTGGTATGTGGCCGTTCCGTAGGCGTTGATGATGGTCTGGAAGGCCTCGGTAAACTTGTTCGTCTTGAGATAAGTTGGCGGGGTCTTGTTGGTTCGAATCTCGTTGATAATGGATGGCACCGAGAGGCCTGCCCTGTTTGTGACATCCTGCAGGGTGGAGCGGATGAGAGGCAGGTCGTTGGTGGGACACCAGCCCTCGGCAATGAGAGTGCGGCGCTGCCGGTCAAACGAGAAGAGGTTGAGCGTCTGGTAGGCAGCCTTCTCCTTGGTGACGAGAATCATCCAGGCAGACAGCGACTGGGCAATCTGGGTCAGCTCGGCCTCCAGGGTCTGCTGCGTGTTCCTGAGCACATTTTGGAGGTCATTGAGCCTAGTGTTGACCTCGTGGACCTGATCACGGCGCTCGTTGGCGTCCTCGTCGACCTTGTACATCTCGGCTCCCATGGACTCAGAGATCTTGCGAATCTTGGCCAGAATCTCCTTTCCGTGGGCGAAGATTACGAACACGTTCTTGTGGACCGTCTCGTTGGTCGTCGGGTCGACCAGCGGCTCCGGGATCTCGGACTGGTTCATGTACAGGTTTCCACGCAGCGTTCGCCAGAGAATACGCTCGAAGGGGCCGACACGGTCACGGGGAATGACACCGGCGACAAAACCGATGTTCATGCCCGAGAAGGAGCGGTCGACGTCGGGGGCCTGGTTGTGCTGCTCGACATCCTGCAAGAGAGGGGCGTCATCGTCCTCGGTTGAGGCCCGGATCTCCTCGACATTGCCGTGAGCGCGGTCGAAGAAGCCGCCTGCCTCCCGCAGGACCCAGCGCCACTCTGTCAGGTCAACCTCGCGCTTCTTGAGCGTCTCGTAGCTCTCGTTGAGGGATGCGACGCGTGTCTCGAGGCTTTGGCTGCGCTCGGCCAGCTCGTCGATCTCGTGCGTCGTGGGGGCTGCGAGGGTCTCGACATCGAGGTCGAGCTTGCGGAGCGGAATGCCAGCCTTCTCCATCTGGCTGTGGAAGTAGCCTGTAGCAAAAGAGTTCTGGTTAGCAGATGGCGTATGTGCGCGGACAACGTCGGCAGGACTTACGAAGCTGGCGCTCCACATTGTCGAGTCGTCGGATCTCCTGAGTGAAGGTTCTCTGGAAGGCGCTGACGCTGCTGTTGAGCTGCAAGGAGTTAGATGGTTAGCATGCGAGATGAAGCGTTGGCAAAAGGTATGATAAGCCCGTAATCGCGCGTGCTGTGGCCAGCGAGCGGGATGCGAGGCGAGATGGACGGGTGATGGGATGGACGTACGTCACGGAACTGGACAAGACCAAGCTCTCCCAGGGCGTTGACAACCTCCCTGCCGATTTCGTTTGAGATGTACAGCTGCACCATGCTCATGTCCGCAGAGCGGAACATGGACGTGTTGGATGGAGCCATGTCGGGCGGATATGGCTCCAGGGTGCTGCAGAGGGGGGTTGAAGGAATGCAAGTTGTCGTATCGTCGTAGTTCGCACTCGAAAGCTCGGATCCAGATGTCACTGCCTTGCCTTGGGCCGGCTTGAGCGCATGACGACGCTACCGCTGATTCGAGATGATGAGTGGCGCTTAGATGCATAGACGACAAGCTGTTCGCATCATATCGTATAAAGCGCAGAAGCGCCAGGAGGGGCCCACAGCCACGTGAGTTCAACAGTGCAGATGGCCATAATACTGTCACTTCATACTGTGTCTCAACCAAATCGCCCATTAAACACCATGTACCAAGGTTCAAACCCCCCAAAAATATGTATGAATGGCTGAGAAAAGGGCTCGCTCAACAATAAGGATTTCTATTTGCTAGTCACAATTTCATACAAGCTGAATAATTCTCATGGCATGACCGTATAAGTCCCGAGTCTAGGCGGTTCACCAGCCCGCCGCTGAAGGCATGTTCCACAACCACGCCCGTACTGCTCTCACTTAGATGGAGGACAACATCCAGCTTTGACAATATATCACCCCTCACTGCTGACTTCTGATCATTTCTGTCTTCACTCTTTGCGACAGTATATCGAGCTGCAATTTCTCCCACTTTCTCTCCCTACTATCGGGCTGGTTCGGTTTCCTGTTTTGCAACTAGCTGCACTACAGCCAATACGATAGTCAAAGGAGGAGTACTGATCTCACTCTGACGGAAACTCATGCTTTAGTGGGGTTCATGATTAAGAGTTGAACAGATTTCGAGAAAAACTTTTGTTGATCTGAGAAAACGCACAAGGCAATTGTTAATGGGGGAGGACGAGCGAGGGCCAACTCCTCGCCAGCTCAGAACGTCACCCTGGGCCGAGGATGAAGAGGGAAGAGCACGGCACCAGACCAAGCACTGGTTCTATTAGATCATGGATTTTCAAGCATCCCTCAGTTCACAATGGTGCCTGAAGTGTTACCCAAGCTTACGTGCGAGGCTGATGTCGCGATGAGTTTGGGATTGATTAGCGAGAAAGAAAGCACCAATAACCTACTATACAGGGCTCTATCGGATACTCTTATCAGTTACAACATCTTTTATGCCGTATCTAGACCCCCGTACGGCTCCCGGTTAGACTATAACAACTGCAAAGGAAGTTTGCAGGAATTATGTTAGACGACCTTGATCTGCTGTCTGGCTCAACCGTCTCCATTGGCCCACCGTTGTCTATTGTCCCAGCCATGTCACGTTTATCTTGGAAGAAAAGCCGAGTCTTTGGGAGGGAAGTCATTTACCTTCTTAAGTATGGATAAGCGGATGAATGCGCAGTTCAGTGTCTCGCCGCACACTCGCACCATTGCGAAAACTCGGAGCGGATTTGCAACATGACTAAGGGAATGACTATATTCATCTTGACATATTTGTCTGAACCTTATATTGTCTTCCGTGAAGACTGGAACTCAAGCGACGGGTGACTGTGCGTGAGAAATATAGTTGATGTTGCAGATGACCAGCCAGTGTCAGGTCATGACTGTACATATTGACCCTTGTCATTAGGCGTATAGTCAGGAGTATTGACACACTGGTCACGTGCTGTACAGATGAAAGGCGCAGCGGGGTGTGATGTTACCAGACGTTTTGCACCGAATTTATTCGTTGTTCACTGTGGTTTAGGTATTGCATGGCGCTCTTGTTGCTTAACACGACCATGTCATTTGAATACTTCGCAGCAAACAACACAGTACATTTTACAGCTTAGATAGCAGACACTCGACATGGGAGGCATCAATGGAGATCGCCTCTGGGACGACATTATGTTCACCTCTCAGTGGGGAGGCATGAGGGGCGAAGGTCGAGAAGGGGGAATGATGAGACTGGCACTGACGGATGAAGACCGCATGGTTCGGGACTGGTTCTGTAGGACCGCTCGGGCAATTGGCTGCGAAGTACAGGTGGATGAAATGGGAAACATATTTGCAACATTAGCTGGCGAATTCTCATCAATTCCTCCAATGGGGATCGGCAGCCATTTAGACACCCAGCCCGCAGGTGACGACGCTTTTTTGAACTCGCATCATATAGTGGAGAACTAATTGGCACTAGGTGGTCGGTTTGATGGTATACTGGGCGTACTTAGCGGGCTCGAGGTGCTGAGAAGCATCAAAGAGTCTGGAAAGAAGCTCTTCTGCGGCTTGACTGTAATTGACTGGACCAATGAGGAGGGTGCCCGATTCTCGCCTGGTTGTACTGGTGCCGCTGTGTGGTCTGGTCATACAGATATCGTTACAGCCCACTGCAGAAAGAGTAATTGGGGCAACTCGACAACTCTTGGGGAAGAACTCTCACGCATTGGCTACCGGGGCCGGCTGCCTGCGCATCACCAGGCTAACGCACTATCGAGTCATTTCGAGCTGCATATCGAGCAGGGCTCTCGTCTAGAGACCAGTGGACAGAAGATAGGTGTCGTCAACGCGATCCAGGGCATTCGTTGGTTTCATGTCAGCGTGCGTGGAGAGCGAGCACACTCAGGGGCGACTCCCATGACCAAGCGAGCTGATGCTTTAGCTTCGGCAAGCCGGATTGTGTTGTTCGTCGAGCAGCTTTGTACCAAGGTTTGTGGAAATTATAGTCCCATTTTGTTGGGACGACGATTTGACTAATGTACTCATGCTTGAAGAACCATGCCTTTGGTACTGTAGGGTCACTCACTGTCGCGGATGCCAGCCCCAATGTGATCAGTGGGGATGTGACATTCTCCATTGACCTGAGACACCCATCGGAGTCCATCCTCACTGATCTCGAAAATAACATCCGCCAAGAGATGACATCGATCTCCAAAGGCCGAGATGGAAGAGTTGTTTTTGACATGAGGCGAATATGGCATTCGCCAGCTCGAGAGTTTGACCCTGTCATGCTCAATTGCATTGAGAAAGCAGCCATTTACCGTTGCGGTTCTGAGAGCCAGGTACAGCGGTTACCTTCGTTCGCAGGACACGATAGTGCTCTTGTCGCACTTGCTGACTGTCCCACTGCTATGATTTTTGTTCCAAGTAAAAGCGGTATCAGCCATTCCCCAGAGGAGTGGACCGATAAAGAGGACTGGTAAGTTCCAAGGCATACAAGTCATGCAGAAACTGACAGGCTCGCTAGTGTTCTGGGAGCAGACACTCTGTACCAGGCAATACTCAATTACGATGATTACCTCCGTCGTAGTTATAGACAACGTTCGAATGCTAGGGAAAGTGAGCCAGAAGTATTCGTAAGCTCATTATAGAATTCTGGTCAACACACATATCTGGGAACGGAAGTCAATGTTGGGCAAAAGCATCCAGAAGCGAAGTGATTGTGAGTATAAATTACCGGTCGATGCAATGGTGGGTCATTCCAATCTGGTGACAGTAGCAGGATGAGAGTCTTGAGGCGAAGCTTCCGAATTGGCAAACGCGACTTGTTCTAGTATCTTGAATTAGTTTTTTTATCTCTAAGGTGCGTTGAAAAATGCGGGTATTTATCAAGGTTTCTATGTAAAGCAATGTTGCTTTCCAGATGCAACTTGTTACATAGTGTCTGTAGGAGTCTCCTCATCTTCGCGTGCGCACGTCTCTGGTATGGGATCCTGTAGCCGAACGAAGGACATGGCGAACACCCCAAAACCGAAAAGACCTGCAACCAGAAGAAAGGGTACCCCGGTCCATTCCCGGCCGTGATTCAGGCCCCATCTAAAAGAGCCAGCGAGCATAGGACCCGCCACGAGACCACCGAGAGATTGCATGAGACCAAGTGCTGAATATAAGGTGCCTGCTTCGTCGGGGTGGACCAAGGCAGTGGCAAGACTACGGGCCGCGGGTGCGAACCCTGATCCGAGAGCGAACACAGCCACACCCAACGCGACCAATGGCACTAAAGGGGCTACGGCGATGACAAGAGACCCGATTGTGAGGAGAAAGACAGATATACGACTGGTGAACAGGTCTCTCGCGGGATTGCCGAATCCATACCTAGTCAACAGCTTATTTAGACTTGGCAGGCCGAGTAGGAGAAGGACGAGATGAATTGAGCCACGGAGGGCTATCAAAAAACTGGCCTTGTAGAAGTTAGTTCACTAATACATATACACATCAGATCATGGGGAAGAGCCTACCTTCTCATAGGACCAGTTGAACCGTTGTCGGACGTACTGCAACAGAAAGCCGGTGGATTGGCGGCCCAGGGATGCGACAAAGAATGCCAGTAATACAGCAACAACATTGGAGCTTGCCAGAGACCGAATCTTAGAAATGAACTCCAGAGACTTTGATGCCAATGTCCTTTTCTTTGGAGACGATTTCCCCACCACTGTTGATTCGTCAGATGCGGGCGAGAATTGGGCCGTTTCGTCTGATCTGTGTTCCTTCGAAAGAGTTTCGGGTAGGAATAGGAGAGGGATAATGCCTCCCAGGAAGGATAGTACGCCCGCGATGAGGTAGGGTATCCAAGGATCCTTGGACATGAGAAGGGCGCTCAATGGGGTAGCAATGATATCGCCGACGAGGATGCAAGCAGAAAGGACGAAAAAGACATTAGCTCGCTGGCCAGCGGGAACGACATCGGCAACAGTAAGGTAAATCATGGACGATGCCACGATATCTCCGCCGCCGATGAGCCTTGCAGCTGACGAGAGCCAGATCAGCCGAGGCGGGAAGATATCATGACGCCAGCAGACAAGTTTGGCCAGTAGATCTTGTATGAAGATACCGATGAGGCTCAAGGCCAATACCGGGCGGCGGCCATATCGATCAGCCAAGACACCAAAGGGCAGCGCGACCAACAAGCCCGGGATAAGATTGAAGGTGTTCAGCAGCTGGTTCACGGTCGCTAGCTCAGCCTGAACAGGGCCAACGGTGCAGTCCGCTAGCGCCGATGGAGAACCGGAGGAGTAGTACTGGTCGCAGATGATCGTCTCGAGTATACTGGTTTGCGGCGCGTCGATGAGAAAGCCCGCAAAGTCGACAAGTACCATAAGAATAAAGCTTACGGCAATCACACGGCCTTTGCTCGTCTTGCCAGCCGCGGGCTCGTCACTTCTGGGCGCGGAAGCGGAGCTAGCGCCCAAGAGGGCCGTGGACTCTGATGGGACGTCCGACATGTTGAGGTTGCCGGATCGTACGCAAGACAAAGCGAGCACAACGAATGATGGGAGCGTGGTTAACACGCATAGGAGAACACGGCGTCTCACCGGCGCAGAAGACTGCGAACAGGGCGGCCTGCCAAGCCCGATCCTTGGCAGCTCCGTGCCGCAGTCAAGGCACGTGCGCAGCTGGTCCGTATATCAGGGGCAAGAGACAATCAACCGGAATTGAGAGATTATTTTCAGCTGGCCAACTGACCCAAATGCGTTTGTCTATGCATCGGGAGGCCAGAAGAATCAGGCGTCAGTATCCGTTCATGTTCACCCCAGGTGAGCAATGAGACGGGGTATCAGAACAGCCTGTGGGGAATCTCGCAGCCTGAAGGGGCAGGTGGTTGGCTTAGTGTTTCGCGGAAGAGTACCCGGGAGTAGGCAACAGTAACCCCCGGCTGATGGTAGGTTTGGCATTGGATTGGAGCGGCAACCCTAGCGCTTACCATAATAACTACCTACTTATTTCCGTATCCTGCTGTACCGATGACACATGTTAGTCATCGGTACATACTACACACTCAATCGCCGGCTAACCTCCTGCTCAGCAACGGGGATGCGCTGGTCAGTTTCGCTCGTGTTGGGACCTCGCCTTGTTTGCAGCGTGCCGTGCCATTGCCGACCGTTTTGTCTTCCCACTGCCTTGCCTTTCTACTTGTGACACCAGACGCGCACTCCAAGCAGGCCGGCATGGACAGTGGAACGTGCCTGGGTCTAGATGCCAGGTTCGGCCCCCGGATTGAGGCTTCATGTCGCTCATTTGACTTCACTTTGCTCTTTGAGGAGTTGATACTCTCAACACCGCTTTCGGCATTGTTTATCTTGACCACGTGTACCCGATTGACGCGTTTATATCGCAAACCCAGCATTACCAGCCCAAAGGGGCTTGTTACCATCAAATGTGTACGGGTGCCACCTGGATGAATCACCCAGACCCCTACTGACCGTAATGCTATTAGCTCGTTATTGGTATTCTCCTGGTGTTGGAAGTCGCACAAGTTGTGCTAGCAAGCCTGGACTCCGCCAAGAGTAGGACGCCAGCAACGCTTCCAGCTGTAGCTCTTCGACTCTTGGCAACATTGATGTTGTTTGTATTGTCGTTTGCTGAGCATGTAAGGTCGCCAATGACCTCCGACCTCATTGGCACCTACGTTCTTCTCCGTCTTGTTCTAGATATACCCATCATCAGGACGTACTGGCTGCTAGGAAACCCTGCCGTAGCTAGCCTCTTGACAGCTAAGGAATGTCTTGGTATTGTTTTACTCGTTGTAGAGTCTTGGTCCAAGATTGCCCCTGGCACTTCTACCACCCACTCACCGGATGAAGACGCGAATGTCTTCAGTAGGCGCCTACTTGCTTGGCTTATCTCGCTCTTCGTCAAAGGGTACTCTCAGCCGTTGACTATAGACGATTTATATTCCCTCAACAAAACTTTATCGGCCGGCGCATTTGGAAAACCTCTCGCTTCTGCCTGGTGGAAGAATGGTAAGCTTTATTCAATGTTACGCGCGTCATTCAAGTGATTAAGACTTACAGGAATGCCTCGATGGGGAAAGTATGGCCTCGCAAAGCTCCTTGCAGCGGTTCTACACCTGGCAATATTGGGGCCGGTATTGCCTCGCCTACTTCAAATTGTATTCACATTCTGTCAGCCTTTTTTGATTCGGGCTACAACCGTCTTTCTCGACAGCGAGGAGTCATCCATTACTGTTTATTATGGCTACGGACTCATTGGTGCTTATTTGCTCGTTTACACAGGCATTGCCGTAAGGTCTTTCACGACTCAAGAATCATGAAATAATAGCTAACATAAGCCAAAGATTACCAATAGCTGGTACTGGTACAGCCAGACAAAGTTTCAAACCCAGCTAAGAGCAGCTTTGATAACACTTTTGTATCAGAAGAGTCTACGAAAAGATATATTGAGCCTTTCGGAGGCGGAAGCCAACACCCTTATGAGCGCTGATGTCGACAAGGTTGTCATAGGGATGAGGAACTTCCACGAATTATGGGCGGCGCCGGTTGAGCTTGCCATTGGGCTCTGGCTTCTCTATCGGGAAGTCAAGCTCGCTATGTTGGCACTTTGCTTTCTGTCCATCGGTAAGTAGACGTCGGCGCTTTGGGACGTTGTTGTTAACGCGCTTCCAGCTTTCTCGCTAGGTGGGGTGCAGATTGCAAGATTTGCTGCTCCAAGGCAGACTGCCTGGATGGCTGCTTTACAGGTCCGCATAACCCGTACGACCAAGATGCTGAACTCCTTTCGCAGTATCAAACTTCTCGGGCTTGAGTTCAAGCTTTCGGAAAAAACGGCAGATCTCAGGAAGATGGAAGTGGATGCCTGTGTTCACTCTCGAGTGGCAACGACTGCTGCAGTAGTCTTGTGCAAGTTGACCCTGGCTTCCTTATGCCATCAAACGCTCTATTCTAATCGAAACCAATAGCGTTTTCCAACATGCTTCTCGCCCCCGTTTTGGTTTTCTCAACATTCCTGCCACTTTCGCAGACTTATAACATGCCTTATTCGACTGAGCGTATTTTCAGCACTCTGTCGCTTATTTCGCTTATGACGGAGCCGTTCATCAACGTTTTGCAATCACTTCCCCACTTCTCCATGGTATTTAGCTGTCTAGGCCGTATAGAGTTATACATGCTGGGCCCAGAATACAAGGACACTAGGAAGATTGGGAATTCCACGAGTCCGAAATCCTCGATCGAGTTGACCAGCCAGGTCGTAACGAACTCGGATGACCGGTCGCATCATTTGATGATCACAGATGGTGATTTCAGGTGGGGCCGCGATCTGCCTCCTGCTCTCACCAACATCAATATTCAGGTTCCTGCAAGTCAACTGACTGTAATCATGGGTCCAGTTGCGTGTGGCAAGACAACTCTGCTACACGCAATCCTGGGGGAAATAGCATGTGCGAGAGGAACAGTCAGAGTACCATCCAAAGTCATTTCATATTGCTCACAGAAGCCATGGATCACGAATACGACAATTAAGCGAACCATCATTGGCCATGGTACTTATGATGAAAGATGGTATGAAAAGGTTGTATTGGCATGCGCGTTGAAGAAAGACTTCGCTGCCTTGCCTCGTGGAGATGAGAGTGAAACTGGAAGCGGTGGCGCGACTTTGAGCGGCGGCCAGAAACAGCGAGTGGTAAGCATCCTGCTCTCTCTACAATGTACTGATAACTTATCAAACCTCCACAGTCTCTGGCACGGGCATTGTACCAGCGGTCGCCCCTCGTTATCCTGGACGATGTATTCAGCGGACTTGATCAAGCAACTCAGGACCACATAAGCAGAAGCTTATTCGACATCGGAGGTCTACTTCATAAATCCCAATCCGACGCAACAACAGTCCTAGCAACCCACTCCGGTGTGTCTTCATCCTAAAAAAGGATGTCTTTATTTGAGCTAATAAATCATGCCGGATAGTACGATTCCTCAAATACGCACACCATGTCATAAATCTGTCCAGCGACGGAACAATCTCATCTCAGGGGCCGCCTTCAACACTGAAACTGGACGATGTAGCCCATGAAGAACTTCAGCAACCGGGAGAAGAGACAGATAGTAAAACGGAAAAACGGAATACAGCTACCGAGACACAGCCGAATGGGATAAACGACGATACCGCGAGAACAGGTCATGAAGTCTCTGGCTCTGACAAAGCAGCGCTACGGACGTATATAGGTACCATGGGTGCAGCGAACAGCATCGCATTCATTTTGATGGGAGTTTTGTACGTTGGCCTGTACAAAATCCCAGGTATGTCAAAAGTCTCAATGTAGCATGGTGCTTCCAAAATTAACCGTCGACTTAGACTACTGGGCAAGACGGTGGGGAGAGCATACGGATGCTTATCCTCGCCAACCGCAAACCTCCTTTTATCTGGGGGTATATTCGCTCTTCTATGGTCTTGCCCTCATCGTGTGCGCTGTGTGGTTCTCGTAAGTCAACAACCCCTTCGCAGGACCTATCTCCAGCGGCTAAGTATACCTAGGCATCTTCTCCTGATAATCATACCCAAAACCGGCATTGAAGTCCACTCTCGATTGTTACGGACGCTCATGAACGCCAAATATTCGTTTCTGGCTCGAACAGACGTCGGCAGTATTGTAACGAGATTCGGGCAGGACTTGATGTTGGTCGACACTGAACTTCCGATGGCTCTGATGAACACCTATATCGGTCAGTCTTCGATAACGTACCAAATGGGAAAAGGCTTGCGGGGTGATAAACTGACTGGAAACTCACAGAGTCCCTCACTCTTGTTGCACAGCTAGTGTTGATTGCCTCTGCTTCAGTCTACCTGCTTGCCGCATTTCCATTTCTGGCAGCTGTGATCTACACGGTGCAGCGAATGTACTTGCGAACGTCAAAGAGATTACGGCATTTAGAACTAGAAACGAAAGGACCAATTTTCTCGCATTTTGATGATACGGTTCGCGGTTTGACATCAATACGTGCCTTTGCGTGGCAGGACTCCGTTACTCAAGTCAACAATCAACTGCTTGACACCTATCAACGACCATATTACTTGCTTGCTAGCGCCCAAGGTAAACAACTATAATGAAAACATTCGCGAGGTGTCTTCGAGACTGATCTTAAATCACAGTATGGTTAGAGCTTGTGCTAAACCTGCTTGTTGCAGGGCTGGCAACCATCACGATAGGGGTTGCAGTAGCTACGCGAAGTAGCGGCAGTGGTGCTCAAACTGCTGTGGCATTACTCAATCTCGTCACCATGGGTGAACATCTGAAGTCCCTGATCATGTTCTGGACGCTACTGGAAATATGCCTTGCGGCCATCACGCGCGTATCCGATTTTGTCAGCTCAACACCCCAAGAGAGATCCGAAGACGCGGATAACAGCAAGTCAGACAAGGAGAAATCTGGGAGACTCATACCACCTGGCCCGGCAAACATCAACATGACAGGGGTGTCAGCGCGTTATTCGTATGTTTCACGTGCCGGGGAATGTTCTTTGAGCTGACTTATCCTCTCCAGAGATGATGGCGATGATGTGCTAGCGGACGTCAGTCTTCGAATTGACCCAGGCATGAAGGTTGCGATATGCGGTCGAAGCGGCAGGTGAGCATGCCTAACGAGCATAGTCATTCACAGGGCTTCAGCTGATCATATCATACAGTGGGAAGTCGAGTCTGATGAACATCATGCTGAAGATGATGGATGTGTCCAAGGGCGAGCTCCGCGTTTTCAACACACCATCAACCCAGCTTGATCCCCAACGCCTCAGGAGGATGATAAATACAATTCCTCAAGAGCCCTATTTCTTCCACGGCAGCGTACGAGAAAATTTGGACCCGGAATCTAGAACATCCGACAAAGAAATGAGGGATGCTTTACAACATGTGGGCTTTGGATTAAAGCTGCTAACCGACGGCTACCTAGATGGACTGCTAGAAGTTGACTCTTACTCGGCCGGCGAGCTGCAGCTCCTCTCTCTTGTTCGAGCAATGCTTCGACCTAGAGATATTTTGATATTGGATGAAGCAACAAGCAAGTAAGTTTCCCATGTCATTATCAAGGATTAACGGTGTTCCTGACGTTACAACCCTTTACAAGTGTCGACGAGGAAACACATAGGAAAATGCACACCATAATTGCTGAACACTTTTCCTCGTCGACTGTCATCGAGGTCATGCACCGGCTGGACCAGCTTCACAAGTACGACGCAATGTTGGTCATGGACAAAGGTCGAGTGATTAGATGGTCCACTTCTCTGAATGAGGCAACCATAGAGATAGACTGATACACAAATGTATTTCGGGTATTAGCCTTTGGGGATATGCGGTGTGTACTATATGGTCTCATAGATGCTTTACATTGGTTGCTATGAAGCCATCGGCCATAGGCTATAACATGCAATATTTTCCTCTCCTGTTCTTAGACCGATCATTGGTATTCGCCATCTGAATGGTCTTGTCAATCTTTGCGTTTGTGGTGTGGGCGCGTGTTTCCGTGAGAAATGGAACAGCTTGGGTGCCTCCTGTCCCTTCTGCTACCCGAACTGGGTCGTCGGCCTCTGCACCTGCACCCTGTGATTTCTCATCTGGACCTTCGATGTTGATATATCTCAACACCATACGCAGGTGTCGATCGCGCAGTTCTGTTAGGCCTGCGATAGCACTATCATAAGCAGAGACGAGTTCGCTATTGTTGGGGTGCAGCTGTACGAAGTGTCGCAGATTCGGCACGTTCTCAACATGCTCCAAAAACTTTCTATGGTATATTGGCATATACTTCCTCATGTCGTGCAAGTAGTCTCCGGCATGCTGAGACACCTCGGTCTGGTGTTTAGGTCGGTGGCTTACCCCGAGCGACACATCAAAAAACTGTATCAGCGAGCACTGGGCATTGCTTGGACCATATGAGCTTGCCATATAGCTGGTACGGCTATTTCCCATGTCGAACCTTAACCCATCGACCTCGCCTGTGCTACCGCCTCTTATTTTGGTCCAACCTGACAGAAATGGTCGGATAGAGTCACAGAAATGCTCAGGGCTGCATCCTTCATACATTCTGTCGAACAGGCACGCAATATCCTTAAGACCTGTACGATACCGATGCAGAGTCTCGATGACTCTGCAGCAATCATTTTTCAATGCAGCTTGTAGAGCTTGCATTACATCGAAGATGATAGGAGCTCCCCTTGCCTCTATCGCTGCACTAATCATGTAGAACCACGACTCATCCGGCAGCCCCGTGAAAGTCAGGGATGCACGTAGTTTCGCAGGGTCGCTGAAGTCTAGATGGTCCGACTTGTCAATGAAAGTGAAGTTCCATAAAACAACGCTGGCGTAGATGGCCACTGTAGGAAGATCTAAAACCTGACAAATGCGGGTGAACGGTATTGACAACGGCGGTGGGACTACCTGGGTCGACATATCGAGTGTTAGTGAATATCCTAATGGCTTCTCAGTCGAGTGATAGTTCACACGAACCGTTGCGACATCTTCATCGCCCCATACATAAGCGTGAAGTAGAAATGACAAGACAGTGTGTGCACGCTCGTATTCCTGCCTGCTTTGCAAGCGGTTTGTTTCCAGCACTGGTAGTTTGCGAATAACCTTTCTTAGTCTTTGCTCTCGCACCAATAGCGGTAGATTGTTGGCAATGTCTTCCCAAGGAGCATAGTAAGGCGATGGTAGAGTTGTTAGTGGAGGGTTTGGGGGCAAAAACCCTGTCTTCGCACCTATCCCGTACTGCTCCGGATCTGGTATTGACACGCTTGCGGCAGCCATGTTCATCAATTTTTGGTTTTCATCCACAGTACCTATCCGCCGATGTTCCCAAGATGACTGCAATATTTCTCCCATGATCAAAACGCGCACCGTTAAGGTCTCTGTATGTATGCGCCTTGCGGTGAAGCCTCTCTCGGCGCACTCCGTGTCAACAGCCTCATATGTCAAGCGCCCCACGCCATGACTGTGCCGCCGCAAGGTTACAACAAGGGGTTGACTGTACATGAAAATGTAACACCAGCGCGATGACTGTACATATCCCTAGATACATACTATGATCATGCTCATCTCATGGTATCCACATATTGGGGCTATTGGAGCAGGAGCCATCGCGGAAGCTTCGCCGCAAGAAGTCCCATAGGATGCATGTATTGAAGCTTCCGCAGATTCAGAGCATTGCCTACTCCCGTTACTGATACGAAATATGTCCTGCGCGTAGAAAATTCCGACTAGAGAGAAGCTGATTATCTTGACTTCTAGAAAGGAAACATTACAGGTGAATGATTACTGGAATCTGTCAAATATGGGGAAAGTAGGCTAACGACTGGGATGGTGGATTATGCAGTCAACAGGGTGCTATACAACGCAAATTTGGCGTCGCTACTTTTCGTGTTTAACAATTTCTATTGAAATTAGACGTCACAAGTCGGCAAGCAGAGTTCACAAAACTTACCCCCAAGGTGCGTTTCAGAAGGTCCTCCGCACCATGGACACAGGACTGATTAGTAGCAATCTAGTTGTATCTCGTCTGCAATCACCGCCCATACAGCCGTACTGTAGCAGACTATGCGCTTGCAGAAATCCTCAACCAAGCTATAGGTCTGGTTTTAGTACACTGCTCAGGTCATCACCTTGAAAAATCTCTCCTGGGCACACGGTAGCACCACCTTGACACCTGGGTGATACCGAGAATACATCAAGATGCATGCTTTTGTATTTCCGGGTCAAGCAGCATCGCTGCGGCATGTGCCATCCACGATGCTGAAGCAGTACCCCGACATCAAACTTATGTTTGAAGAGGCACATCAGGTCTTCGGTATCGACTTCTCAACTGTCGATCTGCAAGATGAAAGGGGTATCCGCTTCGGTAACACTGCGTTGACACAACCTCTTGTCTTCTTATATTGCATGGCGGCGTATTATCAAATCGCCGACCCTACCCCGGATATGATGGCCGGCCATTCCCTTGGAGAAATCATTGCTCTTGCTGCGTCTGGAGCTCTCACGGTGAAGGCAGCATTGCACTTGATCAAAGTCCGTAGTTTAGCCATGCAGGATGCCTCTAACTCTCATCAGTCCGGGATGACTGCAGTTATGGGCCTCAGTGAAGAGGAAGTGCAAGCAGCCTGTAATTCATGGAACACAAGAAATCCACACAGTCATTTGGGCATATCCAACTATAACAGTCCCCGGCAGTTTGTTATGAGCGGCAGCAAAGAGGCTCTAAGCTACGCCAAAGGTCAACTAAAATCTGCTGAGCGAATCGTTGACCTGGCCACCCCTGGAGCATTTCATTCCCCTTACATGGCCCAAGCGAACGATGCATTCAAGCTGGAGGCGATGTCGGTTCATTTACAACGTCCAAGGTGCCCAATCTATCTTAACTACACGGGTAATTACACGACAGATCCAGCTGATATTCGAGATGGGTTGCTGCAGCATATGGTCTCTCCTGTGCTTTGGACTAAGACTGTTCAGGGAATGATCTCAGATGGTGCAACCGAATTTCGATATCTTGGATCAGGTGGTGGGATACCAAGAATGATCCAAGAGATTCACAATGGCGTCAAGATCTCCTACTCGTTACTCTATAGTGAAGGTGGTTCAAGGCCCTCGCAGAACGGCGAACAGAACGGCCACTTATCGCCTATTGAGGAGACACTCAAAAGTCTCTGGATCAAAAATGTCCCAATAACAGCAGGCTGTCTTCCGCATAGACACAGCAATTTTTTTGAGCTTGGTGCCGATTCGATTGACGCTATGAGACTTTCAGCTGCAGCTCGTAGCAAGGGCCTCAAACTCTCCGTCAAGGATATTCACACCTTCCCGGTCTTATCCGACATGGCATTTGTTGCAGCGAGAGAAAGTGGACAGGAGTTCTTAACAGCCGAAGTGGCGCCTTTCTCTTTGTTGTCTCAAGATGCAGATATCGATTCCGCCATATCGAATGCGGCACGCCTCTCTAACATGGTCAAGGATGACGTCGAGGATATACTTCCGTGCAGCCCCCTGCAGGAAGGATTGATAGCCCTCAGCATCAAGCGAGAAGGCATCTATGTCACTAAGAAATCCATTGTGTTCGACACCAACTACGATATCCAGAAGCTTCAATCTGCATGGTCGACGGTTATACAGCAATCCCCAATCCTTAGAACAAAGATTGTCGACCTTTCAAACCATGGCTTGGTTCAAGTTGTCTGCAAGAACTATCCAACGGGCAAGAGTGTAGACGGCAACCTGCCTATGGGGCTCGGCACATGGCTTCTTCACCTCAGCTTCGAACAGGGGCTAAACTCGCAGTCTTTCAGGCTTATCATCACTATGCATCATGCCATTTTTGACAGATGGTCCCTCGGCCTGATACTACAAGCTGTGGAACGTGCTTATCATGACAAGGAAGTACAACTTCGCCCAAAATTTTCCAGCTTCATCAGTCGCCTTAAAGATATTCCTCTTGAGAAGGCATCGCAGTACTGGACAAGATATTTGCAGGGTCTGGAAGCGCCTCAATTTCCACAACTGCCTACTTATGCCCACCAACCACACGCAGATGATTCTTTCTTCCATAGAGTAGAGAATCTGAATTGGAATCGGAGCCTAGGAACACCTTCCAACTTGATCAGAGCAGCATACGGCTTGCTTATCTCGCAGCTTACTGCATCGACAGACGTCGTCTTTGGTGCGACTGTAATTGGTCGACAGCTGGATCTCGATGGTGCAGAACAGATCAACGGGCCTATGATAGCTACTGTACCTGTTAGGGTGCGTGTGGATATGGATATTTCAACATCGGTCTTCCTCGAAACAATTCGGCAAGAAAGTGCACAGACAATCCCGTACGAACAAGTTGGTCTATCCAGAATCTCCAGGCTAAACCGCGATACACAAAGAGCATGTAGCTTCCAAAGTTTACTTGTCGTTCAAACTCAACACAGTGCTTGCAGTGATGGCGGCGACTACCAGTCTTTTACAGAGAGGATTCAGAATCTACCCGCAACACCCGACGCATTAGGGAACTTCAGTAACTATGCATGCGTGTCAGAGTGTAGTCTTCGGTCAGGAGGCTTCGACTTACGCATCGAGTTTGACAGCAAAGTGATGAACAAGACTATGGCTCAACGTGTCGCTCAGCAGCTAGAGCACATAGTTCGCCAGCTCAATGACCCGAAGCACAACGTGCTTCCGCTCAGGGAGTTGTGGTGGATTTGCGACGAAGACTTGAGCCAGATCACATCCTGGAACGGCAAATGGTTTCCCCCTGCCGATTCTTGCATTCACGAATGGTTTATGCAGATGGCAGTGGAGCAGCCTTTTGCTCCAGCGGTATGTGCTTGGGATGGTGAGTTGACTTACAGAGAGCTCGACAGCTTCTCGACCAAGCTTGCGCGCCACTTAATTCTGGCCGGGATCGGTTCCGAACACACGGGTCAATCAGCGCTCCTCCCCTTATATTTCGAGAAGAGCATGTGGACTGTTGTAGCCACTCTTGCCGTTATGAAAGCAGGAGGAGCCTCCTGTCTCATGGATGGTACACTACCTGAGGGTAGACTGAACATGATCTCTAGCCAACTGGCTCCAGCCGTGGTGCTTTCGTCGAAAAAACGGTTTGAAGAGGCGCGGAGGTCGTGGAAGGACAAGGTGCTTTTGATAGACCACGAGTCAATTGAAGCCTTGCCACTACGTGATCATTTGAAGCTCCCAACTGTTAAATCGACGGATGCCATCTGCAGCCTCTTCACTTCAGGATCTACAGGCACACCCAAAGGAGTCGTGCTCCAGCATAGCCAGCTTTGCAGTGCCATCATGTATCAGAAAGAGGCACTGAATTTTAACAAAGAAACCCGGTTTTTCGACTTCGCAGCCTATGCCTTCGACGTAGCTTGGCTTAGTCTTGCACACACTTTGGCTACAGGAGGGTGTATCTGCATCCCATCTGACAAAGATCGCCGCGACGACATTGCAGGATCCTTCTCGAGGTTGGCAGCCAACACGACATTCCTCACACCGTCCGTGGCTCGAACATTGGAGCCAGAAGCAATGGCCACTCTTCATACTCTGATGTTTGGTGGTGAAGCAATCACTAACGATGATATTGCACAGTGGCGTGGCTTGCCACATCTTATTGGTACATATGGACCTGCTGAGTGCACTTTCGTCAGTACCATTACGCCGCTGAAGCTGGGAAATTCACAGAATAGCATATTAGGCACAGGAGCTGGAACTTCAACCTGGCTTGTCAATCTTTCAGGGGAACAGTTGGCGCCGCTAGGCTCCATCGGAGAGATATGGATCGAAGGGCCCAACGTTGGGGCTGGATACCTGAATGCTGAGACTCTAACCGCGAAGTCCTTTTTCGAGAAGCCTGCATGGTTTTCGGAAACATTGCAGCAACAGCTTGGTCGCAAGACGTCAAGATTCTACCGGACAGGAGACCTCGCGACGTATAGCCCCAATGGTGAACTCATCTTTATGGGCCGCCAAGACTTTCAAGTTAAGATCAACGGACAGCGTGTTGAACTGGGCGAGATTGAGCTCCAGGCTCAACGTGCGATAAAACCGAATACCACCACCAAAATCCACGTTGAAGTAGTCACACCTTCTGGACACGACAAAAAAGTACTTGTCGCATTCATTGCGGGCTTTCCACAAGTGAACGATGACCAGACAGAGAGCTTGGCGGAGATTGCAGCACTCATCACGCAAGGTCTCCGCAGGAAATTTCCCGACTACATGATACCCAATAGTTTCATCCCTTTAAGCGATGTCCCAATGACAAATACTGGGAAAGTCAACCGTCGCCGTCTCCGAGAAATTGGGAGCGCATTCTCCGTGGGCCAGCTGATTGAGATGAATCCGCTCCGAGATAGGCGCATAGCGCCCGAGACAGAAGCCGAGCGAACCCTCATCAAATTGTGGGCTACTATCTTGCATCTCGAGCCGGAAATCATTGGGCGTGGTGATAGCTTTTACCGTCTCGGAGGGGATTCCATATCGGCCATGCGACTTGTCGCGCTGGCAAGAAGTTGTGGAATTCTCATGTCTGCCTTGAGCATCATGCAAAACCCGGTTCTATGTGATCAAGCGGTCATGGTAGAGTATGTCGAGTCCAAAGACGACGACATAACATGCGCTCCTTTTTCTCAGCTCTCTCTTGATTTTGATCAATTACAGGCGGCTGTTGCACAAGCAGCTGAAGGATGTGATCTTAGTACAGATCAGATACAAGATATATATCCTTGCACGCCGCTTCAAGAAGCGCTTCTCGCTGCCACCTCCAAGGATCGGAACAAATACATTGCGAGAAGAGTTTATGAGCTTCAAGAGACTGTGGATAGTATTGATGTTATCCAGGCTTGGCAGGAAACCTGTTCGAGCATCGATGTCCTGAGGACACGGGTCGCGAATGTCACTAATGTCGGGCTTGCGCAAGTCGTCTCAACCGAACTGTGTCCTGTTTCGGAATGGTTAAATCTGCAGGCATTTGAAGGCTCTGAGTCTTGTTCAATGGGACTTGGAACAGCCCTTGTAAAGGTAGACCTAGTGAATGTTTCTTCGGACTCGCGGCGTCGACTCTTCATCTTTTCGGCACATCACGCGGTGTATGATGGTTGGTCTTTACCATTGATCCTGAACCACTTCATTTCTATCTACGAAAAGACCCCAACACCTGCGCCCATTCCTTTCAAGAACTTCACCAAGTATTTGAAGAATTTGAAGACCGAATCAGCGCGAACGTTCTGGACGAGTACGCTAAGCAGCGTCGAAGCTACAATATTCCCGAATGTGCCAAAGACTCCACAAATCCACCCGACGACGAATACTTTCCAACACGACATTCGCAGAATTACCTGGCCACGAGGTGATTTTACCCCTTCGAATATCCTGACAGCCGCTTGGGCAGTCGTTGCCAGTCGCTATTCCGACTCCAAAGATGTTGTTTTCGGCACGGTTACATCTGGACGGCAGACTCCGATTCCAGGGATAGAACGCATCATCGGCCCAACTATTGCCACCGTGCCTGTACAGGTGAGGTTGCTAGGCGGAGAGAGCTTGGCAACTCTATTACATCGAGTTCAGGGAACGGCCTTGGAAATGATGCAATACGAGCACACTGGTCTCCAGAATATCAGGAAATACAGCCCTGAGATTGAACGGCTTTGCAACTTCCAGACACTCTTGGTAATCCAACCTCCTACGAGAGATATAGCTGAGTCCAACACTGGCTCTTTATTCGTGAAGGAAGAGCTACATACAAGTGCAGAATTCGGCCCGGGATTGGGCCATTCTGTCGACGATTTCGGTTCGCATGCTCTCTCGATCCAGATCAATCTGGACGACGGTAAAGCTTCCCTCAAGATCACACATGATACAAACGTATTGCATGAAGAATCAGCAAGTAGGATTGCCAGGCAATTTACTAGTGTTATCCGTCAATTTTGTCGTTCATCAGAATCGGCGGAGACTACCCTTGTTGAGAAGCTCTCTCTCGACACTGAGCAGGACACCCAGAAAATATGGCAATGGAATTCCAAAGCTCCTCCGCTGATACAAGGCTGTGTCCATGACTTAATCAGCGAGGCGGCCTCGAAGTACCCGGGCAACCCAGCTATATGTGCATGGGATGGCGAAATCACACATCGTCAGCTTGACGATATGTCGGCCAGGTTAGCGCGTCACCTGATAAGTCTCGGTCTCCGAGTTGGCAGTATTGTGCCGCTGTGCTTTGAGAAGTCCTTGTGGACTATAGTCGCTATCATGGGAGTTATGAAGGCGGGTGGAGCGTCAGTCACGATGGACGTCGGCCAGCCCGTGGAGCGCCTGCGGCAAATTGTCGACAAGGCAAATCCGCAATTCATCTTGTGCTCAGAAAACAGGCAAGGTCTAGCTTCGATGCTTCGGCCGCAGGTGCGTGTTCTGCCGGTATTCTCGGATCTAGTGGAAGGTCTAGATGCAGAACCAACCGTACAGTTGCCCATTGTTGATATGTCTAGCCTTCTGTACGTTGTGTTCACCTCTGGTAGCACGGGAACGCCAAAGGGCGCAACTATTTCGCACGCAAACTTTTGCAGTGCCATCAGGTACCAGCGTGAAGCCATGAGGTACTGCTCGGCGTCCAGAGTCTTCGACTTTGTTTCTTACGCTTTTGACGTCACCTGGCCAAACATACTCCAAACGCTCTCGGTCGGTGGCTGCGTTTGCGTGCCGTCAGAATTTGATAGGAAGAACGATATATCGACATCAATAAGAACACTGAGGGCAAATGCAGTCCACGTGCCGCCCTCCGTTGCAAGATTAATCGACCCTGCAGCTGTGCCCGAGATCAAAACGGTGGTCGTAGGCGGCGAGCCTGTGCTTTTGTCAGACGTAACGAGATGGGGGCCTGGCGTCGAGGTCATCCAGGTCTATGGTCCAGCAGAATGCACACCCCCAATCATGGCATCATATCGTGTCGATAGTGATGAAGCCATGGCAAATATTGGGCATGGATTCGGTGTTGTGCCTTGGATCGTTGATGCTGACGACCCTCAGAAACTGGCCTCGATTGGCGTGGTTGGTGAGCTCGTAGTTGAAGGGCCGCTTGTCGGGTTGGGATATCTCGACGATCTGGAGAAGACTGAAGCTGCATTCCTCGATAGTCCCCGTTGGCTTGTGAGTGGCTGTTCAACTCATGCTGGCCGGTCTGGTCGGGTATACAGAACAGGGGACTTGGCTAGGTACGAGCATGATGGTTCCATCCGATTCATTGGGCGAAAAGATGCTCAGGTCAAAGTCCGTGGCCAAAGGATCGAACTAGGGGAAGTTGAGGTTCACATTGAACGTTTGTTGCAGGATCAACACACCACGGACATCGCTGTTGATGTGTTTGTACCTGCGAAGAGCACAACGGCCGTTCTCGCAGCGTTCATAGCTGTTGGCGTTGACACATCCGACAAATCGCAAGCTGTAAAGCTTGTTCAGAGCATCGTTCAGTCTTTCCATAGCGGTTTGAAGGAGGCCTTGCCCGCATACATGGTACCATTTGTGTATATTCCTGTTGAGAAAATACCCACTACTGGGACTGGTAAGAAAGACCGCCGACGCCTACGCGAATTGGGTGCCAGTTTCACACTTGAAGAGTTAGCTTCTTTTAATCCCTGGCGACAGGAGAAACGCTTGCCTTCCACGGAGTGGGAAAAACGACTTCAGCTGCTGGTCTCCACTGTCCTTGGGATTGATGTCCAAAGCATTGGTGCAGACGACAGTTTCTTCCAGATTGGTGGTGATTCAATCGCAGCGATGAAACTTGTGGCACTGGCTCGGGAGAGATTTGGAATCAGGCTCGCGGTTGGTGACATCTTCAAAAACCCTCAACTCAGCGCATTGGCACAGCTGGCCGGGACACATATGTGCGTCGATGACCGGGTGGAGATATCACCATTCTCTCTTCTGAGTGACGAGGATCCTGGTACTATGAAGCTCCTTGCGTCTGGAGTTCTTGAAGTATCCCCTGGGACAATCGAGGACATGTACCCCTGTACTGCGCTTCAAGAAGGGCTCCTGGCGTCCACTTCGTTCGCCGAGAGCTCTTATGTGGCAGATAAGATCTTCAGACTGGAGCCCGACGTTGATTTACATCAATTTAGACAGGCGTGGCAACATGTCTTTGACGAGACACCTATTCTCCGGACACGAATCATCGAAATACCCGGGAAGGGACCCTTCCAAGTGGTTCTACGTCAGACGCTACCATGGTTCGAAGTCAACGGCTACGATGATTTCTTGGAGTCTGGAAAAACTCGAAAGGTTGGTTTTGGCAATCCATTGATTTGGCTTGGAATTGTGTTCACTGCCACTGGCGAGTCTTATTTCTCTTGGAAAATGCATCATGCTCTGTATGACGGCATATCGATCAGGATACTCCTCGGCAATCTGATGGCGGCCTACGAGAAGCGCTCTTTGAATTCAACAGCACCATTCAGTCATTTTATTGCCTTTACAAACGGAAGAGATCTTGCGTCCAGGTCTTCGGAGTTTTGGACAAATCAACTTGGGACTTCTGTAGCCAGACCATTCCCCAGCTTGCCAAGTCCATCCTACCGTCCAATTGCGGATACAAGTCACACCCACTGTCTGCGTGGCATTAATTGGCCCGCAGTGGACTTGACTCCGGCAAATATCCTACGATCAGTCTGGGCGTTATTGATTTCTCGATACACAGCGAGTGATCAGGCGATTTTCGGAGCTGTAGTCAGTGGCCGACAAGCGCCAGTGCCAGGTATTGAATCCATTATGGGGCCAACAATCGCGACAGTACCAGTTCTCGTGAGCATCGATGAAGAGGATTCTATTACAAACATGATGAAGAAGGTTCAATCTCAAGCCGTGGATATGGTTCCATTTGAGCAAGCCGGGCTCCATAACATCCGGCGCATCAGCCCTCATATAGAGAGACACAGCCAGTTCAACACTCTACTCCTGATACAATCCGAGTCGGACGATGAAGATACTGGCCAAGATTGCCCATTATGGACACAAAAGACACCTGTGGACATTTCTCCTGAATACGCGTCACAGTCTGCTTTGGGGACCTTCAATTCGTACGCCCTGCTTATGCAATGCATTATTCGCGATGATGGACTTGAACTCAAGTCTGAGTTTGATTCTGCTGTCATTTCTGAAGATAGTATTGCACGTTTGACAACCCAATTCGAAGATGGCTTGAGGCAGATTTGCTCAACGAATTTCTCAGCCACTCAAGTCAAGAATATCAGCTTCCTCAGCCAACAGGATCTTGAGGACATTTGGCAAACGAACGAATCAGTCCCTCAACCAGTCAACGAATGTATTCACGACATAATCCGGGAAGTATCTTTGAGAAAGCCTGAGTCACTTGCTGTCGATGCTCACGACGGCAGGCTGACTTATAGAGAGCTGGAGAATGCTAGTAGCTACTTGGCACTTGTCCTCGCATCCAAAGGCGTCAAACAAGGTACAATAGTCCCAGTCATCTTCGAAAAGAGTCTTTGGACAACTGTTGCGGCCCTGGCCGTGATGAAAGCTGGTGGTGCCGTGGTGCTACTCGATACATTTTTGCCTATGGCACGATTGGGTGCCATCGTGAAGCAAGTCAAACCAGTTGTCACAATATCCTCGACGAAGGCAGCTGAAATTACCGAAACCCTCTCAATTGAGGAGAACATAATACTTGCACCAGGGCGGATTCCGACCTCGGGTACCTACGATCCCACCACCCTGCCCGATGTGTCGCCTTCGGATTCCGCATATATTGTTTTCACCTCAGGCTCCACTGGCACTCCTAAAGGTGTCATCATCACGCATAGAAATTTCTCCAGTTCACTGAGATATCAGAGCGAAGCTCTCGGGTTCTCGAAAGCCTCGCGTGTCTATGATTTCGCGTCGTATTCCTTCGATGTTTGCTGGACCAATATGCTTCACACTCTCGCGGCAGGAGCCTGTTTGTGCGTTCCAACGGAGTCAGATCGTCGAAACAATCTGGGAGAGTCCATAATGCAATTTGCAGCCGATACTATTGAACTTACGCCATCGGTAGCGAGGACACTGGATCCAGTCTCTTTATCAGGACTGAAAACCCTTAATCTTGGTGGCGAAGCCGTCACCGGAGAGGACGTTGCAAGATGGAGCCATATTCCCACCGTCCTAAATACATATGGCCCGGCAGAAGCAACACCGACCACGACTGTTTGCCGGCTATCCACTCATGACTTACACGAGCCTCGAATGGGTAAGGGCGTGGGAACATGCTGCTGGGTAGTCCAAAGTGGCGGAAAGCTTGCACCAGTGGGGGCAATTGGCGAATTGTGGCTTGAGGGACCTCTAGTTGGGCAGGGATATCTGAATGATGCTGAGAAGACTGCTTCTGCTTTTGTTGACGACCCACCATGGCTGATTGTTGGCTATCCCGGAGGGTCAATCCCTGGTCGTTCTGGCAGAGTCTATAGGACTGGGGATTTGGTCAAGCTATTACCAGACGGCAACCTTTCATATGTGGGCAGAACCGACTCCCAAGTCAAGATCAATGGCCAAAGGACCGAACTGGAAGAGATAGAGAAACAGGTCCAGAAAAACCTGCCCAAAGCACATCCAGCTGCGGTAGTAGTGGACTTGATAATCCCATCAGACGGCAGCACGAAGGTTCTGGTGGCCTTTCTCGCTCTGCAAACCAGTCACTCGGGGGTCATCACCAAGGATAGAGATCTACTATTAAACATCGCTCTCGAGCTTGACAGTACCTTGGCTCTCGCCGTTCCAAGGTACATGATCCCATCTGTTTTCCTGGAGATCGATACCGTCCCGCTCGGGCCTACAGGAAAGGTAGATCGACGACATCTTCGACAACTTGTTGAAGTTATGACGGTCGGGGAACTAGCCAACGCCAATTTGCTTCGGGGCAAGAGAGATTCCGTAGCCGAAGCTGTATTTACTCCAGTCCAATCACTGCTGCAGAAGCTCTGGGGGGAGGTGTTGCACATCGCTCCAAAGACGATTTCTCATCACGACAGCTTCTTCCGCCTTGGTGGAGACTCAGTTTCGGCAATGAGATTGGTCGGGCTTGCTAGATCACACCATGTCAGGCTCACAGTTGGCCAAGTCTTCCAATATCCCCAGCTGCATGTCCTTGCTGGTCAAGTGAAAGAAAATGGTGCTGGGACAACGAACTGTACCGGACCCGTTCTACCGTTCACACTGCTCGGTGATGCCGATGTGGAAGACTGCTGCGCGGAAGCCGCATCTACACTTGGAATCAACAAAGATCAGATCCAAGATATGTATCCCTCGACACCACTGCAAGAAGGTCTCCTTGCTACGACAGAGCAGCAGGCTGGTAAATATGTTGCCCAATACATGTTCAAGCTACCAGATAGTGTCGATACGCAAAGATTCAAGGAATCTTGGCAAGTTGCCGCTACACACATGCCAATTTTGCGGACTCGATTCGCCTCGATAGGTCACGCGGGCCTTTTACAAGTGGTCACCAAGCAAGGCATCGACTTCACCGAATATACCTCATGGACCCAGCGCACCATTGACCAGCCAGATCTTGGCTTCATAAACCAAGCTTCTCGATACGAGATTGTTCACACATCAGCGCAACCGGCAGTGTTTATCTGGACCATCCACCATGCATTGTATGATGGGTGGTCATTCTCAATGATCCTCGACGCTGTGCAAAAAGCCTACGAGGGCAGCCAGCTGCTTGCCGTAACCCCATTCAATGCTTTCATTCGACACCTCTCACGTGCGGACTCGAAAACGGCAGCAGAGTTCTGGCTACAAGAACTGGAGTCGTCCCATGCAGTTCCGTACCCCAAACTTCCATACACAAATTACCAGCCGCGACCGGTATCACAGCTGACCCATACCATGTCTAACCTCCAATTGCGTCAGATGGACTTCACAGTGTCAACTGTTCTGCGAGGAGCATGGGCCATCCTTGCTTCCCGTCACTCCAATTCAGACGAAGTGATTTTCGGAGCAGTTGTTTCCGGCAGACAAGCAACCCTACCGGGCATTGAACAAGTCGCCGGCCCAACCATTGCAACAGTTCCTGTGCGCACGATAGTAGACGGGGCAGAGAAGACTACCAGCTTTCTTCAGCGGGTTCAAGATCATGCTGTTCGTATGGTGCCTTTTGAACAAACTGGCCTCCAGAATATCAAGAAGCTCGGGGTGGGCATGGACTCTCAGACTGCTTTCAACACGCTTCTACTTGTGCAAATGGAGGATGATGACTCTCATCAGGTTGATCGAAAATGGCTCTTTGATTCCGACTACACGCAAGATGAAGAGGGTTCGACTGGAAAAGCAATAGGATTCGAGGCTTTCAGTCTCTATGCTTTGCTAGTCCAGTTTTTTGTTCGGAAAGATGCCGTCGAGGTTCAATTTTGGTTCGATGAGAACGTAATCGAAGTCGCTCTCCTCGAGCGGTTATCTCTTCAGCTTGAAACTCTGATGCGACAGCTATGCTTGGAAGAGTCACATGACTTGAGTATCTCTCAGCTTTCGACGACGAGTGAGCGTGACCTTTGCGACATATGGGACTGGAATCCCGTGCCTCCGCCCTCAGTAGAGAGGTGCGTCCACGAGTTGATTATTGACAACATGAACCACAAGAAGCTGCAAAACTCTCTCGCCGTGCAAGCTCATGACGGTCAGTATACGTATGCAGAGCTTGACTCGCTGTCTACGAAACTTTCGATGGCCTTACGTGCAACAAATCTCATAGGCCCCAGTACCATTGTTCCTCTCTTTTTTGAGAAATCAAAGTGGACCATGATTGCTATCTTGGCTGTGTGGAAGGCCGGAGGAGCCGTTCTCACCCTTGATGGAAATATGCCTGACGACCGTATCCAGGCCATCGTTTGTCAGATAAACCCTCGACTAGCTCTGGTTTCTGCAATGAACAAGCAGCGGTCACTCAATGTGCTCAATCCCGAATGTGCAACAATGGTCATTGATTCGAATACCATCTCGAGCCTCCCTGGATCTGAAGCTTTCGTTAGCCCTGTCAAGGTACAGCCTTCAGATCTGGTCTACGTTGTATTCACATCAGGCAGCACCGGTGCACCGAAAGGTGTCTTACTCCAACATCGCCATTTGGCCAGCGCATCAACGTATCAAGCAGAAGCACTCGGATACAATGAGACATCACGGGTCTACGATTTTGCATCGTTTGCGTTCGACGTCTCATGGTCGAACATCATTCAAACTTTCACCACAGGCGGATGCTTATGCATTCCCACAGACGAGCAGCGACAGAATGATTTACCTGCTTCATTCCGCGGGCTGGAGGCGAACTTTGTTGACCTCACCCCATCAGTATCTCGCACCATTGATCCAGAGTCCATGGTCGGACTGCAGACCTTGCTATTCGGTGGAGAGGCCGTGTTAGGAGCTGACGTAGCAAGATGGAAGACCCTACCGAACATCAAACTCGTCAACACGTACGGGCCTGCTGAAACTACACCCAAGACGACGGCTTTCCCCCTGACCGATGAAGATAGCACAGCCGGAGCACGTTTTGGTGTCGGTTTGGGTCTCAACACGTGGCTTATTGAGCCAGATGGTGAGAGTGTAGCAGCCGTAGGCGCCGTGGGCGAGCTTTGGCTTGAGGGACCGCTCGTTGCTGCGGGATACATGAACAATCCTGCGAAGACGGCTGAATGCTTTGTGGCGAATCCTCCATGGCTGACTCGGGGCGCACCGGGACATCCTGGACGAGGAGGAACGCTCTACAGGACAGGAGATCTCTGCCGGTATAACATGGACGGAACTCTTTCGTATGTCTCCCGCGCAGACACGCAAATCAAGATTGGCGGGCAACGCGTAGAGTTGGCCGAGATCGAACACATTGTTCAACAGACTTCCAGCGAATCAAGACTCAATGTAACCATTGATCTGATTACTCCCAAAGGAAGCCAGACAAAACTTTTAGTTGCATTCGTGGCACCGGCAGCCGGAACCAAGACATCTGGGATTGAGACGGCGGGCTGGTCTTTCGACCTCAGGGACAAGCTCAGCCGACGGCTTCATCATGCCGTGGTTCCACGTGCTTTCATCCTTTTAGAAGCGATGCCTGTCACGACTTCAGGAAAGTCGGATCGGCGCCGACTGGTCAGCATGGGATGCAGTATGACCCTAGATGAATTGACCAAGCTCAGCGGCTCTAGAAACACGACCAAGCGTGCGCCGCAGTCGGAAGAAGAAGCGATCTTACGGCAGCTATGGGCACAGGCTCTTTCTATTGAAGAGACTAGCATTGGCATCGACGACAGCTTCATGCAATTCGGTGGCGACTCGATCAGCGCCATGAAGGTAGTCAGCTTGGCGCTTAGGCGAGACCTCAAGTTAAGAGCAGCCCAAGTCGTGAATACCCCAGTACTGAGGGAACAAGCCAAGCATCTACAAAAATCCCATCAGAGGGCCACGGATGGGACCAATATAGTGAGGAAACATGCTACCACTTTGTTCCAAACCCATTGCATTGACGCTGCTCGCCAAACACCACCAGCATGGTATGGATTCCTCGTCGTCAACCTTGCGCCGTCATTTTCAGGAACCGCCGCGTCGCTTCTGTGCACCTGGTTGTGGTCTAGCTTCGATATACTCCGTGCGATATTCACACAGGACGGCCACAAATACGTGCAAGAGTACGCTTCCAGCTCCGAAACCCCAGTGACTGTCCTATGCGACGTCGGCGACCTTGAGGCTGAAAGCCAAAACCTCATCGAGACTCAAGGGCACGAATCGCTTATTCTTGGTCAGCCATTTGTGAGATTCTGGATACTGGAAGGCTCAGACTCGTCTCGGCTGATGATACGTCTACCCCATGCACAGTATGATGGGATCAGCTTGAACCAGATGATGGCCCAGCTCGTCGCATTCGGACAAACTGGAATGCACGAAACTCCACTTCACTTCTATCGTTATTTAGAAATGGTCAACAAATCAAGGACGAGCGGAGGTTTGGAGTATTGGAACCGCCTTCTCCAAGGCGCATCTATGACACCGCCCCCCGGGCCTCCTGTCGATGATGAGGTGGTAATGAAGGCCGGCTGGACAGTTCCGTCTATCCGTATCGGCTTTCCTGCCCTACCTATTAGCAAGAGCACTACTGCTGCAACCATCTTCACAGCTATTTGCGCCCGTGCTATTGCTGGCGTATGTGCGACTCCGGATCTCGTCTTCGGTCGACTGACTTCAGGGAGAGCCATGGACCCTGCCCTGAGTAGTGTAGCCGGTCCTTGTATCAATTTCGTCCCCATTCGTATCGATAATACTGGGCGAACTGACATCATCTCTACTATCCAGCAACAGGTGGCAGAGAGTATGGATTATGAAGGGTTCGGAATAGACGAGATATGTGTTTCCTCGAACATTTCGACACCCCGATCAAGACACCCCTTCAAAGTACGACCTGGAGCCACTCCATTTTTCGGATTCACAGTTCAATACCAGAATGTTGAAGAAATGGAGACAACCAATGCTGTCTCTTTTGCTGAACGGGGGTTCGCGTTCCACTGGCGGCCTGGCAATGATACGGCAGAGGCGCTTTTCAAAGATTGCATCGCTATTCGGGCTGAGGAAGCTGTCAAACAAGACTCAACCTCGGAGGAGAGACAGTTGCAAGTAATCATCTCTGGCCCAGAGTGGAGAATGAATGTCATGCAGCAGCTTGCTGATGAGATCCTCCACTTCGATATGAATAGCCTAGATATGGAATAAGAGTGGAGTACGTGGTGAGAGGTGAAGGATGGATGATATCTAGGGATTTCTAAGTTGATCTTGCCATTTGATTTTCAATAAATATGTAATGATTCTGCTTTCCTGGCTTTTGTGGCTTTTAATATGCAGCTTTATAACCTGTAGTAAAGCTTCTGCACGTGGCATTATTCTATCTTCAGACCTTTAGCCTACTTGGCACCAAACCCAGACAGAGAGAGAAACTTCTAATCCTAAAATTAGTGACTGGAAATGTTGCATCAGTAGAGAAGGCCAATCATCTAAACCCCCTTTTTTGAATAGAACATTTTATGCCCCATTGATGTCCATGCCCAAATCCGCGAAGGCTCCCACGACTCCATCGTCTCCGTACTCGACCGCCCGTTGCATAGGTGTGTAGCCATCAACGTCCCTCGCTGCTGTATTGGCACCGTGTTCCACGAGCAGTCGCGCGATATCAATAGCACTCTGCACTCCTGTTGCACAGAGATGCAGTGGTGTCCTTCCAAGAGTATCGGTGCCGTCCACGTCCACGTCATGTTTTAGCAGGACACGAACACACGCAATGTTGCCGTGAATGACAGCAATGCTAAGTGGGGGGCTGGTAGGGTCTATAAGCGTATTTTGCTGTGTCTTGGGCGTCCCAGGAAGTTTGCCACTGCCAAATGGTGTCGCTATACTTGCTGACGAAGGTGAGGTAGTCTCAGGGGAATGTGAGCTGATATTAGCAGTTATGTTGCTGTGGAATGACGTCTTCCGACGCTTGGAAGCCTCTCTCGCTAGTGCCTGGCTGGACCCAGTGTGTGGCCGTGGTGAGCGAGGCAAGTCCTTCCGCCGCATATCCTGCTGGTCGGCGGGTGAGTTTATTGCCAAGTCGAGACCCGGACTATGCCAGAGCTGCGACCACTCATCGGCTGGAGGGCTCTGTGGGTTGCCAGAGCTACCGAGATGGTGGTTTGACAGGGGCTGTGGATTTGGCGGAATATAGTTGGTCGCTGAATGATGCATTCTCGGCCGCTGTACTTTTCGTGTATCACTGGGAGTCCCTATAGAGTCGGCGTAGGTCGGCTGTGTTGATCCTAGGGAGAACTGCCTTAACTGGCCATCAGGTTCTGCACGTGTCGGCTGTACATCTGACCAATGCAGCAATCCCAGCCAGTCGGCCGCGTCATGTACATAACCACGCGGAGGGAGAGATTCTGAGTCGGCAGAAGGAGGCAGGTCGGGATCTGATTTCTTCGACAAGTCCGGCGGCGGCGAAGGTGCCACAGCAGGTGGTCCAGTAGATGTCGAATCCCACAGAGCTTCCTTGAGGGCTTCGAGCTCGGCAAGCTTGTCTCGTATAGCTCGACCTGATGGTCAGTTTCATTGGCACGAAACAAACAGAAGAATATGTTTCATGTTCGGAATAGACCTACGATGACGACGTTGAGCTTCACGGTTCTTAGCCCGTTGCTTTTCTACAGACGCCTCCATGGCCGGAGAATTGGTGGTGGTACCACTCGCCATTCTAGTCTTCGTAAATGACTATGGATCACGAGAATTCCCACTGACGCTTTGCCTGCTGACTGATAATTCTACCAACCCCGCCAGTGGCGCCAGCAAGAAAAGGAGGACTCCAGCCGATATATTCCACCGGCCATATACTGCTGTTTATGGGCTGATCGTCCGCACTTGAATACATCATTTGTTCAGGGATCCTACCTTCTTCGTATTAGCTAGACGCTTACTCCATGCCAGCATGGCATTCGTATCCAGCTCTGCGCCGCACTTACACATGTCAATGCACTTTTGAAACTGCTGAAGATTCCGGCAGCTGTCACTGACTGTAACCGAAACTTTGGCCGTCGAAATCATTACATAAAATTGCCGCCGTAGATTTGAGGGGACTGTACCTTCAATAGTACCGGATTCCACCGGTGGTTCGGCAAAGTGCCGCTGCTCTCCGGCCAAGGACTCAGGCCAAGGACTCAGCTTAGGTCGTGCTGGGTTGACGCCCTCTCGTCAGCATGGATGCCGATGGCGCTAACGTTGCGTATAGTACCATGCAGCAGCAAATACCCGTACTCCCCACACATCCAAGACGTCCAGCGGGGCGCCAAGGTGGCATTCAGCTCTTCTTTACCGGTCTGCGGCCCTATATGGATCGTCAGCCCGCGCTAGGAACCCCTACCGGCGCTCCGTGCCGCAATGGCTACGTGCCTGCCGCCTCGGTTTCGCATCCCAGAGATGACTACACAGCTCAAGTCACGCAATGATGGTTCTGTCATCCCAGCATCTTGAGATAGGCTACTGGCAACGTTCTATTACACCGTAGAATGCCAAAGTGGGACTATTTGTAGGTGCCAGGGGCCACAGTGGGGAGGATGTTATGTAAGACTGGCAGCCAGAGGCTGTGATCAATGGCCGGCTCGACCAGCCAGGTCACCTTCCACGCTCACAGCACCTTGTTAGATCAGTGAAGCACTTCCTAACGTTACATTGCTCTCATTAACGCAGACGCTGCAGCCATCTCTTCTACTGGCGTTGCTGACATTGCTATCGTCGATGCTTCAACCATGATAACGTATGTGCAACGGTCCTCGAATCTTCCGCACCAATACCTTTGTTTGTTAAACAAGCCGGACGCGTAAGATTTGCAATGCGCGAACCTACACGGTCGAGTGTAATGACGAGGATGGATACAGTAGGTTTTTATAAAGACGAGGCTCAAAAGTGCTGCCAGCAAACCCCGTCTGCTGCTGACAGCTGAGGCTAAGCTTTCCCGCCTGCCAGACGTTCCAGCGGAGTGGCACCTTATGCACCTCCGGCCTTGGCCTCGTGGGACCGTACGTCTCTTCAGCCAACTCTTGGACCAACTACCTTAGTAACAACATCAGGCCGAGCCAACCGCTGATGCACTCGTTGACTGAATCGGGGCCTGGCTGGAAGGGCTGAGAAGTGCGTGCCTGGCTATGGAGAACTCGGCACAGGAACCGTTGATCCGAAACCAGGAGAATCAGAGTGAAGATGGAGACCGCGAGGCCAGCGTCGCTCCGGTCTCCCGGAGGCATGACCCTGACGAAGGCGTCGGCATCTTTTTGTGGCTGTTGGTGCTCTCAGCTGGTATCAGCGGGCTTCTGTTTGGATGTTAGTCGATCCCCAAAGATTTAATACTGATATATTCCTGTGCAATGCGGAAGCTGATGTCGCACCCAGATGATACTGGCGTAATCTCAGCGACCCTCGTTTCCATAGGTACCTCCCTCTCCGGCAGAGAGCTCACATCCTTCGATAAATCTATCATAACCTCGTCCACTTCGCTCTTTGCGCTCATCGCGTCTCCGTTATCGTCCATTCTCGCCGATGCCCTTGGCCGAAAGCCAGTGATCCTTCTCGCGGACGCTCTGTTCATCGTTGGTGCGGTTGTGCAAGGGGGAAGCTATACGGTGTCGTCGATGGTGCTGGGGAGGTCCATTGTAGGCGCCGGAGTTGGGGCTGCCAGCTTTGTCACACCCATGTACATCGCCGAGCTGGCACCTGCTGCGCATCGAGGTCGACTCGTCACTATGAACAACCTCGCCATTACTCTCGGTCAGGTGGTCGCGTATGTGATCGGCTGGATGTTTTCGGAGCTTGTCGATCCCGCAACCGGCTGGCGATGGATGGTAGGTCTAGGTGCGCTTCCTGCCGCTGTGCAGTGTGTCCTTATTGTCTTCATGCCCGAAACACCAAGGTGGCTGGTGAAAGCCGGTAAATCATCTGCGGCCAAACGAGTGATCCGGCAAACGCTCGCCTCCAGTTCTTCATCCAATGAAGCGGACCACATTGTGACCGACATCCAGAATGAAGTCCGAGCTGAGGAGGAGAGCAGACGTCTGAGCAGAGGCGGCGCCAAAGACAACCAGGGTTGGCTTTCGACGTGGCGCGAGCTGATCGCAGTCCCCAAGCATCGTCGCGCACTTGCAATTGCTTGCCTCCTCCAAGGTCTGCAACAGCTCTGCGGCTTTGTAAGTTCTTCCCTCAGCATCGGCGGCTCCTCTAACAAGGCCAGAACTCTCTGATGTACTTTTCTGCGACCATATTCGCCCTTTTGGGCTTTACGGTGCCAACCCTCACATCTCTGAGCGTTGCAACCACCAACTTTGCCTTCACTATAGCTGCGCTGTTACTGATTGATCGGGTTGGTCGACGACGGATACTCCTCTTCTCGATTCCTTTCATGATTATGGGTCTACTGCTGTCTGGCTTCGGCTTTAGAGCTATTGAGCTCCCTTCTACCTCTGACACCGCAGTTGCGACAGCCAAGTTTGGAGCGCCCGCGCACAACACTGCGGCAACAATCGTCTTGATCAGCATGATCCTGTATGTGGCTTCATATGCAATCGGCCTAGGCGTTGTTCCGTGGATGCAGTCAGAGTTGTTTCCGCTCAGTGTGCGGTCGTTGGGAAGCGGTATAGCAACCGCGTCAAACTGGTCGGCAAACTTTGTCGTTGGCCTGTCTTTTTTGCCTATGATGGACGCTCTGACGCCGACATGGACGTTCGTCCTATACGCCGTAGTATGTGCTATTGGCTGGATTGCAGTGTGGGCAATATACCCTGAAACAAGCAATTTGAGCCTAGAGGAAGCAACTGGCTTACTGGAGAACGGATGGGGCGTCAGGTGATTACGTTTAAGCCATGGCAATATTGAGCTGTGATGGACAGATATAATAGAATGGTACCATTGCTCATCTTCAGGCCCAAACCTGCGAGAAGCAGTCGCGAAGGCCACACATGTGATTTGGTGGCACTGCAATTGGCTACTTGGCTGTGTTTCGCTTGTACTCCTTGCATGCCACTCACTATAGTCCAGTTTCTCGATATAAGTGGGTACATCCTTTTCAATCACGCCTATTCAGGACTTGTGAAGTGTACTATTAACCACGGCCCCCATTCTTAGTCTATTGTGTCTAAGTGGGCATGGGGAACTGTATTCTCATCTCCGAACCTGACGCAGATCTAGATACCCGACCCGACGACGAAGAATCTTGATGGAGTTCCGTTGGGTAAAAATAATGTTGGGTACATAACCGACCCGCGCAAATAATTACCTTCACAGAGGAATCCTAGCATTACAACACTCAGCTGTAGGGTGCTTACTAAAGTTGCCCGGGGACATGGTAGCCCGCCCTACCGGGTCGTCTGCCGTGCCCCAGAACGGCCGCGTGCGCCCGGCCAATGGACGTCGGGTCTGGGAACTTGGCTTGACATCATGCGGCAGCTTATCGATCAAACTCTATGCTCGGCACGCGAGGCTCGTAAACCTCTTGTAAGGCGCCGACTCAGGACGTAGATATTTTCGTATCGCAACGCGTTCGTCCTCCACCCCCCCTGCGGACCCGAAGGGCGCAGTCGTTGGAGTCGCAGTGAGACTGGAGCAGATCGCAATGCTATTTCTTGTCCCTGGCCGCCCCTTTGTCGCATCTCAGGCCTCCAGATAAAAGGAGGGCGATGGAGAAATTTCTACCAATTTCCAGCTCCCCGCTGAGCTTTGATGTTAGCTGGCCAGAGCACACCTGGTAAAGCCGCAAACAGCCGCCCGGAGCGGTGGTGCGGTCGGTGTTCGCCCCCAGGCGAAAGGGCCGATGGTGGGTTCTGGTTCCTTTTAGGGAAGATAACTCCACCGGCGTTTAGAGTTTCTTTGCCCCGGCAGAAAATTTTCTGGATAGAAAACAACGTAGTCGCGGCAGCTAGACCTCTAGACGGGCCAAATGACTGGCCTAGGCAGTAAGTAATTGATCAGTCAGCCCTTCTGTGCGACCGGCAAGCCCGTTTCCAGAGGCGGCCGGGAAGCAGCCCGCCAGTTCGTTAGGAGGCGGCCATGCCGTCATTGGCAAAAAAAGATCTGATGCTCCCAGGGTTTGTATGTATGTCCCGTCCAGTAGCTTTCCCTCGGCACCTGGCGCGCCCAAGGCACGAACTCGCGCAGCCACATTCGACATCCATCAAGAGCACTGTTTTGCCAAATCGGGGTGCCAGCAGGGAAGAGTATGCGCGCCGATTAGTCAGAGGCTCACTCACGAAGTCCCGCATATCCACTATCCATCCTGACGGCGACGCGGGCTCGTGCGGCGTTGTTCATGACTCTGGTCTCCTGCTGCTCCCTGGGCTCAATTACCAATTGACCGTGGCACGGATCCCACTATCCTCGTTGCCGTGGCCTTCAAGCTCCACCGACCGGGGCCCAGAGTAATCGCCGGGCCCTTTTTATTTAAGCTAGCTGCCCCTAGCATCTGGGATCAGTGACATACGACCAGAAGGTTTCCCGTAGAAAGAAAAACATTCGCTCCCCGTCCACACCTTGCTTCATCTGCTTAGAGTTCACCTGCGCGTGCTTCCCCGTGAACCATCTACTCTTTCCCCGGTCCGAACTGGCACTCTGAGGCCTCGGGTTGCAGAGCTGCTCTAGGCGACGGGCGCGTGACGTAACTTACACGATAGACTGCCCCAGGAATCGTCCGAACTCAAAATCACCCGCGCTCGGAGCGCATTCAGAACACCAACATGGTAAACATGGATGAGGTCGACCGGGAGCTCATGCGAGCCGAGGAGGATGCTCGCTGGCAAAACCACCCCGAGGACTCGTCTAAGCCGCATCGGCGGCCCAGCAATGAAGTCGAGCGAGTTGTCACTGCGTCGTCCGTCTCGACGTCGTCGAGCGAGGGCGGGGCCACGAGGCGGACCATTGGCATGAGCCGAGTGTCAACACAACGCGACCTCGAGAGACACCCCACGGAGCTGAGCAGGATACACACGGCCCGGAGCCAGCACAGCGAGACTATTGGTCGAGGCCTCCGGAGTCGCCAGTCCGCGAAGCCCTTGCCAGCTTTCGGCGCCGGCAAGCCGTTTCCCCCGCCTCTGCCGGAACAGGAGGAGTATGTCGTCGAGTTCGACGGTCCCGACGACCCTTATCATGCCCAGAACTGGCCTACTAAGAAAAAGTGAGCATTACCGCGTCTTGTGTCTCGTGTTCCTCGCTACAGTTGCTAACTTGCCGATCAGGCTCCTTACCGCTGCGATGCTTGGTTATACGACAATGACATCCGCCTTCACCTCGAGTATTTTCTCGTCCGCCACAGCATCTGTCGCCGCCGAATTCAACGTTAGCACCGAAGTAGGCATTCTGGGTGTATCACTCTATGTCTTGGGTTTCGCGTTTGGACCGACGCTATGGGCACCGCTTTCCGAGCTCAAGGGACGACGGTTGCCCATTGTGATCTCGATGTTTGGTTTCTCCGTTTTCACAATCGCATGTGCGGTGGCCAAGGACCTGCAGACCCTCTTGATCTGCCGTTTCTTTGCCGGCTTCTTCGGCGCTTGCCCCCTGGCTGTTGTCGCCGCCGTCTTCTCCGACATGTTTAACAACGCTACCCGAGGAGTTGCCATCACCATTTTCTCCATGGCCGTGTTTACTGGCCCACTCCTTGCACCGTTTGTTGGCGGTTTTATCACACAATCATATCTCGGATGGCGATGGACCATGTACATTACCTCGATCATGGGCTGGGTCGCTTTTGGCCTCGACCTGATCTTCCTGGAAGAGACCTATCCACCAGTCATTCTTATCGAAAAAGCCTCCGAGCTGCGACGCCGTACCAAGAACTGGGGTATCCACGCGAAGCAGGAGGAAATCGAGGTCGACTTCAAAGAGCTTCTCCAGAAGAACTTCACCCGACCCATGCGACTGCTGTTCTTCGAGCCCATCGTCACGCTGCTCTCTGTCTACATGGCTTTTATCTATGGCTTGCTATACCTCTTCTTGACAGCCTATCCTTTTGTTTTCCAGGGCGTTCACCACTTCAACTCGGGCCAATCGGGTCTCGCATTCTTTGGCATGATCCTTGGTCAGCTCCTGGCTGGTACGGTCGTTCTGCTGGATCAGCCAAGATACCAGCGCAAGCTCGCCGCAAACAACGGTGTCCCCATTCCCGAGTGGCGTCTTCCCGTCATTATTGCTGGTGGAGTTTCTTTCACCGCCGGCATCTTCTGGTTCGGCTGGAGCGGATACCGGGCCGATATTCACTGGATTGTGCCCGCTGCCTCCGGTATTCTGTCTGGCTTCGGTCTCATGGCCATCTTCCTGCAGGCACTCAACTATCTCGTTGACGCCTACCTAATGTTTGCCGCTTCCGCAATTGCTGGAAACACATTCCTTCGATCCCTTTGCGGTGCCGGATTCCCCCTTTTCTCAACTTACATGTTTAACGGGCTGGGCATTCAGTGGGCTTCGACGCTGCTGGGCTGTGTGGCCGCGCTCCTGGTCCCCATCCCAGTCATCTTCTATCTATACGGCGAGAAGATCAGAGCCAAGAGCAGCTTCGCACCCACCAGCAACACCCCCCGCGCAGCTCCTGCTGCGGATGATTCTACCGATGGGGATGCCAATGGCGTGGACATGACACAGAACCACGCGGCCCTATCCAACATTCCACGGACAGACCGTGAGAAGGACACAAGCCAAGCGTAGCGTGAGCTGCTGTCCATATGTAAATTTTCTTAAAGCTCCAAAATTGAAAAGAACATGGGGTACCGTGGTACCAGTGTATGACATCCAGATTTGTGTTACAGGATGGGAAATATATATGCTAGTATAACGCGCCCAAGTAATCTTAAAGCTAATACCCCCAAAACAAAAATTTCAACACCACCTACAACTGAGGCCATATGTGAGACTAGTCTTGAGCTTATACAATAGTCGATACAGTACCTGAGACATGGGTGGGGATGAGGTTAACTTTGGCAGTATAAGATCAACGTTGTACAGTGCCAAGCATGGCGTGCCAAGCCCAAGATGGAAGAAGTATAGTAGACACAACACCCATCGCAGAAGAGTTCAATATTGTTACAACGTTCTGGGAAGCGATCACCAGTATCTGAGAAATCACTATGTTGTAGGAAGTCGTTCGGATCCTCGTGGAGTTCCTTCTTATTTGAAAGTATATCACTAGAAATGGACTTACCACATCCGTACCAGTGCGACCCTGGGTTTCACTTCAAAGCGCTATCCATGAGGTTGCGTGCACAGGAAGGAGACTGGCATAAAGATGGTAGATATCTCGATAAATCTTGTCTGCGTTGAAGGCCATTTGGAAAATCTTCCGAAAGTTATATACCCTTGAGATACTTCTCATACAAAGAGACAGAAGGAAAAGTTAACATATATAGCTCGATCAATGGACCCATTCAACTCGTAACATTCGTCAAGAGACTGGAACTCTGTCCCGCAAGAAATCCCACACTATCCCATAGTACAAGACAGGAACGCCCCCCATCTACTCACGTCTTTCCTAGTATCGATACCCCCCATCGTCGCTCCTCCGACCCCTGTGTCTATCCCGGTCCCGGTCCCGGTCCCGATCGCGGTCGTCATACACCCAGTCCTCCACGTCCTTCCAGCTGCGCGCATCGGGGTCGACCTCGCGCTCGAGGCCCCGGCCGCGCGACCGGCGCGGGGAGTCCGGTTCGACGTCCCAGCCGCCAGAATCGCGGTCCCGCCGGCTGCTCCGCGGGCGCATGACGACCTCGCGCTTCTCGACGTAGTCGGCGGCCGGGTTGCCGCCGGGGCCTTTGCCCCACTTCTCCTCCCACTTCTGCTGCTTGACCTTGTCGCGCTCGCGGTTCATCTCCAGCCGCTTCTCGACGGCGTTGGCGCCGAGCCCGCCCACGGCCGCGCCCACCACCGTGCTCAGCAGCTGGTTGCGCCGCTGCGTCTCGCTGTGGTGGTGGCTGCTGTGGTGGCTGCCGCTGCCGTGCCGTGACGTCGCCTCGGCCGCCTCATGGGCGGCGAGCCCGCCGACCAGTGCGCCCAGGATCCCGACCCCTAGACCCGTGTTACTATCGGAGAAGGTGTTCCCGAGGGCGTCCCGGGCCCGGGCGATGGGCGAGCGGTCGCGTGAGATGTCGTCCCGGCTCTTGTCTCCTCTCGAGCGGCCCCCACGCCACTCCGCCGGAGGCGGCAACGAGCGTGGCCTCGCGCGGGAGTCTGGGACTTGGAGGCTATTGTGATTTGGGGGTGGAGGGTAGAGCGGCGTCTGTGGCTCATATTCCAGCCGAGCATGTGAGCTCGGTGTTGGGTAGTAGGTCGTGTGTCCGGGGCTGGGGACCCGGTAGGCGCCTGCGCTGCCCCCAGCGTAGGTATAGTCTGGCGAGTAGTCCCGCTCGTGGCGAGAGCGGCCACGTTCTTCGTAGCGCGACATGGCGTCCGGTGGAGTCGTCGAAGGGTATAGGACCTCCTGGGTGGGGTGGATGATCGCGAGGACTCGCGACAAAGTGACGAGAGTGTAGCCTAGGCGGTGCTATATAGCAATTTCCCCAGCCAAAGGACGGGCGGCTCGTCGGGCTGTGTATATGAGGTTCCAGTAAGCTTGCAAGCCGGCAAAAGTGTGGACGAATCCCGATGTAAAGCGATGCAGCTCAGCCTCTGCGTGGGCGCCAGCCGTAACCCAGAATGGGCAAGTTGGAGATGTAAGACGGCTTGCGAAAGCAAGATGCTGAGGCTCTCGCCGTCCACTGTGCTTCAAAAGGTCTCAAGGCTGACACCGAGGCTCTTCACTCAGTATTAGTCAGAGCAAACAGCCCAAGGCAAGCCTCTCAAGCGGTGAAGTTGCGACTCCAGGCTTCCGTCTCAAACTTGGGCCTTTTGTTGGATCTCTGTTGGAGCTTGGAGGTCGTGGGGACACAAGGCCCGTGGAGGCGCAGCAGGTTTTATTTAAACGGCTCCTGACTCCTGCACCATGCACATATGCCTGCCTCAGGTATTCCAGCAGTTGGCTTCTGCTTGCAACTTGGCTCCTCTGTGTCGCATGCCATAGAGATTCTGTCTCGCAGTTTGCGAGCCACATGCGACCATTTGGCCGAGTCATACGCGACCATTGGTGGGGTAACAATATGACATCATATTTATACCTGGAATGGGTCTGCTGCAGCACGATGGGGTCTTTTCAAGTATTCAGCAGTCGAAAGAGGGAAACAGATGCTTGGACACAGTCAAGCATGATGATCAATACACGTTCTAAGAAGTCGAGCATGGATGGTTGCTGATGGGACGTAGGACTACTCTCCACGAAACTCTCTGGCGAGCCAGTTGCTGTTGATTGATGGGCTAAAACCATGCTGCAGGGATTATGCCTGTGCTGCTATGCGAGATACTCAACGACCGTCAAGTAACCGAAAAGCCGGCCGGTATCACAGGGTCACGTCTTTGGTCAGATGGAGAAGCATCTTTGCGCATTTTATAGGTTTGACGAAGAAGTATTTTGGATGATTCCAAAACCTCCTGTTTGATTCTGATGATCATAACGCGCTATAAGCTGCTTTCCCTCATTCCATGCGCCGGGGCTTTAGAAAAGCCAAGTCTCATCCATAGCCGCCTGTCGCCTGTTCCACACCATGGCAGGAGATGTATCGAACGAACGATTCCACTCTTGAATCTGTTCGTTCAGCTGCGCGACCAGCTGTACCCAATTCCAGGGGGGGATTGCAGTGCCCTGCCCCGACTGTGTTGATACGCCGGGCGTATGCGCAGGGCCTCTCACCGAAATCCTACCCCCGGTGCTGACCCAGTTCTTTTGTATGTCTTCAACCATATGCTGGGCAAAACTATTGGCGTTTTCATTTCTGTTTGTCGAAGGGTCGGCATAGTAAAACTGTATGCCCTCGAGAAGACGCCCCAGGTCTATCTGGGTTGCTCCCTCACCGCCTTCCGAGGATGAAAGCACTTCAGATAGGTACTCGCCCGCCTCACGCGTGAAATCTGTGAACGCATCGAGTTCCTTGTTAATGGCCATCCCTATGTGAGATTTTGAATTTCGAGCTGTGCATAGGTATGCAACAAGTGATGGTCCGAACTGATTCAAAAGTTTGATCAAAAGTGTCAAGCTTTGAAGATGCTCCGGCCGGATATTGGCTTCGGAGCGTTGATAGTGTTGCACAGCGGCGCCCACGAATTTGAGGAGAGCGAGTAGGTCTTCCATACTCTCATGACCGATACTCCTGTGGATAACGCCCCTCAGGGGCTTGCCAGGAGGCCCATCTAATTCCCCATCGAGCAGTCGCTCTACCGCTTCGACGTAGACATCAAGGATGAGCCATGCCTCTGGTGCCTTCATCACCGCTCTTATGATTGCTGGAAGCATCCGACTGAGCACAAATGAGAAAATGTGCTTGTTTTCCATGCCTTCTCGGAGGATATCTCGCTCATCTGACAATTTGCCGTTCGCCAGAGCTAGCTTGAAGTTGGGATAGAGAAAGTAGAATAATCGTGGCACGGCTCCTCTATCCTCATCTTCAAGCTTCAGCCCGTACGAAAGTATTGCAGCCGTCTGTAGACGCGGGTCTTGTGCTGATGGCGAATACTCTTTGCTGATTTGGCAAAAGAACGGGTCAATAGGGCATAGATCATGCTTCTTGATCAAGGGTACTATCATTCGGACAAATTGAATGAAGGCTTTATGCGCAGCTGGCTCGCTAACCAGAAGCTTCAGGTCCTGTTTCATTTGGTCCATGACGGCGCGCAAGGCTTGTGAAACCTCCCGTTGCAGACTTTGTTCATGTCGTATGGCTCTTCTCATCGAAGACAACGTACCTATACGGGTTTAGCGAACACATGATTGCAAGGTTTTTGTTTTCACGAACTCACGGTCGAAGAGGTCCCTGTTCAATTCATAATCAGGGTTGTCCCGGTGGACTGCGATCTCCTTGAGGTAAGGATTGCCTTGCAGCTTCAATGCCCTTACGAGTCGATATTCATACGCAAGACTCTGCGATGGTTTGGTGATGCTGCACAGATAGAATTCGAGAGGTGTAGAATTGATATCCTACGTCAATCAGTAAGATGTCATCTTTGTCCACATTTGGTGACTTACTGTAAAATCTGCAACACCTCTCTCGACAAGTACCGAAGCGAACAGGCTCATGTACTTCCTTGAGTGCAAAGAGAGCTTTGCCTGAGGACCCGAGAACAAACCATACTTTCCGGGAGAGAAGAATGATGATAAGCGCTGCTAAAATCAGCTATAGTTCATTCGAAAAATATCTTGGTACTTACTGTGACTTTGTGGCGCAGGAACAAAGCCGCAAGCCGACCTGAGGCATGCATCGTTTTCTCCAGGCCCGTTTCCTTTCCGTCAGTTATGCTCGCAGAAGAACTCTCGCTGGCTTCACCGAGTAGATTCCGCGCCATGGAGCAAAAGGGCACTGAAACGTGGCGATCAAGGACCTAGGGCGTATTAGTTATTGGCCTCCCGGTGGAATATAAATCCGCGTACCATTATTGCATCTTCACCGTGCCATGAATTTGGTAAATCCGAGTTCGTCTCATACTCATAGAAGAATTTCTCGATTCTGTCAAGATAGTGGCCGAGGATCTCAACAGCCACACGCTGCGTACTCCAGTCAAAACTGGGTGGTGAAAATGAGAATCGAGAGAAGACCTCGTGGAGTTGGTCTGTTTAAAATCAGTACATTCAAATTACAAATCCTAAATAAGTCGACCACATACAAGTGTTGAGAACGAAAGAAGCTGCCCCGAGAGATGAAGCATGTCTCATGACATCCAGATTAGCCTTGAGGGAGAAATGCAAGACGTCAGTAGCGGCTTGTTTGTTCATGTTGACGACGCGTTTCATCAGCTCCGGACTGACGCCATTGGAGGACTCCTTGGACATTCTCAAAAATTGCTGTTGAATATCGGATTCGACTGAAGCATATTGATCGAGGACTTGCTTGAAGACGTTGTTCTGCCAATCAGCGAATGGCTTCCATGCAGCTCGGTCTTCTCCCAAGAAAACAACGAAACGGCCAAGCTGGTTCCATGCCCGCAGATTGATCAGACATGCCTCTTTATGAGAACTCCCCGGAATCACCAATTTCTCCAGAAGCTGCACGGAAGGTCGCAAAGGTTGCGGAGAGCACCAAAAGAGTGTGCAGAGTAGGTCATGATGGTTCCTCAATGAGGCAAGCTCATGCTCATGGACGTCGCTCTCCTTTAGATACTGACGGTCATGGTTTGGAAGGACACGGGCTATTAGGTTCTTGAGATCTTTGATCAGTCCATATTTTCTGAGCCGCTGAATAGACAATGCCAGAAGCTTGAGAAATATATGAAAGCATCGATCTTCAGATTGAACGACCAACGAGGGTGTGCCGGCAAGATCTTCAAGAAATTGTGGTGATTTGTACACTTCCTCATTACGAAGATGAGAAAGATTCTGGGAGGCGAAGAAGTCAAATATGGTGCCAATGATCCCACTGCACTTCCGCCATCCCCATTGCTCCACGAGGTAATGGCATCGGCTGACAAGCGCCCGGCAGTAGTCGTTGAAGCTTGGCGACTGTCGCTGGTTGGCCTTGTATGTGTCAAAAACGCGACCCAGTAGTTTCTGTGGCAGATTCCAGCCTTCCAGCGGGATACTGTGACGAAGTCCGGAAGTTACGACGCCAGCGTTATCGAACTCGGCAAGTGGGAGCAAAGCAAACATGGTGTGCCAGAGTCGTTCCATTACCTGTGCATCCACCACAGATCCAGGCACAGCCTCCAGTAGGATAGGAGAGACAACATCCCAAAAGCCAGCACGTGGTATGCGAGATTCTTGAAGGACTCTCATCATGACCACCCATCCAGCGATGAGATATTGCTCGTCCCCAATGCCGCGATCTCGTACGTAAGAACTCTGGAGCTGGCTGAAGAAGTCCAGTATGTTCAGCAGATCAGCCCGGAGCAAAATCCGAGCTGTTTGCGCAGCAGTCCTTTTCAAGAGTTCTTCAAGTTGCAAAGACTCGGTGAAACCAAGCTTTTCACACACCCGCAACGTTTGCAACACCGTTAGCATACACCGCGTCGATACTTCGGCAGCCTGCCGTACATCCGTGTTTTGCTGTGTGACCAGAGCTCCCAGGCGGTCCAGGAAGCCTGTCATAGTTTCTAGGATCCTACTGACGAAGTGTCTCGCGGTTTCATGGTTAGGAAAAGAAACGACCTCTTGCAAGTATCTCAAGCTGAAATCTGCTGCCTGGGTCGCGGTTGAGGCGGCGGCAGAACCAGAGTCAATCTGAACAATGCTGAGTTCAGGCTGCAGTGTATCGGCGACCCAGTCATACAAGACTCCAAACTCCGAGGAAGTTTGAGCATCCCATTGACTCCAACATAAAGCTCTGTCGTCGAGCTGAAATGTACAGCTGCCGCGGGATTGCGAAAACCCCCCAAGGCAGTCTTCGTCCAATGATTTAGCCAGTCTACCACTTCCTAGGAGAGTGTCCTTGCGGAAGAATACCCCAGAATCTAGTGGGAAGACTTCGAAATGTTGGGTATAATGAGAGCCATACGGCCCCAGACCCTGGAGCTTGCTTGCGCTGGCTTCTGTAATCGCTACTGCCTCTGATATGGGGACATGTTCCACCGGCAAAGGATCATTTGCATGTGCGTATTGCGGTGCAGCAATATCGATATGCCTAGGTCGCAGAAGCTTTCGAAATCTACGCCGCGTCTCCGGAGGTGGTGACAGACACGTCTCTTGTGAATTTGTAGATGGTTCCTCCGCTGCGAGTGGCAAACCAGGCTCCAGCAATTGGCCACGAAACACCTGTGCTAAGCGGGTGTCTGGCGCTGAAGGGGCCGCCTTGCGTGATTTGCGATAGAGAGCATCTAGAACCCTCTTCCGAGAGTGGAAAGCTTGTCGATGAACCTGCTCATCGCCGGCCGTCTCGAGCTGTGCTGGTCTCGAGGTGGTGCCGTGAGTTTTTGACCGACCTAGAATGCGCCTAATGGGCTGAGGCATCGCAATACCAACTTCATCAGGGAGGCTTGCAGTGACGGATGCAGGATAAATGGGTCGAGTATCTACAAACTTGTCGATACTCATCTGCTTCACCAACTTTCGCGATTTTGAGAATCGCTTGACCGGGGCAGATCCACAGCTCCCAACTCCTTTGTCCAAGTTTGAAGACCGCACCGCCTTGTTGTCAGCGATTGGTTGCAATGGCCGTGAATTGGTAGATCGTGGCCATTCCGAGGACGTTGTCAGCGATCGAGATTGTATTTTGCCTCCCCTCCAATTTCGCAGCACACTGAGGGCATCGATGTTATCCTGGCGAGTCCCGAGGCTAATATGCTTCCCGGATGGACTTGATCTTCCTTTATTTCGTCTTCGGCTAGCCGTGCGGGCTGCTATCCTGACAAACGAAGGAGCATTTGGTTCCAAAACGTCCAATATGCTCAACCTCGGCGGTGAAGCCCGTTGGGAGGCTGCACCTCGTTGAGGAATAGACGACGTGTGCCGGGCCAGTTTGCTGCTTGAACTACCCGTATGAGTCGTACTCTTAGAATGATTCACCATCCCGGTCAGTTTTTGCTGCCGTTTTCGTTCGACCGGATGACCTTTAAAAGTGGTCTGTGTTTTTCTCCTCTTCGTTGGACGTGGCAAGCCATCGACAGAAGGTTCTGCTCTCTTTTTCCCAGGAAGCATCTGATCAATATGATCCTCTTCAATCACAGATCCTGCATCGTCTTCAAAAATCGGAAACTCCGTGGTTTCTAAAGCATCCTCAATGTCATCATTTCGTAAAGTCGTAAAATCGTCATCTGAATCATCGTCGAAGAAGAAGGGTTTGGAGTTATTGGATCGAGGGGATATCTGGCGCCGCTGAGCAACCCCTTTCCGGTGGACCTTTTCCGGGGACAGTTCTGGACTCCGTCGTGTGAGAGGCTTGGGGACTTTGTCGCGCGAGACTTGTTGGTCAAGGCGAATCCAGGAAGCAGGAAGCACGCCTTTGATCCTCCGTCGGAAGACCAGGTCTGGCTCAGGACTACTAGTAGCAGACCGTTCTGGGTGATTTGGTTCAGGGTCGCTCATGTCTCCTGTCAAGTCATTCTCTGGACCAGATGAGTCTTGGTCGAGTATGTCTGTTAGGTCCACGGTAGCAATAGCTTGTTTTGCAGGTACCGGCGTTTGATTCCTAGAGGTACTTATGCTACTAGGTTTGGGCGTCAGGGACACGACCCCAGGTCGAGTGAAGGCAACATTTGTCGCTGGAGTGTGAGAAATAAACGCGGGGCTTGTCTGCGGCGGAGATGGGGGGATATCGAAAATGTTGGCTGCAGTGAATGGTGGAGAACTTGGTTCATCGACGATGATAGGTCGATATTGTCTAATTCTCTTGCCACTAGAAGACTGTTTGGGAGACCCTCTCCGCTTGGCATAAGTCCTTGGTCTCCCTTTCGCCCGTTGTCTGAAGATATCATTTAAGGATGGAAGATCGTCATCATTCTGTGAGCTTCCTAGAAGTTCATGGGATGTCGTCGGCCGTGGAGGAGATGGAGACGGCCTTGAGGGAGATGACAGGGCCAATTCGTCGCGCCCGTTGTCTAAAGAGCGTCTCCGTCGACTTTCTTGACTTCCAACGAGCTCCTCTTCTTGTCCATATCCGTTGGTCAGCTGACTGTCTTCCTCGTAGTCCTGCTCCTGCGAGTCTTCCTCTAAGGCTCGTCGCCTCTCTTCGTAAGCAGGAAGTCTCACAGGCCGAACGCCGTGTGACTTGAACATATGACTGTACTGGGCATTCTCCAGCAGGTAAGGATGCTCCTGAATGGGTTTCCGCGGCCGCAAGGAGCGGTTCAACCGCAAAGACTCTTCTCGTGCCACATCTTGATCCTCTTCCACGATGTTGATTTGCTTGGCACTTGGCTCGGCAGTGAGAGCCGGCCTACTCTGTAGAACCTCGGGCGTCGTATTGCGTGAGATATGCACTTCTCCCTGATCCACCCCATTCGATTCATTGTGTTGGCTTGGACAAGGAGTGGTCGCACCTTCTTCGATTGGATCCGCGATCGAAGACAATGGCGAAGATTCGGGTTCCTGCGATATAGGTCTCGCCCGAATGTGGATTTCGATGTTTGTTCTCGCAACCGGCAGCGCAGGTTCTTCATGATCTTGGGACGAGATGGGTATATCCCAGATTGTGGGATCTTGAGTCGACGGTTCTTCAACCAGGGCGCTCGCATCGTTTTGAGGAAGCGGTGGTGGAAGCTGTGGCTGCGATTCGTCGCTATCGAGCAGGCTTTCGTCGTCCGAGTCTGGAACCTCGCCAAGTTCCCTCCATTTCGCCATTGAGCCGGAGATACATGTCTCGCCTTGACTTATCGGGGGAAATGGCGGATCATTATTCGTAGTGGGTGTTTTTCGTTCGAGTGACGTTGACGAGACGCGTTTGCAGCTTATGGGAGACGCGTTGTGGTTGACTGCTTAAAGTGGTTCCCACGCCTTTCGGCAGTGGGGCGGGCACCCTGCTTCGCTAGCGGGAAAAGTGCAGCATGTACCCGACAAGCGGACTACTTACTCCTACTGACGTGCATAAGATGCCACTACAGCCAACAACTCGCTCGATTCGCTATACTACAAACGTGTGCTTCGAACCCAGAGCTCGCTTCCTCATGAGGCAGTAGGAACTTTCTGAGATATTCTCAGCCGGGTTGAGTTGTCAAGATGAGTTTCATGCGTACCGCCGTGCCCCTTGTGTTGGCCGTTGGCTTCGGCATCTTCAACGCCCAGTACGTCTTCAAACCAGCATTAGAGGACGAGCAGAGGAGAAGGGACGAGTAAGTTATGGATCAATTTGTAGACCTTAGTGATTAACGCTCACCACCCTGCAAGACAAGCACTCGCAAGGGGTACTGCTCAGGCTGCCGCCAAGAAGGAGCCGGAACCACAGGCACCAGCGTCCAAGCCCTGATGGCCTGTATGTGGCACACCAGTCTCACACGTTGACTGTTGGACTGGACTGGGTCTACCTAGAGATGTATAAATAGCCCAATGCCGCTATGAAAGCTGTCAACCACTGGCTGTGTGGACCCGCGGCCGCTGAGAAGCAGCGCTTGCACGTCAGAAGATGAGCTTAGACTGAGCAAACCGAGAAGCCATTTGTTGTCTACTCACTGCACCGGTATCATTAGAACAGGGGTCAGGTATATGAAGAAGGAATTGTATAGAGCGGAAAATAAGAGCTGATCGCGTATGGTTCTTGACATGTCTACCAAGCCTGCTCGGGCTGGCAGAGCATATACTACTGGAGAAGCACCTCTCAGACTGTCTATTCTTCATCTCTAGTGTGCCTCAAGTCCTCTTTTATAACCAGAGCCTCTGTTCCTACTCAGTGCTCTCCTTGACCAAAGTCCAACACTTCCTCATACCCGTGCCCATAGACTCCGCATCCACATCGCCACTCCACCGACTTTTTCGGCCCATTGCTCCATTGCTCGGCGCGCCCGAATTCCCTCGATCATCCAGCTCAAAAAGGTGAACATGCGTTGTGAGGCGCAGGTGAGAGAAGAGCCATGGCACACTGCCCAGCTCTCCAACGTGCTTCAGACCCTTTTCGCTCTCTAGCAAGCCCTTCACGAATTTTGCAGCTTCTCCCTTGCGGGCCTTGGCCGTCGAGTCGTTTGTATCTGGCAAGATGTAGGAAGGAAACTCCCATAGACCTGCCAAGAGCCCCTTTTCAGGACGCCTCTGGATCAAAAACTGACTGTCCCCCTTTCGGCGGATTGCACAGACGATGGTCTCTTCTTCACGCACTGCCTTCTTAATGACCTTGACCGGAAACTTGCGAGCGTGGTTCACGATGACCTCAAGAACTGTGGCGTCGGGTTCGGATGACGAAGTCGCTTTCTTGTTAGGCTTCTTCGACTGAGACTGCGCGAAGAAGAATGACTGCAGAGAGGCTTGCTTCTTGTTGCCGCCCGCAGATGATTTCTTGGATGATAGTTTGGCAACTATCTTCTCGTCCTCCTCGTCTTGAACTGCGTGCTCTTCGTAAGATTTGCAAAGAGAGCACGAATCTTCGATATCGACGATGCTGCTGTCTTCCGTAGGCATTCCCTTCTTACTGGAAAACTCCAAACCTTCCGCATAAGCCCGGCAAGTCGCCGTGATCGGGCAGGTGCCGCAGTTCGGCTTTGGGGTGCAGACCGTACTGCCCAGCTCCATTAGAGCCTGGCCCCAACGACCTGGGCGATTGCTCTCCTGGAAATCTCCTCCCTCGTCAGACTCGCCGACATCTTTTGCCACAGCTTTGACTAGGGCATCAGCAGCAGCCCATAAAGCATCAATGACTTTCTTATCCGCCTTCACGTCTCCAAGCACACCTAGTTGCCGACTCAAAACCCTCAAGACATTGCCGTCGACCATGGGTGCAGCCCGGCCGAATACGATCGCCGAGATGGCGCCTGCTGTGTATCTGCCGACCCCGGGAACCTTACGCTCGAGCTCAACGACGTCTTGCGGAAGGAGACCTTGGAGGCTCGGATCGCCACAGACCAGCTTGGCAGCCTCGTGTATCCGCGTTGCTCGACTATAATACCCAAGGCCACGCCACATGGCCAGTACATCTTCCGGGTCGGCTGCAGCCAGCTCGTGTATCGTGGGCCACTTTGCCATCCAGCGGTTCCAGTAGTCAATAACAACAGCAACCCTTGTCTGTTGAAGCATAATCTCGCTGATCCAGACCTCGTAAGCGCGTCGCTCCAGCATTGAGCGCAGCTCTGCAGGAGAAGAGACTGAGGCCGGGTCGATCCATGGCTTGCGCCAGGGCATGCCCCGCGTCTCTGTGACGGAGTCGAACCATGTCAAGAGCGAAGCTCTACCTGTTGCTTGATCTAGGAGCAAAGGCCGATGGTACGTTAATGAATGTTGACGCCGTGGAAGGGTACACGGCAGAGGGCTATTGGGTGACACCAATCCATCGGCAAAGAGGTGACTCAAGGCCGCTGCATTTCCATTGCTGCGTTTGGCAGGATGCGATGTTTTTCTCTTTTTCGTCGTAGGCTTGATCTCCTGGTCTGTACTGCTCTCATACGCGTCACTGTTGGACGCCGAGGTGATTCCCTTTTTCCGTATTTTCGGTATCGACTGTGTAGGCTCCTCAGGGCTTTCCGATTTCACGGGAGAACGAGATGAGAATGTTTCACTCGACTGCCTTACCAGACGTGTTGAGCGCCTCATGATGCTTTGTGCAGAACGACTGACAAGCGAGGCACGAACCCCGACGCGACTAGGAGAAGATAGCAGATACGCGCCATCACGTGATAACCCTGCTTTTCACCTTACAGCTCTCCCGCGCAACCGAGAAGTCACATGTTATATAGCAATCCCAAAGAACCGACCAAATATATGATGAAAGACTGTTGCCAGCTGTAATATTCTGCGCTCAATTGGACTGATGGTGCTGAATAGCGTCTTCAATTCGTGTAGTGAACTAAGCTTAACCATGGAAACCATAAGCCAGGCGGGACTCGACGAACTTCTGTTCTTCTTGTGCTGTAAACCAGACTATAGGATGGCATGGACACTGCTCATTACCCGAACAGACCTTTACTAATCTATAAACAAGATACAGCTGTGAAGCCCGCATGCCAGATGCAATGATGCTTCCTACAGAGAGCTTGGCCAACAAATTGCAGTTACCTTGATTTGGAAGGGTTTGGCCCTTGACAGATGATGTGAGTGTAGAATCAGAACTACAGATCTCCCCATTGTACTTTCAGCAGCTCGATCGAGACGGATCTCAAGCTGGCCAATAACTTGGAGAGCTTTCTTCAACACGCAATGTGCTTATCTGGAGGCATGGAACGTGAACGCGGATGTGACAGGGTTGCCGCAACCTGGTTAGCGGTCACCCTGACCCGGACAGACGGCTTAGTTCAGTGTGGGGCGACCGGGCTCTCCCCCTAGAGTTTTTCGCCGACGTCAATTGACTGAGCTCAATTGGCGGACGCCCAGGCCCCCAGGGACGCCTTAGGGCAAATGGCTGCCTGAGGCACCCGGCTGTCCGGGAAGACCCAGAAACGGAGTACGAGCTCGATCCATTCCGAGCTCAGCCAAATGGCCTGACACATCGAACGAACCAAAAAAACGCAACCGACTCCCGAGCCTCCAATTCGATCCTCCATCACAACACCCACCGTCGCCCGTCGCCGTCGCCCTCGAAACACCACCGCCCGCGACTGTCCCGCCCCCCATCGGACCCATCTCCACTCTCACTTTGTCTTCGCCCGCCGTGTCGCGACCCCCCCGCCCAAGATGATGCGAACCTCGCTCCTGCGCGCCTCCCGCGCCGCCGCCCCCTCCGCCCGTCTCGCCGTCGTCCAGAGGGCCGCCGCCTCCACCCACGCCATCTCGAACCCGACCCTGGCCAACATCGAGAAGCGATGGGAGGGCATGCCCAGCACCGAGCAGGCCGAGCTCTGGATGGCTCTGCGGGACCGCATGAAGGAGAACTGGGCCGACCTGACCCTTCAGGAGAAGAAGGCCGGTACGTGACGAGAAACCCACCAATTCCGCATCAATTGAGGGGGAACGGAGCTGCAACCGGCCTCGCATCTGCTTGCCACGCGGCCGACGCCAGCCTGAGAAGCTCTCATCGTGTTCAATTGCGTGGCATAGCATGGTCCGGACACTGCACTCGCTTGGAATAGACCTCGGATATCGATCCACACATTAGAGCTGACACTGACACGATATCATCACAGCATACTGGATCGCCTTCGGTGCTCACGGTCCCCGTGCTGCCAGCCCCCCTGATGAGGGCCGCAAGGTCGCTCTCTACACTTTCATTGGTGTCGCCACCTCGTTCGTCATCTTCGCTACCATGCGCATGTTCGCCAAGCCTCCTCCCTCTACCATGACCAAGGAGTACCAGGAGGCCTCGAACGAGTTCGTCAAGGTACGTGACTGCCGGCTCTCGAGGAGCCTCCGGCCCTGCACCGCCGATGTACTGACCTCCCTCTGCAGGCCCAAAACGCAGAGCCCTTCACCGGTATCTCGTCCCCCGGCTACGAGGGCAAGGGTATGGTCCAGTCGCCGCCCAAGCACTAAGCATGCCACTGCTGCTTCTGTGTCCATAGCTGCTGCTACTCTACTAATGATGCCATCAATAAAAACCATAAATACTCCGTCATTCCCTTTGTCATTAGAAAGAAGAAAGGCTCGAGAGCGAAAAGGCAGGGCAAGACGCGGCCTCTCCATGTACCAAAAAAACGCACCGGACCGAGAAAGAACCTTAGATTGGTTGGCTATCTGGGAACAGCAAGAAGTATCCATTTGACAGCGGCCGTGGACATCGTCGTCTTAGCGAGTTTAGGGAGGGGTTGTACAGATCCGCAAGATCCGAGGGGGCGAAGGGGTGTGTGCTGGTGATCAGTTGTAAATATGTACCAGTGGGAAAATCGCATATCGTTCTGAAAACTTTCTGTGCCTACCCGAGTGTTCTGCATTACTGTCTCGTCTTCCATTGCAACACGACCCCCAATGTTCTTCGTGAGACGGGTCATCCAAGATGCCCAGGAACGTTGACGAAGCCCGTAGTTCACCTGAGAGCTGCTGCCTATCAGTGTACATGTACCAGAGCTCTAGGATCGGCACGACCTGGAAACCAATGTCCACCTACAGACCCGCCGCAGTTTTGATATTATCACTATGAGGCCTCAGTGTGAATTGATATAATATGTATCAGTAGCACCTAGCTCCGATTATGTACAGACCTGCCTAGATCCAACCCGTCATAATTCGTCCACGGAAAGAGTACTCCCAAACGCCTCACAAGATGGGCCGGTCTCCCTTTGCATGCTAAATCAGTCCACAACGCCGCCCATGAGAAAGAAACAACTGGAAAGGCCACCACCACCATCATCACATAATGGCTAGGCGGCACATCTCCTTCCAAGCTTAAGCACCACTTTCACCCGCCTGCCTGTACTCCTCGAAGCTGGAACTGTGGACGACCTCCCTCGCGTGGGCGTCCTCGCCGGGCAGGGCGCCGTCCTCGTCGCGGATGCGGCGCTCGACCTCGAGGCGGCCGTCCTTGCCCCAGTAGCCGACCTTCTCGAGCCCGCGGACGGCCTTCTCCGTGACGAGCACGTACGGCATGGGGGCGTCGAACATGGCCTCGGCCAGCACGCGCTCCATCTCCATCTTGAGGCCGCGGGCGCCCGTCTGCGCCTTCTCGGCGCGCTCGGCCACGGCGCGCAGCGCCTTCTGCGTGAAGGCCAGGGACGACGGGTACGTCTCGAACAGGGCCGTGTACTGCGCCACGAGACTGTTCCGCGGCTCCGTCAGGATCCGGAGCAGGTCGTTCTGGCTCAGGGGCGCCAGGGCCACGATGTTGTGGATGCGGCCGATGAGCTCGGGGATGAACCCAAAGCCCTGGAGATCCTCGGGGGTGGTGAGGTCGAGGGCGGTAAGAGCAGAAGCGTCTGCGGCATTGGGCGGGCGGTGAGGCAGGTGTTTGAAAAGGTCAAGTGGGAGATCAGGGCGGTTCTTGGAGTCATTGGTACGGCTGCGAAGCTCAGAACCGAAGCCCATGGAGGGTTTGGATACGCGGTTCAGGACTACCTTATCCAAACCGACAAATGCACCGCAGAAGACGAACAGAATGTTGCTCGTGTCTATGGTATACTGATCTACCTTGCCGGAGGGCGGAGGCTGGGCTTGCGGGCCTGAGCTCGAGGACGTAGAGCCCGGGCCGGAGTAGTTGGTCGTTATAGGGCTGGCGGAGCGCGAAGATGCGGCAGACCGGTTGTCTTTCACGTTCACCGTCACCTTGGTCCCTTCAACCAACTTGAGCAGAGCTTGCTGTACACCTTCGCCACCGACGTCCCTGCCATTCATAGTTTCACGCTTGGCAATCTTGTCGAATTCATCCAACACGACTATACCGTGCTCCGTCGCTCTAATATCGTAATTCGCTTCGATTAATAGGCGCTCGATACAGGTTTCAACGTCTTGGCCGATATAGCCCGCTTGTGTAAAGGAGTTGCAGTCGCATATAGTAAAAGGAGCATTGATCTTTTTGCTCAGCGTTCTGTAACACGTGTAAGCCTCTTTGGTCTATACCAAGACCCTCATGAACGTGCGAACCTACTCTAATATATAAGTCTTCCCTACACCCGTAGGGCCAATGAGCAACAAGTTGCTCTTATCGATCTTGACGGGTTGGGGCCGGCTCGTGTCCTCTGGAATATAAAAGTCGTCCTCCTGCTCCCTATGCTGCCATATGGAGTGTGTGTGTTTGACGGACTCGTTGTGGCCGGGAAATTCGTCTTCGGGGTACTCGTCAGCGGCGAATCTCTGCCGTATGGGATCGTGGAACAGCGAACCTTCGACAGGGTGTACCGGATCTTTCTCGCGCGCATTCCTCTCGCGGGCCTCGTTCCGCCGCAGTATCTTCTCCTCGCGCTTATGGTCCTGCTCCTCCTGGTGGTGTCTCCTCCGTATGTTCTGGTAGTGGTTGAAGATGACGGCCGATATCGTCTTCTTGGCTCGGTCTTGGCCAACGACGTACTCATCGACCCGCTTCTTGAGATCCCTGGGATAGAACTTGGGCACGCCGAACGAGCTTTTGTTGAACATGGGCCCTCTGCCTTCCTCGTCCGGGTCGTAGGTGTTCGAGAAGCTCGAGGAAAGGTCTCGTGTGCGACGGGGCGCTGTTCGGGCTACGGTCGATGCGGAGAAGGCACGGCGGCGAGGGCTACACAACGGGGCGACCACCAAAGAATGGGCACGAGGCCGCCTTACTGCCGGAAACATGCTGTCGGCTCCCGAGACGTCTTGTCCCAGTCACAGGCAGATATATCGTGAGTAGGGGCACGCTGCACAGTGGCTCTGGTGGCCTGCTTGGACAGGTGTGAGGGGACACAACAACTCGGGACGCTCGGCGGCACTACGAATGTCTTGCCTGCTGGTCTTCAAGAATGTCGAGGTGTACGGATATGTAGAGCAGTCTCCGAGGGACCGTCTATGTTACGATGGGTGGTTTCGCAGTAGCCGGCTTCTCCCTGATCGGATGGTCTTCGTGAGGGTCTAAGGAGGGATGCGTCAGAGGTTACTTGGGGTAGCCAGCCAGACTCGGCCGCCTGTAGCCAGCTTAGACAGCCTGAAGGCGGGGCAGGACAACGGCACCCAGCCCGCTCAATACGCCCAAACCTGGACACCAGAGGGTATCCTAGAGCAATTACACACACGAAGCACTTGTGCAGAGTCTCTTGTGTTCAATATAGTTGCGTCCACCGAGACACCGTTTTCTGTGCAAGGCCCAGCTAGTCTTTTGGATCCCTTTGGATGCGGTTGGTTTGCTGCAGTCGGAGGTTGGAGTCGAGCGAGGCCGGCGAGCGCTGCTTGCGGGGAAGTATGTGGGATTGAGCCGCTAAGAGCCGCTAATTGGCTGTCCTTTGGAGGTGGTTGATCAGTGCTCAAGCTCTGGGTGGGCAGGTGGGCTGGCCCGCCGAGCCCCCCATGGAGAGCTGTTTGGCGCCGCGGGCGGGCGGGCGTGCCATTGTGGACTTTGTTATCGATGCTCGGGGAACGCGACCATGCGACCTCTGGGATGAGCGAATATTGACACAAAACCCTCCTGTATCCACACAGCGGCACCGCCGCTGATGAGTTCCACGACAAGAGGCCCAAGAGGCCCTAGCTAGTTGGGCATCCCCCGTCCTGTGGCAAGAGCTCGACTTTGTGCAGAATCGGCGTTTGTGGTGTGATTGGAACGAGATTTCTCGGGCGGGCACTGCAGTTGCAGGGATAATTCTCGTTGAATTGGTCGGTCGCTCAGAGTTGCTGCAGCTGCGGTTGCCCCTCGACGTCATAAGCTAATGGGAGCTCTGGACCAAATGTATGTCTGAAGGTAACCAGATGCTGTAAAAGCGACGCGCATGCACAGCTCCTGCCCAACAGTTTCCCCAAAAGACGTCCGGGGAGAGAAAGCATCTTGTCTGTAACTCAGCCGTATAAGTAAAACCCATTCGGCCCCTCAGCATCGTCGTAGACCTGTGTTTTGTTGCGACAATTGTTGACATCTGACCCCTGTTCGTGGCCCATCCCTAGGTACCTCCTTTCGAGCCTGCTAGCGGGGAGCTTGTCGCTTCCAGACCTACTCCTCTCAAGACTCTTTCTGTCGCATCACTGGACCTTGTTAAGAAGGAAAAAAGAGTTGCAATGGCCGCAGCAGTAGCAGAAGCTTCAGCAAACTCGCTGGCCCCTAACGGCACAGCTGGCGCAGCTCCAGGTGTTCCCGCCGATGGCACTGGTATGAGCACTCCGTCGACGTCGATTAGCTTCGCGTGAGAACTAACGAAACTCCCAGGTGTCGTCCAGCTGGACCCGTGGTTGTCACCCTTCCAGGACTCCCTCAAGCGCAGATATACCAAGGCTCAAGATTGGATCAAGAAGCTCAACGAGACCGAGGGCGGAGTGGAGAAGTTCTCTCGGGTTAGTCTTGGTTTGATCCTCTTCTGGCCGCCTCTGCATATGCTGACCGTGGTTCTTCATCCAGGGAACCGAGATATTCGGACTCAATGTCGACAAGGACAACAACATCGTGTATAGAGAATGGGCACCCAACGCCACCGAGGCATATCTTATCGGAGACTTCAGTAAGCTGAACATACGCTAGACTGGGCGGGTTGAGACAACCGTGCTGACACAGAATAAAAGACGACTGGAACAGGGGCTCGCACCCGATGAAGAAGAATGACTTTGGGGTCTGGGAGATCATTCTGCCGGCTGTCAATGGACAGCCTGCTATCCAGCACAAGTCGAAGCTAAAGGTCAGCGGGATTCTGACGAATCTATATCCTCTTTGCTCGACTAACACAGCACAATGCAGATATCCATGACTACACCGACGGGCGAGCACATTGACAGGCTGCCGGCTTGGATCAAATATGTCACACAGGATCTCTCCGTATCCCCGGCGTACGATGCCCGCTTCTGGAACCCCCCGGCGTCCGAGAAATACACCTTCAAGCACCCGCGACCGAAGAAGCCGCTCAGTGCTCGGGTGTATGAGGCGCACGTTGGCATTTCCTCACCGGAGACGCGGGTCACAACTTTCAAGGAGTTCACCAAGAACATGCTTCCCAGGATTAAGCATTTGGGCTACAATGTGATTCAGCTCATGGCCATCATGGAACATGCATACTACGCGAGTTTCGGATACCAGATCAACAACTTCTTCGCTGCCAGCAGCCGATACGGCACTCCTGAGGATCTCAAAGAACTCATTGATACCGCTCACAGCCTTGGTTTGGTTGTGCTCTTGGATGTAGTTCACAGTCACGCCTCCAAGAACGTGCTAGATGGCCTCAACGAATTTGATGGTAGCGACCACCTCTACTTCCATGAAGGCGCCAAGGGCCGACATGAACTGTGGGACAGCAGGCTATTCAACTACGGCAGCCATGAAGTGCTGAGATTTCTGCTCAGCAATTTGCGGTTCTGGATGGACGAGTATCAGTTTGACGGTTTCCGATTCGACGGTGTGACAAGCATGCTGTACACCCATCATGGTATTGGAACGTAAGTGGAATCGACGATAGTTACGACCAACTTGATCAAGCTAACTTTTTCAAGTGGATTCTCTGGTGGGTATCATGAGTACTTTGGAGCGGGCGTCGACGAAGAAGCTGTGGTATATCTCATGATTGCCAACGAGATGATCCACACGCTGTACCCGGAATCGATTACCGTTGCGGAAGATGTCTCGGGCATGCCAGCATTGTGCTTGCCGCTATCCCTTGGCGGCGTTGGTTTCGATTATCGACTAGCCATGGCAGTCCCTGATATGTGGATCAAAATCATCAAGGAGCTCAAGGACGAGGAGTGGGATATGGCCAACATCTGCTGGACCTTGACAAACCGGCGCCACGGCGAAAAGACTATCGCCTACGCTGAGTCCCATGACCAAGCTCTTGTGGGCGACAAGACTCTGATGATGCACCTTTGCGATGCCGAGATGTACACTAACATGTCGGTTCTCTCCCCTTTGACTCCCGTCGTCGATCGCGGCATAGCACTGCACAAGATGATCCGACTTCTTACGCACGCCTTGGGCGGCGAGGGTTACCTGAACTTCGAGGGAAACGAGTTCGGTCACCCTGAGTGGCTTGACTTTCCACGGGAGGGAAACCAGAACTCCTTCTGGTATGCCCGGCGCCAGCTGAACTTGACCGAGGACGAGTTGTTGCGCTACAAGGACCTAAACGAGTTTGACCGCCAGATGAACTTGACTGAGAGCAAGTACGGATGGTTACATGCTGAGCAGGCATACATCAGCCTCAAGAACGAGAGTGACAAGGTGATCGTCTTCGAGCGAGCAGGAGTCGTCTTCGTCTTCAACTTCCACCCCACCAACTCTTACTCGGATTACCGCATTGGCATCGAAACTCCTGGCACCTACCGCGTGGTGTTGCAAACAGACAAGCATGAGTTCGGCGGCCACAACCGGATTGACGAAACCACAAGGTTCTTCACCACGCCCATGGAGTGGAATGGCCGCAAGAACTGGACCCATATCTACCTGCCTTCTCGGTCGGCTTTGGTAAGTTTTTCTCTTGCTTCCTGCTTTTCTTACTTTCAAAGTTCTGCGCTGACATTCTATGAACTAGGTCTTCGCTCTTGAAGATACCCTCTAAACAGGGCATCAAGCATGAGTTGTATGCTCGTCGAGTTTTGAGCATACATCAATCACCTCTGTTGTACACACACACGGATTAGCATTGAGGGCGCGCTATGGTATAATGCGTATTTAGATTTCTATTGTTTTGGGCCGAACTGGGATAATGGTTTCATGAGGGCATGTTGCAAGAGCCCGAAGTACGAGACTGACAGAAAAAGGGATTTGTGTGACTTGGAACAGCCAGCGATAGCAATTTGTCTCGCCAAATCGAACTTTGATCACGACTTGAAGAATGTCCCAGTCAGCGATTGCAATGCATGTCACCGAGCATTAACTGGCACGGGATATCTAACTAGAGCATAAGTCAGGTTGATATCCCACGGCCAGAGCCAACGAACTGTAGCATAACGTAGTCATAAATGCTGCAGATAAGGGGTATCAATGCTATTCTCTCTACAGCTTTCGGTTTGTCTTCAAGCCATTCTATCATTCAATCAGCCACTCTTCCACCTCGATCCCCAGGCTCCGTCCAACACCCCTGACCACCTCCCACCCGACACCGACCCTCCACCGGCCACCACGGTCCATGTCCCCGGCGCCGGCGCCCGCCCCGACACGGACGAGCAGCCGCAGGCTCGTGAGCGTCGCGATGGCCATGCCGACGTCGGCGTCCACGCCCGGCCCGGCCCCGCCGTTACCCCCGCTGACCTGCTCCCGCCGCAGCGCCACGTAGATGGCCACCATGCGCTCCAGGACGAAGACGCTGGGGCCGAGCAGCTTGCGCGCGATCTTGCGGTGCTTGGCCCTGGGGCCCCGGGTCCCGACGCCCACGCCGCCGCCGCCGCGCCGCCGCCGCGTGTGGTGCCAGGTGCTGAACAGGGTCATGTCGTGGCGCGGCGCGTTGTGCGACGCCAGGTAGGCGGCGACGAGCAGGAGCCGCGCCGTGGGCGGCAGGAGAACCGCTAGGTCGGTGGTAGTGCTAGCCGCTGCGGTGGCTTTGGACGGCGTGGTGGTGCCGGGCTTCTTGGGCGTGCCATTGGCCAAGGAGCTGGCCGCTGCTGGCTGAGGGTTGCTCAGCACGATCCCGGGGGCAAGGACTGACTCGTCCTGGAGCCAGACTCGGGCTGCGACCAGCAGCTTGCTGAACTCGCGTGCCTTGTGTGTCCCTGCTGCTATCGGGGCTGTGAAACGAGGCCACAGGGTGCTGGTAGCTTGTCTGAGAGACGGCAGGGTTCTCGAGGCTGCGCGTGTGAGGGAGTCATGGACGGCGGCGACGAACCGGGCGTACAGGTCTGTGGTCTCCTGCTGCGTCGTGTTCGGCAGGGGTGGAGGCGGCGAGGCTGACAGGATCGAGGTATACTGCGACTTGGTATATGGCGGGAAATGTAAGTGTGGTGTCGCTGGCGTGCGGAGGAGGGCGGGAAGAGGCGCTGTGAGGATGAAGATGGTTGTTAGGTTCGGGATCTGGAACATGGGAGTCAGTCAAAACACCAGACCTGCACAACACTGAGTTGAATCGAGCAAGCCCTTACAATTTCAGATAGCCTCGCCAGTGCCGGAAGGAGAGTATGTGGTGCCTCTCTCTGCCGGTCAATGGCATCGAATACCAGGACGAAACGCCAGCCCTGGTCTCGGTCGACATACTTCAGCATTTTGCTCAGCTCGACCGTCAAGGCCGCCAGCGTCTCACAGCGGCCGACAGGTCCCTCCCAGTTGAGGGCATTTGCGACAGACCCCGTGGTACGCTCGAAGAGGTGCCGGGCCGTCACACATTCTGGCGACCTTACGATGGAGTAGCTGAGGTTTGTGTCTGGGTCACCTTGGAGCTGATCGAGAAGGGCGGCTGTGATGGCACTCTTCCCTGTCGCCTCGGTGCCATGGACGATGAGGTTGCGACAGGGCGCTGCATTGGGGTAGACGAGGGTCGCAAGAGACCGGATTTGGGGCTCGCGGCTCGGGAAAGTCGTGAACAATGTTGCGAGGAGCTCGTCAGGGAGCTGGAATATGGAGCCCATGACGCTGCCGCGTGTCTCGAAGGAGGCGTTTCCGGATTTTCCTTGCAGCGAAGCCGTCTATCGTCCCATGATTCGGTCGAGGTTTTGCAGTGGGTGGGGTGGAATCCGAGGTCTACGTTGCAAGGCCTTATATGCGTGTGTACCGGATATTACTAGATTTGGACATCTCGAGACTTGGACCTTGAAGTTTCGGGCGAACCGCGTTCGCCCATTGAAAGCGTGTATTAGGCTTAGCGGGTCGCTACCGAGGCGGGAGATATCCAATGGATGGCGGGAGGTACCTAGGCTTCCCAGGCTTGCCAGGCCGCCCAGCTCCAAGGAACCGTCCAATGGCTCAGCCATGTCGAATTGCATCCAACGTCGTTTCAACCATCAAGCAGTATAGTATACGTATGCGTCTCAAGTATCTATTGATTGCCACTTGATACTGGTTCAGACACATGATTTACCAACTACACATTGTCAGCAATGCACCGAGTCATATTTGGTTGGGTAAGACGGCAGAAGATCAAGTCCTGTTGCTGATACTGTCGTCCTGTAAGCTAGTGCCTCTCGCTCGCCAATGGTTAACTGAGTACGGTAGTTACTTGGGTACCAAGGACGCTAAGGCAGCTTACTGGCAAGCACTCCAGCCGGAGATAAACTTACTCGTTGAGCGACCAATCTGAAGCAACGCCGCTGGGCTGGCTGGACTGGCTGGGTGGGGGGATGCGACGATAGCCCTGCTGGAGGCAAGCTCACCAATTGGATGTCCCCTGAGATGCTGCCTGCCCTGCGCTGCACCGCCCCTAGAATTCGTGTGCGTGCAGTCAAGTGTTGACGTCGCCTGGCAGCGCAAGTTCGAATCCTTCGGGATCTCATAAAGGAGGGTCAGCCAGCACGCCTTTGGCCAGAGATCCTTCGGTGGGTGCAGATCCACGTGCACTAAAGACGCCAACGTACGGAGTCACTGCCGGGAGCTCAGGGAGCCCTTTAACCGAGACTTTGTCCATCTCGTAGTCGAAAGCGAGTGCGAGGCTGACTCATCATCCATCATCAACTCGCAGATGAAGTTATGTGTCCAGCACGACCGAGCCCAGCATGGACATGAACGTAGACCTCGATCTGGACTTAGATCTCGATCCTTTGGGACCCGGTGATACTGATTTCTCCTATTTCGAGCCTCTTGCTGACGACGAGGCATCGGCGGGCCAGTCCAGTCATCATGGGCCGCTCGCAAGCCGCCCCTATCACAGTAAGCGCCCACACAAGAAGTCGAGACGGGGTTGCAAGCAGTGCAAGTCGAGGAAAGTAAAGTGCGACGAGGGTCGACCAGCCTGCCGTGCATGTACTCTGCGCAAGGAGACATGCGTTTATCCAACAGCGGCGCCGGCGTCAGAGTCGGCATCGGCATCGGCGTCGGCGTCGGCGTCGTCGCCAGGCAAGGCGGGCTCAACGTCCTTCAGATCTCCCGGATCAACCAGGGGGAGGACACCACCAGCGTCCACCGTTAACGACAGCACTGCCCTTGTCGTTGCGGAGCCCATGTTTCGCCCAGTGGGGATGAGCGACGCAAATGACATGAAGATGCTCTGGTTCTACACTGCGGAGACATATCACTCGTTCAATGTCGAGGGCGGCCGCACTGGCTCCGTCGACCATGTCTTGCGGGTCAGGATCCCTGAGCTGGCCTTCCGTTCACCGTTCCTCATGCAGACGCTGATGGGTCTGTCGGCCCTCAATCTGAAAACCCTCAATCAGGAGGTAGACGATCAAAAGGCGGTGGCCTACAGGGCCAAGGCTTTTGAAGGATACAGGAACGCAATTGAGGCCGGCCGGGAGGAGGATTACCCGGCGCTGCTTGCCGGCTCACTCTTGATATGTGCCCTGAGCAGCGAGATGTTCCGTGAGGCCGACACAAAGCCTTTATACATCATCGACTGGATGGTCGTTTGGAGAGGAATCGGACTCATCGTCGAAATGGTGTCCCCGGCTACCATAGCCAACTACGGCTTGGCCGTGCTGTTCTACCGACCACCAATAGACTTGGAGAAGTCAACGCGGCATATCCCCAACAATCTACTATTCATGGTGCAGTCGATAGGCCCAGACGACGCGGACTATGAGCACCAACAGACCTACTACACCATGTTGAGATATCTCGGCTCTCTTTACCAAGAACTCGAGAATGGGTTCAGTCCCATCATGGACCTTAGAGTCATTACGTTCTTCACCTTCATTCCAAGAGAATTCATCCCCTTGGCCAAGGAACACCGTCCTCGAGCTCTCGTAATTCTGGCGCATTATTGTGCCTTTACGAAACAGAACCGGGGCCCTTGGTGGATGTGGCGCATTGGGAGTCGACAGATCCAGGAAATCAGTGATGCCGTCGGCGATGCATGGGAACATCTTATGCGGGTTCCACGAAAGGTCATGTACCTCGAAGACCGAACCGAGATCGCAAAAACTATCCTACAGAATGCGACTTGGACACCGCCGGATCAAGATCTATACGCCCCTGAAACAAGGGATCCGAGGTGCAAGACTTTGCAGATGGTAACCGACGAGGGGGCAGTCGCAAGGATTGTTGACGGCGAGTGGGAGCTCGATCCGCCACCTCTCTTCGTGAACAGAATGAGGCTCGGTGATCCCGACGCGGATCTCGAGCCAGATAAGCTGCTAGGTGAGCAGGGACAACCGATCGATCTGGACTCACCCATCTCGAATTCGAGGTCATCTTCGACACTATCTCCGGCTCCCTCTTCTGTAATGACATCTGGGTCCAGCAACAGAGCTTCGAGTCCCGATGCGATCTCCTCTTGAACAGTGGATTGCCCAAATCAAGCACGAAGGGCTCAGGTATTGGTATAAGCCAGTTTTTACATGGTACTCTCTATCAGGCGAGTCCCGTTGGATGCACTAGAGGAATTCGAGGTAGCGTTTGTACACTCGCAGCTCTTGTAGATCACAAGACACATATAGTACGGCTGCAGGGCTTTCAGGCTTTATGCGGCGTTATGGAGCCGGACGGTTTGGCTACGTTATATCTTACGATGACGAACTTAGATATCCTTTTACTGACTGTAACATGCGTTGATATCCACTCATCTCACATCATCTCACATATCAGTTTGGAATTCAATTGGCGATATTCCAGGATCAGGCATGCCGCTTTGTACGGAGACCCTCGTACATGTGCAAGGCCTGCTCCTCCGAGAAGCCGAGAAATTCGGTGTTGCATTACGGCGTCGACCACTATACTGTCGACTGCTATTGCCTTGCCAATTCCATAATCTTATCATGTCACAGATCCTTCCTTGCTGTGAAGGAATGCCCTTTTGCGAGCTGTATCGCCCAAAATGCCAGTCAACAGCATAACCCCATGGTTCCCTCTCAGCCTCCCTAGGCGGCACCCTCTCTCTCCGAAAGCGCCTTCTCCCGCTCCAGCACGACCTTGAAGAACTGGCTCACCTCAGCCAGGCTGATCTGCAAGCTCTCGGCGCTGCCGATGAGCTGCAGCAGCGCCTGGCTGTCGACGATGTGCTTGGCGACGACGCTGTCGGGCTGGCACAGGGTGCGGACGCGCATGGTGCGGGCGTCGTTGCGCAGCGTGGCCAGCAGGCCGGCGACGGCGGGCTCGCTGATCATGCGCGCGCCGTAGAAGCGGAACTGGGCCGTGTGCAGCGCCACCAGATCGAGCTGCGTCTCGAGGTCGTACCGGAAGCCGACCACGCGCGGCCGCCCCCGTGACGCCCACCCGTCGGCCACCTTCTTCAGCTTGTCCGGGTCCAGCCGCCCGCCGTTGAGCTGCGACTTGATGTACGCGTCTAGCGCGTTGCTCAGGATGAACTCGAGCTCGCAGTACAGTAGCGACTGCTCGCGCGGGTCCAGCGAGATGGTCACGCGACTGGGGCCCTGCAGCCGGCGGGCCGTCTTGAAGTCCGCCTTCTCGGCCTGTGAGCTGCGTCAGTTTAATGCCCTTGGCCATCTCATCGTTCTCTTCAGGTCTCAAAAGAGAGTGCAGGGTCAAAGGGGTTTGGTCATTGTACGTACAAATTCTCGGGCCTTCTTCTTGATGCCATCGAAGAAGCTGCTGGGCTTGTGGACTCGAGCTTCTGCAGATGCTGTTTTCTCCTTGGTGTCGTGGAGCCAGCCATGGGTTCCAAATAGGGTCTTGGATGCCTTTCTCTTGCCCTCTCCTCCCATGATCCACGGAGTCAGAGGCGTGAACTGGTCCGTATGAGCAGTCACCGGCTCTCTTCGCATATCGGTGACTGTGGCAGACTTGATAAGACCGCGCTTGCCCTCCGAAGTAGGCGGCGTAGGCGGTGGCTGTTGGTAGGTGGTAGCAGGCAGTATCATCAGATCGTCCTGCTGTCCGATCTGGGACACGCTCTTGGATCGGGCGGAACGGATATCCGGGGGAGACATGAGCTGAGGTGTGTTGGTCACCTTCCAGTCATTGTAAGACTTGAGCACGTTGATGCGTTTGGTGACGCGCAGGGGGCTCACAGTTGGAGCCCCGTCGAAGGGCGGCGTGTCGGCCGAGTATACCGACGAGGAACCGTCTTGGTTAACCTGACGGAGCAGGGCTTCAGCTGGGGTGATGGGGAAGTGGATGGCCTGCACTCCGCGACGCTGGCGAACGATCTCGCCGTACTTGCGGGCGTCGCTCAGGTCCAGTGGTGTTGGACGTCTTCGAGCCCTGCGCTCAGCCGAGGAAGCGACGGAAGGCTGCTTGCAGTGTGTTTTCTTTGGGGACTCAGATCGAGCCCTGCCGCGGTGGTGCTCAATCAGAGCTGTGAAGCTGGTCACATTGCTATCGCGAGCCCCGTCGTCGTGACCACCACGTGTGGGTGAGTTTCCCATGCTTTCAATTTTCACTCGTGTTGACGACAGAAACGGGCGGGGAGAGACGGCAGGCTTCAATGCGATAATCAGGCCACAGAGGCACGTCAGAGTTGAGTGAGTGAAGTATATGAGAAAATGGGAAATTTATTGTCAATACAAACGAGGGGTGGCGTTGCTTGGGGATACTGAAGAGGCGGCTTGACGTTGATTGTCAGTCTTGGAGGCACTGGAATTTGATATGAACCGATTATCCACCCAAATAATCAACCAGTCTGAATGCGAAACAGTCTTCACCCCAGATGTCGACGTTGCTTTCGAAAACGAGTCGCACGTTGATATCAAGATAGTTTGATGAATGGGGAACCCGAACTCGTTGCCCTTTGGATGCTGTAATCTTCTAACAAAACTTACAGTCTCATGCTCTTGTTCATTTCACAGACTATCATTGCATGATCCGCCAAAGGGTCGCTTAGTCTCTCTCGACGTCCAGTGAAGCCCTGAAGTTCTTGACGTTGCTCTCCGTGACCGCCCCAATGTTGCCACATTCGACAAGATAACTCTATGGTTTGGTATATCAATTCGGATATGCGAGGCCATCCGCAATTGAAGGCAGCCCCCGTAGAGCCGGCAACGTAGGTGGCGTCACCTGCATGATTGTCGTTTTTCGATTCTGTTCCTTTTTATTTCTCCCTCTGCCTTTCTCATCCGCCGGCACGATGAACTCTACGTTCTCGAACAGCAAAGTATTTCGCCAACGGCGTCTTGCTGATGTTTGCACCTTAGACGAAAAGACAGAAGGGTCAGCAGCGCTACTTCTCGATGGAGAGGAAAGTAACCGTGAACTTTTGGGCAGACTTGCTGTTCTTTCTGGGGTGACTGGCGCGGCTGCTTCAACAGATGCACGGCTGTGATGACTCGAAAGCCATTCAAATGCACTATCGAGCCCGAAATGGAAGCTTCTTCTCTTTGCTCGCGCATGTGAATCCGTTTCTGGGGCATGTGTTTCTGTTCCTGCTCCTCCTTCATCGGCCACAGATTGCCTGCGAGTTCGACCCGTCTTTGCACGCTCAAGTTTTGACTCAGATGACCGGGATTGTGACAGTTCACAGAGTGTCCAGCGATAATCTAATCCACCATCGTAGCCTAGTTGAGGCGTAAATGGGCCCCTGAAATGACTGCCTGAGTTTGCAGCTTCCACCACCGTGTCGGTGGCCTTGGACTCCGCGGTGGTCATCTGTCTCAAAAAGACATCGGTGGGTAAAGATTGCCCTTCGTCAACAAGGCGATGTTTCCTCGCAAAGATCGCATTCGGAATCTCACATCCATCCGGAAGGGGGACAGTCGTGTTCTCGGACAAACTGCTCTCATCTACAGCTACTGTGCTCGACTCGAACCGGGCAGTGCATAGCGAACTTCTTCGCCATTGCTCCAACTCTTCTTCATTTCTCCCCTTCGACAGCCTGTCTACGATCTTGTTGAGTAGACTGGATCGTGGTAAAGACTCCCGAAAGTCCTGGTCCACACTTGCAGTACTCCTTGTAGTAGCACTTCCTGGAGGAGTGAATCGACTGCGCTGATGGAGTGGTGGAACCTCAATCATCTTTTCGTCAAAAGACTTGCCTATGCTCCCAGCTTGACCATCCTGAGCACTCCAGTGCATCTCATGAAACTCTTGTGGGTTGGGAACACGCATTGGGAACGTGCCAATATTCCGCGACGATACGTAGAATGTGTTGTCGATCAACCATGATTTTCGATTTCGAATACAGCTACCCTCAAGGGACAGCCGCTCTTCAACAGGTGACGAGTCCGAGAGAACAAAGGAGTATCTTTCAGAATGCTCTAATCGCCAACGGGCCAATTTTGCTGTGGGAATGATGGACGATGTTATGGTTGTCATGTGTGGTACATGGGGAAGCTCGAGGTCGTGCTAGTCGGCATCAGTGAGATCAGCGCCTCATTGGACAACCAGGGAGCATCCTCACGTAACGGCCCATGTGATCATGTCGCCAACGTTGAAAGGCAGCACCAGGATCGTGAGTGTGCTCGCAATCAATCTCGATCAACTCATACAGAACCCCGCCAGCCAGGTCCAGGTTCTCATCGCCAAGATGTTCGCGCAAAATCAGAAAGACCTGTCTTCTTTGAGTGGCATGTTCTAGCACAAGGCACCATCAATCACCAACCTGTTGGACCCCATCTTTATACTGATAATTCCTGGGGATGTGGGCGCAATATCTGACCAAGACATTGCGACACTCTGGAAAAGACAGCTCTCAGCACATGCTTCGTGTTGGGGTGCACAACTCACTGACTATCTTCATCATACCCTGCCCTTGAGGACATGGCTTCGAGTAAACAAGGCAGGAGAAGTCATGGATGTTCTAAGACCCCGACTGCAATGCGTAGAGACAGCAATGCAAACCGCAGGACACGAATTCTGTTGGCCATCTTGTCAGAGCTAAATGCACGTGTTTCCAGGCCAGCGCCTTCCTCCTCGAGCCCTTCCCCTCCGTTGATTGCGATTACTCGCGCCTTCTCTGCTGCAGAGATACAGACCACGAGGCTACAAGGGTTACATTTTGCCTTTCGGCTTCAAATGGCAAGATGAAGTCGCTCGCATCTTCCAAGTCCGGCCAAACTGGTTTTGATCTGGCAAACACGCCCTGACAAGCCAACGCATTTTCAACCCCATGGGTCACATAGCCTATACGATTCTGTGTAAGATAGCCGACCAGGGAGTAACTACAGTAGTGTCTACGAAAGATAAGAAAGATAGGGGGGCTGAAAGCAAGAACTGTTGTTAGGTAGCATCGGGGGTTGTTCATAGCCGAATTAGGACCTACTCAGCATATGTACGGCAGCCAGAGATTGTAGCCGCCAGGCGTGGTTCGCTAACTGTAATGCATGGAACTACAACCATTAGCGGCAGATTCCGATTATGGGGCGATTTGCAGCACCGCTTAACCCTTTTTCAGCGTCCGCAGAAGACTCGAGCCCGGCGTTCAACGCCGTTGTGTTCACTTTGTCTTTCAGACTCTGCTGAGGCCGTCTGGTTCTGGCGTCAAACACATGGCTTGTGCGCTCGGCATCGGCCTCGGGACTCTGCACAGTGGACGAGTTACTGTTAATGAGCTTCCATGGAGCTGCGCGTTCTCAGCGGCCCGACATGTCGAGAAATAACGTTTTCCAGCAGATGCAGTCTCAACACAAGCTCACTGCTCCCAACCCCAAGGGTGATCAATCAGCGTGCGTTCCGGTCTTGCCAACGGCCGGGACATCCGATTATGCCCACGTGCCCTGGGGACGTTTGGGGAAGGCTTGGCACAGCTGGCGCGCCGCTGTTAAGGCTTGGCCGCGCTGGCCACCAAGCCCATAACAGACTGGAGCACCTCTCACTTCCCGATATTCTGAGCCGTGAGCACCCCGCCGGGGCCCCGCTCCCCATTCCCGTGTCGATGTCCCGGGCATCATCTGGGGCAATGAACCATGGCCGCTAAGCGCGAATGGGCACCGCTTCGCGACAAAATGCTGGCGATTATTTGCGTGCGCGCGCTCTGCAGTGGAGCTCGCCCTCGGTCTTGGGTCCGCTGCCCCATAGATACCCCAGCTTTGTATTGCTCTGCGCCGCCCGCTTGGATGGGGTTGCTGCTTTACGAATCCCGAAATCTAAGCCGGTGCAGACCCAGAACACTGGTCGATTACTTCGTCACTTTTCGGATCCCAGCTCGGTTTGTCCTTCGGGTCGCTCTACTGCTCATAAATAAGGGCCTGGTTCCAGACCTCTGCTGCAACCGATGTTGATATACTTGTCCTATCAGGGGTTTTGAGTCCTGATTCACACATTGGAGGAGATACCCAATAGATTTCTTTCGCTTAAAGTCGCTTCAACGGCTCCACGGCCGACTCTTTGCCGCTGTTCTATCCATTCATCCATTGAGACAACGTCATTGAATTCATCTATATTCTCAGACTTGATCCCCCCAGAACGTTGTCACCTCACATTCAAACCCGCCACCATGGAGACTCAACCGGCTAAGAAGCTGGACTCACCCTACTATGACATTGGTAAGAATGCATCGGTATATCGACGCCTGGCAGAGGCACTAACATCTCTCAGTCATTGTGGGAGCTGGTCCGGTAGGACTCATGCTGTCCACCTGCTTGGCCAGATGGGGTTACAGAATCAAGCACATCGATAACAGATCTGAGCCTACGCCAACTGGGCGGGCGGACGGTATTCAGCCGAGATCTCTAGATCTGCTCCGCAACATGGGGCTCAAGTCTGCCATCATGGCCCACAAGCCGGCGAGAGTGTACGAAGTGGCTTTCTGGGATCCACCGAAGAATGGCAACGGCATCATCAGGACTGGCACTTGGGCCAGTTGCCCCAGCTTCATTGACGCCAGGTATCCGTTCACCACCCTTTTGCACCAAGGTCTGATTGAGCGGGTGTTCATCTCCGATCTTGAGAAGAACAACACCAAGATCCAGAGACCATGGACTATCACTGGCTTCAAGACGGATGAGAAGGAGAACCCGGAATACCCCGTGGAGGTGAACCTCAAGCACGTGGACGGCACTGCAGAGGAGACCGTCCGTGCAAAGTACCTATTCGGTGGTGAGGGAGCTCGATCATTCGTGAGAGAGCAGTTGAAAATCGGCATTACACACAAGGACCCGATCGCTCACGTGTGGGGTGTTATGGACGGTGTGGTGAAGACCGACTTCCCCGACATCAAGGTATGAGCTCGCGCTGCCCCTTTGAAACTGTCGCATCTAACATGTGGAAAGATGAAATGCACCATCCATTCGGAGCATGGTTCGATCATGGTTATTCCCCGAGAAGACAACATGGTCCGCCTTTACATTCAAATCGCTTCCTCCACAGACCCGGATTTCAACCCTCGGAAAACCGCAACGACAGAAGAGGTGCAAGAGTCCGCCAAGCGCATCCTGCAGCCGTACAGCATCGAATGGGAGCGAGTTGAATGGTATTCTGTCTACCCCATTGGCCAGGGTATCTCGGATAAGTACACCTTGGACCACCGGGTATTCCTAGGTGGTGATGCTTGCCACACGCACAGTGTAAGACTCCAAATCCCCGAACTACCGCTTCTTAGAAAAGCTACTGACAAAACCGAACAGCCCAAGGCAGGTCAGGGAATGAACACTGCGTTCTTGGACGCATTGAACCTTGCTTGGAAAATCCACGCTGTAGAAGGAGGTCTTGCAGACAGAGCTCTGCTAACGACTTACGAACCTGAACGGAAGTCCGTGGCAGAGAGTCTTCTCGACTTCGACAACAGATATGCCAAGCTCTTCTCGACAAAGCCTTCAGCTGATACTGTCGAGGCAGCATCCGGGCAGTCAAAAGACCAGGCTGATGATAATGACTTCATCCGAACGTTCAAGGAGTCTTGTGAGTTCACGAGTGGGTACGGAGTAGCCTATGGCCCCAACTCTCTCAACTGGTCACCCGAACACTCTGCAAAATCGCCTTTGATCCACCCCAAGGGTACAAAGCTGAGAACTGGTCGTATCATGATCAACGCCAACGTCACCCGAGTTGTCGACGCGAACGTTGTTCATCTCGAGCAGGAGATCCCTCTCAATGGCTCGTTCAGAATCTACGTCTTTGCCGGCAAGCCCTCTGTTACCGGACAGGCTTTGAAGGACTTCGCGAAGAATTTGAGTGACAAGCGCTCGTTCTACGGCGCCTACCAGCGCTCTGATCTTAGCGCTGTCTCGCATCACGACCACCTGAACCCCCACAGCTTGTTCTTCACTATCGCCACAATCTTCTCTGCCAAGCGTTCCAGTGTCGAGATCTCGCGAGATTTACCCGAGTTGCTCGCCCGCTACAGGGACCTCGTTTATGCAGACGATAAGTGGGATCGCCAAGTACCGAACGCGACGGCCGCAGCCCACGCAAAGATGGGTCTGGACGAGGAGAAGGGTGGTGTCGTCGTTGTCCGCCCCGACGGCTACGTTGGCGTGGTCGCAAGCTTGGTCGAGGGAAGCGGTACCGTTGATGCCCTCAACGAGTACTTCTCGTCCTTCACTACGAAGAAGCTGGGCGAGGCACGCTCTCAGCTATGAAAAACGGGCTCATGAAAGTGATAATTGGGCGGTTCTCTGTGAGGTGTAAGCCTCGATTGCATCTCATTAGTAGCGGGCAGGGTCAATTGAGCGAGCATCTGTCGCAGTTTATGATGTTATAGATATTTAAATATGCTATTATGACAAATGTTTCCGTTTAATTCAGAATCAATCACGAGCGAACAGAACTTCCGTCTGAGATTGGGAAGTTCATGACTTGAGAGGTACTAATTGGCAAAAGCTAAATTCGAATTCAGTCTGCATTGCCCTATCGCGTCTCCCTCACTGTTCGATTCAACCACCTAGCGCTGCGTTCAACCGTGAACTCCTTTGTTTGTAGAATTGCCCTTGGGGGCAATGCAATAACGCCATTGGCAGAATTTGGACTCCACATATGCGCACTGCCTCTATGGCTTATTTCCTGCACCGGTTCACTCAACGCCACCAAGGACGTCTCCTTCCATGGCCGGCCGTCCGACCAATCGGACGGGAGCGAATCTCGAGGCACGGCTGTGATTTGCTGCGACACCCTCATTGCTACCCTAGCATCTCGGAGCAATACTCGGAGACAGGGGATTGAGGCAGCTATAATCGACACAGCAGGCTCTACTTGTCCGAGAAGCACAATGACCGTAAGATTATCTGGGAATGTGTTTAGACTAGGTTCCACTGGGCTTGAAGGCTTGCTTACACCAAATGTTTGCGTCAAGTGGCATTTTGGTGATTCTCACCAACCGTGATATAGCTATTGCGCCAGCACTGATTCGTTCAAACCCTAGGTTAGGCACCGTTTGTAGTAAGATAGTCGAAAGACTTACACGACACCAAGGCTCATGGCAAGAGACAGCTAAGGCAATATCAGCCAACTTCAAACGTATATAGTGGATCCAACGAAGATTTCTTAAGAAGTAATGAACCAATATATAATTGAAAGACAGTTTAGCATTGAGCAACAACAGACTTACGGTATATTTTTCTCGACTAGGCAACCGAAGCTTCTGAACAATGAACCAGGGCAAAACTGCCAACATAAAATCCATTAAAGACGAGTAGCCTATGACAGTTTAGTTCTGTGCAATCGTTCCCAATTAGACTTAGCAAAGATTATTTCCATACCAGCTGCTACGGCAACAATTGCTGTTCCCGCAGAATACGGCCAGCAGGGTCCTGGCAGCTGAGGAGAGACGCCAATGTCAGAAGCACCGCAGGCCTTAGCGAATGTCGAAACCGCCAAAGCCACAGACATTGCATTAGTAGATACGATAGCAAACCACACCAAATGCCGTCTGGGGCCTTCTGTCAGCCGAAGCAAAGTCACAGCCCAAGATGTCTTGGACCAATCCAGCGCCAGGCAGCCGGCTAACGCTTGTAACGAGTATAACAACCCCGTCTGCGGTAGCACCATCGGCCCGCTGCCCCATCCGAGAGCGAGCATGTAGGTCGCGAGAATGTTACCGACTACCACGGCGGCCTTTGGTAAGGGTATTTGTCAGAGGCGCTAGCTTTTGAGACGGTTCATGGACATAAGATGCTCACCCAGCTAGCAACAAGAAAGGCATCGTCCCACCATAAGCCATTAGACTTAGCAATCTTTGTCCATATTCTGACGGAGAGGAAGATGGTTGCGACGGCACAAGTGCTCCAGATAAGTCCGTTAGTCACGGGTTCCGGGTCTTGTCTTATCTGATGGTATTCGGTGTTTGACGACATGTGGTCTATGCTGAGGATAGAGGCACAATCCCCCGTCCTATAGTTATAGCCAAGCGCCCTGGAAGTAGAAATCTGCGCTGATGATTCAAAGTAGGTAACGCTTATTGTGAGACTAAAGCACGGAGCAAGGCTGTACCCAGAGGTGCATGACTTGCTCCTTTTGTACACAACATTGTGTACATTTCAGGATTGGTGAAACGGCATGATTGAATCTAACAGACATACACAATATTCGCCAACTGCATCGCACTGGAATCGAAAATGTCTAATTCTGGGTTTCAGCATTCTCCGGGAGGAAGCGGCCAATCAGCGGCCACTGTGCCGGACCAACAGCGGACGGGTATGCAAGGGATGAGCCAGGGTCTACTGGGACGGCCATGGCAATGATTTCGAACAGTGACAAAGCCTATCATTCGTTCGGGCCGCTGAAGTCTGTTGTAAATCTTAGTTTTCAAGATCACCGTCTCTGCCGTAGTTCCATTCTCCTCCCCGATTTTTCAGCCCGTGCGGCCCGTTCAGCACGAGGAGCTCAATTCCAAGCTACACGCGACTTCTATCGCACTTAAAGTGAGCTTTGTCTTTTCATCTTTTTTGGACTAATATGTATTTCGGTGCGATATGGACACAAATCTTCCCGCCTCGCAACGGCGCGCCACTCACGGAACGTAACCTGCCCAGTCAGGCGGGCAGAGTGTTCATTGTGACAGGTCGCTCATCCGGCCTAGGCTATGAACTCTCGCGCATTTTCTACGGGTTAGGCGGCAAAGTATACATCCTGACTCGTTCAAAGGGTCGCGCCGAAGAAGCCATGGCCAAGATAAGAGCACACAACTCTAACACCGAATACTCGACTGGAAGTCTGATGTTCCTGCATCTGGATTTGTTGGATTTTTCCACGGTCAAGGCAGCTGCTCAGCAGTTCTTGGAACTATAAGGCCCAGATGGGAGACTAGACGTCTTGTTTAACAACGCAGGGACCGGTGCCCTGAAGAATGCCCCCGCTAGCCGCTGGGAACACGAATATCACTTTGTCGTCAATTCCCCTGGCGCGTATCTGTTGACACGACTTCTCACGCCTATTCTAACCAAAACGGCTTAATTGAATCCAAAAAATAGCTTGCGTGTAATTTGGCCAGCCTCGATATTAGTTGAAATGATGTCGCCGAAGCATGGTATGCAGGAGAAATTGCGGGATTCCACGAGTATCAAAGATGAAAATGAGCTTTATTCCTCGTCTAAGGCAGCCAACTGGTTGCTGGCATCTCAACTCGCACAGAGCCAAACCGGAGGGAAAGGTATCGTCCATTTGGCCGGAAACCCAGGCAACTATAATACCAACATTTGGCAGCATACGCCCAGCCTCCTTTACTATGTTCTCTGGCCTATACTCAGAGATCCTGTTAACGGGGCGAATACATATCTGTGGATGGCTTTCTCCGAGTCCATTGCTATAGAGGACAGCATGGCAGGTCGCTATGCCATTTGCGACGGGAGATGGCACTCTGGGCAGCGACAAGATCTTATCCTGGCGTTGAGGTCTGTCGAGGAGGGCGGTTCGGGGAGAGCGAGAGAATATCTCCACTGGTGCGAGAACAATATCAAGGACTTTTTGAGCGAGGACTAAATGCAGCACTTGGCGGGATGCGTCATTATGGTTTGTTGCTCACTCTAGAGAAGATGGTTAGTCAGGCGAATTAGTCTGCTATTCTACTTGTGGTTTTATCGATATTTTTAGGTAATGCCAGTATTTTTTCGATTCGGTCCATTAATAAAACGGTTCCATCTGACTTCTATTTGGCCTTGCTACTAACCTCTGCAAAGACAGCACTCTGAAATTTCTCATGCAGAGCCACCACTGCAGGGTGCATGGGAGGGAGGATTTGGCACATGGCTGTCCCACATATACCAGCCTCATGGTCAATGAACCAAACAGCACATGGAACTCCAGCCCAAAGAGTTGTTCCTGGCCGGAATCTGCCTTCTTGACCCTGCTTTGCCACCATACCTGCAAAACACCATGTCTTTCTGACCGTGGTCGGGATCCCAAGGCCCAGGAACATGGTGTGCGCGGGAGAGAGTGCTACATAATCGTTGAACGCCTGCTCACATTTTTCGTCGAGCTGCGGCCGGAAGAGCTCTGTATACGACTCTGGTTTCAAAATCTTGGGATCACGACGGAGAACCGCGGAAAGGAAGGACTGATATCCCTTCTGGGACGCGAAGAGACCGGCTCCGCCAAGACAATCAGTACCTCCAAAGAGGATATCGAATGTGGGAGCATCAACAGCTGGCGGCTCGCCTTTTTCGTTCAATGAACTAAGATGAGCCATCCTTGCCTTCATGCCTTCTTTAGTCTCAGGGTGAAAACTGATCTCGTCCTCGATTCCAAGTGGGATCCATATTCGCTCATGCATAAACTTCTCTAGAGTGGTGTTCGCAGCGACCTCGAGAAGCTTGCCAGCCCAGTCGTGCCCGGCTCCGTAAGCAAAAGAGGTCCCGGGCTCAAAGACGAGAGGCAGGACAGACTTGTGCTCGACGGTCGGGCCGGTCCATGGCTCCTCGTTGCGCGACGCCCGCCACTTGCCTAGAGGTGGATTGAGCCAGTCGTATTCGTGGCCTGACGTGTGCGAGAGCAACATGCGAAGAGAAATGGGTTGAGAGTTAGCCGTGAACTGCGCAGAGTTACTATCATCGTCGAAGCCGCTGATGATGCCATACTCCCCTATCCGGGGCAGCAATGGCTTCACGTCTGCGTCTAAGTCCAGAATCCCGTCTTCGACGGCTTGCAGCACGGCCACGGAGGTAACGAGCTTGCTCATCGAGGCAATCGCGCAAACCGAGGAAGCCGTAAAAGGACGCTCGTCGTTGTCTTTGAGAGAGACTCTGCCCGAAGATCTCGAGTAGATCACATTTCCTACCGGGTACCCAGCATTAGTTTAGTGTTCTCAAATCCGATCGCAGAATCTGGCCGGATTTTGGACGGTCGCCATTTCAGACATGATAGAATTGAAGTCACAAAACCAGAGGAAATGCAGGTAATTTTGTGGTCAATCGAATAATCGAGGATGCTTGCCTTCTCTGTCTTCTGCTGCTAGCGAAAAGCCAGGTAACAGGCCTGATGCAACAGCATCATCGTAGATCTTGTCGATATTTTCCATGCTGCTCTTCCCAAACTTGGATTTCGATTCTACATCAACGGGCGCATCGATCACAAAAAATGTCTCGCCAAATCTTGGTAGCACGATGGAAAAGTCTCGATCAAAGCAGTCTAACTCGGGGCATCCTCTGTCCAACTTTATAGTCAGTCCTCGATTTTGCTATCTTCGAAGACTGCGCCGTAGACTGAGGGGTCAAGGGAGGCAGTGCTTAGCCCTTGCTGCACGTCCCGGCTACGGGGAGACTTTACCGCATCAATACTATATTTTCGACACTACAATGCAGGCGTATACGGATACTGAGAACTCTCCGAGAGAAGTCTACAGGGTACTTACGAGCTTTTCGATGGTCGGCAACCCCAGCCAGTAGAAGACTAATGTATCCATTCGCTTGGCAAAACGGCTATCCAAAACCCAGGTCTCAAGTTTGCTTGCTTATTTGCGGTCTCAAGTCAGAACCAAGACAAAATCAGCATAGGTTATGGGAATCTTGAAAACGCGGCTAAGGACATGAACATTTGCATCAACTACCCGTGTTACATGCGTCTGTTTTAGATGCGGCCTGGTGGTCTTGCGATAGAGCTGCATAAGTCTCAGAGTGATTCGCAAGTGAAGTCTATCCCAAAGCTCCCGATTGTGAGTGGACAGGGCATCCTTGGTGGATGCTGTATCCACAACTGTTCCTCCTCTCCTCCAGGTGCAGCTATTCAGGAACAGGCATCATTCAGCAGCTCCGCCGGACAAGCCGTGCAGTCGGCGGGCAGCTGGGGAGCCGAGGAGGCGTTGGAATGTGGGGAAACATCAGTCGGTGACGGTGACGGCTTGCAGCGCCAAGCTTTCTGCTTGCGGAGGCTGGGCTCGCAGTTGTGGCCCGTGCTTGCCGAATTCGAGGCTAAAACCTTCCAAACGTCCAACATTTGATCGCGGCATCATCAGCCGTGGTTACTCAACTTCACTCACCCCTGCGGACCCGCTGGCCAACCACCGGAGGCCTAACTACCTGTACGGGCTCTCGTCGTCACGGCAGAGACGTTCCTTGATAACGCGACAAGTCGATAGTACACGCATAGAGTTTCTAGATCCGTGAGTCTCCTTTTGGAATTACGATTGCGTCTTCCCTTTGTTCCTATCCTGTGATTCCTATCCCTCTCCCATCGCGATGCTGGTCAAGATGTGAATGTGTTTCGGCGAAAGCGCAAGGTTACAGGAGATGAGTGGCACTGGACTCTGGCCAGAGGCATGGAACATGGGATGCAAAGATGGCCGGTGGTCGTGTGTGGTTATTGCAAGATTGCTGGGAGAGTCACCTGCCGCGGGCTAGTGATTGAGAGTACGGCCGATGGCATAGATGCAGCGCATGCACCTCAAGCGCGCATCGCTGGATGGTGCGCGGCAGCCATCAAAACGGACTGGTCTCGCCGGCAACAAAGTGTCTGCGCGGGTCAGCCCACCGGCGCTGTCGATGAGGCCGGGCTCTGGCCTCGAGCGATGTTGCTGGCGCGAAGGCCGTGAAGTTGGCTTTGTGCACGAGCGGCGACAATGGTTTGCCAGGACCCGAGGCTGCAGCAGCCAGCCTGGATACTCAGCTGGTGGTCGGGCACTGTCCCGCATCTCTGGTGCGAACAAACTCAAGCTGCTGTTTGTGGATGGTGGACATGGAATGGCTCGACAGTCAAGTCAGTCCTGGTTGGGTGGACAACGTCACGGATTATGGCCCGCGAGGAATTCGATGGCAGGGCTCGTCTGGACTGGATGGCGGCTGTGCATGGCCACAGTTCAGTGTCGACCGCAGTGGCGGTTATTCTGCTGACACTCATGGGGCATAAACGAACCCGGGTCGTACTTTCCTGTCCTGCCAGCGGTCGGTCGTCAGTGGCGTCACAGTGATTATTCCACTGGCAAGGAGCGTCGTTCCATTGGGGACAACCACTTTCTGGCCTTGACGCGTCGTGCTGCTCTCTTCTTCCCTTCCTTTTCTTCCTCAGTGCAACATCGCAAGAGTCGCGTTTGCAGTCGGTGCCGATTCACACAAACACTCGCATCACACCACATCGCAATTTCCACAAATCTTCATCAAGAACACATCGTTTCTGACCCTTACCTGCTTTGACACAAATTCCTGAGAACCCTTCTGACATCATGGACAGCCCTGACAGCCCTACCAGCCAGGGAGATCGCGAAGACCCAGGTGTCTTCCACGCGCGTAGAGGCGCCCACGTCAAGGCTCGCCGCTTGGCACTTGAGGTTGGAGCTCCAGCCCTGCCCTTCGGCTTCGCACCCCAGGAGCTACGAACCTACCGGGGAAGGAACAGATTCCGAGCCCCTAACCCTAACTCTGTCCGCATCCAACTGCCCGCCAGGCGTAAAGTTGTCTGGCCCGACTCAACGCCGTCACCGCAGCCCGCTCCCGAGTCGCTCCCGATTCGAAAGCGACGCTTCTCGCAACAGCAACGCGATGAATGTGCTGCCGACTCGGATGGCCACACTTCATCTATCCCCTTGTACCGGGAGAACCCCGACTTCGACATCGACCTGATTACCCAGAACAGCCCCGGGGCCTTTCCTTCTGACGTCCAAGAGACCACTCGCACAGGAACCCCTTTATTCGCATCTTCATCCGTGCTCAATCGCTGCACTCAGTCCCAGCTTGAGACACCAACACCAATCCGTCACACTCACCTCCCTGACGTGACACCTCTGTCTTCCCGCCTTGGGGGCTTTCAGTCTACAACTATCAGCCCTTACGCTCACCAGCAGTATCAATCTGCTGACCTGAACCCCTTTACTCGACGGCCAACCGAACCCTCAACACTCACCCCTTTTGGGTACCAACATCCGCCCTCATCAACGCCTCTTCATCCACCGAGTCTTCACCCTATGGGTCCTCAAACTCTGCAACCTGCTCCACAGCCCCCCAAAGCGACAACGAGCACATTGGGCATGCAGCTATCCGCCATCTGCTTCAATACCGCAGCATCCATCAAAACCGGCATTCAATTCGGGATCACCAACCTATTTTCCCGCCTGCCGGGAGTATCGTCGCGCACCGCGGTCCCGCTTACCAGTGCTGGCACCGACATCGCTTCACAGGAGGACGAAGGTCAAGCTGCTAAGCGTCGACGTCTTGGGGATTCTGAACCCGAGCAACAAGCACTGCAGGATGACATCAAGCTAGACGAAACCAGGCAAGACGATTGGACGCTTAGTTATCGGCCATCGAACGGTGTTATCAGCCCTCCGGCTAACATCACAGCCACCGCTGGACCTCCGCAACTCGACTTTGACCCCATGGACATTGATGATCCCGAGGACTATCAAGCTGCAGATCTGCCTCAAGCCGGGGTAGACTCGGACAGAGTCATCATGACCGAGGACACAGAACCTGATTTAGGTGGGGTCATGGCTGCTGTCGAGGCAGATGTCGAATCACAATTTGCAGACTCTGAGTCTGAAGACCAGATCACAGACGAAGATCTGGAAGCTGAAGCCGGTCAGATCATATCACCTTCCAACCATGTCGAACTTCAGAAGCGCAAGGAGATACCTGATGCGCTGTCAGATACTCCGTCGCAGTCCTCTGCAAAGAGTCTTTCTGACGCTTCCGAGGAATTCCAGACGCAGCTGGCCATCGATGAGCAGTTGGTTTCCGAAGAATTCCAAGCGGAAACATCTGGTGGTGAGTCATTTCTGGAGGATTCCCAGTCGCTGGCCAAGGATCATGACGGTTCAGAGGAATCGGCCTCACGACGACAATCCTTGGAGCATTCAGACTCAGGCTCGCACCTTTCAGAAGTGTCGCAGGATTCACGAACTTCCAGAGTCTCCAGAGTCTCATCACGTTCAGGACTCTCGAGACCAAGCTCCTCTGATTTACGTGAAAAGACTCTCGAGAAAGGGACGGCAGCCATGCATGAATTGGGGCTGCATGACCTTCAGCCGAGCCCCGGGTGCAGACCGCGTCAGAATCTGCCTCCCCCCTTACCTATATCTCCGAAAAGGACCTATACTGAGCTTTTCAACAAATACTTCGAGTATGACCGCGAGCGACGACCTCCGACCATGGCGGAGTTACGAGGGTGGGCCAGAGTTAAGGACAAGGACCCTCGCTTGAAGAGTCGCATGGACTGGTTTGACTTGGAGGACGAATTCTCGCTGCCTGGGCTTGAGTACCTGAAGCTTGATCCCAACCCTGACAAGGTCGACGAGCTTGAAAAGGAATACTTGGCTCGCAGTCGTGCTAAGGACGAGGCACTGCAAGCACAGATTCTAGCCGAGTATACTAGGGCAGAAAGCGCCCGCCTTGCCGCCGAGCAAGCTCAGCTTGCAGCGCTCGGCTTGCGCAAGTCCAGGACGCCCTGGATCACTTCACTGAGCCGCGATTGGGAGCGAAAAGTTGACGCGTTAGCGGATCCTGGCACACGGCCTGTGAAGTCGGGCGGTCCTGAGGTCATCGACGTCAGCCGTGGTGATTTTAAGATACTCATGAAACACGGAGAATGGCTCAATGACAACTCTATCACCGCAGCTATGCAACATGGGGCTGCTTATATCAACAAGGCGGCAGGCATCACCCTCAAGAAGGGGGCTCCCAAATGTGTGGCATTTAATACATTCTTCTTCACCGACCTTGCCGAAAAGAAAAAACAAACCAACAAGGTCCAGGCATACCCGCGAACGACCAAGCGTGTCTGGGGCCTGAGTCCAGAGAACTTCCTCGAGGTTGAGTCGATACTGATCCCTGTCAATGCGCATCACCATTGGACATTTGCCATGATTAGACCTCAGCGTCGGGAGATTGCATATGTGGACTCGTTTCACAATCCTCATGACGACCGGCTCGAGCTGCTACACGAATGGATGGCAGACTTTCTCGGTAAAAATTACCATCGTGAAGAGTGGAAGCGTGTCTCTTTCACGGTCACCACACAAACAAATGGCTATGACTGCGGAGTGTGGACCATCACCAACTCAATACTCCTGGCCATGGGCATCGACCCAAGCGATTGCACAGAAAGTCAAATGCGCATGCAGCGACGACGCATCGCCGGGGCCATCCTGAATGGTGGATTCCACGGCTCATTTGATCTTTCCGATTTGTGATTCGTTCCACCAGTTGACGAAATAGACGGCGTGTAGGAATAGGTTTGGAACAGTTTGGAGTTTGGAGTTCAGGGAAGTCCATCGCATACAAGCGCCTCTTTCTTTCTTTGGCAGTTGGTACGGACAGGGGGCCATAGGAGGCAATCTGGAGCAAGAGAGTTGAATACCCCATCAGATGACATCCTGGTTTTGAGTGTCGAGATAGGTGCAAGTGGCGCCAGGTCAGAGTCGCCCCGACCTGGCCAAGGGGGCATCATGGTATAATTAGGTAGAGACAAAGGCCCCAACAGAAGATTGGCGTCAATAACGACACAATGATTTCAAGCTTCCTTTCCCGCTGCTCTCGTCGATGCTGTGCTGTGGATTTTTGTTTGTCACCAAATCATGCGTGCTCTGCCATTTTTGAGAGCTCTTGACCGACCCTATTCACATGTACTTACTTGCCACTTTTTTCCAGCGAAGGAATGTTGTCCAGAGACCACGACCGGCATGTCACCCAGCAGCAGGCACAGCTACGGCAGGATTCGCGATTCCTGATTTAAAAGGGTATCATCTTTCTTGATTTATCTTTCGTGCTCCATCTGTCTACCAGTCGAGAGGCGGCCACTCCGCTGACACATCTAAAATCTCAGGCGAAAAATCCGAGTGAGCTTCTGTTTGTTTTTTGCCTGTCCATACGCCGATCCAATGCAGTCAAAAAATGCGGCGAGTATAACGTCCATCTGGTGACAAATACCAGGCTCGCCCTCCTTTTCCCTCGCCTGGCATACTCTTGTCGGCCCAAGGCCTCTTCTTCTCCTTTTCTCACATCCAAAAGTCCTCTTGGCTTCGTCTCTCACTCTCTTTTCCTCTCTCCATCCTTCGTCTCCAAGAACAGTCGGTGGCTATGAGGCTCTGTTTCGCCTCTTTCAATGCAGGTTCATGATGGTCTTAGCCTTCTCGTACACGATCCACGTGATACTAAGCGCGGGCGCGACCTTGAGGAGGTTCGGCATCAGGCCTTTATAGAATCCGCGGGGACCCTCGTTCTTCAGCGTCTTCTGCGCGACGTCCCAGATGCCAGTGTAGCGTGCAGGATGCATGCTGGTGCCCTGAGTCTGCAGTCGAGTCCTCAACACGTTGAGTGGGTAGACTACGGACGCACCAAAGGCGCCTGAAGATGCTCCCATGATGCCCGTGATGGTGCTGGAAGGTTGTATATCTTCTTCGTGAATGCCAAGACGTTTTGCCTGGTAGGTCACGTAGTATGATTTGAGGAACTCGAATGTGCCCATGTCAATGGCTGAATAGGGGAACATTCCAATCAGGCCCATGGTGACACCACGGTAGTACGCCCTAAATCCACCGTCGGCACCCATCTTCTTGGCTGTGTGCACAAGCAAAGGGAAGCCACGCTCGCCTCCGGCAACGTAGTTTGATTGTAGTCTAGATATTTCGTGAGCTTGGTGGCCGTGGAATAGAGGACAAGTGTGAGGAGAGCATACCGAAATTTTAGTGTGTCCAACGGGTACACGAAGAACCTGCAAACACCATTAGTGGGATATCCCGGCGCAACATACATCTGATCCAACGTACTGTGCGGTCATGCCGGCAAGGCCACCAGCAACGAATTTACTAATGGGGTTGATGTGATGAGTATCGCTGTGACCCTCTAGCCCAGCCAGCGTTTTCTTTGCGGCTTCGTAAGCCCCAAACTAGAGAGAGATTAGCTCACTGGACCTTGCAGAGACAGCACATAAATCGCATCGTCTTACCCTTATGGCGGTTTCCGGCATGATCTTGATGACATTGAGCCCATTGCCTAACACGGTTTAGTGCTGCGCGATACATCAGTTGTTCGCAGAACGGAGGCTTACCAGCAAACAGCCCTCTCACGCCTCCGGTGCAGTAGAGTTCTTTGCAAGCTACGAAGAAGGACCGAGAACCGTTCTTGAGGGCCTCCAAAGGGCGGCCCTTCTTGGCGGCGTCGATTGCGGCATGGTTCGTGGTCTTCGTGTTGACCAGAAGGTAAACCTTCAATCGGTCGAGAGGAGCAGTAGCGGTACGTGAAATACCTCCCGCGACAGCACCGGCGACAAAGTAGCCTACATCGGGGAGGTACTTGATCAGCGGATTTTCCTTGCCATTGACCTCCTCACTCAGTTCAGTTTCAATCTCAGAGCCTTGCGGAGTGGGTTTGCTTGACGCCGTCGTCGTGGTGGCGTGAGGATGGTGGATTGCGCCCCGCAAGGCGGCATTGGTTGTCCTAGCCGCTTGGGCGTACTGCTGCCTGCTAAACTCTTCAAGATGGTCACCGCCGTAGCCCGTGCCGTCAAGTTGTGATACCGCTTGTCGATGAGTGGTTGATGTTGCTTGCCTCGTTGTGGCGTCGGAATCTGCCGCAGCATGCGAAGACCGGTCCGACGTGGAGAGTGGTTGTGCCCGCGGATCCGCCCCGGTCCGACCTTCCTGGTGATCCAACGGGGAGGCAAGTCTGATGATTGAACCAAAGAGAGCTGAGATAAGAGAGTTTATGGTCGTACCTAAACCTTGAAGAGTATCATCATTAAAAATGGAGTCACCCTCTGAATTGACGGTCACAATGTCCGAGTAGAACGTAAAGACTGTGCGCAACGTAGCAGAAGCATCTTGACTGGGCATAAAAAGCAGAAAATTTCTAAAAAGAGAGAGGACACTGTCAGTCGTTGAGTCGGTGGTGATGGAATTCTTGGGTGCTTACCTCCACTCATCAAAGCTGATGTAGCCGTCGTTGTTCATGTCGATGTCCTCAAAGAAGGTGCCCAGCCGGCGCATTGGCACGGCCAGACCAGCACGCTGGAAGGCCGACTGAAGCTCGTGCTTGTCGAGCCTTCCGTCGTTGTCACGGTCTATCGACTTGAAGAGGAGGAACAACTGGCGCTCGGCCGCCTCGACAAAGACTCTGAACTCTGTGTCACGACAGTGTCAGCAAGCCAGACCGGCGGGCGACGGCGAATCACGGAAATGCGCAAGGCTATAAACAGCGGGGCAAGGACGTGGCCAACCTTCATATTGAATCTTGCCGTCTCCGTTGGTGTCGACAACCTGGATGATGTTCTTGAGCAGGTCGTCGGCGTTCTTGAGAGCTGTGGCGAGATGTCAGTTATATATCGCGCAATGGGAGCAGCCAGATATAGTAGAGAGCTCAGCTGGGCCGGGGTGGATGAGGGCTCGACTTACGATGGTCGATCTTCTTGAGGCCGCGCTGCAGGGCCTTCCAATCCAATTCGCCCTTGCGCTGGTAGTCGAGGCGCTTCCACAGGGCCTCGACGCGGGCGTCCCTCTGGTTTTGTGTCTCGTCCATCTGCATCTCGAGCTCTGAGACCACGTCCGTGATCTTCATGGTCGAAGATCATGCGGCAGGCGATCACAGGAGTCTGGGCGCGTGGTTACGAAAGCGGCATAGCTGATGACCTGACGGCGGGAGCAGCGGGCAAATGGAGTCGGAGTCGTGCGTCGCGCTGGCGCTGGACGGCGCTCATCGAGCTGCGTTGGGGCTGGCTGTTGCAAGGCGCCCGGGCGAGCGAGTGTGAAAGTCGGAGGAACACAGGTTGACGTCGGCGTGCAGGGCTTCGGGTCGGACGCGGACACGCAGCAGATGTGACGGGTGACGGTTGGACGGGATGAGAACCAGAACCAGGACCAGAACCAGAGCTCGCTCGTCCCATGCAAGGATGTTCCTCCTGCGTGTCTTGTCTCGCTCAGCTGTCTGCAGCAGGAAAATCCAATTGGCAGCGGCCCCCCCTTCGTCATATCTGGGGCCGCTAAGCCCGAAGCGGGAGCTTCTCCCACGATAAGGGGGCCTGCCGATAAGCCATGAAAGCGATACACCCGCCGCGGCACGTCGTTGGTCGGCCAGAGGTCTGCCGGCTCTGTGACAAGACTGTAAGTGCAATCAGCCGCCCTCCCAGTGGTCAGCCTTCCCGCCCTGGGTGCCACCCACCACCCACCCATCCGCCCGTCCACCGTCCTACAGCTCAGCCTTGTGCTCTTCCGGTCAGCTCAGGTCAGGTCAGGTCAGGTCAGGTTCGCAGGAGCACAAGTCAGCAGGGACGGCATCCAGCACACCTTTGCGCCAATGCTCTGCTCACTACGTGTGGTACCAATGCGACTCAAGGATTTGGTCTAGCCTCTGTTCTTCCGCCGCGGTGCCATTGCACACAGGCGCCTCCCCATTCTACCTACACTATGGCCGCCAGCTTCTGGCAGTCGACGCAGCGCCGCTTCTGGATATTCTCCAAAGATGAGCTCGAGCAGATTCGCGGCAAGCTCCGGGAGGAAGACCAAGGCCTCGTGCAGATGTTCCCCTTGCCCGAATGGAGGCACCTGAGCATCTACTTCAACCAGCGTAAGTTGCCATCCTCCCCCGGCCGCTGGGCCTGCGTGGCTGAGCTGTGCTGTGCTGACTGGTACATCCCAACAGAGGTCAATCGGCTGGGCAAGAGGCTGGTCATCCGCCAGCAGGCCATGGCGACGGCACAGATGTACATCAAGCGGTTCTACACAAAGGTCGAGATCAGGCGAACGAATCCGTACCTCGTCATAGCGACGGCGCTCTATCTGGCATGCAAGATGGAAGAGACCCCTCAACACATTAGGCTTGTGGTTCAGGAGGCCCGCTCCCTCTGGCCAGGTAACTTGCCCACAACAGATATTCCGAGGCCCAGAGGACTAACCGCCCTGTGACAGACTTTCTGACGCTAGACATCTCGAGGTTGGGCGAGTGCGAGTTCTTTCTCATCTCCGAGATGAGCTCTCAGCTGATTCTACATCAACCGTACAAAACCCTCACCACCCTGCAATCCGACTTCTACCTCTCACAAGACGAGATTAGCCTCTCCTGGTCCATCATAAACGACCATTACATGACCGACCTCCCCCTCCTGTACGCGCCTCATATCATCGCTCTTACGGCTATCCTGCTTGCTCTTGTTCTCCGGCCCAATCCTGTGCCAGGAAGCCAAGCTGCCGGCATGGCTGCGGCACAGGCAGCTCTTGCACAAGCACAAGGGGCGAGAGGCCTTGGATCCGGCTTGGGCAGCGGGCAGACTACCCCTGGTGGGGCGGCGGAGAAGGAGAGTAAAACGAATGAGGCGAGGGTGGGCAAGCTCCAGCGCTACGCGGCTTTCCTTGCCGAGAGTAACGTTGATATCGAAGGCATGGTCGACTGCACACAGGAGCTCATATCCTTCTACGAGGCGCACGAACAGTACAACGACAAAGCAACCAGGGACCAGATAAACCGCTTCGTCAAGGCTCGGGGACTCGACAAGGCCTAGAGCGGCTTCTAGTCACCGCCGAGTGGTCTTGGAGAAGCAATCCACTGGCCAGGTGAAGGGAGGTCAACGAGATCATATGGGCAGGGGGTTTTCAGATCGCTCGCCGCCCGCAGGCTGGCGCCTCAACTGCTCAATCCACTGAACCCAAGTTATCAGGGAGCTTATCCCGGACAAGAACAACTACAACTGCAGCAAATTGATTGTCAAAGCCCTCATCTACAGCGACCAGACATGCAAGTTGCCGGTCGGGCTGCTGGCCCGCAAGCCGGCCAGCATCACGTTTCATTGAATCCAGCCTGCGCCACAGACCCGCGTACAAATTATCAACACGGATGGTTTGAGATGATATGTGATGAAGAGAAACGGACTGACAGCATCCAGTGGTTACCATAATGAGGCTCACGGTTTGGAGGACACACGTCCCTAAGATGGAAACAGCCCGCAATGGGCTCCGTCCCGGGGAGATCATCATGCCCTAGGAGACATGCCGCGGTGTGAAATTACTCATGGGCTTCACAAGAGTATCACAGCATCATCATAGCGATTAAGGCGTTGGGTTTGGTTTATTAGCGGCTGCATTTTTGTTCACGTAGCATGATACATTGACGACGACAATGATATAACGACCGTACCGTCTCGAAGTGGAATTTTTCAACGCTGCGAAAGTATGTGGATGATGGCTCCAGACTTATTTATGCCTATGCTACAAGAGCAGGTTCACATGCGATATCGAGACCGACTTACGATTATACTATCCCAGTGACTATAAACATTGGCAGACCCCTGCGCAGTAGAGTATTTATGTCTGTCTATCCAAGTGAAAGTGCAAACGCCCCTCCAAGTAGATTTAGTATACTATATAAAAGTCCAACTTGAATTCCTGGTTATGAAGAGTCCCATGGACCGACCAATCCCAACACTGAGACTCTTAATCATTCCCATCTAAAGACGACACTAAGAGCGAGGCACATCAATTGCAAGCAGCCTTCATCTAGCTTCAAGGGCAAAGTAAGCAGTTCCATACATTTGCAGCTTATCCTCTGGCTGTTGCTCTATAGTCATTGTGAGGCCATAAACCTTACTATCTGACTCGGTACGGTTCTGGGCCGTGGCAGCGTGGTATCTGACATCTGCCGACTTTCCTTGTGGCGCTTTACTCGGCCACGGACATGCCATGACCCTGATGGGATGCTCGTCGAAACCCTCATTGCCAGCTAAAACGCTCGGTAGAGTGGTGGTCCGGCGACGACCGCTGGGTCAGTGATCGTGCCATCTCACACCACCGTCCAAACTTCGCGATCATGCCTTCATCTATGCCATCACACGCAGAAGTGCGACCCTGCATCCGGCGAGAGCGAGCCTCCGCCGAAGGCTATGACGAAGCCGGCGGGCCCAGCCGTTAGATGGACGGGCGTCCTCGGGATCGAGGCTGTCGCCCAGAATTCTTCCGAGATCTTCCCGCTTGGGTCCCGTTCTGACATACATTCAATACCTCGTCGTGCACGGACCAGTCTCTCAAGGTTCACCCCAACCCGCTTTTACCGCTCGCGCAGCCGCAGTTGACGATCGTCTATCAAATGGCAGCATGCTCAACGGGGCAAACGGGCACCGGCAGCACCCATTGACCACCAGCTGGGCCTCGCATGACCTACCCGCCCGACTGGCTGCCTTATTGTCTTTCTCAGCTACTCGGGCTAGTCCCTTGCATCTGGTTCGGCCCTGCGGTGCATTCTGTGTCAGTAAGGGGCGCCGGCTAGCCGGGCACAGGTCTGCTGACCCGTCAGGTGACACTACGACGACGCCGACACCAGTCTCCTCCAATGCAGCAGGTACTTTCTGACTGTGCCCTCGCGCCGAGCCAGAGAGAGACTGGAGAATCCCAGCCCAACACATAGTACAACGGGGACAGGGTCTCGATGGGCAGGACCGCTCCCTCAACCCCCTCCCAAGCCTGCCACTAAGGTGCCCTGTGTGAGTGGGACCGCAAGGCACAATTCGCTGCATAACTGCCCGCTGCGCTGGAAACTGTGGGGATGGGCACACCTGAACCGCGCCCAGCTTTCAACTAAAACACAGTGCTGGGAATACTTCTCTGCATAAACAGCGGTGTGGCGGTGTCTATCGACGACTACCTGCGAAGCTTTCCCTGGAAGGACGGAGCTGGACCCTTTTCTGGACCTTTGGGGGCCCTCGCGATCGCCTGGCTGGTCCATGCTCGATGCTTGATCCGAAAGGCAAGCCCGGGGCCGTAGCCGGGGCAGCCAGCCTTCCATTTGCGAGCGTTCTGACAAGAGAACTCTATTCACTACACTATTCGTTTTGAAGTCGGCACTCGTCTGATGGCCCAGGGCATGCAATAGTTCCAAGGGGGGTCAACACTTCGGCATTGGGTGGTATGCGAAGCCTAGGATAACAGCGTTTTCTAGAAGGTCTCGCTGCAGGTGGAAAGGAGCGAGGGAGCGGAGCACCTGGTACTCTATTCATCCACCCAAAGGAATCCCCGGGTCACAGGGTCCTCTGCTCCTGGATCCGGCTTCTACGATGAGCCGGAATGGGAAATAGTGCAGTATAGGCACGGGTCCCTTAGATCTCAACCAACAGGCAAGCCTGGCAAGCTAACGAAGTGTCGACTAAAATAGTATACTATCGAGGCATCGATACTACCCCGCGCCAATGACGACCAAGTTTCTCCAACCTCTTTTCTTCTGAGTTTGTCCAAGCAAGCAGAGAGGTTGGCCTGCCTTCGGCTCATCTGAGAAGGGATTAGTTGATCCATGCATGCAACCCCGGCGGATATCGACGAGAACGCCAAATTGGATTGGCACTTTGATCTGACCCCTGGGCTACTGCATACCATCCAGCCTGCCAGCCTGATGGCAAAGAGGCAGAGCATATCTAGCAGCGCTCTGAGAGACAGCAGAGCCAAACATTGAGCTTTGTCGGCTGTCACTGATTGCAACAGCTCACAGACTTGAGCTAAATGATGACATCCGCATGGCTGCTTAAGAAACCGGGCGCCGATTTGCCCCTTTCGTCATTCCCGTCTCCGCGTACGAGAGGCAAACAGGGGACGGTGTCAGACACTTGTCATCCTTCGAGGGTCGAGAACTGTCTCGAACGCACTTGTAGGTGTCGATCACTTGCTTGGGGAGCGCCCTATTGCATACAGCGTAGCTGATAGCAAGCTGCTTCCCAGCCGCCTGCCGCTCACAAGCCGCCCACCTGACTATGTAGGTAACTGTAGGAATTAGTTGCAGTCGAAGGCAGGCGACTGATACTGTGCACTGGTTGATGGTAGGCCTTGGTAGGGGTCCAGCTGGTCTGAAGGGTCAGGCCGAACTGCACAGGCCAGGACGACAGGGCGGCTCCTGGCGCTTCTGGCATTGACGAATGGCGACGCTGTTCAGCATCGGGACAGGTCTATCATTACATCGGACCCTGCAAATCTACGCAATGGGGCAAATGCAAACTAGAGGCGAAATGAACACCTGACCTTGCTGGCGATGGCAATGCGTACTGATCATCAGCAAGCCTCCAACGTGGCCTCTCTCATTTCAAGATTCTTTAGCAGAGATTACGTTGGGGCATTTTCAGTGGAGGTGAGCGGTAATTATTGCATATGGAGGGCGCTTGAAACACTGCAAGTTCAGACGAGACCGCCAAGCAAGTTGACTACGCGGATAGCTCAGCCCTTCTCTCGCATTGAAAAGAGGTCCGGCTTGAAACAGGCGGTCACTTCGACCAATTTGAAACAGGATGATGACCGCAGGCCAGCCCGCCTCGCAGTACTGCACAAGCTCGCGCAGCGCCTGGTGCGGGAAAACAAACAAGCATACTGAATTTAGACGCAAGCGCCAGCCCAAGACGTTCGCTTCGGCCCTGGGCGCCAGGCTGTTCGTCCAAAGAAGCGCATTGTCATTGTCGTGTCTGAATCATAGGGTCTCGTGCCGCATACGACTCTGGGCCTGTCTGGGTCATTTCCACAACAATGAACTTGCGGTGGCCCTGGTCCGGCTTGGGGCAACGCTTGCTGGGTTGTCCGGGGCCACCAGCTGGATGGTGTTGCAGTGCAGGGCAAGAGAAGCTAGGATCACCGCGCACCAAGCCCAACCAGCCCAGTCACAACGCTCAGACCTGCAGCCGACGAATGTCACAGTACGGCTACAGTGTTGCCAACGCCCCACAGTGCACCGGCTTGCACAGCAGACGGCCCTCGCCAGTGACGATTGAGGCTGTCAGGAATGCCGGCAGCCCGCCATCCCCCCCCGATCTGTGCTGCTGCTGTGGACAGCGACCACTGCCTCAACGCTTAAATTCATGCGCACTGCAGGGACTTGCGGCCTGTGAGAGGGGCAAGGTTTCAAGGAAATTGATTGAACGGGCGGTACGTGGCCCTCGACTGCGGAAACGCAAGCGAAACATATTGCGAACCCGGTAGGAGGCTGTACAGACTTGCAGTTCCGGATCGTCGAAGCGACGCTGTGATGGTCCTGGCGAGCGATGACGATGAGGGTTTGGCCCAAGTGGGCACTCTGCTCCTGTTGACACACGCCGGAGGATGACAAACCCTGGCGCAGAGGTAGAGAAGGCTTCCGGATCTTCAGTTCTCCAGTGGGCAAGGGGTGCGCTAATCCCAAGAGACCCGGCCACGCCTGCCACGAGATGAACGACGGACCGCTCAATCGCGAAGAGGTGCTTCATTCGCTGCCAGACCCGGATTTCGTATACTGTATGCAGTACTTGCGTGAGCGACCACCGGCGGTGCGAAGACTGCGTGTTTCAAAGTACTGTCAAGACTGTGTCTAGCAACCTTCCCGAAAGAATACCCAGTCGAACGGAGGGTTGTTTGGAGGCAGTCCCCTTCGGGGCTTGAGATGCACATCATCCAACCTGTCCATTCAGTGCCATAATCGACCCACCATCTCACGGTTGATGCAGTTAACATGGCGCACGATATCACGGCTCACGGTCACGGAATCTCAGGTGGTTCTGGGTGCAGTGCAGGGCTTCAATCATGCTTGCAATCATCCAAACATGATGCTGCTGTGGTGTAGAGCTGTTGTGTCATAGGTACAGTAGCTACGGGCGCAGGCAGCGGTAACGCCGTGGGGAGAGATCAGCAAGACACTGTCGCAATGCTTCCGGTTCCAGCTTATCGATGGGAGACAGGGGCATAAAGCAGGGCAAACTCTGTACTTGTTTGTGCCTCTTTGTCCAACCTGTCCGCCGTTGAGTTGAGTCCCCTCGTGACAGACGGTGAACAATGGCTATGTGTATGTGAACGACTTGTGAAGCAGTGAAGCCGTGGAATGGCAGCACTAGCGGGGACCCGGGCGCAGGGAGGCGCAGCAGCAGGCGAGTGGCCTGGTAAACTGCCCGACGGCCAAACTGCTGGTGTGTGTGAGTGAGACTGTCACCTGTCGCGCGGTTCGCTCACATCGCCGCACAAACCCGCCACCGACGACAAGGCAGTAAGTGACACTGTGCACGGCCTGCACGCCTGCACGCTACAGCGCCATCCCCCCTCCAAGATTGCGGCTCTAGGCCTGTCCGGGCATGGCGCCGCGAACGGTGGGCCAATGGAGGAATTCTGATGAGGGTGGCGACTCGTCGGTGATTGGCCGGGTGGCCCGCCTCCATAATTCGACGCCGCCGGGCTGCTCCCCTTTCGATGGGCTGGCTGGCTGGCGGGCTGGGAACTCTGGGAGCCAGCACCTCCCACTGACGGGGGGGCCACAAGGCCAGTGAGCAGCGCCCGCCGCCCTCCATGTTTTCCCATGCCTGGGCTTGGCCCGCCTGCCCACCCGCCGTCGTGCTGCTGTGGCCCTGTCCTCCGTCCTGTGTCCTGTGCCTTTCTTCGCCTGTGGTCCCCAGGTCCCCCCCCCCCTTCTAGTCTCTCTGGGCCCTGTCCAACAAAATCCTTCGCCTTCTCCGGTTCGCACAGCTAATCCGTCTCACCCTCTCCTCTGAATATCCCCCCCCATTATCGCTGTTCATCCATCCATCTCTCGCCCAACCCACACCCACGCACCATTCATCACCCATCCCCTTCACCTCTCATCCATCAATACCCTTTCTCATCGCACAATAGTCCACCACATAAAGGACACTTTGACCTCGTCTTGATCGTCTGCGACTCCTACCCACACCCTCGGCGACTCCATTGTTATTGTTGTTGTTCCACGGCAAAAGCAAAGCTTTAATACCGCAAAACTCAGCGCGGCCGGCCTCTCCACACCCGACCCCCAAAAGCCAAGTGCAGCAAGCAAAGCAAGGCAACACACCGCCACCCCAACGGACCATCGCATCGCATCGCATCGCATCGAGTCGACAACGCCCAGCTACACGACGCCCACCCAGCTCACCAACGTGCCAGCACCATGTCTTCATACTACCAGTACAACCAACCAACGGCCGCTGCGCCCTCCGTCTCCCACAACCACCACGGCGGCCGCAACCGGAGGGCTCCGCGCCTGTCCGTCTCCCAGAACTCCCACAGGCAGTTCCGCGGCGTGAGGAGCATGAAGGAGCTCACCGAGTCGGTCGCCGTCTCCAGTTTCCGCACACAGTTCGAGACCAGCCGCTCGTTCGACCTCGAGGACGACATGGAGTTCTGCCCCAAGCTGTTGACTGAGAGCGATGTAAGTTGAAACCACCAAGAGCCCCCGTCCAGCACGGCCGTGCATCCATCACTACTTGTGATCCGGTGCCCTCCACCGTGTCGTACGAGGCCATGAACGCCGTGAGAACCACGTTGCTGATGCATCCTACCCCGCATACAGTTGGTTTCGATCAGCAGCGCCTCGTCAGACCGGTCGTCTCTGTCCAGCAACTCGCCCAACCAGTCACCAACGCAACATCCCCAGCAGGTTGCTTCAGCCTTCTCGCTCAACTCGGCGTCGCCGGCCTTCATTCCTCCTCCGTACGGCGCCCAGCAGTCCACCCTCAAGCTGCACCAGCCTGCCGCCACTCGCACTCGCAACCCCATCCCCATCATCAACCCTGCCAACGGCCTGAACATGTCCAGCCCGCCTCCCTCCGTGTCTCCGAGCCGGATGCAGCAGCCACTCGGCCGACGATGGTAGACGTCGTCGCCTCGCTACCGTATGGATAGTGGGGTGACAGCTCGTCTATCATCATCTCCGTTGGCGTGAATCTTTCATGTTTCCGTTTGCTCATTCGTCACTTGAAGTAGCTGTCCATCTTGGCGGACACCGACACTGGCATCAGGTATCAGGCATCGACATTCATCTTCAGGGGCACTTTTTGGGGCTTCGACTGTTGACTTTGCTCATCACGACACCCCACCTCAAAACCTGTACAAAACATCCTTATTCGACATACACCACCTTGCGGTCATCGGCAAACTTTGTCTTTTCAGAGCTTTTACGATGGGCGCGCGACATGAGAATGAAGATCACTCGATACCTAGTTGTTTCCTGTCCGGTTTATACAGGCAAAAATACCACGCAAAACATTTTTTGGTGTTCCGACCTCGGAAGATGGGGTTGCTTTGGTCACGGATGGTCAGGCGTTTCAGCAAATATTGACGGTTCCTGCATTTTACAACAACTAATCGCATCGGTTCATACCACGGAGTCCTTGGGTTTTTCATGCGGCAGCGGCAACGATAAAGTCATCATGGTTCATGACGTCGAGAAGAAAAGAATACCTACATATAGAACGAAATGTGTTTTCTTGCGGGGCAATGGGGTTGGTTGTGTTTATTGTCTAGTGCGCACAAAGCCGGCGGGGTTTTGTGTCATCTCGGAGAGGTGTTTCTGTTTGGGAAACGGGTCTATTACATGGGGAGATATCCGGGTCAGAGAATCTCCAACACAAAGCAAAGGGTACGGGTTTTTACTGGGTTTCGGCGACTGTGCTTTACTGCGCTCATGGAAAGAGAGGAGTTGGTTCGCCATTGGTCAATTGCAGTTGGGAACATCAGGCTGATGTCCTGGTCGTTCCACCACGATTTTCTTGTTTTGTACGATGTTTGGCGGTTATTCACCAAAAAATAAGCCTGCCTTTTCATTTCACTGTTGGATATCTTTGATATTGTGCGTGCTTACAATGGGTCAAGCGTTGCATCTCGGGGAGCTCGGAGCGGGTACATGATGACTGCGCCTTCGGGGCTGCAGGGAGGTATGAAGGACGGATATACGATCTGGATGGTGTTCTACAGCCATGTGTTTCGATGTTTTGGCTGGCGTACAGTTGTTCGAGACCCCTCTTGTAACTCCTCGTATATTTCAATTGCGTTCAATGCGAACTGGCAGAGAGCCCTCTCACTTCAACTGCTAAATCCACTTGCTCGTGCTCCGTGCCTACATGTTGTTCCATGTGGAATAGAAACTAAAGACGACCTTGGCCTGCTTACATGGCACCCCCACAATCTGGCACCCGTCCTGAATGCATGCAAGACATCCTCGTGGCTCGCTACGCGGTACAACCCTCTCAGCAGCCACGCATCTCCCCCCGTGCTACGCCCCCAAGACCACACCTTGTCACGCGGTTGGCCACAGACGCGGGACGTGGAGGCTACACGCGAGCTGTCTTTCAACGTCTCTGGCTCCAGACTGCGGGAGCTCGCATGCTCATCGACCCTGCATCGGGAGCCCTGCAGGCTTGGCCGTGTAACACGATTGGCCACCTCCAGGTCCGTTGCCCATACTTGGAGGCATTGCGGGGCACTCCTTCGAGAGGCAGGGAGAAGTCTTGGTACAGTGGAAAATAAGCATCATGATAAATGGTAGGGACGATAGTATGTTGAGTGGGGGTTTCTATAACTCTGGCGTTGGATTGGGCTGGGATATATACATGTGAGTGGGTTCGTTGGTATGTGAAAATCTGGCGCGCGTACAAAGGAATTCATGATGTTTACTGGCTTTCCCATCAAACTCGTAAGATAATCAATCTAGGGCCAATCCAGAGATTCTTTGCTGTCGTTCTGTAGCTTTAGTCTCGGGATTGGTGAATGTAGTCCACATGCTCCCAAAGAGATCGACAGTCTATTATAGTCGGCATTGTCCAGAAATCTGAACATGCAACCCACTATCTATGGGCATCTCCATGTGAAGAATATATTACTGGTCATTAAATGTTTGGTAGAGGGGAATCTGATTGTTCATCAATGGGTAACCAGCTGTTGGTTAAAGGTGCATTGTCTGCGGAAAATAAGCATGGAGGATCTGAACATCGGAAGGCCAGTTCACGGCGAATAGTCAACCCTGGGGTTTTTGCTCAGCGCACATGTAATCTTTGGAATTTTTTCCATGAAGAACATTTGGCACCAGTTCACATCTTTGAAGACATTTCCCCACTTGTGTCACGCGCGAACACAAAAAGCGGCGAGTTGGGGGACGTGATATTGTCGATTATAAATTCTAATACAATGATGGCTTTTCACTCCATAGCAGTTACACATATGCAGCAAGCACTGCTTATGCAAGAGCTGTGAGCATTAAAACCTCTCGTGCCTGAAACAACAGCTCGCCATTCATAGCGACTCATTTTCGAATATCTCGGTATCCGCTGTCTGCTCTAGCCCCTCATGAAAGGATGGAGCATCATGCCAGCCGATGTATTCTCATTTGAAGTCCTTTTGTCCATTAAAGGACTGATACAGGCAGCTAGCGGCATGAGACACGACACAGGGATGAAGTGTAGCATACCACCGTTATATTCCAATCGAGGATTATGAACTGCTGCGCAGTGACTTTTGGGCTGCATGAGTTGACTTGTCTTAAGTAGAGATCTATACGAGAATGTGTCTGCCTACCACACTACTGATTGTATATAGCCATGATCAAAATTGTAAGCAGACTTATTACCCAAGATCACACGTGCGGAACTTCAAGATCCAAAGGAGTGCCTATGCTTAAGATCGATGGCCACAGCGATGGGTGAACGTGAGCAATATCAAGCAGTGTTGTTCCTACTTTTTAGTAAATGGCACCCTTAAAGGTCTTTTACACTCATGAAGCTGTGAATCCCAAGCATGCAGCTCATGCATTTCTTTCGCGGCACACCACTCATCTTTGCTTATGTTCTTGCCCAGTTTGCAGAGATTTTTGTGTGACGGCATACGCACCACGTAATACAAGAGAACAGCAATGTTCCGACTTCTGAGTGAACTATATCGCTAAATCTTAAGAGTCAATCATCGACGCGTGATGTCAAAATCATTAACGCTTTGGCCACTGGTAATGTAAGATACCGTGATACGTTAATCATATAATCAATTGCCTCCAGAGGCACTGTGACGGAGCTTAAATAGTGAATGCTATGATTTCGTTCATCCAGAGGGCGAAATTATCTACGGAGGCCATCCCAGCTTCCTTGACTCTACAGTTCGCTCTAGTGCCCTATTAATGACCGTCACCTAGTGTCTTGTGAAAATGGACCATGGTGGAATAGTGTGGGTGTAGAGAGTAACGGCTGAGCGAGGTTGTACGCGCTTGTTACTGACTGGACTTCTGTTCTGCCTCCGATGTAAAATACTTGTGTGCTCTTCAGGGAAGGCACATCAATGTGATCAGAGTTTTGTGGGGATTGTGGCCCTGGCCATTGATTTGTGCATAGTCGTCGCGCGTAACGAATACTCGTCGCGTGTAACGTATACTCGCCGATTGGTTTTGTATAGTCGTCGCGGGCAACCACAACCGATGATCGTCATCGAGACTTATAGTCGACGATGCGATCAACCCAAATTCTTCACCTTAATTTTTGCCTAACACATGGCCCTCGCTCAAGTGAACCAAACACACTCCTAGTGCACACCACTTTCAGTTCTTCAGCCAGACCCGCGCAGCATACCTTTTCCTTTCCCAACCTTGTCCTCCTGTGCACTCCGACTCCGTCACACCCAACGCATTTCACGGCCTGCCCTTTACACACCCATCACAGCCAGTCAGATGACGGGCCGAGGCGATAACAACCGGTCAAGGCGTGGCCGACCTGGCCGACCTGGCCGGGGTTTGACGCGGCCCTATGCTGGCCAGTCACGCCATCAAGCTTTGCCGGGACATTTCGGCGACGTTGGCGATGACAGTTTCGGCGAACGGCGCTCTACAGGGCCACCTTCGTTACAGGCTGGTTCCAGCGCTGAACATGGGCTGGGAGTTGTCGATAACTACACTTCGAGCTCCTGGGGCCCTTCCAGGTCATCCTTGCAGCCCGGTGCTGGTGCCGGCGCCGGCGCCGGCGCCGAATATTGGCCGAGAAATGTGGACCAGTTTGCCCCGAGCTCCCGGCCTGTAGCTCCGGGACTGGGTCAACGAGGAGAGAATACCAGTCACGGCGCGGGCTTTTCACCGGGCGTGTCGTCTCGAGGACTGACGCCTGAGCCTTACACACCACCGATTGTTCCACCCGATCCAGAATCGCCTATCGATTGTCTCGATTGTCGATTCAATCGCCGTCACCCAGCCTCCCGGGCACACCGTGTCGATTGTCGATTGCGTCGTCCAGCCCTTTACCCACACAGAGTGTGTGGCCGAGGCCCAAGTCATAGAACCCAAACACACCACTTGTCAAATACATCGTTTGACAACTCACCAGGCTTCACACAATCTTCATCACTCGGAGGCACAAATTCCTTCACACCCCTCCACTTCATAAACTACACAGCTGCAGATTTTGAAGACATGGCTCCTCGCAAGAAAGCTGACGACGGTGAGTCGGACTACAAGCCGGCAAGGTCGGCTCCGCGCAAGAGGGCCACTCCGTCCAAGGCCAGCATGGCCTCAAAGGTGCAAACGCCCGCCGCGCCCAACGCGCCCGAGGCCTCGGCATCCGACGCTGCTGATGGCAACAGCGCTGCCAAGAAGAAGACCACTGCCAAACGCAACACCAAAGTTGCCACTAAAGCACAGAAGCTAGCAGCATCGAGCCAGCCCTCAGGTGATGTCGAGCCCCAAGATACCCCCACGAAGGCTACCAAGACTGCCCGAGCCAAGAAGAATGCCCCCGCTGCCACGAGCGCTTCATCTCAACAGCCTACACCTGAGTCGCAAGGTGGCCAGTCCAACCCGGCAAGCACTTCATCTAACCCTTTTTTCCAATTCGGCCAAGTTGCGAACGACGATTCACAGACAGCTACACCCTTAACATTCGACCAGCCCTCGACTGTTGCGAAGGCACAGACGGGACGAGGCCGAGGTCGGGGTGCCGCTCGCGCTCGTCGAGCAACTGGGGGGCTACGGATGCCTAGAATCTTACATGCTCGAGCTGCTACATCCCGGCTCCAGAGAGTCACAGGTGTTGCGTCAGAGGACGACGAAGAGGACTCTGATGACGACGACGACGACGACGACGACGACGATTCCAGCGTAGCCGCCCCTGATGTCACCTCACACAGAGCTGGTTCTCAAGTTCATACCCCCGCTGACCCTATGCCTCGCACCCAGAAACGTACCCGTACTCCTGCTCAAATCATTGGAGGCGGTAGCGCTATGCAGCCGCCTCCTACTCCCCAGCCCAGCGGCCGTACCCAGACATCTCGAGGCCAAGCCACCTTCGGTCCAGCAATCAACCAAGCCGGTAGCGGACAGCAGCAAGCGAACTTCTCCGCCGCCAACAATGAAAACTCCGGCAGCACTCGAGCCGATGGCATGCCGGATGACTGGCCACGGAACGTCTGGTCAGGACTCGGAAGGGTCATCGAGGAGGGCAACTGGGACGAATCTGACCGCCTCTACATGAACGGAATCCAGGCAGGAATAGGATATGGCATCACGGCCTACAAGGAGTGTCTCGTAATGGAGTTTATCAACACCGGTCGACTTTGGGGAAACAATGTCATTTTCACTGATGGCACCCAGGACAGGAACCTCCGCGCCGAGATCATCAGAGGCACCACGGCGTTTGAGATATTCGGAGCGTTGCGAGGTGGTGAGGATTTCCTCAACATCCGCGCGCAGATCCAAGGCCATGCCGAGGAGCTTGCCGCCATCCACAGCCAGGATACACAGCCGCAGCCTGGCGTTGCTGGTCGTTGGGACTTCATCCCCGCCTCGCAGCAACCCACGGGATTCTTCCCTGCTGCTGGTCAACCTTCCACTCAATTCACAGGCAACGCAGCCCAGCCCACCTACCCCGGCTCTCATGCTTTCAACTTCCAGTCGGATCCCAGAACACTATCCACCAGCCAAGACTTGTCACAGGTTCCTGGTCTGAGCGCTGCCTTGAGCCAGCCTGCCAGACAGCAGTATCTCCCTCCGAGTGGCGGGGTTACCAACATGGAAGGATTCTTTCAGACACCCAACACTGATGCTAACGTCTTGCAAGCCCCGACCGCGTTTACGACATCCTTCGGTCCCGCCGTCGACAACAACGACGATGCCGCCACTGCCGAACAGGGTGCCGCCGTCGACAACAACGGTGATGCGGCGGTTGAGAACGGCCCGATGCTCGCCGAGACGGAGAACGGCCGCGCCGTGATCCAGATGCCCAACAACGACCACGAACAGTTGTAGGAGCCCACACCCTGCCGCTGATCTAGAAAGACTCGACAAGAGTAGTGATCATTGCATCTGATCTCATGATTCAGTGAGAAGCGCCAGAACGAAGACATACTGGCATCTAGGCACAAGGCTCCCCTCGATTTTTCTCTCTCTCCTTTGTATCCGTTGATTTCCCTCTTTGCGTCTTGACTTGCACATATGCTTGCACAGAAAAAGCCATCTCAAAAAAACTAACAAATCGAACAAAACCCACAAAAACATAAGAGACAAGGAGTTTTCGGCATTGTCGTTTTTTTTCCCCTTTTTCTTCTTCTCTGCTTGTTTCCCAGCTTCTCCTTTCAGTGCTGGCTGACGAGACCATGAGCCAAGACCTTCACGAACGAGTGAACGACGCTGACGGCTGACGACGCTCAACAACGCTTGACGAGGCTCCACGACCCTTTTCACAACACGCCTTTTTCGATTTTCGCGGCTCACCAAGGTAGATATGGTTTGAATTGATCGCCATTTGGAGGGTTTTGGCGGTGGCCATCTTGACCTTCGACGACAGGATACCCGCGATGGCTTCTGGCCTAGGTCTTTCTTGCGATCTCTGGATGCTGCAACTTGCAGGCAGGATCCTGCTTTCGATACCGGCTCGGCCTGACATTTGTTCTTGCACAGCATTGCTGTCGGCGAGGGCACTCGATATTCTTCCTCCTCTGTGGCAAAAAGCGCCACCATAATAATCAGAAGCTCTGCTATGGAGCATTCGCCGATGCTCTTACGGCATACTCACCCTTTTGCAGATATACCCTCTTGCTCCCAACGATTGCGCTGCGGCCACACAAGACCTTGCAACGATACACAGAAGAAAAAAACTCTAAAAAGAGGAACTCGATTTGACGGTGAGCAGACCTAAACCCTGGTCAAGGAACTCACAAACGGACATCGATGCTACGGCTTGCCGGGGGAACTGTCAGGGGAGGGTTGTTCTACCACGTCAGGAATGCTTTAGGAATGCTTTGAGGTAAAAGGGGATGGAGTCGAATCACCACAGGTAGATAGACAAAATCCCTAGCCTAGAAAACTCATGATTTGCAACACGAACCGCCGCTTCTGTAGTTTCGTTCCTAAGCCCGCTGAAAATTGATGGTGCGTAGAGAGTGCTGCCAAATTACTAAGTGATACGAGTGAAAATAAGATACTGCAAGAGAAGGAATAGAACGCCATCCTATGCTGGGTATAAGTTCTGACCGATACTGAAGAGCCAAATTCACCAAAGGAGCAGCCCGCCCGCCCTTTCAATGCACCCGACCCGCCCTGAACAACCGAACCGCTATTCCTAAGATTTGTTTCGTGACGATATCTAAACCACCGATCCCAGTTGTCACGTCCCGATTCGAGTCGTACCCCCCATACAAGTCGTAGAATCCAAAAAGAAGCCGTTATACAGTCGCATACATACCCCTAGGTGGTCTAGGGTATACTATCCAGAAATCACGCCGCGGCGCCGGTATTGCTGGCATTGCTGGCGCTGCGCTCATGGCCTAGCCCGAGAACTCGCTGGAGACTTTTCCGGATGCCCTTGCCGCCAGAGCCGCCATCGTCATGGCTCGTTGCCGCGGCTTGGGCATCCCCAGCAGCGCTTTCGCGCCGACCCAGGAACCCAAAGCTCATCCGCCGCCCCGTACTGGGGGTACGGGCGTGACTGGCGTTGCTCTCCCGCTTCTTCTTGCGGACAGCGACGACAGGTGTCGGCATGTCTGCCGGTCGAGGGGGCCATTCGCCATCGCGCTTCCAACCGGCAACGCAGGACCGTAGGACGTCAGATAGGTTGATGGGACAGGAAGGGGTCATCGAATGCACAACGATCCTATCGTAGATGGAAGGGTAAGTGGCCGGGGTAATAGAGGCGCGCATTGGATTCGCTGGCGGCAGCAGAGGTGGCGCGAGCGGCAGCAAGGTCTCCACTGGGTAGAGTGCAGAGTCGGGCTTGGTCGGCACATCCTTGGACTCTCCGTCTGACGATGCGACGACAGTGGTATCGCCTGACACGTGAGTGGCAGTCGGCGAGAGCGGGACGCTGGGGGAGATTGGCGGCGACGTTGGGGACGCAAAGCGGAAGAAGGACATGCGCCGTGACGGTGACGGAGAGACTGGGCTCGGCGGAGGCTTTGGTTTTAAGCGAGCTGTCTTTGCGGCTGTCCACGCATCCCGCCGAGCATTGAAACATGCCAGCCCCGGATTCCACGTCTCCTCCTCACGTACTGCCCGTCTCCTCTTGGCTCGTTTGGACAAGGCAGTCGCTAGTACCGACTGTCCTACCGTCTCAGGTGTGTCGAAGCGGTAAGCCGAAAGAGGGACTGGAACCTCATCGTCGGACAGCTCTGACACCCACTCCAGCCGAGGCTTGAAATGTGCCGGGTCTTCTGAGACTGTGCTATAGACCGAGGCAGCATCATCATCGTCGTCGTCGTCGGCATCGTTTTCACTGACTTCCTCCTCCTCACCCTCCTCCAGATCGTCATGCTTGGGCGACTGGGTTTCCTGTGATGGGGCCAACGTCTCTACGTTGGTACCTTCCTGGGAAGGCGAATTGGTGGCCTCTTGCGTGGTGCTTTGAGCAGTACCATTGCTCTGTGACGGTGTTGCCAATGGCCATTTGAACTCCCAGTCGTTGCGTATCTTGTTGGCCAGATACTTCCTGACGGCCTCCTTCTGCTTTGCCTTGTCCTTGCTCACCAGATCGGCATCAAAGTCAGCCGCCACGGGGATGGGCTGGGACTGAGGCCGCAGCCTGGACAGCGGCGACTTGGTGGACTTGTAGAAATCCGAGAACAACATCTTGGGTGCTGAAGAGGAAGACGACGCCCCTCCGGTCACGGTCACGGTCACACCGCCAGCAGGACTAGACAGGAGGGCGGCGCGTGAGGTCGCGGCAGCAGCAGGAGGCGAACTTATAGCTTGGCCGCCTACCCCGGTTAAGGCAGAGTGCGGGGCAGCACCGATGACATGAGTGGTGCTGCTCGAGGTAGCTTGAGTGGTGGTGGTGGTGCATGTGTCGGGTGTGGGAAGCCCTGGAAGCATGGCTGGGGGAGCCGGTCAGTAGTTAAACGGGACAAGGGTTCGCGGGAAGGCGCTTGCGCATTGACTTGGGACTGATCGAAATCACCGACGCGGACTGGGGGCAAGCCAGCCAGGCTGCTCAAAGTGAAATGGACAAGGGCCAACTAGTTAGTCTGGTATGGCACCCTTGGCCGGCCAAACCAATCCAATGGCATGATATGATCTTCCTCACTCGAGTTGCCGTAACTACTATGGCGCAGGTAGCTACTGTGGTATGCCGTCTGGGCTTGATGAATCGAGCCGGGGTCGGCTGGGGATAGATGCTAGAGAACATGCCGAGGGGCAGGGCCTCATCCTACTGTAGGAGATAGCTTCACTCACAGCTCTGCGCATCTGCAATGGCGGCACCGCCTGCTGCAGGAGCACATGGTTCGACGGCAGTTCCATCTTTTTGACTCTGGGGATGGATCGGCAGATCACCCACTAGGGCTGAAGCTTGATGGGATGACTCGACCGCCATCGCACTCAGGAGTAGGTAATCAGCCCACGGGACAAGGTCTTTTTTCTTCTCAAACGGGTGCCGCCTTTTTGTTCCCCCGCTATCCTCAGCGCCGTGAGCCGGGTTGCTTTGGATCGGTAGCTATCACGCGCCGTGCGCCACTCTGGTTGCTAGAGCCGATAACGTCAGGCGAGGTGGGCTGGGAAACCAAGGACAATGGCTTTGACGCAAAAGCAGGTTGAAAAAAAGGGGACGTTGAAAGCGGAGGCGCTTCGGCTCGTCCTGGCAGCGGTCGGGTTTGTCGTGTGACACAAAATCTGCAGACTTCAACTTTCGGCGGTCTGGATTCGATGGGCTTATTCAGGCGCCCTTGGTACCAGGAGGGCGCCGTTCTCCAGTCTCCAGTCGTCTGCAGAGCGGCGGCCCGCAGTTTTGCCTCACAAAATCACCGGGGCGCAGGCTGCGTTTTCCCAAGACTTCCAAGGATACAAGGTAAATGTAGCGTGGATAGCAGCTAGTTAGTACAGCAGGGCCCCGATTTGATCTGATTTGATCTGGGGAGCGCTGCCCACCTCACGCCTAACTTTGGAATGTGAAGGTGCTTTGCCCATTCGACATAGGGCAAGCTGGATAGGGCTTGGACTGAGCCCCAGGCTGTACAACACTTGCACAGTAACCTAGTAACTCTTGCAGGAGACCCGACTTGCCAGCCCCCTCTGAATTTTACGCCCAAGCCATGTGGGACTGCCGCCCTCAGCAGCAGTCGATAGCTGTCCCGCTACGGTATAACATCACGAATAGATCCTGGGGATCAAGTGGGCACCTGAGACTACTCGAGCTTTCCGACGTTGATGTGACAGTCGCCATGGGCCCACCACACCGTAGCCAACGGGCAGCGGCGCGCCGCAGAGCGGTGACCCAATGAGGCTTCGAGTCCTGAAGATCTCATTTCAGCTCACGCCGCGCGCCCTCAATCTTGCAGAACCCAGAGCCCCATTTTCCCTCGGTTTTGCGTGAGCCCAGACCATGCTCTCAGAGGCGCCGATTCTCCACACGCCGGGTATACCTGTCGGCTTATGCCGGGTTCCTCAGTGCACGACTGTGCCTGGTAGTCAATGCATGTGCCTGTCGGTGCGTCCACCTTCCAGCCTGTGCCCTATGCAAGTCCTTAGTCAGCTGTGTGCAGCGTGATGACCAGTCATATGATTATGGTGTGAGAGAATGCTGCAGTCTGGCCGCTTACCATAGCACCACATCCGGACAGCTGATGCGGGGTGAGAATTCTCCCCGAAATTGAAGAGTATACCATAGCAGCCCGGATTTCTGGTTGGTTTCATTCACACTAGTGCTGCAAATCATTCAGAAGAACTGGCTCCTTCGGCCTCACATTTCGCATCGTCTATCTAAGTCCAGCTTGGGTACCAAAAAACATAAGCCATGGCAAGAAGTGCATCGCGACCATCTGAAACCACAAAAAAGGCTTACTCACCCATTGCGAACTCCTGCACCTGCTCGTCGATGCTTCATAAGAGAGTGCCTGCCACCGTAAAGCGTATCTTGCAAGAAACCTTCGGTGACTCTTTACGCAAGACGCTAGGGTCGCCGCTTCTGCAAGTTCAGGTCCTCAAAGACCCTGTCCCAGCTATCCACGTTGATGTGCTTATACGCACGTTTCTCATCCTTCAAATCTTGGTACCAATGCACCGTCGTCATGTATTTGTAGTCAAGGGTGGTGCAGTTGGGGTCCTTCTCACGCGCTCTCACCACAGCTTCGTAGAGATCGTTGATGCAGGCAGACCCATAGTCCACTTCACCACGAGCAGGGTGGAAAATCAGTCTTTCAGGCTCGTTCATATCCGAGTCTGTTCTGTAGAGCCTGTCTCTGGGGGCCGCAGGACCTTCCCCCAGAAGTTTCCAACCCCGTTTGATCAGAGGTTGCTCCCAAGGGGGTACATATTTTGCTCTGTCGTGCACAATGGCCTCCAAAGTTCTGCATGTGACATCAACGGGACATGAAGGGTCAGCGTCGACATCTGTCCAGCTGCTGACAAAGACGCGTTTCAAGGCGTAGTTTTCAAATCGAGCTGGTGCAGCCTCACGAACATAATCCACGAGTCGACGTTGCATGGGCAGCAGATGCTCAGGGCTGGGACTGGCAGGCCATCGATTTCTTCCGGCAAAGTCCCAGATGAGTAACTCCATGTCTGCGTAGCTGGTCTTATTAAGATGCGGGTTCACAGGCCGAAAGACAGCGATCCAGGGGTGACGAGCTGCCGGAATTGTCTGATCAGTCTCGGTCCAGTCCGTCTCGACAGTGTAGAACAGCCCGACCAGGCTGTTCAGCGATGGGGTGAATTTGGGAGCGCTATGGAACCAGGTCTTAAAGGTCCCAAAATCGGCTCGGAAATCTCCAAGGTGATCGGCCATTTCCCTGTTCAGGAAGCAAACAGCCAAGAAATACATCCAGAACGAAGAATGCCCCTTCAGATCATTGAAAGAATTGAACCAAGGGGCAAAATCCGCTGCGCTGTCCCCACGGAACATATGACTCCGGAAGGAATGTTGTCCGCGCTCGTTGTCCAGAGCGACTTGTCTAGAATGCACATCTGGGTCATTGACTGTTCCGTCAACGTAATTCGGCACACGAACCATCTTGCGAGCCTTTTCGATACCCTGTAGACTCGACCCGACAACGTAGAACTTCCGGTAACAATCAAGGCGTGACAGGGACCACGCAGCAAACCAGTTGACAAGACTCTGCTCGTCGTCCGGCGCAATTAGATCGTCTACCAACACGACCTTGCCGATATCCTCAGGCGGGTCCTCGTGGGACTTGAAGCCATGTCGGGTAGGATCCATGATATTCTTCATAAGCTCCCAAGCTCGTAGCCTGTCTTGGAATTCGTCCTGTGACAATCCCTCCAGCTCAGCGACCTGGTCCGATACAGTGTGTCCAAGTTTGTCTGTTAGAAGGTCCCTTCTGCGTGCCTTTTCCAGTGCAATTTCAAGCAGATAATCCGTGGAAGTTGAACAAACCACCAAAACACATGGTGCAACCGCCGATCTGAGTTGTATAAACTCCAGGAGTTCGCAAAGCTTGGCAGGCTGGGATATCATGAAGCTTGGCGTCAGAAGAAACGCGCGTCCATGAGGAAACAAACGGGTCAGCTTCAGCTGAGGTGGCATATCTGGCATGGAATGATCATTGTCGGTTATCAGTGTCGACTCATGATCGGGCGAGGACAGACTCCAGAAAATGTGGCCGCCGTGCTTGAGCGTATCCCACAACCTAGGAATCTTTCTTATACTTCTCTCGACGGATTCATGGAGTATGACGACGCCATCCAAGGTAGCCTCCTGGTAGCGGTTCCATCCGCCTTGTTCCACGCTCCGAAAGATTTGGCAATCAGGCTGACAAGCTCTGAGCCAGATCACCAAGATCTGGAACAAGAAGGTTTCAGGCCCGTGATACATCAGGAAGAAGACATGCTTCTTTCCATTGGAAAGTAGAGTGTCATAGTCCAGCTCTGCCATCTGCTTCATTACCGTCCGACGCAATGAGGCCGAATCAGCACCCCTTGCGACTACCGCATTCGACAAAGCAGGATAGTGTGCAATATCAAGTGGTTTGTTTGGTCTAAATATCAGATGGTCCAGGGTGCCCGCCATGCCCGCCGGGTCGACTAGATTGGACCACGCAGGAGACCGTGTAGGGAAAACAAGGATAGAATGAGTTGACCTTGGCAGGTACAACGCCGCTGATGTCCGCAAAAGATTTACGGCTACCGCGTCCAGAGCGGCTTGTCCACCTTCTGTTGGAGAGCTCAGACTTCCACTCGCGAGCTTGAATTGGGGTTCATATATTGTGTCTCCCGAGAAAAAGTCTGCCGCGGAACAGAGCATACAAAACTGTATATGCTCTTCCGAAAGGAATTGGACTAACCAATCGCTGTGACCCCGGGGGATCCCGTTGAATTCAACGTCAACTTCTTGAGACCCTTCTGGACCGAAAGATGTGAACCTGGCTACGGTTTGCGATGCCGTCCTCTGGTAAGACGATAGAGAACCCCGCTTACTAGCAACATTGCTTTGTAAACCAGGACTAGCAGGCCCATTCGACGCAGTGGATTCATGGACGGTGCCTTCCGTAAAGCGCACCGACTTGCCACCTCGAGACTTCTTCGGGCCCGTTAGCGGTGCTATCGCCGACGGCACCTCCATCGCATGAGGGCTATTGACACCGGCTTCTGACTGCATGTCCGGTTCGGCAAGTGCGTCAGGAATTGATTGGTTCTTCCGCGGCGCATCGCCCGTGATTATATAGTGTGATGGTATCGCTGCTGGATTTGCTGGAGCCGCGTCGTTTAGCTCCCTTGCTTTCTTAGCCAACAGATTCACCCGGCGCATATTGGACATCAGTTTCGGAGCCTTGGTCTGGTCCATCATGGCCTCTTTGAGGCCAGTACGACGCCTCCGAATATGTAGCGCCGATGCTGGGCCGGTAGCAACAGTCCTCTGTATCAGGGGTTGTGGGTTTGCCGTGCGGGTGGCCTTGAGTTTCTTCCCTCTGAATTTGTTGGCCAGACTCGAAGAAGAGGAAGTAGAGACAGACTTGGCTTGGCCGTTGCTCGGCATGCCAGTACTCCTGTTCAAACCGCTGGGGTTGCTAGCTGAGCTCTTCCGTTCGGATACAGGAGGCCTCTCCGAACATTTGTCAGATGTTTTCACTCCTGTCTTCGCAGGGTTGCCATGTGCTTCTGGCCGTGTAGAAGGGGCAGAAGAGCCCTGTTGCAACACGGTTTTCGTTGGCGGGACGCCCGTGAACATGGTTTGCTTGATTTTTCTTTCTGTGGGCATCGGCATGGCCCCGCCTTGCTCGATCTCATCGACCTCCATCGCCTCATCACTTGAATCGTGGGTTTCTTCAGACTCACCATCATCATCTGGATATAGATAATGATCCGGGGTTGCTGGGAATGGATCAGTCGTTTGTAGGCCAAGTTGCAGCCGTTTACGATTGCGGCGGTTGTGCCTCGACGCTTTGCCTGCGGCCCAGTGCTGCCTGACGTCTTCCCACTCCTGAACGTCAAACGGGGTGCGCCCGCCTTCTTCCTTCTGCTCAAGCCATTGTTGGAGAAGCTCATCCGAGAGATTTGTAACAGGCTCCCAGGAGGCCCGAAATAGAGGGTAGCCCTCCCATTGGATAAGGTATTGAGCTAGTATAACTCGCATTAGCAATTATTCTCGAAGGAAACCGCCAGAGGACATTTGCAAGTCTGGTTTTCCGGGACGAGCACCAGTATCTGATAATGCCAAAGCCCGGCGCCGCTTGAACGCAAGGCCAGGCGATTGGCACGGGGAATAGAATGAGGGAAACTTACTATGATCTGGCTCTTCTGGGTTCTGTCGTTCAGCCAAGATGTCATCCACCACAAACTCTTCATCCTTGGGGTGGTAAGACCGAACTGTAGACGTCAGGGAAATAGCATCGTCATCAGGTTCCACGTCACAGCTGTCATCGACGAACAATGAAGACGGGCTTCTGGTACGCCGTGCCTGTTCCATCCTCTCGCTCAGCAGATTTGCAGTAAGAAATATGAACAGTGTATCAATTTTGATCGCCTGTCACTGCTCGTAGAATGGATCTAGATCCAACACAAGGCACTTGTGCCCCCGAGCAACGGACGCGTGCGGTCGGACGGGGTTGGTTGAACGGTTGACAAATGCACAATCGGAAGGCGCTCGCCTGCGCTGACGTCGAGGATCGTAGGTACAAGTGTGCAGTTGCCGCCATGCGCCCAGCGAGGGCATATCATGCACAAGCTGGAACAAACACGGGGAGACCTCGAGGACTGCAGACGTGCTTAAGCACTAGATCTGAGTGATTCCCGACCGGCCGAACCCCCCACCCTCTAGAATATTTGCTGCTGTGAAAAAGAAAGACGTCTATGCTTCAAGCTGGGCCCCCCTACACCCTGCCATCTGATCAGCAAAACCTTTTAGGGTTGATGAGTGAAGTCAGGCATGCTGATTGTCTTTGTTCTTCTGGGACTTTGAATTCGCATTGCAGGGTGGTGATGCGTGGCGGTTACACAGCAGGTTATCGTCGCATCGACGCGACTATAATTCATGTAGCGCAGTGCTCCCAAGACAAAGTGGGACCTGAAGTTGGGGAGTCACGTACGGATACTACCCGGAACTAGTACTTGATGCATGCCTTAGGGACGGACGGACGACGGCGAAGGCTGGTGTAGCACAAGCCGGGGGCCGTATTCGGGGCTATAGCCGTACTATGTACACACGGGACACTCACCTCAACGTCGTTGTTTGGCAGCCAAGGAGCACTCCTATACTCTAATATGCATGCCCAGGTCAATCGTCCGCGTCGTGATCAGGTGGAATTAAGACCCTCCTGCATCACGCCCTTCAAATATCGCTGGAGTTTTCCGATGAATTATGCACACAACGGGTGGCGCAGGTCTAAACGAGGAAGAGCTGCAACACGTGATATGTCGAGTGGAAAGAGAGGTGCCTGAAATCCCTGACTTATTAGTTGCGTACGAAGCTGCCAGCTGAGAGCCGTCCGGCAGTGTCGCGGTGTTGGGTCAAAGGCACAGGTGGTGTCGTCGTGGGTTCCAGGTTGTGGGTCGTGGGCCGTGGGCCGGACAATAAAAAGTCGCCATTGAAAGGGGGTTCAATGCTCTGGGGCTCTGGGGGCAAGGGGGAAGGGGGGGCGGCGCTCACAGACAAAAGGACCCCACTATTTGGCCGTGCTATGCGTTCGTCACTGGCAGCAGTGGCCGAGCCCTGAACGCACCCTGAACCCAAGCAAGCCAAGTCCCTGAAGGCAACCCCACGGTCCCCTGGTAGCACTGCCCAAAGCAGACCAGGCCTGCCCAGCCAGCCGGCCAGTTGCACCCAGCAGACCCAGCAGGCCCAGCAGACCCAGCAGGCCCAGCAGACCCAGCAGACCAGGACCTTGCATCCATACCTAGGAGGAGGCAGGCAATCTAAAGTTGCTGTGCGGTACCCGTGTCTTGTCCTGACCGACATCTGATCTCGACCACGACAGCGTTTCCGTCACCGTCGAAACACACATCGCCGGCAAGCAGCAACACCCGCCCACGCCCGTGACAAAGGCACAGACACGCCGCTTTCTCGCTGCTCACTCCCCAAGCCGTCGTTGACTCGCAAGCCTCCCCAGAGCCATCCTCCCGCACGACCTCTCTGCCTAGTGGCTTGTTGGCTGCCTTGAATCCAACTCTACTCGCCGTCTCCATCCGTTCGGCTGCGCTGCTCTTTATCGACCTCCTCGATAACAGTTGGGGGACCCAAGCCGCGACCCGCATTCCCCGTCGACATTTGACACTCTCCTGAACCATCCCACATCCCGCCTGCTCATCAACCACCCTCGCCTCCCATATCTTTGACCGCACAACGCACAAGTTGCCCAACATGGCTAACGACGAGTACGATGTAAGCTTTTGGCGACCTCCCTCTGCCCCTCCTCCCTCTGCGCTGGCCGCTACCCCCCGCCGTTACTTCGTGCCCGCCGTGCCATCATCGATCGCTAACCCATGCATGACTTGGACAGTTTCTCTTCAAAGGTGCCGCTCCCTGCCCATGCCCCCCCTTACTACGCTGCCGCGCGCGCGCCCGCCTCCCTGTGGTGACGCCCGGCCGTCGCAGTGCCACGTACTGACCTGGTTGATGCACAGTGGTCCTGATTGGAGACTCTGGCGTCGGAAAGTCCAACCTGCTCAGTCGATTCACCCGCAACGAGTTCAACCTAGACTCCAAGTCGACGATCGGCGTCGAGTTCGCTACGCGATCGATCCAGGTCGACTCCAAGACCATCAAGGCACAGATCTGGGACACGGCCGGCCAGGAGAGATATCGCGCCATCACCTCGGCCTACTACCGTGGCGCCGTCGGAGCCCTCCTCGTCTACGACATCAGCAAGCACCAGACCTACGAGAACGTCACACGATGGCTGAAGGAGCTCCGGGACCATGCTGATGCCAACATTGTCATCATGCTGGTAGGAAACAAGAGCGATTTGCGACACCTGCGCGCCGTGCCCACAGACGAGGCCAAGGCATTTGCCAGTACGCACCCGTCCCCGTCCCCGTCCCCGTCCCCGTCTCTGTTCTCCTATCCTGCCTGCCAGGCACCCATCTACGCAGTCTGCCTTTGTGCTGACCACCCCGTGTCTATAGGCGAAAACCACCTGTCCTTTATCGAGACTTCGGCCCTCGACGCCAGCAACGTCGAACTTGCCTTCCAAAACATCCTCACTGGTACGTTCGCCCAGACTCGGCTGGCCCCCACTGGGCGCGCATCTTGCTGACCTACCCACCCCAGAAATCTACCGAATTGTATCCAGCAAGGCGTTGGACAGCGACGGTGCCCAGGCCACGATCGGCTCCGGCACCCGCATCGAGCTCGAGAAGTCGGTGGACGGCTCTGCTGCACCAAAGGGCGGCAACTGCTGTTAAAAAGGCTGTGCGGTACTGTATGGGGGCTATATCTCATAATGTTCCTCTGAGAATGGTCACAGGGCTGGAATGATGACTTACGGCGTCGTGCAATGTGGACTTTTTGTGTGGCAGGTTGCAGCATTCGGAGGCTTTAGGAATCCAGAGACTTGCTTGTCGCCTATCATACCTTGATAATGATCCAGATGAATTACTTCATTCGTTCTTGCCATTAATAGAGAGACTCCACGAGAGGCTCGGGCGTAATGTCTACCAATTATCTTAGTTACATCCGGCCACGGATTCTTGCTGTCTGATTATCGCCTGTAGTGATTTCCAGGAGGGTTTCACCACGTTGCAGCACGCCGAAGTTCAAAGCCGTCACAGAAGTATACGTACACCTGCAGTCATTAAGCGGATCACTTGACTATATGCCCCAAATCCGACTCCTGAGGTATCTCTATTTCTACCTATTTGCAATGCATGCCATGAAAAACTTGGCCTTCTTTTCTCCCCGCAGAGCAGCCGGAAGGAACAACAAAGTAAACACCCAAACGCCTGGAAAAAAAACAGCATGTGAAGCGTAACTCCCGGGGGTTTGGGCGCCTATGCAAACAGCTCTCTCGCGTCGAGCGCGTCGGCCGCCGCCTTCTTGCCGCCGCTCGTGCGCAGGCCCAGGTCGCCGTGGCGGGCCAGCCTCTCGACCTGCTGCTCGGCGCGGGCGTTGTGCCGGCTGGCCGACTTCCGCCGCAGGTCGGCGCGCACCTGGTTGGGGCTGACGAACTCCTTGTTCTCGTACAGGATGGGCCCGCCGAAGCTGCCCTCCTGGATGATGATGGGCGTCAGGACGAAGCGCGGCCCGATCTCGATCAGGCTGATGTCCGTCTCCTTGCCGCCGCGGCCCTTGCTGGCTGCCGCCGCCGCCGCCGCCTCCTCGTCCGCGGCCCCCTTGCCCGCCTCGACCTCGTTGATCTGGTAGTTGCGCACCCAGATCTTCCCGTCCGCAAAGGTGAAGCCCATGACGTGGTCGACGAAGGGTTTCGACTTCCTGGCGCCCTGCGGCACGCCGAATGTGTGGAGGAAAAGTTCCTTGATGACGCGGAGGTGGGGCTGCTGCTCGAATGCGCTGTCGAAGGAGAGGACCGGCCGGCTGCCCTTGAGGCAGTTGCCGGTGAAGTTGAGCTCGTCCATGGTGTGTACTGTATCAAGACTCGTCAGCCCGATGCCCGCGAACAGGGACTTCGCTCCCGAGGATACCTACAGTTCTGGAGGTGCATCTTCACCGTCGGTCCGTTGGGAACCTTGCTCAGCCAGATATAGAGATCCTGTCCCTTGCGTGCCTCAAAAAACATGACGTTGTTGCAGTTGTAGAGCTCAGCTGTGGCACAAAATCGAGGGTTAGCTGGGGCCGGGAGGGAAGGAGGCGGCTCGCTGTCACTCACCCAACTCGTTGAGCTGGTATAGCTTGCTTTTCGAGTCGAACTTGGCATCCTTGCGGCCATGGGGGAGCATCGCCGCCAAGTCGTTGAGCAGATGTCGGTGTCTGAACGTGAGTGAGCAATGCATGATCGCGCAGCCGCGTACTGTCGAGGATGTGTGAACCTACCGGAACGTCACGCCTCGAGACGAGAGAATGAGGACTCTCTGCTTGTTCTTGCGCACGCCATTGGCCGGGGCCTCGGCCTTCTGGCTGCTGCTGCTCTTGGAGAGCGACTTGTATACCGCGGCCATCGTTGTGTCTGTTGTCTTGTTGCTTGCGGTGGATGTTTGCCTGCAAGTTCGAGGTGACGGGGGAGACTTGGTGCTGCCCGCAACTTTTTTTGCGACTGGGAGGGTCCGATAAGAAGAATTGAAGCGGGCTGTCTGCTTATCGGGCGCTGTCTGGTAACTTTAGCCCAGCCCGCAACTAAGCTAACTACTGCAAGTTATCCAGGTACCTAACCTTGCGCGGCACCGGGACTAAGAAATCGATACAACTGACTGAGTAAATGGTGATTTCAGAGACAGCCGGCGTATCGCATCAAAAGTCTTCAGATTCCCATGTCATGGTTTTCTATTGTAACGACAATTGTCAGGTGTGGAACGCCTCCGGACGCAATACATCTTCATGCTCTGATCATCGCTTGTCTCCACGGCGTCTGCAACTAGCCAAGGTCCAGAAACAATTCCTATTTGTCAACCAATTCAAGCACTCCCATGGTCACAGAGATAGACTTATCTAAGAGTTTAGATGTCAAAGTACTAACTAGAGTAGTCTGCAGTCTGGATGTCCATTTTTACCACGATGCCCCAAGTACCTCTCCCTCAGCATCTACCTCTATAGTTTGCTCCCATAGGTGATAGGACCTACAGACTTTCGTCTCGCTTCAATAGTTCACACGTCCGCCGCCTGCACCTGCTTTCGGTTGAACTTGTACATTCACGGAACTGTCCTGTTCTTCAAGTTTTGCATTGGGTCTATTGCATGGCAAAACCTTCCGTGCCGCTTTTCTTGAGTGATGTAGCCTATTCGTACGTGCTCAACACCTCTGCTTCTGCCTTGGCTGCCTCGGCGAAGATTCTCATTCGGCGCTCTGGAGACCTAAATCGCAAGGCAACTCCAAAGGGCCGACACTCAGCAATAAACCCCTGGCTGTATCCCGTGGATGGTTCAATATCGATCGGAATTGGGCTGCCATCCGCATCCACCTGTGGTGTCACAGTATACGCCCAGAGCATCTTTGCCACAAAGAGAAAAAGTATCCGTTCAGCCAGATGTACTCCTGGGCACGAGCGTCTGCCTGCTCCGTAAGCGAAGTGGTCCCTTTCCTGATAATTTTCTTCAGATTTTCCATCTCGTGGCACTGGAAGGGGATGGTCTTGGAATCGAGAAGGCATGAACTCCCCGGGATGAGGATAAAGAGTCGCATTGTGATGGATCGCCCATATGTTAAGGATGATGGTTGATCCTTTAGGGATAAACACACCATCGATTGTGTCATCTAGACATAAATTTAGAAAAACAATACTTCTGGCAGCGGTAAACCGATCATACTCGCCTTTTGTTGAAGCATGTGGGAAGCCAGCGGGGGCGGGCGGTCGCCACCTGAGGACTTCTTTTATGATAGCCGTGACACAAGGCAACTGATCGAGGTCAGTCCAACAAGGCAGTCTCTTGCTGCCTACCACCGAGTCAATCTGTCTTTGGGCATTTTCCTGGATATCGGGGTGCGTTGCCATGGATTGAAAGAACGTTAGTAGGACCGTAGAAATCGTGTCGGTACCCCCCTCAATCAAATTGCCGCACATGACATCGAGCTCATTCCTAGTAAACTTCAGCTGATCTTGCTGATCGAGCACACCGTCAAGGAATGTTGTGCTCGACATCTCAAGACGTGGTCGGCGTCGGCGTCGTTCCATGACTCTTTCGACGAGTGGATGGTATAGGTCCATCATAGTCTTCCGCAGTTGACCTGCTCGAGTCTTCCAATGACCCCAAAGAAACTCAGGCAGATACTTAAACGCCGGTATCAGGTCAACCGGCGGGGTTGCTCCAGTATCACCAAGCGCGACCAAGTTCTGCATTATGCTTTGCAAAGCGGGATAGTGAGGTGTATCGTGTTTGGGTGTGCGGATGCCGAAGACTATATACAGCTCACTTAGTTTCGGCCTGTCATTCTCTGTCCGTTTCCACTATCTTCAACTACTCACCCATGGCCATAATGATGCTATTACTTAGCCGCCCGGGATGATGCATGAACGCAGTCGACTCCACGGACAAGTCCTTCAATGTTTGTGCGATCTCCGCCTCGATAAGAGAAGAGTGTTCGCTGTCACACTTCGATGCATTCATCAACTGAGAGTATAACTTGCGCCGTAGCCTCCATCGGCTGTCTGCGTTCATCAGCATAGTGTGGTCACCACCAAAGACAAGTTGGTCTATCACATATAGAGCCGGCCTGTCGCTGTAGTGCGATGAACGCTTTGTTAGGAGTTGAGTGGCATAATATGCTGAATTTAGCACAACGATGGTACCGTGTCCAACTTTGAGGGAGAATATTGGACCATAGTCTTTCGCCCATTGAAGAAACCTGTTGTAGTCCGAGTCAGAACCTAGCTCAGAGTCATCGAATGTCGGGTGTACGTACTTAAATCGTATGCCCGCCCTAGGCAGAATATGAATGTTACCAATGATTGGCAGTGTAAGTGGACCTGATCCATATCTGTATAATGCTCCTAAATCAATCTAGTACCAGCAGACTCACCTGGAGGAAACCCCTTTCCACGATAACCTGGTAGCGTAATGATACCCGTGGCTGTCAAAATTGCAAGAATTGCCGAAAAGACCACCAACACCCCAAGCATCATGATTGTATGGACTCAATCGTTCCCTTGGCTTAATACAGATTCCAAGAAATGAAGGCGAAATCGATGTCTTTGAATAGGATAACTTTTATCACAGCGATTTTTGACAGTTTAACAGGCACTTACGGTGGGTGGCATGGAAAAACGGAATGGTTATGAAGAAAGTTTTCAAGAGCACCCGAACTTGCTCCTCACCATGTAAGTTGCGAAAGGATGAACAGAATACGACTGCCACTTTGGTTATAAGATCGGCGGTCAGCGCCAAGATTCCTGCACGATTTGGCAGAAGTACTGTTTTGCCAGAGGACTTCTAAAGTTTTGGGATTTCTGTACCACGTACCAAATGCACTGCGACCTCAGCCTGCAAGTACAGGTTTCTGGTAGTGCCGATATGAATTCCCTACCATTAGGCAAATCAGCACAGCCTGCTTTTGTGTTCCACTGACCATAAAGTTGATCTTATCTTGTAAATCCCGAAATGGGGCAAGTATGGCGAAGATCTTTATTTGGCTGACACATTCATCATTTCCAGCGAAGCCTTCTTTCTGTTTATGTAAGCTTGGTGCTGTTTACGTTCGGGCCCAATCATAACACTCTTTGGCTCCATTTTCACTAATATAGGTTCTCATGTATGGTAAGCGAAGACATTCATTCATAATTCTATTCTCATTAATCAACGAATGTGTACTCTCGATATACTGCTGAAAGACAGCACTTTTCCGCATGTAAATTCAATTTGGATCGAACAAAACACGAGGCGCTTGAAAGACAATATCCAAATCAACTCTACCTGCTCTGCTCTTGCTTAGATATCAAGGCACCGACCGTCAGGCCCCCCTTTGTCTCGGCGGACGCTAGGGCAGCTAAGAAACCATGAAATTTGACAAGTACTTCTCGTGCCGCTACATCATCTATAACCACCGGGTCATGTATCGTGCTGGCTACTACCTGTTCAGTGTCGAGGCTACAAGTCAGCACAAAGGCAACATAGCCTGTCATGTCCATAATTATGGACTCCTGTCCCAGCGGTAAGGGCCGCGACTTGGATGGTGCTTCCACCGGATGCACCACTAGGTGATTGTTAAAGCTGCGGCATATGTGACCAGCCTCGGCATTCAACTCTGCAATGGCGCCAAGCCCAATCGTCTCATGCTCTAGGATATCGGCGCCGTCCACCTGGATTTTCTCCAGGAATTCCGCCACGGACAAGCTCTGGTCAGTGGTGCGTATACGGATGGGGACGTTGGTGAGTGTAGGGCCGCAGACGCGGTCGATCTCATCGAGGTCTACGGTGCGCCCCGATAGCAAAGCACGGAACACGACATCAGTGGAACCTGTATACGACCCAATGGTGAGGCCCCAGGCAGCTCGCACGAGAGTCGCCGTCGTAACGACGGAGCCGTGGCTCCGGAGCAACGGGATCGCAAGGCTTACGCTGCTAGCAGGCCGGGTCACGTAGTCGGGCGCGGGATTAGTGGGGAACACGGTGGGCGGGGCGCCGTCTAGGTACCCGCTCCAGAACTCCCGGGCTGGTGCAAGATCAATGCCGCCGAGGTGATCCATCAGGTACCGGTATGGTAATAACGTCTGCGGGACCAGTCCGGACCAGTACCCATCGCATAGTGCATTCCACACGACGTCCAGCGAATCGCGGTCGTAGACACAGTGGCTCATCGCGTAGACAAAGGTAGGGGGATGCCCGGCGACGTGGACAACCGCGGCTCGAGCGAGCGCTGAGCCTAGAGTTCCCGCCTCGACGCGCAGTGTGTTGATCCATGCTTCGGCAGCCGGCAGGCTGTCGTAATAGCCAACTTCCAACTCTGTCGACGTTGAGAGCGTAACGAGGCATCCGGAATTCTCCTTGGAACTCCAGATGACGCGTGTGCGCATGCACGGCATCGCGGCGCAGACGAGATCCCATGCCTTGCTAAGGCGGTCATAGTCCATCTCGGGTAAGATGGGGTACCGGCGAAGGAAAGTCCCTGCGCCAGGTGTCTGAATCATACCACCTATTATCTCAGTCTGAAAAGGCGTTGCTGGTGTTAAGTCCTGGATAACGGCTGGATCCACGGGGAGCTGCGCAAGAACCCACTCCGGAAATGTTGGCGGTGCCGTTCGGTTCGCTTGTGAGCCCGGCCGATTTCTATGCTGGGTCGGACTTGGCATCCGGTAGAAGGCCGAAGGGACCATGTTCACCGGTAGTTCCTCCTCCAGTCTATCACAGACCTGGGTCGTCAGACTGGCAAAAGCCAAATCTGTTACATCGGCATCCGAGCTGATAAAGGCGACGAGCATTGGAGCCAAGTTTGGTGGCACAAGGCTACTAACTGCGCACTCGGCATCCTTCGGCAGCCATCTTCTTATACACTCCTCGATATGGGCGATATCGACATGACTGACAGATGATTGCTTCCCCAAGATACTCTGGATGGTCGACCCAGGCGGCGCAGACGCGAGTCTCTGCAACACATCGGTAAACTGTGCAAGCGCTTGGTCTACTTCTTCTCCTTTGATTATGTTCTCGTCGTATTGGGCAACTAAGTGAACCCCTTGCGGTTTAACAAGGCAGCTAATCGCCAATGCATGGGTTGACTCCTGAAAGGGCTGCTCTACGGATTCCGCCCAGCTCAGTGCCTCGAAACCAGTATCGTCAGTATCGGAGCCCAAAATTTGGATATCCAGGATATTTTGAAACTGGCATGCGCGAAGAATCATTGGGCTGATACTAGCCAGTTGCGCAATGGGCGTCTGGTCGAAAGCCTTGGTAGTAGCCATGTCTTTATGTATCTGATCGATGAAGTCGCTGACTTGTACGCCTGGGTCGACTGCAAGTCGCACAGGCACGACGTTACGCAGAGGTCCCACCACATTCGTCGATCTCATGTCATTCCTACCATTCACAACGGCACCAAAAACGACGTCATTGGTTTTCGTCGTCTTTGCTACCATCAAAGCCCAAGCGGCCCTCAAGAGGGCGGCGGTGGCGTGACACAACCCAGGCACCACACGTTTCAGGCTGGCGGTCGCACGTACGCGCGCAAGGTTGAGGTCAGAAACAGTGGGAAAAAGAACACTATGACATCTTCCCAAGGTAGTCTCCCAATATGCCTTTTCAGCTTCGGTTATCAGAGCGCTTGCACTCATAGATGAAAACGAAGTGAAAGATTCCAGCTGTGGCATGACGTGGCCTTTGTACGCCTTGTCGACAGCATTCATGACCAGCTTCGCCGCGTACTCATCTACCAGGGCACGATGCACAGTCCATACCAAAGACTGTTTGTCTTCGCCAGGCGCATGGAATAAGACCAGATCACTCAGATGACCATCAGTCTTGGCCATTTTCTGACGCAGGTGAAGGCGCGCTTCTGCAGAGGCAACCCGACGTCGGACTTCCCAGTGAAAGTCGTCAGCGAGGACAACTTGAAGCAGGCCAGCTGTCGACTGGAAGAAGCGTGTCCGCAGTACGGAATTTCGGTCGACCACACGTTGCCAGGCGCCAAGGAGACGCTGATGCAATGTTCTGGATGGGAGCTTGAATTCCCATTGCATGATGTTTCTGGCATTGTCAAGATGCGACAGCGTCAAAGAGCTCTGTTGAATCAGTGTTGCACTAGCAACATCTTCGATGCATTCTGGCTCGATGGCCCATGAGGCAACGATCTCATTCATATTGAATTTTTGTGTCTCGGGGCCCTGACGACGATCCTTCAGTACACCATTCAAGAGAGCCTCGTGATCGGACGAATGTTTAGTCGGGCCAGATTTCCCTGTGCCGTTGACAACCAGTGCTGGTGTCGTCGTGTCCTCGAGCTTGGCCATCGGCGATATTTGCAGAGAGTTATGACCGTCGCCAGCAGACCCCTGAAGGCCGGAATACGCATTGGCGTTGCTATCCAAAGGAGTGGGGGACTTGCTAATGGCATTCGAACTCTTCTGTGTTCCTGCTGCTTGCAATGGTCGAGCTGGGAACGGAGCAAGTTTCGAAGCATGCGAGTTCTGTGGCGAGGTAGATTGTGTAGTTGGAGGCGGTTGTGATATTGATTCTATGGACGCCACAAGTGCTTGGAAGGTAGGGGTCTTGAAGATCTGAGCGGAAGAAATAGATATGGATTTCTTTTTGGCCATTGAGACCAGCTTCATGGCAGCAACGGAATCGCCACCAAGTCCAAAGAAATGGGATGTGGCAGTAATCTTGTCCGCTCCCAAGCAGAGAACCAGGGCCCACAGTTCTCGCAACAGCTCCTCAAGGTCGTTTAATCCGCCATTGGTGATAATGGTCTGGTCATTGGAGGCATTGAGCGCAACAGGCTCTGCCGAGTTTGGTTCCAGCAACTTGGTTGCTGAGAGCTCCATGGGAGCAGCTTCAGCCATAGCTCTAAGCTTCTTCCTATCAGCCTTCCCAGTGTTTCCCAAGGGGATGCGATCGACGAAAAGGAACGAAGACGGAAGAAATGCTGGTGGTAGGTACGCTGACAAGTGGCTCTTTAAGCTCTCTACGAGAGCATATCGAGAGGCAGGTAACATGCTATTGTCAACCTGTAAGAAGGCCGACAAGGCTGTGGTGCCCGTACGTAGCGTAGCTGCATCAACCACGACACTGGATCCACCGGGCATGAAGGCCTTGATGTGATGCTCGACTTCAGAGAGCTCAACTCGCTGCCCACGGATTTTTACCTGCGAGTCTTTCCGGCCTCGGCAGAAAAACAGCCCGTCTGCATTTATATAGCCCAGGTCGCCTGTGCGATAAAACTTGCGTGGCTGGCCATCAACGGCCGGTGCCCAGGTCAGGTTGTCAACGAAGGTGTTGGCAGTTGCCTCCGGATTCCCTAGATATCCCGCTGAAACTCCGGGGCCCTCGACAATTATCTCGCCGACAAACCCTCGGGGCAGCCGCTGATGCGGATTGTCGGGGTTGACCACGTACACGCGCGACCCGAATGGTCGCCCGATGCACCCATTGCCAAAGCCAGCTGCATGTAGTATGCGTAGTCCACAACATTCGTTGGTAATCTCGGCCGGGCCATAGGTCACAAGCACTTCTGTTCTAGGTAACCATCTATCAACTAAGGCTTGCGTCGTCCACTCTCCGGCAAAGTGTATGTGTCTAAGTGCTGGGAGGTCGGCAGGGTCCAGCAGTTCGGAAAGCGATGGTGTGATATGGAGGTGTGTTACACCGTTTCGTGCCAAAGATGGACCCAGGTCGTTGATCCGCTCTTCTTCCGAAAGAATGCATAAGCAGGACCCCGTACAGAGGGACACCAAGATCTCTAGGACACTCACATCCCATGCATAGGAGAGGATATGGCCCTCTCGAATCTCAGGACCTCCAGGATGTCCACGCAGTTTGATCCAAGAGGGTATGAAACTGCATATATTCTCTTGTGAGATTGTGATACCTTTCGGAACGCCTGTGGTTCCGGAAGTAAAGACCACGTATGCGCAATCCTCAGGCTGAACATCGCCCCATTCCTCCGCTCGGGACGTCGAGTCGTTGTGCCCGCGTACCATGTGGTTAGTGTGGACACCATTGGCTTTCGTTGGAGAACATATTTTTTCCTCAACTTGGATCACCGTATGGATAAACGAGGCTGCTTGGTCACGCTGCCGGACGGAGCTTAGGCAGACTTGACTCATTCGTCCACCGTTATCCTGAAGCTGGTCGATAATAGCTTGTACTCGGCCTGAAGGCATCTCGATAGGGATCGTCACCCACGGTGCCCCTATTTTCGAGCAAGCGAACACAGAGACTGGGTGCCACCTGGACTTCTCGAAGAAGAGAGGAACGTAAGAGCCACGAGCGACGCCAGCCTGCTGGAGCTTGCGCGCCACGATATTGGACGCATAATCAAGCTCTGCGTACGTCAGGCTACCATCCGAAGCTTCTATGGCCTGCGAGCCAGGGCTTGAATTCTTCAACATCATGGTATGCAGCGTACTGCGATTCCTTGGGGGTCGTGCTATCTCATCTCTGGCGGCAACCTCCCAATCATGAGGACTCATAAAGTCAATATTGCCAATGCGTGACTTGGGTATGGCCTCCTGAAGTTTGGACGCAACAGTTTCGAACTGGCCCATGATGCGCTTCGGCAAACTTGCATCGTGCTTGCTCGACGAAAGTGCTTCGTCGACAAAGATGTTGACCCCATGATCCTTGATGACTAATACTATGTGACATGGAACCAGCTGAGATAAATCTGCAGTTCGATGGCAGATCGCCGTCATAAAGTTGATATTGCCAGCTTTTAGGCAGCGCTCAGCTAAGGGGTACGTTTGTACAGGACCGTACGTGAAGCAAGCATCACCAACCATGTTCTTGCGTACCTGCTCCAGAAATATATGGATTGGTCTATCAGCGCTAGTATGTAGCTCAACAGAACCAGCAGAGGCGATGTCCTTCACTTGTATCACATCTGCCGCTGAATAACGGGCGAGAGTGAGAAGCCAAGCCCCACGAAGAATGTGAGGTTCATAGGTCTGACTGAGGCTCGAAGCATGGGATGATTTCCCCTCAAGGCGATAAATATGGTCAACCATTTCGGCCATGTTGGGAAGTGCTCCAGTTCTGGGTCAGAATAGTGTCCAAGAATTCTGCTCTATACTAGAGAGTGCGTGGGCTATTATAAACTAAATCCGCATGGGTCTATCTTACTCTCGTCTCTCCTGAGTTCGTTCAGAATAGTCCCCTAAAGACCTGATGACCACTACACCAAAACCAACCCAACAAACCACATCAACGCAGTGCACAAGATCTGCCTTACCATATGTGCTTTGCGGTGCTTCCGCTATCAGATTCTATACATAGGATCAATAACTAGTGGCAGAGGAGAAGGATCAAGATGCCTGTAGAAAGAATGCGATCCGTGCGATCAATAAGCTTGCGTGATCAGTCATACCATTGAGGTCTCAGATAATGAGTTGTCTCTGTTTTCGGAGACAAGTCAGAAACGAAGCAGGCGGGAACCTGTGATGTACTCTGTACATAAGGCCTAGAGCAAACGACTTTGCTGAGTGGCGCCTTACCCATCCGCCCCCAACTACTACCTAACGTACCGGCTGAATCCCTCGGTTAGCCTGCAACCTGTGCATCAAGCGACAATGTCAAATGCAGGACTTTCACGGTTCTAGATTGCTAATTTAGTCACCTTGCCGAACATCCCACCCCCTTACCCCATTTGTGCGACGTAAGCAGCTCCCTCAGTCACACCTATGCCCACTGTTCGGTTGGCCACCCTTTGGCAGTGTCCGACCAGAGGTATCGCAGATGAGCATCCCTTACTTCGGCCAGGAACCCCCACCAGCATATGGCATGAGCAGTTCGGCCCTTGAAAACAGTTTTTGGAGCAAGTTTTGACGCAGCAGAGACGAGTCAAAGATGGCAGTGAATGCGGCAGAAGAAGGGCTTACGCCGGCGGAATCAGAAAAGGCCCGTGGACCAGATCAACTACTTCCAGATCTCGGCGCCAACGTTGAGCAGCAACCAAAGAAGGAATCTCCGGTGCGGTTCGCTCTGCTATTCATCGCCCTTGGCGTTGCTGTATTTACCGGTGGTCTAGTATGCACCCTTACGAGTGGACCGCGTTTCGCGGCGCCGTTGATCCTAACGATGTATTAGGATGCCAATCTAATTGCGCCTGCCGTGCCGGCCATTACGGACTCTTTTGGAAGCACTTCAGATGCTGGCTGGTATGGAACCGCCTAGTAAGTGTAGCGAGCATTCAGATTCCACGCTATCAACCTGACTCTGACGACAGTTACCTCTCGTTATCATGCTGCCAGATGGCCTGGGCCCAGATCTATAAGGCCTTCCCAGCCAAGCCGGTCTTCTTCAGTGCATTCATCCTATTTTTACTCGGCACCCTGGTCGGAGCGCTTGCACCTAGCTCGGCGGCCGTAATCATCGGGCGAGCTATATCCGGCGCCGGCATCTCGGGGTCGTTCGTAGGCGGCTTGATTATCGTGTCGTATATCATCACGCTCCGCTGGCGACCTATCATTACCGCCATCTTCGCCTTGGTCATAGGGTCGACGATGACGGCAGGCCCCGTCGTTGGCGGTGCCTTGACGTCGCGACTCTCGTGGCATTGGTGCTTCTGGATCAGCCTACCAATAGGCGGCTTCAGTTTACTGCTTGCTCCCCTTGGAAGCCCTGTCAAAGACCCTGAGGGCAGGCGCGACGGCTTTAAGCAACTGCTTGAAGAATTTGATATTCTTGGCTTTGCTCTCTGGGTTCTGGCCGTCGTCTGCTTGACGCTTTTCTTGCAGTTCGGGGGCACTCGTTACGATTGGACAGGAGGGCAGCTGATTGCACTTTACGTGGTGACCGGGCTCCTACTTGTTTTGTTTTCCTTCGTCCAGGTCCGCCGTGGAGAGCGGGCGCTCGTACCTGGGCGTATCATTAAGCAAAGAAGCGTTGCTTGCTCCGCATTATATGTCCTGTTCATGCAGACAGTCAAAGCCCAGATCACCTACTTCGTAAGTCTCCAATCGCTGCACTTGTCAATGTTGTCTAACGTCATGCGGCTAATGTACTTTTACGTCCTAGCTGCCTATATTCTTTCAGGCTGCGCAAAACAAAACCGCGCTGGAATCGGGCGTGGACACAATCCCGAGCTTCCTCAGCTATTTCACTTTCCAGATCTTGGCGAACCTTGCTATTTCTTGGTTAGGGCTCTACACGCCTTTCATGCTGGTAGGCAGCTTACTAGGTACGGCAGGCACAGCTCTACTGTCTACGCTTACCACATCTACTCCTGCTCCACGATGGATCGGATATCAAATACTAGCGCTGAGTGGCTTCGGCATTGGGTTCAATGGTCCACAGATAGCCGCCCAGACGGTCTTCCAAGATCCTAGCGATGTCCCCACAGCGCTTACTATTATCACGACGTGCCAAGATCTGGGTGGTAGCCTTGGTACCAGCATTGGCAGTGCGATATTCACAAGTGTCGTACGCCGACAAGTCCAAAGTGTTATTCCGAACATCACAGCAGAGCAAATCTTTGGCGCGGGAATCACTGGCTTGCAGGCCATGGTTAAGCCCGAGCAGAGGTCTTCAATAGCCGAAGCTTATGCATACGGCGTACGTGTGATATTTTATGGTTCAACGGCATTTGCGGCTGCAACTTTCATACTTGCCTGTTTCATTGAGTGGAAGAGTGTGAAAGAAAAGCCCAAGGACTCGGAACGAAGAAATGAAATGGCCGAGACGTAAGCCAGGCCTCTGCACGCTTCGACGGCCACAGTCGTCCAAGTATCTTGGGCTGTGAACAAGACTTATAGATTTAGAATACACAATGGCATTAGAAACAATTTTTTTGGCCGTAGCCCTCCATTTCTTCAAGCATCAAGGCTGACCATTGTCGGTCTTTGACGGTGAGAGTTACGAACCCATAGGTGAATGATTCCATGAATAATCCTACTCGTCTGCGACCACGTCTAGCTCCTCGTAATATCGATAGACTCCGTAATTTGAATATTTCTGGCGCTTTTCAGTGGCGAGATACTCAGCGATGCGTGGCCGTGCCTTGACAGCTTCGTAGTGTTGGAAAACACGGTTGTATTTGCCCGACTGCTTTGCGGCAGCCACGGCTTTGCGGAACATGTAGCTGGTGCCATCAAGAGTCTTGGAAAAGAGTTGGTTATCAGCGAATCCATAAGATTACAAATGGTGCTGTGCGACTGGGAATCGGGAATGAGATTGGAAAACAAGGCAAGGTAGAGTACCTGGAAGAAGACCAGGTCTGCCCAGGTCAGAACACCACCATACAGCCAGGGACCCTCGCCACTTGCCGTTCCCGACAGAACTCGTTCGAAATAGCCGAGATACTTGGGCAGCCGATGCTTCACCCAATCCTTGACGCGGCGCAGGCACTCTTCCTTCTGCTCTTCGTAGTAAAGGTCGATAGCAATAGGATGGTGGCAGTTATGGACCTCGTTGCTAAAACCATCAAGGGCGGTAAGAGCGAGGGCGTTGATCTTGTAGATGTCATTGCCCTGGCCTGCAGCCAAACCTAGCCGTGGACCCAGGTAAAGCAGGATGTTGGGCGTCTGCGAGATAACCAGGTCCCCGTGCTTCAGGATAGGAGGGGCCAGAGGCGGTGGGTTCACCTTATCACCGAGGTTCTGTTCGCTGATATAAGTGTGCAAGGTGTCCATTCCACCCTCGATGAAAGCCGTATCCGAGTACGGGACCCCAGCTTCAACGAAGCAGAGACGGATATGCTCACCACGGCCAGGAATGACATGCCAATAGATGAGTTCATAGGGGGGGTCGTTATTGGTGTCTGGTTGTGGCTCTGGCATGTTGAAGGAATCTCTGTAATCAGAAGGGGATATCGTGGAAGGGAGTCTGTTTCAGGCGCTGTAATCGTCAGTCGCAGGTGTTTTCTTGCAAGGGAGAGAAACGCCCGTTTTCTTGTGAGCTCACTGACTCTGAAGAACCCCGCCTCATCAACTTGCGTGTGTGTAACGAGGCGGGTAGCACCCACCCTCCCAAAATGTACCCAGCAGTCAGCAGCGCAGCCACAATCCTGCCTCACGTCGCACAGCGTGAACGAGCTGAACCACAGACTCCTGGAGGTTGCTAGAGATCCTGACGGCCGGACGGGAATTCTTGTGCCGCCCTCGTGCCACATTATGTCTTCTCACCACACCCCTCCTCTCGAGCCTTTTCGCTTTTGCCAACTTCGGAATCTTGTCTATACCAAGTCTCAGAGGCCTGCACGGTGATAGTTAGTATTGATTCGAATCTCCATCATGGCAGACCCGGAAGGCGCGGTTCTTCCCCCACCCGATGGCGTTGAGCCTAACCTCGACAACCCACCGAATGGCAACGCGCTCATCAATGGGCTTACTTCGCTATTCCTTGCCATCTCGCTCATTTTCCTTCTTATCCGCGCCTATGCGAGAACCTCTTACATGAAGAATCGACCCGCACTGGGAGACTGTAAGTATTCCATGCACACTGGTCTCTGCTGATCTCGTGTCTGCGAATGTTTACTGATACGTCTCCCAATAGATGTGATACTACCAGCGATAGTAGGAGATATCACCGAAGAATTAACATCTGAAGTAGACTGACATTATCACCATAGGGCACGTACATTGCCGGCTGCGTTTTCGTGTTCCGCGTGGCTGCTACTTCAGGCTTCTTTGTCCATGGATGGGACTTCCGGCTCAAGAACCTGGCGTGGTTCTACTACGTCAGTTTTCTCTTAAACGTCGGTCTAGCCACCTGGACCTCTGACTAAAATATACCGCAGAATCTTTTCCTGGGAACTCAGATGTATTTGGCCACCATGATCTTCTTGAAGACAGCCATTCTCCTCGAATGGGCGCGCATCTTTGGCCCAGGTAGTCGCAAAGCCTTCCGGTGGACATGCTATATCATAGCAGGGCTCAATTCGACTTACTATATCATCAACATCATTCTCGAGTGCACGTCGTGCACCCCGCGAGAATACTACTGGGACAAGACAATCCCTGGCGGTCACTGCCTAGACGCGGCCGTCCTATCCCTGACCTCTGCACTCGTCAACCTCCTGTTCGATCTTGCTATTCTCCTCCTCCCCCAAGGTGTCATCTGGCGCCTGAATATGTCCCGGAGGAAGCGAGTTGGCGTTTCTGTCGTCTTTGTCATAGGTCTCCTGTATGATCACCATTTCCCGTACTGTCTTACTTTCTATGCAGATGCTAACCCGCACGATGTTGCAGAGGCTGTATATGTGCGGCGCTCCGAATAGCCTTTGGAGTTGTATATGTTTCGAGCAACGATTACACATATGAACTCTCTAAGCAGTCAATACTGTGCAGTGCCGAATTGACTGCGGGGTTCCTGGTGTTCTGTGCGCCTGCTGCTCCGAAGCCCGTCGTATTCTTGGTACAGCAGGCCGGAGAATCGATGGATCGCCTGATACGTTCCACCCTAGGTAGCGGCCAAAGGTCGCCGGCCGCAACAGGAACCGACTTGGGAAATACATCCCAATCAGGAACGCTCAGGTCCCTGTTCTCCCGGAAAAGGTCTCGGCCGAACTTACACAATCGGTATAACGAGATAAACGAGCAAAACTCTATGCCTTTGAGGAAACTGAGCTCCACAAAGAGTAAAGATTCAAACTTGAGCAATCAACAGCGTCCTGCGGTGCCGCCACTTCCTTGACATATTGGCGAAGTATTATGTACTACTCGGCGCTAAGCCGTTGAAATTCACGCTTCTGCAGATAGCTATACGAGACTATATCTGATGGTGTTTCTGAATATGGGATTGCCGGATTTCTGTGCAACTGTCATGGAAGGTCACTCTTAGCATCGGAAGAATGCATGTTCCTTTATCAATAGATTCTTCTTCTGTGTGTATCGACCATTCATGTTCTGAAATACTTTAGCCACTAAAAGGCCCTACTGCGACTCTTCGTCCCAGGTGCTCAACCTCTGGGTGAAGTTGAGCCGGGTACATAAATGGACGCGGACTATCAATAAGGCATGTCCATCCGCAAAGCCTTCTGGTCCACCAATGGATTGAGGCTTGCTTACTCCCCATCATGATCGGATCCCGCAGTTGGGGGATGACGCGCTACGCTGCAAGACCCCCGCAGATGTGGTGCGTCGAAAGTTCACTGCAGCTTTTCTGTCCATTGCAATCTAACAATAGTATAGTCGGTTAGGCGAATTGTTCATACGTTGACAAATCCATTGAGGGTGCCATCAAACGATTCTTTTGCAGTCCTCAGGTCTTTAGAAAGGGTTGTGTTGCGTAATGTGCTCATAACGCGGGCGGGCGGGCGCAGCTGCAGCGTGGAGGAAGGACTTTGCATTGCTGATCGCTCGCAGGACGTCTCTGGCGAATAGGAAAAGGATCATCTGAACCTCATCAGCCAAGTCAGAGGCAAGCGATTGCTACACTGGTCAATGCGTGCAGTGTGCGGCCCGCTCCTGCGCCCGGCAAGAAGGCAACGTCAGCCCCACTGGGCACCTTATAGCTCAGGTTGCATTGGGTTATGTATAATAATCGGCCGACTGATGCTGTCATCTTTCTTCGGGTAGTGCCAAGCTGACGTGCATGAATATTGGGGTTTTGAAAGAACAATGCTTGGCCATAGTGTCCGGTCCGGCTGGCCGAGATAACGACATATTTCACTTAGGAAGCAAGCATCTCGGTATGGTTTCAGGGTGGTACCATCTGACCAGGCTTTCTGAATCCTTCTGAAAGATACGTCTATTTAAGGCAGCTATGTAGTAAGTGCAGCTTTTATTCATTGGCTATACAGTTTTGACAGCGCCGAAGTCCTGCATATCTACGTCCAATATCAGCATACTTGAGAGCGACGGCTGACCAAGGCCGTGAAATGTGCATTTCTATAGGTGCTCCCCGATCCTTCCAATGCTACTTGAGGTTGTACTAGATAGCTGTGATCCGGGACAATAAGACGATAAGTTTTACCCGCATCACCTTCCCGTGTCCAACGTAGGATTCGTCATGTGCAAATAGTCTAGATCATACAATCAGGCACAGCACCTCGGGGGCTCGGTAGTATCTCAATGTTACGTGGGACGACAGTGCTGGCAGCGGCAGCCGAGATGTAAGCCACGGCCGGAGCATCTCATGTTGTGTAAAGATGAATTAGTGGAACCGATCGCTATGTACCACACTGCAGCAGTACTTGCGGCAAGATAATGCAGGCTGAAATTGACCTCGCTAGATCGGCGGTGGTACGATACCCGTACAGATCCCTTTTCTAAGCGAATATGCACATCCCACTCACACCGATAGATCAATTACTCAGCTATGTAATAATGGAAACCATCGCCCCCATACCGGGGTCAAAGTCAAAAGTCAAGGACAGGGCACATATCTCGTGTCAATCATCAATCAGTCACACTGTGCTCGGCATTACAGCACATACTAGGCGGCTAACACGCTGCCTAGGTAGTATCTATGAGGGTGATGATATGATGTGGCTCCAGATTTAAGCTGGCTCTCTTAGTTGGAATACCACTAAACTTTCTGAACACGGTGTTATTTCACTGTAAACTGATGAGATGTGCGTAGGGCTTATGGCCTGAACGTTCGACGTCGAACTTCATATACCATTCACTATAGCTCGCTCCAACCACTAGTCCGTGGTGCCTATTCGATTAATTTAGGAACTTTAAGCTCGTTGCACTATCATAATGGACATCCTTGGCTTTCTTCCAATGCTGTATTGATGCTTATCGAGTGTGCTGAATTGACCTCAAGGACCGCGACAGTTCATCTTGATCTGTTTCACTCTTACATCCTCACCACGTACAGTCTAACACCTAAGATAAGCTCTCACATTCAAGCAAGTGTACCTCATATTCACATCACTTCATCGTCAATGGAAATTCTTGTAGCTTGCTCGAAATGTGAATGGCACGTTACGGACACTTTTGGTTCTAGAATCTGGCCAATCTATGAAATCAACTTTATCGTCCACTGGTATGAACGGACACTACTCAACTCTGAATCAACTTGGCCTTGATGAAAGTCGAAAGTGCAAGCAGAGACTTTTCTTGGCTAAGGATATCCAGGAATGGAACATCCACTTTGAACGCACTCCAGAACCATGTACGGAATTCAGACGCAATCATGCTGTCTACACCGTAGGCATTCAGCGGTTTGTGCTCGTCTATCTGATCTGGTGCAAGCAAGATCAAATTACCGAAACACTTCTTAGATAGCCGTAAAACCGCCGCTTCTAACGAAGGCGCATCAGCCTGCTGCCTTAGGGTTGCTAGGGCGTTAGATGGTACATCCTTCAGCCAAGGAGCAGTGACCCAGGTTTGGGTCTCATCAAGTATATTATCATCGTGTTCCCGATCAGCCTCCAGGGCAGCCGATAAGATGGATGCACGAGGGTCCTGCGCTGTGTTGTGGCTGATATCAAAGCCTTGGCTTTTCAGTTGACGAAGTCTTAGCGGTTCCAACCCGGTGAGGAGGTGGGCCAAAGGTGAATCCAATGATGTGTTTACGACGCTGTCTTTCGCGGAGAGTAGAGCGAAATCCACCATCTGTAGGAATTCTTCCTCTGTGAGCGGCTGGATCCCTCTACGTAGCAGCAGGGCCTCTATCTCCGGGTTCTCGTGCAAATATCCAACCTCGGATACCATTCCGAGGCCAAGCGAGACCGCAGGCATTTCATCTAGGCAGCACTTGCGCGCGAAGGCATCGAGAAACCCATTCGCCGCGCAATAATTGCTTTCCGTAGCTGTCCCCACGGTGCCGGATATTGAAGATAAGAGTAGAAAAAAGTCGAGGTCATTATCAATCCCACGTATAGCGGAATGGGTGTTCCATGTGCCTTTCCACTTTGGCTGAATGGCTTTCTGCCAGGCATCGCCAGTCATAAGCGAGAAAAGGCTTTCGGACAACCCCATAGATGCTTGTACAACGCCTCCCAAGGGTCTCCCCGTGTCAACGCAACACTTGACTGCCTGAGCTACATCGTGCGTTTCACATACGTCGCCGCGTACTGCAAAGACTGTCGCACCGCCTTCTCGGAGTTGCGCTATAAGGTTCTTGGCTGCCGGCTTGTCGCCGCCTGACCTCCCAAGAAAGACAAAATTTCTTGCACCACGGGACAATAACCAACGACTGAGGCTACGTCCAAGTCCCCCAAGGCAGCCTATGAGAAGGTATACCTTGTCTGGATTCAGCACCGTGAGACATGGCGCAGGAGACACCTATCGGTAGTTAGTTATATGGCTGCTTGTTATAGTAGTAATAAAGGTACACACCGGGATGGGGCTCTCTTGGTTTTCCAATGAGATCACAACTTTACCTATCCTATCTTTCGTCGAAAAGTATCGATAGGCATCTGAAACATCTGCAACATCGAATTTTCTGGTCGGCATGGGTTTGATTTCCCCTAAGCGGAATAAAGCAAGCACCTCTCTCATTTTCCTGCATTATGTCAGTAGGAGGGCCGCATCGCTTCTGCGCGGAGGTTCACTTACCCGACGAGCAAGTCGCGATAGTACTTTTCCCTATGGAAGAACAATTCACTCAGATCGAAAGCGGTGAAAGTGGCATTTCTGAGGAAGACAGCCATGTCTAACTTGCCAGCGTCAACTAGCTCGCGTTTACCGACCTCGATGAAACGCCCGAATTCAGCTATGCAGTCCCAGCTAGCATGCATCAGATCGCCAGTGAGAGAGTTGATAATCACGTCGACCCCACGGCCTTGCGTTGCTTCCCTCACACCAACGACAAAACTGGCAGCTTCCCGGGAGTGGAATATGTTTGCGGGCGCTACGCCGAGGTTTTCGATAATCCAGGTCTTCTTGGCTGGGGAGCTGACAGTGGTGTAGACAATAGCACCCATACGTTGGGCTAGAGTGATGGTCGCAATGCCGAGGGCCCCCGTTCCCGAATGAATCAAAATTGACTCCCCTCGTCGAAGGTGCGCGCGATCGTCTAGAGCGTACAACGCCGTGCTGTAGGCTATGGGGAGCCCCGACATAATGCTGAGGTCCTCGTCTGGCTTGATGCGCTGTGCCGCCCAAGCAGGAACCCGTACGGTGGTGGTGAAGTGGTTCGGGCTGACAGCTACAACTCTGTCGCCAATGTTAAGCTGGGTGTCGGGCACATCGGGCCCCTTCGCTATTACAACGCCGCCGAACTCCATGGCGATTGTCCCCTTCTGAGTCTCAACGCGGCCATTGAGTGCATACACGTCTTTCGCATTCAGGCTCATGACCTGCATCTCGATATCTACGAAGCCGGTCGGCGGGTCGGTTTGTGGTTCCCGCAGCTGCTGGAAATGAATCGTGTCTGTGATTCCTACTTTTCCAATTGATAACCTTGCGGGTTTCGCTGTACCCAGAGTACACATCTCCTTGCGATCCGCTGGCTGGAGTCGGCGTTGGAACAGGGAGTTGAGGTTGCTGTCCGGACTGAAACGACTAACGTAGAGTATACCGTGAAGTTGCACATACTCTTTATCGTCAATCCTTCCTGCATGGTTCAGTGCAGCTATGATGTTGTTGCATGTATGTTCCTTTGTGGAGCTTTCAAAGGCCTCGGTCCCAATGTCCATAACGACGAACCGTAATGAAGGCTGTTCCAGCATCAGCGCTCGAGAGAGTCCACTGGATAGGGTCAAGTCTGGCTTGAGTCCTTTCGGGCTCAGCATACCAGCCCCCGTCACCCAGAGCAACTGTGTTGCAACGTTGGTTATGCAGCGGAGAAGATCAAGGTCAGCCTGTCTTATCCTGGCCAGAAAGGGATGTTCAATCTCAATCAACGAGATGCACACTGAGTCTTCGAAACTTGTCACCTCTGATATATGACAGATGGGAATGACCTGCACTCTCATTGTCCCAGCTTGTCGTAATTGTTCGGCAAGGAAAGATGCGAACTCCAGAACAGTTCCAGAAGGGTTGTCAACCTGAAGGTAATGTCAAACAACAATCTTTAAACAGACGAAACGACTTAGTAACGGAAGACTACTACATACCACAATGACCACAGCTTTGTTTCCAAGTGAGCACATTCGAGGGATTCGTCGACAGAGCAGCGATTTGCTATCAACCTCGGTTGCCCAAAAGTCTGCAGCTTCAAGAGCTGACTGAGCTGTTGCTGTTTTATGGGTAATAATGATACCATCGTCGGCAAGGCTGGAGATAATCGAAGTCGAACAAGATTTCCAGAATTTCTCCGAATTACTCCGCTGGATAAGTAGTAAGCGACTGCGTAAGATCTCTCACATTCCTGATTCCTTTCACTCACCCCCGTGACGATGATAGAATCAAATGGTCCCTTATCCACACCATCGAGCAATAGAGTCCCATCTGCTGTCATAGTAGCAGTGTGCCACGATAGGTATCTTGGAAAAGGAGTAGTCTTGTCTAAGAAACTGTCCCATCTCTTTGTTTTGCAGCTGCAACTTTCTCCGAGCTGGAGAATGCGCATTTGAGGATTCTTGTGGCCTGCAAGGTCGAGCAATGCCCCAATTGTAGCGATGTCCTCATCTTCTGTTAGGTCTGGGTCCTGATGCTGAAGAAAGGAGGCAATATATTTGCTCAAGTTGAATCTCAAACCGGGCTGCAGAAGATGGGCATCAGGCTTCCATTGGACACGTAGGCATGGATGGCGTTGGGAATCCATGCCCTCCTCTGTTTTACTTGTGTCGTTGCCAATTTTTCCTACGTACAAAGACATCCGCACATCTCCCATCTCAATCATTGTTTTCCCTGCAGCATCTCGGAGAGTACAGTGTATCCGTTGAGTAGAGACCCCAGTTCGGCAGGATCGAACATGAATCGTGGCTTCCGAGTCCAGCCTTGAAGATCGAGGTACAGTCTTGATAAGGCATCCCTTGATGAAGACAGGCAAATACCCTTGAAGCTGACTAATTATTCCTGCACATGTACTCATAATTCCTGCTTGCAGGCACGCATCAATAGTGATAGGATGCATGGGATAGTATGTGCCATGGCCTTCCGTAGGGTGAGTGATGAACTTTGTAATCGCAACGGCTTCGTATCGATCTCTACTACCGTTGACCTCAATGAAGGGTACTGAATGGAAGCTTTTACCGAAGTCCAGTCCTTCCAAAGCGAATTTTTCATACCAGCGGTCTGTGGGAATTCTCTCTAATCGATCCGCCTGATGGATGGTGGTACTTCTATCAGGTACCATATCATTAGTCTCCCGAACACTGCCAACGCAGTGTAGCCTTGATTTTCCGGTTTTCCACGAAGAGATGGAGAAATCATACCAACTGGAGGATATGCTTGTCGTGGAGATCTTCCGTGGCGATATAACCGTATGCAGCTCTGTATCTGCGGTCAATAGGCTATCTTCGTCATCGATCACCAGGGCGGCGTTGAAATTGACGTCGCAGAAATCGAATGCAGGCACTACTGGATGAGACAAGGCTTCATCGTCTCGAATTTGGCTTAAGCCCTCCATGACCATTGCAAGGTAACCCGCCGCAGGAAAGACAATTTGACCTCCAACCTTATGATCTCGCAGCCATGGCATCTCTTTGAGACGTAGCCTATCATTGCGCCAACTGCAGTCAATGCCGTTGCCAGTGGGCTGTTGTGACCCCAACAACTCGTGGCGCATATGTTTTCGATTCCGCAGCTCATGACTTGAGCGTGATTCGTGGTAAAGCAGCTTGGTGTTTTTGTAGTCCCACGGATACGGAGGTATATTGTGTAGAGGGCTTCGATTGCTCATGCTTACAGAGTTGACGTGTTGCCAATTCAAACTATAACCATGCATAAACAGTATACCAGCCAATTGCTTCATACATAGATCCGCGTCTCGGCCGCGGATCAAGCTTGGAGCATAACGGAAGCGATCTGTACCACGTTCCATGCTTGTGCGAATCTGGTTCACGGGCCCTTTCAAAGTTGCGTGGGGGCCGATCTCTATGAATTGAAGGTCCTTGGAAGCGGTTACACTTCTCAAGGCGAGGTCGAACTGGACTGGCTTCTCGAGGTTTTCGCGCCAATATTGCGCCCAGTCTGTACTAGTATCCGGGTTCTTCGGTGTGTCACCGTAGTTCCCCACTGAGGAATACATTTGCGCAGCTGCGTGCCGCGATGGGACGCTCTGGTGTTCAAATAATGAACTCAACATATCTTCGTAGAGTTTGCTAGCATCCTTCATCATATTAGAATGATATGCCCGACCGTCTGTTGAAAGTACCCGACAGAACGTCTGTTGCTTTCGCAGTTGACATTCCAGTGCTCGAATGCCCTCTGTTGATCCACTGAGAGTCACGCTCTCCGGTGCATTGACACAAGCAATGCACACGGACTGGTCGAGATCGTTCTTCCGGATGAGATCATGGGCAGTTCGAACGTCAAGGCCAACCGCCATCATGGAGCCCGTGGCTTTCACCTGGTCGACCGCATAGCCTCTGAAGTAGGCGACGAGTATGGCTTGAGTGTTGCTCATGAGGCCTGCAGCATAAGCCGCCGCAATCTCCCCTGATGAATGTCCAACCACGGCCATGGGTTTCACGTTCCAGCTCTTAAGCAGATCAACTATAGCAATTTGTAGAGCGGTACAAAGTGTCTGGCTGTGTATGGCTTTCTGCGTTTGACTTGTATCTCCAGGGTTGAGGATGGACTGCTCTATGGACCAGCTTGGGGCCCTATCCTTGGGCAAGGCTTGTAAAGTGCGGTCCAATTCCCGAATCCCCGCTAGGAACGACTCATTCCGAGCAAGGAGTTCTTTTCCCATCCCTGAGTACTGGGCCCCTTGACCACTGAATACGAAGACGAAAGGTAGTGGGCCTAAAGAGACATCGTTGATTTCGACATTCACCAGCTCGGTGCCTCCATCCTGGCCGGACTCAGCCAGGAGAACTTGCCTAGACTTGAGTAATGATCTGCATGTCGTCAAAGTGTATGCTAGGCTTTCCAAAGTCTTGCTGTCACAGGATGAAGCGATTTGCGATATTTGGCGAGCTCGGTCATCCAAAGCTTTGTTTGTCGCCGCCGAAACGGGCAAGACAAGTCGCCGTCCGGAATTAGCCACTTGAGCTTCATGGCCTAGTGGCTGATCAAGTATCATAGAAACGTCGAATGCTTCGAGAATAGCGTGTGCATTTGCTCCTTTTCTATGTTAGCACTGGATTTTGTAGTTCCAAACCGAGGAATTACGGCTTTGCAATTTGGCTACGAGAAGGGGATGACTTGCCCCCATATCCAAAAGAGTTGATGCTAGCTCTGCGCAAATGTCTAGGCCAGTCTTCTAGTTCAGTAGCAATCTTCATCTTCGATGAATCAAGCGGTACTAATAGAGTCAAATCAGTGGTTCAAATTGGTATGTTGGGGCGTGGACATTTACGATTGGGATTTATCCTCGTCACTCCAAATGTAGGTGGAATTTTACCGTTCTCGAAAGCCAAGGCAACTTTGATGATGGACGTCAATCCGCTAGCTGCCTCACTATGCCCTAGATTGGTTTTCACCTGCGTTTAAATATTAAATCATCCGGTATAATATTCCAGTGTATGATCCGAAGGCGAACTTACCGCTCCAATCAACAAGGGCGATTCCCTTGATAATGAAAAGCAACGAGAAATTGCTTCAACTTCGATGGGATCTCCTACAGGGGTTCCCGTGCCATGGCATTCGATATAGTCCGTGTCTGTAAAACTTAGACCCGAATTGCTGTACGCTTTCCGAATCACAGCTTCTTGTAAGTTTGCACTGGGCTGAGTAATCCCAGGGGTTCTACCGCAGCTATACTCATGCATTAGGCCAAACATTGACACAGGACTAGTACCAGTATCAACTCACGCGTTTACAGCAGTAGCACGGATCAGTGCCCATATCTTGTTTCTATCCCTCATTGCAGAGGAAAGGCGTTTCAAATAAATGGCGTTCACACCGTCTGCTCGTCCATAGCCGTCGGCTGAAGCATCGAACGTGTGGCATGTAGATGTAGGGGACAGAACGCCAGCTTTCATTGTTGCCAGACATTGCTCTGGGGAGGTAATCAAGTTGACAGCCGCAACCACAGCGCCATCGCAGTCACCTCTCTTAAGGCTGTTGACAGCGCTGTCCAGACAGTATAGTGAGGAAGAACATGCTGTATCAGTTGTGGAGCTAAGTCTGGGGATCAGCAAGGCGGTTTGTGCTGCGTGCAGTTTGGATTTTGTTCACCTGGGCCCCTGAAGATCAAACACGTGGCTAATTCGGTTGGCAAGAATGGTCGTACTGCCCCCAGTCGCATTATACCGATGGATAGTATCTGGGTCCCGCGCTTGGATCGTTTGATGATCAACGGTAAAGTTTCCAACATAGACCCCAGTATTGGTCCCAGAAATCTCTTCGAGGGATACTCCTGCGTTCTCGAAGCATTCGAACACCACTTCAAGAAGCTTTCGTTGTTGCGGGTCCACTACATTTTCCTGCCATCAATACATAGTACCTTTGACAGAAGATAACATGCTTCCAGGGAAGATGATCTTTGGCGGGGTGCCACACGGGGAAGTCTCCTGGTGAGCCACGCAGGTAGTCTTGAAAAACAACTTACTGTATGCTGTCTCCATGCTGTTGATCCCGAAGAACCCATTCTCAAACAGACGCACGTCTTCTTGGAGGAAGTACCCTCCGTCAGCATTCATAACCCCCGCTCTACTCCCATCCGGATGATAGAAGCCTTTGATATTGAAGCGACTCGCTGGGACTCGTGACTGAGCGCTTCGTTTATGAATCAGGAATTCCCAAAGATCAGAAGGCGAACGAATGCCCCCAGGAAGGTGACAAGCTATACAAAACATATTTGAGCATTCGAGAGGCTAGCAGGAGCACCGGAAGAATAGAAATAAGCGCATACCTATTCCAACGACACATACCGGGTCGTCATCCATCTCTGAAGTCATGCAGGTTACAGTATCCGGCGTGGGAATGAAACTACTGCCCTGGGTAGTTGTTGGCTCAGACATACCGAGGCTTATCTCTATACACGTTTCCCAACACACGTTAGCTCAAGTAGACTTGAAGTATAAGTAGTATTCAGGCAGATTTAGTTGATGGTAGGCATAGTCTATCATGACGGGACGAGTAGTACGGACGGAGCACTAATATGGCGTTACGTCTCCCGCTTATAAATCTCAAATCGCTAAAGGAGAAACAGACTGTCTACATGAGCATGCATTGCGCCATAAACATTGTGGTGTCCCTCGGCTTATTTTCTTTTGGATATTCGAATTGATAGTATCAAAGTTCGATATCGGATAATGTTATGGGAAAATCGTGGTTATTGCAATTGATGGCTAATCTGGGTTTCGGGGTAGGATTGGGGAGACTCACAGCTGAACCCTGGCGGGTACTGCAGCAATCTGCGTAAGATGTGCCCGATCGAAAGTGCATCGTCAGCAGCACGGTACACTTTTTGTGTAACTCGATTTCAGTCTGTATTGAGTACCTCAAATCCAGATCTCGAAGAAGTATCCTTTAAGTTTCCTGATACCTCAGGAAACCCTCACACAACTTGACCTCAAGCGTTCTAGTCTCCTTGGCCGCATAGTGACGACAAGCGCAGGGGTCACCTACCAAACGTTTGTACTGAGAACTCGCACTTCAGAACGATCTAGACGTACCATGTGTTGATACGAAGTCATCCAGAGGGTGCTGCATTGCATATTTCTGTAAATCGACGGCACAGCATGCTTGCAGTGTGCAGTTTGGTTGCCCACGAGAAGATAAGGTACCTCATCTGCCCCTCTCGTTGTGTTGTATTCCCATTGGCCGTTTTCCGAGTATTTGTGTGCCATCGCTGGTCATCAGTAGGGTGGCAGCCCATCCTTCTCTTGGCTCTTATGCCTGCTTCGAAACGACAATCATCTGTATCTCTCTCTAAGCATCGATCATACTATTCAAGGCCAGCATGGCGGACAGGAAAAGATTTGCCTTGGTCACTGGGTGAGCTTATGTTGTCGTATCTTTGGATTGATTGCATCGTTTGCTGACAAGTGTAGATGTGGCCAGGGCGGCATAGGGGAGGCCCTCGTCCGGGAATACGCAAAGCAGAACTTCCATCCGATTGCTACTCTTCTTCCTAGTCAACCTTCAGGTCATCTTGATAAAGCCGGGATCATTTATTTTCGCCTTGATGTAACTGATGAAAAGTCGGTGGTAGAATTGAAGAGAAATGTGAAGATTCTCACGGGAGGCTTCCTTGAAATACTTGTCAATAATGCGTAAGATACCCCATTGTATAGTTTATCTCCTACAGATCTCTAAATAATGTTTATCGATAATAGTGGGATAGGTAAGATGCCGCACGGGGCAGTGTAGGTCTTTAAACTGAGCTAAGTTTGCCAGCCTATACCATGACTGCCATCGATACGGATGTATCTGCCGTGCAAGCCATGTTTGATGTCAATGTATTTGGGCCGATGCGTATGGTCCATCATTTTCATGACATGCTCATCAGGTCATCTGGAACTATTGTTAACATCGGCTCCGTTGGTGGTATCGTGCCTTACGTATACGGATGTAAGAAACCATCTTTTAGTTCCTGAAATCATCTTACCAACCAAGGAAATAGCTTCATACAATGCCTCCAAAGCAGCTCTACACCACTGGTCAAACACACTTCGGGTTGAGATGGCACCACTTGAGTAAGTGATCCAGCAAGCGCAATGAACGGTTCTGAGCTGCTCACTGTGACCATTAGCGTCAAAGTCCTTACCGTATGTGTAATCGTCAGTACTCTCTATACGTTAATAAAACTGATACGTTTCATGTAAGGTTATCAGTGGTGAGATTGGCACGAATATCCTAAGTAACGATGTGGATAGAGCATTGCCGGAAGGTTCGTACCAAGTACTAGCCTGGATCTCAACGTCGAGATAGTCCTTTTGCCGTTCACCGTTCACAAGCATGAACAGATTCATTCTATGCCCCTCTCTCATACGCTTTTCGACAGCATGTTAAGCGAAGCCCAAGTACGTATTTGATACTTGCCTTTTCCGTTTCAAGCGAAGTAATCGTCCTAGAAACCACCGACCGCTTCACATATGCGGAGAAAGTAGTCAAGCAAAGCTCGAGTCGGTCTCCGCCCGCTTGGTTTTGGTATGGAAACACAACCTTTCTGGTGCGCTTACTTGATATGGTTGGATGGCGCACTGTATGGGTAAGGTTTAGAAGCATCGCTACCCAGTCTGCTGGATCTGATCTCTTTAGGATTACATCTTCTCGCTTCTGTTCGATCTCGAGAAGATCAGAAACGAGAGGCAAAGGTGATATGAAAGTGGATAATTACAACTAGATGTGGGTTGTTCTTGCATAGTTACTAGTAGTGCCACTTTAAGAGCACTATACTTCAAAATGGAGCGATGCTTCATGTACACAAACTCCAAGTGGTCAATCGCACACCACATATATTCAGGCTTAAGGTGTAGTAACTGGATGAATCAATGCTGACTGCCTTGGTAGTACTGGCCCAATAAGCCAAGGTATCCTTCCATCTTCTTCCCCTCAACATAGACGTCCTTGCAGTCGAGAAGAATATACAGCATACGGCCTGGCATTGTGCCATTGCCGGTGATGTTGCGCCACTGGTGAGCCGCAGCCCTTTGCACACTGACGTCTCCCCTTCTCATGATGCGCGTCTCACCTGAGTCAAGCGTCAGCTCAAAGACACCTTCCAAGACGACGCCATAGTCAAGAGAAACTGCGCGATGCATAGGAGACTTGACTCCAGGAGCAAAGTCGACCATGCGAGCCACAGTGCCATTGGGGTAGTGAAGCGGCGGCTGAACAGGTGTCATCAGTAGTTCCCAGATAACAAGCGCGGTTCGGTTGGATCACAAACCTCGTTCTCCTTGGCATGCTTGATATCAACTTCACCATTGCATTCAACAGGGGTCTCGTTCGTCGAATAGATTATGTTAGCGACAGCCTGTTGTTCTCCCATTATCCGGTGGTGGTCTCCTGAGTCGGTACTGAGAAATACGGATTCGCCTTTCGAGTTGAATCCAGTAATATGACGCATCGTTCGGGGGAGTCCAGGGGCAGGAAAGCCATTAGTGACATATCCCGATCCCGTCGTGTCGAGCTTCTCGGTTGCATCCATTTCTGCCTTAGGCTATAACGGAACTTTTGAATTGATTGTGAGAGTAGATGACAATACCTTGTGGACCTGGTATCAACCCAAGCTTGTTCAGTGTGAAGTTATATGTGGCTTTGGAAAGCCAGGTTTCTATTTTCTGCCGATCTGCCTGAGCTAGCTAGGATCATAAAGCCAGGCAAAATGTGGCATACATAGTACCATGTACATTACATAAATGATACCTGCATAGCATGCATATGTGCAACCTGACACCATCTTGATAAGGCTGCTATGTTCAGTTGACTGCAACGTCGGGACAAGATCATTTCCAGGGGCTTCAATTGGAGTTAGCGTGGCCCCCAGTTCCGGACCTGGGATGACATACGCATATGCAGGTAAGCAATTGAAGTCGGGACAGAGGCAAATGCATGATTCGGTTCTTTGATACCCCGTTGATGTTTACTATTGAGAGCCAAGATTCCTCCAAGCTGACAGAATCTCCTCCTTGGCAGGATTCCCGAACGTAACATTAGAGTTTACCCGAGAGCGAAGTTCCACCATCCACAATGAAGGCACAGCCAGTCATGTAGCTCGACCTATAGCTACACAAGAAAATGACTGCATCGGCCACCTCTTCGGTGCACGCTATGCGTCCCATTGGTATCACGGATTCGATCGTCTGTTGTAACCCTGGTACGCTGTCCACAGCCTGCCTTACCATCGGAGTATCTACCCAAGATGGACATAGACAGTTCACGCGGATGGCATGTGCCGCATTATCGAGTGCTATAGTGGCGTCAGTCAAGGATGATATTTGAGGGAGGGTGGGATTCCGCTTACCGGCGTTCTTTGTGACACCCAACACTGCATGCTTTGATGCTGTGTACTGGACCTGTCCGGGTTGTGATATGAATGAAGCGAGTGAGCCGAGATTTACGATAGCTCCCCTCGTAAGACCACGTTTTCCGGCGGATGAAGCAGACACGGCCGTGGGTGCCTGAGTTCTCATTGCCGCAGAAACGTAACGCGTAACTAGGAATGTCCCCATGACATTGATGCGTAGGAAGCGATCGAAGTCAGAGGGGTCAGCTTCTGACATTTCTTTCGCGACTTTGACACCTATCTAAGTTCGATAATCGTCAAAACATGCGACTGGGTGATAGTGAATAGAACGGAGAGTCGACTTACCCCAGCCGAGTTAACGCAATAGTCGATGCGTCCCAAGTAGCGGACAGCTTCTTCAACGGCATTCTTTACTGACTCTTCTGACGCGACATCGACTTTGATTGCTCTGGACCTAAAGCTTTCTGCCGTAGCGATACCAGTAAGCCCTCTAGCAACCTCCTCTGCAGCATCAATATTGAGGTCTGCGATGATTACTTCTGCTGCGCCTTCTAGGGCAAAAGCCTCTGAGCACGCCTTTCCAATCCCACTCCCTGCAGAAGCCGTTAACTTTCAGGGGACTCAATGCTTAATACATAGGTAAGTTGCAATACTCACCTCCACCAAAAATCACCACGCTTCCGTTGATGTCCATGAAGAATCTTATGCTCTACGTAACCAAACTCAAGCAAAGCTTTGATATGCAATGTTCACGAGTGTCACTGTAACAAGGGCGCTGGCTGGAAAGGAGGACACCACAAACTTAGGTTGCCTAGACATGAAGCGTCCACTTGGGCGGATGCACATACCATATATATGTGTTCCATTCATACCTGTTATAGCGCGCGATCCAACATAGGCCGAGAACCCCTTGTCCAGCTGCAGTCAGCCACTGCCGGGTAGTGGTCTCCAAGAGTAGCATGCATGCTAGTCCCCTACAAATGGTCAATGGTCATTGGCCACCATTGAGAAATGGCATATCGTCACCGCATCCTAACATCTCATAACTTATATACTCAATTTGTCCGCTATACAGGAACGCCTGCGCCGCATGTCAAGCATATCTATCACCCTTATTACCTGATGTGAATATAAGCTCCCGGCGCAACGGAGGAGTGTAGCGGGAAACCCAGCCGAGTTCACAGTCGTATTGAAATTCGAGATATTTCTGGGCATGAAAAGCTTCATCACTGTCGGGGCCTCTGCTCTAGTCTTGAGCAATATATTATCAAGTGACAACAATGCCTGGTTACCTAGAGACGTTTATTGTAAGGAGACGATGGTAGTGCCAGCTGCCGACTGTGCGACAAGCTGCCTTCAGCTGCGGGATAGATAAAGAGATAAGCCAGCACTGGCATGGGATAAGTATGTACTGTACTGTACCTACACGCTGGTGGGCACAGTGGATAGCTGCGATTCCCGTATGTCAAATATCACTCATTGCACTCCGTAGGGATTGCATCAGCCTCGCTTCAGAGTGTACTGCTCCATAGTGACACAAAGCGCTACAACTGGGAGAATAGAATGTTCGAAAACTGGAGGCCAAACCGCGATTTGAGACTAGCTTCCTGTAGGTAGCTTCGTCCTGTAACTTGGGTTCCCATTCCAGTCCGCAAGTATCGGCTGCGGGGATAATCCGCTTGCCGACCTTTTGGTGGGTTCCACCAGAGACACCCCAGTCCGCGTCACGTCAGGAGTCTCTCTTGCACGTCAAACGCAAGTGAGTCAAGACGTGGCGGCTTGGGCTTTCCTTTCTCCCTCCAACCACGTAAACATGGCAAAACAGCGTCCAGACCACGCCACCATGGCTATACAACAATCGCTACCGATGATGTTCCCACGCATCTCTTTCATACTGGATAGCCCCAAGGGAGGGGTTTCCATCATTTAAACCCACGGAGTTGATCACCCTCCTCGATATCACGGGGGGTGAGGTTGGCGAAAGTTTGGAAGCATTGTCCAAATTTAGCTTTGAATTCGACTTGCTCAAGTCGACAGTCTTCTCATTCGTGAGAGCTGAGTAAACGTGAAATAGAGAGCAGTAGGAGGCCGGGATACTGCGTTTAGTAGACTGCAAACACGTTGCATTCTCGTGTCAGCGGTAGACCGTTATAGAAGGAAAGGAGTTCCAAGAGAGGATACGGCGTTCCGGAGAGCTGGTCCAACAGGCAACCCTGTCGCATTTGTTATTCGCCGTCAACATATAATCCAAGGTATGAAGAAGTCTGACGCCTCGGGTGTTTGCACTGGAAGCTCACTGTCTTCAGACTACCATTCAACTCTTTGATCGTGTCGCTTCATCCAGAGTCAGCAATATCCGAACAAGAATTATCTCATTAGCAGCATCGTCATCATGGCCTCCCGGATTTGTCGTCCCTTCGAGGTCATTCCTGCCGAGCTCATTCTTGCGATAATGAACAACATAGGCGTTCGTGATCTCACGACATTCGTCCTCTTGAACAAGAGGCTCTTCGGCATTTTCAAGGAGAATCAAGCTGCAGTCATGACGACCATTCTCGCTCGACTGGTAGAGTTCGAATCTCTGCTTCTCGTGTACACTGTTGATAAACGGGACTTTTCCCCAGATGCCATGCTGCACCCTCGGAGAATCAGCGTCGACGTCGGCAGAGGCCCAGGTAATCACGTGGATCTTATGCAATGTGCCGTCGGGTTCAGAGACGGCAAGCTGATCTGTCCACGAAAGATTGTTCTAAACTCTACTGATCTTGGTCGTATATGGAACATGGTGAAAGTAGTCGATTGGTGGGTCGAGGAGTACCCCAGGCATCGATGGCATAAAAACCGAGAGGACAGTCGCTGCCTAAGACGAAGCGAAGAGCTCAGGTTGCGTGGAGCCGTTGCGAGATGGTGGCTTTACTCTGAGTGTTTCCATGGTGTCTACGCCTCATACGCATGGATGCCCAAGATGTGGGAACCCGATGATAGGCTTCATCATTTGCGTGTCATGAGTTCCATGGAGATTCGGGAGCTGGAGGATCTCTGGGAGACGCTGCGGGTCACTGTTCAACGGGATATCTGCTCATCTATCTCAGTCGAAGTAAGTCCATCGTTGATCGACTTGGTGCCAGGAATCATCACTCACCTGACCTTAGGACTGGAAGCCCATACCTTGGGGATGGGACGATTGGCGCAGCAAGCATATCGTCAGCACTTACATGAAGTTGGATCCACGACAACTGAAAGACCTGATGGAGAATGCGCTGCGGCTTGGAAAAGCGGGTATCATCTATACCGCCAGGAAAACCCAGCCTGACTTCACCGCCGAGCAAGAGACGTTGTCTTGGTCCATTGATGTTGTTCTCCAAGAGAGACTCCTCCTCAAGTCAAACGCTGTTACAGATATTCCGTCAAGCGGCATCATTGATGATGACAGCTGGTGTGACGAGCAGGGATTGTTCACGGCAGATGCTTGGCCAACAGGAAAGCCTCCGTTGAGCAAGCAGGAACTCTTGTCGTATCCGAACTTACCCCATAGGCCCATCCCGTATGGCGACGATGGTCATGACTTAGACTACGAAGGCTAGCTCTTATGCTGTCATTACGCTTTCCAGCAGGCTTTCACGCAACGACTTCAATGTATTATTCCACCATGTACAGCCGTTTTGGATTGGATCAGTTCTAGATGGGTTACAAGCAAGCGTCTCTTGTACTATAGAAACAGACTCGAGCGTGTATGATGAATTGTTGAGAATAGACAAAAGAAATCCAAGTCATGAAGCATGGCGCATTACAAGAGATATTTACACCCGGCTCCGCCTTCCACTGGCTATCAATAGTGACTCGGCTTCAATGGCCATCCGGGCCATGGCCCTGGTATTGATAATCAATAAACAGTCAGAATATCACAGATGAATTGGAAGCCTTTCTCGAATACATGTGGGAAGTGTTGTGTAGATGTTCAAGATAGGTGCCTACAGGTAATTAGGCGGGGATGACCAGAGGTGGCTGGTGCCAATTGGCGGCTGCCCGGGGTGCCAATCAGCCGCGTTCTCCTTCCAGTTCTAGCGCGACTGTGGTGCATTTCCCAAATCCACGAAACCCTCAAGGTCCGAGTTGGCGATAGCCGTGTACCCCTAACGCATCGCGAGTTTGGACTGGCCTGTCCTGTACAGCATTTAGTCTGTGCCTACAGCCCTGACCCTTTCTGACTGATCAATCGCGACCGCACCGCAAAGGCCCAGGGCGTGCACCGCGCTTGCTTTTGTCAACCCGGACCTGCTCATCCCCGTGATAAGTGTAAGTCGGTCTCCTTCATCTACGAACGAATCCCTACAACCCCCAAACGACATCTCGGCTCGCGATGCGCTCGAGCACATATGTGTATCTACCCTACTAAAGCCCTGCGCCTGGCAAGGCTGCCTTTCATTCCACTGCGCGGCATCGGCATCTTGAGGTTATGGTAACCCAGATGCGACTTTGCGAGCATCATACACCACCACGTGCCACTTTCATATCAATCCTCTGGGATGGAACCGTCTCTGGAGTTGCTGACAGCCCTTTCAAGGACACTGAGGAAATCGGGGCTTTTTTCCCCTGAGAGCATGTGCGAACTCAACATTCACCTTGCTAGAAGGAGCAATTTTCACACCTGCTTCTACCAAGGTATCATTTAGGGATCTTGTTTGCGTGTCGCAATCTGGCATTTACCCTTGTGGAATCGAAATTGAGGAAAACGTCCAGCAGCTGATGAAGGTGGCTCTTTGGCACCGTCATCGGATGAAAGGAAAGACATAGGTTTCCCCCAAGAAGTTCGAGCATCGCCCATTCTTCGTATTGCACACAAAAGCCTGGGAAAGCGTCGTGTATCTTTGGCCCCAGACGTGGAGCTATTCAGAACGCAGGCAGGTGTTGCGATTGATCTACACCCTCATTCTGACAGTTTCTTCTGCCTACAGAAGCAAGTCAAATATCACTCTTGGGCCAGGCCACGTTGCTCAAAGCCAAGTGTAACTTGCCATGCCTACCATCATGGATGCCGAAAACCTCGAAGGTGATGATCACGCCATGATCGATGCACCCAATGGCTCAATCGATCCGCAAGGGAACGGTTCGGAAGAAAATGGGGAGGAGTACCCCGGTGAAGAAGGACTCATCATTGATGAATATGACTCCTCGTACGAGAACGATGATTTCATCAAGTCACTAGCTAACCTGAACATGTTGCCAACTGGATGCTGCTACGACGATCGCATGAAACTCCATGCCAATGCAGACTTTGGGCCTACACCTCATCATCCCGAGGACCCCCGCAGAATCGAAGAAATCATGAAGATCTTCAAGAAAGCAGGCCTTGTCTTCACCGGCAAAGACACCGAGCTTGCTGAAATCCTCCAGGCAACTCCAACAAAGTACATGTGGAGGGTACCCGCTCGACCGGCAACACAGGAGGAGATATGCTCTGTGCATACAACAGCCCATTATGACTGGGCCGCAGGGCTACCGGACTACGACACCCATACCTTACGCAACTTGAGTCACGCTATGGACCAAGGCAGACAATCGCTGTACATAGGCGCTATGTCGTTTGAGGCCGCCCTCCTCGCAGCCGGAGGAGCTATTGAGACATGCAAGAACATTGTTGCCGGTAGAGTCAGGAACGGCTTTGCCGTCATCAGACCCCCCGGGCATCACGCAGAATTTGATCAGCCAATGGGCTTCTGTTTCTTCAACAATGTGCCCATAGCCGCCAAGGTCTGCCAACTAGAGTACCCGGAGACTTGTCGCAAGGTACTTATCTTGGACTGGGATGTTCATCATGGCAATGGTATCCAGAACATGTTCTACGAGGACCCTAATATCCTCTACATCTCACTCCACGTGTATGACAACGGAAATTTCTACCCTGGAAGACCAGACAATGAGTATATCGATGACGGCGGTATAGATTCGGTGGGCAATGGACTGGGCAAAGGGAGAAATGTCAACATTGGCTGGGATAACCAGGGCATGGGAGACGGAGAATACATGGCTGCGTTTCAGAAGATCGTTATGCCCATTGCCCATGAGTTCAACCCCGACCTGGTCATCATCTCGGCTGGCTTTGACGCCGCTAACGGCGACGAACTTGGCGGCTGCTTCGTGACGCCCGGTTGCTACGCCCACATGACACATATGCTTATGTCACTGGCAGGCGGTAAAGTTGCTGTCTGTCTCGAGGGTGGCTACAACCTCAGAGCGATATCGCAATCGGCTTTGGCGGTCGCGAAGACTCTGATGGGCGAACCGCCTCCACACATGAAGATTCCACGAATCGACAAGGGAGCAGCCAAGGTGTTAGCCAAGGTCCAAGCCGCCCAAGCACCTTATTGGGAGTGTATGCGCCCTGGAGTGATTAATGTGCAAGACATGGGCGATGGCTCTTCGAGGCTCCACGACGTTATTCGCAATTACCAGCGCCAGATCTTGTCTGAGAGATTCGGACTAGTGCCATTGTTCATACAGCGCGAGGCTCTATTCAAGTCTTTCGAGAACCAGGTCATTGTCACACCAGGTATCTCGGAGAAAAAGAAGGTCTTGATCATCATACATGACCCGTAAGTACTACTACTACTACGAGATCTCTCTGCGGCATCAAACTGACTCCACAGGCCTGAACTCGTCGCCATGCCCGACCTGATCGATAACACTGTCGATCCTCACAACGCATTTGTTGTAAGTGTCTACTCCCGAGTTGAAGACAGGACTGAGTAATTAACTGCATTGAAGTCGGATGGGGTGATGAAGTACGTCGAATGGGCCCACAAGAACGATTTCGGCATTATCGATGCGAACGTACCACACTATATCACACACCCCGAGGATATGGATCCATTCATCCCAAGAGCGAGCGAGCAAACATTGTCAAACCAGATCAAGGAGCTGATGAACTACATTTGGGACAATTACGTTCAGCTATATGACGCCGATGATCTATTTGTCATGGGCGTTGGTAATGCTTACCTAGGAGTGAGGCATCTCCTAACGGAACGACGTGAGTAGTTTTAGGGTATTCTATGTCAGCTCTTGGGACATGTTGCTGACAAGCATACGCAGAATGCAAGGACCGGATCTCCGGGGTCGTGAACTTTGTTACTGGCAACTTACGACCCTTCAAGTCAGCGACGGACGAAGACCTGTCGCCGTGGTACAAACGCAACTCGCTGGTCTATGTGGCCAAGGATCACGCATGCTGGAGTGACCCCGAGCTGGAGAAGAAGGTCTACAAACGACGTTTTGGCGGCGTCCGCAAGAGCGACCAAGTTGGCCTCAACCGCATGATGCAGAGACATGCTGGTGAGGTATACGAGTGGATTGGGGAGCGGCTATCGCAGAGTGGTAACACAACAGAGGATGAGAAGATGATCTGAGGATGACGAAGCCTAGGATGGATGTTCTACAGATTTATGGTTGGGTTGGTTGGGTTGGTTGGGTTGGAACGGTGAAGTAAGGACCTGGTCGAACAAGGCGTTGTAAGTCGACGACGTAGTCACTGCAGTGGCCATCCGCGGCTGCCAGGGGCAGTATGTAACGACTGCAGTGTGACAGAGGGGAATGGTGCGCGCCAAACGAGAGATTCTTAGTCTAGTATGATGAGAGACAATACCCATGATTCTTGATCCCGCGGCTTGACAATGCTAGGACTCAACACGAATACATGCCTATGAGCGTTCATGTTCTGAGGAGTACAAGTCCAAGGCTCGATCAGATTTGTTGAGCCCAACTTGAAAATCCAGTCCTCCATGGTGTTTAGCTTGCACGCAATCTCCATAAATTTAATATTTAGCACTTGTTCATCGTAGAGATGAAAAATTCACGTCTCCAGACATCAACCTTGTATGGCTCTGTTTTTCACATGCGTTTGGCGATGTCATTTCCCGTGGACGATAACGGCAGTGCGGCAGAGGGGGACTGAGCTACGCTCCGCTTTAAATCGATTTGTGAATAGATGGGTTTCACTTGGAAGCCTCGTTGGGGCGGCAGGGAGACAAGGCAAACATTCGAGGGCTTGTCTAGGTAGGTAGTCTTTCATCCTGTTTTTTGAGGCCCGGTTGCCAGCCCATCAATCTCAACTTTGCACGCGAACGAGACATCCGGCCAAGGCTTGACTACTTTCGGACACGTTCAGAGAGCAGCCGAAGGACTTGTCGCAAGCCGGCTACTTATCGATAACCACCGCTAACTGCAGTGCCACCCGCGATAAGAAGAAATGTCCGAGCTTCGCGGGCGTCGCAGAGGACGCGGACGTCTAACGAACGCGGGTCGCATCTTGAGATCACACCACCACACGGACGCGGCGTTTCGACCCTACGAGCAGGACAGCTTCAACTACGACGAGACTACTCCCATAGACAGTGGTGAGCACCCCCGGCCCAGTCGCCTCGAGGAACTGCGCGCCAGGAAGCGCGATCTCGAGCTGCAGATCCTCAGCGAGGAGATCGGCCGCGAGCAGCGGAAGCAGCTGCCCATCATGGAGCGCGATTCACGAAGCAGCAGAAGGTAAGAAAGTGCAGCTCGAAGTTTGGGTGTCTTCTCTTTCCTCTTTCGCTCCCAGGTACAGGACGACCCCTGTGCAGAGCTGCCGTCACGGGTGTCCTAGCACGGGCGGTGGTAAGCCCATCTAGATGACACCTTGGTATCACAGTGCCATCTTGGGATACCTTCATGCTTATGTCATGCCAATGTGTTCCAAACAGACACTTGGGGCGGCGGACAACACACTCTGAACCACCCCTTTCAGCGGTGTCTCTCGTTGGCAATGGTACCCAACATCTCTGGCTGTCCTTGGCTGTCATGGAACCTACCTCCTATCCCTTCCGCCCCACATCATCATTCCTCGACTTCGCCGCTGCCTCAGATTGTGTGCGCGGTGATGACCCATAGACTTGCAAGAAGCACTGCTGACCTGGTACCCCCGCAGATACGACGATGGCGAGGTCACTAGATATGGCGCTGGCGAGTCGTACCGACCCTTCAATGCGACCGCTCGACGGGCTAGATCCCCTGAGAGGGAGCGAGCGAGAAGTCCCCCTCCGCGAGACCAACGGGAGCGAGACCGACCGAGAAGCCCTCCGCCTAGAGAGAGAGCCCGCAGCCCTGTCGGACACGAAGATCGCTACGTTCCTGATCGCACACCGCGGCGCCGCTCACGAAGCCCCGGCTTCAGAAGGGATCGATCGAGAGGTCGGGACATGAGAGGCCCGGCAGCTGATACATGGCGGCGACGTGACCAGAGTCGAAGCCCGGGCAGACGGCCCTCCCCGCGACGCTCACCCATCAGGCGCAACAGCCCGCCTCCTCGCCGGTTTTCGCCCCCGCGACGTGATATGAGGGACGACAGGGATCGCCGTGGTTTTGAAGCGAGGGACCCAAGGTCATTACCCCCTTCTCGTTCTCGTTCTCAGCAGAGTGATGCATTCGAGCCTGTCAGCGGAGGATGGGGCGACGATCCCAACGCCGTCCCCGTCAGCAACAAGCGCAGTTTCCAGCTGCCTGAGCGTCCGCATGACATGCCGTCAAGTGACTTCCGTAGTCCTTCTCGACGCTTCAACACGCCGAGAGGTGCTCGGCATATCTCTGGCCAGCGCCAGAACGATATGCGCCACCCCAACCCCGCCTCTTCAGACCACATGCGATCTGATCATGCGACTGATTTCCCCCACGGGTACGGTCCTGCTCATGGTCGTGGTCAAGAGCCGCACTATGCTCCCGACTTGTCCCCTCCCTCGAACTACATTAACACCTCTCACAGAGGCAGATCCAGATCTATAGAGAGAGATCGCCGTGATGTACGGGATCGCGACAGGCGAAGCCCTCCACGTCGGATTAGCCCACCTGGGGGCCGTGGAAATGCCTTCCGGCGTCGTTCACCTAGCATGGATCGGCGCGACGATCGCTTTGTCGGCTCATACAGACGATCTTCACCCCCTCGCGATTCTGCCATGTCGTCTGCCCTTCCTAGCAGAGATCAGTCTCGACGGCCTTCCCCCACTCCCGCTGTGGTCCGTCGTGACGATCGATCCAACGTCCAGTCACCTCGTTCACCCCGTCATCAGTCCAGATCTCCTCAACGCGCACCTCCCAGGGAGAAGAGTCCGACACGTGCTCCCTTAGACGGGCCTACCACCAGGTCGCCCCCGAGAGGCCCTGCAGCTCTTCGGCCGCCTCCCACCGGACCGCGAGGTGACAGAGATCGCCGGGACAGCCGAGATGCCAGAGATACCCGCAATTTCTCTGGTCCGCCCGCCTCTACGACTGGCCCGCCTAGTCGACCTGCACCTTCACCCGCGCCTAGTCGACAGGGTGCCACTAGTCCTGGTATTCCTCCCTCTGGCCCCAGAGGTTATGGTACCCCCCGAGGCGGCTATGGCCGTGGCGGACGTGGCAACTCCTGGACCCCGACAATATCAAGCAGGAACCTCCCCCCCGCAGCCGGCCCGGCTTCTGCTACTACCGGCAGCAACAATATCCCCAGTGGTCCCCGTGGACATACTCCGACCTCGTCTTCTCTACCTTCGACCCCCGTGTCGCAATCAAAGCCTTTCAACCCGCCCAAGGGGCCGGCAGCCGAGAAGCGTCAACTGTCCGTATTTGAACGGGAGGTGGCCACAATGACACCCATCATTCCTGGTGGGAAGATGAGTCTAGAAGACGAAGCAGCCATGGAAGGCGTTCTGCCGGAGCAGTTGGTGAGCCACAGGGCCTTAAAGGCCGAAGGCGAGCGGATCCGGGCGGAGAAGGAGAAGACTGACGAGAGGACTCGGTCCTTGTTGGCTGGTTGGGACAAGATCATGCGTGAAGTTGACCTCGCACGACTCAAGACCGAGCTCACCGAAGAGGCCCTAGCCAAATCATCCGGCGAAGGCTATACGGGGTCGGCCTTTTGAGGTCCCGAATAGCAGTCACGAAGTGCACAGAGCACTTAGGATCAGAGAGTTTTTCAGGGAAAGGCAAATTCTTCTGGCAACTGACAATATGGATCAGCCTGCCAGCACCCGTCCTAATTCGATTGCATAGATAGTACTTTCAGAATGTTGTATGAGTATTCATGGGAAGCAAGATACCCCAGATAAAGCCTGGCCATGGACCGCAGGCAGGCGTTAATGAGCCCCGATGTATTTGGCTGGACATTCAGCTGGAAAGGGTTTTCGATGCAGGATAGATACGAATCAATGATTGACCAAAAGAAGTTCAAATGTTGTTTCTGAGGTAAACCCCTGAACTAGTTATTTCACGTGACAAGTCTATTCAGTAAAAGCGCGTACTTACTAGATATACTGTAACACTTGCAGCATTTCTTCATGTTGTCATGACATTTTCCTACCTAAGGTTGGTCTCCTACCTCATCTAGCCAGCAGGCTCACCTTCTGCATCGCTCTCTGTTTACCTACGCCTTGCGTTCTTCATGCTCCTCCCTGCCATCCGCCATCTCAGAAGCATTGGCCGCCGGCACAGTCGCAGCAAAGCGCAACGGCAGGGAAGAGGTTACTCCACTTGACACGAAGTCGATGTTCGTGGTGAAGCTCGACGCGGTCGCGGCCGTGAACGGAGGAACCTGTGGGTTACAAGTCAGCTTCACGGGGCCCGGCGGCGTCTTTCGAGCGCGGTGGGTGTCGCGGCACGTGTGTCCGTAGCAGTCTCGGCCGCGGTGAAGTGCATGAGGCCGGAAGTCGCACCGCTCGGCACAAAGTCGACGTCCGTGGAGAACCGCATCCCAGTCGGGGCGACGAATGGCGGCACCTGCAGGTTGCTGGCCAGCTTCAGGGGGCTCGGTGGCGGCGGCGGCGTCGCCGCCTCGGATGCACTCTCCTTCGGGAATGGTGTGTTGGTCAAGCGCTGCTGCGACATCTCAGAGGCGTTTTCGCCCTCGGCGGCTGCCGTCTCCGAGATCTTATGTTGCTCGACGACTGCATCGACAGCGCGAGGCTTGTCTTTCGCTTCTGGCATGGCCTGGGAATGAGACATCTTTGAGTGAAATTGGAGACGGTCTGAAGCTGGGTAGTGGCGATGTGGTACTAGTCCGTATCAGTAGTCACAGAGCTCTGTACCTGTTCAGCCTTGTTAGACGGTTGGTGATCAGATGGAACCCATGGGCGGCTCCTCGCGAATATATAGACGCCGCGGGACTACAGAATGCTTGTTGAGTGCCACGGAGACAACTGCAATGTTACACACTCGATATAGAGACGAAGTGGATGGGTAGTATTATTCTCTACACAGAAAGTTGTCGTACGAACAATGACCGAGATGAACATTGTATCCATGTTCTCACCGGATATGAAGTCGCAACAACTATGCTGTTCTTTGTCCTGGCTATGGCTCTTTCATGAGCAGCGGACCATCAACTTTCTTCAACTACTTCAGGTACCTCTTCAGGTTGTCCCTTACTTGGAGCCGACGCAGTCCATTGTTGGTGACATGAGCTGATAGTCATCAAAGGCTGGGGTTACGCATAATGCGTTAGTCGCCCATAGTCAATAGAAGCTACGTTGTCTAAGCGTGTAGACAACTCACACAACAAGGACCACCTGTTTGGCTTCGCCAAGCCGCTGTCCTTGTGAAATATAGGGCAGGTTGAAGCGATTGGCTCAACCAAGCTTCAAGGTGAACTCGGCCAGCTCCCTGCTCACATTCTCATCCCGGGGCAAATACACTTTTGCGACCCTGAGCAGCTTCTTCGCCTGGTCCTTGACGCCGAGCGCCTTGTAGCCCATGGCGGTCCTGTAGTAGATCTTGCCCAGCTGGACGGCAGCCGGGAAGCCGAGCATGGCCTCGTCCTCGGGCGAGATGTCGTGCTCGTTCGCGCCCGTCGCCTGCTGCATCATGCCGATCGTCCGCATGCCCCAGAAGATGAGCTCCTCCCAGTCCTCCAGCTTCAGGTACGCGAGGCACGTGTTGGCGACGAGCTGGACGCGGAGCTGCAGGCGCTCGGCCTGCCCGTGCCGGCCCTTGTACGGCTCGTCGTGCAGCTCCCTCGAGAAGTACGCCTCGGCGTGCACGTGGCGCTGCCGGCCCTTGACAATGATGAACATGGCCTCCCAGGCCTGCGCGTACAGCCTGAGCGCTGTGTGGTAGTTGCCGGCCGTCAGCTCCTTGTTTCCTTCCGTCTTGAGTCTTGCGCATTCGCTCAGGCACTGCTCGGCGGTCGGGTATGGTATCTGCTGCTGGGCGCGGAGCTCGGTCTCGATGGAGGCCAGCGGTTTCGGGTCCCCCTTTATGGTCAAGGACTTGAGATTCTTCACGTCGCCGAACGGCATCAGCAGCTGGCGCTGCACCCACTTCGGCATGCGCTTCTCCTCCCAGTCGGGCGTGTATGGATCGCGCATATCAAGCTCGAGGCTCAGAAAGCGGTTGAGTCCGGGATTGGTGAGATCTGAGTAGAGCCATATCTTGGCGAACTTGTCCAGGTCGTCGAGGAGGATGACGATGTAGTTGGGCTCTGCCTCCTGTATCGGCGTGTCCGGGGCCCCAATGACGACGTTCAGACTTTGTCCCTGGAACCTGGCCGCGGGCTGGCCCTTCATCAGGATAGGGACGTGGCCCTCGAAGGCGACATAGTCCTGGGCGTTCGGAAACGGCGTCTGGATGCGCACGAAGATGTTGAGGTCGCGAAACACCTTGCGCGCCTCGTAGTAGATCTGGCGGTTCAGCCGGAAAAGCACCAGCGCATTGCGGTAGTTGTAGTCGGTGTACTCGTCGGGATGCGACAGGCGACTGGCGTCCGGGTTGAGAAGGAGGTGGTACACCTGCTCTCGAATCTCGGGCGGCAGCGTGAGGAAGTGCGGCGCACTGTCGCTAGCCATGGTTGCGCACACTACTGGCCCCGGTGGTCCTTGTCGGTTTTCTGGTCGTTGGACACTCGGACTTGACCTTGGAAGACGGACGTACTGCCAACGTGTCTCGCTGGTGACCAGTTCCGCATAACATCATGTCAGCAGGTGTGGAAGGTTCCAGTTGCCGAGGGCCTCCGCCGTCAGTCGTATCGTCGTCTGTCGCACAAGACGTGCCCCACCCCCTCCGCCTGGAGTGAACCGGGGTTAGGAGATAGCCGCTTGTGTTAAAGATCACTTACATACCTCGGCTCGATGTCATTGGTCTTCCACCGAACATGAGGATTTTGATGAACAAATGTCTGGCTTGCAGGAATCATATTTGTTGCCATGATGGAGACATTTGCCAAAGTGATGCGGAAAGGCGGGTTCACAAGCAGCTGTTGTAGACTTGTCCTAGGGTTTCCAGGGAGCAGGGCCCAAGATAGGTGTCCAAAGCATTAACACGAGTTGCCATTATAAAGACTATCGTGGCACGTACATTGTTTGACTCACTATATATAAGTATCGTGATGGTACCTTTGCTTTAGCCTGGGGCCATCCTAGGCTGCATGCGTTACGCTCGAATCTCAAGTGTCATGTAGCTACTGGTCTGACCCAATGCGCCACACCTTCACCTGCAGCGTTGACACTCACAAGAGGCCTTTCTGTTGATGTCCGTGCTGCCATTCCTGTTACTCACGTTCGCCGGATTGTATAGTGGAGCTCCGGTTTCCTGGTGGGGTTCTTTCCCAGTCAACGCTGTGAAGGTTGGATTTCAGAATAGACTTGGTCTCAAGGAATTGTTTGACCCAGTCAAATAACCATTGGCGTATAATTAAATACAGTCACAGCCTGCTTAGACAAATACACCGGCACCGCACCCAAGTAGATGAATACAGTTCAGTCAATTCAGTTTGCCAACATAAATATTGATGGAATGTTTTTATTCCTTTCGCCACCACGGCGAGTCCACCTCACGGTGTGTTACTGTCATCCTTCGTATAGTTATGTGTATTCTAACGTCCATGTGGAGGTCGGCCATCCCATTGTATTAGTGCCCAACGACGAATGAAGAACCCCCCAGTCTGTTTAGACGAGTTCGGTATCATTTAATTAATTAAACATTTTGACAGCTTGGGAAGCCGTAGATTGATAATCGCGGCTCTCTCTCTCTCATGCCTGTCTGCCAAAAACCTACTCTCAAAGCGACCCTGGTCTCCGGTATCCTCCCACACAGTACTTTTCAATTAGAGGAGAGCAGCCATACCACCGACAAGTCCGACCACAAGGCCAGGCACGAAAGGCGCAGCCGTGGCACCGGGGCCGGTGATGGGCGAGGTAGCACCGCCGACGGCGGACGTGAGGGTCGAGGCAGCGCCGCCGGCGCCCGAGGTTAGCGTGGCGCCCACACCCCCGGCGCCCGAGGTGACAGACGAGACGATGGCACTGCCCCCGGATGTGATTGTGGTCTCGTAGCCGCTGGTGTGAGACCCGGTGTCAGTGGCGGACCCGGTGTCAGTGGCGGACCCGGTGTCAGTGGCGGACCCCGTGTCAGTGGCGGATCCCGTGTCTGTGGCTGACCCGGTATCGCTGGCACTGACGGTCGTCGTCGGGTAGCCCGAGGGCGTGACCGTCGAGACGATTTGAGAAGTGTAGGTCGACACTTGGGGTGCGCCTGAGCCCGAGGAGGTGTCCTGGGCGACACCAAGATAGGCGAGGGTGAGGAGGATGACGGGTTGCAAGTACATGGCGGCGAGCAATGGGTCTGTAGTAGATTATAGAATCAAAGTAAAGAGTCTCTCTGGAGAAGTAGTCGATACCTTGGGACAAGACCGAAAAGCGCCGTTGCGGGATAGCGGCTTCCTGGCTTTATATAGAAGAGCGTTATGCATGAGCATGCTTCTGGAACGTGCCGGAGACAAGCTTTTCTCATCATCTTGCAGTGACGCTGTGCATCTCGTATTGAAGTTACTAAAGGCCATGCATAGAATCTCGGATACTTTGGTCTACGGCGTCAGCAAAGTGTCATCGTGCCTGGGGAGACGCGGCTCGAAATGTGTGGAACGCAGAGAAACGGCAGAGGATTACAACGCTTAATTCAAGGAGCAACCTGGTATGAGTCCAAAATTATCGTTGCGCTACTGAGCGGGGTATACATGAGACACGAATCTAAATCCAGATTTTCTCTATACTAGGCCCAACTTTCACGGCAACGCTATAGTCAGCCGGGCAGGTTTTTGCAGCAGGACTATGGTTAAGAAAATCAGGAAGCACGCTGGGCACGAGGCGCTGGTTCTGTATGGTGACATGCCCACAAAACTATGCTTGTCAAGAGAAGTCAGATCGCTGCCACGTTCACCTGAAGTTTTCGACAAGCTCGTCATGTGCAATTGAATCTCACATCTCCATGTGCCATTGGCAGCCTAATGGACTGGGACAGAAATGCAATCTGGTGTCATCCCTGATCCCAACCACGAACTTACGCGTCATGTTGGGGAAAAGTAATTTCCATTCATAAAATCCTCAATTAGCATGCAATTCAACGATTGCGAAATGTGATCCGTTCATAACTGGGAGATTTGCTCAAACGTCCCGGTATTCAAAATTTGCATGGGAAAGAACCATGACCACATGAGAGCTCACTGCTCCTGGGTAGGGGTATTTAGGAAGTTGAGAAATATGCTGTCAGATATGCAGCCTTTCATGCGCGATGCTTCAAAACATGCGGTTCCGTGAGCAGCACATGAATCTAGCCGCGAGTGCCTGAATTACGCCTGACATTTTTAGACCCTGAAACGCAAACTACCAATCCAAAAAGCATTGTCATCTCCGCAGAACAGTAAGTCATGACACATTACCCAGCAACGGCTGTTGTTGGTAAAGCAGCAGGTGCAGCTTCGGTGTCAGGGACTGCGGGCTGTTCGATGACCTTCGGTAGCTCTTTAGGTATCTCTTTTCGACCGTTTGCTTTGTAGTACAATACGACGTCGTTACCTCCCTTCCACACATGTGCCCGCAGAGTTGCAAGGCTCATTGTGTTTGGCAGCAGCTAATGACGTGTTAGCATGCAATGGGGAAAGAAAGTCAGGACTGGTGTCTAACCTGGTCATTACAGTAAAGCTCCAAATACTCCTCTGGTTTCAATGCGTTTTCCTCAGGCTCCTCGGGAGGGGGGTCTATCCGCTCAGCCACGTACGCCAATATCTTCTTGACTCGAAGCATCCTATTTGCATTCAAGCGATTGTTGCCGTCTGCAGTCGCGATACTAGGTAGTGTGTCTTTCCAAGGATGAAGAACGAAGGAGACCTTGACTGGATCTTTCGGCGGTATGTTGTTCTGCTGTTGTTAGTATTGGACAGAATTACAACAGATGAGGAGGTGTCTTACCAATAACAGAACCTCGCCCAGCCACATGGGTGCTTTCTGCTCAATAATGTCCGCATGTATACCAACTGTCTCAACAGTACCTCGATATAGATTGGCACTGCCACCAGACGTTTCTTCTTGGATGATGACTCTTGTCCCTGAAGGTAGCTTCAGAACCGGGGTGTCAATAGGTAAGCTTGGGTTGATCTGTGTTTCCACCAGCTGCTCCGGGTTGTCTTGCAGCTGCTTCTCATATTCGTTGTGAATCTTCTGGATCACTCCGTAGAAGCTATCATCTACTTCCTTTTCGTGGTTTGATGAAGACTCGGACTTGTTTTCCTCGTCTTTTTTCTCTTCTACCACAACCGGCTTCTCAGGCTGTGTGGAGGAGGCCGACCGGCCCAATTTCTTGGTGCCAAACGACATGCCCATCCGAAACTTCTTTCCAAAGGCAGTGGGAGACTTGCCGGTATCTTTCTCTTTAGCGTCGGTGGGTGACTTTGGTGTCTCGGGTTCTTTTTCCGCTGGCGCTGGTGTCGTGGCGGCTTTTGCTGGCGCATCCGCAGCACTGATGCCACTGCCGAAGTAATCTTCGGATGGGCGGCTGGTTTGCGAGGACCGCTTGTCGAGAGGGCTATTTGCTGAGTTCTCGGATACAGGTTGTAAGTGGCTGCCGAGACCTGGCGTGGCAACCCCTATCCCCAGACCTGGAGTTGCAGGTACATGAGCTCCGTTTGCCCTAGGTGTAACAGCGGCTGATCCATTCTCCTCCAAACCTGGTATGGGAGGAATGGGTATCGACATTGGAGGATTGGCCTGTGCCGCAGCCTGGCGGAGCTGTACGCTTTCGTTTAATTTCTGGCGGTGAACCTCGTCTTTCTTGATCTCTACGTCAATAAGCCTCGCAAACAAATAGCGGAGTACCCATCGACCAAGGTTTACTGGAAAGACATTAGCTACAAGCCTGTTACAAGGAAGTTTAGCGACTTACTCCTCTGGTCTTCACGGAAATCGACGGGCTCTTCCAACGTGAGCTCGTCAGCGTACATTTCCGCATCAAAGCAGTTAAACGGCTCCAGCACAACGGTCAAATTGCCGGAACTTGTGTCAATTGAGCACCATGGTGCCACAGCCTCGAGGGTGTTGACTTCGGGCTCCACATCTTCGAGATGCCCCTTGCCAAACCTTTGTATAACCTCGCACTAGCTGCTCATAAGCAGGTGTTTTATACTGGCTTGAATTGCACAAATCCATAGACTTACCTTGATTAGATCCCATAATAGGACGTCTCCGGCTGTATCCAGAGTCAAGACTCGCCTTCTGTCGTTCAGTAGTTTGTGTTTTACTAGACCGTTCTGGCCTTCGATTGTTTCCTCAGGCAGGTGGTCCATAGGTTCAATGGTAAGTGCATCGGGGTTAATTATCACGTCGGACCCCTTGCGACCGTGTGTAGCGGCTGCTGCCAAATTGGACTCAGACGGGCTGGCGAGGTGTGGTGGGAATGACGCCGTGTTTGACATGCGCAGGATCGACTTGGCTGGTATCTCCTTCCTCCCAGTTTTGTTGGTAGTCGGCGGCGGAGATTGGTGCGTTTTGGAGGAAATGCTACTCGCCCGAGCACGTCTGAAGGCCTCTGGTAGCAGGGCATCTGAGCCGGTATCGACATTCCTCCACCTGTTGATTGACGAGCTGGCACTGGCCGTCCATATGTAGTCCTTGGACGCAACGATCTTGCTAACACCGTTGTGCTCCTGGGCTACAGCGACAGACAGGCCTTCGTCCATGTCCACGGCGCCCCTGACATCAGTCTTGACAACCCACCCTGACCGGTCGCTGCTGTAGAAGACGCCCAGGTCGGGATGGTCCGAGAACAGTGACCACACGCTGTCATTGTGCATGGTAAGCGTGTACATGCATCGGCCTGCGGTGACGCTCCAGACTTTGACTGTCTGGTCCGAGCTCGCCGTCATGACGGTATCCCCGGCCTCGTTAACGAGAATCGAGCGCACGTTGTCAGTGTGACCGACGAACTTGGTGATTCGCTTGCCCGACTTGGGATCCCAGAGGCGAACGACAGACTCGGGACCGCCGCTAGCTAGGATGCTGCGGCCGACACTCAAGGCGTAGACGGACCCCTTCTCCGTGATCTCCTCGCCGCTGACATCGATCTCGAGCGATTTGCCTTTGCCGTTCAGGTCCCACAAGGAAATCTTGCGGTCGAGGCCGCCGGAAGCCACCCAGTCGCCACCCGTCGGAGTAGCAACGCACTTGACATAATCAGCGTGTTCGCCGAGGGTGTGGGCCTCGGTGTCGCCCGCCAACGGTCGCCATATCTTGACGGTGAGGTCGGAGGAAGCGGAAACGAGGGCTGAGTTGTTGGCGGCGAGGACAATGTCGTTCACCCAATGGGTATGCGCCTGGGTCGAGGCTCGGAACTTGGTCGTCGATTTGGCCTGCGGACCGGATGCGCCGGCCACGTCTAGGTCCCAGGCGCAGACGACTCCATCCCGGCCTCCAGAGTAGCTGTGGCGGCGGTGTTAGGCACTGGTGGACGTGGCAGAGGCCGTGGGAGGGGTGTGTTGGGAGCTTACAGCACAGCATTGTTCGGATCGACCGCCAAGCCGTTAACGCCGAGTCTGTGGCCGCCGGAGGAGCTGTGATCGAGCTCGCAGACTATATTGCATCGGGCACATGTTAGATATAGCGATTCGCACAATGTACATCTAGGTTACAATAGTCGGAACGAAATGTCTCGGGAGGGCTGTCAGGCCACGCGACGACTCGGATGCGGGGTTTCGAGCACATCGACGGCAGGCTTAGGGGTCCAAGCTGGAGAGAACAGACGGGATGGGACGAGGCGAGACGAACCGTAGCTTATCCTCTGACGCGCCTTCTTGGCCATATCGATCGAGAGAGCGGGCGGGCACTCATGCGAAGTTGCTTATTCTGAAACTGGAGCTCTCGCTGCGATATTGGGCATGCGACGTGCGGTACCGAGGGGGAGGGACCCGGGGACCAGTATCGAGGTGAAGGTAGGGGGAGGATGGCCCGGTGGTTGGCCAGGAACTCGGGTTCGGGTCGGTGGTCCAGTACCGTCTGGCCTGGAGTCCTGGAGTCTGGGAGTCTGGCTGGAGTTTGGCTGGCCCCGTCACCCACATGGATCCTGCCATCCACGCCATCCCCCCATCCCCCATCCTGCCATCCTGCACCGTCTCTCCTGCGGGCGGAAGCTTCCAAACATTCGGCGCTACTGCCGCTGTAGGGCCTAATGACGCCCATGCGCCAGGGCCATGCTCAGCGGGAACCCGTGGGAGGCCAACCACTGCCCTGCAAAAGACGGGGCCTGGGGGGGCCTGGGCTCCCCTGCCCTGCTGATCCCAGCTGCTCGGCGCCGCTAACTGTCCCATGCGGGTATAGCTTTTCCCCGCCATCCCATCATCCCCCGTCCATGGGTTGACCGGGTCCAAGCCGTTGGCCTCGAAAGGTCGGGGTTCGGTTGCACCTGCATATCACCAGCCCTCCACTACACCATAGTGCACGGATGGAATTCATGCCCGTTGATCATTGCTGGCGACACGAACAAGGAGTATACTTTCATCATTTTCAGAAGCCGTGGCTCGCATGGTCGTCTTCGACTCCGCGAGACCATCTTGCGAAAATGTGCCAACCCTTACGGCATCTGCTACCTAGGCCGACAACATTGACAGAAACCAGGGCCGCATCCAAGCCCGAGTCAGAAACGGCAATGAACCATGGTAGTTCATGGGTGATAATTAACATGGGGGTCAGTGATCCTTACTCGATAGTCATATCCCGCATCATCAAGGGCTTGAGTGGGGGTATGCTGGAGAGAGGGTATGATGCTCTATGAATTGATTGTACATGTTCCGCTGAGGGACCCTTCTAGCCTCTGCCGTTCTATGCATATTGTACAATGTATAATAAGACAGAAAGCCCTGTCGGCCTTCCATCTCATCACGGGAAGAGCCACCTCACAGCGCCTTGAGCTGCAGGGCGTTGACCGCCCACTGGTAACTTCCCAGAAAGATAGCGCCGCCAGCACTGATCCATCCGACTCTTGGTCCTATGCCGGCGAAAAAGGCACCGACGCCATGTGTCTTCAAGATGTTCCGCAGGAGAGGCAGCACCCTTTCCCTCTCCTTCGACAACATGATCCTCGTCTTCAACACATCCAAGGGGGTCGTGATGCCAGCGGCAACGGCACCCGATATGCTCCCGTACAGGGCGCTCTCTGCTGCGCTGACCTCCGAGCCGGTCCCGTTCCGCCTCCTTCCCCATGCCTTCAGCGCTTCCCAGAGCGGAAACTGGATGACTGTGAAGGGCACCTCGCGCATGACCGTGATCCCCCACCCTCTATACAGCTCCCTCCAAACCCCGCCGAACCCGACGTTCTTGTACTGCCCCAGTATCGCCCCCAGGGCCGCCGCACTCGATCCGCCGTGCAGCCCTGCCTGCGCGCGCTGCTTGACGACCTCGGTCGGGACTCGGACGGCGCAGGCGGCCACCTCGCCCAGACTGGCCGCCGCCATGTGGTCGCGAGCCTCCTTCCAGCTGCTGCGGGCATTTTGGCCGTGTACTAGGTCCTCGCCTGCCACGAGCAGCTGCCCCTCCTGCCGTCGCGCGGCCAGGAAACTCTTGACGCCCTCGTACGTGCAGAAGAAGAAGGCGGCACCTGGTGCCGAGCCCACAACCGCGGAGCCCACGCCACGGTAGATGCCTCGGAAGCCGCCGGAGGCAAAGAAGCCTGCCTCGGATTGGAGTCGGGTTTTGAGCGTGTCGAGCGGGAACAGCGACAGATCGACGGTCGTGCCGGCGAGTCCGCCTGCCACCAAGGCCGTCGCGAATGGCGGTTGTAGAGGTGAAGTCGACATGTTTGACGGAGGCGGTTTCCTAGATTAGGGCGGTTGACTTGTGAGCTTCGAGGCTCCAGCCCTTTGCTTTACTGGAGGTTTGCCGGCATCGGCGTGGGTAGTGACTTCAACTTGTGTCTGTTGGTGATGGACCCTTTTCCAAGCTCGTTGGTGGAGCTAAGAATTTTGGAGCTCAAGTTGCCTAAAGCGGCTAGAGGAACACTAACGCAAGACAGCACCTGGGAGGATTGATTAAAGAGACGCCGCAAAGGCACAACTACATGAGGCCGGAACTTCCTCCTAAGTTAGAAGCCTCTAACCACACGATGAGAGAAGCATATTCTCCATGATAGAGTCGGCGACTCAGATGGAGATCGTCACAGCCTCCATTTCAGGAGGATTTACCTATTCTCAGACTAGGCAGGGAAGCGATGCCGGATAATTAACTTCATCTGGGAATCCATTCCTCTTCAACCCAGCCCATCGGCTGCCCAATCTGGTGTCTCCATTACATGTACAAACCGCTCTCATGGTTTCAATGACTGGCCTGACTGGGGCCGGCCCAAGTCACTCGTTCAGTGGAGTTTCGACATCATCCCTGAGTTGCAACAATAGTGCAGGTAATCCACGGCGATCCGCACCAACCACGTCTCTCGGTTTACTTGAAGTAGCGCAGGGGGGCATCACTGGCGTCCCGTATTGCCATGGTAAATACCTGACGTCTGCCATCATTCTTCCAACAATTCGCGGGGTAAATCAGGCATCTATGATTCGCGGAAATCGGTTCTCCTCATAGTGTATGCACGTCCATGCTGATCCTGTCAAGCTCCCCCGCATTGTGAAATATACGACGGACCATCTCTATACATACCAGTCCATGATCTTGATTCACTATGATGGCATACACCAATGACGTCCAAGGATTTGATGTTGGGAACATCTGAGCTATACCAAGGTTGACTGTCAACTGAGCCGCCATGCTCAAAGCACTCTGGCGTATCCGACGCGTATAAGAACGTAACATGTCACTGCGATATGTTGTAGTGAGGGCCCACATGCACCAATGCCGACTGACATTCACTGCATGCTTGGAGCCCCGTCCGGGATGTAGCAACGTTTTGGAGAAGAAAGTTATATCAAGGTCATGGATCCCGTCTTCCCTCCTAGTTCCGTGAACTGTGGTCGGGTCACGTTTGGTAGCCTCCTTCTTATGTACTCTCAGAGTCAATCCAATGCGCTTCTCACAGAAACTCCTATTCGTGATCGGGCTATCCACCTTCGTGGATGGCCAAACCGGCAAATACTCTGCCGCTCGGCATCTGTGGTATAACACCCCCGGCGATGGGTTCAGCCAGGGGCTTGCCCTTGGGAATGGGCGTATAGGAGCTCTCGTGTTAGGGTCGGCCACTGAGAAGATCATTCTGAATGAGAACTCTGTCTGGAGTGGGCTCTTCGAAGATCGCATCAATGATGCCTCCTTGGAAGCAGTCCCTCGCATCCGTGGTCTGCTCATGAATGGCAATTTGACTGAGGCTGGACAACTCGTGCTCGCAAACATGGCAGCAAACCCTACAACAAGTCGAATGTTTGGCGTCACTAACGACCTCGTGCTCGACTTTGGTCATTCTGATGCAGACTGGCAAAACTATGAGCGCTGGCTGGATACACTCGACGGAAATGCGGGTGTCACTTACGACTACAATGGTGTCACTTATAAGTTCGTTCCAAGAGATTCCCCAATTTCGTAACTTGCTAAACTAATTTTCTACAGTCGTGAGATCACAGCCAAGTTTCCCGAGGGTGTACTTGCCGTGAGATTGAATGCCAGTGAGGCAGGCAGCCTCAACGTAACTGTCAGCCTGTCCCGTTCCAAAGGCATTATATGGCAGGGAGCTTCACTCGAGAACAACACAGTGACAATGGACATTGGTGGATCCGAGGCCGGTTCTATTGCTTTCTCATCGGCTGTACGTGTGATTGCAGACGGAGGTAGGCATATGTCAGCCTGAAGGCTTCAAGAAAAGAAAGTACTGACAATGTTTCATCCTCAAGATATTACAAGCAACGGTACAAGTCTAGTTGTGACCGGCGCAACTACCGTGGACCTCTTCTATGATGCCGAGTCGGAATTCCAATGGGACAGCGAGGACCTGTACAAATCCAGTGTCACGAGCAAATTGGAAGCAGCAGCTTCTGATGGATATGAGACCCTGCGGACTGAGGCCATCAGTGACCACAGTTCTCTTGTTGGTCGAGTGGTGCTCGACATTGGATCAAGTGGCGATGTTGGCCTCCTTCCGACAAACGAGAGGATTGAAAAATTCAAGGAAGAACCGGACAACGACGTGGAATTCGTGACACTCACGTACAACTTCGGCCGTCACCTGCTGGTCTCATCGTCCCGAGACACTGGAGGCGTAGGTCTCGGCGTGCCTGCAAACTTACAAGGTATTTGGAATGATAACTATACACCACCATGGTAAGTATGTACCCGAAGCTTTCACCCGACGGCCGTTCGCGCGGCTTGACTGACTTCTCACCTTCGCAGGGGAGGCAAATACACTGTCAACATCAACACCGAAATGAACTATTGGCTTGCCGAGTCGACCAACCTCGTGGAAACGCTCCGACCTCTTTGGGACCTTATGGAACGCAGCCACCAGAGAGGCAAAGACGTCGCGAAGCGTATGTATGGCTGTCCGGGCTATATGTCACATCACAACCTTGACCTATGGGGAGATTCAGCACCCCACGATAATGGCACCGAGTATACCATGTGGCCAATGGCGAATCTCTGGCTTTTGTCCCATATGATGGAACATTACCGCTTCACCGGGGATCGGTCTTTCCTGGAAAAGTCGTGGTCCTTATTCTACGACGCTGCTACTTTCTACAATTGCTACCTGTTCAAGTTTGAGGGCTATACTTCCAGCGGGCCATCTATCTCACCAGAGAACAACTTTGTCGTTCCCGATGATATGGCCGTTGCAAGGAAAAATGAGTCTATCGACATCTCACCGACTTTAGACAACTCACTGCTCTACGAGTTTTTCACGAACGTACTAGAGATTGCCTCGGTTTTGCAAATTTCCACGACCGGTGATGAAGTCCTGTCCAACGTGCAGTCCCTCAGGGATCAGCTACGACCTGCGCAGATCGGGCAGTTCGGCCAGATCCAAGAATGGCGAATCGACTACGAGGAGGCGTCGCCAGAACAACGCCATATTTCCCACCTCTGGGACCTGTTCCCCAACAGTCGCTTTACCCCGCTCATCAACCAGACACTCGCCGACGCGGCTCGGGTCTCCTTACAGCGGCGCCTCGATCACGGCGGTGCCGGGACAGGCTGGTCGCGCACTTGGACGGCAGCCTGCTTCGCTCGACTGCTCGATGGCAACCAGTTCTTCAACCACACGCAGATCTTACTGCAGAATCACCCGTTGCAAAACATGTTCCACAGCATTGATGGGTCGCCTACCTTCCAGATCGACAGCAACTTTGGAATCGTGGCGGCAGTCACCGAGTCGCTACTTCAAAGTCACGCTGGTGTGGTGCATTTGCTACCCGCTCTGCCAGACAAGATCCCGTCTGGGTCTTTCAAGGGCTTGGTGGCCCGTGGAGGGTTCGAAGTCTCTGCTAGCTGGAGCGACGGGCAATTAGTCTCTGCGAATATCGAGTCCCGGCTCGGTAACGCTCTGAAGGTCAGAGTTGCGGATGGTGTAGAGTTCAAGATTAACGGCACTGTAGGGGATGGTGTAGAGACTGCCGCGGGCGATATTTTCACCATTACTGTATAGTTTCACTGGTAGATCGGCTGGACCGTCCGAGAAAGCCGTGGTCACTGGCAGTAATTAAGTTTTCATTGGAGTACCTTGGCAGACGCTAAGTGGTACCCTTTGTTCCCATCCACCGGAGTTTACATTGATTGAACTGAAGTTCAAAATTTCAGTTTCACCAATATCTCTGCGTGTTCTCATTCCAGTATCTAAGCTCATGCCCAGCACTTCAAGGACGTGTGTGAATTCTTGTCAGTGTGGATACATTGGTACCGACTCATTGCAGACTCTTAGCCGTGCTTCAGGGTGACCTGCCGACGGATATTTAGGAATAGAGGAGGCTCCAAATATCCCCACCTATAGCAGGTGCAGCTTCTCCGCACCCCTGACCCCAATCCATCACTGGCTGGACTAAGACCGAAAGGAGGCAAGGGTTTCGGCGTCAACCTCGGACTGTGGAGTATCTGAGCGCGGAATTCACGATAGTTATACTGGATCTCCCAGATCTGATGGCCCCATCTGACAGCAGTGGAGTCGCTAGGAAGGGGTTCAAAAACCTCATACTATACATATAGTCTCGTGGCGACAACCGCACCTGCCATCTGATCGCCTTCAGTCTATCACATTTACTTTGGCGGTCGAACTTGGGCGCTATGTCATCCTCATCTAACTCCGGGCTGCCCCTCGAGGGCAAGGTCTTCACCATCACTGGCGGCGCCAGCGGAATCGGCCTCGCGACAGCCAAGATCTTGTCCAAACGGGGTGCGGCAGTATGTATAGCAGACGTTGATCCGGAAGCCATGAAGACCGCGGAGGCATACTTCGCCCCTCTGAAAGTCCCGTTCATGATCACCAAGGTCGATGTGTCGCGCAGAGCCGAGGTGGACTCGTGGATAGATGCCGTCATCGAGAAGTACTCAAGACTAGACGGATCCGCGAACGTGGCAGGCATCATTGGAAAATTTCATGGCATTGCGACCGTGGCCGAGCTCGACGATAGCGAGTGGGACAAGATCATAGCCGTCAACCTGACGGGGACGATGTATTGCATGCGCGCTCAGCTGCGCAAGATGGTCGACGGCGGTTCGCTTGTCAACATCTCATCCATCCACGGCATAAAAGGTATCACATGATTCGCCTACAATACAGACCAAGCCGGCTAACTGCTGGCCCTCAGGATTCGGAAAGCACAGCGCCTATGATGCGAGCAAGCACGGCGTTATAGGGCTCACTCGAGCAGCCGCGCAGGAAGTTGGTGCACGAGAGATCCGCGTTAACAGCGTGGCACCGGGTAAGTACAATTCAACGTCGTTCTCTACGTCTGTTTCCCTGGCCAAACTAGCAGCACACGAGTTTTGGCTTGAAGGCGGCGCGCGATGCAAGTGGCCCAGGCACGCAATGTACCCCTAGCAAGCTTGTTTTATACAGGTTTACTAATCTGCAATGTCAAAAGGGGCGATATATACACCACTCATGCAAAAGAACTGGGATGCACGAGGGCGACCAAGCGACGCCCCATTTGAAGAGCCCACTGCGTTTCAGAGGCAAGGTACAGCAGAAGAGACAGCCAATGTCATTGCTTTCCTGCTAGGACCGGAGAGTACCTTTGTCAGTGGAAGCGTCTATACTGTAGATGGGGCTTGGACGTAAGGACTGCTAAGTCGGCCGCGGTTGTAGGATGTTGTAGTTATCGATAGTGAGTCGAATGAGTTGACGATTTACGGGCCTAGATTATGCCTGACTTTCACAAAGCATCCGCTGTCATGTTTACGGGAATCGAATGCAGATGGACCATATGGAAGGACGAGGTCGTAACGCATGCCAGGTGATTGCTACGCCTGTTCTGTCACAGCTCTATGCACTCGCTCTGATTGTAAGAATTTCAATTATCCAGCGCGATGTAATCCGGGTGGCAAGTAATTCAGACAAGCACACTCACATGTTCCTTAGACGTCGATTCTGTTCTTATGAATGTAAACGGGAGTTGTTGATGGTTCAGAAACACAGGGCGAATTTTGCCCCGATCACGTAGTATGGTGGCAGCTAGTTTCGGTGCTCAAGTAGTATGAAAATATCCGTCGGGTGATTCTTTGGTGGCAACGACCCCGTCGGAATCCACCACTGAGACTCCAGCGTGCAAGGACAGGTTTTGGTCCAACAGTCGCAATTGGGGAATTTTCCTCTTAACGCGGTCTTCATTTTTGACCGATGCTCTGACAATACCAATTCACGTTCAGCGTTGGTGAATGGTTCACTTATTCGTTGTGCGATGATTAGTCCAATTGTAGAGCTTAGGTGCGGTTACGAACTCTGGGGATATTACACATCCAACATTAACAAACAACTTGACGATAATAGGTATTTGCATCTAGGCGCGTGGATGCGTAGAAATCTGGTCTTCATCTATACTTCCGTTCGAGTCATTATACGTATCCAGAAGCAACCATCATATCATCTTGTAGCAGTTACCCGACACTCAAGTCACTTCGCTTGGAGTACGAATAAAACCTGAGAAGACCTGAGAAGGGCGTGGTACTGTGTTCATCAGACTTCAGCTTCCTATTCAAGTCTGAAATACTCGGTAACAAAGACTCATTACCAGCAGGTGCCGAACTAACGTTATGAAGTCCGGGGCGACAGCTCTGGTCGAAGCCACTACGCAGCAATTACGAATGCTCAGCGACAGACTCCCCAGTCCGGCAGACCTTGGGGGGGAATTCCAATCCCACATTAATTCAAATAGTCCCTTTCGGAATCGTGGCTTGTTTAGAGTGGTCTCAAGCCCCCGAGAACCAGAGCTGGCCCTCACCCTCAGAGGGTTTTCAGACATTCTCAAATGGGCAATGTACCTTGTAGGTAGGAGAATGGTACACCACATGCAAACAGGTCATGAATTAGGCAAGGATATGTCAGAAATATTTGAAGCGCTTATTATTCTATGCATTAACACATCGCATCTACGATGTCCGGCTCTTGGTCATGTCTTGATGTCGACCATGGATATTCGTAGATAGATGGCTTGGGTTCTTGCTGACCATCACTGCAACTTGCTGTAAGTATTTAACTTGAGTAGACAGCGCCGTGTCTATGTAACTGAAAGGTAAGAGCGTCGAAGCGTACATGGAGGAAGACATCGAGCGTTGCTTGAAACTATCTTGGCAAGGCCGTGTGTACCTAACTAAGTATGGACAACCGATCAGGTGCTCCTTCCCAACAGTGTAATGTTCACTTTAAAGCAGTGAATCCATGGGACAAACACTTGAATTTTCTGCATGTGTTCACTGTGCCGCGCAAATTCAATGAATCAATTCACTGCGACACAATATCGGTCCCCCCCTCGGAGCCAACTCTACATAAATCCGTGACCACACTCTCTACTCATTGCATCAAACCCAATATCATCATTCTTCTGGTCGCCATACATCCTCAAAGAACCACCAAAGCCATCTGCATCAAGCCGACAAGATGAAGCTCGTCATCCTTTCCCTCCTTGTCACATCCCTTGTGGCTCCCGCCATCGCGCACAACTTCTGGATGGTACTTTACCACGGCTCATTCTCCGAGCTGGGCTTCAAGTTTATCTCGGAGGCACCGCAGTGCACTGCTGAGCTACACGATGCCAAGCTCTATGCAGACCGATCCGATGTCAGCGGTGACAAGTGGGGAGTTCGATACGAGCTTTACGGTGGCATTACCGACATCGTCGAGTGGAACACCAACGACGAGAACCTCGGACATCACAGTACGTCCACTTCACAGGCCTCTGGGAGCTTGTCATCTGTCAGAGCATTTTTTGGATTAGCATAGCATTTCTGACCTGCGCAGCTATGTACAGAGACCGTGATTACGGCATCTACGACACGAACGACAACAGGAAGGGCAGGTGTATTCCTGACAGCACCAGAGATTTCGATTGCCTGTTTCAGTTCACTCGCGTGTCCGGGTTCTCGATATTGAACTGCACTTCGGATTCTATCCACGTCTAGAGCTTCAGTATGGGTCCGAATGATGATCAGGGTTGACGGGCATGTGGCCTATGGATGAAGGTGCGAGCAGGGTGAAGTGCGGTGTCTTCCCAGTATATACACAGCGGGCACTACATCCAGCCATGAATTGACGGTCACATTACATAAAATGAATGTTAAGAAACGTTCTCGCTCCTTTTTGGATCTTGAATTCATTTTGACTACGGGTAGTTGTCCATCCTCGCTGGCCATCACGCATCACTACAGAATCTGGCTTCCGCTGCATCGTCTTATAAGACGGCCAATCGGAAAGAGTCCAAGTACAAGATAGCAGAGTGGCAAGAAAATCCAAGGGGTTGGAACCCAAGGTGGTGATAGAGCACCATCATGTCAATGCACCATCTCGATGAGCTTGGCACTGTGTTCTCGAAAGACCAAGTCACTATTCAGCTGCGTGCAACGGCGTGGCTGTAAATCTGCGTCATATTCCAGAATAGGATCTTGAACACCATTGGTAACTAAGTACGTTTGTGTACCTGGATGGTGAATGGTAAGGTTTTTGACTGCAACGCTGTGCACAGTGTAGTTTCTACGATTGGTGCTCGCCAGGCTGATGCTTCCATGTTGTCATAATCCGTGACTCTTCCCACGGCCGTATGCTGAAGTGGCAATTACAGAGGCGGGTCTCGTAAACCGGTCATTATTGCAAATAAGGCAGCGAGGAAAAAGGCAGCGTTCGTGAGAGGATTGGGCAAGCAGTACGGAGTACTGCTCCTGGCGTTGGTGCGTCTACCCAGGAACTACCCAATGGGGTTAGTATGTCTTGGCAGCCTTCTCGTCGCATCGGCTCCATGGATATTATTTTAACTGGCCAAAGCTCCAACAGAGCTCCGAAGTCGAGGTTCACGATTAACAATAGCCCCAAGGAAGCACAAGGACCCGGGGCATGGAATGCACGCGATTCAGCAAGTCTTGCACAGGAGTGCCCGGCCAATCTCGGTGCATGAGTTTCGCGATGCCATCCTCGCGACATGCAAGCCCCGATTCCCCGAGGCCAGGGGTTCTATGCACAGGCCCGTTGGTACGCGTTCAGCCTGACTTGTCGCCGCGTCAGTATAACAGCTAACCTTGCTGGATGTTAGGCCTTGCAATAAGCGGTGGTGTGGATTCCATGGCACTGGCCTATCTTTGCTCTCAAATCCGCAAGCTGGATCCTGATATTATGATCACTGATCATCCATGCGCTGGGTTCCGGGCCTTCGTTGTCGACCATCGCCTCCGCGAAGGCTCGACCGAGGAGGCACACAGTGTCATGAAGGCCCTTCATGAGATGGGTATCCCCAGTGATCTCTTACCAATCAACTGGAAGAAGGAACTTGGTGAGAACGTCGATGTCAAAAACCTATCGAACATCGAGAGCGCCGCACGAAGGGCTCGATATCGGAAGCTTGGCCATTTTGTCGCCTTCCGCAAGATGGCCACGCTGCTGTTGGCCCACCACCAGGATGATCAATACGAAACAGTTCTCATGCGCCTGATCAACGGCCATCGTAATCGTGCTCTGATTGGCATGCGGGAGGCATCTGATATACCTGAGTGTGAAGGCCTTTTTGGAGTTTATGGTAGTGGCTGGGTCGACGACCAGACCCGAAAGCACCCATTCTACAACACCAAGCTCTCCAAGAAGGAGCGCAAGAGTTTGAAGCAAGAGCTCAAGTTCCGCATCAATGAACTGATGCACGAAGACCAGCAAGCAGAGGATCAGCTCGCCAATCTTGGAGTATTTGATACTACTGGGGCCGACGATTCACTGGGGAAAACACCCATCAGGTTCAACTGGTCACCGCAGCTCGGATCTATGCCCATTGAAAACGGAGGTGTCAGTATACATCGACCGTTTCTGGAGTTTGGCAAGGATAGACTCGTTGCGACCTGCGTGGAAAATAATGTTCCCTGGTTTGAGGACCATACTAACACGGATCCGACACTGACTACGCGAAATGCGATTCGTCATATGTACAAATCTTGCGAACTTCCTCGCGCTCTCCAGAAACCGGCTGTTCTGGCGCTCTCCAAGTCTTGTCAGCATCGAGCTCGAGCCCAGGATGCCGAGGCGCGTAGACTACTCCAAAGGACAGTGCTCCATGACTTCGAGCCGCATGTGGGCACGATGGTGGTTCAATTCCCGAACTTGCAGGTTCATGGCTCCAAAGGAGCTTCGTCCTCGAACGAGTACCACCAACACCGGCTCTCCCAGAAGCGAATAATTGCAGCACTAGCCCTCCAGCGGGTCATCGCTCTTGTTAGCCCAGAATATCAAGCCCCCTCTGTCACGAACTTGCAGAATGTGGTCTCGAGACTCTTCCCATCTCTTGAGAGCCTGCCAGATGCGTCGAGGGCGGCACCGCCTAAAGCCTTCAACGTCGCTGGCTTGCACTTTATGCCTATTGAATCATCGCCGCCGTCGGTCGCTTCCTCCGCACTATTGCATCCCCAGATATGGTACGTATCGCGCCATCCATACGTTGCGACCGAGCCACTCCCTCAGTGGCGCATTTCAGCATGGTCACCCGGATTGGAGAGAAGGCGCAGACCTCGTAAACCGAGATCGAGATGGTCAGTTTGGCTACCTTGGCATTTTTGGGACGGTCGCTTCTGGATTCGGCTCACGCATCGTCTACCTTCCCGTCTAGTTGTGATGCCCTTCCTAGTCGAACACAGCAAGGACTTCCGGACCGCACTACCTCCGCAGGATCGTGCTCGTTTGGCCGCGGTGCTTAAGCAATACGCCCCTGGGAAAACCAGATATACACTGCCCGCCATCTATGCGGAAGAGCCTGTAGACTTCGACAATGTAGTTTCTCATCCCAAGCATCCAGAGCCTCGAAACGATTTAGCGATAAACGCAAGTCAGAGAATAATCGGCAAGCCCATACTGCCACCTATTGACCGCTCAAAGATGAGGCTACTAGCTCTTCCGACATTGGATTTCCAACTGCCTGGATTAGAGAAGTTGTTGCAACATGAAGTTCGGTTCAAGAAGGCAGACCGGGACACACTGCGGACGATGGGCAGTTTCGACGGCGGCTCTTTCGCTCCACTTCGAGCCTCCAGTATCACACATCGCAGTCGCAATATACGCAAGCTCTGTATCAACTCGAAGAGACGGGAGAGACTCCTTCATGAACGACAGGGTCACCTCGGTGAAGGTCATCAGGCAGCTGGTGGGTGAAAGCTTCATTCGGTAGCTCCATAGATACCAACGAATAGATGTTGTATACGTCAGTCTCGAAAGCTAGTCTGGTCCGTCTATCAAGAGTATTGGCTGTGAGTTTACTTAATTTTTTGTTGTTAATGGAATGGTGCAATGCCGATATCTCAGCTACCATGCTGTGCTATCAAGCGGAGTGCCCAATACCCTTATGGAGATATCCTCTACGCTCTTCCACGAAGACTTAGATTCGTTTATTATGTCCAGCACCTTATGTCATCTTTCAGGTGTCAGCCTTTGTTGCATGGACAAGCGGTTGAGGCTCTTCTGAACAGCCTTGAGGGCGTCAACATCAGGACTAGGCGTTTCCTCGCGAATCGTGCCACACGGTCCTTCACCTAGTTCTCGAATAGTTAGCATGTCTCTTGCATATGCCAGGATATTCTAATCTCACCTGATGGGCTTTGGTCCTTGTGATCGATTTTGCTCACCAAAGCGCCACTGCTTTCTATGTCGCTCCGCTGGTCCCGCGCATCGTGTGCCTTCTTTCTCGCCTCTGCTCTTTGTCGGACTTCTGCCTTTTCGCAGTTGGGGCATCGACCCTTCTTCGGCGCTATTAGAGTCCTCTGTTTGCAATCCAGCAAGCCAGGTGGTATCTTGGGCAATTGCGGCAGGAACACTGGGCTTTCGAGCAACATGTCGTCGGCAGGCTTGCAGCGGCGGGCGACGTGACAATGGGAAGTGTTCTGAAAATACCGGTGGTTGCACTCCTCGAAGTGAGTGTATATGTTATTGCACATGGTCACGATGTTTGGGTGCGAAGCACCTGGCGTTTGCTTGGGCGAGAGCGAGGTACCAGTTTCAGACTAGTAAGAGGACAAACGCGGCTCCCTCGAGCGGTAAAAGAATGACACAGTTCGAGGGGCCGTGTGGTGAGAGAGAATCTGAAGCAAGTAGTATGAACAAATTCATTCACCAAGTGGTGATTATCGGAGGCTTAGTTGTGTGGATAAAAGCTGACCATTGCAAGGTGAATGCATACCCACCTGGGCAGCTTCTACCAGAATAAGAGTCCCTTCAATTTTCCGACGGTTTCAATCAAATTTCATACAACATTCTCTTTTCAACATGCAATCTCAATATCAATGATTAAGTTTAAGTCTCGTATAAAGCAACAGAACTCACCGAGCCGTGACCTGCCTTCACTCCTTTTGTTAAAAAGGTTTGGTCAAGAATGGACAAGTTCTAGCGCCTGACTTAAGGCTGGGATGGATTTAATATGTGTAGTCTCTGAACCAGATTTTTTTTTTAATGGAATCATCTCCGAGCTCTAAATGTCGCATGCGGCCTCTGGCTCTAACCTTCAATGTATTCAATATGCATACTCAACGGTGAACGGTCGAAAGGGAACGTGACAGGCCGGGCCCCCATGTGAGAATCTAGCAATCTTGAGATAACGCTGCACTGAATCGAAAAGCGCATCAATGAATCATCCGACGCTGTCATCTGCCACCTGTGGTATGAGAAGGTGTCTCAAATACAAATTGTCGTTTTAGCGTTAGATGGTGGGACTAGAGTAGTTGCGCCTTCTGCAATACTGCATGATCAAATAGGATATAGGCCTCCATCATGGCTTCCTTCGGCATCCATTGACACAATACATCGGCAGCTGTGGAAACCACAATGGGAAGGCTAGTGATTCGAAGCATGGTCAACAGCAGTGGCTTTCGCTCGCGCAATACCATTTCTCGCATTTTCATGTGCTATTTCTCTTAGCACAACCAAAGCTCCTTATCTTCAGGCTTCTTCACACATTTCCACTGCTTCCTTGCTTCCTTGCTTGCCGCAGGGTTTGCAAATAGTCTTCGATCTTCGTCCCTCGCCGCAGCTTAACTTTCTGGACAACCTTCGCACTCTCGTCCGTTTATTGTCCTGCAACCACCAATGACTCCTGTCGATCTCTTCTGCTTCGTCGTTTCACTGCTCGTTCTTCTCTACTTACAGGGCTGTCGCAGAGTTCACCCATCTGCGTCCGGGTGGAGTAGAGCAGAGGAAATTGTGTAGATACCCAGGGCCCAACCCAAGGGGAAGATATCAAACTCCACGTCAAGTTGTCATGGCCTACACGGTCTGTGAGCGATGCAATACTTACATTGCTTCCGGCAGGGTAACATGCCTTGGCCCAAGCGACCCGAGGCAGTCAAGCCACTTCGACTGTACTTTCTGTCTAATGACTGCCCATTGGATCGCCCAGTACATGCGGACACTTAGATGGAGTATTTTGAGGAGACTCAGGCAGCTGCCTCCAGGGCCGTGTACGGTCGTTTTTGGGAGCCCTGACAACTTGACTGAGTCTGGGTAGGATCAACTCAGTGCCAATCGACTCCGCCAGCGGATTGGGGCAGTTCAAGTTGTTGTACGACCACAACACACGGCCCAGGTCCAAGGCCCATTTCGTGGGGGTAATTTGCAATCAAGTACCGCCATCCAACAAACCGACGAAGACATACGGCGACCACGAACATCTATACCGGCGCCAGGTTTATGGGTTCCTCGAATGAATGAGGCATTGACAAATGGCGGGTCCTTTGAACCTATGCTTCGCCGTGTCCGAAATAGGCCAAGACAGGTCGTACATGTCAACCGTGGCGGCGAGGGTACTGGTCAAGGCTACGAGGAGCACCACGGGCGTGAGACCAACGAACAGAGTGGAATTACAGAAGCAGACAATATGACGCGCCCATTCGATCTATCGAATGAAATGCTTGCGGTGCTATTGGAAGAAGCACCCTCTTCGACACCACAAGCCCGTGATAATGGACGACGACCTGATAGACCAGCTCGGTGAAAGTCAAGTGGTGCCCCAGGGCATCGGGACTGGTGCTCTCGCATGGAGTAGCGAATGATCTGCAGGCTTTTCTTGTTTGGAGTGGAAGATGTTCTGGATCGCCAAGGACTGTGGTTCTCTCGATAGGTTTACACTGGGACGAGTTTTATAGTAGACTACACTTAGTCCATAGCGATGTTTCATCAGTCTATTGCAGGTCATTGAGCCTTCTCATACCTCCATATCCCAGATGGACATGAAATCTGTACACAATGTGAATATTGTATGAGTACCATATGGAAAAGATACATGATCATTGCGATATCGTTGTCGGAAAGGTAATATTAAACGTGCTTCGCGGTGTATCACGCAATAAGTGACCGACGATATGACCCGGAACAGACCGGCAGACAGACCTTGCGCACGTGGGTACTTTACCAACAGTCTGGAACTTGGCAGACCATCCATGCGAGACAGTGTATGACCATGATTGAATTGTGAGCTGATCGGAAGGACTCGACCTTGACGTGTGAGGGTGACCAGGTAAAGTGCAGTACTAGCTAGACACTTGGGGCTTAGCCTGGTGAGACTCCCAAGCTTCTTTCAAGTTGAGTGAACAGTACTGTGTCAAGCCATGCAATGATTTACATGTACAGAGATGGGCTGTTTGTTTATTGTAGTATCTGATGACAGCATATATCTGGTAGTGATAGGCAACCCTTCGCGAAGACGCAAGTGATACATGGTCAAGGAACGGTTATCTCTACCTTCGCTTTGCAATTCAACCAAAAAATTTCGACAGAGTAGATATAAATATGTTCGACGACTAGGCAGCTCTTTACGAAGTACATCGGCCTATTCGCCGCAAAATGACCTTGAGCGTGAGTAAGACAGCCAAAGCTTGGCACTCCTTGTACGTTGTTGCAAACGTCACCGATACGCAAGCTGCATATGCAAGTAATCTGAGGGGTTGAGTGCCCATACCCTTGGGTTGGAACTATGCACGAATAGTCGCCGTTCGTCTAATCGTACAAGTCACGTCCGGGATGTCTCTCGTGTCGTCCTATCAAGCTTACAATCAAGCATAGGCAAGCATTGAGGAACACAGAGCGATCAGTTCAGACGGCGCAGCGGAGTAGTGGGGAAACATGGTTCACGAATTCGGTATAGTATACTCCGTAAGTTCCCCCGTAATCGCGGGTCAACTCGGCCAATCCAATGCCCACGTTGATAATGAGCTGCCTATTTGGCAACTAGCCCAACGTCTTGGAGGCTCTCTAGGACTCTGGGCAAGGCTTGAACTGAGCCAGCGACCCCGCTCAGTACTTCGCTAACAGCCAGCCTCTCGTGTGCAGTCTAAGTCACCGCAAACAGAGCATAGTGACTGCCTAGAGGTCTACGCAATCACACCTGCAGGGCTTACGCCAGGCCTTGGTTCTAACGGAGACTGGATCAATCGGAGATGCAGCCGACGAGTATCCTGGCCGCTGGAATTCGGTTATGTGATCAGGCAAATTCGGTCCCCACCACCGTCAGCTCGCCTGGCTCACTTTCCTTCCCATCCCAGATACACAGTCATCGTGAGAGTTGACGACTGCACATACGCGCCCTAGGCTTCCTTTCTATCCTATGCCAATTTGGTGCTGCATGCCATTGGCGATCTAGAATCCCAAGTCGCTTGCGGTAGGACGGGCAATCTGTTTCGAGTAACTACCGAGCACTCTTGGCAATAGTTTCAGCAGCCCCGCCAAGGCCGTTTCAACCGCCAAAGCATGCCTTACTCTGACAACATGTACTCCCTCGAGGCCGAGTCGGACGACGAGCCTGGGGATCAGCTCTCGCCCTCTGACGGCAACTTCGCGAACTCGTCATCCAATGTGGTACCCAACGTCCCAAACGTGGTAGTCCCTGACCCCACAGTCCGGGATTCAGAGACGCCCGCTGAAAGAAAAGCTTTGGAGGCAAAAGAGGACGAATTCTTAAATAGTCCTGGGCATTCACAACCCCAAGCCGTCTATCCTTCTAGAAACCCTTCCAGAAACCCTTCCGTCCTGGGACCTAGCACCTCTGCGCCGTCCACGCGGTCTTACTCGACACGTACATCGCACACGCCACCCACATCGTATGCGCCATCGTCACAAGCTCCATCAACATCACGGCAGCCGTTACGAACACACCCCTCCAGAGAGCGTACTCCCTCACTATATTCAGAGGCCCCTCCAGCATATACGCCTTCTCAGACAACACCTCTTTCTCCGACCGCTCCGAGTGACGAGACCAGGAGCTACAATACATTCTCTCCCAACATGGGTGTCGAAAATGAGCGTTTACTGGACCGGGACCCCGAGAGTATGGGTCCACCAGACGATGAATCATTGCACTCACCCCGATGGAGTAAGCGGATCAGAAGGAGGCTCCCGCCGTGGCTGAATTGGCGAGTTGGCTTGCTGGCAGTTGTTTTACTTGCAATCACTCTCGGGTTCTTGACGAGTGGATATAAAGCTTTCAAGGGAGGCGATGTAAGCTGGCTGGCTCTAGACATACATACATCCTTGATTACTAACATGATCATGCAGAAAACTACCATTAGGCCAACCTTGCCTCCTGACGGGGTTACGCAACCTCCAAAGACACCTGAAGAGCCGGCGCAGCCAGGGTCACCTGGCAAACAACCGTTGGAGCCCACATATTGTAAAAATGCCGAATTTCGGTTCCCTGACCAGATTTGTAAGTTACCTATACATATACTATTTCATGGCGTTGTTTCTTGGGCAGAACTATATTAGTCGACCCCCTCACTATCCGTGGGACTAGTATAACGAGAAGCTTGTCATGGGCTAGAGTCATGTTGTACGTCTGCAACAACATTACTGACATTTTCCAATCACAGTGGCCGTTGACTTTAGCAAAGGCAAATTTCTGAGTTTCATCCAAGAACAACATGGTCATGGTGGAAACATGCCTGTGAGAGTTGGCGGTCAAGTCAACATACGCCAGCTTGACGAGGGCGGCTATCCTCGAGTTGTTTTGGAAACTGTCACCAATGACGAAGCCCTGAGGCTAGAAGTATACATGTCGGAGGAGGACCAGAAGATGAGGATCAGCGTCCCGAAGAAGTTCGAGTCCGAAAATGCCGACAACCCACCATGCATTGAGATGCGCGCTACTGTTTGGGTCCCAAAGAATGCCGAGCTCCGAGAGCTCTCCATCGCGGCCCTCCACCTTGATGTTTTGACTCTCGATGACTTGTCCATTCATGTGGATGATTTTGCAAAGCTCTCATCAGTCGTGGGAGATGTCGTCTCGGCTGCCGCAACACCGCGCTCTTACGAAAAAAAAGGGTTATCTTTTGATAACACCCCCGATTTCACGTTCGTCCCAGCCAAGGAAACATATACCCTGGACTCCCGTGTTCTTGAGGTCTCTACAACGTCGGGGAACATTTATGGGAACTGGCCCCTTTATGATATGCTTGGCCTCCACTCGACTGCTGGAAGCATCAAAGTTAGCATCACGCCCGAACCAGTACTGGAGTCAAATCCCAAACCAGCCGTTTTGTCCATGAGCTCCATCTCGGGGTCTATCCATGCTACAGAGCCAATCCATGTACAGGATCAGATGCCCATTCGTGAATATCTCGTTGATGTCAAGTCAACGTCAGGAGGGATTCACTGTGCTCTTGCTTTCGGTGGGGGAGTCGAGTTGAAGAGCACGGCGAGCGACATTGCGGTCGACCTACTTCCCATCCTCGATGCTTCCAAGCTTTCTCCCACAAGCCCGGCGCAACTTGAGACTGTAACCACCAGTGGTACGACCGCGGTTCGCATCCTCGAGCCAACTTGGTTCAACGCAAAAGATGCTGCCGCACCCAGAGAGTTCAACTGTCTGCAGGCTGTGCACAAGTCTACGAGCGCCAATGTGGGCTTGAGATATCCTCAGTCATGGGTCGGAGACCTACGAGGCGAAACCACGAGCGGAAGACTCGCGGTCAAGGGCAAGGACGTGAGGGTCACGAAGTCAAGTGGCGGCTGGCCCGGGAGCACGCTGACGGCTTACAAGGGTAGGAGCGGCGGCGGCTCGACTATCTCGGTGAAGACGATGCTGGGAAGCTTGGATGCAGTGATCGGCGACGAGTGATATGGCCGTATGGCCCGCTGACCAGCTAAGGAGATATGGCAAGTCCATATGACACAAGCGTCGAAAGTGTGATGAGTTAGAACGATTAAAATACCCCAGCATTCGCTAAGTCACGGTTATGGTTTCCTCAATGGCGTTTGGGTTGGTTGCCCCGAGGCACTCTTGCAGCAAGAAAGTTTGAGGGTTTTGCAAGGCGATATATATCTATTAGTCTAGTATTTTCCAGGAAAATCGAACATTTTTGGTAATGTATGCTCTCAACACTGCATGGCATTGCTCGATGCCTAGGATTTTCGAGGTTTTTTTTTTTTTTTTTTTTTTTTTTTTTTTTTTTTTTTTTTTTTTTTTTTTTTTTTTTTTTTTAACGCGACCACCCGAGTGTTTTATTGTTCTTGTTCATTCGCTTACTATCTATCAATGAAATAGTGGAATGGAATAAGGCCCTGGTGATCTTCCTTGTTAGTTACGTTCTGGTGGGGTCGAATACAATAGCGGGATGTACGTTGGCCATCAGGCAAGGCTTTCCCTTTCATTTATGGCATATATTTACATCAGCGAGTTGTCACCACGTGGGACCTCTTGAAGAGGTATGGCAGTATTGATAATGATGTCTTTCACTATTTTGGAGTACACGGTTCAGGTGCCCAATGGCGCAGCTCGTGCACATACCAATAATAGTAGCTACAATCTCCACAACCGAAGGAAACGCTGCTATTCGAATTTTTTATGGGTATCACGTTAAAACTTGGAAGTTTTGGGGGCTAAGTTGTTCACTCTCGGTTCTTCACTTGCGTTCAAACATCTGTACAAGCACGGAACGCTTCGTATCGAATGCTGCACTAGTTCTGAGGTACGATCTTCGTCTGCCAGGTCCCGCTTAACGTCGGTCTGCGGTCTACAAGGTTGTTGATGAGAGATTGTTCGTTGTTACCCGTCCCCTGAGAAAGGAGTCTAATCGAACGCAACTGTGACGTCTTTCCGTTTACCATCTTGGGGGGTTCGACGCCCGAACGTACGATTCTTTTGCAGCGCCACTTTTCTGCCCTACACCAGGTCCGCAGGTCCAAGGCATTTCCAGGTGTTGGCATTTGTAATGGATGTAATGCCCATTTTGTTCACAAGCGGGTTTCACGAGACGGCTCGGTTTTCAACGGGTGTAACTATCTTGAACTACAGCGGATGACATACCTGGCAAGAAAAAAATCTCTGTAGCCTTGCATTGCACTAACCGGGAGGTCAATATACCAAAGAAGCCTTGCTGATCGACTGGAATACTACATCCGGCAGCCTTGGCGCTTCGTTCCGCCGTGCATGCGCAGGGCTTGGGTGCGTAGCGACTTCCCAGAGTAGCAGGCCATCGGAAACATCGACAGTTTATTCACGAAAAAAAGGCTTGTCGGTAAATGTGAGGCTCTTGCAGCTCGGCAACGCGGGATCCTTCGTATGTTTTTTTCTTTCTTCCACACCGGTAAGCGATACTTCTTTCCATTATTGGTTGCCAAATAGCATTATTGCCAAGCAGCATCTACGCCTTCATGCTCTATGACGGTCTCCATGTTAGCCACGGCCCCCAATCAAGGTCACCGTCAAGCTTTTCATGCTCAATCAGGCAGTTGAACGTTGATGGATCAGGAGTAGATTCCCGATTACTCATGGGCCTACAAGCCCAAGACCTCTGGAAACCTTGCGGGACTAGTGTGTAGGTCAAGGATGGAATATACTGTGCTGTACACGATAGATCCGACGCCTTGTTGGGACGCTGGAAATTCCTGAGCAACTTAAGAGATGAGACATGTACAGGCGCCGAGACACACATATGCAAGCCTCAAACCATGTTTGAAGCGCCCGCGGCCCGCAGCTGGTGGCCGGAACAACCTAGTTTTTGAGAAGGGTTTACGATAGTACTTCAGCCACGAGAGACATAACCATGATACAGAGAGTTGGTGAGGTGAGTCATCGACCCCTATACGGAGCAGAATTTACGTATTATGTAAAAACAATCATTAGAGGGCAAAGGCAAGAGTCGAGCCTCGTACGATACGAATAAATCCCATACAGTGCTGACGAGTATGATTGTCAGCCATAGGAAAACCGCGAGAGCCGCAGGACAACAGTATATGCCCGCGGCTGGATCCGGACGCCTTTGGAAAATCCAGTTGGGTGGCCTGAGCCGGAGGCGAGTCAGTGAAGACCCAGCCTGTGTCGTAAGGTCAGTGCGTACCCGAGTCAGCCCGGCTTCTGTGTCCCTTTGAGAAGGTGATTCTCTGGTATCCATCCCAGCAAACGCCGCGAACGGAAATTCCGGTAGACGGTTGGCAACCTCGGAACAAGCCTGCACGACCTTGGGGGCCAGTCCGTTCGAGGCTCGCGCGCCAGCAGAGCGCTTCCAGGTCGTGCAAGACACCTCACCTTGCTGGCTGCTGTGGCCGGTGACACGAGTGGCGTCCGGGAGCGGACAAGGCTGTCGGAAAATTCTGGAGTCGTACGAATGAGGAGCTCCGGAACAGGAAGGTGTGTTGGCTGGACACGACGCTGGCCCCTGGGGCGAGCGCTGAAAACGGGGCCACGAGCACGAACCAGCTACCAGCCAAGCATCTGGTCAGCATTGTGATCCAACGCAGCCATCGTGATCTGGACCGCGCCTCAGGGGACTGACGAACTGGAAGGTCATGCACTAGGCTGCCAAAGCTGAAATTAAGCGCGCCCACTCGCAAATCCATGCCCCATCCTCCCTAGGTGAGAGATCTAACGAAGACGTTTCAAACTACGGGCTACCGAGACCGAGGTGGCGGGCTGACCGTTCGGTGCCTTCTCACGACTTCAGGCTGGCGGCAGGCAAGCAAGCAAACTTGGCAGGGCTTGATCCAAATCCAAAGCGCGCAGGCCAAGCAGGGCGACAGGGCGACGGTTTGTGGGACCCGCGAGTGAATGATTCAGTGACTGCGCGGATCCTGGATCTCGGAACACGTTAATTCTGCGAGTCGAGAACCGAACAATTTCCGTGTGTCATGAGTCAAATAGAAAATCCCCGGAGTAACGCGGAGTAGGGTAGATGCCCCGGCCCCGAGTGTCCATCACGGATCGCGATCTGTGGTCAATGATCACCACGGACGGGACTGCAACAGGACCCATCTCGGGGTAATTTGGGCGGGGATCCCATCGCTGTCTAACATCGCGTACTTTTGCAACGTGCTGTCGTGGGACGCCCACAGGAGACCCAGAATGCCGAAACCAGCAGGCCATTTACTCAACCGCCCAACATCCCTGGCCTGCCTGGTGTCTCTTTTTTGTCGTTACATAAGTGAGCTCTGAGACCGTTGGCCCCATCAAAAAGACGAAAGAGAATGTAGTCAGACGGCACCATCAACGAATGACGGTGCCGAGGGGTAGATTACGGCAATGCCGTTCATTTCCAATACGTGTGATCGTGTATTCCTATTCTCAGAAATAAAAATAATGGCCCCCGGACCACCATCATGCCACGCATGCACCGCGACGGGCTTCCGGCATGACCGCATGCAACCCAATGTTAGCCCAACAGCCACTAGGCCGCAGGTGGAATCATTCTAGACGCTATTCGAAGCCTTCCAGAATACTGGGAATATTCTGTGGTTATACCATATACGGTTAGTGTGCGCATGGGGCCCCTGTACCCGCTGTTGAAGATTCCGAACTCTGACAGGCCCTGTCGTGTTCCAACAGGATCAATCAGGCTCGGATCAGCGCCTTGGACACCCCTGCAACATTCCCTTTGGGACCATAAGCAATCGTCGTCTGTGCTGTGTTCGTCAATAACTGGCCCTTGCCCCTTACCCCTGTTGTTTGTTCGGTACGAGTAGGTAGGTCTGTTGCATAGACGACTCTCATGACATTCCTGTGGTATATTGCCGGAAGAAATAAGATGACCATAGTACGATGGTGCAACGCTCCACATCATGCTGATACTACGTAACGCAAGCGGGCAATTTTGAATAAGTGAACGTAAGCTAAGGGTGCCCAGAATTTGCACTGAATAGGAGACAATAGAGGTCACCCGCGAACGCGAGTCTATACCGGCCAGACTATTATATTGTACAAGTCATTGACAGCCAAGATCGCGGGCGTCCACGTCCTCAGGGACGCCAAAGCCGGCAGATCATCATTTCCAGCTGGGTGGTTCCTGACCTTACGACTCAAGATAGCGCTCCCGGCGGACTGGCGACGACTTAGCCATGTTGAAGGGAGGCCGATGCTACGGTCCAATAAGCGGGGAACAACTTGCTATATGGCGCCTCTGGGGAGTAAGGCCGAGCTTGACACGTGAGCCCTGGAAGAGGGTCTGATCATGATTGATCCTGAATAGGACGCGTATAATCCCATTACGCGCTTGTCATCATCGCCGGGTTATTGCTGGCACCTGGCACCAATTGCGCTGCACAAGTTTTGCCCGGTTTGGCAGTCGTTATATATCGATAGAGTTCCTACGTCTGTTGCACACGACAGCCAAGCGCCTCACTATGGGGTCGGTTCACCAGGACTGAAATCACACTCTATGACTTCAATGACTTCGGGGACAGCAGTTGCATTGCAGGGCCGATCTTTGCTATGCTCAACCAGAAGCTTTCAGGTGCTCGACGTTTGTGGGGTTGCTCATACTAGTCGAGGTCAACGATCAATCACAACGGTCTTTGGTATCATTTCTAGTGCTTATGCCCGATGATGCAATCTGACCTCACCATTAGCAGCAACGCTTTCCAAAGCAGCGCTCGAATCACGGCATTGCTTCTAGAGGTATATACGGCTTATCTACTCCGTCGCACCAGAATAGTATTTAAATGCCGGCCTTATCACGGTCGACTCTATTTGCTCTAATCAGCCCCAACTGCCGATGCTAAGACGTGATCGACAACACCATCTCTCTGGGGGGATTGGGGCGCAATCGACACCAACGCTGTTTCGCGTGTCTGATCAGCGACGCACAGTTTAGTGACCTACCAGCGCTACCCCTCTAGCGGCTCTCCTCAGCGTTTCAATGGCTCCAAGCTCACCCCCTTCCTGTTTGCGTATGATGCTATGCACTGCCGCACACACGTTGTGTGGTTATGCACCTTTTGAGGATATGATGAGCCTTCTAGTGAGATACCCGAGGCCGCTAACGAGAGGCTGTCGTCTCATCGTAATTACAGCAGACAGATGGGGTGTCATCTAGCATAATATACAGCCAGCCAGTCAGAGGCTGCGGAAAGCCACATTATAACCTCGAGTGCGCTTGAAGTAGGCGCGGAGATAGGAAGTTAAGATAGGAAGGTGGCAGTTGGCGGGTAAATCGCAGCCTATGAGACGGGTAGCTAATCCAGAGCGTTCAGCTCTGAACCTGCAAAAGGGGGAAGCTTGTTGCGCGACGTTCCGTTCGCATCCAGACCTATGACCGCAGCGTGCGTGATGACATGCAACCAGAGCATCAACTAGGCTTCTCGCGGGTTGGTCGTGTCTTGCGAGCAGAGAGAAGAAGTCGACTCCAAGATAGATTATTAATTATTGGGCAGGGCCTATTCGGGAATAAGAGTACGATTGCAGGCGCGGGGAACCTTAGCCCCAGGCTCTCAGAACGAAAACCATATGCTATCCGACCCCCAAAACTGCGGAGTGTGGCAAGTGATAGGAAGCCGTCTCGAAGAAATTGAAGCACATGATATCCCGAACAGGTCTATATTGGGGCTTTGCATAGGAGTATTGTCAGTCAGTCAGTCAGTCAGTCGGTCAGTCAGTCAGTCAGTCAGTCAGTCAGTCGACGACGGAAGATCAGCCAACGGATCTCGTACGTCGGGAACAAGCCCCGGATGTGCAGCCTACAGTGGTAGAGTGGTACTGTGTAGGTGATGGAGTGGATACCAGCAGCCCACCAGCTGAAACATTCTCTCTGGTTCAGTGCGCCCTTCCAGATGGCAAACGTGCATGCACCAGGACTCATGGCTCCAGAATCGTGGAGACACAGCAGCATGGAGTGCGACGACTTTCGTGCATGCCCATGCCGTGACCACAACGGACATGCTAGTGGCGTGGGTTGCTGCTTTTTAACAGGCTACCGTCGGCGGGCGCTGGCTCTGTGCCGCCAGCGGCCGTCTTGGCCGTCCCATGAGGTGCAAGCCTGCTTCCAGCATGCTTCGATTTCTCGTCGCTGCTTTTATCGTGGAGGGCAGGGGGGCCCTGGGGGGCTGGGCCGCCACCGCGACAAATGGAGTATTCATCAGCGTCAATCTCGTCGGGGGCCAAAGTGGGCTTCGGCTGTGATTGGGCGCCGTCTGGTTCTGTCTCTCTTCTAGCGCCATTCTAGCGTAGCGCCACGGTGGCCATTCTTGCATCTTCCCTCGTCCAAGCCGTTCGCCGTGCGAATTGGATTGCAGGCGTGCCTTGTCCTTGTCCTTCCAGGTTGTCCTTGGGGTCTTGGCCGCTGCCCTTCCCGAGGCAAAAGCGAGTGAAAGCAGAGCGACGTTGGACGGGGGCACAGAAAGAAGGAAACGGGCCCCTTCTCAGCCCTTTCCAGAAGCCGCCGCCTCTTGTCGCCTGCGGGAAGAAGAAGGTTAGCAGCCGGGCCCTTGTCGAGCCAAGAGTCCCCTGGCGCTCCCCCATTGTTCTGCTGTTGTTCTCCCGTCGTCTCTGGAAAGACGTGAGGAGTACCGCTCCACTGTAGCGCGGCGGGGCGCCTCATTGGCCGTTGGCCCCTGTTGTCTGCCAAAAGGAAACCATCCACCAGACGAATGCAATGCTGGATCTTAGTCGATGGGGTCATTGGGATACCCATGCTCCCAATGTCAATCCCTGCAATTCTCTTACGGCTTTAGGCCTCTGGACAAGTACCCCCCCGGGCCTTGGGTACTTCTCCCTTTTCTTAATCTATCCGTAATGCCCGCGCCCTGCTTGCCTGCCTGCAACTTGACTGAGACTTGCACTGGCCCAAACAAAAACCCGGCTGCGTCGTTCTGTATCGCTTGCCTTCACACCTCGCTCCTCGTCGTCGTCCTCGTCGTCGTCGTCCTGGGCCACACGGAAGCTTCTCCTTCTCCAAGCAAGCCCGTGGCCCTCGCAAGGAGACATTGCAGGATCCGCCGTGTCCCTGAACTCTGTCTTCCCACGGGTCCATCGCGTGCGTCTTGCCGTGCGGTCATCGACGCCCGCCCTAGCAGCACTGGACAAGATTCATCCACCACACTAGCAACTCGCACCATCCGCGGCATCCACGAGGCTTAACACTAGATCGCTGTCGCCGGTCCAACGCCAATTGGACTGACCAACGCTGTGTCCTGTGTCTGACGACAGTCTCCACTCGTCACAAGACTGCAAAACGGGCCGCCCGTCCTCTTTTCTGCGCTCCATCGGCTGTGCAGTCGTCGTTCTGGTCCCAATCCCTTAATCGCGGACCACCCAGCCGCCCCTCGTTTCTCGTGCGACTCTTTCGTCTGCTCCTTTCCATATTTCTCGGATTGCACAATATTCGCCAAGAGCCTTTCAAATAAGTCCCCGTCGAACCCTTCGGATCCTGGAAACTTCTGCTGTGCCTCGAGAGCCAGCGTTGCAACCTTCCAGGGCGTTAGCACAAAGTTAATCTTGTACTATCATCGTACGCCGCTGCTCATCTAGAAACCCTATTTGCATTTCGACCAGCAGTTCTCCCACGGAGAATAGCTTTGCGGCCAATCACACAAAACTTTGGACTGGATTGCTCACAGCCTTCTGGTTAATTCCGCACTCTCTCCGAATCCAGGTTCTGTCCTGAATCGAGTCCTTCGCCTCTGCCATCATTCACGGTCCGGCCGCATCGGGTAGCAGTTTGGTGGTAATCGGAATCCGCCGAACGTGTACAGACTTCGGACGTCATCAGTTGTCGAGAGCAGGAAGTCGGCGCCTCATTTGGAGACGGCCATCTCTGACATCCGTGCTGGTAACCATACGACTCACCAGTCACAGGACATACGGGTCGAATCAATCACGGAAATCCCGGCTACTCGCAGAGAATCAAGGCAGCGTTGTTGTTGATTAAACGCACTTGGTAGACCTTTTTTTGAATGGAGCAATAGCCTGTTCGGGGCAGATTCGCGACTGCAGGACTACCTGTTTGTTTTCTGTCCAGCAGATTCAAGGCGGATTACCCCTGTCTCTTCATCCTCCCTTCCTTCGCGCGAAGAAATGGGTAGATCAAGAACACGCGGAAATTCACCAACTTACTTGAACCCATCACCAAGGCAGTTAACACCCCCGTCTTCAGTCCACGGGGACTGGGACGCAGAGACCGCCATGTCTACATCTAGGCCAACCAGCTTGGCCATTGCTCGCGCAGGATCACCAATCATCAAACTCCCCACCCTGAACGACATATTATCGAACACGGCACAACCACCATGGACCCTAAGCGCATTCACGGCGTACTTGTCCCAAAACCACTGCCTCGAGACCTTGGAATTCCTCATGGAAGCTGAACGCTATCGGGCAGCACATGCCAACCAGTCAGCGGCCCACGGGCGCCAATTGCATTTCGAAGACGAGAACATCTGCTTGCTGTGGCATAGACTCATGCAGGCATACATCATGCCGTACGGCCCGAGGGAAGTGAACCTACCGGCTCCAGTTCGCGATCGCTTATTGCAGCTCTCCTGTTCCCCCGCTTCTGTACCACCGCCGTCAGAATTAGATGAGGCTGTCGGCATCGTACATGAGCTCATGAGCGACTCGCTGCTGGTACCTTTCCTCCAATCCGTTGCAGCAGCCGCTAGCGAATCCTCCCAGCACGAGGAGGTAGCGGAGGGCAGACGGAGTAGGTCGAGATTACGCATACCCCGGGACCTCATCTCGCCAGCAGACGAAGGATCGCAGTCGCCGAAGACGCACTTTCTTCCGTTACTTCTTGGCCGTAACAGCCCCGTGGTCAACCGATCTAACTCGGGGTCGGGCTCAGAAACCATGGAAGTTGACCTCGTTACCGACGACAGCAGTCCAAACTCCACACCCGGCGCCGAGCCCATGACACCGCCTACCACTCCACCAACCTCGGACTTCACTTTCAGCGCCTCTCCGAACACATTACAGCGGGCGATTACGGGGAATAGCTGGAAGAGAATGGGTGCGCGACTAGGGCTGAGCAGGAAGAGCCGGTCCATTCGGCGCTCTGAACCGACCAATGTCCCACCAACCAGTACCGACATTGAAACGATGCCATCAAGACACTCGTCTGGGCCACCTCCCTTATAGGAATTACAGGCCATACCATTACATGAAATCACTAACAATCAAGAGGCTTCCCAACCTGAACAGGATGACGCTCAATCCTCCCCGAGAGGGTCATGGGAAGACCCACACCCAGGACAGCGGCTCCCCACCCCCGGGGTGCCTGCTGGAGTGTGTGGGCTTCCCCATGTTGTTAGTAGTGATCCAATGGGTGGTGTGGCCGCAAAAGCCGTGGGCGTACACTATACCGGCAGACCTGTGGTCCGCAAGAGCCTGCGGGCAAGGCAACGCAATTCGATGCCTAAGCCGCTCAAAATTCCTGCAAAGGTCCCTGAAGAGGCCCAGAGCAAGAGTGCCCCTCTTGTCATGTCTCATCAAATCAACTGCGTACCACCAAGCTGCCCACTGCGGTTACCTGTTCTTCCCATGCCAGAGACCGTGAAGGCTTTGGATCTTGATACGGACACGGAAACCGAGGTTGGCATTCCGCTTGAGGATGTAGACAGGGACGAGGCCAAGATGGCGCCAACACCGCCGTCCTTGACAGATTTCTCCAACTACCTTGGTATTTCCATCATGGACGAGGTTTGCGACGATTCGTCAGTGACACTGGCGGGCTCCGAAACCTACAGCCGAGTACAGTCTGTAGATGATCTGTATGGTTGGGAGGCGGAGTTGACTCGCAAAGTCAGTTGCGGCATTGCTGCGACCAACGCGTGCCACTGTGATTCCTTTGATTACAGGCGAGCCAATGGTCACAAACGAAGCTTGCTCCATCGAGTCTTCAGCATACCTTCAAGTCGCCGAACTTGATAAAATACCTTTTTGCATCTTGCCCCTTAAACCGGGGCAAGATTTGCATCATTTTTTCACCTCGTTTCACATTTACCCGGATATCAAAAACATGATTTTAGTTCAGGGCATCACACCACGGCGTTATCTCTAGGTTGACCAGGCGACTGGAGACCTGGGGTGTTGATTTCGCAAAGAAAAAACCGCAGGCATCGATAGACACGGTCGATTTGGATCCTTTGGCGAGGAGTTTACGATATCAGGACGACGGAGTTTTGGTTCTTTACCCTCAAAGCATTTTGTTTGGATCACCGAGGTCCCGCTTCCCACTCACTCTTGGAGACGGCATCTATTTGCTACGACGAGGCTCATCTCGTAGGGCTTCCCCACACGCAAATGGAGAAGACAAAAGGAAAATGAGAACGTTTACTTTCGCAACGCATTGCTCAGGAGCCAGGGCGGTTGAGGGTCAAAATACATGCATACGTGAGCATTTTCGGAACGGAGTCGGCATGTGTCATGAATATGGGGTCTGATTTATTTTAACGAAGCATCATGCGCGGAGAGAAAGGGGACGCAATAGGGAATCACTGGCGAGGCGTCGGCGCGCGGTCTCACTCTGGCTGGAATTTAGATATCATTGTGCGATGTGCATGAGCGAGCGTGTCAGCGTAGTCGGCTTGTAATGTCTAAACTCAGTGCATAATCACTTCCAAGACACATCTTACCTCAATTCGTTCTTCATTCGTGACTTGTCTTTAATGATGCCATAACTAGCTGACTGATACGCTCAATGGCAGCTTGTATCGACCTGTCCCGAGATTGCTGTAGACCAACGCGTACCCGTCACTAACTACCATACTTATTTGTACGAAACATCGACTATGATCACACTGCTCAATGGCATGGGGATAATGGCTTTTTTACTGTATGTAGGATTAGACCATTAATCTTCTGCTTCTTGTCCATGGAGTTTATGGAGGAACGCCCGAGGGCGAGCCCGACACTCCCATGACACAGCATGTGTACCATCTATATGCAGACCCTCAACATCCGCCCATGTCTCTCACTCTGCATAGCACGTACGTATATATCACATAGCACGCCATACCCACCACAGCGTGTTCAATAGACATCGCCGCTGCCATCCTAGGCAACTTGGTCGTTTTCGTAAATGCCATGGCCAGTACAGCCACCCACACATGCCGGCAAAAGCTCGCGGCGCCTTTGATCCGTCGACCCCTGGACGGTTTGCGCTCCATACCATCCTCACCCATACGTTGTGGATTCACTCCCTGCTCACGCATCCCCATCACGAGACCTGCCAAGGCCGCACGACGCCGTCGTCGCCCGTCGTCACCAGCATCTCCTCGACACCCCGCCGCTCCGACGGGCACGCCGCGTCGTACCGCTTGCACCACGTGATGTGGTTGACCTCGTACGGCCCGTGGGCGCCGGCCACGGTGGCCAGGACGCGCCAAGCCGTCGGCGGCGCCTCGGGCGTCTTGCCCCCGCCGGCGGTCGAGTGTCCGTTGGTCATGGGCACGTCTCCGTCGAGCGCCGCCGCCGCCTCCGCATCCGTCATCCCCGTGCCGTTCCCGGCGGCCGCCGATGCCTGCTGCGGCTCCTCCTTGTACACGGCTATCACGCCGTCGCTGCCCGTGCTGGCCAGCAGGCCCGAGTCGGCGCTCCAGGCCGCCGAGTAGATGTCGCGCGTGTGCGCCTGCGGCAGGACGGCCGTGCACTTCCACTCCTCCTTGAGCGAGCGGCGCATGGTGTTGGGGATGCCGCCGAGGCCGCCCCAGGCGTGGCGGGGTGCGGTGCCGGCGCCGTCGTCGCCGTCGCCGTCGTCCTCCTCCTGCAGGGTCCAGAGGCGGACGGTGCGGTCGGCGCTCCAGGTCATGAGGCGCGGGAAGCGGGCGGCGGCGGGGCGGGGCTCCCACTGCAGGCCCCAGACGGTGCCGTCGTGGCCCTCGAGCACGGCGACGCAGACCCACTCGCCGTCGCCGTCCTCGCGCCAGACGCGCACCGTGTTGTCGTAGCTGGCGCTGGCCAGGACGTCGGCGCTGTAGCGGCCGCGGCCGGCGCGGTTGTGCTCGGGGCACCAGGCGACGGCCTTGACGTCGCCGTCGTGCTCGTTCAGCACCGCCACCGTCTCCCACTCGTCGTCGGCCTCGGTCGCCCCGACGTCCTCCCAGATCCACACCGACTTGTCGCGGCTGCACGTCGCCAGGTACTGGCCCGCGGGCGAGAAGGCGGCGCTCTTGACCTCCGAGTCGTGGCCCTCGAGCACGAGCGTGAACTCCCAGTCGTCCTTGTCGTCACCATCGCCGTCGTCGCTGTCTGCGGCCCCGTTCCCGCCGGCCGTGATCTCGACCTCGAGATTATCCGCCTTGTCGCCGCCTTCCCAGCGCCACAGACCCGCGGTCGAGTCGAAGCTGCCTGTGACGAGGCAGAGCTTGCCGGGCCCCAGATTCGGCTTCCAGGCGACGGAGCGCACAGAGCGCGAGTGGCCGCCGGTGAGGGAGCTGTGGGCGGACAGGGTCGACAGCGAGAAGACGGTGACGGACTTCTGGTGGGCGGTGGCGATCAGGGGCAGGGTCGGGTGCGGTATCGAGGTCCAGGCGCGCTCGTACAGGTCTGGCTTGAAGGGCGGCAGCGCCGTGAGGGTGAGGGCCGGCGCCGCCGTCGGTTCCGGGTTCGCAGACATTTTGGGAGGCGGGGTGGTTTCTGGTGATGTTCGGCGGGCGCGCAGTCTGCCCAGGAGAGGGGCCGCCGAGGGTCAGGGGAGATGGACGCCGCAGGTAGAGCTCTTCAGTTGAAACCGCTGATACTGAGATTCACACTCGATGAGAAAGCGAGACGCAAGCTACAGAGAAGTGGGCATTGCAAGAAAACCGTCGGGCCTGGAGAGTCTGCGCCAGAGCGATATCGATAAGTTATTTTCTCCCCCTGCCCGGCCTGCATCGGACTGACGTATGCGGGGCAGCTTTTATCATCCAATGGCCCTCATTTAGATGACCACCACCCACCAGCCCAATCAAGCCAAGAAGAACCTTTATAAACAGAACAGTACAGTACGACGGCTGGGTGCAATCAAGTTGCTCGTTGTACACACATGAAGAGGGTATGTGGGTTTCATGGCATGCCTTGAACTGAATCTGGCGGCCTTGGGTAACACCACCTCCAATGCCCTGCTTGTCGCATCCACACGCACATGTTGAACCGGTGTATGTCGGACGCAGCAGCCCAGTCTTTGGAACAAGTAGATAGATGTATTCGTCTGAGAGTTGCCATTTTCGACAAAGCAGTCATCTTTCTCTCATCAACGCCATATGATGTCTATATGCCTGGTATCGCATTTTCCGAACCGACCAAAACGCCATGCAAATGCAGCAATCAAAGTACGCAACGGAATGCCGCTCCCTACTTCTCCCGGGCCAGAACCGCCTTCTCTCTCTCGTTTCTCCTCTGTTCGAACTGCTTCTTGGTGTGCTTCCGTTCGTTCTCCTCGCGGCGCTTGATGGCCTTGAGCTCTTCGCCCTTGATCTCGCCGGCCTTCTTGACCACCTTGGGAACGTGCCTGTGGCGCCTGATCCTGCGGATCTCGGGCATGTGAGAGTACCTCTCGGCCAGGGCCTCGTTGTACTCAATGGCCTGACGCTGGCGAGCTGATTTGATGCCCTCCCGCTGCGACGCATTGGCTCTCCACAGCCGGATGTTTCCGTCACTGTTTTACATGTTAGTTCAATTTGTCTTTTGATTTGTGTGACAAGGGGCCAATCTTACTCTGAACCGGATAGAATATACTTGGAGTCGGGTGTCCATTTGGCACTGGTGCGCTGTTAGCTGGACTTCCATTATGCAATAAGTCCACAGAAGCCCTCAAACATACCTAAAGACCCTCTGCATTCTTTTCGTGTGGTAGATGTCTCTGGAGTGACCCTTGTCCCTGCTCCACAACCGGACGGTTCGGTCATATGACGCAGTTACCAGCTCTTGGCCAGTAGGCGAAAACTCGACACTAGAGGAAGTGGTTAGCAAGAACTGCCCGAGTCGTACCAGGGTCATGGGAAAGCCTCGCTACGCGGGCATTCTCCAGGGCCGGACAGACTTACTCCATAACGGCAGCGACGTGGTCCTTCAGGACGTTCAGAGCTCTGTCAAACCTCCTCATGTCAAAGATGTAAACGTTGTGGTCTTCGCTGGCGGCGGCAATGTTGAAGGCCTCCATAGGGTTCCAGCTCAGAGCGTTGGTAGCAAAGTTCAAGACCGTCTTGGCCAGGGGCATGCTCGTCCTCAGATCATAGAGAACGATGCTGCGGTCCGACGCACAAGAGGCCAGAACCGAGGTCTCGACCTGGTTGAAGGCGACTTGGTTGATGGTGTCGACGGAGTTGGGCCAGGCCAGCACGTCCGGCGCCGAGCCCTGCCGGTCGATATCGAAAATGCTGATGTTCAGACCCGAGGAGGCGGCGAAAGAGTTCTTTGACCGGTGATGCGACAGACTGTTGTAGGCGGTGGCACCTAGCCAGGTGTTTAAGGGGGCCGCATCGGAGGGGGTGTCGTAGGGGGCCCAGAGCTTGATGGCTGGAAGTCGGGATTAGTATGAGAGGTGGAAGAAGGGAGGGGAGACTTGGGGCATGGGCAGCTCACATCGGTCAGCAGCGCAGGTCAGCAGCTTGCGGTCCTGCGTCCAGGTCATGCCCTTGACAATGTTCTCGTGGGCCTTGGTGGTGTGCCAGATCTCGTCGCGGCTGGTCAGGTCCCAGACCTTGACAACACCGTCGCCAGAGCCGGAAGCAAAGCGCTCGAGGGAGTTGGGGTCCTTGGCCAGCGAGTAGACACCGTCGACGTGGCCGTCGCCCAGCTGGGCGATGAAGGGCTGGGCAAACATGCGCTCCATCTTGGAGGCGGTGACGGCACGGGTGTACTCGCGCGCGCGCTCGAAGGGGTGCAGGGCGGGATCGAGGTTTCGGGGCTGCTTGGGAACATTGGAGCCGGGCGGCGCGTAGGCCTGAACGGAGCGGCTGAGCGCCTTGATCTTCATGGCGGCTCGCGGATCGTGGACCGTGGACTGTGGTTTAGGCTGTATACCTCGCGGCGGGACCTCGTTCGTTGATAAACCGAGAGACACAGACACACACACACACACACACACAGAGAGAGAGACAGACGTTCGAGATGGGAACTGTGAAAGACTCGACTCCCAGCAGCAGTTTAGTCCCCTCCAACTTTTTTGTGGGGAAGCAACCCGTCCCCTGCCATTGGGTCAACGGGCCAAGGGGCCAATGGGCCAATGGGGGACAGGGGCGCTGGCTGGCAAAGCGGAACCTTGCCGCGGCCTGGTCACGTGCACGGACGCTGCCCATTGGATAGGCGTGCAGCGCTTACGGAATACTGAGCACCTTGGTAGGCCCGTGGGCCACTCAGGTACCTGGTTGCGCGGCAGTGGCAGCCTGTAGGTGACTGGCGGACAAGCTAAGGTCCAGCTCGACAGCCAGCAGCCCCCCCAAAACAGAGCTTAGGTCAGCGATCTAGGTACCCGGACAGCGGCTCTGCAAGGCTGTGCACAGGCGGGTGGCCCTGGAGCTCCAGCGCCCAGGTCAAGCTCATCTCATCGTCCACAGCAGCATCGTCACCATCAACACCACCCACCACCACCCACCACCATCCATCAACCAACTGCAGACCCGCATATAACGAGAGAACCCCGAGATCCAAGTCGCGCCTTTCCACCCACCAGCTGCATCGCCGTAGCCTGCGCATCCCCCGGCAGCTCTCCCCCATCTCCCCCCAGCCTAGCTAGCAGTCACCATGGCTGCTGGAACGTCCGCCGTCCACGAGGCGCAAACGCTCGAGAGCACCGATCCCCGGAAAGCCGAAGCCATCTACAAGGACATCATCGCCAAGCCGCCCTCCGTCACCTCGGACGCCGCCATCAAGGAGTATGAGACCGCCCTGTTGAACCTCGGCGGCCTCTACCGGACCCAGAAGTGAGTCCCCGGGTCCCCGACGATTGCTTCCTCCAGTCTGTCCGTCTGTCTGCTCCATCTAGTCTAACCTGCCCGCCCAGGAAGCCAAATGATCTCGTCAACCTCATCACAACCAGCAGGACCGTGCTGTCGTCGTTTGCAAAGGCCAAGACGGCCAAGCTGGGTATGTCAAGGCCCTTGAACTCCCCAAGCCCTCCTGCGTTACCCCCCCCAGACCGGCCTCTCTAACCACGAGCCCGCCTCACAGTCCGCCAGCTGCTCGACCTCTTCCAAGACATCCCCAACTCGACCGAAACCCAGATCTCCATCACAAAGTCATGTATAGAATGGGCCACCTCAGAACGCCGCACCTTCCTGCGACAGAACCTCGAGACCCGCCTCGTCGGGCTCTACATGGTCAAGCAGTCCTACTACGACGCCCTCACCCTCATCAACGGGCTGCTGCGCGAGCTCAAGCGCCTCGATGACAAGCTCGTCCTGGTCGAGGTCCAGCTGCTCGAGTCCCGCGTCTACCACGCCCTCGGCAACACGGCCAAGGCCCGCGCCGCCCTCACCAGCGCCCGCACCAGCGCCGCCTCCGTCTACACGCCCCCGCTGCTCCAGGCCAACCTCGACATGCAGTCGGGCATGCTGCACACCATGGACCAGGACTTCAACACGGCCTACTCCTACTTCATCGAGGCCCTCGACGGCTACTCGACCCAGGACGAGACCCCCAAGGCCACCGCCGCCCTGCAGTACATGCTGCTGTGCAAGATCATGCTCAACCTCGTCGACGACGTCAACAACCTCATGGCCTCCAAGCAGGCCCAGAAGTACGCCGGCCAGAACCTCGAGGCCATGAAGGCCATCGCCCGCGCCCACAGCAACCGCTCGCTCGAGGAGTACGAGCACGCCCTGGCCGCCTACAAGTACGAGCTCGGCAGCGACGCCTTCATCCGCAACCACCTGCGCCGCCTCTACGACGCCATGCTCGAGCAGAACCTGATCAAGGTCATCGAGCCCTTCAGCCGCGTCGAGATCAGCCACATCGCCCAGCTCGTCGGCCTCGACAACCAGCAGATCGAGCGCAAGCTCAGCCAGATGATCCTCGACAAGGTCATCATCGGCGTGCTGGACCAGGGCGCCGGCTGTCTCATCATCTTTGACGAGACGCAGAGGGACGAGAGCTACGACGCGGCCCTGTCCACCATCGACAAGCTGGGTAGCGTCGTAGACCTTCTCTACACCAACCAGGCCTCGATGCTAGAGTAGCGGGGGTTACGAAGAGGAGAAGCAGCGGATGGCAAAGAAAGCTAGAGCGGCGGGGAGGGACAGGCACTTCTGTGAATCATAGGGGGGAAATAGTGCCACCGCGGACACATATCCCAGGTTTGGGGATTCATCAGGGGAGAGCGGAGCCCGTGCTGTAATACTACTAGAGTAGACGATTTGAACATGTCACGGCCAGCAGAGGGCGTTCATGCGAAGAAAGGCCATCCGCTCGAAAGATCTAGTATGCTTTTGTGCCGCATATTCTGAATGTACTCGGAACAGTTATTTGTACAGCCCCCGTTCTTCAGTGTGTCGTGCCCATTGCCTCATCGATGCGTATCACAAACCCTGTCCTGAACGCCTGCCTGTGTCATGCTTCTCCAACACGTGGGAGCAAAAAAATAATAAACCAACCAAAACCAACCAAAACTAACAAGCCATGTAGAAATACCCGTCTGCGATGCTGAAAGTCTGGCGAACAGGGTATCTTGATCGTGGGAAAAAACAAAGCACAAACAACAAACACCAAACAGGCCTTCCCCTATGTACTCCAATGCGGTGCCAAGGGATATATCCGTATGCACAACCCGCAGTTCCGATCCCTTGCCTATCCAATCCTCGTTTCCTCATGTCATCTCGCCGAGGCTTTTGTCGTTACGAAGGAGAGCCCGACACACTTGACTTCGCGATCAACCACACGGAAGAACAGTCTCCTGCTCCTTCTCCGTGGGCCAAGTACGCATACATTGGTAAACCAGCAGTGCGCCAGCTCAGTTCGCAGCGAAAGCAACACGCCCGCCTCCCCGGCGCTGCTCACGCTCACCCTGCGCCTGGGTCTGCGCCCTCGCACTCGTCCTCCCGACCTGGCCCATCTGGCGGTTCTGCTTGCCGATGATGAGGGCGAAGAGGCGCTTGCTGAGGCTGCGGGCGTCCCAGCCGGGGACGTCGGCGCGGAAGGCCTCGACGACCTCGAGGTGCCAGGGCAGCAGGGTGAGGCTCTGGCGGGCGGTCGAGACCTCCTTGCCGGCGAGCGGGTGCTGCTTGGTGTCGGGATCGACGCCGCCGGCCGCGAGCACGCGCGGGTACAGCATCTGGAAGCGCAGCGGGTCGAAGGCCCGCAGCCCCAGCAGCTCGTCCAGCCGCAGCCAGTGGTGCTTGGTCCAGGCCGTGGCCGAGAGCGCGGGCTTGTCCGGGGACCGGGGCGGCGGCGACGGGCTGTTCTCCTTGTCGAGCTCGGACACTCTCGGGACTGCTGTCAGGACAGGAGCCTGCGAGATGAGCCGGTTGATGCCGCCGTCCAGTGTGCTGAGCGCCCGCTGTTGGTCGTCGCGTGCCCGGAGGCGAGCGTCTGGGTTCAAGACGCTGCTCGTAAACTCGACCACCCGGCCTGGCGTTTTCGGCTTAAGTGGAGAGCGCAGGCAAGACTTGGACGGGCTGAGAGTCTTGTCCCAGTGTGAGGGCTTCTCACGCGGCGGGATGCGCTCGAAAGATGGCTCGTCTGTCTGCATCGAGGAGCCCTCGCCACTGTCGTACGGCTCCTGGGGAGGATCACTTTCGGGTGACGGGGTCCGCATATCCTGAGCTGGAGTAGAGCCTTGTCTGCTCGGTGTGAAGAGCGAGGCCGTGTTGCGAGATTGGGCCGACAAAGGAGTAAAGTTGCGTTTCTGCGGGATAGGGGGGAAATCTTGGCGTTCTGGCGTCGACGGCAGATCAGCGGTACTATCTGGCACAGTGTCATTCGACTTAAGGGCAGACCCCGGCGAAAAGAGATCGTTTCGGCGTTCGGGACTGGGGTTGAATGCCTTCTGTCGTATCGAAGGGAAGAAACCAGTTGCCCGGAGTGCAGACTGAGGCTCGCTAGGAGGTTGTCGCTCGACACTTCGGAGAGGACGAGGCAGAACTTTGGAGGTGGTCTGGTGTTCTGGGGTCTCCTCCACTTGTTCCTTAGCAACCGGAGGTCGAGGCGATGAGAAGAAGGACAAGATGTCAAAGCTTCCAAAGAAACTCCTTCGAGCGGGCGCTGGCTTCTCCTGGGCTGGCGGCCCGGTATTGTGATCGTGTTTGGATACCATAGAATACTCTTCAAGCAAAGAAGGCTCTGGTGCCGGTTCGACATTTCTGTATGGTTCCGGCGTCGGGGAGTGTTCCTGAGGCAGGTCAAATTCACCGCCATCAGCGCCATCATCAGAGTCGCTTCGCTGGTCTCTGAGCTCTTCCTCAATGTCGTCGTGTCTCATGTCCTCGACATCAGCTTCAGGCTCCACGTACTGCCTTTCCTGCTGGACGGCAACTGGAGGGACTGGACTGGGTCTATCAACCTCACTTGGTGGGCTGTCTTCCATCTCAATCTGAGATGCACTCTTAAAGTCATCTTGGTAGATGAGCCGTCTAGTGTTTCGTCTCCAGGGGCTGGGGATCTTGGCACGACGGGCTGGGTTGCTGCTGACTTGCGCTGGCTCTGACGCTGGCTCCTGCTCCTGCTCTTGTGGTTGCACTTGGGAGCTTGGTTGTCTTCGTGCTTCTGCCTCAGCTCGAAGGATCTTGGCTGATCGAGGGGTCGTGGGTGTAGCGCGCGAGGCTTCAGCTTCCCACAAATCAAGGTCGTCAAACCCTTCTTCTTCCTCTTCTTGAGGACCACCAACGAGCTGATCTTCTGGTTGCTCATCCTCTTGCTCATCCGGCTCCTCCGGCTCATCCGGCTCCTCTGGTTCTTCCGGTTCTTCTATCTCTGCGTCGAGTTGATCATATTCGTCAATCTCACCAGGAGACGAACCTTCCTCTTGTTCTTCGGGTTGCTGTTCTTCCTCTACTTCTTCCTCTTCCTCCGCGTTTTCAACGTTTAAGACGCGGCCACTGTTGGAGCCACGCGTTCCGACAAGACTCGAGTTCACTGATCGTAATGTCGCAGACATCCGCCTGGATCGTTGAGCCGTAGGGCTGCTCTGATCACCTGCCCAATTCACTTCACCTTCGCTCGCCGGCGCAGCCCTGGTAGAGCTGGTCATTGAGGGAAAGGGCTCTTCCTGAACTGGGAGGGTTTCGGTCTCGTTATGCTCAGTTCCTCGAGGTGAGGTCCTAGGAGCCTCGGTCTGCTGGTCGCGATGCATGCTCGGACCGAATGGATCTTCAGCCTGGCCAAACGTGGGAGCAGGAGCATGCCGTTGGCTTGAAGCAAACGCCGATCTGATGCTATGCGATAACGAGGCCAGCGGATTAAATCCAAAATTCAAATTGGACTGATGAGTTGAATGCTGAGGATCGCGGATGGGGGATTTTGAGATGGAGGATTGGCGTGAGTCGTTCTGGACAGACCCTCTAAAGGGACTTCCCAAGCTACTTTCCCGCCCATCGGGAGATGATCGATCTGTCATTATATTTTGTAGAGTTCGACCCGCCCGAACGATCGGAGACAATGTCGGGCGCCGCTGCGGCGCTGGTGGTTCCAATGTCTTGGATTGTCCAGGTGATCCGGATGCAATTTGAGACACTGCAGGCGATGAGCTTCTTCGTGGTGGTGTGCCGGCGGTATCCTGCTCCACCTGCCCGCCCTCGGATTCTATGTTCATCGTGGTGAAATGGCGACTGATGGTAGGCGGTGAGGAGCGGATGTTGAGATTCGAAGTATTTCGCACTGCAGATGATATCGCAGCCGTCCCCTGGGTTTCTTCACCAGCGCCGTTCTTAGCGTCTGTGGTGGAAGAGTTGGTGTCATCAGGTGTAGGCAATCGGTCAGATCCAATATTGGTAGATCTGGACGCTGAGTTGCCTTCAACGTCGGAGGAGAGTTGATCGCTGTTGTTCTCACGGTAGGCAAAAGCGGCGGACCGTGCTGCCGGCTTGGGCGTGGCAGCTACAAGGATCTCGTCGGGGATCTCTGAGAAGGAATCGTCGTACATTACGGTGTCATCGTGTGCCGTCTCCATGGAAACTTGCTTCGTCGATATCCTTGCCGGGGTTGCTGCATGTAGAACGCTGTCTGGTATACTCGAAAATGAATCGTCCACATGCGGTGCTTTGGGCGCAAAGATCTGCCTATTCAATGGCATTGCCTTTGGTCTGCGCGGGCTCCTTGAGAAAGACATCTGACTCGATCGCAAATCAGCCGGGCTGCTTTGTGCTGCCATTGAGTGGTTCTGCATCACCGAGAGGTTTTGCAAGCGGCTTTCATGTGCCAGCGTGGCTTCTGGTTCATCTTGCGATTCAGTCTGAGTGCTTCGTCTCAGCGATTCCATAGTCTGATTGATGAGGAGATTGGTCTCCTCGCCAGCGTCGGCGTAAGAGTGCTCCTCTTCAGCAATGCCACTCAGATTGCCCTGAAATGAGGCCTGGAACGAGGGCAGAGACTCGACTGCTATCATACTAAAGTCGGATGCATGGGTTAGGTTGTCTTGGCCGCTGTACGTCATGCCGTCCTCGTCACCGGCTTCCGATTCAAAATCACTCTGAGGTTCTTGCAGGTAGTCGTCGAACATCGGCCCATCGGATCCGCCTGCGCGAGCTTCATGAGCCGATGCACCGTCAATTGGATCCGAGCTTGGGGCCGGGCCTGGCGAATGATGCTCCTCGGCATGAACGGAAAGACCCAGGGCCGTGTTTTCTCGAGTTGGGGAACTGGCTGAAGCTCTCTCGTCGCCATGGGTGGGTTCATCCTCGGGTCTCAGGTCGTTTTCATCCATATGGGTTTCCCCTTCGGAACGGGCGTCACCGAAAGTCGGCGCATCCTCATTCGGAAGCATATCCGTCTCGTCAGCCCGAAACTCGGCCTCGCTCGTCAGAATGGCCACTTCGTCGGGCATCAGAGCTTTCCGCGGGCGTCCACGTTTCCTGCCAGTCGGTTTACTTGACGGTGGTGCTGGGGTGCCGGCTTTCTTGGGTGTTTTCCTCGCCCTCGTCTTCGCTTTGGGGGTTGGGTCTGCTGTGGAATTGGCGTCCGTGTCCAGAAGCACATCGCTGGGCAATGCCGCTTCCGACGATGCTTCGCCGCTGCGACGCTTCGCTGTAGGGGCTTTGCGTATAGGTGTGCCGGCCCTCTTCTTGCCCCTGGGGGGAGCTGGTGTTCCATTCTTGCTTCCTAGGCTTCCCCGAGGCCGGCCGCGCCGTCTCGGAGTCGGATCGTCGCCCAAGTCGCCGCCCTCATCGTCGGTCAAGCCTCTGAGAGGCACAGTCGTAGTCGTCGTCGCCGCCTGTCGTCTGCGGCTGACACTTCTTGACGGCGAGGCGGCAAACAGGCGCCTGCTCACGCCGCTGTCTCTGCCCCGGTCATCCTCTGCCTCGACCGTAACCAAGAGCCTCTGGGGCGAGCGGCCGTTGCCAACGTCCAGTTCGAAGGTCTGCTTCCTGGGCGACTTCGAAGTCGACATGACCTTGGTTGAGGTGCTCGGGGGGACCTTGAGCGACGAGCTCTGGGCCTGGGGGTGGAAGTGGCGGGCGATGCGCCGCGTGGAAGGCCGCATCGAGCTCGGGGCCTCGTCGCCCAGCGGGTCCGGCGACGAACTCAAATCCACGAAGCTCGCCATGGTGGCGCCGCGCGCTGGGCTAGGTGATCGGTGGTGGTGGGCGCTCGCGATGCGTGTCGGAAGTGCGTGCAGTGCAGGCGGGAGCGCATTCCAGGTGCCACGGAGCAAATCGCGATGCCTACACACGTGTTTCTGCGTGGGGTGAAATGCCACCAGGAAGATGCCGGGGTCCCAACTGCGACAGACAAGGCAGTTTGTTTACTCGGTCCTGATCAGGCTAGTGCCGGGCTGCGTCCCAGCGTCCCAGCGTCTCACTGCGCCCAAGGCCCCAAGGGACCCAAGGGACCCCAACTTGGAACGGACCCAGCGTGGGGCGTTACCTGGCGCCGCTTGTCAAAAGTCATCAGAGGCCAGGCTAGGCCAGATCTGGACCAATTAACACGGCCTTAAGCCGGGCCATAATCCCCCGCATGGCATCGGTTAGCTGATTAATAGTGCTCAACCTCAACGTCATGTCTGCTTGTAGCAGTTTGGCTGTACTTACACTGGGCTTCCTTCCCCGAGATTCCCCCAAATCGCATGGCAGCACCCAGGTGGCAACGATTATGAATTGCCGAGAACAATACTCCTGGTTCTGCTCGAACGCAGAGCCTCGTCCGTGTTATTTCCTGACCAAGCTTTGAGCATTGGTGCTCTCTCTACGCCCTTCCGCTAATTACCTAAGAGGAGCAATCACCCGGGCGTCTGGCGACACCATTAGTGGTGGGCTGCCGTCTTACAAACACACATGAAGCTTCAAGATGCAGATGACGTGATTGCTAGTGGTATCACATCTACTTCTAGTGATATCCAATGCTGCCTCTGGACCCCTTCTTGATTTGAAATACCGTTACAAACTCGGGTTGGAACCCTTCTATAAAGAGTGATCCCCTCGACGCTCAACTCAGCTGTTCAATATCTTCTCAATATCTTGATTGTCTATATACGTACCTATACACATCCACCATTATATACCGAATACAAACTTCTAATACAGTGCTTCTTGAAAACGCACCCAGTCATTGCCTTGGTTTATCATCCTCAGTCAATTATTGCCTAGAAGAGCCATCCTTTTAGGAGGAAACATACCAAGACTCTATTGCCCTACAGACTCTAACACCATGGCCATAACGCCGGACCCCGTACCACGCGGCCCTGTGACGGCAACCATCAACTTCTCCCACCGCCCACCACCGGGCGTGGTAGCCGTGAACTACGTCGAGGACCCGCCGCCGGGCGAGCCAAAGCGCAACGTGGACACCAACCCGCAGGACGTGCTGCTCACCGACATCCGGGGGTCCGAGTCGCAGTACAACCTGGACACGGACGCCTTCGCGGCCATCCGCGGCGTGCCCGAGTCGGCGGAGCGCGACTTCGCCGACGACGAGAGCATCCGAGCCAGGTACTACCCGGAGGTGGAGCGGCTGCTGCTGGAGCACGTGCCGGGCAGCACCCGGGTGTTCCTATTCGACCACACGATCCGGCGGGCGGTGCCCGGGGCCAAGCGGCAGCCGGCCATGGCGGCGCACATCGACCAGACGCCGCAGTCGGCAGCGCAGCGGGTGCGGCGGCACATGGGGGACGACGAGGCGGCGGCGCTGCTGCGGGGCCGCTACCGCATCGTCAACGTGTGGCGGCCGCTGAACCGGGCGCCCGTCGAGTCGAACCCGCTGGCGTTCGCGTCGTCGTCGACCTTCCGCTCCGAGGACGCCATCCCCGTCGAGCACCGCTACCCGACCGGCTACACCGGGCAGACGGCCATGATCGCCCACAACGAGGACCAGCGGTGGTACTACTGGAGCGGCATGACGGGCGACGAGCGGCTGCTGCTCGAGTGCTTTGACAGCGAGGGCATCAGGGAGGGAAGTGGCGTCAAGGGTGGCCGGGTGCCGCACACGGCGTTCGCGGATCCTAGGACACGTGAGGGTGCCGAGCCCCGGGAGAGTATCGAGGTCCGAGCGCTGGTCTTTGGCCCGTAATGATGGCTCAGGTCAGAGCTGTTGAGGTTGTGTCTCAGTATTATGTTGAAAATTGGCTACAATAATGAAGCAAGTTTATAGTCAGTCTCGTTCAGATATCCATTGCGATCACAAAAGGGTTGTTGATCACAGTGCTACGTGATCATTCATTGCGTCTGGTCTCGTTGGAGGTGAAATCAAAGCTCAATATTTTGGTTCTCGTGTATCTAGAAAGAAGCGTTCGCCATGTCCTTCCATTAGCCCTGGCCTGTCCTAACCTGTGCTCCTTATGCAATGCAAAGTAAGCCTAATAAAACGACCTAGTGAAATCATGCGCCATGCCACCTCATGTGTGGCGGGATATAATAAACAACGTAAAATATCGAGTTACACCGAAGCCAGCTACCCGGCTTGGCATTCAACGAGAAGGTTGGCGAATCTTCGAGGACGCATCCTCCACCCATACACTCTATAGCGTGGTTCGTCTCCTTGAATAGCCCCCGTGGTCTTCGTAGTGGCATCCCTCGTAGGCTCCCTGGTCCCCTTGAGATGCGACTCGTGGATGAATTCAGCCCTGTGTTGGTTGTATCGGTAGCAGCTAATTGGAGGGTATTGCCCGAGGCTCCAGCTTGCTGCTGAGTATATTTGATATGTGTATCGGGACTTGCGGCAAAATTGTGATGGGGTTATCTCCTCTAGCCTCCTCTCCTCCTGCCTCCTCTGCCGCTTCCTGATCGGCTCATGGCAACCCCGCCAAAACTGCTCTGTCGAGACATGGGAGGAGCCGGGGACGCGTGGCTACCTGCGGCAACACCAGGTGCAAGACCGCTGAGAATGGTGCTACCCAAGCCAGGCTCGTCTCGCAGGCTAGAGGCAGCAACCCCGAGCCCATCAGCGATTTGATCGATAGGAGGACGAGGTCCCTGGATCAAGGCAGCAAATGGTCGTCCACTCCGCTGGGGCACGACCATGTTTTCCAGTAGTTTCCGACCACCGTTGACGGAATCGAGGTTGGCACCGGTGCCGTGGTGGCGTTCGTATGACTTGAAAACACTCATGATGGTGATATCTTGCGAAGCGTCGTCCATGTTCAGAGCCGACGGGGTGTTTGATTCGGACTTCACGTATGCCTTGGAGTATTGAGAGTGTATCAAAGGCGGCAGCTTGGGCTCTTGTGCGTCCATCTTCTCGAGATTACCCACAAGCTCAAAGTTGGCTAGACCTTCCACACCCAGGATCTTGTCGTCGTACCAATTCTGGTGATTGTTCAAGGTACGAGTGCTGCGGGTCTGGTGCGATGGTTGGCGCTCCATGCTAGGGGCAGCCAGCTCCTCTTCCTTCTCATCGCCGTTGACCTCACCGTTGCCAGCCTCGCTCTCCTCGGGAGACGGAAGCACATTGCCGCTAGCGTCACGCCGGGTGAGGAGATGCTTGTACGCAGCTATAGCTGCCGTGTTGTAGTTCATAGACAGCTCCTTGTCAGTAAAGAGCTTATCGATACTGAAGATGGGACCATTTTCTTTGCGAATGCTGCGGATTCTGTCACTCTGCCACAGCGGGGTTGTGCTGGTGGTATCGAGGGCTCTGCGGATAGGAGCAGGCGAGCCGTCTTCCTCGGCAGGATTCCTCTTTCTCTTCTTGTCTGTGAAACCAGGCAACTCATCCATCTCCCTGCGCAGGCGAGTCGCGCGCTTAGAATGCGTACCGCCAGGGCTCGCAGGGTTCGTGAGCGTGAACTGGTTCGGGTGGAGAAACAAGGCCGAGTTGTCGGAAATTTCGAGCGCCTCCTTCTCTCTGTTCAATCGTAACTTCTTGGAGGTGATTGCGTTCATAAGCCGGTCCTTGAGCGTCGCCGATAGGGCTCTATGTTCTCGCCTGGCGACCTCGACTTTGTACGCGTAGGTGTTGCGGTGATTGAGACTGCGGCTGTCATATTCGTGCTGTTGTGGAAAAAATGAGTTAGCCTACAATTCCCCTCCTCAAGTATAGAGCTTAGTGGTAGTCAGGACGAGCTTACCTTCTGAGTTGTCAACTCGTAGTCACGAGTCTCAAGGAGATCTTTGACGTTCTCGATCCACTCTTGGAAAGACGGGCCAGCCATCTCCAGCAGTGTGCGCGTTGGGCGATCGGTGCCATTGGCATTGGCACTGGCGTGAGAGAGTTCACGAATGTCGCGCTCGATCTCGTCGAGAGGGCGGTCTGAGTAAGGGTCGACTCGAGAGACAAGGTGGACGTCGGCTTGGATCTTCTGCAGCTCTTCTCTATAGCTTCGGTCTCGGTCGCGGCTCATGTTCTCGGTGAGCAGAGCTAGCTTGTCGTAGATCAGCTGCTTCTTACGTTCACGTTTCGACTGAGCCGGAGGTGACTGCGCTCGGGTCGCCTTGTGTGAAGTGGCGGCCATGGCCGACTGGGCTGAGTCGGCAGTTGCCATCGCGCCTACAGTTGGCTATGGCAGCACAGCGCACAGGGGCAGGGGGTGTGGTGGTCGAGGCAACAGGTTGAGATCTGGACTGTTGCAATAGTCCCTTTCGAGGCTCGATGGGTGTGATCAGGGGATACCGGCAACAGCGGCGAGTGAAGTCTGGCTGTCAGAGTTGACTTGCGTGCGAGGTATGTAGATTGGTGAAAGTGGGAATTGGCGTGCAAGCAGCTGAGCGGAAAGGTGGTATGGGGTGTGTGTAGTTGAACGGAAACAGTCTCAGCTCCGAGTATGGAGAGAAAGGCTGGCCCCAACCGTGATGCTACCGTTCTACCATTCGACAGAAAGACGGAAGAATCGTACGACACGCACGGCAAGTTCGTTCAGCGGAGCTGATTGTTGTGAATGGGGAATGCGAAAGTGAAGTCTTCGCTGACCATAGAACAATCAACCGTCAACCCCAGCCCAAACCAGCGCAGCGCCCTGTGACCGAAAAGTGGGTCCATCACCAGCCTGCCCGGTGCCCAGCGCCCAGTGCCCAGCGCCCAGTGCCCACTTCCAGGCCAGCGCAGTCCAAATTTTGCGCAACCTGGGAGGAGCCCCGTCCCCACGGCCCCAATCGCCCGTACTCAATTGGTTTGGCTCGGCCACTTACACCCGTGGACCCCGTGAACCACTTACACGCAAAGCTCAGAGAGCAAGACTGTATATATTCCCACCAGAGTGCTATTTGCCTAGCTAGTTGGTCTTGGGAAAGAGGGAGTCTGGATCCATGTCGTGATTGAGGTGGACAGCTTGCATGCTCTAGTTATAGCATAGGTCGCAATGTAGAATACCTGTAGAGCTTCAGGAACACGGGATCCCTCGTGAAAGTGTGGTGCGTCTTCGCGAGACTCGTTTATTAGACCTTTGACAATGGTGGGCACGTCTAGAAACGCTGGTCTTTTAGGAAGATTGCTTCTTTCACCACAAACCAGTGTCCAGCTTATGAAAAGCGAGGGTTCTGATGGTAAGAAAAGACGTGACAGGGCGTGCTATGGTACTGATAGTTAGCAGGATTTTTGTGGTTCCATGCGTGAATCCACCTGCTCCCATCCCGACGTCGCCGGACCCAAGTCCCACAATGAGGGGTTTCCCCCTCCTCACATAGCGTTAGGGCAAGCTAACGGCTCGTCTGTCATCCAACGGTGAGATGGCCGAGTTGGTCCATGGCGTGAGGTTAAGGTCAAAATCTTAGCATCAATTTCCTCATCGGGGTAACCCGGCGTGGGTTCGAATCCCACTCTCATCAACAAATTTTTGTCTTAATTCTATGCTATCACATCAGATGAACATGGACTCGAAGAATCTTTTTTGTCACTAGTCTTTTTTGTTCATTGTGTTCCTCGTCTCACGTGGTGTTGTTACTTGTCCTGGAAGGGCAGGCGATAGGAAATATTCATCTCCGTCCGAATTGATAAACATTAACCGACGCCATACTTGGCCTCGTTCAGTACGTATCATGTATCCGTAGCCATTCAGGGGACGTGTCGTGCTATTCAGTAATATCGTCATGACTTGCTAAGGTAAGCATGTTCGTTGTGGTTTTGTAGACTGTTTCCAGCATATCTAGCGTCCATCAAGTATAGGTCTCGCTGGCTGGCGGAAGTTCAGCTTGTGCTAATCGTAATTGCTGTTCGACATCTTTCAACTGAACCCGTTATCATGCTCTAGGGTGAGACGCCATTCTCAAACTCGAGTAGTCCAAAGGGCCATATGTGTTTTCTCGACGAGTAGACAGCAAGCTAAAGCGTCATGGGTTAGCATTAACCTATCACTCTTTAACATGATCCAAGCCACGAACCGACTGTCGGTGCAGAACCAGGTAGAAGCCCAAGCACACCAGCAACACGGCTAGGAAGCCAATCCTCGAACAGGTGTTACAAAGACTCGAGTCGTCTCTTGGCTGCTGCTGCTGCGTTTTGACGTCGAATTTAGCTGCAACGCTGCGAATGTAACTCCCGCTTATCAACATCCTGGGATCGGTGGTCTTGAACAGAAACGAAGTTCGATCTCCTCCTGAAATGCGGCGCGCAACTCATGGTGAAAATAAGGACAGTTTCTTATTCGGATGTTGATCTGGCGAAAATGCGGGACGATAAAGTTTAGGAGTACCAGGGCTACGCATGTCTCAGCTCTTTGGCTGGCTTGGGAGACCTTCACGTTGCTTTCAGGACTAGTGGGCCGTATACATGTCTAACATTACACCCAAGATCACCCATTAGTCGACTTCCCATTCCGTCGGGCTCCAGGTATTTGAGGAGGGAAAGAAGATTGTGTGCAAGTGTTCAGAATCCCACACCAGGTGCGCTGCACACTGTTTAGCATTGCCTTTATGGGGTAAATCAAGTATACGCCCTCTATGTCTATCTTTTGTACATCAAAGACTTTTTCCATCCGTAGGCGTGCATCTCGGTGATGCCACATGCGTCAATAAACCCCTCAAGCAGTCGACTATCATCAATTCTGTTCTCGACATGAAAAACAACCAAACCAAACAAGATTGTGCTTCTCGGTGCTGGTCGCGGCGTGCGGCTCTCTTCAGAGACGTATTATCTCGGGGCTCGTCGGTCTATTTATGCACCCGCTTCGTCTAATCCGGCGCCCTCCGCAGCATCTTCCTCTTTGGAACCGGTCGCTGCTCGGCGCTTTAAACGTCTGTTCTCGCGCTTCTTCTCCTTCCTGGCCACCGCTCTCTCTTGCCGTAATCTCGCCTTCTCGTCCGCCGACTTCGTCCTGCTCCGCTCCGCAGCTCGGATCTGGGACTTCTTGGGCGCTCTGGTCTTGGGCTTGGCAGATGCAGCAGCTTTGGATTTCTGTTTGGCCGACTGAGGTGCTGGTGCCGGTGCTGCGGCTGCAGCTGCAGCTGCCGCCGGCGGTGTGGGAGGTGCGGTCAGCACGCCGACATTCTCGGCCTCTGCATCCGAGCCAGGTGCCGAGTTCTGCTCTGCTGCAATCCCGTCGAAGTTCCACGCGATGTTGGGAAACTCCTTGGTCGGGTCAAAGGCACTTGTTGTTTCGGCCATGGTGGGTTTGGCCTACTGGAGGCACTCTTTTCAATACAAAGATGAGCTGCCGCAGATGCAATCGTTGAGCAGAGATTTTGGGCTGGCCAGTGGTCAGTGAAAGTTCAAATCGCGTAATACGAAAAACATACTTACCTGCGCGTGTATAATTGAGAGTAGGATGTTGGGGCTGAAGGTGAAGATATTCAGATACCGATGTTCAAGGTCAGTGAGGAAATCTCTTAGGTACAATTTTTTTTTAAGTGGTACAGTGTCGATTGGCGCGCGCGGGCGAGCTAGCCACGACTTGACTACATCCTTGCAACCGCGTTCACTCTATAACGACCGTTCGCAAGATACGTAACGATATTTTGATTGCATCCAACTATTTATAGCCCGCTTCGTAGTTTTTGCAGTTGGTTCATAAAGCCATATCCTGATATTCCTCGACTTTCTGCGGCGCCCTCCGTACTCTTTCGGGGGCCGTTTTCTGTCTCTGTCCTGACATCGCGTTTGCTGCCTTGCTCCATCTCCCGCAGCAGGTCCTTGTGCCTGTCTTCCACCATCTTCGCCAGACCGTCGATGAACTTTGTCCTGCCCTTTTCCTCCGCTGTGCCCTTCCAGACTTGGGTCAGCACCTTGAGCTCTTCAACCTTGAGCGCGGCTTTCTCAATGCCCTCGACCGGGTCCTGGCTCTTGAATACCAGGTCGGATATTTCATCCTTGAGTTGCCTCAGGACTTGCTGCCCCTTCTCCTCTGTGCTGTGCTCCCGACTTCCAGCGTCAGGTGCAGAGACAGACAAAAACGAAGAACTGACGGACAGCTCTGAGGGCGGGAAGACGAACTCCATAGCATCGCCAAACGTCTTGATGACGGAATCAAGACGCGCACGCACGAGGGTCAGCGTACGCAGTTGGGTGATATACTCCGGGTCATCGACGGGGTCACCATTTGTCCCTGCATCTGCGGATACTGCTGTTCCCGAAACTCTCCGCTGTGTCCCCTCGCCTGCTCCGTTTATCTTCAGTTCTCTGTCCTCTCGTATCCCACCCGGGACAAATTTGACCACGTCCTCTTGTAACCCATCCGATAGTGACTCTGAAAGACTGAGTGTCTCTCCCCTGAGTAGTTCCACTTCGTAAGCGAGCCTGCTTCCACTCCGCAGTATATCGTCCGTGAGCTGTGTCAGAGTGTTCGTCAATCGTGTCGTCTGGGCGTTCAGCTGCGACAGTAAAGCCTGTGCTTGTGAAGATAACTCAGTCAAGGGAACGGCGCCCTCCTGGCTCGGTGTGATGGAGGAGACGTGGGCCTGGAGCGGCGGCAGGGAGGAGTTGAGGTAGTCTGCGGCATCGAAAGATGGCGAGAGGAAGCTCTGGAGGAACTGGTCGGACACATGGGCCGATTTGGGCTTGATTGGTTGAGAGGGTTTGGAGGGTTGTCGTGTGTGGTGAGGTAGCCCCCGCGAGGACGCGCTCAGCGAGCTGTTCTGCCGCCTTCGCATGGCTTTGCGGTTGGCCCGAAGTCGCTATACACGGTGTGGTATATGTGGAATGCCACAAGAATGCCCACCGGTCTCTGCGTGGGCAGGCTCGACGTCCGTTGCTGTCTGTGTATCGCTGGGAACGGATGCTCAACCGTGGTCATCAGTTCTGGCCACGGCTTGCTCAATTGCAGCCCCACCATATAAGCTCCCCGCAGCCACTCCCAGCGGTCCCCTGGAACGGGACGCTAGGTGCCAGGGGCCCTCCAGCTTCCAAGGTTCCGGGGTACCTCTCAGCGCGCCTACTGGCGCTTAAGCGGCTACTTAGGTACTTCATCAGGCACGACATCTGACTGTATCTTGACTCACAGGCTCTGCCTGTACTGTAGAATATGTATGACGAGACAGTCTTTGGCAGTTCAATCATGTCGGAATCCAATTTAGTCACCCGCATCAGGCATGTATCCCACTTACTTTAGAAGAATGTACCAATCGTGCTGAAAGAGCCCCCCCCCCCCAGATGCCCACTGTCCGCAGTCTGCTAGCCCAGGCTGCAGCGGGCGGTGCAGGCAGCTTAGACCCAATATTGTGCCTTCCTTGTTTGCCTTGAGCTATGCCTTTGCTTTTCAATAATTCACAAGTCATTCCATACAATTTCTCTCGGCTCAGCGTGAATTCATGTCAATATTGCGAGCAGAGCCGCTATCACAACAAGCTTGGCCGTCTTGACGGCACATAAATCACTGTCATGTCCTGACTTGCACACGGCCACTTACAGGATATCAGGCAGAGAATTGGCCCGGTTTGCGTTGTTCACGCTCACCTGAATGTTCAACCCTACCATTCTCAAGAGGTTTGTTCGCAGATGACTCATCAACGTGTGTCAACTGACATTTTCCAGAACCATTCCTGAGGCTTCGAGGACTGTTGCCCGGGACCCGTGGTTGCTCTCGCAAATCCAAGGCAGCCCCAACAATCGTCTGGTGCAACGCATCGCCTCGGCCGTCACTTGGACAAACAGAACCCATGCATTGAAATAACTCTTTTCTTCCGAATCAACCGCCGACTGTTGACCTGGTCCTCGTATCGACAATATTTGCGGTCTAGCTTCTGGACGCGTGTACCGACCGTCATTAGGATATCCGGTTCGATCTGAGCAGGTGAGCTCAGACCCTCGCCCTTCCTCAAACAGCAAGCCCAACGCGTGATACAAATATCACCCGAGGTGACTATTCGTCACCTTCAACCCATACCATACCTCATTCCACAAGGCCAGGTTCAGTTACAATATCACTTCCCTTGGTTCATTCAGGAAATCTCTAGTCTCCCGTCACTGGAAATCATAAACGAGAAGCTCAGTGGAAAACACAAGGCCTTCCTTCTGCAAGGCAGTTCAATGAGCACTTTGGTTCACCAGAATCATACTTTGTTATCTTCAAGATCGACCCATTAGCCCACACTGACCCATTTGCTTAGCTTCTCATCTCAGAGGAGAACGCCCACCATGGCGAGACCGGGGTATCGGGATCGCTACAGAGCGGACCATGATTCTGCTGGGCTGCAAAGTATCCCAAACATCAACAGCATCTCCAGACTCGAAGGCGACGGGGAGTTTGTCTTCACCTACGGTCACCCGCAGCTCGGGACCTCATATGTTCTGGAGGTACGCGTAGTCCCGCAAGAATACTCTCGTTACCCATCCGAGCACTTCTTTCTTGTTTTTGCCTGCAACCAAGACATACCCTCCACCATCTCAAAGACACTTGAGGACTTCATGACACTATCCAGTGGCCTCCGAGTTCAGGAAGCACTTCGTGTACTTTCACAAAACATCACTACATCAATCGTGGACGAAGGGAGAACAGGAAGCGTCATCGATGAAGACAACGACACCGTCATGACAGACATGGAAGACGAGGGCTTTGGTAGCAATGAAGATGATGAAGAATTTGAAAATTTCGACTTCGGCGACGAAGATGCCAGTCACGATGATGCTATCTTTGGCTTGGGCAACGACAACAAACATTCAACTTCGATGGCCGGCGTTAAAACAGACCCAGAAGTCCTGCGCCGCATTCGCAGAGACTTCCGCGCCGTTCGCAAGGCAGGCTTCAAAGTGGGCCGAATATGTGGCTTCGATGAGCAAAATGAGAACCATATCGTCTCGATTTCGGTCCGCGTGGATAAACTCTGCCTCTCCGATGAAACTCGCGAGGCCTGGAATCTTAGGCCAGAGGAGTTTATCGTCCTTCTCATCAAGTACAGCGGTGACTATGCAAACTTCGACGAGGTCATAGATCGAGCGGCAGGCGCGTCAAACCTCGACTTTTGCCTGCGTAAAAGTACCAAATACAAGCCAACAGTACGTCAAGCAACCAGCGCATTCGTGTCTGGAAAGGACAAGGACTCCGAAAATCCAGCCAACGCCGCAAGTCAGATTGTCGATGATGATGAAGATCTCAACCTGCTCGCCATTGGCAAGTCAATCGACACTTTCATGAGGAGTGATTTTGTCTCCATGCTCAAGCTTCGCTGGACCAAGGGCTTGACATGGGATTCTGCCAAGAGAGAGCTTGTGCGTTTGGAGAGATCAATGGACTCCGCGCCGCAGAATAACATCGACGTTCCAATGCTCCAGAATGCGAATGGCGCTGATGAAAAGAGCAATGAAGCGAAACTGCCTGCCTTCCTTGCAAAAGAGTACCTCGTGCAACACACAGAGATATCATTGCCCGTGGTTGCTGCGCAATTTGCCATGCGTTTCTTTGTCAGGTGCACGGATTATTGCATGGTCTGTCACCAGAAAGTGGAAGGCAACTTTGAGGCCCTGAAACCATATGTATGCGGAGACTCCCTATGCCTGTTCCAATACATGGCGATGGGCTTTGGCCCCAGCATCGACCTTGAGGTCATCAACCATCCCAATGTGGTCGATCTGCTCATTAGCTTCTGCTACGCTGGGCTTCAAAAGGTGCTCTTCCATTCACAAGGCAACCCAGCCGCGCCAGCTCCGACCAACGCCTTTCGAGAATTCCCGACCGGGCTCAACCTACAGGTCCCTAGAATTGTCCCTCAAGGATACCCAGTCGCCGCTGAGCGTTTCGAAAAGGCGGAGCAAATAGCAAACGCAATGCTCCTGGATCCGATATCAGTTCAATTTGACTGGAGTTGTTCCACTGTTAAGCTCACGTATGCGAACGATGCCGACAGACTCAGGGCAGGTATGTGGGTTGTTGTCGTAGCGAAACCACTGGGCAAGGGACCTTCTCCAAGCTTGGACGTCTTACACCACGGGCGTATTGAAGCCATCTGCGGGCGAAAGGTGGATTTGCACATCGCGTCGAGTCACACATTACCCCCTTCAGGCCGGACTATGGATGATCTACCGGCAACTGGGGACGGCACATCACAGTGTCATATGGTCCTTTATGATCAGAACCTGGATGACCTCACCAGCCATGGGAAAGCATTCGCGATGGCGCTACTTCTGTCAGCCACGCCTCCCGTAGCATCGATGAGAACACACATCACCGAGAATCGGAACCGCCAACTCGATCGTTGGAGCCAGCTCGTGCCTTCCGCTGCCAAGCTGCTACGGTGGATTGTCGCCTCCAATCGGTCTTTCATAGTCCAGGTTGATGATCTCTCAACGGACGACGACACTGGTTTGGCACGTCCGAATGAGAGAATATCTGGTGTTGACGGCTGGCTGCAGTTCCGCTTTGCACAAGGGTCCCCTGAAAAGGAGGTGCGGTTCCAAGAGGAGCTGAAGACCGTACAGAAGCCTCAGAAGACAATTCTCGCCTGGCATGGAAGTGATGTCTGCAACTGGCACAGTATCATACGCCAAGGACTTGACTTCAAGGTAGTCGCCAATGGCAGAGCTTACGGTGATGGAGTCTACTTTGGACGAGACTTCGCTACAAGCCTTGGCTATTCTGGTCTTCGCGGCATGGGCAATCCTAACGGAGCCAACATCTTACCACTTACCATATGGCCAAATTCATCGCTGAAGATCACATCAGCGCTCAGTCTGAATGAGATTGTGAACAAGCCTCATGAGTTCAAGACAAACGTACAGTTCTGTTACGTAGTCCAGCATGTCCATTGGATTCAATGCCGCTATCTCTTTGTCAAGCCGGATCCTTCAATAGCCTCTACCCTCATGGGGTCAATGTCAAAAGGCACCTCGAATATCATGTCGAGTGAATTCGAGCAAGACCCCCAACACATAGCAACTGGTCCTAGCGGTACAAAGCTGTGCGTACCTAGGGTCGCAATACCTTCTGCCCAAGAGCACACTGTGGAGAAACCGCTGTCTTCTCTGAAAAGACACGCGATGGGACATTCAGGAGACAGCGACGATGAGGATGCCGATGACATCAGCTTTCTGCTCTCTGATGACGAAGCACCAGAAGGAGACACCCGAAAAAGGCTGCGTCTGGATACATCTACTGCATCGGACATTATCGAACTGAGCATCGTGCAAACCGACAAGACCGACTTTCGACCTGGCACTCTGGATCTGACATCACTCCCACAACTCGCACCGCCTTCATATGCGACGTCTCAAGCACAGAAGACTATCGGCCAAGAAATCAAGAAATTACAAAAGATCCAGGCAAGCACGCCACTGCATGAGCTGGGTTGGTACATCGACTTTGAGAACATGACCAACATGTTCCACTGGATCGCTGAGCTGCACTCCTTTGATGGTTCTCTTCCTTTGGCTCAGGACATGAAGAAGGCAGCCGTCACCAGTATTGTCCTGGAAATTCGGTTCGGTCGCGATTTTCCCATGTCGCCGCCATTCGTGCGTGTCATACGCCCTCGCTTCCTTCCCTTCATGCACGGCGGAGGTGGCCACGTCACCGCTGGAGGCGCCATGTGCATGGAGCTCCTGACGACTTCAGGCTGGACTCCGGTAAATAGCTTGGAAAGTGTGTTGCTACAGGTGCGCATGGCTATGTGCAGTCTTGAGCCTCATCCCGCCCGGCTCGAGTCTACCAACCAAGCTCACCGAGCGGACTATACTATCGGAGAGGCTTTCGACGCGTATACTCGCGCTGCGACTGGCCATGGTTGGGTCGTGCCGAAGGACTTGCAGGAGGCTGTCACTGCTATGATGGCTCGAGTGCCGAACGAGACGAAGTGAGCTACTTGACATCTTGGACTGACTGGTCCGCTTGGAGGGAATTGGTAAAACTCTTCCCATGCTTCTAGGGAGAGATACCACTCAGATGGATGAATGACTTTGCTTGTAACCATAGCTCATAGAGAATAGCTACAGAAGGGAAACAGAATCACAACCATCTTGCACCTTGACACTTGATCCGTATCCATAGCAAAACGAGGAGAGTGTGTAGCGCACGGTATGGCAAAGGAGCGCCTTGAAGCATCGAGAGCCACGATGCTGCGCTCTATCGCGATTAGAAAGATGAACTCAATCAAAGCTCACAACAGGGTGCCGCCTGGGTTGCCCCGAAAGTTTGGGCATCCTAATGCTATACAAAGTTACGTCGCCCTTACATTCATATCGCGATTTTAAATCACTATACCACACTAAGGCCGAGCCTATATTGAAAAAAAGTGAAATGTGAAGACTTACGCAGTCTTTTTGTAAGTGGCTTGCGAATAAATAGTATTCATGCCCGCAATCTCCGGCAATCTCGGCTCACGTCCACACCAACGCCCTGTAGTAAGGAACGTATGTTTTCATCCTTCTGGACTCAGTAAGCACGATAGTTTTCAGTGTCACCAACCACTCCTTCAAACTGCCAAGACCCACCCGGCTCTCCTCTCAGACTCATTCGCTTCCAGTTCGCTTGCACTGACGGAAGCAGCGTGGCCGGCCCAGGGACCTTGCTCGATATAGAAATGGAAGAATCCCAGCACTACACCGTCACTATCCCAGATTGCTGAGCCACATGTACCATCAGGGATGCGTGTGCCTCCCTGGCCCATCCACGCCCAGTTGTAGATTATATATCTCTTTTGGGCCTCAAAGCTCACAGCCGCTTCCAGCTTCACAGACTTCATCATGATGATGCCGTCCAGGTGGCCTGTATATGGGCTGTTGAGATAACAGTCGTGGCCCATTCGGACAGGGTCTGTTGATTTGGCGAGGCGTGTCAACTTGGGAGCGGTGCCATTACTCTCAAAAGTCTCGTTCTCAAATACGACATCCCTTGCGAGATCAACCAATGCAATGTCAGTGAATGCGACGTCGATGGCCGCCTTTCCAATGGTACGCTCTGGTCGGCCCGTCTGGAACACCGTGGTATTCTGTCCGATGCCGTGAGAGGTAGCCGTCATGAACTGGTTTCCGTGATGGTCCTTGACAAGAACGCCTGAACTCGTCGATAACTCCGAAGGGTGGCCGTGTTCAACCAGCTTCGAGCTACTAATCATAACGCCAGGGCGGAGGGTGTCGTATGCGGTCCTGTCGACCACACCTGACACTGGTTGCGGCGCGATGGGCCGCTTAGGCTTGCGGTCCGTCCACGGGGGCCGATGAAGCTCATGATCGCGCAAGTACCCAGCAGGACAACCGGCGATCTTGCCAGGAAGCAGAGGCCTAAGAGAGTTGATGTCAGCATGGTCTGCGACAACCACGTAGAAGTTTCGGTCAGAAGTGAACATAAGTTCGATGAATTCGAGTTTGGGGATGTTCTTCTCGAAGTACTTATCGGTCTCGGCAGCTATCTGGCGCAATATCTCATTAGTCATCGGAGCTTGGGCGTTGAATCTTCCATTGCAGATAGATATCTGGATGTTTCCCAGGTTCAATCTTGGGAATAGTGTGACACGGCCTTGCTGAGTTTCATCAGCTATGACGAATGGGCGGCCTCCAATTGTCAGTGGCCATGGCTTCTTGGGCAGTTCTTTGACTTGGAACAGAAGATAGGACATGCTAGGAGGCTCCGTGACATTTTGAGTACCGGGGAAAAGGCTATATAAAAGATCACGAGCCTCTCCGTGAAAGATGTCTGTGCCTGGGTCCCGCAAGTTCATAGGGAGCAGAACATGCCTCACATGCCATGCTGCCTTGTTCTCGTCTTCCCGTGCAGGCGCCGCATGGCCATGGACGAATTCTTCAACGATGTTGGCGGTATCGCGAAGAAAGAGGTTCTTCGGGTAGAACCGCTCAACGGAAAGTTGATTGCCTTGCTTGGCCGGACGCTTGGTAGGAGTTGTCAGAATGAGGCTTCGCTTGGAAGCATACGCCTCAGCAGAAGGTACGACTCTGCGTTTGTAGCTGGCCGGCGTGGAGGTGACCACTGGCGATATCGCCACACGAACTACCTGAGGCGTTGACATGTTGCTGGTTATGAGCGAACTAGAAAGACGAACCAGCAGGACACTTGGGAATTAGGAGCAGACGTATTCAGAATACGGATGGTAAACCCCGCTAAAAGACCAGTCTCAAGCGGCGAAGAACCCCGAAATGAATAAAGGAAGAGGACTGTTTGTTGTATGTTCCACACTCTTTGAAATTTGGAGTTGTGGGTGTAGACTAGGGGCCGGTTGTTTCTTGTTCACTTGTTGGACAGCTTCGTCTGATGCAGTGAGTCACATAGGTCAAAGTTAATACAACGTGACTCTGTCCTGATCTTTCAAGAATTGGTTGTGAATCACTATAGCCTTAAATTTACCAGACTTGAGGAGGCAAATAAGGTTTGTTTTGCAATACCTTCAAGGGATGAAAGATATCCGGAAACTTGCGCACAAACTTAGTCGACCACATACATTGTATCTCCGATGCCAAAAGAGGATTTGACCATAGGTATTTAAGAGCCCAACGACAACTACCGCATTCACTAAGCTCGAGAGTCATAAAGCAGAAAACAGATGATCACTATCCAGGTTCCACCATCAAACTCCTGGCATCTGGCATCAATCAGCAGACGCAAGATCACAAGAAACGCTTCTATCTAACAAACACCTCTAATTCATTTTGAACTAGCAATCATATCACCTCATTCTACTGACACACAGATCGCATGCTACCGCAGCTTCACTACTAATATCAATCTCGTGCCACAGCATGGCCATCCCGGCCGTAAGACGAAGCCGTTGGGGCCCCGAGAATCCGGCCACGCGGCTGGCCGGGCTGCCGACCGCCATCACGGCGCCCATGACAAGCGAGCAGCTCGACGCCTACGTGCTGCACGTGCGCATCGAGGATATCACGCGCCGCCTGGAGACGGATGATGCCGTCTCAACGACAGTAACAACGAGTGCTGACCGAGATCGCAGGTCCCTGAGCCCGCCGCCGCAGTACGACGGCGCGGGCCGGCGCATCAACACGCGGCACCGCCGCCACCGCGACCGCCTGGAGCAGAAGCGCCACGAGCTGGTGCGGCCCGCCGCGGCCACGATCCCACGGTACCGCGCGCCCGCCGGTTACCACGCCCAGGCCCGGGGTCGGCCGCCGCGGGCGCTGTTCGAGGACAAGGTCTACATCCCGTCACGGGACTTCCCTGAGACTAACTTCATCGGCCAGCTGCTCGGCCCGCGGGGCCGGAGCCTTGCTGACATGAACGCAGAATCCGGGGCCGCCATCGCCATCCGCGGCTGGGGTTCGACTAAGGAGGGGAGGACGGGCGCTAGGGGTGGCCGCCAGTACACGGACTCGAGCGAGCCGCTGCACTGCCTGATCACGGCGGACGCGCCTGTCAAGGTGGCCCGGGCCAAAAAGCTGGTGCAGGACGTCATCGAGGGGGCCGTCGGTACGCCGGAGCATGAGAACGAGCGGAAGCGGCGCCAGTTGCGGGACCTGGCCGTCGTGAATGGCACGTTCCGCGACGACGAGGGCCGAGGTTTGCGGCGCGGTGAGCCGGCTGGTGTGTCCTGCCGTGTCTGTGGAGGGGGCCATCTCTCTCGGGACTGTCGAGGGAGCGGTACCACGATTGCCCCATGGCGGAGGTCCAAAACGAGAACAGCAACGGCCGATCCTGTGGATGTAGCATGCTCTCAATTTCTGTCAGAGTTGTGAACCAATTCCTGCGTCGTGGTTGTCGGCCATGTTTGCATTCTCCCCCCTGAATATAAGGTACCTATCTTAGGTAATGAATTTAGTACAGTCAACATACTTGGAAACTACCTCTTGCATGATTCTTAGCCGCAATATTCTCCTCGAGAATTGTCTGGCCAGGCACATAGTGAACTCTCCGCATTCACTCGACCTAAGTCGCACCAATGTCTAGTAGGTAAGTTTATGATTTCATAAGTGATGGCACACAAGTTTGAGAAAGAGGAACATGTTCTGGCAAATGTTTCGAATTCACCGTACGAAATCAAGAGCAAAACGGCAACCCGGAAGGACTGTCGTTCACAGACCAAGTCAATTACCTAAGAAGCATTCATTCAAGGTCATTGATGGCCTATCGCTTTACCAATACCACGCCAGCAATCCGAAACATTCGAACCAATTGTGTAAACACTGGGGAATTTCGCCTTTTTCTCCCATTTCATCTCTCTCTAGGTACGCCTGAACGATTTAAAAGGTCCGGGACCTGACATGAGTTATGTAACCTCGGACGGGTGGTCGTGATGGGGTAGTCGGGTTCTCGTATGGCCGACGACCGCGCTTTAAGCAGCAGCCTTCTTGCCATCCTTGTCCTCGGCCTCACCCTCGAGAGCAGGCATGTCATCGTCGCTCTCGTCGTCGTCATCCTCCTCCTCCTCATCGTCGCCTGGGGCAGCGCCGCCGCCAAGCTTGGAGAAGTCGATGCCGCCGAAGTCGCCGCCACCTACAGTCACGTTGTTAGCGCATGTCCACGTGAATGATCGTTACCAGTGTTGCCGATCCAGGTATTTGTTTTTTTCACGTACCCATTCCTCCCATGCCTGGCATGCCTCCTGATGGTTGCGCGTGTTAGTTGGAGTAAGAGAGTACACGGGCGTAATTCCAAAGGGTAACGGCATGCATGCAACCAAGCAATTGGACCAGGTACGCAGAACGGAGGTGAAAAGAAAGCCGAAGTGAGTGTAGGAACGTTTGGGAGGCAGTCACTTACCCATGCCGCCGAAGTTGGAGAAGTCCTCCTCGGGAGCCTCGTTCTGCTCGTCCTCATCGACCCACTTGTCGAAGTCGGTCTTGAGGAACTGCAGCTTCTTTTGCTCCTTGAGCAGGCGGGGCCAGTACTCCTCCTTGAGCTCCTTCTTGCGCAGCTTCATCTCGACATTGCGCGAGGTGTGGTTGATCTTGCTGTTCTCGGGGTCGATCTCGGCAAAGAACTCCAGCTCGAGGTGATAGGTGCGCTTGAGGGTGTCGGAGTGGCCCTGGAAGTTGAGGGTGGTGGGCTTGAGGTCCAGCTTCAGGTTGCCGGCGGGGACATCAGGGACGGTGATGGTCAGGTAGATGAAGTTCTTCTCCTCGTCCGTCTTGGAAGAGCGCTGAGCCCAGAGGACTGCGGGCGGGTGCGTCTGTCAGTCCCCAGCGTTCCAGGTAGATCATATGGGAGTCATATGGGAGAGGCCAGGGCAGGGCAGGGATAGGATGGGATGGGATGGGAGGGGGCGGGACGGAGGACGGAGAGCTTGCCGCGACCGTCAGTGTCGGCCGGTGCAAGCTCGCAGCGCTCCTGCGTGCCCGTGGACTGGCCGTGGCCCAAGGTTAGGAGGCATGCTCACCTTCGGGAGTCAACATATCCTTGGACATCTTTGCGAATTGGCGGGGTGGAAAAGTATGAAGTCAGAATTGAGGGTAGCGGATCTGGCGCGAAATGGTAGTAGCTGGGAACTAGCGGGCTACCGGGCGGAGCTTTGGTCACCAGGTGATTTGACGGACACAAGACAGGGCCGGGTCGGTCAAATTGGGTCGCCAGAGAGAAAAGTCTAGATTGTTGTTTACAGGGTGTGTGAGGCGGGAAGAGAAGTTGGAGGTTGGGAGAGCAGTTCAGTTTCCCGAGTGGTCTTTGATTATGTGATAAGGCTGCAGCGTGCCGGATGTGCGTGCAATGGGGAGGTGGAATTTGGGGCAAGACTCCAGGACCTTCTACCAGAAAACGCGGGCGGAGGCTATGCCAGCTAACTACAGCAGGTACCTAGGTATCCTGGAAGGGGGTCTAAGAAGGTCCCAAGCAACCAAGGTATGTGATGCACGCGAACATGGCCAGTACCGCACCAGAGCGAGAGTCCCCGAGAGCACGGGAGCGACAGACAAGAGAGACAAGAGACAGAGCCAGGGAGGGGTCCCACCCCACGCACAGCAACACCCGTACCGCACGCCCATTGGAAAGCCGGTGACGACGGGTTCGAACAATGGAAATCCTCAGAAGGCTCAAGAAATAGCAGGGCTGAGCGAACGCCCGCCCGCTGCCGAGAGGAGCCCTTGCGCATTGCCGTTTTCGGCTTAGCCTGTGCAGGAAAGGTTGGCCGGAATGTAATCTTCTCTTCCCCTCCAGCCGTCTATTCATTCCAGCACAGTATAATACGTGCCTATTGTTGCCTCGCCCGCTCGCCCGCCTCACTTCACACAAAGAGATGATAACCTGACACTTCACATGCATACACTACCGATGGGCCTCGGGCGCCTTTCCCGTAAAACACCAGCAGGAAATGCCGCCTCGGTGCGGTTCACAGCGAGGCCCCGTAGTTGACAGGGCTACCAGTGTATGCCCCAGGTCATGTCCTCCTTGGGTTTGTGATCGTACGGTATAAAGCAAGACGGTTGCGTACTCCGCATATTCCAGGATAAAATCAAAGAGCATAATACTGGACCCTGGATTTGCCTTGATGTCGCCAGTCTGCCCCTGCCCAGGAACTCGGGTCTGACTTACATGTCCGACCATCAATCTACCGCCGGCGAGTCTGCACACACTGGAAATGACACCCAATCCAGTTTAGCGACCGGTTTATTGAGATGGCGGGGTAAGAAAACGACGGCCGGACCTGGGCCCTTGAGGAGCTGAAGCCTCCCCATTGGCTGTAGCACGCCCGGAGTGGGATGGCTATCCGCCAGCCTTGGGTACACGGAAGCCTGGCCGCCCCGCGGGTCAGGGAGCTACGTACCGTGATCCTGAGTGGCCCAGACTCTATCACGTGATGACCCGTTCCCTTTCACATGGTTGGCCCAATTGTGACAATTTTCACCAGAGGCTCGAGGTTGCTGGTCGGTTTTGGATGACAATGGAGTATAATGTAGGGTGTGTATTGTCAAGGTAAACATGCCTGTCCTTCTAGCTCTGCAGTGCGACTTCCAATTGTACTATGTGGGTACAGGCCACCCCATAACACCTGATAAACCAGAGCTACATCATTATAAATCAGTCATTCGTGTTCATGCGCGATGCTACTATACGCGAAAGACACTCGTTGTCTATGACCACCCCCGAAACACGGTTTTTTGCAACGAGTAACGGAACAGGGGTGAATAACCTGACCCAAGAGGCGAATAGCAGTGATCTTTCTTTTCAAACTTTTTTTACTGCTTGCTCATCCAACCACGCCCTCAGCTGTTTCAACCTACTCTCCGACACCCAAACCTCTTCAGAAGGCGACCCATCGGCATTGCGCCGGAATGCCAGGCGGAGAATTGCGCCAATCTTGCCTGCGCCTTCAGCTAAACCCCGTACCCTGCTCCTGTGTTTGTCCCCTTCGATCCCTGAGACAGCCCAGAACTCCTCCCAAAAGGTGTCTCTCAGCCGTGACTGACAAGCATAGTCACGCCAGCCGTCGCGAGTCATGAACCCCGTGGCTAAGAAGAGGATGTCTAAATCCATGCCGAAGGGCATAATCGTCGCCAGAGACCAATCGACGATACCTGTGATTTCGAAACTGGCTTCGTCAAGTAGAATATTCGTTACCGAGAAATCCCCATGCGTGAGTACTTGAGGGTAGTTTTGATGGAAGAGTGATGGGAGGTTTTTGATAAGCTCAGACAGCATTGAGTTCGGCAAGGTCGAAAGCTGTGGTTCTCCCACAAGCTTAGTGAGCCTTTTGTAGATTCTTTGTTGCTGCTCTGCTTGGGTTTGACAGTCAGCGAGCTGGTGGCTTGACCAACTTCGTGCAAAGTATCTTGACGCTGTAAGCAAAACGGCTTTCGAAGGGATGTCGACCTAGACCTTACTGCGCCAAGTTCTTAATAAATGTTAAGTGTTTGGCTTCTTCACCAGGGTTCATCTCAACTTGGAAACTCAGGACATTAATGTACGATGATCCTCGCAGATAGGGCATGGAGTAGATAAGGAGCGGTGGATCAGCTCCCTCCAGGGTTCCATGGCAGGTCGACTCTGGTACCAGACCTCCGTGTATCGCCTTGGCCAACCTCATCATCTCGCTGTTGAGTACAGCGCATGGTTCTCTAAAGGAAACAACAACATCATGATATTGTCCGGAGCATCCATTGCAGACGACAGTGTAGCTCATGGAGCCTGGGCTGTCGACAGGGCCGACGATCGAAGCCCCAGAAATAGCTCGTGCAATCTCGTTACATTGCATTTGTGAAGGCGATGTGCGGTCGCCAAAGAAGCGGTCGGTTTCCTGCTGAGCCCAAGAAGCCTGAGTCATTGTTGATGGACTTCACTTCGGTCGTGCCAGCATGAGAGATCGAAGCGTGAAAACTCCCAGACTGGGGCGGAAACTCCCAGTTTCGGCGAGCGGGGCATTAACTACCACCTCCAGACGTGGTGCTGCAGACCAACTGCATATTCTATAACCAACATGCATTGAATTAGGGAGCGGCCCGTGCTTCTGTCTTGCAGTGACAAGGCTAGCCTTCAGGCGTTTGTAATGGCTTAATTTGGCAGCTGTGGCCAAACTTGGGCGTACGTACTTCTGGGTCAAGGAGGCTCTGAGAGCCTCTACTTGTGGCTCAAAATCACGAATGGCACTGATTGGGCCCGCTACCCTTAGTATCTCGTCAGAAACTCTCCTTGGGGCATTTTCGTCCTGACCGATGCCCAACTGATAGAAGATCGCGAGATCGGGAGATTGCGTGCCACGCTTGGAAAAAGACATCTTGAACGACAGTGTCCACTGTTACACTATGTTAATGATGCTGGTAGACTGTGCTTTTGGGTAGATACCTTCAAAATTACACTCCTACGATAGTTGTCTTCCCGGCGTAAGCAGTGTTCACAAGGGTGAGTTGAAGATTGACCATCGAGAGTATCGGAGCACCCTTGACGCTAGTTATACTGCGCTGGTCTTCTGAGAAGATCCATAGGTATTCTCAGTTGGTTGGAATTACTATCAAACACGCCTACAGTTGCGGGATCATCTGACTTTGCCCACAAGCGCTGGTCTGTCGAAGAATCGAGTGCTTCGGCCACGGCGTGTTCGCTTATGCCGTCCAGCTGTCGAGTCAGTACGCGAGAACTCTTTCGGAATACAGGTTTATGTAGCCACTCCGTTCTGGAAGCTTCAAAGCCCGGCGATTAAGATTCGTGTTGAAGAAAGGCTAGGCACTAGTCTAGTGTCCATCACTGGCAATGACACCTTCGGAAAGGGCCTTAGCCAGAATATAGCTAACATAACAGAATATCGGAAGATCCTCCTCGACGGAAAATGAACCAAGTTGGGCTGATTTTCTAGTTCCCGCCTTAATGCCAGCGAAGAAGAACTTGCATCGCCAGGCGGTCTCGACCGCCGCGCCTGCTCGGATCGCGGATAATATAGACGTCGAGATCCTCCCAGCAGGGAATCTCTAACCGCCCATTGTTGCATCGCTCATCTCGTTCACTGCAGACTTAACACTTCTTGACGGGGAGGGCCACGTACTCGTCTGCCACCTCAACATCTGTGTAGGCTTCAGACTCCTCGTCATAACCTCCGGCCTCTGCCGACAGGTTTGCTGGTTTGGCATACACTAACTCATGCTTTCGGCAACTTGTCCATTGGTAGAAAAGACGAAGACACACGCCATCTATTCGATCTGACCCGGTCTGGAGGGTTGATGTATCTCGCACCTAAGCAGACTAGATGTGGAGATAAAGAAATCGGGGTACATCACGGAATTGACTTTCGGCTCTCGTGTCAATGCCCATCTTTCGGTCATCTCGGGTATGTTAATACTTAAGAGATGCTCTCTGAGGTCTGTCTTTCGGCGCGCTCTCGTGTACTTCCTATACAAGCTCCTGGGCCTGCGGATAGACGCCCAGATGGCATGCCCACTCTAGATAGGCCTTTTTTTTGTGCGTGATTTGCGCATGAGATAACGCATAAATACTTAGACAAGCCCTTTGTTCTCGAAGGACTGCGATTTTATCGGGGCTTTCCGGTTTTTCTTATTAAGCGTCTGAGCAAAGGCGATCCAGCGGTCTTTCAAATTGATTACATCTGACTTGAAATTATCGGAAACTTCGGCGGCACCGGACGACATTGGTTTCCCTCTTGCCAGACAGCATGGAGCTCTTATTTTATATATGAATATTTATAAGAGCTCGGGCGCAGGCGTTTCGTCTTCAAAATAGGGTCGTCCATCTTGAGAGCGTCAGCACATCAGGCGGCAAAGATGGTTGAAAGTGGAAAAGGGAGAGCTGCCGATAAGTGAGGGATACAGATACTTGGTGAACCCCTCGCGTGCAGCCCGCAAGCTGGGCGCTGGATTTTTCTGCCATGCTGGCGATGCCTATAGAACGACGGGTTTTCTTGGCCTTGTTGGCGATGCTGGCGTCTTCGGGTTACTAATATCCACGCGAAGTGGACTTTAGGTGGTGCCTGCGCCGGGCGGCGGGGTACTTCAAAGGGCGGGCTATAATACGTAGTGAATCGCAGGGGGGAGGGGGGGGGGCAGGCGGGTCGGCAATCGCCAAGTTGGACGTCAGACGTCAGATGTCAGTCGCAATTCAATCCACTACCTAAGTAAATAATCAGGCACCGTTCTCGTCGACTTCCGAGGTCCCTGCTACTTGCGCCAGCGCCTCGCGACGGATCTTTATTTCCAACCCAGGAACGACGCACCCTTCTCGCGGCGTGCGACGCAAGCGCTGTCCTGTCTCGACCTCCATTCGCACCTCTCCCAGGATGGAGGGCCTCAAAGCGCTCTTCGTCAAGCCCGACCCCAATGCTCAAGTACGCGCTCGATCGCCTTCCTCCTCCTCCTCCTCCTCCTCTTCTTCCTCGCCGCCCCCTTCCCATGCCAGGGCCGAGAAAATAGACGGGCCAGAATGATTTGCTAACCCAGACGGTGGCCCCCGCCGCCCACGCAGCTACGAAAGTGCAATGCCCTCATACGCGGCAACATCCGCAAGCTCGACCGCGACATCAACGCGGTCAAGCAGGTCGAGATCAAGACCAAGAACCTGATCATCGCCGCCGATAAGCGCGCCCAGCGCGGCACCAACAACCAGTCACGCCAGCAGGCCGCCCGCGAAGCCCGCGACTTCGCCAAAGAGCTCATCCGCGCCCGCAAGGCCTCCAACCGCCTCGTCACCTCCAAGGCCCAGCTCAACAGCGTGCAGATGCAAGTCAACGAGGCCTTTGCCGTCCGCAAGATCGAGGGCAGCATCCGCGCCTCGGTCGGCATCATGAAGAACGTCAACTCCCTCATCCGCCTGCCCGAGCTCGCCGGCACCATGCGCGACCTGAGCGTCGAGCTCATGAAGGCCGGCGTCATCGAGGAGATGGTCGACGAGACCCTGCCCCAGGAGGACATGTTCGAGGACGAGGAGCTCGAGGCCGACGGCGAGGTCGACAAGGTCCTGGGCGAGATACTCAAGGGCCGCATGGAGAAGACGGGCACCCTGCCCTCCGCCCCCATCGCCCAGGAGCCGGCGCCGGCTGTCGAGGAGGAGGAGGAGGACAACGAGGCCATGATGGATCAGATGAGGAACAGACTCGAGGCTCTCAGGAGCTAAGACACACAGGAGCATCATTCACGCCCAACGGAGGGCTCGTTCGGCGTTTGGAGTTGGGTTTACAGGTTAGCCTTGGTTCTGTGATCTATCTACATTGGTGCTGCGTACGGCATGGGGGGGTTTGACATAGCATGGATTGTGTTCTCTATATATACAGATTGCCACATGGCAAGAGTGGGCGAGTGAAGAGGCTGCCTCAACCAAGGAGGCACAAATAAAGCTTGGTTCTGCGATCGATTCCTATGTTCCTCCACTTTCACCACTCGTAAGTAGAGACCGCTGGTCATACCTCGTAATACGAAAATATCATCACCACCGAAGTTCTGCAAGAAGTTGAAAGGCAAATCCTCGACTTGGACTGTTCGCCAGCGGCTCAAGCTACGCAATGGTACTTGGCAGCTCTAAGTGCACCACCAATCCAACCTTTCAATACGCTATCCCCGGCATGGAAGTCGATGCCCCAGCTGGGCCCATGGTATTATACTCTATGTCGATGGTCCACAGGCTGGTGTGTCCAGAGCACTCTTCGAATCGGATGAAGTATTTACTTATCTACCGTACCCTAGACATTGGCCGTGATCCATTACCACACGCCAGCATGCGGTGGAGCTTGCCAAAGCAAACTTCACCACAAGTTTGTGATATTCTATCTCTAGACCGAACCCCAAAGTACGAAAACGGCCATGATGGCCATACCCACCGCAGCCGGTTTGCCTCTAAGTAGCGAACAAGCCGTTAGATTAAAAATAAATATCGATCACATTGGTCTCAAGACAGACAATTATATGGTCTATACACCATATCCAGGCTCGGAGGAACATACATGTTATGTGGTTAACACAGGAACGCCTCAGTAATTTAAACGCAAGCCTGATAATCTCGATGGTCCTCTGATTACCTTCAGGCTACGCTCACTATATAGACCGTACGGGATAGTCTCTGTGCCGGTACGCTCTTACGCCTCAGAACTCGGAGAACCACGCGAATCATCGCAGTCATCTGAGTCGGCGATACACATCGCGCAGCAGGTGAGCTGTACGGCCGCGAGGAATAGTAGGATAACAAACAGGGGCAGCTCAAGCATTGTGATACGAAGCTTGTAGTACAATGATGCAAGATAAGAAAGAATGCGGCCTTAAGACCACAGAAACGTATGACGCTGTGGGAAGGGACTGTGCGATTCTGCAGGGCTTTGATAGCTAATGAGCCTTATATAGGACATTTCCCACTCGACTAAGGTAGGGTCACCGAATAACTCTGAGTTGTACAGAAGACAAAAAGGAAGTCCAAACACCATGTTCATGATCGACTCCCACTGGGAATGAGTCGGCATGATAACGCTTAGCTACATGACCCTAACATAACTCAATGGTACTCCATCACTCTGTCACAAGCCCTAGGATGAAGTCAACTGACAGTAAAAGTCCAAGTCGACACAGAAATATGGTCAATTGGCCATAAGATGGTCTTACATCACAGTTAGACACTCGTTATTGGGCCGTGAAAGACAATGGACTATTTGTACAAGTTTCAAGTTGTCCCGGGCAAATCTCTAACTGTAATTTCTGAATTGTTTTCTCACGAACAGCCGTGCCATGCTAGACTTTGCAATGGTATCATAAGTTAACTAGCCGCTCAATAGCTCATTGAATTTGAGCCTTACCAGGGGTTGACTTGCTGAGATCGTCTCAGATAGCCAGTCGTATCGTGATGGGGCAGCAATAAAGCATGAAACTTGAGCTTAAGGACTCCTGACGTATCTACAAAGCGCTTTACACAAAGCGATGGCCATACCATCCGCCTGACTTACCGCAACTTCTTATGCAAGAAATTATTCAGTAGAGATGAGTTGCAACAGCACAAATGTTGCGTATGTTATGTCAGTCTGCTGGGAGTAACGACCAGCAGAGAGTGAAAAGGGAAGAGAGTGCACCGCATCATTAACCTTCAACCGACATCTACCACAACCATTTACTAACAGATTTGCGTCAAAGTCATTTCCGAGAGATAGAACCTAGTACACCATCAAACAGGCTACTCAGCCGGTGTACGCTCTGGCTCCGGAATGATTCACTCTATTAACTCCACGAATGTTTGTCGTCTCTCGTGATGGGATGGCTCCGTAACATTGACTATGACTTCGTGCTAATGGGTCAAGTTGACCACGGCTGTTGAATCAAGATACATGTTACTCACGCCAGTGTCAGAGGTTCCAGTACAAAACCGACAGCATCATTTCTTGCTTTCTACCTCCCTTTATCACTTGGTATACCGCTGCTGGCCATATGACACGATCCCTGCCATCAACTAATCTAATCTTCAATGTCATATATTAGCTTCCTCGTCATGATGGAACTACTGTTCCTCCTTCTCGCGGCATGCCTCATAGGTGGCTTAGTACTATGCTTTAGAGCCTCAGCCCACACCACAGAAGACGAGCCCTACGATGGCGAGTTGCGTCACGAGTAAGAACTTGTTTGGGCCTTGCTTCGGTTCCGGGCACCACGTCCACGGCTAAGAGTGTCAGCAGCGGACGCATTAGCTTGTCAATATTTTCCAGCTACAGCCGATCAATGACTGTGTATTCCAGCCTGGAAGCGCAATCATACGAAGTTCCGAAAGATCAACATAGTATCTAGTATGCAACTCGCGACCGCTACTTGCAAGCGACTCGCAACAAAGCTGTGTCACGTAGAATAAAATCTTTGCTGGCATCAAGCCGGCTTCTGCAACATTGCTTTTTGTCTATACCTAGTTGAGCACGCTTATCAAGGGACTTGGCGGTGTGGCAGTGGCAGTCTAGCTGGCAGCCGGATGCAAGCATGGGATTGCGCCATGATAACCTGTTGACCCATTGCTTCCACGGTGGTGCGTCTTGAAAAGAAATATTTCTATCAAACCTCGTTTCCGTTTAATGTGTCGTTTCAGAACTGCAATACAATACTAACCCAAGAAGCGCCGACTAGTGCATAGACCCGAGCGTGATCCAGTGGAACGTCTGCAATAGTATAGCATACGACTAAAAGGATCCTTAGCGCCTATAGCGCATAATAACCCAGCTATAGCACAGTGATGCATCTCACTGCATCAAATGCTGACAGCAACGAGCTCCTCCTCGCAGATCACATCACTAGGGGGATCCCTCCCCAGCGGTCCGCACATCGGCCCGCCCACGCTGGTCACGATCTAAGCGCTTGTGAAAGGGGGCAGCTCCCGACACTAGTGACCACGAACTGCTCGTCACATCCGCAGGCGCTTTTTACTGGCTCAAAACGTCTGGCCGGTGCGGTGAAGAGCTGCCCCTTTCTACACTCGGTGCCGGGGCCACGATCATGCCTCCCTTTCGTCGCCAGGTTTAACCACCCCTCTTTCAGTATTCTAGAATGCAAGGCGTGCGCCGGCATCGCAGGAGGACAAGCACCAGTGAGTGGTCAGCGCTGGTTGCGGTCTTGCTGGATGATATGTACATGGGTGATAGAAGGCACTAGTCGGTCTCGGGGTGATTGTGCGGAAAGTAGATAGCGGGACCAGCATTGATGTGATAGTATCAGAATTGCGTCGCATAGCGCGGCTGCTGATCTCGACTTCCCCGACTCGTCTATTCATCACCTTGTGAGTGAATACTTGAGGACAAATCACATTGAGCTATCGGCCTCTCAACAAAAAATGATGAGACCTCGCAATACCTGTGAGGCCGTCAATATCTAACCTGTCATTTCTGGTTCCTTGCGAAAAGTTTGCGAGCCGACACACTATCACGACGGTTTCGAAACCCATTTGCGTGCAGTGAAAGCACAGTACCTAAGCGAGCCGTTGGCCGCCTGTGACGGCCATCTGAACACTGTGACAGGGCCGGGATGCGCAGCGAATCAGCTGTGCATCGTCTGCTGTCAAGACTGCAGGGACTCACCATTCCTTCTTCAGCCCTGCTCAAGCCTCACGGCATTGGGCCGCAATGGTGCACTCGCATCGAGACGTGCTGTGGACGGATGGTGGGCTGGTAGCAGCCACACCTCACCAGGGTGCCATCTCCACACCATCCTGACCCTTCGCACTGGTATTGCGCCGAGATGTATGCAGATTCATCACAGCTTCTGGACTTGACGCCGACAAATAATTGTGACAAAGGACTCTTGGAGCACGTTGGATGAACAACAAATGAAAGGCTGCCCAGCGCAACATATGGCCAAGATGTCCTTCAGATTGGCGACATCGGAGCGTCACAGTCGGAATGCGATGCGTCGCACAGGCAATATCAGGTAGATAGGAATCCAGCCGCCGGAGATGCGGCCTGCCTCGAGGCCCGCCAACACTTGGTGACGAGATATTCAAGGAAACGTTTCATAGGAATGTGTGGCGACCCCAAGGTCGAGCTCCTGGAATCCTGCCTTGCACTTTCTAGATCCGTCAGGATCCAACTGACGTAGTACTATGGTATAGCGATGCCTCCGTGATGACTTGCGGCACGTGTAAGTCGTTATGGCATCCAGTGCAACGTATGCGCAGCGCTGACTTTGCAGTGATCAGTCGTGTGTTGCAGCGATTTTCAAACTTAAGAGATGACAAAGCCTCCACCATTCCTCGCAGTGGCGATGGTCGCTGATGTTGCTTGGTTACAGTGTGGTGATACTGACCCCCATGTGATGATCCGTCGCCCCCAGAAGGACCTCGGGACTTTCTGCTGCCACTCCAACCCCCACTGTACCCACGCCGTAAGTCCCCGGCATACACGGCGTTCATCTCGGAAGGAGGTTCTATTATAAGCTTCATTTTCGTCAACGTCGGTTCTACGGAAATTGGGTGAGTCAGACTGATAGCGAAATGTGCCGAGGTGTACTTCGTAAGCTGCAACCTTAGACACGTATTCATATATTCTCCGGACCGCCCGGAATAGCTGCTTTGCGGCCACCCGCTCTCAACCTGCCAGTACCTTGGACCATCAATACCCACGTCAAGAAGAACATGGGTGGTCAGCATTTCCGAGATGTTTTCGGGTTGAAGCTCGCGATCGTTCCCAACAAGTCCATGACTAGACCGGTTTGTACGGTGCTTGGCGGTAGGAGATGCTCTTCAGAGTAATATGCACGGATACCAAGACTGTGGGCCCGAAGTGATTAATTTAATTGTGCTAGGCGGAAGGCAACTATGCGTTTTGGGTGAATATTGGGTTGTTTGTCATGTCCTCAGCTAGAAGGAGAATATCCGGGATGTGCTATAGAGAAAATTTGGTGGCTGCGTCGATTACCCACATTAAGAACGCGCAAACATTCCATAAAGGCCCCGCGATGAGCCCGACCTTCCATGACTACTGTAGCACGAGATTGAGTTTCAACCACGTTTCTGGTCTCTAGACTCGAGGTTGTTGTGATAGAGTTCACCAAACGTGGCAGGCGTGGTTGACAGGGAGCTGCCACGCGAGCTCCATGACTAGTTATTAGGAATAACACCGAGTGAGGGAACCAAGTCTGGTATCTTTTACTGATCTTGTTGAGAAGTAACTTGACCCGAGATCAGGTATGTAATAACGACCTTGATCATCGCAATTTAAGGGTACTGGCTGCACATCGCCGAGGTTCCCCGATATATCTGGAATTTGTCGCATGCCTCTTCAGTCGTTTACCGAAAAGCGGCAAGCTTGCCTTTTACCCCGGGATTTCAACCCCACGATCCGGCTGAAGGGTGTGAGACTCATTAGAGCAGTGGCCCGAGCGGACGGAGAAGAATCCGCAAAGTGTCCAGCCATGTGGCAATGCCTCCCACAAGGCCGAGGACTAGGGCGTTCACCAAGGCTCGTGTCGAGGCTGTCTTACCTAAGGATGAGAGGAAAACGGCGTGACCACGGTTCTACGTCGAGCCGTCTCTTGTATCTAAGTTTTGGCGACAGGCGGAAGCTAATCGCGAGGGATTACTGTCCGAGGTAAAGCTTCAGTATTCCGAGTCATGCCGACCTTCTGGTCGCCTTCTAGCGCCCGGGGTAGTTCCTCCGCTCTTAAGGCTCTCCCAGTCTCTGAGCTCCAACGTGGAGAGAATACTGGATCAAGAAGCCATACCTACTGTCACTATCAGGCTATCGTGGCATGAATGTGGAGATGCCTGTTTCTGATAGTGCGCGCCGATGGGAAAGTTCAGATTCCCAATCTGGAACCCCGATGCGGCAGCATGTGCTTAGGAGGGCGGTCAGGGTCCTTCTGGAACACTGCCGCAATGGGGGCCGCCCACATTGGAAGTGGCCGAGCAAGACAGCCCCCACTGATCTACGAGCCTGGCCGTTATTTCCGTCCTTCGAAACACCTGAGCCCTGGTGTCCAAGGGTCGTGACTGGTGGAATGTCGGAGTTGCGCCTGAGCGCTCGCGCTCCAGACCGTGCAACTGGAGAGGGCAATGTTTTCCAGAATGGCAGGTAATACGGTCTAATGGCAACCGTCGGCGAACGGCCGCAACATCCAGTAGGTTGCACTGGTAGTCTTACGTTAGCCTCGAGTTGGGGTCAGCTCGCCGTAACTACTGGCTGGCGAACGGCCACAAGTGTGTACAGATCAGACAACACGAACGGCGGTGCAAACGACGTATGACTCAGTCATGATGATTTGTATGGGCACAGGTGTGTTCGCCGAGTTTGAGGTCGTGGTCCAACAGGAGTTGGTTTTTGAGACACTATTGGAACGCGGAAGATTACGACTGGCCAGAGCTGGCTGATATGCAACAAATGTTGGTGCCGGCGGTCTGGAAGCCATCCCGGTATTGGTCCGTCGCCGGGCCTTTGGGACACGACTGGGTGGCCTGGGTGGCCTGGGTGGTGCGCGTTGGTACAGGTCCAACAAGCCTGATTCCCTGGCAACCAACGAGTCTTGGCCGCAACCTGATTGTAACTTGATTCTGACCACACTGCCCTGGCCGCCATATCGGGCTGACGTAGGCGGGCAGCGGGAAGCAATCAGTTGCGATCCTGAATTAGCAGCTTACTCACACAGGATCAGATCAGGGTAGGAGTAGGAGCCGTGAGTAGGGGGGCCGCACAGGCAAGCCGCCAGAATAGACATATCAGATTACTATTGCTGACGGCGCGAGAAACTCATTTGGCGAGACGAGACAAGCAAACACAGGTCTCGACGCGAACGACTGCTCTGGCCGTGGAAAGCAGTTTCACAAGCCTGTCAAAAGCAAGACCCCGTTCGCCGAAGTGTGGTCGGGTCAATCAGGACAGCGTTCTGCCGTGGGCCCGAACAGCGCAAGAAGGGGCCTTCTCACCGCGGCAGAGCGCCCTAGCGTACCGGGAGCAGGGCCAAGGACGAAAAAGAACGGTCAGCGCCCCGCGGCACAGGGCCGTGATTGGCCGGGGAAGCTCCTAGCCCGCTGACCATGGGAGGCGGTCTGGCTTGGACCAACGGGCTGTCACTTTCCCAAGTCAGTGCCACCCCCCCAAATCCGCCCAGGCTGCCCCGGCTGCCCCCCCTTGCCCCCTCCAGGCGTGCGGATTACCGCCCCACGGACTCACGGCTAGGCGGTCGATACCCGCGGTGTCAGCATCCTAATCATGGCAGCGTATGCGAGGTCAACCTTACCGCTACTTTCTGACTGTTTTGACTTTCCGCGTGGGGGAGCGTGCCGCGACCCTAGGCCCCAGACCCTGCTGCCTCCGTAGTCTCGGCCTTATGATTCATGCCTCCCCTTCGCCTGGTATATAGGAATGCCCATGCCTCGCCCACGATGGCCCACGGCAACTAGTCCTCCTGCTTGATAGCATATTAATCCACTAATACCTTGGATACCCAAGCCTGTCTTGACCAAACCAGACTTGCCCAACCCGTCCAACATCTTGAACGAGTACGGTTGCGTGCCCCGACTACTATACGCGGCCACCGCTACCACTTACACGCGAAAACCCCACCGCGCATACCTATCATTCGGAGAAGCGCAACCCGACAGGACAGACACCGCCTAGGGCGCCAACACACAGAATGTACAGCTCATTCGGATCATACAGCTCTATGAGCTCAGTCACCCAGCCTCTGGACATCACGCCCAGCAGCTACCTCTCGAGTTCTTCCGCATACCACGCCAACTGCGCCTTTCCCTCGTGGCCGCAGCAAGAACGCGCGACGTCCTACCTTTCCGACGACGACCTGCTAGACCTGGAGGAGGACAACCACTCGCACAACTACTCGAGCGCCAGCAGCAACGCCTCCGGCTCGCCCTTTGTCACCGAGCAGGAGCTTCTGGAGCTGCAGAGGGAGCAGCAGGCAGCACTGCAGCGCGAGGCACTCAGGTTCGTCATGCAAGAGAAGGAGAGGCGCAAGCAGGCCGCCGCCAAGCGCTCGCGTCGCGGCAGCAACGGCTCTTCCAAGAAGAGCCCCAAGTCGCGCAGCAGTATGATGACCTCCATCTCTGAGGCTATTGAGTGAAGAATGACGTTATCCAATTCGGAATGGTGAGTCACCCCAAAGAGATCCTCTTGTCTAATACGACCTGGTGCTGACCAATACTACAGAAGAATGACTTATGACTTATAATGATATACCCAATGATACCCCCCAATATACCCCTGTGCACATGAGCTTGCAGTCACGCACTCGAGCCTGCACAGAGAATACATCAACATCTGGTGGATAGTGGCAAGCCACACAGTTCTTTGGCCACTCGCGAGAGGGCCTATGAACGCGATACGAGTATGACAGTAATATCTCGTTTGGGGAGGTTAGGATACGGATTTATTGGCCACCCTTCAGCTGGCGAATCAGACGACGTTGTCGACGGAGGTCACACCTTATCGGTCCAGCTGGGGCAAGGTTGACTGCCAATAGCGTTGGTCAGATTTGTTTTCAGCGGTGGAAAAAGACCATTAATGGGAGAGTGCTTAGTCAGTACGGCTGGAGCTTTTTGGGTGTTTGAGTGCATCGTGCATCACGTATGCAGTGCAGAAGGTTGAGATGAGAGCGAAGGTTTACAGGCACATCGGCCTGGGATGGACAAACGTATCCTTCGAGATCGTTTTGAGTTCATAATGAGTAATACGAAATGAGACGAGCAGAAGCTCACGAGCCAAACCCATCACCTGCCAATTTTTATGAGTGTCCTCCTGTGATGAATATTGATTGACTGATCATTGTCTGGAACTTGGCGACGCGACTTGGTCTAGTGCTTGGCGTACCTATACTAGCCATAGTCCACCGCGACGAGCTAACGAGGTGAAGCTAGCTCCGCGGAAGACGAATGTGATCGTCACAGCGGCACGCTTCCGGAGGGTGCGCGACTGCATGGAGATCACTTTGACGTGCAAGGGCTGCTTACACAGTACAATGTGCTTTATCCCTTTTGAAGTGAAGCGACCAGGGTGCTGTAAAGCTTCCTGGCTTCATCACATATGTCACATTTCCGTGATATAAGCCAGCAAGCGGGGTCGTCACGGCGCCGTTCGGCGCGGTCAAATCTCGCGTAGTCGAGAACACCACAAATCATTCGAGTCAAGTTTGCGAAATCGTAGGGATGCTTATTCGATGACAAGCGGGCACGGGCCCTCATTGGGGAAGACTTAAACCCCATATGCATGTTCCATTACCGACTCAATAGCAGCCACGGAGTTTGTGAGCGATGTGGGAAAGCGAGGCCCGGATGGATTGGGAAAAGGCCAATCATCACGCGAAACTATCACTCAGAGCTCCTATTTGCTGGAGCTGGGCCGAAGTCGCTAGTTCGGATCTCAAGTTAGTAAACCTGGAATCAAGATTTATGACTTGTCGTCCAAGGCTTTTCTTCTATGTTTAGGCCGGATCCTTCAGGCTTTCTTCTGTGCGAGATGCAAATAGAGACGGGCGTCACCATTCCGGGGGGCTGCGCTCACCAAGGCAGAGAATCAACACACCTGTAAATAGCAAGATTGTCTCGAATTTGAAACGGTTATGTCTATCTGTCTACTGTCGAAGATGTTGGTAGTGGGATGACCCTTGTTGTGGCTGTCTACGCATTGCATATGTACATGTAGGTATGGAGGGCAGTGGTTTGCGTGTAACACCAGGTTAAAATAGAACACATAGCCTACACGTATCGAAACCTAACAGTATTGTACAGAGCACGGGTAAGCCAGACGCCGGCGGCTTCGCATCTGCATTCCATGACTCCGAAATCTTCCCAAGCCTCCAGATCTGATCCGTCGCATCTTTTGGAAATGTTTCGCATGAAGGGAGTTCGGACGCATTTGGTTTGTATGACCCCCCATCTTCGGATTCATCATCGTGCGCGACGGGCTGTGTGCAGCTTCTGCGCATGGACGGCACTGCAAGAAGTATCACTGTATTTCCCTTTTGGCATCCGGAGCATTGGCAAGTACATGTCCTCGAAGTGCTTATTGCCTTCGGATGGCAGGATGCTTATCATGCTGCATGTCGTCTTATGCAAAGTACACTCTCCAGGATGGCAGTATGTTCAATTCTGTGGTCTGCTGCATTGGCATCTAAGCGATTCTCATGCGGCGAATAATAACAGACCAGCTTATTACTTCGTTAGCAACAAGAGGTAAGCTTGGAAACCAGGAACGCGGGAAGAGCAATCCCCAGGGTATCTCTCCAATCCATTCACTCTGGCTGTGTGGAAGGGGTCCTAGGTTATCTGTACCACTCGCGTTGGAGTCATTTGCATACAGGTTGGCCGAAGGAATTGAAAAATACCCAATCCTTCCCGGGCCGCTCGATTTACCTACCAGATGACTACTATAGCCGACGTAAATCTGGGTCGTTAATGGCGACCGTCCAGGGATACCTCTTATCCTTGTTAAATGCCACCACCTCAATAACCCGCGAAAACTTTCCTGGACTTTTCCAAGCTGCCACTAGTCTTACTGTCCTGTGTCATATAACCTCCGTGCAGAAGCTGTCGCAGCGCGATATCTTCCTTTCTGAATGCTGGCGTGATTGACCATGAGTAACGGGAAAGATGCAAGAGTTACCGAACCAAGTACAGTATGTGATTCTCCGCGCCACGCATCAACTGGGGGCCCGTGTGGCAATCTGGTCGAGGGTGGGACGACATGCAACAATGCAAGGGGCTTGATACGATAATTGGGCTTCAGCAGTGGGTGATGCGGTATTGGTATCTATGGTACGGCTGGCCGCCTTGCATGAAGACGAAATGGCTTGCAGCCAGACGGCAGTGGTGGTGGCCGCGGGGTAACGACCGGCTGCGAAGATGTTGTGCGTTGTCATGTCCTTTGGATGTCCAATCCTTATGCGAGTATATATGAAGTATTGACCAGCCAAGCCGAAGAAGTGTAGTATACAGATGTGCTGCATGCGATTCAGATGTAACGAGTCAAAGGGGGCAATTGGAAAAGATTGGAGAGTGTAGCCAGAACAGAAAAGGCACCCTCTTCTGGGATGCAGATCGTGCAGTTGTGTCCATGGTGTCTTGTGTATGTGACTTGGTACGTTACCAGATATCACCAAGCCTATGGCATATCTCCTATTGGGGTCAGGGTCTACCTAGGATTCCAAGGGCCTTTGGACACCCGGCCTTCGGTTCATGGCCTAATCAGGGAACCCGCTCGATGCTCACCTGGTGCGTGGTCGAGGTGATCCTCGGACTCGAACGATATACCATAGTACCCCGGATCATGGCACCGCGCCGCACTGCAAAGCTTACACGATCTGCTGCTTGGCTTGCGATATGACCTGGCGACTGTGCTCCATGCCTCCTTCGAGCATGCAAGTTGAGACAGCTCAGCCAACAATGCGCCGCTGTCGAGCACCTACATAAATACATACATACATACATGGCGCCAGCTGCAATGTGCATCGGCCGGCTTCCACGAGTCTGCGACACGCCTCGGATGGTGTCGTGTCCAACGCGAGGTAACGTGGACAGAGTGTCGGTACGCAGTGTCGGTACCCATCGGTGAAGAGGGCGGGAAGCATGGCATGGAGCAGTCCGACGTGCTTTGGCGGGGTACCTTGCAAGCCGCAAACCCATCCAAGCCCCGGCCAGCTTTTGGGCATTGAAGATATTCATGGCGAAGAATGCTGTGCAAAGTATTATTCGTGAGAGGCACTGGGGACGCTCGAGCACATCCCTGCAGCCGTCGACCAATGGGCGGGCTGATCACGCTTTTTTACCGCCGCGCCGAGTCTTAGCAGCCGCATTATAGCCAATCAACCCTCCCGTCCCTAGCCACCCTGGAAATAGGCCAGCCAATCCTCGACCTTACCCGCCCTCGCACAGCAGGTGGCGCTACTGCGAGGAACGACGTCCGTCAACAGGCCCCCTTCTCAAAGCGTTGCTAACCCGCCATTGTTGCCCAACCACACGCCGAGGGCTGGCTGGTTGTCCTCGCCAGATCCTCGCCAGAGCACAATGCTGCCAGCTAACGGCCGTTGGTTCAGAAATGAGCCTGCTAGAGCCCTGGCCATTCACGCCTCAATGCCATTGTCAGGCGAGCCCGGGAGCCCATCTGCTCAGGGACTGGGCCTGGGACCATGGCAAGCCAGTTATCATGCCCTGGATCGCAATCAATTTCAGCATTAGACCGCCCCTTGATCACGGGACGACGGGGCTCGCAGAACGACTGGACTCGGTGTTATCACAGGATTGCTCATGTGATCGCGGCCGTCCTGTGAAGCACCACTGAGCATCGTGAAGAGCGATTGCCAGCGTATATCAGTGGAACCCTTTGACCGTTGTGCTCAGTTACTCCGAGAGACCTGGCAAGGCGATAAAGCCTCGTGGGTCGTGAAGACGCCGCGACGGTGTTCGGGGCCAGCCATTGGCAGCTCCTGCCTCTATCTGACGTATTCCTTCGTAGTCCTCAAACCCCAACAGCGGATACTCCTGTCCCGCCTCCTTGGTCAAGTGACAGAACTATGGAGAAGTCGTCGAGAGTAGACAAGCCACAGTAGCTGCAGCAACAGAAAGTGAGGCTAATTATATCGAACATCGCTCGCCTTTTGGGGGCCCCATGTCGGAGCTACTGCATAACCAGCCAGTCATTTACAACAAGCACGATTGATCCCAATTCGATCGCCCTGATACCCTGACTTTGTCCCTTGTCGATTCGGCATGCAATGGCTCATCAGACCCCTGCCAGATGCTAGGCCATGCAGACCTTGGCTTAGCCGGACCGTATCCGCTCTAGATTTGGCCGCTCGCTTCTATATGCAACTCGAGCCATTGACAGGCCAGGACGACTCCTGTTAGGCGCTGACCTGCTCAACACGGCGACAGAGCACATATTGCACTCGCACACCCCCAAGCTGGATTTCATAACATTTCTTTTGCTTCTTCTACATCTTGCTAATGCGAAAACCTGCGATCCTGCATCCGAACCCAGAGAACCACGAGGTTTTCTGCAGGACAAGCGCCAGTACACCGGTCTGTGCCAACTATAGTTACACCAACAGCGCCGCTCCGCATTCCCACGAGGGGGCGCTCGGTCGAGCCAGACAACCCTGTGCGATCGCCCTGAATTCGCTCCGGCATCGTTTCTTCTTCTACAACTGAAGCCCTCTCAAAAACGTCTTCAACGGCCAGAAATACACCGACGCTACACTCCGAGACAGCAAGTCATTGTGAGACCTGGTCTGATCGTATCGGCTTCGCGCTCCCAGTACACTCCTGCGCTCGATCTAGCATCCCGGAAAAGTCTGGGCTTGGGAAGAGAAGTGGTCCGGGAACGGGCAGATGAGTGTTGCGTGTGATGTACGGGACCCGGATTGTGTAGCGCCCCCGCTTACTTAGGTCACTCGAAGACCTACCTCGAGGAGACAGTCGCACGTGGAGGTGAGTAGGTCCATTGTATGACGAAATATTCTTGGCTGTATAAGAGTCTCGGAAAACGCTTTGCGCCAAATCTGAAACTAGCGGGCAGTCAAGCTGAACGGGATGTTGACTGACATCTACAAGGCAATACCGTCGCGATGTCATCCTCGAGCCACCAGGCGATGTCTCGCCATCGCAATACGTCCATCAGCTCAGCTGGCAGGTCGTCGAGGAAGGGAAAGGTAGTAGCGGAAGCTAAAGACTTTACCTCGCCCACATCATTGATGAAATACTTTGAGCCTACCGCGGCCACTGCTTCAATGCTACTATATGGCCGTAAGTTGATCATAATCCTTTCGCAACCCAAAAGCTGACAAGCGGTACAGAGGGAAACTCGGTAGTTGTTGCGCATCATGACAGTCTAACGATAGAACGGCGATTCTCGCGCCATTCATCGGAAGTGCAGTTACTGGCTGTTGATACGCAAAGCGAGATAGGGGCTGGCCGGTTGGTAGTCAGTTACGACGTCGACATGACTGCTATTGTATGGGACTTGATGACCGGTGATGAAGTCGCCCGTTTCGCATCTTATGAAAATCTTACATGCGCAGCTTGGATGCGCAATGGAAATGTCGCCTTTGGTACGTGCTATATTCGGCCCACTGGACGTTGTGTGTTCTAACACGCGCTAGGCAACTCTCAAGGGAACATTATACTATTCGAGCCTACAACCTCGGAGCACATTTCCGCAAGGACAATAGACCAAATAACTGTGACGGCTATTGCTCCAGCAGCGGACTGCCGGACATTTGCTATCGGGTAGGTTACCTGCATATGTCCCAGCGCATACAAGTCTAACCCAAGGACAGGTATCAGAATGGGTCTCTACTAGTTGCAACCTTGCAACCTAGGTTTACGATTCTTCACAATCTGAGTACATCTCGTGCTCCTTCTCCGATTGTCAACCTGTCATGGCATGCCTCATCTGCACGCCAAAAGTCGGATATGCTGGCGGTGCAGACCAACGACGGTGATCTGAGAGTCTGGAGTGTGGCAAAGTCTCACAACAGTGACGATCCCGCCAAGGTAGTGAGAATTTTAAAGCGGACTGATAACTATCAGAACGGACCCAATTGGATGGGATGGTCAAAGAACGGCCGCATTATTCAGTACTCGGATGGGTAAGTCAGAGCCTTGCATGCTACGCGCGCGCTTAACTACATGGTAACTAACTTCATTCGCCACCAGCGAGACTCTGTCATGGGATGTTAGGACAAAGCACGTCACTTATGACAGCATACCGACACTCGAGCATGTACGAGGTCTTGCTGTCTATGGCCCTGGCGCAAGCCTGTTCACCTTGGGCGCCAACAACACGGTGCAGCAGTTTGACCTTAACACTCCTTCGATGATGGTGGCCAATGTGCAGCATCCAGCCAATCTTTTGCCACCTTCTCCTCCAGTGTCTATCGAGGAGCAGTCCGAACAGGGTGTTGTCGTCATAGCTACCGACTCGGACTCGGTCTCTATTCCAATCAACTCCGAAGTGTCCGAGAGCGACGAGGATCACATGTCACCATTGGCTCGCATCGCAAGGGGGGCGGATATCGCCAATGACTCCTTCGAACAGGACAGGTACATGTCGGCAAGCCCTGCATCCACGAGAAGTCGGACATCGACTATGTCGAAGTCCTCTGCAGGTTCTAGTACCCGTGGACGACAAGCCCCTTCAGTCCTCTCACGTGGTATGACCGAGAATACCTACATCTCGGCTGGCTCTTCTCAGATGTCCTCAGCCGCACCGCCTTATGGGGATAGAGATGCTTACTCCATTAGCAGTGTTAGCTCTGCATCAATTACCTCGTCCTCGCGTGCATCTCGCCATCGCCCCTCGCGCTTGAGAAACGAGGTACCCAGGAGCCCAGACGATAACAAGGTCCATGATCTGTTCAAGTTTACCCGCAGCAGACTTCATGATATCCCTTATAAGCGAGCTCCACTGGCTGACCACACTCGTCTGACGAACGATGACCTTCGGAGGCAGATGATGAGTATCATCTTTGGTTGGACCAAGGATATGCAGGACTTGGTGCGTGATGAGATGTCTCGTCACCCTAATGGTTCTGCTAGTCGCATCCTCCTCGCCCGGTGGCTCGGTGATATCGACTCGGACATCATGACAGCTTCTTCGGAAAACATGACCTCGTCGGACTGGATGCTACTCGCTCTCAGTGGAATTGGAGGGCAAGCATCGCAACACAAACTCGGCCGTGCTTACATCCAACGTCTCCTGGAGAGTGGTGACCTACACGCAGCGGCTACCATTATGATCGGCATGGGCGACTACAACGACGCCATTGAAATTTACGTTTCCCACAAGCGATATATGGAGGCATTGATTCTGCTTTGCCTTTTCTTCCCCAACGTGTGGGAGCGACAAGCCCAGATCATCAAGAAATGGGGCGAATTCGCTGTTCAGCACGGCCAGCAGCAACTGGCGATTCGATGGTAAGTAATATTCCACCATGGCAGTGTATATGCTAACATATATGTAGCTTTGCTTGCACAGGCCAGGAGTCCACGGAGCCTTGGACGTCTCCATCTGCAGCTCAAGTAACTTTCCAAAGCCTGAATGCCAGCATTCCGGAAGTCCTCAGCCCACCGCTATCGCCCCCTGGTGTAACACGCGGCCCGCAACGGAGCATTGCAAAAACTTCGGCGTTGAAGCTCATCACATCCTTTGGAGATCAAGGCGCCAAGTCAAAGTTCTTTGCTGCCGGTGATGGTGGCAAGACACCCATCGCCGCTGGCGTTACTCCAATCGCCGAGTCTGCCGTTTCCCCCGGCGGCCATGATCCTACCACTGCGTTCCTCAAGCCGTCCTCCAGAAGTGCCTTCAACACCCCTGCCTCGGCCCGTGCTACTACGCCGGGTGGGTTCGGACGCCCGAGACTCCCATCAATCGGCGAGGCGCGCGCTGAGGTGCCTTCACCACAGGTTCTCGAATCTCGACCTCGTCGAACACATCATTCGCGAAAGTCTTCTTACGAGGATCAACTCGAGACTGGTCTAGCTCTCGCAAGAGCTGCCACTGCAAGCCCCATGATGATGAGAGAAAATCACCGGAAGAAGGAGCCTCCGCCTCCATCCCCTTCTCCCGAGTCCTTTGCAACGCTCATGTCTACAGGCCGTACTAGTAGAAATGGTGCCCGTGATCGTGTGCCGGACGGTATCGATATGAAGCTTCAATCCATTGATGCTGCCGTCACCGGGGATGTTACCTCTCCTGAACAATCTGTTGCCTCTTCAACTCGGTTCCATTGGCCTTCGCGGAGAAGAGGACCGGGTTCCGTCGCAAGCTCTGTCACGTCAAATTCGAGCGCTGGCCGAAGCTACAGAGCAGCTCAGCCGGGAGGCCGAAGTTTGAATGACTATATTCACAGCTTAGAGGCTGCTCAGCGTCTGCCAAAGAAGCAGCGCAGCCGTGAGAGCAGTCGCCAGCGCCAAGGTGACCGAGCCACACGCAGCCGGGAAAGCAGCAGAAATCGGAAGGACCACACTCGCGAAAGCTCAAGCGACCGCGGCCGCGGAGTCACCAGACACTACACTCCCAAGCCTGCGAAGCGCTCCCCGACCTCTCCTATTCCCATGTCTCCCGAGGACCTCCTGAATCTGAGTACACCGAGAGTGAACGAGGCGACCGTAAGTAACGAGTCGGTCATCCCTTTTCACCTTGATGGCAGTGAGCCTTCAACCGTGCGCAAGTCCAGCCAGATTAGGGTCTCAAGCAGGGCATCTAGTCGAGGTCGACGGAGGAGCCCGGAGAGACGGCCACCAGCTCTCGATCTTCGCGGCAGAAGCAAGAGCCGCGGGGATGGCTCTGTCACTCGCTCACCATCGTCTCCCCTGCCCATGTCGAGTCAAGCCGCCCAATTCTATGGCGGTTCCGATGATGAGGACGATTACAGAGCAGCCCTTGAAGCTCAGGAACAGTTCCGAGCCAAGCACAACCGCAGCCGTGGCATGAAGGAGCCTGCCTCCCCAGCTGTATCACGAGCTCGCGAGGGTTCTGAGACTCGTCGTAGGCGTACAAAGACTCCCGTGGAATCTGACGCACAAGTTCCTGTCTTGAGCACGCTTCAGTTTTCATCTGGCCCTGTGCCACGTGGCGACTTGAAGCAGATCCTAAACGAGAGACAGCTCAAGAAGGAAGCCGCCGCTCGCGAGCTGGAAGAGCGCCGCAAATCATTGGCACGGAGACCTTCTGCTCCTCCCATCCCTCATCCTGATGAGTTGTCACCAATAATCTCTCGTCCCCCGACTGCTTTTGAGCTTCCACAAACAACCTTCTCGGCTGCAGATATCCCTCAAAGGAGCCAGACAGCGGACTTCACCAGGAGTTCCTCATATGCTCGAACTGGGAACAGGCCCGTGATTGGTCTTCCAGCAACACCCAAGGCGATGCGCCTCCAGTTCGAGAATAGTGGCTCAAGCATGCCTACTGTACCACCAATCCCTGTGGCCTATGTCAAGTCTTCGCCGTCTTCATCTGGCCAGCCGTCACCAGATAAGCTCCCAAACAGCTCTCCCGAGAAGTCTCCCAAATCCCCGGAACAGGGGGAGTCACTCTTGACTCTGCTTCCCTCCACGGTGTATTCTCCGCCAACTCGTCCCAACATCCCGAGATGCATGTCGGCACCGATCCCCGAGGAGCCGGTCGCACAGGGTGGTCTCCCCTCGCATCCTTCCCAGCAGTCCAGCCGGCACGGAAGAAGGAGCTCCGCCTCGCGGAAGATGAGCGTACCCGATGCCCAGGTTCCCAACAGGGGCATTGACGAGGTGCTTGGAGGCTCGCGGCACTCACGTCAAAGTTCACGAAGCGACCAGATCCCTCCTCCTCCGCCACCTCCACCTCCAGTCCTGAGGGAGCTCCAGCACTTGGCCACACCACCTCCGCCACCGCCGGCCCCTTTACCCGGATCCAGACCGCAAATGTTTGGTGGCGGTTCGGGAACTATTGAGATTGTCATGGATGACGACGACCAGGTGGTACCTACTGCGGCGCCCATCAGCGAGGCTACGGTTCCGATAATTGCACCGCCTGCACCACCGCAGCATGCCCGAAGCAGCAGCCACGCTCGTGGCCGTAGCATCTCCGACAAGGACAACAGCATCGCAAGCCGCATCAGCCGCGCCACCGAGCGTATGCGCTCTGCCAGCCGAGGCCGCAGCAACTCCATTCTCGGCAGCCGCACCAAGTCCCCCGAGCAAACGTCGCCGTACGAGAGTGTCCTCCCACCCGTGAGCTACACTGCCCCTCAGGCAGTCTCATCCCCACAGATGGTTGAGAGACACCCCCGTGAAGTACGAGCTGCATACCAAGCACAACAACAGCAGCAGAGTTATGGCACCGGCCTACTTGAAAACGAGATGTTCTAGATCATTCTAGCCTTACATCGCAATCGTCAAGCTTTCCTACATATGGTATGTCCCATTTCTTCGCTGAAATGGGACTACCGCAACGCATACAATACCCGTTGATTTCAGTATATTTCACTGCATGGCGTCGGCGCTTCTTTTCCCGCGACATCTTCCATTGATACCACATCTTGTCATGACTTTCCCCATCTACTATACACCTGCTGTCCCTTTTCGGGCTTTCGATCGACAGACAGGCTTTTCCAAAAACAGCGCATATCTTGCTTGATCCACCAGATGACGACCATTGTTCTTCTTTCGATTCTAGACACTTGTACACTTCGCATCCTATCCTTGACCGAGGTTATACGATGGGCAGAGATTGATCAGGGGCAAGCCCTTTTCAAACTCGATGGATACGCATTTGGATTTCTTTTTTTTTTTCTTTCTCGCGCCAAGTGGCCATATATCTAGGCAAGCAATGGGACGGAAGAATACGGACTACAGCGGAGGTCTTGCCTCACAGACAGATTGAAGCCACGCGGCTTGAAATGAGGGAACGCATCAATGTACAGAACAGGGCTCGTGGAGGAAAGCCCCTTCATGACCAGTGTGGCACGCGGAACCTAAAAAGTCAGCGGAAGAAGACGAGAATCTCAGCAAAACAAGATCGGGGGAGAGGGGGGCACAGAGAGAGATCCTTACGTCTATTACATCGCTGCCTCACGGCACCTTGTCTACGATTCAAATGTTAGGAGTTTATGCTGTTTCTTTTCTGGTAATCTCTACTAGCTAGTAATGAATTCAAGATGGTGGATATATCAAGCACATAAATTCGGGTACAATCGTGGCTTATGATACCGGTCTTGTAGGCTGCCTGCTGTGCATACTTAACTATGAGCTGAGCGTTAATGTTCGTACTACTACGGTACGATCCATGCGCAAAGTGAGATAGCGATGTCGCATAGTAAAAAGAGAAATATTAGAAGGAAGCAGGCAGGTAACAAACAAATATTGTGTTTATGTTGTGTGTATGTGTGATGGATATGAGCGTTGCATTTGGTTGAGAACAAAAGGGACCCAAAAAATAATAGCGGAGTTGACGATCTCCATCTCAACCCACCAGCTCAAGTCCCCGAGCCAACGTGATCCAGCGCGCCATGCGACGGGGGAGATGCTCTGCTGAGTGAAACCTCCCTGAAGCGTATTCTCCATTTCCTAGGGCACCCTAATCAACACGAGTTACCTACGCGGATAGGGCACCACCGCAGCATTCGCACTGGGCGAAGCATCGGGGGATCTAACGGAATTGAACATGGCGGGTTGAGAATTTCAAGTGCCTTCAAACCAATTGGACCATTACAGTCGACGATTTAGCTGCTTATTAGCACCCACTTGACATGGCGCAGACGCCCTGAGTTTACCCGCCCAGCTGTACATACGATAAGGCGCGTCCGACTGTACGATAAGCATCTGCCTCCAGCTATGTATGTACTGTAGACGTTTGTTCCAATGCCATGAGCTCAACCATCCTGTCGCTTCGCTGAGCATTGCGGCATGCCTTCGTTCCAAGAGTCTCATGACCGGCACCTGATACCGAGAGGTCATTCGAGGGCTGCAAGGAATGGCAATTGACGGGGCACTGAAACAGTCCAGTGCAATTTGATCCTGACACCGTCACCACACCATACCACCGACCACCACCACCACCAACAGACGTCACCGTCGCCATGCTTACGACAGCACCACACCTGCACATCCGGCGGCCCTCGCCGACCACGACCGAGTTCACCGTGTCGACGCTCCCGCCCCAGACGATGCCGCTGCGGCTTCTCCTCGCCGTCGTGAACCTGCTCCGCCTCCTGCTCGGCATCACGGTCCTGCTGGTGCTCTACGCCAAATGGTCGCTCTACTCGCCCTACACGGCGCCGGCGAGCCCCCCTGAGGCGCTCTCCCTCGCCTCTCTCGCGCACGCGCTCCAGCACGTCCTGGACTCGGCGCCGGGCCGTCTGGCGCAGCGCGCGGCCGCGGGGACGCCGGCGTGGGCGCTGGGCCCCGCTGCGCTGGTGGCGCTGTACGCGGCGGTGCGGCGGGTGCACGCGGCCGAGTCGCTGCTGGTGCTGCGGGGGCTGGGGATCCAGACGAGCAGCTCCGGGGCGACGGTGCTGGGCGCCGCGGCCACACGCTTCATCCCGACCGAGAAGATTCAGGACGTGCTGATCAACGAAGCCTTCCGCGGCTTCGAGGTCCGCCACTACCTGATCGTCGTCGTCGACGGCGAGGAGGACGTCGTCGTCGTCTTCCCCAAGCTGCTGCCCCGCCGCGACGTCGTCGAGCGCGTCTGGCGTGGCGTCCGCGGCTGCCTCTTTGATGTCAAGCCCAGGCCCAAGGACGATGACGGGCAGGCTCGCGGGAATGGGAGGAGGACGAACGGGAAGATATGATGCGTGGTTGGGTTGGGCTGGGCTAGATGGTGATTATTTCCAGGAGTTCATTATATACATGGCGTTTGATGGCGAATGCGGACTTCAAAGCATGGCCTAGCACTGTGGAACACAATAGATACCCGGATTTCCTGCACACGAAGAAGTAATAATGGATGGGTATATTCTGTTAAGTCAGAAAAGATGGCCAACATGGTGGGTGATGCGCACATGGTTCATCACTCCCCTTCATCCATCGGGTCTTTGGTGAACTTGGGCTTCTTCGCCCTCTCTTCTCGCCACGCAGCAGCGCTGGCGTACCCCTTCCGCTTAGCCTCCTTGTCATATGTCTCTTCAGGAGACGGCAGCGTCGACTTCTGCAGAACCGGCTGGTACTTGCCCACCATGCGCTCTCTGTTGCCGCCCTCGAACATCCTCTGGCTTAAAGGCACGCAGTGCGGAGCTCTCGGATCCAGCCTCTTGTTGATATCTGCCATGCCGGTCACGAGGTTCAAGAGCTGGCTCGACAGTATCTCGTCCATCTTCCGCTCCCTCCAGAATTCCCACATGTCGTCCACCAGCCCGTTGGCCCCGTGTTTGGCCAGGGGGTTCTCCTCACCCAGATACACCCAATGCATAGCGTCCTTGCGCTCCGGGTCCCCTTCCTTGGGGAAGACGCAATCCCAGAGGACTAGAGGGTATTCACTAGCCAGCACGTAATTTGGTCGTCTTGGCTGCGCTTTATAGTCGAGCAGCTGGTCTACGATCTCGGGCGCTTCTAGCCCCTGCCCAACCATGAATATCACGGCAACCATGCAGCGTATCTGGTGCCACAGGAACGCCGACCCTCTGACATGGAAGTAGTACACCTTGGGGCACTTGGTACCGTCTGCCACTTCGGTGCCGGTGCTCGAGGGGCGGAACTCGGCCTGGTTCAAATACAGCAGAGCTGATTCCGTGTCCTTGACCTCCACGATATCACACTCGAATATACGGCGCTCGAAATTAGTGATCAGCTTGTTGGGGTCGATCTTGCAGAAATTGCGGAAGTCATGAGCGCCCTCAAACTTCTTCGCCGCCTTGCGCATGGCGTCGATGTCGAGCCAGCCGTCCTTCACCTTCGGATTCGCCTTGGGGTTCTCGAGACTCTGTGGTATCGGCGAGTACGCGGGCTGCGTGAAGAAGTACCGGTACTGCCTCTCGCGACAGTCATGACGCGCGGAGAAGCCGGCCGGCGGCGCAGGACACCACGCCAATACCCTGATGTCAGGGGGCAGGAGGCGGTTCAGGATCCTGCAGTACTGGAGTTCGTCTTTGAAATCGTCAAAGGGTTTTTCCTCTTCCACAGCGCTCTCTTCCCCATCCGCCTGCTTTGGCACTGAAGCCTCGCCAACAGCTGGCACATCAGAATCATCAACCTTCATCGCATCGCCCTCGACAGCCACGGTCTCCTTTGCTTTCGGAAGGGGTCGGTTACTCCTCACGCGCGCCGCGATGACCTGGCCGAAGGCGCTGACGCCGCGGTCCGTCCGCCCGCACTTGCTGTACTCCCAGTCGTCCCATTTCACTTCCTCGGGCTTCTCAGGCCAGATAAGACAACTCTTGACCATGGCCTTCCAGAGCTCTTCCTCGATGGTGGACAAAGTGGCGCTGGACTGGAACTCATAACCGCCATAGTTCTTGCCCACATAGGCAAGCTTGAATGCCACAAGGCGGGTAGAGTATTTCGAAGGATCAATCTTCTTGTCCCCTTTCTTCTTCTTGGGCTTCAGGGAGCGGCCGTCTGGCAAGGAAGCATCTACAGAGGCAAGCGACGCTTCAGGAGCGTCTCCTGACGAGCCTGCAGCGCGTGCTGCAGCAGGATTTTTGCATTCTGCCTCCAGTTCCTTGATACGCTTCACAAGGCCTTCCTTCGTCCATCTACTGTAGTCAGTTCCCTTGTCCATTTTCGGATGCCTGAGCTGTAAGCCGTTGGGCTGTGTTGGTGGGTGAGTCGAGATACAGCAGCGCTGTGTCGCCCCAGAGTAAGGATAGGCGATCCCGACGAATTTGGATGGCCGGCGATGAAGAGCTCGGCTATTGAAAGCTCTCATGCAGGCCGGTACTAGGGATTTAAATGCGTCGACACGCCGATGGATTATACTCTCTTGGGAGGAGTATGAAAATTGGGAAGTGTGGCGCTCTGGCGGACAAATTTCATTGGCATCGCCACAGGACCCTGAACTAAACCCGTGGCGCTTGCGCTACATAACTACAGCACGGCGTGCAGGGCCATGGATCAGCCTTCAACGTTCAGCTTCCTACAACAAAATGCCGCGTGCTGTATTCTAGTATGATTACTGTAGAGTCGCACAGCCCGAGAGTGTGAAAAGGACTAAAGCATGGAGCCGTTGCCCATCAAGATTCTGCTGTTGGGGGATGCCAACGTGGGCAAATCGACGTTCTTGGCGTTGGTGCAACCTTGAAAGATCCAGGGAGTTATGAGTACACACGCTGATGATATCCAGTCGCATGAGCAAAGGAAGCAGCGCCTTGGAGGGGAAGGTCGAAATCGCCTTCCTACGTGACACCGACCAGCCTTTTATATTTGAGGTGAAGAATCGGAAAGGCGGTTATCGTCTAGAGTTTTACGACACAGAGAGCCCTGAGAATTGGCGACTTCTTGAGCCGGACTTGATCATTATTTGCTATGATATCAGCCAGAGGCTAAGTCTGATCAATATGCAAAGAGTTGTACGCAGCCCCTGGGTTTGATCCATCTGTTCCATCCTAATCTTCCATTGACACTCTCTGCAGTGGATAAAGGAGGTTCGCTCAACGTTTCAGTCCGAAGCTATACTGCCCATCCTTGTGCTGGGTCTCAAAAGAGACCTCAGGTCGGAGGATGACCCAAACGGCATCATCTACCCGCAGGAAGCTATGAGGGTATCTCAAGAGATGAGAGCGGATAAATACGCCGAATGCTCTGCCGTCACTGGCGAGCTTTTCAAGCTGGCCTTCGAGGAGATATTTAACACAGCCGTGCAGACGACCACAGCCAAGGGCGGCCAGAGTGACGGCGGCTGTGTGGCGATGTGAGCGAGTCGAGATGCGTCTTGGACCAGTGCAGGTTCACTAGGTCCAGGGGCTCGCGGGTGTATTATGAATACACACCCTGACCGACTTTTATCGGGCTTCGGTGGTCTCCATCACATCGCCTTGGTTACCCTCGGGCTCCTCGTCCTCCTCTGGGAACTCACCGAGGACCTCGGCGATGCCGGCAGAGATGTCCTCTTGCTGCGACTGGTCGAATCGGTCCTCCATGTCTTCAATAACGGTGTTCAGGGCCACGGGGTTAGTCGGACGGAGATTGACAATCATGATCATCTCTCCTTTGGTGATCTCATACGGTCGCAGCCTCTCCAGCAATCTTGAGATTGACTGCTCATTGTATGTGCATGGTTCTTGGCTGAGAGGACTAGGCTTGCTTTCAAAGTACTGAAGTAGCTAGAGGAAACACATGAGCAAATGCACCATTCCCGTCAAGATTGAGTGACTCACCTCCCTGCGCAGGGTCTCTAAGTTACCCGGCCCGCGACGTTTTTGCTCTTGGTATTCCTTGGCCTGACGGTTGAGGAACTGGTAGACCTCAAAGTTGGTCAGGATGGCAGACTGGGCTTCCAGGATCTTCATAATCAACGTTCCCGTGCAAGCAACGGGGCGGTAACCCGGTCCGATGGATTTGTGCTGTGGTAAGTTTGGAGGGTGGAGTGACTGCAGAGGCCTGCACCTGAGCAAATTCGAATCCCACGAATGCAGGCGGGATGGATTGTGACACGGCACAACGTGGTGCAGGTCAGGCCCGGCCCAATGGCAGAAGCTAGCGAGGGCCTCGTGTGGGAGATCCGGGGTCCTGCTGGATGGCAACCTGGAGGGTGAAGCTGCGGTGAGGCTGCTTGCTCGGGATCCGGGCGGCCCAGCGGCAGGCTGTGATTGATGGCGATATCGATTTTGTGATGCCTCGCCTGCAAAACCAAGCGAACCAAGCGATTGGCTTGGACCGAATCAATGCACTGGAGATGGATTGTGGGGTTTTCTTACGAAGCTAGCTGGTTGGGCGGTGCCTGAAGCTTTGCAAGGTGAAGGCTCCCTAGGTACCTAATGCAGTACGTACAGGCATCTAGGTACACAAGACATGTGGGCGATAGCAGAGGTCCAAGTTTGTCTACTCTACTCCCGTTGCAAGTCATGGGCGGATGGATGACGACGATGCGCACACGGCGGTGATACGCAAGCCGGCCGTTCCAGAACACGAATGCAACAGTTCCCCCCCGGTGCAACCAGGACGGCTAACTTGTCAGTACCGCATCACATGAAGCTATGTACAGTAGCTTAGCGACATGATGCAGCAGCAGAAGCTGTAACCGTTATTTGGGTTGCAGCCAGGGCCCTGCTAAAGGCAGCTTAGGGCATTGCATCATAAGCCTGTGCGCCAGTGCCGACACGCTGATCGCAGCGCTGACATTCGCCAATGGCCACCAAGGGCCGCCAATGGCCACTGCCTGGGGCGCCGTGCTGCCGTGAAATGAGCTTAACCCCCCGCCTGCAGATTGCAGATTTCTCCTGGTCCCTGCTCCCCCACCGGTGCGAGACACGCGCCGACAAATTCTTGCTCCACTAACACTCTGACGGCGGGGAGGGAAGAAAAAAAAAGAGTCAAGTCGGGAAAATCTGGACGAGCCCAACGGCCACCAGGCGATTGAAACTCTGCCCGCCGTTCCCCTTCTCCATACTAGTTATTCCACCTCCCATCTCCCAAGATTTCTCACAGATCTTGTGGACCAGCCAACCCCCGAAACCAGAAGCCATGGCTCTCCTCTAACCATCTGCCCGTTGAGGATCACTCCCCGTCTGACGAGTAGCTTTTCTCACTCATCCCGCCCCCCTCCACCTGCGGCTCGCTTTTCGCCGGCTAAGCGCTGTTCCCTCCCGACTTTTCAACGTCTCGACGCTACCTCGGTCTTCTCTGTGCCGTCGGGCCCTCCGCGACCGGCAGGGACTGCAAAATCGCTCGCCATCGCGTCCGTCCTCCTCTTGGACACATCGTCGACGGGGCTGCCTACGCCTACGCCTAGCCTGACCAGCGGCGAGACATCTTATACTGCCCAGCAGTATCTGATTGCTTTGTCCAGCTCCCCCGCATATCGCCTTCTCCAACAGACCCCACATCCACATCCTGCAGGCCAAGGAACGTGACTGTCACGCGACAAGATGGTCCGCAACATCGTCATCCTCGGAGGCAACTCCCACCCAAAGCTGGTCGACAGCGTCTGCAGCATCCTGAGCATTCCTCCATGCCAGAGGATCCTCTCGAGCTTCTCTGTCGGCGAGTCCCGCTGCGAGATCAAGGACTCGGTCCGTGGGAAGGATGTGTACATCATCCAGTCGGGCGGCGGCAAGGTCAACGACCACTTCATGGAGCTCTGCATCATGATCTCGGCCTGCAAGACTGGCTCTGCTAAGCGGGTCACGGCCGTCTTGCCCCTGTTTCCCTACTCGAGACAGCCTGACATCCCCTACAACAAAGCCGGCGCCCCTTTGTCCAAACAGCCGTCCTCTGTGCCGAATGGCTCCTATACCTTCGACAGTGTGCCGGCCACACCCGCCCCAGGGATTCCCAAGAGCGCCGGGCTTGCTAACGGCAACGGCCTCGACGGCCTGAGCAAGCGGCTAAAGGGGGCCACTATTGCGGAGGCTCCCGCCAGCACACCTCCTGTCATCAACGGCGGTGACACCTACTTCAAGAAGGTGGAAGAAGTTGAAAGCACGCCGACCCAGGCCCCTTCGATTGTACGGGCATTCACGACGCATGACTACGAAAAGCAGCCCTTCAAGAATTTCCAGGCCAAACCTGGTTATAAGCAGTGGGTGGCTCAGGCCGGCACCCTGGTTGCTGATCTGTTGACTTGTTCCGGCGCCGATCATATCATCACCCTTGACTTGCATGACCCGCAGTACCAGGGTTTCTTCGACGTCCCCGTCGACAACTTGTACGGCCGGCCTCTGCTCAAGATGTACATCCAGCAGAACATTCCAAACTACAAGGACGCCGTCGTCGTCAGCCCCGATGCAGGGGGCGCCAAGCGGGCAACTGCGATTGCCGACAGTCTCAACATGGACTTTGCTCTGATTCACAAGGTAAAGTGCTCGTTTTCTTTGACATGTTCACTCCTGAAACCCTCTAGGAACGTCGCCCTACGAAGATCACGGACCGACAGAATGCCACCATGATGCTCGTGGGTGATGTCAGCGGCCGTGTCTGCGTGCTGGTCGATGACTTGGCCGATACCTCCAACACCATCACGAGAGCTGCCAAGCTGCTGAAGAAGGAAGGCGCCACCATGGTGTATGCCCTCGTCACCCATGGCGTGCTCAGCGGCGATGCCATCTCTCGGATCAACGCTTCGGCCATCGACAAGCTTGTCGTCACCAACTCCGTCCCCCAAGACGAGCACAGGCGCATGTGTCCGAAGCTGGAGGTGTTGGACATCGCCCCGGCCTTCGCAGAGTCGATTCGCCGTGTCCACCACGGAGAATCCATCAGTGTCCTTTTCCAGTACGAGTAACGACGTACTGGCGTTTTTTAATCACCCGGCATTCATTACTTGCATTATCCAGAAAGGACAGCGGCGTTCCACAGAATTATGAAAGTGTAGGGGCTCTCATACAAGGGCGGCTATCAGACTTTCTACTGCGCATAGAGTCGGACTTTGGCGTTTCAGAGTCATTTTGTGCTTTTTACTCCCAGGCTTTACCCATAAAGTCCTCATTGGCCTCTTCATTCAAGGGCGTACGCCCCACTTCATCTCAGTGGCAGAAGTGGCTTTGGTAAATATTAGACATAAAGAAAACAGTCCTCCGGGGTTGCTTTCCTTGACACATACTTGTGATGTTAGACCTCGTAGAGCACGCGATTGCAAGGCAGCTTCTGTGTGAAGTTGCTTCAGGGTCGGTCATCCGTCACGGTCCATGATGCTTGTCAACGAGCAGATCTTTCCGGGTCCTCTGCATGACTTGTCCCGGCCGCTGGCGTGAATCTGTACAAACCGTAAACAAAATCTGAATATATACAATCGTCCATATCCGTACGTTTCTATCGATGTGTTCTGCATGGGCCATAGTCTTTTTGAGGGCTGTGAAAAAGATATAATTCGGGCCAACATGATGTCCTTGACGTGATCCCTTGAAAACGCGGACTGAAGCCTGAGGTTTTCCTTGGCTTTGATGATGAAGGTACGGAGCTCTAGTAAATTGGTGGTAAATGGAGCATTTCGGTTGTGTTATGATCGATGGTTACCTCGGAGAAGGAGCTCGCAGTGATGGGTATAGACGCAATGCTCAACAGATCACTTGCCACATTGTGTCTCAATGAGGATACTACGCATATGCCGTAGTGGTTGCTTAGGTTTCCGTCTTCTGAGACAGTCTTCCGATATCATCTTCGTTAATCAGAGATCGTGTTCTTACGGGCCGTTGCCTGATGTCTTAGACAAATCGTCATCGATACATATCTGGTCTACGATCCGCACTAGCCGCACGATCTAGGCAATGATTGATTCTGAAACGGGTATTTGAAGATGGGAATGCTCTTCCTGTGATTAGGAATGGCGGTTTACGCTTCACCGTAGCTATGGCAGCAGATGTCAACTTCGACAGCATGAAAACGTCGCTGAAAGACGTCGTGCACCAGAAATGGACTGCCAGCTTCTTCTGGCCTTCCGTCTGGCCCGACAAGGTTACTTCACACTCTTTTATCTGTCTTGTATTGGAAATGAGACTTTCCCTAGTATTATGCTGGGCCGCATCGCCGTCCTCGCTTTCCTGATTTATGGAGGATGTGGGAAGATGGCCACGGGACCCGGGACAGGACATCGTGATCCCGGACCCCGTGCCAGTGTTCAGGCCCGAGAGGTCTGCCGTACCTATGTCACCACAATGCTGGTTACGATACAGGAAGGTGGAAACACCACTTCATCGGAGGAAACAGCATTTCCGCAATCCTCAGGCAACGCTGGCTCGGTATCTGATGAGGAGGCCCCTTTTCCCTCCACAGCTGGCAATCAAGGTTCGAGCATACAGCCAGAGGATACATATGCTTTGAGCTTCTCGGAAAATGCAACGATTATTACCATACCCACATCCTCAGCCACACTGTCTAACGAAACTCATTCCCGGGATGCGTCGCAGGGGTCTGAGCGACTAACCACATCCCCGGGCGAGACTGTATCTGGCATTTTGTCCTCATCCCGATTCATTTCCGCGGGCCCGTCAACCTTAGGTACCGCCTCGTCCACGGCAATTTCAACAAACTCACCATCACCAAGCTCATCGAATGAGAGTTCAGATACAAAGCTATCCACCTCGGGCATCGCCTCGTCTGCGGCGGTTTCAACAAATTCACCGTCACTAAGCTCATCAAACGACAGTTCAAATATAAAGCCATCCACCTCGGATCCAAAAGCCATTTCTGTGTCGACCTCGCTGTCAATTGGTGGTAGTAGTAGCAAAGTCACGCTCTTGATAACAAGCTCGACGTCGGAGCTCTCTACGAGTTTGGTGTCGAGCACCGCGACTGATAGGGATGATGGGACGGAAGCGACTTCAACCGGATCGTTATCCTTTGAGCCTACCTCCTCGCTATCCCCAGGCTCTCCGAGAACATTGCCCGACACCTCGGACAATATTATCAGCATGTCGCTTGCTTTCACCACGGAGCCAATGACCACGGGGTCAAGGCGCTCGGTAACAGGGTCTATGACTCTAAGCACTGACTCGGATATCTCTCCAAGTTTCTCGTCACTTTCTGGGAGTCTGAATGCCTCGGATCCCATGTTGACCTCTAGCGTGGCATCGGATTCTGCGTTGACCTCTGGCGTAGATTTGGGTTCTACGTTGACCTCTGGTGTGCCTTCGGATCCTACGTTTACGGCTCCAGATTCTACATTGACTTCTGCCGTGGCTTCAGGTATCGATTCTACAGGAAATGAGAACTCACAGACAGAAGGCCCTATCGTCACCAATGCACCAAATCCCTCTGACACTAGCTTTACATCGACAGATAGTCTCTCTTCTCTTCCCGCGATGTCGACCGTTATACTGAGCGTTGAAATAACCACCCAAGAAATTAATGAAACCCGCAAACGTGGCGCACAACTATGGGCGCGCGATGAGACTTCTGGTTTCGTAGGGGACGAAACCTTCCAGCACCCCGAGTCTTGCAGCAACGCGACCCTGTTCCGCAGGACGAATGGCCAACTCCTTAGTCGGAGTAGACCTCTTTCTGTTGACCCGGGCGTGGACTTCATCAATATGTCCAACTATCCGGGAGGTTCGATTACAACCAGTAAGTTTCGCTAAACGTATTCACTTTAGGCCGTATCACTTCCAATCTTGCATGGATTGTGTTCCATTTCTTTCAAATATATATATATATATTCTATCGCCAGTACCATGGACCAAACATTACTAACTTCAAATATAGCCTTCGTTGTCGTTGGCGGTGTCTTGTACTGGGATAATAATGCGTTTTATAATGGCACAGCTGGATTCTGTGAGGGGACTATGGGTGAGGTATACGCAACGTTTACAGAAACTGGAGGACCGCCTAACTGTATACCAGTAAAACTAGTCGTATACACTGGTAAGCTCGCATCTGTTTTTGAGGTAATTATTAACTAAAGATATAACTATCAGCGAATCAATGCCAAAATGGCGAGATTGTCGGCGTGGAAGGGGGAACGACGACTGATGTACCACCCTCACCAAGCAACACGGAAACACTGGCGTCTGAGACCAGTCCCAGCCTCAGCGATACCGAGCCCACCACTAGTGTGATCACGGAACCTGTGTCTACGTTATCTAGCAGTGACCTTGGAGAAACACCATTATCGAGCTCAACTGAGGTGGATGAGTCTCAGGCCAGTTCTCCTCCAGGCTCACAAACCCCATCGGAACTGCCAACTGCGTCTTCAACGGAAAGCACACTGGACAACGGGGAGAGTTTGTCCACCGCCACCGAGAGTGCCGGTTCAACTAATCATCCCTCTTCCACAGCAACACCAGATTCGCCTCTTATGTCAAGTGCAAACCAAGGTAGCCCCGATCAGAGTACAGGAGGCACAGACACAGCCATAATCACGTCTTCTCTCACACCCGGTGACACAGAGACCGAACGTTTCAGTACTGGCCTGACCACCATTGGCGCGCCCGCCACATCGACTGAAGGCAGCGCTGAAGAAACCACTAATGGCACTACCTCAATTCAGACAGCCTCGTCAGTAATAATGAGCTCTACGGGTCTAACTACGAGCGAGCCGATCGTCTCAAGTGAGGATATGTCAACGATGATTTCTGACTCTAGTGACAAGCCCGTGATGTCCTCCTCGGAACCAGCCGCCTCAACCCAGTTTCTGACGTTCGAAGAGTCGTCTTTAGGGTCTTTCATGAGCTCGAGTGAAGGAACGATGACCACGACCGGAGTTGACCCGGTAATCTCGGCCACTGGCACAACTGCCTCAAATTTTGATACCACCTCGAGTCCGACCGTCCAACAAAGATCGAATGACTCTTCCGATGCTGCGACAATGACAGTATCTGATACGCCAACGGTGTCCATGGAGTTATCTGACACGTTTTCATCCACAGGTTTCCCAACAACTCCTGTGTTGCCAGAAACCTCAACCACAACACTTAGCATAAGCCAAGAAGAACCTACATCATTGACCAGTGTTGCATCTTCTTTGAGTCCCCCAATCACGAGCCTAGATCCTTTATCATCAAGCACCTCTGTCCTATCCGAATCCAGCAACTCTCTACTTACCAGTACCGGCGAATCCACCGAGAATTCGGAGTCTATATCGTCCATGGAAACAGACCAAAATTCTCCCAGCGCAGGAACGTCTATGACAAACGATCCGTTATTAACTACCATAGAGACATCCAGCGAGCCAGACACCGTTTATTCTTCAGGAGCGAGCAATATTCCAAGCGCCACAAAGACATTAACCGAGGCCGATACAACACAAGAATTACCTATTCCTAGCACGCAAACATCTTTCCTTTCACCAACATTTTCAGACAATCAAACTCAGGAGTCGACTGCCATCACTGATTCTTCCACCGGATCACTAATTAGTTCCAACTCTGGCCAATCGCTTAGCACACAGACTGTTGGAACTGGGACGCTGCTGATCACCGATGTCACCACTTCCTCCACCAATGCAGAGGCCCCATCAGGCTCTACTGCTGAAGACATCTCAACAAAAGTCCCCGGCTTGACGACTTCTATGGATTCAGGTTCCACCATGCCAAATTCTGATGTCAAAACTTCGGCCAGTCTAGAGACATCTGCTGCAAGCATTTCCACTAGCACTCTTGACCTCAGCTCCGTGGATACAGCACTCTCGACTAATACATTCGAGACCTCGACAACGATAGAGTTATCGACAACTTCGTCTGAGGCTTTCGAGTCTTCTTCTCAAGGGAAATCTTCCTCTGAAGATTCGACAATATTTCCTTCTCCAACCACTGCAACTATAATAGTGACAAGCAACTCAGTTTCTAGCCCCATATCTATAGTGGAAACTCCGGGTTTAGCATCGTCTACATCACCCTATACCAGCGCATCTGCCGTGCAAAGTAGCGGCCAAAGTTTTCCATCAACAACAGAGACCGTAACTCCTGGTTCTCTGGTTGACACGACTACGTCGGACTCAGAATTTAGCTCAAGGACCATTAATCAAGACAGCACTACATTGACATCTAGCGATTTTCAAACTAGTCCAAGTAGCCCGAATACCGCTGAAGCCACCCCTAGTTCTATGGTTGGTACGACTACGTCAGACTCAGAATCGACCTCAAGGAACACTAAGCAAGACAGCACTGCATTCACATCTAGCGCTTTTCAGAGTAGTTCAAGCAGCCCGGGTACAGCTGAAGATACCACAACGAGCCCACCAGAGCCAGTATCGTCGACGAGCAGCAGCACCGAACTACCGGTGTCAACAAGTTCAAGTAGCAGTATTAGAACGTTGGAAAGCTCAGAGTCTTCGAGCTCAAGCGACAACGCGGTGCTGTCAGGGTCAGCAAGTTCAAGTAATATCGGTACAAGCGGACAGTCTGCCTCCAGGACTACAGAAGGGCCAGGGGTTTCTAGCTCCAGCCCGGAAGCAGTCAGTAGTTCCACCGAAACAAGCCTCTCCACAGGGTCTTCAGTAAGCAGTACAAACAACCCGGATAGTCAAAGCAGTTCAAGTGGCACCAGTCACGTTTCAAGCTCAGTGGTTATCTCTAGCAGCCTGGCTTCGTCACAGACAACAACTTCAAATGCGAATTCCGAAAGTTCGCAATCTGGACTCTTCACCACCTCCATTGCCTCGTCTACTTCGTTTGCCCCCGTCGTTTCGACGTCGAGCAGCAATTCCTTGGGAGCGACCACTTCACTCAGCACAGCCGAGCCAACTTTTGACTCTGCCACTAGCACTTCGTCTGCCGTGATTTTAACTAGCACTTCGACAACGCGCATCAACTCTTCGGGAACAAGCACCCCTCTCAACACATTTGAATCAACTACCCAACCCTCTGCCACAAGCTCGGTCTCAAGCCAGAGCCAGATGGTTTCCACGTCAACGTTGTCGAGTACGAGTTCACTCCAATCGAGCAGCACATCCGGACCAACTGCCCAACCATCCCCTACAAGCTCGATTTCAAGCCAGATCCAGACGGTTTCCACGTCGACGTTGTCGAGTACGAGCTCCAATGCAAGCATCGTCTCAAGCCAGACGGTGTCTACGTCAAGTATGACTTCACTCCAGTCGAGCCCGTTTGGATCAACTGTCCAACCCCCTACTACAAGCTCCGTCTCAAGCCAGAGCCAAATAGTTTCCACGTTGACTTTATCGAATTCTACTTCACCCCAACCGAGCAGCACGTTCGGATCATCTGTTCAACCCTCCACTGTAAGCTCCGTCTCAAGCTAGACAGTTTCCACGTCAAGTATGACTTCACTCCAATCGAGCAGCACGTTTGGACCAACCGCCCAATCCTCAACTGCAAGCTCCACTTCAAACCCAAGCCAGACGGTTTCCACCGCTTTGTCGAATTCTACTTCACTCCAACCAAGCAGCACAATATCAAGAACCAGCTCGTCCACTAGTTCTAGTGTTTTGTCGACGATATCCAGCAGCATTACGAGTTCATCGTCCAGCCGAGTCGTTTCCTCGTCGGTAATTACAAGTGCCGTCTCAACATCAACAGTGTCGCCTGTGTACACTACCGTAAGCACCCTTTACTCGGGAAACTCAACGACTACCACGACAGTACCGCCCAGTGGCACGGCAGCTGGGACCGTTATCATTCAGCGGCCGAGTTATGTAACCACGACCCAGCCATATTCGGGATCAGTAACTATTACAAGCACACAGACAGCAAGCGGGGCAAATCAAGGCACGGTTTACGTGCAAGCTCCTTTGGCTACGTTGAATTGTGACCCGAACGGCTATCTCATTCAAACCACCACTCTCTATAGAGTCAATATCACGACGGGAAACACCACAACGGTCAAGAGTGGAGTCGGTGATGGCCGCGGCATTCAAGCAATAGGATACAACGTGGCGGACAATTTCATATACGGCTCCATTGGAGTCACCCTCAATGCCCCTGTTGACCTTATACGCATCGCGGCCGATGGAAGCCACACAATAGTCAACTCCCTGAATATCTCAAACACCTGGTACCCTAACTCGGGAGATGTCGATGAGAGCTCGCAATACTGGGCCTCATTTCAAGGAAGCTATTGGCTCCAGCTCGACCTCAAGCCCGGCTCGCCTACCTTTAACAGGACGGTAAATAGCGGCCAGATGACGCCCCCTCATCTCATCCTGGACTGGGCATACGTACCCGGCGCCGGCAACTACCTCTGGGCACTCGGATATGACTCGCCAGCCATCAACAGTACCTTCCTGCAACGATTTGATAGAGCCAGCAAGAGCTGGACGGTGGTTGCCAACCTGGGAAACATCGGAGGAAGCAACAGAAACGCATTTGGTGCTGTCTACGCCTCGGACGACGGGTACCTCTACGGATCTGAGAATTTCAGCGGAGGCATATACCGCTTCAACATCCCGCCGAACGGCACAGTCACGGCTGGTTTCAACGCCACATACACGAAGATTGCCAATGGGCCAACCTCGTTGTCCAATGACGGAGCCAGATGTATAAAAGCTGCCAATATTTCATAGTTGGGTCTCGCTACATCGGAGGAAAATTGCGACGACTCGAGGGATTGGTAATAAGTATTGAAATTGTCTTCACAAGCAAAGTTGAACCCATCACATACACGTATGCGACCATGGTTCCTTAGAACAATCTATTCGCCGGTTTCAGTGAGCAGCATCGCTCCGTGACTCGTAACCTCCTAGGTGGTATGTATTCATGAGGACCCCTGCCCCTACCTAGGTAGCTCCCGTCTGGTGGGGGAAAGCCGCCGATTGGGCGGACCCTGAAACGCTCCAGGGGGCCCGGGCGCTTGGGGGCTGGAGTTTCACACAGCTGCAGGGCACAACTTGCGACATCTGGTGCCCGCCATCCGCCGAGTGGAGCTAGGACATCGCGATATCTGTTCGTCCCATGTATCCGACCTCGCTGTCAGCTTTCTTCACGATTGTTCGCTTCTCGCAATTGAGGATTTGTTGCGCCCACTTACCTTGAGATACCCCCAATTCACTGCCTGCTGGTCAGCAGTTCTTTGCGCCTCTCCCGTCCTACCATCTAGTCCTAATTCCAGTAATCTGCCCACCATGAACGACCAAAGACCGCCGACGCGGGACTCATGGTTCGCGCCCCTCTCCGTCGACCTCGTCCTCAAGGCCCTCAACGTCACCTTCTTCCACCCGTTCATAGCATGGCTGGTTCCGCTGTGCTTCCGCGCTCGCCACATGAACTACGATGCGATGCCCATACAGATTACGATCGGCTGGGCGGTGCTGGTCACGGCGCTCTGGGTGCTGAATAAGTTCAGCCACAAGCTCGCGTATGGGATGCACCGTGAGGTTGACCTGAGTGAGGAGGTTATAGTCATCACTGGCGGCGCCAGCGGCCTAGGCTTGCTCATTGCCGAGGTGTACGGCATGCGCGGAGCCACGGTTGCCGTGCTCGACAAAGCCGAGTTGGAGAGCACAGACGCAAGGGGCATCACATATTACAAGTGCGATGTCTCGGACAAGGCGCAGATTGCGCGCGTTGCGGCCGAGATTGAGCGTGACCTGGGCGTGCCTACGGTCCTGATCAATAACGCGGCCGTGGTCGTGGGCAAGAAGCTGCTGGACATGGAGGTGGAGGAGGTCGAGCGCAGTTTGTCGACAAACCTCCTGAGTCACTTCTACACCATCAAGCAGTTCTTACCCGGCATGCTACGGAACGAGGTCGGTGGCACAATCGTCACTGTTTCCAGCGTTATGGGACATCTAGGTGCGGCACGGCTGAGTGACTATGCCGCTGCGAAGGCCGGCGTGACAGCTCTCCACAAGTCTTTGGCTGCAGAGCTGAGGGAGTACCCGGAGATCAAGACGATCATTGTCACACCCGGCCAGCTTAGCACCCCACTTTTCTATGGAGTGCAAACTCCCAACTCCTTCATTGCGCCGGTTGTCGAGCCTGTAGACATCGCCAAGGAGGTCATCCAAGCCATTGACCTGGGTGTTAGCGATCACATTGGGGCTCCGCTCTATGCTCGTTGGATCGATTGGTACAACGTTCTGCCTGTTGGACTGCAGAGAATCGCACGCGACGTGGCTGGTATAGATAGGAGCATGGCACATTTCATCGGCAGAAAAGGCACACAGCTGAGCGAGAAGAACGGTTCGGCAAGGTGAACGACACCCGTGATACCCGAATGTATGGCTGGCCAGTAGACTTTCAAAGTTGCCACTATCATGGACTCATGGGCCGTGATGCGGGCGCTCGCAGGCTGTATTACGCACAATAGCTGGAAGATGTGACTGCCCACGAGTTCTGGGCCCAAGTCAGCTTTGGTCAACGTTTTTGATAAGATATCAGACACAGTAGCGACTCTGTCTAACGCCGGAGATATCCAGTTCGATCTACAGTTTGCATGGTGTGGCGATCGCTCGAACACGACACCGACGGTCGATCAGGGATGCAGAAGTCAGTTGTCAGTTATCACATAATAGCGCACAGGGCTGTGAAGTCCTTCTCCCAAGGAGTTTTACCCTTGCATATGTACCACCACCTTGACAACCCTGTATATTATGATTGCTTTTGCTCGCGCCAATGACTGCTTTAGTCTGACTTGACCTTGGACCAATGCTGCTAGCCTTGGAGTGACAATGTTCGTTGCGAATCAGTGTGCGTGGCCTCGCGTGACGTTCGTCAACTCTGGATAGGCACATCCACTAGTTGAAAGCCACCTTGGTGACCGTTTATTTAGACGCTTCTTTCGCCTCGGCTAGATCCCACGCGCGCGGGACCTGTCCTAACCGCCGAGTTTACCGAACCTCTCACCCTCTGTAGAGCCCTTATCCAGAGTTTGCGCTACACCGGGAAGTGGGTGAGACGATGTCTTCTGGATGACTCTAATCCTTCGGGAATACCACTGTTGTAAAGAGGCATGTCCAATGTGACAAACTTTGATTCCCGCCCTTACTCTTCTCTCCCGAGGTCACCATCCTTGCTCCAAGGCCCCTGTGTTATATGCGACGGCAAACTCCGAACAATGTGTTGTAGGAGTACCCCGGCTGTCAAATTGATGCCAGATTCACAGGCCGCCAACGGTGCATCTTTAACACTAAGTGGGTAGGACGTGGGGGACGTGGACCCTACACGTCTATTGCCAGCACTATGATCGCGTGCGCCTTCCTCTCGGGACAAGCTCAAAAGTCACAGGAACTCTATTCCACTAACCTGCCAGGCGAGCGCTCTGCTCCTGGCCGTTGCAAGGTGAACACTGCGCTGTTTTTGTTGCTTGCAGTTATATCCGTCTTAACGTGGCAGATATGGGGATGGAGTGTCCCGCATGAAGTGCAAGCCCTACGTTAACCATGTCATCAATCGGGTTTCCGACGACTCAATCAATGCCTTGATAGTCCTTATCTCTACCCCAGATCTGACCAATGACAGTTCAAGTTACATCCCAATGCTTCACCAAGAATTCCGAGAGGGAGCCCAAATCGCCAAAGTTTATTACAATATCCCTACTAGCTCGATGCTTGACAGCCAAAGAGCACTCAGTGAACGGCAATAGTGGTCTTGTCATGCATGGAATCCTTCTATGGGTCCCCTACCGGTTCCGAGGTGGTGGTGGTGGTCTATTAAGTTCCCACGTCGGGCCGGCTAGAACATATATCTCAAGAAACATTAGTAGAAGAAATGCCGATGCGTTGCCGTTGCACCTACGAACCATAATATTCAAGTCTAATTATTCCTCGACTTTGGAGGCTTTCGCTCAGGACCCACTGCCTCTGCCAATTTCTGATACTCCCACGTGCAACGTTTGGCTGCCAGGCCAGCAATGATAGGCCCTGTCAATGGCAGCTATATGGTGGAATACAGCTCGAATTGAGAGCACTGTCACCCGGGACTTCGTTTCGTCCCGTATCCCAACGGACAGGATCGATGACTTGGACGCGGCGACAGGTTTTGGCGATGGCTTGACGGATGGCACCTACTGGGAATGGATTGAAGATAAGGCGAAGCGTATCTTCCTGATTCTGGACGACATCGGCATCCCAGAGAATATATTTGGTGTGGTCGACAACTCGTGGGACGACGGCGATTTGCCCATCTCTTTTGAGCAACTCGACCGTTTGACAGGCAAGTCGGATGTGAAGCTGAATTGGAAATTCTACGACCGACAGTTTTATTACATGTTGAAGGAAATTGACGAGGGCATCCATACAATATATGAGGATGATGAGGTTGTTCCTATCAACGTCGTTGAGAAACGACCAGTCGCAGCGCTGAACCAAAACCACTCGATCGACAAGGTTATCGTGCCGAGCAGACCCGACTTGATTTTCTCACGCCGAAGGATACCCATCGCAAGCATTCCAAAGGACGCTGCCTACGAGGATTTCTTGGGCGAGGTCAGAAGAACCCGTAACTCTCAGAACGAGCACGTTGTATCGTACTTTGCGTCTTACACACATCTTGGAACATTATATGTGCTGTTTACTTCAAGCGACTACAGCCTAAAAAATCTACTTGCGACAATGCCGGCACCTCTGAAGGCACTTTCAAAACCGGAGAGACGAGCTCACACAATGAACTGGATTCACTGTCTGGTGGATGGCCTGTGCTATTTACATAGCAAAGGTCGATCTCACAGAAACATAAAGCCATCTACAATCCTCTTCGACTCAGATCATCGGATCCTCCTTGCCGATACCGCCCACCTAAACGTTGAGTCGGGCGGCAGCTCCTCGGACACGGCTGCTTTCAATAAGGAGTCGTACGATTACGCTGCTCCCGAGCAATGGTTTCGCCCTTCCAACACCAACTCGGCACATCGGAAGGGCCCCATGGCTTCTTCTATGGCATCTTCCGCTGGGAATTATTCGCTCTCCATCAGCCGCGGCGGTCCAGAATTCGGCTCTGCACACCACGCAATAACGCCCAAACTAGACCCTCAAGCAGCAGATGTCTTCTCGCTGGGCTGTATCATTCTAGAGCTGCTAAGCCTCCAGATGAAGCGGACCTCCAAGTCATTTGCCTCTCACCGGGGTGCCAAACACAAGTCAGCCGGCCGAGGCGGTGCTGTCCTGGATACTTCTTTCCACAAGAACCTAGGCCAGGTGGAGTCGTGGATGGCGGGGCTCGCGAAAGACGCGAGCAAGAAGGACGAGCCTATCTTCCATGGCGTGGCGCCTACGCTGCAGCTCGTCGCTCGTATGCTGTCCGTATCGCCACTCGACAGGCCCACGGCCCGCGAAGTCGAGCAACACATGTACCGAACCCTGACGGAACACTGCCAGATACTAGAGCCGCATTGCGTCCACCAATACGGCAGCCTTGGCTCTGCACTAGATAACCTGCGGTTGAGCGACGACCCTGGAGATATATCCATCTACACCAAGCGGCATAGCGGCAATGCTTGGCCCTTGGGCCACAGGCGGTCGACCAGCAGTGCGACGCCGCGTAGCCCAAGGGACAGCGGCTTCCATGCCATGCAGGCTATGCGAGCACCTGGACCTCAGAATTGGGCTGCACCCGTCTACGCTGGTGGGATCTGACACACTTCCCGTTTATGCGTGGTACATTCGGAGGTTACCAGACGATTCAACCCCCGGCCGCCGACAGATACCTTGATGACAAATTATGAGCACATTAGTGAGAAATATTGACAGGCTCGAGGGAGTTTGGGCTTTTGTGGTAAAGGGAGTTGATCGGGACTTTGATTTGCAGATTGAGGAGAAACAACGCTCTCTGGTAATGAAATTGCTTGATGTTTGCAGCCGCCGTATTGACGGCGAGCTCCGTTCGATGGTGAACCAAACAGGGAGTCTGGGAAGATGATATCCTTTGCCTTTCTTAGTTACGAATGTGTTACAAATAGACGCAGCCAGATGCCCATTTAACTGCCTTCGCCAATGGCTTTGTTTCGCATTGTGAATTTGCTTTCGCCCACTTCGTGCTCACTTCGTGCGAAACGTAGTGATCATTGGCGTTGTCCAAGCCAATGATTAGAGCTATACTCTGCATCCTGCACCGGTTTGGAAAGCTGCAGGTTAGGGAGCCGGTAGATCTGACTATACATGCTTCAAGATCAATCCCCCTGACTGATTGCTACATAATGTAGCGTGTGGGTTGCTAAGCAAACGGGTGAGCAGGCTTGCTACATGTTGACCTGCGACAATTCATTGGTATCAATTAGCTCTGCGATCACATCTATTTATGCAACAAGATAGCTCAGCTGCTTTGACTTCGATATGTTGAATTGTGCAATACTTCAAGATCACTTCGATGGTCGAACAAATATACAAAGGACAACTCCTGTGATAGACACACATTGGCGCGATATACACATCCTGGAATCGGTAGGATCCGTGCCGTCCCCAATCTGAAACGAGGGACTACCAAGTCCTCTGGAGTTACCGGGGATGCGCAGCCTCGCGATATATTGCATATTGACCTACTTCCCGGGCCAGACGGAGGTTGTACTCAAGAGGCGTGAAGAACTCCTGGGGCCAAGGAAATGGGATACTTCCTAGTAGGCGCGTCTGATTGCAGCTAAAAATGCATATGCCCAGTGGCAGGTATTTATTAAGCGAAATGCATACCTATTAGCGAACGCGTGCGTCATTCAGATTCGAGACTATGGTTCCTAACCGGTCATCGATTTCCCCATATGGAGGTGACCCTCATTCCTCCATGTACTATGGTAAGCGCATGTTGCTATTGGGATTGGGCCAATTTCACCAGCGCAAACCCCCAGGATGAAGGAGTGGGACACAGGGCCCCCGTCTGCAATCTGTTCTGGGATCTCCTCCACCTATATTGGTGTACCAGCGCTTGCCAGGTGCTGAAATTGCGGGATTTGCTCAAGCAGTGGCCATTGCGCAGCCTAACAAGCCTTGATGATCTACATGCTTGTTTTGTCTTGCCTGGTCATGTCCAGTCTGGTCTTTGTCTGGAGAAGCCGGCGTGGGGGATGAGACGACGTGCTGGCTAGCCGGCAGTGGGACTCGACGTGAAACAAACGGCTGAAGGTTTGGCAGCCCATCGCTGCCGAGTCGCACGCGAGATCTGCAGCACAAACAGGAATAGATCAACTGCGCGTTCCAAACTTTGGAGCAGCCTCAGACCGTACTTTGAGAAATCCGGTGTCTTTGCCAGTTTGTCGATGCAGATGCAGCAGCCATCATAGGCCAGCTCGCGGGCTGGAAGCCACCAGGGGCCAGTCCGCTCTAGCCGGCCCATCCACGCAAGCAGTGGCAGCTAAGCTGGAAGCAGCCGAGTGCTAGTAGCTGCTAGGTCGTTTTGGTCGGCTGCAGGCCCGAAGGACGGGCGAGCCTCCTGCAGCTTAGCAGAGAATTCACTGGTGGTTGCAGGAAAACCTCCGGAGCTATCCATCCTATCCATCCTGGCGGGCCTATCAAATCGAGGATTCGCCCAGTGATCGCGTATACCTACAGCACTTCACCAGGAAATCAAGGCACGCCGACCCAGGCTGTTGGCCGTGTAACCGCTAGGGTGCCCTGCACCCAGTGCTAGCTCCCCATCCGCGTTGAAGCTTGGCTGTCCACGATCGTTTGACACTGACAGGGTTGGATATGTGGTACACGACGCCCCGTTGTCGTAGCTAGATTGATGACTACGTGATGATGATCGATTTCTCGTCTTTCCTTGTCTACCTCACGGCCTCCCCTCCTTCTCTCTTCCCCCAATGTTCTTGCCCGAGGAGCATCTGATCCTCTGATCCCTTCGTTTGGCGAAATAAGTGAAGTTGAGCAAGCAGGCGTCATCAGATTCTGCAGCGACTGTGTTTCGCGAGTCAATCGTCCCTCAGGTGAAAACAACTCCTAGTACACGTCCGGCTCCCGCCCGCTTTCCACCCGCTTTGCGCCGTGTCACGCTCGTTCCCTGCCAGATTCTGTCGACTGTCTGATTTGAGAAGGCTGGGACATTGGGAAAATACATCAAGTTGGAAACTTACGACTTCGAACTGTTTGTGCTGTGTCATTCGTTTGGCAGTCAAGTTGGCAGAATCGTCCCTCGTATCCTTTTGGTACTTTTGGTAGCGTCGTCTTTGGAATACTTGGAGGTATTGCAAACGATCGTTTTTGGAATATCCTTCTTGCGCACTGCATTCTTTCTAAACCTTCGTTCGCCATGCGCTCTTCAATCTGGCTGGCTGCAGCTGTGGGCAGCGCCACCACGTTGGCTCTCGCTACTATTGAGGCCGTGGGAAACAAATTCTTCACCAAGGATGGTGCCCAATTCTTCATTAAGGGTATGTCTCATAATCAGGGTCCTATCGGCTGGCAGTCGACTAATGAATCAACAGGAATTGCGTACCAATTGGTACCCGGTTAGTCTAAGAGCAACTCGGCTGAATGCCTCGACACTGTGTTTGTACTAATCGGCCACAGATGACCCTTTGATCGACACCGAACAGTGTACGCGAGATGCCACCTTGATGAAGACTCTAGGCGCCAACACGCTTCGAGTTTACCATGTGGATTCTGACGGAGACCACGACGGCTGCATGTCGGCATTTGCAGATGCTGGCATCTACCTGATGATTGATATGGATACCTTCAGTACCTACATCTTGGCTGTAAGTCTCAACGCTGGTGTGATAGGTTGTGGGTGGCCAGATGCTAACACAATGTAGGAGAATCTTTATTGGAACCAGACTCAACTTGACCATTACTCCAAAGTTATGGATGCTTTCCAGGGTTACGACAATCTGCTTGGCCTGTTCGTTGGAAATGAAATTATCACAACGAACAACCAGTCACTCGCTGCTCCGTTCATCAAGGCTGCCGTGCGCGACCTGAAGGCCTACCGGAATTCGAAGGGATACCGCGAGATCCCCATCGGCTACTCCGCGGCTGACATTGCTGAGCTCCGACCCATGCTCCAGAATTACTTGACTTGTGGTGGAAATGCGTCAGAGAACGTAGATTTCTTCGGCCTGAACTCGTATGAATGGTGTGATCCCGCAACCTACCAGAACTCGGGATACGCGAACCTGCAGGCCGATACTGCCGACTTCCCTGTTCCCATTTTCTTCTCCGAGACAGGGTGCATCAAGCCTGGCCCGCGTTTGTTCCAAGACCAGACTGCTATCTTCGGCCCAGAAATGGTGAACGACTGGAGCGGTGCCATCATCTATGAGTGGATCCAGGAGGCCAACGAGTATGGCCTTATCTCATACGGCCCAGCAGTGGCTGCTACTGCGACCGGTGAGAACATCGACGGTGGATATACCCGCAAAGGAACGCCAACGCCCAAGTCTCCTGACTTCACCAACCTGCAGAGCCAGTGGGCTACCATCACTCCGACTGGGGTGGCAAAGTCTGCGTACGATGCCAAGAGTGTCTCGACGCGAGAATGCCCCAAGTCCACAGCTGGTGGGTGGCTTGTGGATGGTAATGTTGCCCTTCCCAGCCTGGGTGCCACATTCACTGGGTCCAGTTACTCTGCGGTGCCCTCCGCAACCGGCACCGGCACTGCCGCTGAGCCTTCGTCAACAAAGAACGCAGTCTCCGGATCCAGAGAGGTCACTGGGATGGCTGCAGGCCTCGCAAGTGTCATGATAGTCTTCACTTTCTGGCTGTAATTGAGTAGCCTGAGGGGCTGCTTGCAATGATTTACGAGTTTCAACTGATGAGCCATGGCATCCACCTTTTGACACCATTCCAGGGTCGAAGTGTTGACGATTCCAGATACACATACCCAGACACAAAGGCTTAGGAGCGATAAATGATAGCCCTCTGACTACGTTTCGACATTTTTACGCCAACTTGCGTTCCTCCATTCAATCGCATAGAAATTTGGAAGCGGCTTCGCGCCGTTGGAAGCCGGCCAGTCAAGCACGATGAGTGGCATCTGTTTTTGGGTGAGGAAGTCGTGGGCGAAGAGACGCAAATTTTATTCGATGCGAACACGAAAACACCAGCTGCCCACGTGAACGGATTTCATCGGGCTGAGAAGTCTGGGTTTCCAGCATTCAGCATATTTGCACATAATTACTAATGAGCAGTCAAGTAGATACATACAGATACCCATCGGGGTCTACAGCATAGTAATAGGAATGTTGCTGTATACGAATAGAGACAATGTTCTAAGTTATTCAGCCATCATGCCGCCGACCTTGCCTCGTGAGCTCGAGTCATTTACGGTTTTATAAACAAAATCCATTCAAGATGCACCTGTGACTGGACACCCACGTCTTAGCGAAGCATGGGAATTCACTAGCCATTGTTCATTGTAGCAAAGTACCGCTACTTCCCAGTCCAGCAATTCCAGCGCGGCTGCCGATAGCAGTCTCATGCGGACTTGCATGTACAACTCCCAACGCGCTTGCCAGACGTTTTCCTCAGCTCTGCACCATCTTCACGATAAGAATACGTTGATCTCTCTCAACTGTCTCAAGTTGGCCGTCCTACAAATGTCATACAATCTAGAAGCCTACTGTCTCTATTCATCGTCCTGGAATACCTAGCTATCTAAATTGATTAACGCCAATAACGCTTCATGGAAGAGAATAAAACGGAGCAGGCAGACAGGCTGCCATGTCCGTCGCACAACAAGAAGAAGTGGAACATCGACAAGGCTGCCTTCGACTGGCATCGATGGCTGCCGTTACATGATCGACCTAACTTGCGCTGGTTCTTGGCTATACTGTTGGCCGTGATAATTATCGCTATCATGATTATCGGCATCGTCTTCACCGCAGAGTACTACGCCACATACTACGCGTCGGGCGCTTGGATCTTCACCAAAGAAAGGAACGACACTGCCCAGCTGCAGTCGCATGGGGGCAAGCAAGCGGCCATGGAATCTCCGATGCCGAAGATCACTGGCGAGGGAGGAGACGAGGCATTCACAAAGAGCCTGTGGGTTTCGGAAGTAAATGGGTTTTACAAGGCGGCTGCTTGCGACAACGTCACCAGCTGTGCAGCCTACGATCAACCTGTAAGACACCCCTTTATTCCCTCTCGAGAAAAAGTCCCCTACTGATCAATAGGCCATATGTTGTGAGCCTGGCCTCGCTTGCTTCGCCAGTAGGTCCAGCAGCTCCGGCATCTACTGTTTCGCCAACCAGACATCCTACCACCACCCTGAAGCGGACAGATCCGTAATGTGCCCACAACATCTGCTCGAGTGTGACAAGAAGGATGGTGGAGGCTGTTGCCCATATGGCACGTTGTGTGCTACCGAGGGCTGCCTGATCTATACCATGAAACCCCCAAAGTCGACGGGTAGCACCGCTCCTACGACCTCCACTGGACCCCCATTCGTTATAGCCACTGCACACAAGATGGGAGAAGTGCCTCAGAGCAAAGGAGTTGAGGGTTACATCCCATATACTTTCGGCTATACCAGCAATCCAGCGCTTAAGGAAGGGGCACTGGGATGTGCACTACTGGTTGCTTGGATGATGGTACTCATCGGTTGATAGCACTGTCTTGTTCCTGAGATAAAGGAGACTATGTCATGCGGAATAGGGAACTGTCGCCGACACAACTAGCATTGGAAGGAGTATGCATGACCGCGCAGAGGAGTATTTGCCAACTGGACCAAGACTCAGGACCACTCTCACGACAGGATTGGACCGCCGAGAGAGCTTCTTATCAGCACACTGACATATGCTATGCATCGGCCGTATCCTCCACACCAGACAGGATCAAGTCTAGTGTAGTTTGATGCAAGATTGACAAGTACGGCAACGTATCTGATGGCACCCCTCAACATGTTCATGTTCCTGGTTCCTCAATCAGATCCTCCCCCGGAATGCCACTTTGCCGGGAATATCGTGGGGGCTCGTGGCGTCCGCGACCGATTTGCTCAGAAGGATTTTGTATGTGGCGGCCGAAAAAGGTTTCGGAACAGTCAGGAGCAGGGGTCACAACTCTCAGACATTGATCGTCTGCAAGTCTGAACTTAGGAGGCTTCGGTTCATGCACCTCCAATGACCGATGTCACCGAACAGAGAATGCAAGGCACTCAAGATCAGACGAGATCTAGGACGCTACTCTGAAGGATGAGACGAATTTGTGTGTCTCTAGTTGACCGAGGGGTCCGGTCAAATGCGAAGGCACTGTGTGTTATTACAATCGAGTGTTCAATACGAAAGTGTATAACTCAATTTACCCATGGTGTTTCTATACCAGTTTCAAAAATGCAGCACTGCCCCGCTACTCGATCTGGAGATCGTATGCAAAGCAAGCACTACACAAACGACTGTGCCGCGTGTTTTGCCAATCAAGAAGTCTCGCAATCAACTGCTTTGATCTTCAATTTACACGCCCGGTTCAAGCATGCTGACCGATGACCAGGGGCATTCTGGTCTTTTTTGTGTGGTTGCATGCTGCTTTTTTTTTCTGATCGCTTGACGAAGCCGAAACACGGGAAGATCGACTTGGTCTAAGTATCGATATCCCAACCTCAAACCTGGAATTCGTGGAAGCCAATAACATTTCATGGCGTATTGATGCCTCCTGCGAAAAAAAGTAAATAGCTTAATGATCCTTACCTACCCTGTCCATGTAGGCCAGGGCTTCTCCGCGATCATGTGTGCCACTCAACAGATCGATGAGACTCTTTGACCCCGGCTCAGATCATAACAAAAGAACCTTATACCTCGTCTCGCAAGTGTCGCGAGATTCACCGCTACCCGAATCCTCCAGCCAGCCTGCTTAATCCCGACGACTTGGGGCTGAGATGCATCAAGGGCCAATGAGTTGAGACCGTACGCCGCTTGGCAGGCATATGACCGTTATTATCCCCCAAGGTTACACCTTCCGCGGGGCCTATCGCGGGAGACGCAAGGAACGACATGGAGGCTCCTCGTGGAGACACTCGGCATTATATGAGCCAGATATGCTATAGGATTGGTTCACTGACACGGGCCATGTTTCTGCGAGGCCCTTAACTGAAATGGTGTTGGCCGATCAAGCCTGATGAAGGTGCAGTCATTGTAGACGGACCCAACGGCTCGGCAGAGCGATCAACTTCGTTTATTTAGACAGAAGACGTGCCGCGACCCGCCACCCAGCCTGCTACCCCGTTCGCTCTAGGTCATGCTGTGTTATTGTTCGTTTTTGCCGTAGTTGGCCTCATCCGAACATGTCTCTGCTTTTCTATCGGCGGCCAGACTACCTGAGCCGAAGCCGCAATAGACCTGAGCTGGCCGAGTCCCTCTGTGCCTCGTATCTGGAGGTGGCTGAGGCAACCAAATCAAAGATACCGACGAATCTCTCTTTCGAGGAGATAGTCAAGAACAACACCCTTCCGGTAAGCTTCCTGCCAAAGAGTATACTTATGATGCACGACGCTAACGTATGCAAGCCATGTTCCCTCAATGATTTCATGGACTACTTGATGTACGTTGAGTACAATGCGGAATGCCTGCAGTTCTTCCTTTGGTACTGCGATTATGTCGAGCGATGGAGCAAACTACCTCAAGAGGAGAGGGACTCGTCACCTATGATACCCTCCAATAAAGGGGCGGTTAACAGGCGCAAGCATGCGCGGACGAACAGCTACACAGAGAAGACTGAGCGGTTCAACCGCATCCTCGCCATCTTGGAGAAGAGTCCAAAGCATGACAGCACGGTATCCAAACCGGTGGGTAGAAAGTCACGGAGAAACGACTCCGTGTCGACCAACTACTCCTGGCCTCGCCCAACTTCTTCTTCAGGAGCCAGTCACTCCAGCTCAGACAGTTCAAGACACAGCTCGGCATCGTGTGAGTGGGCCATCTATCAGGTCAAAATCCCACCGCCAGATTGGTACTGACAGAGGGGTTATGATACAGCTAAGACGCAGCCCTTCCGCGATGAGATATCCCGTGTCGTCCGCCACTACATCTCTACCGGCGGACCACGGCAGTTGAACCTCACACACCAGGACAGGACGGCCTGCATCGACGCCGTGCACCAGACCACCCACCCGTCGGCCCTGCTGCCCGCCTTCGCCGCGGCTGAGGCCATACTCAGGGGCCAGTGCCACCCGAACTTCATCAAGTGGAGCATCGCCAACAGCAACCGTCCACGCGTTGTATTCGTCCGCGGCCTCGCAGCGACGCTGATCCTGCTCGGGTTCGTGCTGGACGCGCTGCTGGTCCTCTCGGGCCTCAACCCGCTCCTGAGGCTCACCGCGGCACCTCTGTGGTGTGCCGGTCTCTCGTTCCTCATTGCGTCCCGGCATGGCCTGTGCATCATCCTCCATTGCAACTACAAGAGGAACCTGCGGCCTTGGGAGCAGTTTAGCGACGACGATGTAGGGAGCGTCTCGGACATGGACGAGAAGGCGGAAGCGCTGGAGGACGACAGCAAAGAAGACGTCCATCGGCACAAGAGGACGGGCACCAACTTGTCCGTGGGCAGCAGCCGGACTGACCCCTTGCGAAAGCAGAGCCTACAGAGCTTCGGCGCCCCCAACACCTTCGACGCGGAGCCCTGGGTCGGGCTGTACCACGAGAAGCCCCTGTGGAAGCGGGTGTTCGACGTCTCGGTCATGACGCAGAACAAGCACCTCAGGGCCATTCAGGATCGGATCGTCTTCAAGGCGATCCTGGGCGGGAGTTTCTTGGCGTTGGCCATGGCGGCTGGCTCAATATTTATACCCTCTGCTGACTTGTTTTGACCAAGGAATTTCAACGTTCATATTCATCTTCTTATGTCTTACAGTCATGTGTGTATTGTCCCTAAGGTTGGATTTCTCTTCCGAGAAACACTAGGATCTCTTCGGTATCGCCTGTCTCAGCGCTATACCCGACAACAAGACGCGGTTAGTTTCTGTAGACGCATGATGACCAACGAAGGGAGTAACTCCACAAGGCAAATTCGTAAGTTAGATGGCAGCGGTGTAATGCTGCCTTTATGATGTATAATGCAGCTCTAGTGAAGAAGTATGAATAATTGATCAAATGGCGAGGTGATCTAGACTCGTTGTACTTGATATAATACAGTTTGATATACTATCAAACATGAGGACTGATGTAAGTTACCTCTATAGGTATTGTATGCTTCAGGGCGGCACAACCAATAGCACCCCTAAGCTCCGGCGTAACTTCACTTCAACTAACCGACGGAACTACACGTTGCGTTGGGTATTGTGCATAATGGAATGAGGACGCAAAATACGTTAACATTTTTAATGTCTTATACGTCTTAAACTCCCCATCAGGACTCGAATAACTCGACAGTTATTACGGGCAGGCTAGAACGTCGACCCCACCACTTCCCCAACTCCCGCGGGGTTCCAACTCTCTCCAAAACCCCACGCGACCGAAACGCGTCCGACGCAGTCAACGTCACTTGTCACTTCTACCTACAACCTGCCATTGTCTGGGCTCATCCACCGCGAGCAGCGACGACTCCCACGATGGACCCAGCCTCGGCCAACAACCCGCTCCTGTCGCCGCCGGAGCTGTCGCCCCTGGAGCAGGAGGTGCTGGAGGAGTACGAGCGCCTGGCCGAGAACATGAAGAAGGTAAAAGCCCCTCCGACCACCGGTAAAACGTGGGCAGCGCAACTGGCGATCCTTGCAAACAGCTGACCAGAGCCCCCCGTGCTCGAGCAACAGATGGCCACGATCCTCGACACCATGGCCAACCAGCCGACGACCGAGATCCTCGACGGGCTGCGCGAGCTGGAGCGCAAGACGAGCCTGGTCTTCACGCTGCTCAAGGCCAGCGTCTACAGCATCGTGCTGCAGCAGGAGATCGACTGGGGCAGCGGCGAGCAGGGGCGGCACTGAGTATCGGTGTCTGGGGTGGCCTGGTGGTAACGGAGGCTCAAGGGAGAGCCTTTAAGCTGGCGGGATATGGGGGCCAAGCTGTTGGACGATGGCCGCCGTCGCATAGAGCAAAAGGGAAAGGAGGAAAGGGCGCCTGGCATGTAACGACACGACACACATAATGATACCCATATGAGCAAATATAGACGATAAATGCACGGACAGTACACGTGTGATCGAGTACAAGCTTCGCGGCAGCGTCCTTCTTATCGGGTTGTATTCAATGCCTCATTTCAGAGACACCGCATGAAAATAATACGTCGGGTTTAGAGGGGACAGCGACATCTGTTCACAATGACAGATCAGGGCCTGATTGACCCTTCTGATGAGCATACAGGAACTCGCTGTACACAGGGAAAGATGGCGCCATGCTCCTGTCGGCTATGGGCTGGTAGTGAATTTTATATCTACAGGTTTTTATACAAGCGGGCTCTAATTATAACACGTTGCCTCCATAGTACACGTTTCGTACATCGACGAGCTTCTTACCCCTTCCGACGGCGATCTCGTTGGGGTCCTTCTGGTTCGTCAGGGCCTGGAAGGTGGCCTTGACCGAGTTCATCGGGTTTCTCGAGCGCGGCATGTGTCCGGCAATATCGTGGATGCCGCAGGCGCGGAACATCTCAAATAGTCGGGCGGGGACACGGAGACCAAATCCTGCGAGACGCGTAGGTAAGTACATGGACGTGATGTGGTGGGGGCAGTCATCCTTACCTGGTGGGCGCGCATTGAGCCTGACGATGGTAGCTCCGACCTTGGCCTCGACGTCTCCGTGGATCGTCCTGTCCTCATATCGTCGGATAGGCTGCATGTTTCTGATGGCCAGAAGCTTGGCCTTGATGGTCGAGACGGCAATCTCTGTCGACTTGGCCTCGCCAATGCCCAGGCGTCCGTTCTTGTTACCGGCAATGGCCATGATCCACATACTTCGAATCTTTCCCAGACGGGTTTGGTTGTGGACAATACGTGTGACCAGGATCTTGACGCTAAGATCCATCATCTGGCGAACCGTCATGCCCGTCCGTCTCTTGAGCTCCTGGTAGACACCATCATCGTCCAGCCCCTGGTCCTCCGGGTCAATGGGGTTTTTGTACATGCCCGACACGCCGGGAATTTTCTTCCCTAGCGACGGCGCCAGGGCCGAGTTTGACGGCGCATTGTTGTCGTTGAGCATTGACCGCTCCATGAAGGTCTTGGTCGACTGGACGGGCTCGGGAACGGCGGCGGCCTCCTGGTGCTCCTTGATGAACTTCTGCAGCTCGGCCTTGATTTGTTTCTTCTCTGCCTCGGGCATCGTGGCCCACTTCTCTTCCGGAATGCCGGCCCACCTCAGCAATGGCATCAAGTCCTTGCTGTGGCCCATGAGCAGGTCGATCATGGCCTCCTCCTCTGTCAACCATCTGGCGTTCGGGTTCGGCGGCGCGTGTTTCTTGGGCTCCCTGTCGATGGAGGGCACGAGCTGGCTGAAGTCGTCTAGGTACGGCAGCTTGTAGGGATCTCTCCGCAGGCGACCCTGGATCGTGAGGTCCTTGGGATCTATCGCCGCCTCGCCGGCCTCGAGGACCTCCATCTGTTCCGGGGTATAATGCTTCTTCAGGATCTCGAGCTCCTCGGGGCTGTAGGGCTTGAACTGCTGCTTGGTGAACTCGTCGACGGCGGCGTCATCGAGCAGGCCCATCTCCTTGGCGCGCACATTGGCGAACCGCGTCTTCCGCTTCTCCAAGGGCGCCGAGCTGTGAAAGGAGGCGGCGAAGCATTGCGGTGCCGCCGTCGCTGGTCTGGCGGCCGCCGAGGCGAGGCGCCTGGACAGCAGGCATTTCAACGGCCGTGCCACGCTCATCGCATCACTGGGGGGGAGTTGGCCTCGGGGTGCGTTGTCGAGGACTCCTGCAATTGGACAGGACAGCTACAGCGCTCACGCGAGGATAGCTTCAATAATTTTTCTGACATGGCTTCCGTTGCACGGACTTGGTGCTCAGCCGGCCGCCAGCTGCCCAGCTTTGGGATCCTCGAGCTAAGGCCGTGTTCGCGTTCTGTGGAACTCTCGGCAGGGGTCGGCCACCAAGACCAGGGGTACAGGTGCTGTGGTAAGCTGCCAGGGATGCGTCCATTCCTCTCTGATAGCTTCAGCGGCCTCGGGGCTCCAAGTTCTCACCTGCAGGAGACCACCAATGGAGGATCCAAAGAACCTCGAGTCCGCCCGGACTTCAGAACATGACGTGGCCTGCGAGAGCTTGCGACGGTCCTTGCTAGAGCTTCAAAGAGAAGCACCTGCGAATCGTAAGGCCATCGCGCCATCTCTTCGCGCCCACGAAGTCCATGGCCAGCCAATCACGCTGCCGCTCCAGAATCAGTCGACTCTGCCGCATCTCTGAAACGCCAGAGTTTCGCAGGGATGGCCACCACGCCTGCGACCACCGTCCCAGGCGGGAATGGCCCCCTGCCTTGAGCCTCCTCGACCTTGACGTCTCTGGTTTCGGGTTTCGCACCCTCGGGTGAGTGAGTAGGTCTTCTAGCAGCCTGTAGCCAAGATGCCCTGAGCCATCCTGTTTCCACCTCTTCTTGCTCTTCCTTCGCCCGTGTGTTGCATTGCGCGTTCTCTCCTTGCCGTCTTCCTCTCGTGACTGGTGCACCGATATCTACCAACTACACTCTTTTCTTTTCGTACTATCATAATCATCAACCGGGACAACTTGGGTCCTGCGTAGCCCTTTTGGTACCTACCCAAACCTGCGAAGGAACGTCAGGAACGTCGCAGGCCGCTTTACTTCACGAATCACAACTCGACTTGACATACTCGACACTTAATAATACACCATGGCTACCTCGGTCAGGGATGCGAATGGAAATGATATCAACGGCGGAGGACAATTCGGGTGGTTCCTGAAGATCGGCGCCACACCAGAGGCCGTGGCCGTCTTGAACGACCAGCCATACCTCTTCACCATTCTACTCGTTGTGCTGGTCCTCGTCGCGCTGCAAATCACGCTGCACTGGTACATCCATTACGCAACCATGAAGCCCGAGCAGAAGAAGAAAAAGAAGAAGGACGACAAGAAGGCGGCACCTGGCGGCAAACCACCGGCGCAAAGATAGTTGCGCTTCTGAGATGCGTTGGCTGTGAAACACCTGGGACGGCTGAGGACAGTGCAGGGTGGGCAGAGATGTCGCAGCCGGTGGGGCGACATGCAGTCTTGAGCTGGCTGTGTACATTCTGTGGACGACCTATATCCACGCTGGGCATCGACAGCAACCCTTGGGTTCGGGTACGGGAGGCAATTACAGCAGGTGGCGATTGTGGTTCGGGAAGACAGCCAAGATGTATCTGCATGTGGTAATATGCTTGACAAAGGGAGTTCTGTTTTTTGCCATTTTGAAACATTCGACATATCCTCATTATCGTTCATATCTAGATCATTCATATAGACCATCAGGTTGACCCGGTATTCCGTCCCCGTCCCACCAGTACTGTTCTGTCCGTAAGCAGGACCCATCAACGGAACTCGTCTCATCGGGATCGTCCGGCACAAGTGAGAATTCATTGTAGCCCCGTGCAGTGTCTGCCGGTGGCGCATCCATCTCCTGTTGATGAGTCCATTCAAGTCGGTGTGCCCATTGCGTGCCTTCAATGGGGAAACCTCCTTCGGGAGTATGTTCCATCATGGTTGAATCTCTCACCTCCCCATACCCGGAATACTTCTCCTCAAAGAAATACTCGCCGTTTATCTCATTGATCGCATCTATCTCATAGTCCTGACTATCATATTGGTGTTGGGTGTGATGGTTATAGAAATCGTAGTCGCGATCAGCTGCGTCCATCATCTGTTGCGTCTCGGTTTCAATGTCCATATCGTCCAGACAGGAAATGTCCCGTGAACGGACATCGTCTTCCAGCCCATCGTAAGTTTCTCGACAGCCATAAACTTCAGGATATAGCTGGGATTCGAGTTCTTCCATTACGAGATGCTGAGAATCACGATGCACGTTCTTGGCAGCAGATTTGATCCCAATATTTATCATGAGCGTTTTCTTCAGCATTTCCCACAGTCTCTTTTGCACTAGTTTCGACGCCGACTGTTCGCGATCGTTCCAATTGTCTGGTTGTCGGTTTCGCTCATCCGCCAGGAGTCGATCAATCTTTTCTCGCAACGACGATCGCCAACCTCCAGACGCTGTAATGATGTCTGAAATGAGTGAGAAGTTTGTAGCGTAGACTACGTTGGCCTAGGCCTTCTGTCAGTGATGCACGTTGCATTGCTTGTGGTGGAAATACCTGCCTTCATGTAGTGCGCGTTCCAGACAGAGGGCGCCATTTCTAGCAAGGTTGGGGAGGCGGAGGTGTCGATCCTGATATTGGGAAGCTTTCTTCTCACACCGATGATGCTGTGCAAAGCGGCGATAGCTAGGTCTGCTGTCCCGCGCCGGTGCTGCCGGGCTTGATCCAAGGCAGTGGCAGCCCTCATTATCTGCATCTCACCCATATGTTCGGCGCATGACTGGTCCTCGACATACAGAGGACCCGGACTTCGTCTTGCGTCCTGTAGGCGATCTTGGGGACCGACGTGAACGCGTTCTAGCGTTGTTACCTGGCCAGCTGTGTCGTTATCATGACCTTCGTAATGGGCATTGTCTTGTTGAGCACTTGACTTGTATTCAAAGTAACAGACAATACCATCCATGGAGCAAGTCTCAGCATCGGGTGGAGATAATAGCGCAGAGGACTTATCAGGGTGCTCTACTTCAAACCATAGGTTGGGTTCGTCATGGCTGCTGGTATGGTATCTGATCTCACTACAGCCGATGGATATCCCAAGAATCTCCCATAGCTTTCCACTGTCAGTGCTCATGGACTGTACAAAGCTTGTGAGTCGGCATGTACCTTGGATAAACAGATCGCACCAGCTAGAAACTCAAGTATGTGGCTCTCCATGGGAGCGTCACTCATGTCGCAATCGTCAAAACGAATGATTATCTGAATGTAGAAGACTCTGGGTGGTAGAAACCAGATTTCCCCTGACTGGACACGTTCGAGAATATCAACGTTGGTCAGCTGGGAGATCGCCGTACTGGAAACGAAGAGCTGAGGGGAGGCCGATAGAGATAGTTCAAGGGATGGATGCGATAGGCCAACAGTGCTCAATTCGACGCCTTCAGACATGGCATCGGTACGACCGCGACTAGGACGCTTCAGACCACGCTTTATTCCTGGGAGAGCTCCGAGCTGCACTGTGGACAGATATAGCCAAATGCCAGCCTCACGACCGACGATGCGAAAGAGAGCAGCCTAGCTGCGGAGACATTAAGAAGCTGAACTCGACACAAGGGACAAGATGATGTGGATCGTTGGCAGTTTTTGGGCCGAGACACTGGCAGGCAGTTCTGGATTTGTGGCCATTCTCAAACGAGGAGAAAGGGACACGGGCTTGTTCCTGCTCTGCCATCTCCATGTGCAGCCTTTCCCCTGAGAACTGAACAGAACGCGCCTTCCAAACTCTTCCGCAAATTGATTGCAGTACAGTACATAAGGCAACTACCTGGGTAGGGTACCTGCTATGTAGCCTAGGCGATAGAATAACACTGTCTTGGGTTCCGACTTTCTCGCTCATATCCAGTCTTTGAATCTGAATGATGGTCTGTAGCAGCACGCCTTTCTTGCTAGTCATTGTCACAACTTCGGAGCAGATGGAAGCCCTGGGCGGCAGCCCAATGGACGTCCAGACCAGTATCTCAGATTTGCTGGATGCATACAACTTGTACATATGTTACAATTCTGGGGTATTGTACATGAACGATCAAACTAGATCATGGAGCTGCGCCTAGAGGCTCGGGGGCCTCTGATGTTGTAGACGGAGAGGGCACTGGCTGCAGCTTGTCGGCCGAGACTTTCCTCCGGGGCCTCTTCAGCTCCTCGAGGGTGACACCCTTCCACAACTTTGTCATGCCCACCACAGGGGGTGCTCCCTTCTTCACAAACTCCCATTGGCCTGCCGAACGAGTTAGATGCAGCTTCACAGACGATACAGAACCGACGCTTACCGGGTAGCTTGTTTCCTGCGAGACGGAACGCATCGCGGACAATCTGTTCGTGGACCATTCCCTTCAGCTCCAAAACGATCTGGTTGACTGCGACCCTTGTGGCCCAATGATCGAAGGATCCTTTTCCTTTACCCATACGCATCTAGACGAGGCCCTGATAAGTCATGGTGTCGAGGCGGAATTGCTCGGGGGAGAACCAACCTCATTGCCGCTCACGAAGACGCCAACATCGCAGTTCACCCGCTTGTACAGTCGGTACTTCTCACCACGCAACCGCGCCTTGATGGTATCTTCGGCAATCTTCAGCTGCTGGGCACTGATCCTTCGGTGGTGATCGGTCATGCGCAGGCCGTAGTCGCCCCAGGCCACTGTGGTTCCCTTGATGGAGCCACCGGTCGCTACGCGCGGGCGCCCCTTCATCATCTTCTTCTTTCTCTCCATCCGCGGCTCCAGCCAGTTCGCCTGGGCGGCCGTCGCGGAGAAGGCCCTTGCATTGCTGGGGATCGGGGATGGTCTCTGCTGTCGGGAGGCGGCGGCGAGGCAGCGACCCAGCGAGGGCCTCGTGGCCGGGGCCGTGGCGATAGAAAGGCCTCTGAAAGCCCCGAGGAGGCTCATGGAGGAGCTGGTCGCCATCGTGTTCGGTGAAGGTGGGCGACGTCGATCGTGTGCCGTCGCAGTCGCGCCTGTCTGGAGCTCAAATTTCGAGGTCGACGGCAAGCTTCAAGTCAGAATTTCCGGGCCGGTACGTACCTCGCTGGTGCAGCAGCCGCTAGGCGCGATTGGTAAGTTACCTACTGTGTACTGTGTACCTAGAGCCTGGCAGTCAGTGCCTGCGGGCCTGCCTAGCACCGGACGCCGTAGAGAAGGACCCCCCTGCCAACTGCCTAAATACGGGGTCTGTGCGTCAACCGCGAACCCATTAAACTCCAGCGCGTCATCGCGTCTCGAGCTCGGGTCTGCCTGAAAGACATCCAAAGCTGTGGTTTTCCACAGCAGTCCCACGCCGTCCCTCGTCGCTCTGGACGACTTCCTGCTGGTGCAGCATTCAATCCCGCAGCAAGAACCCGCTGTTCGCTCGAAATGCCCGACATTCGCTCGTTTTTTGGCCCCAAGGGAGGCGCTGCCCCGGCTGCCCCGAAGCCAGCACCAAAAAAGACCGAGGATGAATCCTCAAAACGTCGAGGCAGTATGTCGGTACAACTCCTCCCAGATGCAAATTTACTAACTAGTTTCCAGAGGGTCGCAAGGTCATCGAAGATGACAGTGACGATGAGGTTATAGAGTATGTAATTCTGTCAGCATCAGCTGGCAAGCTTCATTAACGTGTGAATCAGGACCAAGAAGCCGGCCACGCGAAGCACGCCCCGGAAGAAGGCAGCGTAGGTTTCCGAATCTCAATTAGATACTAGGAAATGCTAATGGCCACTCCAGAGAGAAAGAGCCTCAGGGCACAGCCACTACAGCAAGCGAATATTTTTCTTCGGGAAAATCTAAACCCAAGCCTGCCACCAAGACCGAACCCAAGTCACCAGCTGCAACCAAGTTGGAAGTGCGATCCAGTCCAAGAACCTCCAAGAAACCGGCAGCTCCCGCCAAGCCAGAGCCGGCACCTGCGAGGAACGGAGCAGCAGGTGCAAAGAAACGATCCACAACTACGCTGCAGAAGTACGACCTAGATGACGATGACGACGCATTCGTAGATGGCGATGAAGACGCTGGTGATGACATATTCGCCGCCGATGCCCGAAGCCGCAACAAGAGAAAGAACGATGATTACGTTGAGGAGGAGAGCGAGGAAGAGTTTCTCCCCAAACCGAAACGTATTGCTTCGCGGGGAAAGCCTCTGCCCGATGACGATGATGACGATGACGACAAGCCTGTTGCTCCCAAGTCCACCAAGAACGCGAAATCTGCAGGCGCTGGCAAGAAGAGAAAGACGCCGGAGGCTGAATCTGATGAGGATGAGATACCCGTGTCACGCAAGAAGCCGGCTCCTAAGAAGCCCAGAGCACCGCCGAAATCTAAGAAGACCGATGAGCCTGAAGACACCTCTATCCAAGCCATCTTGGATGACATCCCTACCGTCAGACCGCCATCACCCCCGGCGAAGGATCCCGATGCTCCAAAGTTTGATTGGAGAAAGGCACAAGCTGGCGGAGGCAACTCCGGGCCTCCTCCTAACCCGACGGCTGAGCTGCCAGAAGGCGAAGAAGACTGCCTGGCTGGTCTGACCTTCGTCTTCACCGGGCAGTTGCAAACGATTGCTCGTGAGGATGCCCAGGCTCTGGTGAAGCGCTACGGCGGCAAAATCACTGGTGCTCCAAGCAGCAAGACCAGCTACGTCGTACTTGGAGGCGATGCGGGACCCAGCAAATTGGCCAAAATCCGCGACCACGGCATCAAGACCATCGATGAGAATGGCTTGTTTGAGCTCATTCGTCGTCTCCCTGCTAGTGGTGGCAGCGGCAAGGGTGCTGAGAAGCTGCGGGAGAAGCGCAAGGCGGAAGAGGAGAAGATCAAGAAGGAGGCTGCCGAGATGGAAAAAGAAGAGAAGGCTCGAAAGCTGGAAGCCGAGAAAGCTCGCAAACTGGCGGCTGCTCGAGGTGCAACCGGACCAACCCCCGCCGCGGCAGCTCCTACCTCGCAGCTCTGGACTGTGAAATACGCACCAACCCAGGCAAGCCACATCTGCGGAAACAAGGCTGCTGTGGAGAAGATCCAGAATTGGTTGAAGAACTGGTCAAAGTCACGCAGATACGATTTTCAGAAACGCGGTGCAGATGGTATGGGCGGATACCGTGCCATCATTATATCAGGGCCACCAGGCATCGGCAAGACCACCGCAGCACATCTTGCAGCGAAGCTGGAAGGCTGGGATATCTTGGAACAAAATGCCAGTGACGCTCGAAGCAAGAAAATGGTGGAATCTGGTGTTAGTGAAGTCATGAATAATACCTCACTCGCTGGATACTTCGCCGGTGACGGGAAAAAGGTTGACACCACCAAAAAGAAGCTTGTCCTCATCATGGATGAGGTTGATGGCATGTCGGCAGGTGATCGCGGAGGCGTTGGTGCTCTCGCCAAGTTTTGCAAGAAGACCGAGGTCCCGCTGATCCTCATCTGCAACGAACGCAGACTCCCTAAGATGAAACCTTTCGACTTCGTCGCTGCTGACGTCAAGTTCCAGCGGCCGACTGTTGACCAGATTCGATCGCGCATGATGACAGTCTGTCACAGGGAGGGTATGAAACTATCGCCGCAAGTCCTCGAGGCTCTCATCGAGGGCAGCAACAGGGACATCCGACAGATCATCAACATGCTTTCCACCATCAAGCTGGACCAGGCTGCCATGGACTACGATTCGAGTAAGAACATGTCCAAGGCGTGGGAGAAGTCCATCGTCCTCAAGCCTTGGGATATCTGTCAGAAGATGCTCGCGGGCGGTCTTTTCTCCCAGGCCAGCAAGGCAACCCTGAATGACAAGATCGAGCTATACTTCAATGATCATGAATTCAGCTATCTCATGATCCAGGAGAACTATCTTCGAACGAAGCCGGCAGCATTGAATGCGAACCATTACAATAAGCGGGAACAAAATCTCAAAGCTCTGGAGCTTGCCGACCAAGCAGCTGAAAGTATCAGCGACGGCGATCTGGTAGACCGCATGATTCATGGCCCTCAGCAACAATGGAGCTTGATGCCTACCCACGCAATCTTCAGTACTGTTCGGCCCTCGAGCTTCGTAGCTGGGCAGCTCCTTGGATCCAACTTTACATCTTGGCTGGGCAATAACAGCAAATACGGCAAGTTGGGCAGGTACATTCGTGAGATTCATTCGCACATGCGACTGCGTTCTTCAGGAGACGCGAACGAAATCCGCCAGCAATATCTGCCAGTGCTCTGGAACCAGACCGTGAAGCGCTTGGCCGTCGAAGGCAAGGAGTCAGTTGACGATGTTATCGATCTCATGGACAGCTACTTCCTCACACGAGAGGACTTCGATTCCATTAAGGAGCTTGGTGTTGGTCCGCAGAACGAAGAACTGGTCAGTATCGAGACTCAAACCAAGTCAACTTTCACCAGACTGTAAGTATTCCAACGAAATCCCAATATTGGGATTCAAATTAATCTCAACTAGTTACAACGCGAAAACACATCCAATCCCCTTCATGAAGGCAAGCAATGTTGGCCCCGCTCCGAAGAAGGCTGCCAAAGACGTACCGGATCTCGAGGAGGCAATTGAGGAAGAGGATGAGGGCGAGGCCGTTGAAGCCGCCGAGGCAGTTGAGGATGAAGACGATATCAAGGGCGATAAGTACATCAAGCAGCCGAAAGCAAAGCCCAAGAAAGCTGCAAAGAAGGCGAAAGCTGCTGATGATGAAGATGACGAAGATGATGAGAAGCCCAAGGCTCGTGGACGAGCGAAAGGTGGCGCCAAGGGCAAAGCAAAGAAATAGGCTTACGCTGTGGATTGGAGGCACAATTATATCGCTCGCCGAGGATTTGCTGACCAGAAGAGCGGTTGATTGTAAAATAATAGCATTTGCCGAGGGGAAGATGTGCCTTTCTCCGTAGCTCTCGACTAGACATATCTTATTGACCAACAGAGACACCTTGGGACTACTGCATGGGTGCTGCTTGCTTCATGAAGCCGATCAGCTCAACTTACCAGCCCATTCTATCATCAGAGGATAGGCAGGACTTCATTCGAATTAGTGCCCGCATTGCATGGAGCGTAGCCACAGGGTACTCAAAAGTACACCGATATGATGAGCATGTATTTCGCTGCCTACAAGAGCTTAGTGAAAGCTGCCCAGCACTCAGACTGACTGAAGAAGATGGTTCTTTATCTTATTTGGCGTTCACATCAATGAATCATTGTACTCCAGTGTCAAATTGTAGCTTGGTATCAAGCCTGCTGCGCTCAGGAAACTGGTCATCCAGCGGCAGCCTGGGCCATTGCATATCTTTGTTGACTTGTTGAGGGCCGATGTGAGCCAATTCACAGCTCAAATCTACGTTAGCCCTCCCTCGCCCTGGCAACCTCGACGATACTGTCGACAAATTATCAGCTCTGTTCCCGTCGCTTTAGGGTCAGTTGCCGCGTCGAACTCGCTGGAGGCAGTCCAAAATCCATCGCTCAGGTAATGTTGACCCGCTTGACCCCCGTCAATATCGCATCGTTTGTGAGATTCGAAGATCGACTCCCCTCCACCTCTTCCCTTTCCTGAACGCAGCTCCTTTCTCAGCATTGCTAGAGGGCCGTTTCGCAGTTCAAGTTGTGGTTCATACAGGCGCCTATCTTACGCCTTTCCTCGTCTACAAGAACGAAGACAAGATGGGCCCGAACTCTACTGACAACGGTAGCAGCATGGCTATGCCTTGCGATGGCTTTACGAGCCCCATTGCTAGAAGTGTCCTGTCCGGTAAGCTGTACCCTGCAAAACACGTTCAAGTAGACCCTTCACGAGTTGTTCTGATTTTGAGTAGATCTCAAAGCGCCCGACGCCCCTATCTTGCCAGGATGTACTGTTGACCGTCCGCAAGATGGCCCTGTCGTATTCTCCAAGGAGATGCTGCAAGCCTACAACATCATGCGCGGGTCAACGAATGGAATGGGCGGAGACAGAGACGATCCGCTTGCTGAATGGATTCGCCTTCGTGGGGTTCTAAAGGATACAGTTGAGCCTTCGGAGGGAAGACGGGATCTCAAACAGTATGCTTACTCGGATATATTATCTCATGTTGCTACGCGACTTTGGACTGCGTTCTAACCATCTACCAATATGTTCAGGGCGCTGTCAAATATTCGCAACCATCTTCAATCCGAAAAGTGCATGGAGAATTCTCCTGTTGATTCGATCTTCGAACTTCACCGACCTGCCGCCGAGCACGAACACATCCAACCGCCGCCTGGTATGGACTTCTCCGACCACAAGTTCAGCGCCTGCTGCGCCGACTTCGTTTTCAAAGAAGACGACGACGACGACGAGGATCAATTACCGCCCGGTCGGATCTCTCCCTGTACTTTTCTCGCCTGGGCCAAGGACTGCAACTCGTGGAAGAAGGATAAGGACCTACTGAAGGAGAGTGCAGAGCAAGACCTCCCCTTTGCTATTGCTCGCCAGCGACCTGCTTCTCCTGAGCTCTGCGACACGCCTCCCGTGATCAAACGCCCGGATCGCTGGCCTCAACAGTTTGACGGCCAGGTATGCCAAGAATCTGGCACTGCCCTGTCGCCGTGCTATGCCGTCCCTTCAAACCCGTCGGTGCTGTGGACAGCTGAGGGCATAGAGGCTGATCGAATGGCGTCCATGCCCCGATTCGAGGACCATTACTCGCGCATGGACCCTGTCGCGGCAAAGCAGCTGCAGAACCTCAAGCAGGTGGGACGACCGACGTTGGGAGGACCCAGTCCAGCTGGTCAGAACGAGCATTATACAACAGTGTGTTTACCACTTTTCCTCGTATCTTTTCTCCATTGTTGTCAGATATAGGTCAGGGGATAAACTGACACAAAATTAGTCCGAGGTGAACGAGGCTGTTGGCCAAGACATCGCGACTCACCATCAAAATGCCAGCAAGGAGATTTTCCAGGCACACATTGGATTTCAATACGCCGCCATCGCCGCCGTCGAGGCCGAGACCAACACCCTCGCCGGTGCCATCCGCGAGCAGACGACCAAGATCCGCTGCCTAGAGTCCGAGAAGGAGACGGTGGCCCTAGCGGTCTGGAGCTTGAAGCACAAGCGCTTGCAGGAGGCGGCCATGAGAAGCCACGCTGAGCAGGAGAAGCGCCGCGCGCGCGTCGTCGGCCACTTCCATGACCACGTCCGGGACCTGGACTACAAGCACCGGCACAGCGCCGCGCAGCTGCTGAGGGACATGAACAAGAAGGCCCAGAACGACCAAATCATCCAGCAGCTGGAGCTTGACATCGGCTGCCTGTGCTTCGAGGTCGGCAAGGGATGCCCCGAGGAGGTGTATGAGGAGCTGAGCGCAGGTCCAGGTCCGAACGCCTCTCGTGATGTGTCCGCCGCCGCCCACCAGCAGAAGGTCGAGGACGTTGCCGCTCGGGCGAAATCCTCCCCTCTCTACGTCGCGAAGCATGGAGGCCAGCTGAACCTGGAACAGCACCCCTTGTGTGCCCCTAGCACTCACCCCGACAGTAGTTCCGCAACTCAAGTTGAAGACTTCGAAGGCGAGGTCCAGCAAGTCGTCGGCCATGGGAAGGCCACAGTTCAGCCCCATGCCACCCGCGTTGGCCACGACCGTGCCGTAGACTCCGGTGCAAAAGATGTGGACGGAGGTCAAATGGAACTCGAACCGGGAAGATATCACGACCAAAACGAGTTACAGTGCGATTCCGCGCGGGAAATTGACCCGTATGACTCTCAGGGGTTCGCCATATCTCCTCGCGATCTCGCCGTCCAGTCTACCCACGCGTTGCCATTCCAGGAAGCAAGTACTCCTTCTCGAACAAGCAACGCCATGCCAGACCTGCCATGGATGGAACTGCTGACTGCCGACGTCCCAACCAAGGATATACAAGGGATAGACAGCATCGTGGACCCTGCAGATGCAGAGTCGCCGGGCTATGCTCTAGGATCGACATCCCTGGAGCAAAACCCCGACGACACGTTTCCCAGTCCTTCTCATGCTTTGAAGGGTAACAACACCTCACGGACTGGCATACTCGCCACGGGCTTGTAGGCTTGCCACATTTAACCACGACGGAGATCCTTTTGACTTTATGCATGGGGTTTAGGAGTTGACAACTTTCGCGCCAGAAGCGTTCTAGGCGCAAGGGAAACTGGATGGCCCGTCTTCCGCACTCATTCACACAATGGGAGGAACGTCGTACCCCAGGGGACTTGAGACTGGATCTTTTGGGTTGGTCAGTAGAGGCAGTTTTCCTGCGAAGGAAAGAAGAAGCCGCGCTGGCGTGCTTCATGCGATAGAACAGGGCGACTTGGCGTTTAAATGACGCGCCCCTTTGGTACTAATGCTCACATCCACCGCTGACATGTTGGCGTTGAAATCTGAGAAGAGATGCGTACTTTCTCCTTAGGTGTTATAAAATTGAATCCATGACACCAATCAAGCTCTTTCTTGAATTCTTTGAGAACAACACACACTACTCTCCAGGAGTAGTCACCACACACCCAAAGCTCAAGAAGTCCACACCCAGTAGCCCGTGCAGGTCGCCCCCGTCTACCTCGCTACTAGTGTCCTGGCCCTGCTCTCTACACTGCGAAAACGACTCGGTGACTCTCATCTGCCTTGGGCTCGGCAGTCTCAAGACCGGCGCCCCACAGGCGGCAGCATATAATAAGCCGGCGAGGAGCTTGATGGCAAGAGTGTCGGTGCCCTTCATGAACTTGTTGCTAAAGAACATTATGCCACAGAGGAGCCTGAGGAGATGCATTTCTGTTCGAGGACCCGCAGCCCTCCTCGCAGCTTTCCAACAACGGGGGTTTGGGCCAGTATTGGTTGGAACTCTCGCGGCCACTTCTCAAGTGAGAGAGCATGCGCCGTTGCCCCTTTTACAATGTGCCGCTGCGGCCATGTGGCAACGCCCATTGTTGCGGTAGACAAAGCATAAACGGAACTCTCATTGTCTCTGTGCTATCTGGAGCTGACCAAGCTGACATGTTCATGGCGATACTTACGAGGGAGAATGATTAAAGAGCCTGTTCTAGACCCACTCAACAATACATTCAGCGAGTCTAGTCTGTTGCTCACATACTGATAATCCGAGGATTATTTCATTCCGTTTTATTACTTGCTGTATAGAACTTAACTATCTTCAATAATAGAGCCACCACTTGGCACTCCTGTCAGGGTCTTCTCGAAGATCGTCCCCAACATGGGGTATCGAAGACTGCCGTCAGTCCGTCTGGGTATGGCCCATATGCCCACAAATCCGCCCACCTCGTCCGGCATGCTGGCAACATGCTTCCTGTCCGTCCCGACTTCGTTGTCTGACGCGGGAGCAGATGCGAGCCGGTGAAGAATGTGAGTTTCGGTCTTGTGGATGGCATTGATGGGCGAAGGCCGTCGGGTTTTCGGCACGAACGTCAGTTTCCTGTTTTTGTCTGTATAGAACTGGTAGGGGTGGTTGATGTGTTAGCATAGTGGGAAATATTGGGTGTCTTAATAAGAAGACTTACGACAATAGAGCCCAGTCTGTTTGCTCTTAAGACACCAAACTCTAGTTTAGTTAACGTCTCGTCTTCTTCCAAATCCTCAGATATTCCACGCTCTCCGCGTACACCAATCGTGCTCATTCGTCCCGATCGGTATATGAAGGATATTCCAACTGGTTCATCGCCCATATGCCTGAAGGTAACCTCGATAGACCCCAGGGGGGAACAGCTACCATCAGACTCTGCGTTGTGCAGAAATAGCCTGTCCATCACAACGTAGCCAGGGACTTCGCGATAGGTCGGACCATAGATAAGGGTGCTGTATTTATTCGTGGGTTGGTAGAGAAATCTCACATGATCCCACTGATAGTTGTAAACCCAACCGATGCTGCTTATCGTCTGGAAGGGGTTGTCTTGGTACTTCAGACACAACTTGCTGTCAAGTTTGTCGAGTAGGAATTCCCTCTTTGTGCCTTTCGACGTAACAAATGACATACCGATAGTCGGCCCAAACTTAACGCGGTTGAACCTGTTGGTATAATCATGCCACGTCGTGATCTGAGTCAGACGTTCATCGGCATCAAGCTCCATGGATGCGAATTGATTGATCCATTGACCCATTATCAAGGGGTAATCACCATTGGAATACTCAAGCCTGAGGCCTGAAATATGATGTAAACCGCGCGACGATGCAGTATCCCCTTTTGAGAGGTGAATCGCCCGGAGGCCTGTAAGTTTAGCGGCTGTCACGACATGACCTCCAGGATATGACAACATCTCTTTAGCGGATGAGATAGTCTGAGACATCTCCAAGGGATGCATTACTTTTTGCAATAAGTCCCTTGCGTTTTTCGTCGGATATTTAACGTTGCGCAGGGCGAAATCTCGAATATGTCCACCTTGGGACTGCAAGTTGACTAGGAATGATGTGATAGCCGAATCTGGTCCCGAACCGTTTGTCGTAGTTATCGAACGATGAGAGTCGTCAGAATACGCCCCATTTCCATGTAAGCGGAATGTCGTTTGTCTGCCAAAGTTCGTGACAAGCTCGACGGCTTGAACTAGATCCTTCAGTTTGTCGTACACCACATTGACCCTGTCAATTAGTTCTCCCTTGTTTCCGGCAATGATGAACGACTGGGTGACGCAATGTCGCTTGACACCAAGATGATCATAGTGCTTATGACCAAAATGTCGCTCATTGCCGTCCACATAAGAAAAGGAAAACCCAAACAGGACTCTAGGATGATCGCCCATGAATGCAGTAACCATACATAGTGACGGAAGACATTCCCCACTGGGTCCACCGAAGTCCATATCAAGGAACAGGTTGAAGGTTTGCGGCTGAGGCATAAGTCCATGCCACTGTTTTGATTCGGTTTCTTTTGGCATCCTTGGATTCCATATCTGGATGGGCGCATTTTCCTCTGGGTCGCTGGGGTAGCGCACCCAGCCATTGAGCCTTCTGCTAGACTCTGTTATTGGCAGTAGCTCGCCAGAAGCGTGCTTAAATAGCTTGAGCGAGACGAGTTTACAGGCCTTTTCATTGTTAGCATGAGCCTTGTCTTACCCTTTCCAGGATGTAAGGGGGAAACTCACATCAAGGCCAACCAAGAACGTAGCTTGACTCAACAAACAAGTAAAATCAATCTTCGCAATGCCGCTCTCGAAGCCGATTACATCCATATTACCGAATGAATAGGACATTGCGTTTTCGTTTCTCTCCAAAATCAGACGCAAGCCGACAAGTCCTTCCCAAGTCACATTTAACTCGACAGCTTTGACGAAGGCATCACTCGGCCTCAGGTCGATCACCTGTTCATCTTCCCGATTGATGTAACCAGCTCTGGAAAATTCAGAAGCACCAGAAATGGACAACAACCTCAGACCGCTGATAAAACTCCGCTCATCGTGGTGGAGGAAAGAAATTCCAAGTTGGACGGGCATCTCTTTGGGAGCTTTGGACCAATCCAAGGCATGCCTCTCGAATAAGCGGCACCTTTTACGCAGCTCCAAAGGTGAAGACACACTCTGATCCCCTAGATCAGGCGGCGTAGACCCATGATCGAGTTCTCCGGCGACTTCGCCGGATTGAATTTTCCCTTCAACCAATGCGTCACAGTGACTGTATGGTGCGTCCACTATTCCGCTCTCATTGGCGAGGCGTAGCTTGAGTGCAGGAAGTATATGACCTAGCATACACCAGATGTGACGCCTGTTCCGTAAGCCGGGATACGTCAATCGTGAGGACTTCAGCATGGTCTCTACTTGAAGGTAGACCTGACGCCAATCGTTCAGACCTGGCGGTATCTCGGTCCTCCTTTTTGCGAAAACGAATGCCATTTCGAAGTCACCCTCGAAACGACTTGACCAAAACGACTGAGGGAGGTAGGGCTTTTTCGCGAGTGCGGCCACAATGCGAGAGGCCAGACGGAGGTTGCAGATAGAACTGGAGGGAAGATTAGCCAGTATCAGGTATATTATCTCGCTCGGCAAGCTGCGTAATGCATCTCGTGTGTCTTCGCTGCCGTGATCTGAGATGTCCTGTAATGAGAAGCCCTCTCGGAACTCAAGGGCCAATTCTGGCTCAAATTCGAACTCGAATTCCTCGTCGGGATCATGCTGCAAGTAGAAACAGTCCGAGTTATAGAGATTGCCCCTGAAGTCCTCTTCTCGCAAGTGCTGAAAGGGGCCTGCTTCACCGTAGTGGTGGCGAGGAGACAGCGACAGGGCCCCGCTGCCATCTGTCGGGGTATTGTACAAGAGTGCAAAGAGGTGATGGGCAATCTTCTTGGGACTGATGCTAAGCTGAGTGTCGACTCGGTAGCATAACAGTTCCCAGCAGAAGTCATGGACAGGGTAGCACCAGTAACGCTGGGACCTGTGGCCAAGCTCGTGGCCCTCAAGTTGCACATCTGGGCTGCTACAGCGAACATCCGACCGCGGGTCGGCACAGATCACATTATGGAAGTTCAGATACCCGGTACCAGTTACGAACGGATCGCTCACAAGTGATGTAGTTCTGACTGATGAAATGTGAGCGCGAGAAGTTACCGAAAACCCGGCGTATGCCTTGACTTACTTGCTCGCACCCGACAGTACCAGCGTAGTTCATCTTCGGTTGTTACTGGAGTGCCGTCGTGGGCCTCAATCATAGTGCCACACAGGGCACAGAAGATATGCCTTTCCATGACTATGGCCACGCGAAGCTCGATTCAGAGGCACGGAAATTTGCAGCAAAGGGTTCCCGGAAGAGCGGGTTGACGCGTGCTTTTGTTGATATGATCAGTCGGCGGATTTATGTAAGTGTTCAGGTGTCGTTGCCTGGGCCCCACAGTCCGGCGGGATGCTCCTTGCTTCCATCGCTATTGGCACCTGTGACCAGGGTAATTCACGGAGTGCATAGGCATCCAACAAAAGTGTGAATTCCAAAGGTGTACAATGTTCCAAACACATGCCCAATTTCAACAAAAGACTACATGTAGTAAACAAGAAGGTGAGATAACTTAAGCCCTCATTCAATTTGATCGTCATGATGGAAATTAGATTCACAAGACCCGAACGACGTTTTGATATGTAGTGGCTTCATTTACTTTTTGGTGCTGTGCCGATTATGGCATCCCTGCTCTCTATGATACACTTGCCTACTAATCATGAAGCCCAATATCAACAACTCTTCGCCGTACTCTTCCCCTAAACCCGTAGCCGACTTTGATCCATCACCGGTCGCTTCTCATCGAGGTGCATAGACCACTGATCAAATTTATGCTTAGACGCCGTGCCCTGCTGTGAAATGGTTGTGCCTCCCAACGCCGAACGTGCATAGAAACAAGAAAAAGGTACTTTCAAACGCTCAAATCGATCCATGGTCACTCCTATTGCCCCATAAGCTCGACCGGCGGCCTGGAGGTATGTGCCATGATCGGCTTCTCCAGTCCGATCGGGCTCGGGAGCATGTCGGTCGGGGAGTCTGTCATGTCATCCACCGCGATGCATGGCAACGCGGGGCTGGACCCGGTCGCCTCGCCGGGCTGGAAGATGAGCGTGCTGCTGCGACTGCGCGTGGTGGCCGAACCGCCTTCAACGGGCGAGATGGGCGACTCCATGGGCGCGGCGTTGCGGTGGTGAAGCTTTGCCAGCGCATCGGCGAGATCTTCGGCGTGCACCTGCTTGTTGGGCGCGTCCTCGAGGCGCATCTCCCAGCCGCAGGGTGGGCTAGGCGGCGGGCTGATGAAGAATAGCTTTCCGGCGTCGGGTAGCGCAAGGTGCTGGTCCTGGTTCAGGTTGAGCGGGGTGTGCTGACCAAAGTACACGCGGCACCTCTCGCCCATGACGGCTTCGCCATCCCAGACCGAGCGAACCTTGATGGCCGCCTGCTCGTCGGCGAACGAGCAGACAATGCGGCGGAACGATTTCAGAGGCGACCAAGTGCAGACGGGAGCAGTCTGGCTAATCAGATCGCGGATGGTCTGCAGGTTGTCCGGGCGGAAGATCTCGAGGTCACCAAGGTTGGTGATCAGAAGGGTGTTGGTCGGGACGACGGGTTGGGTAAGGGGCGGCAGGTTGGAGAGGTCGAGCTTTAATGACGCCCGCGAAGCCGAGCGTGTGGATGTGGGCCGCGAAGGCAAGGAATCCGTCGGAGAGGTCGACATTTTGATGTGTGGAAGGTGTATGATCCGGTCGAAGTTCAACTGGAGAGTGGCGACAGAGGGCTGGCCGTCGCTATCGTTGCCGTGATGGATGGCGCAAGATACGATCTGCAGGTACCCGGCTGTTCAGCGGATGATCTACCGTGACGTAGCGATGGCGATGAAAGTGCGAGTGCCGGGTGCTTCTTGGCAAGAAGTTGTGTAGATTGCTGTTGTTGTAGTGCTGGGAGGAGGAGAAGCAGAACAGAGGTGTGGTCGACGAGTATATGTACGGACTGGCAGGGTGGCTGCGTCGAAAACGGACCAGAGCGGCGGGCAGGGATCCAGGGCCGTTTGGAGTTTCGCGGGCAGACGGGCAGACAAACAACCTAGTGGCCAAGCCCAGCACATGCAAGATTGTGATGCATGCAGCCACCGTACCTTAGCTGCTTGGGTCTTAGGTGCCGCCGCCGGACCTTCCAGCGCGCCCTCCCTGCCCGCGCTCTGGGACTTTCTGGGCCCAACCACAGGGGGGGGCTGTGAGTGCCTGGTGCCACCGCCGTAGTGGGAACCCCTCCGCCCGCGCCAGCCAGCCAGCCAGCCAGCCCAGTTCTCGATGGCAACGCGCCGAAAGCTCACATGGCGGAAACGCCTACCTGGGCCCACCGGGGCTGCGTGTCGTTCAACCGCAGAGCAATGACTTGTTTCTCGTCGCAAGTCTGGAACCAAAGGATCCATGCCAACATGCCGGGCTTAGCTGGGATGGGATGTCTTTCTTGCGGGGAGACGTGCTGCAGGGGGCCATGTCTCCCTCCCAATCCGAACTTCCCAGCAATAGTTACGGCAATACGACAGCCAATACACAGTACCCAAGGTAGGCCTAGGTATACGCAGCCAGCGGATACACCTGTCCAGCTTACAGCCGCCCTCTGATGGCGAGCATTTTCTGGGTCGTCGAGGCAGGACACAAGCCGGATCCCCATCCTGTTGGCCATCAGGCGCTCGCCTCAATCGATGCCGACCCAGTGATCCGGTCAGTCGTCGGCATGCGATTTCAGAGTTTCCAAGAGTCTCGGCTTTATCGAGGAAGTGCCTCGCAATGCCTTGGCTAATGTCACTTGCCACCACCGCGAAGGCGCAGCGATACTTCTGCACATTCAACCTGACGTCGGCACGGGCTTATCCCGCACCGGCTATCCCAATGCGACAGCTGGTCCACCCCAGGAATCCCAAGAAGCCTTGGAGACGCTTGTCAGACGGAGAGACGGGATGTTGGCACCTCATCCAGGCATCTGAAATTCTTGTCCTATTGGCGAAGCATACGATCACCAGCCGATCGACGTGACTGTTCACAGCCAAGGCGCTCGTGGTTACAACTGCAGGCCTCCACCGCGACTGTGTGGGAGTACGGACTGTACAGTGCTATACTGAATACTACGTAGGCGCGCGGGTGCACCCAGATCTGGCCCCGAACGGCAGGGACCAAACAAGTCAAAATGGTTGCGTCCCGATGGGCCCTGTGGAGTGGAGTTCTGTAACCGCTTTGTTTGCTCAACAAATACGCCATCGACGAATTACGAGTTGGCTACTCGTGTTGCGGTAATTGGCTGCGATCTTGGATGCTATGGGCATTTGCACAGCCTCGTTGGCCTCCCCCCGCACGCTGCAGGACAAGCTGCCAAGGATACCTCGCGCATCGTAGTTGGCAGCCATCCCCGACCGAGACAACGCTCCCGAGACAGACCTTTCTCTGTGCGGTAGGCCCCAAATGGTTCGCTCTCCCTTGGCTCAACTCTAGAACGCTCTCGAAAGTCCTGTGTTGTGACATTTCATGCACTTCTTGCCGGGGATTCCGTCTCATGCTCACCAGCCTTCCACGCGCGCAATGTAATGCGCGAGCTTAGATGAGCTTTTGATTCAACATTTTTCAACACAGCCTGCCTCTAAGCCCGACCTCAGCTTTGTTTGCGAGTCGTCGTTGCCATCGCAGCCATGGAGGAACTGGAGCGGCCCCACCGCGTTTCCGAGCTAACTTACGTTTTAGTGGACAAAGCCTCAAACCATGACAAGACTCTCCCGTCTGATATCTCTGACACTACAACGTGCACGCGAGACACTGATGAGGAGGGAGCATGTCGATCGGCCGGCCGGGGCTAGAGGCAAGCCTCACTAACAACAGCTTTGACTTTCGCAGCTCCATTGCGCCGCAACTGTATGCCCTGAGAAACACCCGATGAGACGAAATTTTCATCACCATTTGCACAGCCCGAAGCCTAACGGATGGGTCTATAGACTTGGCATTCTCCAAACTCCTTCCGGATCCGGTAATTCGCCAATGTTATATGCCGCAACTCTCCCGGCATTCTGGGTAGCATCTTTGCTCCGAAGGACACCGCCTGACCGACCGACCGACCCGTTAGTTGGTACAGCAATGTTTGCGATGATGTAGGTTTCTCAATTGCCACTGCATTGGTAACCGGCCAAGCGTCGCAAACGAAACGAGCCATCTGTAATTCTACAATGGCCAGCTTTGCGGCTCACCGCTTGGCATCGCATGTTTGGCGCTTGGGCAATGCAGGGCACATCGACCATTTCGTATGAAAAACGGCAGCTGTATGCCTCGCTGTCAGCCAAGCCGTCGTGTGTGTGAGCCGGGAACGGTCAAGGGCTCGCTCGGGAACTTCCCACAACGCCGATCCCCCGGATCGATGCTGCGGCGCCGACATGGATTAAGTAAGACCACATATTTCGCAGCTCATCCCGATGCTGTCGCCAGCGGCGCAAACAGGAGCTTATGCCATGGCCATGATACAAACAACGTCTTGGAGTTTTCAAAATTAGACCATGTTAATCTGCCTTACCTTACGCTTCGACTGATTGGTACCGCTTCGTTTCATTTTTCTACTGCCGTACATGGCTATGAGTTTCTCCGTTTATGTTTGACTCAATCTGCCTTATCCTCGATCTAAACAGAACCGTGTTTCCAGGACTGACTGTGTTTCTCAACCCAAGCACACGGGTGCCGGCCCGCTCAATCGCGAAGTCCACGGCCCATAACGAGCACCTCACCCACCTTACCACTGTTGATCGCATCAGAATCGTAGTCATTGAGTAATGGTCCATTTAGGTTCTTGGCCCATGCACTTTGACGAACCTCGCCTGGCCTGTCAGTCATTCTCACGCGTGACCCCGTCTCGTGCTAGACTGCTCAGCGTATCCCGCTGAGTAGCATCCATCGATGAGCCTGCTATAGTAGCCTGATGCATTGCCAATACTGGACTCCTAAGGTAATCTAGCTTGGTAGATCTCAAATCGTGACCCAACCCTCACTTTGGCTCCTTAGACCTAGGTTAGGAAGATCTGGAGTATCGACAGATACCAAATCTGTCGCATCAACTTTGACCGCCCCCTCAGGTTCACTTCCACCAATCGCATCGGGATTGCCGATGAAGAAACAGTGGTCAACTTCGAGCTCGCTTGTCTTCTCGAAAAATATGGTATCGTGTAGCTCCCTTGGCAGTGGTTTGGGGACAACTACTCCGTGAATATGGGCATCAGCGAAGAGATAGCTCCGGGGGCCGGCCATGGGAGGGAGAGGGGCATACTTACAAGGCATAAAAACCACAGCTTCCTCAACTCCTGGCGTGATCAGTACAATGTCATCGGGTTCTGTGCGCACTACCGCTGCCCGTAACTTGTTTGCTTTGGCGCCTACCTGTCGAAGCAGTGTGAATATCTCCAACGATCGGTGAAAGTGGCTCATGTCAGCTTTCCCGCGACTACCTGCAGGAACTTCCCAGAACTCTATCATTGGGCTCTGACACCTGAAATTTTTCAATGCGAGGTCCATAGCAGTTTCTGCTGCGTCGGTCATCATATCTCGGTCAACATCCTCCTCATCCAGAAGAAATCTCACCCCTTCCGCATTGCAGGTTATGACCGCAATGTGCAAGGGCGTGAAGCCTCTATAAGGACCGTCTTTGATTTGGAAGTTCAGCTGCCACGGTTCGTTGTATTGTTCCAAGACCATTTCCAAGATCCGCGGCCGCATGTGGGAACCGATGCGGTATTCGGCGTGGAAGACAGACATGTGAAGGGCAGTGAATTTCGAACCACCAATGATCCCAACATCGAAGAACACTTCCTCGGGAAGACCCGGAAGAGCAAAGAATTGCTCCACAGCGCTGAGAACACTGCTGAACTGCTTTGAACGAACGATGAGCATTCCAAGGAGAGATCGGCCGTTAGCCGGCCCATCCGTGTACACTTTGGCAAGATTACATTTGGCGTTCGTGTAAAACCACTTCCCAACAGCCGGACAGCCTGCATGAAATGAACGACTGACAAGTTCCGAAAAATCGTCAGAGGGATCTAGATAACTGACAAGACCCTGTAGCAAATCTGCATCATTTGTTCTATCAGCAATGCCTCTGAAGAACACTGTCCATTCTTTGCTGGGGATGTTATAAGACATCCGGTATTCGAGGAGCGCGTTCAAAACTACTCTGTCGTGGTGACGTATCGCCAGAGCGAGGAGTCTCTGCCATTCAAGAGCTGACGGTCTCATGATCCCGCCCTTCCACCCCATCAGGTAGCGGATTACGAAGGGTTGACCCCACTGTGCGGCCTCTTGTAATAACCTCAAGCTAGTTGCACGAGGGTCTATGCCATTACTCGCTAACAGCTCAAACGTTTTTCGGAAGGCTCTCCGGTGCTCCTTGCCGTGTAGGAGAAGTCGCTTGAAGGCCCCGGGAGTAGAATACCGCACGCAGGCATCCAAAGGGGTCGAATTATCAATGAAACCCCATGGGCCAACAGGCCGCGAGCCATGTTGTAGGTGCCACAGTGGCCCGCGACCCAAGAGACTCTGCATTCGGGATCTAAGACCCGTTATACCAGACGGAAGAAGGACCTCCAGGTGTTGCCACTGATGGTTCATCGCAGCATACAGTACAGGGTTGGTATGATAGATTGTTGACCAATCGTCGCCCACAGGCACGTGCTTAGAAGCTTCATCAAAAGGATCTGCCCCCAGCCGAATCAGTGTCTTGGTCGCCATGAGGTTATTTGCTGCGACCGCCCACGTCAAAGGCGTTCCGTTTGTTAGACCATAGCATGAGTCTGTCACTGTGTGATAGGTGTGTGCTCTGGTTGATCGAGCTTCTAACGAAGCATTATGATGAACTAGGCTTTCGGCTACAATCGACATGTCCTCATCTTCAAACGAGCTTAGAAAATGTAAAGGCGTGACACCTTCGTCACTCGCTATGCGCGGATCAGCACCTTTCCTTAGTAGGTAGAGCACCATTTTAGTATGGCCTGAACGTGAAGCCATCAAGAGAGGTGTCTCGCCGAATTCGCTGGTGAAGTTGACATCAACAGTGGTTATTTGGATCAGCTTGCGCAGTAGGCGATATCGCCCAGTCGTTGCGAAAGCTTGTAACATTGAATAGAGCCGCTTGCAAGAATCGTCATCCTGGAAACCAAGTTGGACGTAACTTATCGCATCATTAAATTGCTCGTCCGGCCCATGCCAAGATTCCGGAAGCTCCAGTCCAATGCCGCCGCGCTGTTCTCGCAGTCGCTTTTTTGCCCTACGATACGTCTCTTCAGATAGGATTTTCAGATGTCGGCCGGCTGTTCCACTGCCCTGAAGGTAGGCTGATTCCAACCAAGACTTGATTTTGTCTATTTCAAGGTCTGAGGGCAGGTGCTGGTCGAAGGTATCGTATAGCCAGGCTACGAACCCCTGTGCCTCAATACTGCCAAGACTTGCGCTTAGACTCAACAACTGCAGGGCTTTCGTGATAAATGGGGTGGCTTGGATGTCCAACTGAACTCTCGAGATTACCATGATAGCAAATTGAAGACCTGCCTGCCTACGTCTTACAACGTCCTGCTTCACATCATTGGCAATTTCCTCAAGCTGGTCGGCTATCTGCCGTATTACTTCTGGAGGCATAATTCGAAGAGTTCCAAGAGACCTGTCAGCCTAGAATACAAGTTCTGTCAGCAACCAAATGTAGTAAATGCTGGCTAGCTCATACCTCAAGTACTGCTCCAGGGCTTCGTACGCGGAAGACTCTTGGGGGCTTCGGGGCTTTTTGAAGCTGCCTATGGACATATTAGCGGCACGGCTGACGATACACTCGTCCTGCATATCAGAAAAGGCGTGCGTTATTGGGCTACACTCACCACTTATCTAGGATTGTCTGAATATGGTGTGCGGCGTCTTGGTCCGTAATTCGTTCGAGTGGCACAAACCTCCCGTTCTCAGAGGCTTGGCGAATCATCTCACGGGACTTGGCGAACAACCAGACCCTTTTTAGATCTTCCTGTGATGGCTCTTCAAGACCTAATTCCTGGTCAGCAGGTACAATTATAGTTACAGTGAGGTTTACCTGAGACATACCAGGCTGTAGCCAGATATCTTCCTCTTGAGGGTTTAAATTCAGAGATGAACTGATCGTACGATAGAAACAATCAATTCTCAGAATTCTGTGTAACAACAGTCTAATTTGATCGAGGAAGTCACTGATACTATCAAACGGTTCGCTCCCATTACCTAAAGCTCGAAAAACCAGATAAGCAGCCGAGGTAGCGGTATCTTCGACTTCTCTATCCCTTGAAGTTGTATCAGACTGAGAAGCCCTGCTGTCATTAGCTTCTGGCTCATCTATGGTCCCGAAAATTTCTCCATTTTGCTCATCATAGAAGGCTCGTCCAAGGAAGCCGTTCATCTCCATATCTACTGTCTTCGCCACAAGACTGGCAAAATCGGATCCGGTTTTAAGGTCTTGTAATGCCTCCGGTTCCATTTCCTCGAGTATGACTGTGGCGATCGCATTGCCGGTCAAAAGATTAGCTGTTATAAGTCCTAGGGAGTAAATGTCCAATTTGTATAGATCGTGTTTTTTGACTGGCCTATCACACCCTGGAGCTTGCCACATTGAGGTCCCTGATTGTATATTGATCTCGCCCTCAACTTCATCGACGATCAAGGATGAACCGAAATCGGAGATTTTTGCAACTATGCCAAGCTTGTCGTGTTTGAAAAGAAGTATATTCTGAGGCTTCAGGTCGAGATGAGCAATTCCGACGTCATGGAGAGCATTTAGACCAGCGGCGATGTCGACTGCGAGGCCCAGAGCCTTTCGCAAAGTAAGGATTTGCTGAACTTCTTTGCTCTGCATGCCTGTTGCCAGATCCCCGAATTCAGCTGCCTCAAGCACGACTACAGGCATGATAGTGTCGCAAGACTCAAGCTTTCGCCAACATACTCCTTGCAAATGGACGATATTTGCATGTTTAAAAATGTGTTCGTTCTTGAGGATCTGGAGTTCCTGTGCCATGGAGCTCCATAGCTTCCGGCTCCTTGGGCTATTAGAGTGATCAGTAAGAACAGGAAGTTTTAAGGCAACGAGCTCAGGCAAGCTCTTAGTGTCGAGTCCTATGTCTTCCGGCACGAAACGAGATTCTAGAAGATCCTGAGCGGGTACCAAAACAACTTGGAAAAAAGACCCAGAAGAGGAAGCAGATGGTAAGCTGGGTCCACGTTCGTCCAATAGGACGCCGAGAAGAGTCAGAGAAAGGCTTAACTTGTCGAACAGCCGCACAATTAAAGAAGAAAAGGAGGCAAAGTCATGGTCGGTGGGGCCAGGAGCTGGGACGGCCATACTTCCTCCATCCCTGCCTGACATTGTTAGGACTGGACTAATGTGGTAACAGTAGTGAACGTGTCTGCACGATCTTGCGTGCGGATAAAAACATGCTTAGAAGGCATTTCTCCTTGCTGGCGTAGTAGATGAACAAATGTAAGGCCGGAAAAAAGAGCCTCGTTTCTGCCGAGGCTGACTCTGGGGAGCCCAACCGGCTGCCCGTGTGACCCGAGACATCTGGAATAGCCAATGAGACCACAATGTTTGCGCGATATCAGGAAGATTCAGGCCATCCGTATTCTGTCCAATTAGCTCCACGTGGTGTGAATGCGCGTCTGGTCACGCTGCCGCCCAATAATTAGCTGGTTAGAACGCCACCACGAAGATTAGGCGTACAGGCTGCACCCCAAACTGAAGAAATAAAGATAGCTTCTGCCTCGGCAGTGATAGCGACTTTCACACACCAAAACACTCCGATTGACGAGGAATTTTTCCAACATCGATTATATTCGAATCTACGAACATCTGCAAGGGAGTATGGCTGAGGAAGCCTCCAGCCCTACCGGACAAGCTGGCACAGCAATTGGAGCCGCTAGCCTTTTTATACAAGTTTTTCAAGGATGCTTAACAGGATTCTCTCTTTGGAAGCACGACAAAAATGTAGGAACAGATGCGCTTATCTTCAAAGTACGATTAGACCTCCAAGCTGCAAAGTTCCGGGCCTGGGCTTTCGAATGGGGCTTGCACAAAGGAACTGATTCGCCTTATTTCCGCGACGAGAGATTCAAGACCTACAACGACGAAGCAGTCCAAGCTGTTTTGACTATCTATTCGATTCTCGCTGATCTAGGAGGCCTTCAAGTCGAGAACCCACTCCTTGCTGCTGCTGGGAAACACGAGGTTACGCCAGCTGCCTCGTTCAGCAACATGCACCGATTCAGCGATCCAGATTCCATTGAAAGAAAGTACTGGGTGAAAAAGATGGAAACGATTCGTGAAGATGTCAGCCTTCACCAACGCCTTCGCTGGGCTCTTGAAAGCGGAACAGCCGATAAGATACTGGAAAACCTTGAGAGGATGATAGGAGATCTCTATCAGTTGTTCCCTCCTGTGAGAAACGATCCAGCTGTGCCAGTCATAATGAACCAGTCGCTGCCTACGGAGCAACTTCCAGTGTTAAATGAAATCAACCCAAGTACAGTAGATGACCCACTACTGATCGGTCTCGCTCGACTCAAAGCTGCTACGACCGACCTGCAGGCACGAGCCAGCGCTTTGGAACAAATTAACGTCAATAGAAAAATGCGAGATCTCAAAGGAGCCAAGTATAGTGGCAAGGAGAGACGTTCTATTGGAAGATTTCAGAACGAGGATGTGCTCGTAGAATGGAAAGCCGTGGACGCCACACTTGCTGAAGCAAGGGGTGACGGTGTTGTTTTCGGTACGGTGATGGACCAACGCATTAAGAACATTGCCCGCCTTCTTAGGTCTGACAATAAGCCTGAGGAGCTTCGGACACTGACCTGCCTTGGCGTGGTCACCACTACCGGGACCTCGGACTTCAGTAAGCAGTATGGTATGCTCTACCAAATACCGAGTACCACATACAGCACCCTTTCTGATGCCTTGGAAACTTCGAAGAATGACTTCTTCCTGGAAGATCGTTTCTCATTGGCCGTGGTTTTAGCCAAGGCAATGCTGTACTTGCACTTAGCTGGATGGCTGCACAAGGGCATTCGGGGCGACAACATTGTGTTTTTCGTTCAAGATGACACAAAGTATGACTTAAGCAAGCCGTACCTGGTAGGTTTTGAGTACAGCCGCGAAAGCAGGCCGAATGCTCAGACCGAAGATGTACTCGAGGATACCGAGTCAAATTTGTACAGGCACCCCGAGGTACAGGGTGTTCCTCGGGAGCTGGCCGAACAGAGTGGCTTATCCGAAACCCAAAAGACCCGACCTCCCTTCAGTGCGAAGCATGATATATATAGCCTTGGCATTGTTCTTCTTGAAATTGGACTTATGAAATCCGCATGGTCCATGCTTGAGACAGCAAAAACACAACAAGACTACAAATCTCACTCGGCTGCAAACTTCCGAGCATGGCTGCTAGAGAGCCAAGTTCCTTGCCTGGGGCCACTGGCTGGCCGGAGCTATATGGAAGCCGTTAGGTCTTGTATCACCGGCGAGCTGAGTCTGGAAGGACGAACTCTTGCAGAGGCGTTTTACGTCGACGTTGTGCAGAAGGTTACCGGACCTTCAAGCGTTGATATCGGTCCTTAAATTCATACGTTGTGCGTATGTACATAATTTTAGATCAAATGACTGCTTTAGAATAGGTTGATATAATTCGTTAACTTGAACAGCTAATATTACAATTTCTGTTGCCTGCAAGACCTATGGTGATGCGTATCGTAAGGCCTAGAGAGTAGTGTGTAGAGTACTATCGCCAGCTAATCTGCGAGGTGGCAGAATTTGTCCGAAGTGAATAGTCTCCATTCTTCTGTACTTATCTATGATGGGCTATCTTGCAATGATCATTGTAGCTGCATGCTTTGTAGGGAAAGGGTTAAATGGGATGCTCATGACTCGAATCAATGGTGGTGCGCGGATGGGTTGAGGCTGCATGGTGGATTGCGACCGCCACCGAGCCCCCCTTGTAGAACTGCAAAAGAGATGATTGTTAGATATGATTGAGTGCTTGAGTACTAAATTTTATGCTAGAATATGAAAGTGAATATCGCGACCTACAGGCCAGTCCCGATGGAACAAGACGGTGTATGTGTGAGAGACCGATTGTCGAAAATTGATATAATTTCCAGGAGAACACTTTTAGCCATGATGGTGGTAGGAAATTATTAGCACACTCCCGTTCCTTGTGAGACCTATGGACCATTGAGGGGGAAGATAAGTATTGATTATCAATGTCGTGGGACTGAGTCTCCCAGATTTCCAGGACCCTGGGCAGGGATCGCCCTCAATACCAAAATGCAATTGGTCGAGCGCTCCCTACTTAATCTGTGTAAGACTCGGCTCTACCAACAGTGTATGCCGTGTTCACCCGTCGGCAAGGGGTTTGGGATTCGGAAAGGCATCCATCATGCATCCCGGAACCAGATGCCGCCAGTGCTAAAACAACCGACTCAGGCAGGTACATGCGCTATCAAATATGCAGGTTGGACAATGTGATATGCAGTCATGCAGATACTTTTCGCCCCGCCTAGAACTTGATCGCTTGGAATTGGAGCGCCTATGGGCACTGACTATTTTGTGCAACACACATCTGCTGCGCCGTTGAGGAGAGGTTTGCAGTGTTTTCTGTGCGAATCTTTCGGCTCAGGAAGGTATGCGGCCCTTACTTCTCGTATTGCCTACCAACTTTTACATCCGTTGATCTTCGGTTTCTGGTAGTTCTTCTGTCGAACAACAAAACGACCCGCCGAAATCTCAACACGGGAACTTTCAGGCGTAATATATAAATGCTACAGTCTAGCTGAAAATCGATTGCTTGCGGTCTTCTTTACTGCCTGATGTACTCGAATACTCGATCGAATCGTCAGGATGAGCCTCGAGAGCCTGGCTTCGACGCTTGTAGTTTATGCTGCCTGCTTTTCCATATCCTATGTGAGAACGTCTGAGACTCCAAGAACTCTGAGGCACAGAAAACTGACGCTGATCATAAAGTTGGTATTGCTGATCATCTTTCGCCTCTATTTCCATCCGCTTCACAAATATCCTGGACCGCTCGTCGCAAAACTGACTGATGGATACGGCGGCTACCAAGCAATAGCGAGACGCACTCACACGAACATATGGCATAACCCTGGCAAATATGGCCAGTATAACAAATAACAACGGGGGATAAAAGGGAAAGCAACAGCAAATCTCATTTGCAGATGTCATTTGTGCCTTATAACGACTTACGCATAAGTCCACTAATTTTAGTGAAGGCCCCGTAATACGGTATAGCCCAAACAGACTTCTGTTCAACTCTGTTACCGCATTTCAAGGCACGATAAAAATAATGATGCAAGATGCATACCGGTTCTAACAACAGGTTACAGACATTTACACAAGCCCGCGAATTACCAAGTCTCATGTTTACGTCTCGTCCCGACTAGGCAATAGCCCCAGCATATTCAGCACCTTCGACAGAGAGCTACACCGCCAGAAACGACAGATCATGGGCCAGCCGCTCAGCGATCGTTCAATGAGGATATTCGAACCGACTATGGCGCACCAGATTGGCATTTTTATGCAGATACTATCACGGAGTTGTAATGGCACTAAGCCCTTAAACATGACGGATCAATGCCAACATCTTGGCTTCGATATCATTGGACAGCTAGCCTTTGGCTGCGATTTAAAAATGCAAACGGAAGAATCCAATCGCGCCATAATCAGGCTACTTACTGCTGCAAAGATGCGGGTAAACGCTTTCATGCACTTCCCGGCTTTGGAGTCACTTGATTTCATACTTACCTCCCTGCCATCGAAAGATCGTCGCGACTTCCAACGCATTATCACAGACATCATTAACACTCGCATTTCTGAAGAGGACAAAGGTCAATATGATTTATACGCACTGATGGCTGAGCATACCAAGCCCGGTGGAATCTACGAAAACATACTTTGGAGCGAGGCTATATTTTTCATGACCGCTGGTGGCACACCGCCGGCTACCGCTATGAGCGCTCTTTTCTTCTATCTATCGCGTTTTCCGAAATGTTATGAGAGGCTAGCAAAGGAGATACGCACCAAGTTCTCTTCAGGCCACGCTATTCAGTCTGGCGCGACGCTTGCGTCCTGCAAGTACTTGCGAGCTTGTATCAACGAGTCGTTGCGGATGGCCCCCCCATCACTTGCCACGTTATGGCGGGAGCAGGCAGCTGACGACCTGCAACGCGGTTCAGATCCATTCGTCATTGATGGACATATCATTCCACCTGGTACCCAATTTGGGGTTAACCTCTATGCGATGCACCATAACGAGAAATATTTCCCCGACCCATTCACCTTCAACCCCGATCGGTGGGTGAGTACTGACAGCAAGATTGGCGAGAGTGATGAATCGGGCAGGCATCGGGCGTTCGCGCCATTCATTGTGGGCCCAAGGTCATGTGCAGGAAAGCCCATGGCTTATTCGGAAGTCAGCCTCGTCATCGCCAAAACACTCTGGTACTTCGACTTCCAAAAGGCACCAGGACCTCTTGGAGAAATTGGCCAAGGCAATAAGTGGGAACAGAATGAGATTGGGCACGTCAATGAGTTCCAAATTCGGGATATGTTCAACGAAAACCATCAAGGGCCATACCTGACATTTACTCCGCGCGATAGCTTGCACCATGAACTTCGGTCATTGGGTACTTGATTACAATCTGCATATTACTATATCGCGCCCATCGAATGAAGCTCCGAAATACTTTGGCAACCTGGTTTACCCGGCTTTTTCTTCTTCCGATATAACCTGATGTGTTTTAATAGTGGATTCCCCTTTTCGTTTTCAAGGCCCAAACCCGTGTAATTGTGGCGCCAGCCACTCCCTGACGTAACATTTCCGCACCTATCCCCTGATAACTACTGGCTCGGGGCGCTCACACTCTGTGTTTGATCCGCCTGAAGTGTGTATCTCAAATTCTGTTCGTTTGAGAATGGCATGGTTCGTGTTGGATGTGCCTCCCTGAGCTTCCAGGTCGGGGAGTTCAATATTAGCCATGTTGCCGTTGTTCGTTTCACCTCCAGTAATCGTGATTATACTCGTGCCAGTTTCGTATCTGTTATCCATGTAGCCCAATGTACTATATGGCCAGACAGAAAATTCTTTCGCATGCGCCCTACCCTGACTTCGGTGTCTTCTTCGAACCCATGTTGACGTCTTCAAATTCATTTTGTTTCTCATAAGTCGAATCAAAGGGTGCAGCACTGGGAAGCAGGCAGTCCACAGTCCAATGTGGCCTTCCAGATCAATCCACGGAGCTACTAATGCCATTTTGTAAGTTCTGAAATGTGCCGGAGATTAGCAGTTGCTCTTACAAGTTTTTCCGGTATCACTGTTGATGGTAAAACATACGTGTCAGCCGCGAAATCAGTTTTGATCAAGATGATTAACCTGACAACCCCCGTGATCACAGCGAAGATCCCCACAAAGAAAACAAGCAGAATCGGCATAATCTTTACTGAGAACTTAAGCTGTGAGTGTAGTGCGAATATAGGAAGTATTACGAGGCAAATGTCGATGAATATGCTGACTGCCGAATAAGCTAACATCATTAGTCTCTCTCTGGATGAGTCACGACAATGCCGACTGGGTGCCGCGATGTCCCACAAATCTCTGAGAGAAGACGTCAGATCTGAAGTTCTAAGGCATCATATACGAAGGAGGCTAAACATACGGGACATGCTCGCATTTGAATAGTTCGAAGAAGAAAGCGGTTGAAGTAGTTGCAAGAATGCTGCACGCAAGCGCATAGACACATGCGCGGAACTTGTCTGTGTTGCTTCGTTAGTGGAGGCGAGTTCATAAGGCAAGACGGTCTATTTTCACATACTGTTTTGGCTTAATCGTAGATGGAACGCAGCCATAGAAAGTCGCACACCCCCTGTACCCCAGAAATACAAAAATTGACCAGTGGGTAAGAGCTGAATACGTATTGATTAGTGGCTTAATTTGCTTCGCATAAAGGGGGGTCTGCGTATACTGACCGAAAAAAAGATGGGAATATTCTGAGCTGGTATCTTTTGAACATGAGTCCCGGAGCCTACGGTTACAGCCTTAATCTCGAGCACTGATAGCCCTGTTAAAATAATCTGTAGGGGTTACCATCTAGGTATTCTGTTTCTTGGCATATTGTAACGTACATATGAGATCGCAGCACATATGTCGTCGAGGCCAAATTTTCTCATAATTGTACCTCGAATATAGAACCTTATGCCAATCAGAATTGTTGAGATGATAATAAGGGACAGGTTCAAGTTGAAGAGCATGCGACCTTCGGATTCGACGGGGAGATCGAAAATCGTAAATTCGACGGGCCTCGTGCTCATACTCATTGTGTCGTGGAAAGTGTATAATACGGCTGGGTTCTCAGATAAATGGGCGTTATGGCGATCGGACTGCTTTAAAGAGACAATTGCCAAGGAAATACGTAGTGCTTAGAACCGCTGCTCAAGCTGAACACGTTATGCACAGAGACCGGGAGAATCTTTGACTTTTATATGCTGTGTCATTTAGAAATACCAGTATGAAAAGATGGCAACATGCTACTGTAATGCCAGAACTGTGTAGGCATGCCCAACTCGGGCAAGGGTCAGATGGAGCGCAACACCTTGTTGGACGAGCTTTAGTCATGTCGATCGCCAGTTTAAACTACCACTATCACGCAGCAGGTCAGAATGATGCTTGGATATCTCGACTCTGTTCGTCTTCATTACAAGCATGCAGGGAGCGCATATAAATCTTTACCTAACAGCGTCGGCGGCGCCTCCGACGATATGAGACTAGAGTGTTTTGAGTAAACGTCTGAGAAAAGCACAGGACGGTCTGCGTGTGTAGAAGATGGACTACTGCAGATAGTAGAAACTACAAAAGTTTCCTGCATAAGTAGCGAGAGGCATACTAGAGAAACTTTCGATGGCCCGGCCGCCGAAGTCCTCCTGTTGTGTAACCTGAAGGAATCCAAATCACTATCTAAGACTCGTCAATCATGAGGTGTACTTTCCTATCGCGCGGAATTTTATAAATTTTCCAAGCCAAGTGTTACTTTCAAAATGATATGATCCTTTAAGTCGGCAACAATAACACTCGTTGCTCATTGATGAGTATCGTGCTGGAATTCTGTATACAGCTAAGAATTCGGAACGAAACATTAGCTTTAGGACAGCACATATTACACTCATAGGTCCAGACGATCCGGAGCCCCCCACGTTCCGTTCTTCTCCTTATGCAGGCTAGGTAGGACACGTGAAGGGCAAGCTTCTATGCAGGGAAATGCTGAACTTTGAATAACGACTACCCCACGACCTGACGTTTGCCAAGCCCTATGAGTTGTGGTTACACAGCATACAATACGGGGCAAAGGCTCCACGTTCGCTAACGCCGAGCGATAGTCAAGAAATCACGTGGGCCATCAATGGGTGAATCTGGGTCACGAGTCCATTTCTGATAAGGCAGCCAACTACGGAGTATGCATGGATGATGCCTCTGCTATGATTGAGTCCTGTCGCCTGATTCCTGCAATCAGTGGATCCCGTGTAAAGGCTTATATCTTGACCGTAGTAGAAGCTCTCCTACCAATGATGCCGCCCTCGTCGGGCGGCATCCGATTCGTCATCCTCGTAGCACTTTGTATAAATTGTGATAAACACCGGGACTTCACAGGTGTTTGGAACCTTGGCAAACCATTATATCTAACTTGAAAATTCAAACTCCAGTGAGAAGCAACATCAACAGCCTACTGACGGCACCAGGAGGCAGGTCATACCCATGAAAAGCTATAACAAGGCATATAAGGCGTTGTTAAATAAACATGTTTTCATAGACTGGTTTGTGTTTGCCATCTGTTGATGCGAATATGGTTGAAGGCCTGTCAATGCAACATTGTCGGGGCGGAAGCAGGGATAAGCCTTCCACTGCCCTCGGCCACTGCTAGGCCGTGTCCGGCCAGGATATCTTTTTCAAGGTGTACTGCATCTTCAAGTGGCGGCTTGTTGCTGGCCTTCCCGACAGCATGGCTCTGAACCCCGGTCTGAACTACGAAGGTGCGAATACTGACCAACCAGAGATCCGGCCCGGTCGGGGCATAGTTTTATCAATGACTCGAGTCTGAAATTTCATGCTTCCAGCTGTCCATCATTACCGGTTTAAGAGCAGATATGAAGGTTATTTTAGTGCTTAGGCAGTTTCATACCTACATATGCTTTTTTGGGCGTTACCAGGCATTCGTTACACTGCTCCGCAATTCTCATTGTAGCTCATAGGCACCGCATATGCAGGCAAGCTGCTTGCTACATTGTGTTAAGGACAAATGACGCATGGTTGACAGCCACTAGTGTCGGTCGATTACTCTTGCGGTTGTCAAACTCACTTTGTATCGCCCCGTACGATTCATTGGTAGCCAATAATACCTGGAATGCGATGGTCGTTATACGATACTTGAGTCAGTTTCCAAGTAGTTCTACACACTGCCCCGACAATGGAGCCGACTACATGAAACTAACAGAAAATACGCGATTATAGTCCCAACTACGTGGGTCGCTTAGATATGAAAGGATGTCGAGAAAGTGGTCATATATTGTCGTTAAAACGCGTTGCTAATTATGGAAGAGAATCTCGTCACAATAGATACTTGCAAAGCAATTGGTGTTTTCATTCTACAGGCCGTCGTATCCATATGGGTCCGGTGTAGGCCCTCAAATTGCTGCAACTCTTCTTCCGGGCTAAGCTTGGAGAGTAGCTATCCTAATGCCTATGATGATAGAGCAGTTTTTCGGGAAGACTCAATTTTCATTGCGCATCTACCCGGCTCTTGACTTGTGGCTCGATGTCAAGAAACATTTTATGCGAAGCTGAAGGGTAACTGATTACATTTTGTCGTGATTGACTATCAGTAATATCTATGAGTTATTGAGCCGGGCTGATTAAGTCTTTGCCGCTACGTAGAAAACGAGTGTTCAATGCAGACAATCTCATCTTCTGGTTGACGGCTGCACCTCAGTAGTTAGCGTCCGTAGATAGTGGTGGATAATTGATCCCCAGAGCTAGGTAGCTCCCTTGCTTTGCCTGCGGCTGCAGAAGCATCAACATAACGCGTTATTGCTTTTGGCCAACATTTTCTTTTCTTTTTCTTCCCTGAGGCTCGCCGATCTCACCGCTGGCAACTTCCCAAGGCTAGAGGCAAAATCGCTCAATGACGGCTTGCTCAACCCACTATTGTCTCGTACTCTATCGTAAAAACTACCTCATAGGATACCAGACCCTCATATCAGTCAAAGCTCGTCATTGATTGACCCCAAGCACCCGGAGGAGCAGGAATATGTCCAGCATGGGATTCAACCTCGCTGTAGTCATAGGCGCCGTTGCGGCCACCTACGTCTTTCTGGTCACCCTTCTCCGACTCACCCAGGATGCAAAGGAGCCGCCGTCAATAAGTGATGCTGTGCCCTTTGTCACACCGATGGTCAACCTGGCTTCCAAAGGTGGAAGCTTCTACCATTTGATGAGGTGTGTCCCTGCCACATCCCCTTGTTGATTTGGGGGGCGGATCTGATGATAACGTGGTCACCAGGGACAAATACAACCTGCCAATATACACGTTGCGGATGCCGGGCTCGCGGCTTTACATCGTCAACTCCCCCTCGCTACTAACGCCGATCCAGAATCAATTTAGAAAGCTATCCTTCACCGCCCTAGAGGCGATCGTAGCTGTCAATGTCTTTGGTGTGAGCAAAGACACCAATGCAATAATAGGGGGCGACGTGACGAATGATACGGGCTATCTAATGAATTTCCCCAAGTATATTCATTCCGCTCTGAGTGCCGGACCTGGTCTGGACGCCCTCAACACAAGGTCAATCGAAGTTATCACTCAGTCTTTGGATACCTGGGTCAGAAGTGGATCGACAACCGTCAAAATGTTCGAATGGGTTCGTCACGAGCTACTCTTAGCTTCCACCGAAGGTGTGTATGGACCCGGGAACCCCTTTCGCGACCCTGCTATGGAGAAGGCTTGGTAGTAAGTCTCAAATGACTTCACGAAGCAAGTGTGACTACTAATTAATTATGAAAGCACATTTGAGCCACATATTATGATGTTTGTTTTAAACATATATCCTCGCATCTTCGCCAGGAAGAGTTTCAAAGCACGCGAATATATGGTGAAAGTCTGGGAGCGCTATTTCGACGAGGGCTTATATAAGAAAGGCTCTGAGCTAGTCAAGGCTCGTGTCAAGATTAACGAAGACTTTGGAATCTCCCTTGAAGACACTGCACGAATTGAAATCGGTGGTAGTCAGGCTATCCTCGCAAACACACTGCCGGCAACGTTTTGGGTTATCTACCACGTATTTTCCGACCCGGTAGTCCTTCAAGACATCAGATATGAGCTGCTTCAAGGCGTGTGCGAAGATAAGGACGGTAACTATATGATTGATTTGACCCATGTCAAATCGTCTTGCCCGCTCCTGTTGTCCACGTTTAAGGAAGTGATGCGTATCCACTCCACCAGCACGGCCACTCGAATAGCCATGGAGGATCATCGGCTTGACGGCAAGTATCTCCTCAAGAAGGGAAGCACTATCATGATGCCGTCAAAGGTACAACATACCAACCGTGCCGTTTGGGGCCATACGGTGGATGAGTTTAATCACAAGCGTTTCATGCGCGAGCCAGGTGTCAAGCGTGTCAATCCAGTGGCTTTCCGCGGATTTGGTGGGGGTACGACGCTGTGCCCTGGGCGGCATTTTGCATCCACTGAGATTTTGATGTTCACAGCTCTAGTCGTTCTGCGGCTCGATCTCCACCCGGTGGACGGCAAATGGGCCCAGCCCTCGACGGCCAAGTCGCCAATGGTGAATGCTATGCCGATTCCGGACTTAGATATCACTGTTGAGCTTCGACCTAGGAACTCGAGAAATTGGAAGGTATCCTTTTCCGGCTATGCTAAGGACATGGAGATATCAGCAGAAGACATCGGAGGGATCACCCATGTTCCAGAGCATTGAGAACAATCGTTGATCCTCTTGGGTTATATATATATATATATATATTTAGGGTTAGTTCGCTATTCTTACTGCAACACTTCTCGTTCAGAAATACCGACTTCCCAGCCACCTTACTGGCTGCCTTGTGTAGCTTGCAATAGGATGGTTCCATCTCATATGCTTATCGACCGCTTCGGCAAATCCTTCACTGGAGCCCCAAATGTACAATCCAACAAATACAGCATCAATATGTTCTCCATGGTAGTTGCCGGCTTATCTGTTCTCCGTAAATTTCAGGACGGGCAATTTCTTGCACGAGAATGAAATTAAGCGTGATGAAAAGTCAGCCCACAAGATCCACTTCTACTTATCGCTGACTTTGACTTTGGAAACGGCCGGCCATGTTCCTTCAACCCACCCTTCCCACGCCCACCCTAGTGTCCGTTCGCGTCAGACGTTGTAGGTGGTTTGAAGGGACATAAAAGTTCAGATCAGGCTAAACTAAGACCGGAATGCAGAGATTTATAGCCACCTAGCAGTTTATCGGCAAGCTGCTGCCTTACATCGAATGCCGACCAGTGACAAGGTGAGAAGGAAAATGGATTGTGCATCGGGGAGGAACGCAGACTTAAGAAGGCATAAGAGCCCGATGTCCCGAAGGGCCAAGTACACGCGGAAGCAGCCAATCAATGGAGCTACACGATTGATTTACAGTTCCGCTCATCTAGTAATAGACGTATAGCGTAGTGTTGCCTGGCGCAATATCAGGTGAATCGCCGACACGGTTTCCATGTAATTAGCATGCATTTATGGGCGACCCACTTTATTCAAGTTACGGTTAAGGCTTTCGCAACGAAGTTTACAGGCTTCGATAACGGTTGAAGACGCTGATTGAAGCAACTGCCACAGTTATTTCTCTCATTTGGCCACTAAAGGGGGAACACCAGGTTGTCACTGGACTAAAGATTGTTGTGATATGAAGCAAGCTACATCAACGCCTCAACTAGCATCCCTTTCCGTTCTCTGACTACCCTCGAACACGCAAGTTGAAGCGCCTCCTTCAGATCTTTCACCGTTCTCGCTCGTACGCCTTTTGTCCAGCCTTGTGGCTGTGTCTGGCCCCCCCAGTTTACCTCAGAACCGGTCGCTGCCTCGGCCAAAGCAGCATAATTGGGTGTTGGACGGAAGGAAACGTTAACTTCGTCGTCGGAGGCGGATGTACTTAGACCAGTGGGGTATACAAGCTCCGTCGAGTTTCGGGGAGCTTTCCAGCCTGAAGAGCAAGAAGCGTCAGCGGGTTCGGTATAGGAAAATTGGGTTCAGTTTTTCTAGAAGAGCAAGGAAAGAGGCACTATGACTTACCGCCGTTGTTTAAGACAATCGTCAGGATTGGAATCTCGTATTTGCTGGCGACCCATAGCGCACTGGAGGGTGCTGCACACATAAAACTTCCATCACCGACAACGTGGCACACAAGTCCTTGCTTGCGCTCACCCTTACTCTCTAAATCTGTGAGTGCCATCTGGACGCCTAGCGCCGCGCCATTGCTCCATCCGATACCTGTTCCACCACAATTAATCCAGCTTCCCGCTCGGCTGGGCTGCAACTGATCGTGTAATATCTGGGAAGCTGTGACTGCTTCGATAACAAATGTTGTGGAGTCCGGGAGTATTTTCTTGAGAAGACTCCCAATGTTGTGTGCGTCTAATGGTTCCGAGTCACCTAACCGAGGTTGAGAAGCAATATTCGCTAGGCGAGCCTTATGGATTTCGGCGCGGGCAACTTTGCGAGCTGCAAACTTGGGATCTTGAATCGCCAAAGATTCGTGACTCTTTATGCAGTTGACTAACTGTGTTAGTGCAGTGAAGCTGTCGGCTTTCCAGCGTCCATGTGCAGGGAAGAAGGATACGGGAATCTGTTGATTGAGGGGATCAATATCCACGTGATATATCCTAACACCCTTTTGTGGCGGGTTGCGAGAGGGGATCCAGGGGACATCGCAATCAAGTAATAAGATCATATCCGCATTTTTCGTGCATTCGTCGTAGCTAAGGCGGAAGCCTTCGGACGCGATATGGGAGAAAGGGAAGCATACATCGCTCCCTCCCGTGTCATGTACACGTATACCAGGAAGTAGGTCGGCTAAGGCGACGAGGAGTTCTGGTGTTCGTCGATCGCGGCCAGAGTATCCTGTAATGACCAGTGGGCGTTCAGCTTGGACTAACGCTGTACAGATATCGTGAACAGCATCGGCTGGAAGTGCGCTCGGCCCGATCGGCACCCATTGATCGTGATCCAGTGAATACGGCGGAATTTCTTGAGCCAGAACCTCTCGTGCGCTAGCGATGTATACAGGGCCTTTAGGCGTGCTTTCTGCAAATTGAAGGGCGCGCCCAATGGTCTGTTTAATGTTGAGCCCAGTACGGACTTCACCTGTATACCTGCAATATTGTCGCACAATAGCTTTCTGATCTGGCGCTTCTTGCAGCCAATGCATATATTCAGTCCGTGAGCCGGGGAGCTCTCCAGATTCGGTATATGGACAGAGGCCTGCAAAAATGAAGACCGGGGCGCGGCCGATGCTTGCGTTATGAACACCTTGACCCAGAGCCTGTGTACCAACGTCGACGTGCACAAGCACAGCCTGTGGTCGTCCTGAGACTCGTGCATAGCCATCAGCCATCGATATGGCAGTGATCTCGGAAGGGCACGTAATCATCCGGGGCCAGGAATTAGGCCGTTCTCTCTTGCCTTTGACGATGGCCTCGATAATGGACGGGTGATCAGATCCGACGTTGACGAAGCATGCCGTGATTCCCGCCTTTGAATGAAAGTAAGACTTGGACTTACTGATAGGAGCCTGGTAGGACTTACTTCCCAGAGAGCCTCGAACAGGGCGAACGCGGTCGTGTAGCTATGGGAAGGTCAGTTTGGTGCTCTTCTTCAAGCGAATTAACGCCACAAGGAACTTGCTACTAACGCTCCAGTGCTGCTCTGAGGCGACACCATGGCTGCTTTACCTTGGGAAGCTGTATGGTGCGTTTGAAAATTCCCCGAAAAGACGGTGATGGACGCAGCTGGTGATGGCTTGCAAGACCAAGCAACGAAATGTAAGAAAGGTGTTCGATGCCGTAGTCTCAGGCGGCAATTTGGCTTTTGAGCAGTATTCATCGTCGGGCTGCGGAAGGCACGAGCAAAGGAAGGTCGAAAAGCCATTCTGATAATTATAGATTGGGTGGGTGTATTTCGCCGTGCAAGAAAGCAGCACAAACGATGGACATACGCAGCAGGTGGAGGGGCCAACAGAACCAAGTAAGCCGGAGCTGCCGAGCGGGAAATGGGGGCAGCAGGGCCCTGGATTAGAGAACGCTGTATGCCCCCTTGCATGATCTGGCCCACAGAGGCCGGCGTGGCTCGACTGGCAAGCCTATAGGAATAGAACAGCCTGCAAGGGGTCAACAACCTCCAAGGAGCCCTGCCATACAGCTAACGCCATAAAGTCCCGGGGACTAAAGCTACCTAGATGCGATGCATCTAGGTAATGTACAACATATCTGCAAGGGAGTTCACATTGGTGATGCTAATCGCGAGACATATACCCACTGTCATCCGTAACATGGCTACAATCATGTACGTATTTCCCCTCTTTGTCCACAAGGCAAGTCTCAATTGTGACATTGTAGAAAACCTCGCGAGTCAACAGAGGCGATTGGCGTGTCGCAAATGTTCATGTGATTCCCTGCGCCAGATCGCTCTACTACTGAGGAGTACTTGATTGTGGCAACATGACCTAAGATACAAGCCAAAACGATGCAGAACGGAAACTATTGAAGATGCTAGGCACAGGTTGAAAACGTGTCAGATGCACTGTTTTGCACAATTCAGGTCTTATAGAGCGATCTAGGTTGCGAGGTTTCCCTTTTCTGGAACACTAGTTGTTCAATTTTAGCCGCGCTCCATCTTGAAGATTTGTATCGGGTTGAGACAGGCCGACAGCAATTTTGTAGAGGTCAGAATACTTTGATATCAAATTGCAAACCGGTTCATAGTCGCCATTAGGCTTTGAGCAGTAGTTCGCACACGTTTCCAAACAGTGTCCTCCGATGATTATATAGTATTGCTCGGGTGAATAGCAAATACCTTGCGCTACCGGCAAGATGTCTCTGTATGCAATAAGATACAAAGGTGGACTACAAACCCGACTGCAATGATAGATGCTTGAAAAAGAATCATATAGCGAGGTACATAAGCATTTCCATGTTCATCGAGTCAGATTTACGTATAAGTACTTATTTTAAGCTCTGCAAACATATTTGTAGTCAATTTTGGAGATTGACTAGCTGCAACTATTTCATTACACTTCCAATTAAGTGTTCCTAAGCATGGCTAGGCTCATGCTCATTACACTTGAAAGTAACGCTCTCAACATCCCACCCCGACGTCTCCTTCTCTCACTATTTTGATCTCCATCGTCCCTTAGATCACTGGTTATAAACAAGGCAATAAAACCCCGACTAGGAGAGCTGGAGGCCCTCGTATTGTTGAATTGCAGTCTGAACAGTCATTCCAAGAGATCCAGCCTGGTTTTGAAGATCGGTTGCACGACTCTCAACCTGATCAATGAGTGCAAAGGCGAGGGTCTACTAGAGATTAGCCGAGAACATTTTTTATCAAAGGGAGGAGGGACAAGTTCTTACGTCGACGATTGCCTCGATCTGACGTAGCACTGCAGCAACGGGAGCCCCGATGAAAGGTACAGTCTGGAAAAGACCGGCCTTACCAATGAGGATGTTCAAGAGTTGCTGGTGGATGCGTACGAACTGTTGCATTCGTTAGGCCTGTTTCTCCAACAGTAGAGAATACTCACCTCGCGGAAGGCATCGAAGACATCGTCAGACTCAGTGCCGGCGGGGATCGGTTCCATTCCCTGCATCGATGCCAGGGCGGCAGAACCAGTAGATACGATGTCGGTGAAGCCGGTGATAATCTGAGGGAAGGGCCCTTGGCCGGCAACGACGAGCGGCCCGTTGACGATTGTCAAGCTCTGTGCTGGCGCTTGCAGAGCCTGAGACTTCTCAGTCAGCATGTTGATGTTGTTCACCACATCAGCAGGAGTAATTGCCAATGCTGACGTGGCGAAAAGGGACAATGCCACGCTGATGATCTTTGAAGCGAACATGTTTCGTAGAAGTATTCGGTGTAAGGGGTACTGAGGTGTGGGAAATTGCTGATGAATGTTGGTGTGTGAGGATTGGATAATGCAGTGCTTTTTGGGAAGAAGATAACTACGTATTTATATTCTCTTGAAGCAACTATCTCGTCAATGGTATCTCTCAATTCTTTAAAGATTTGGAGTAGCTAAATGACAGACATAGCAAGCTGAACCCTGATCAACCCTCGAGGCTCCATGAGTAGACTGATCCACTTCGAGTGATCGGCCGCTATTGAAAGAGAGCTTCAGGTGAATATGGAAAAGCGTACTCGTCTTCGGCCAGCTGAATACTACTGAAATTTTGAGCGCTGTCTAATTACGTCACAGGTGAACATGCCGCTTGGGACCCGATAGACTTAAGTCCAGTGTTTGAATTGAATAGAGCTTGAAGCTCCTCTGTATGGCTGGAGGAAACTCCACGATGTCGATGTGTCACAAAAATGCACACAAACTATTGGCCAACTATCCGAAGGTGATCTTGAATAGACTGCTCTAGTCTATTCTTGGCTGACGCTAATTTCACCGTCACATTGAGCGGAGAAGGCACTTCTATCTCAATACAATACGCGATCTGCAAAGCTATATACTAACAAAGCCAATTAGCGGCTCGGGCCTACCCGCCAGACGGACTGCGTCTTGCCGATTGGCCCGTTCTTTGCTATGCCCCTGAAAGTCAGATATTATACCCCTGCAATATCTATGACTACCAGTACTAGTGTCTGGTGCGCCGACCTAGCAAAGTTCTCAGCACTTCAATGTGTAAGATAGACAGATCGACCTCGATAATAGCTACTTTCACAAGAAGGAGGGACAAGAAGTGTGTTGGAGCGGATGCCTCCCCGATTAAACTTACAGGGTCGCCGAGTTTGACTAGGCATGTGCCCAGATCTGCCTAACCACCAAAGATGGTGGGCAGTTGATGTGATGATGACAATGTGTTTCTTTCCCCACACGGAATCCGGGGCAGTGAATCTGAAGAATGTTTTCAAACAAATGGAATGAAACAGCGTAACAACATTGAGTCCAACGTCCATTGTGGCCAACATAGTGTTACCATGACAGTATGATGGGTAACGCGGCAAATCATGCCTCTGACCAAAGGATGTCTTCATGTGATTCCCTGGAGCTAGGAACATATTCGTGGTTAGTGACATATAGTGGTATCACTCTACATGCCGGCTACGGCACCCTGTCACCAACCCAATGAACGCGAAGATGGATGGACTATAGCGTGCGGATCCCAATGAGCTGTAACAGGCGATCATAGGCTCTGGCACCACCAACACTCGGAAAGACCCCAGCGGATGGCTAACTGTAACATTCCTTCTTTGTCCTCCCTGTTGAAATAAACATTTGGCAGATATCCCCGGACATGGTAAAAGTATTGTTTTTTGAGATCTATCGCAGCCTACAATGATCCCTCATCGTGGTCGCCGAAGTCTTCGAAGTGATTATGACACCCTTGACGATCAGTCAAGTGAGTTGCATCATTGTGGGAATAGGACCCTGACAAAATGATGACTTTACTTAGAGGCTAGCGTTCGGGATCTTGTGCCTCCGTGAGGTCGCCGATATGCGGCCTTACTAAGTTGCTAACTAGTGCTCAGAGGCTAAATATGTGGAGATCGAGAATACTGAATGAGATTGGCCACATCCTGGACGGCTGGCTCCTGTGAAGTCATCGTGGCTCCACAAAGCGACTCCAGGCTAGCTCTTGCGGAACATCAAAGACTGTGTATGAAGCACGACGCCAAAATGTTGACCGCATGCCACTGGCTCGTCGTTGCCAGAAACACGAGCTTCCCCAACAGCGAGGGTTGCTTTAACCTTAAGATGTGGATCTTCGACGATCGGTGGATAACACGGTGTTATGGCATGCAGGCGTGGCAGGGCCCATGATGTCCTTGTAGTATTTCCGGAACTTGCACAGCTCGACCTCCACTAGTACTTGACAGAATCATCAAGTAAGTGGCCAAAACACATCAGAGTACATTGTCTATTACTAGCCACCTTAGCCCCTCGTCGCTTATGGTACAGCCATATGGCGGACGTGCAACAACGGCATGATCATCCTGTCTGAATGACCATCACCGATCTCAGAGTCTTCTATTGTCCCTAGTCACTCACACCCCCTGAGTTGTTGAGTTCGTGTCCCATATTTGCAAGACTATCGAAATTTTACATTATTCATGATATTTTCTGTCAAGTGAGCGGTGTATCATGTCCCATATCGAGCTGTCCTGAAAGTCCTATGGTGTGCTTCAATATAACAGAGCACTCGGCTATGGCCTGTTGAACGACGACGGAAAGTCTTTGCGCTAATCCCCCCTTTCTTACGCTCGCGTGTCGATAGGGTTTGGGGCAACCGAGGAGTTAAGCCGCGTTGGTGTCTTGCCAGCAAGGTGGCAGGAGGCGGGATGCAACCCAAAGCCAAGTGTACAAAAATTTATTTCGTTGCAAACGCTCGGGACATTTCGCTGATCCATAGTGTCAGATCTAAAGGGTGGTAGTATTCACGAATTATTCAATGTTTCACCTGTCAAAATATCTTGACTGGCTCCAAGGTACTGATCCCAACGTCTTAGACCAATTGGTATAAACCTAGACCTGCCAACTGCAAATCTCGAGCTGGCTCTCACTATGAAAGGTCAAGTCATAGAAGTCTTCAATGTCATCAAACCCACAACCAGTTGATTCGGACACTTCACACGATGCTTGCAGATGACTGTCGACATATTGGCGAGTCAGAAGATACTGGTCCACTCGCCAAGTACCACTTTGATAGATTACACTGCTAAAGGTCTTCCACAGCAGCAAGTGAGACTTGAGAATGCGAAAGCCGCCCGGCAGGGCCTCAGGTCGGGGGTTGGTAAATAATTCGGGACTTCCGCCGTGCACAGGGTTAAAGCAATGGCATGGTAGTGGCGAAAAAAAAGTGATTCCGCCATCCAGCGCTCAGACGCAGAGTCCTGCCACTCCGGATCCTTCGCTAAATGCACACGGCGGCTCCAGGCTTGCTACCGGAATGCCTAGTATTACATAACTCTAGTCTTACATGCAGATGAATGGACACTGCCGTCTCGTTGTGAATTACAAAAGTTGAGTCGTAGCTTGTCGCTCAGATCTCATCGTGATATACCACGGACGAGCTATCGAATCTCAACCCCAAGCTTCTCCACCAGGGCCTGCGTAAGCCGGTCGTGAAGCTCGTTGGTCTCGGTGTTCGTCAGCGTGCGCTCAAGGCTGCGGTAGTTTATGCGGTAGCATAGACTCCTGCGGCCCGTCTTGGGGTGCGTGAAGTCGTCCACGACCTTGGCGTCCTCGACGACATCCCCGCAGACGCTGCGGACGATCTCCATGAGATCATTCTCGTGAAAGCCATGGGCGTTGGCTTTGGTGCTACCCCCCGCGGCCGACGTGGACTTGAGCCAGAACGATACGTCCTTGTAGCAGCCGGGGTACTTGGAGAAGGGCACGAAGCGCTTGAGCGAGTCGAGGTTGTCCGACACGCCGACGAACTGGTTGGAGAAGCGCGGGTCCTGTGACCAGAAGAGGCGGATGTCGGGGATCTGGAAGAGCAGCATGGCGATTCGCTCCAGCCCGATGCCGAAGGCCCAGCCGAGCTGGTTCGGCACGCCGGCATTGATGTACAGGTCCTGCTTGACCACACCGCAGCCCAGCACCTCGAGCCAATCCCCGCCGTAGTAGACCTCGAGCTCCCAGGACGGGCTCGTGAACGGGAAGTAGGCCTCGACCCATCTCACGCGCAGCGGCTCGTCGACAAAGTCGGGATCGGCCCTCTTGGCGGCGCGGGCGGCGCGGCTGAAGATCTCGACGACCATGAGCTCGAGGCTGCGCTTCAGATGGGCGCCGATGGCCTCGGCCTCGGCGGCCGAGTGGTGGTCGTCCTGCAGGGGGTTGCGCTCGGCGTGGAAGGGCGGGTTGGGGTCCTCGACCTTCATGGCGTGAGTCGGCAGTTTTTCTAGGTCCGACCAGACGGCGGCAGCGACGTCGCCGCCCGGGGCATTAGCGCGGTCCCAGCTGCGGGCGCCCTCCATCTGGTGGAAGACGGGGTAGTGGCTCCGGTCGACCTCATCGCGGCGGTAGACGTCGGCGCTGATCAGGTAGCCGGGCGACAGGTTGGCGCGGAAGAGGTCGGCCTGGTGGGCGGAGGTGTGGGTGCGCAGCAGGGTCGACTCGTTGACGTAGTAGGTGTCGGACTTTGCGCGGCCCGGGTGGTCGAGGGGGAAGCCCAGCGAGTCGAAGTTCTGGTGGGTGGTGACGACGGGGTCGAAGGTGTTGTGGTACTTGTAGGTGGGCGCGGGGAAGACGGACTCGATGATCTGGCGCGTCACGTAGACGGGGTGGTCCTTCTGGAGATGCAAGCGGCGCGGGACGTTTGCAATGATGTTGGGGGGCGTGTTGAACCAGGAGTCGGTCTTGTAGCTGGCGCCATTGATGTCGACGGAGGACTGGGTCGGTGGCTGTGCGGGTTTCGCGGGAGTCGTGGCTGGATGTGCTGTGCTATATATCAGAATCGGAGCTCTCTGGGTAGCAAGCAAGCAGTGCCGTGCCGTGGGACCACCTCGCTGGAAACTGACCTGACGACAGTGTCCTCCTCTGCGCGGTCCAAGCCCTGCAAGGAGCCGTCAAACAGGGCGAACTGGCCCAAGAGATGCTCCTTAAGCAGCTATACGCTGCATTGAGCCGGGTCGACCGCATGTTGAGCCTGGTCGCCGGGGGGTGAGGACGCTGATATGTGGTCGCGAAAAATCCAAGAAGCTCTCCACGGTCCCAGCACGGCCGACTCGGTTCGTTCCGGCGTGTCGGAGCCGCCTTTAGCATCGTATGGTACTATGATAGTCTTTACAGCCAATGAGAGCCCCTGGGCTTAGCACCACCAGGATCCTGGCCAGGGTCTTACCAGGGCCTCGCTCACTCTTCCCATTGCGGCAAGCCGGGGAGGGGGGGGGGGGGGGGGGGGGGTCTGCACAACAATCTGCATCTGCACAATGACGCCGGCAAAGGACGGGATTCCATCATGGTGGCTTTACCTCTGATTCTCCAGCAACCTTGGCTCGGAACTTATTACTGCGCACTGCGAGCCGTTCGTCGAGCAAGCTTTTCTGGCATTCTGCAAGCGCCCTGCGTCAACGGCATCCAGTCGTGCAGAAAAGTGGGATTCTCCCAAGGTTGAGTCGACGATCAGCCCGTGGGCGTCGGCCGTCACCCGTCTCTTGCTGCCGCGCCTCGGGAAACCGCTCAAAAATTTACGACCGGCGCGCCCCCGATAACGTCGTCACCTCGCTCCGCCTTCCGCGCGCGACAGCCTTATTATCTCCGTCCCGTCCTGCCTCGCTCTTCAGCCCCGCGCCATTGGCACCACTGCTTCTTCTCCGACTGCCCTCCTGGACCGAGCCTCGCCCTGCAGCCTTTCCTGTCTTGTCGCGAAACATCTCTTATTCTATGGCGCAGGCGTGCCGTGCAAGCCGTATACGCAAACCTTGATTAAAAGAGAAAAAAAAAAAACTCTGAGCCCACAACCGGAAAGCAGAGCAGAGAAAAGCCATGTTCCAATTGGGCTGCCAGTACTAGAAGTTCGAATTGCTAGCCGAGAGCCGCGCCACATATCGCGAACACTCCTCTCCTCCTCTCCAACCGTCTTCTCTCCTCCCGCCTCCGGCGAGGCATGCAACCGACCGTGTGCATGACAAGCAAGATGGTGGCCTCCCAAGAGACAGTGCCCGTCGCGGCCGCGGCGCCGACGACGACCATGACCACGGACGCCGCGCCGGCCGCCAAGCCAAAGAGACAGAAGAAGCCGCTGCCGAAACAGATTCACTACCCTTTCTGGTTCGGTGGCTCGGCCAGTAGTATGGCCGCCTGCGTGACGCATCCTCTTGACCTGGGTAAGCAGCTCCGCGGGCTCCTCTTCTCCCCCCCCCCCTCCCCTACCTCCCCTTTGGAGGAGACGAGAAAAAAAGACAGCGCGCTGACACCAGCCTGCAGTCAAGGTCCGGCTTCAGCTGCGCTCCGGCGACGCGCCCAAGTCCATGATCGGCACCTTCGGCTACGTGGTGCGCAACGAGGGCCTGCTGGGCCTGTACTCGGGGCTGTCGGCGTCGCTGCTGCGGCAGATGACGTACTCGACGGTGCGGTTCGGCGTGTACGAGGACCTGAAGCAGCGGTACGGGCCGCGCGACGGCAAGCCGTCGCTGCCGCTGCTGATCGGGCTGTCGACCTTCTCGGGCTTCCTGGGCGGCGTCTCGGGCAACGCCGCCGACGTGACCAACGTGCGCATGCAGCAGGACCGCGCCCTGCCCGAGGCCCAGCGCCGCCACTACCGCCACGGCCTCGACGGCATGTTCCGCATGCTGCGGCACGAGGGCGCCGCCTCGTGGTTCCGCGGCATCCTGCCCAACAGCGTGCGCGCCGCCCTCATGAACGCCAGCCAGCTGGCCTCGTACGACACCATCAAGACGGCCCTGATCCAGCACACCCCCATGGGCGACACCACCACCACCCACTTTGCCGCCTCGCTCATGGCCGGCTTCGTCGCCACCACCGTCTGCAGCCCCGTCGACGTCATCAAGAGCCGCGTCATGAGCGCCAGCGGCAAGGGCCAGAGCGTCGTCGCCCTGCTGCGCGACATCACGGCCCAGGAGGGCGTGCGCTGGATGTTCAAGGGCTGGGTACCCAGTTTCCTGAGGTTGGGACCGTAAGTTACTCCTGCTCTTCCCCCCCCCCTTTTTTCCCCCCTGTGTCCGAGCGGGCCCCAGGTTTTATTATGCTACGGGAGGAGTTGGGATGGGGTTTGCCCTCACCATGGGACGAACAAGGCGCTAACCAGTGTGTGCAGTCAAACAATCTGTACATTCCTATTCCTAGAAGCACACCGCTCGACCTATAGACGTCTCATGGGCATCCCGGATTCTTAGTGTGGGATAACCAACCCTCGCGGGGGCTTTTTGGAAAGCAGGCAACACGGCGATTGGACAGGACACATGATAGACACGCCTGGGTTTTATATATATGGGCAGTAGGAGGATATACCTCGGGGCGTTGGTGGGAAACCTTGGTCCTATTTGCATATGCATGCGTTTGCATCGTTGCCGGCGTTTCTTTTGGGCACGGATCGAATAGAGCTCACAGCACCAGCAGCACGTCATTTGGTTCAATGCATCTTCTTATTGATCAGAATGCATATGCAGCTATTAGTTTTTCCTGTTGCGCTACGTCCTCGAACTTCCCCAAAAATTTGGGAAATGGTGCATTAATTGTTTGCGACGATGCTGGCTGCCATCGAGCCTTTCCAGGCTGCCCGTCTTTCGCAATACACACCTCGAGGTCAGACCTCTACGTTCAGTAGAAGCAGGCAGGATTGGTCTTTCACCAATACACTGGCTGCTGATTTCCTGATCGCATAACAGCCCTGCCGAGTCCCTACCGAGATCCGGTAACCAGACTTCAGCCTCCACCGCTGGCACCAGCCTCCGTACTGTTCGCTGCTCTGATATACATGGCGGGTGGGGGAAAGTTCAGGGGGCTTCCCGCGTTTTTCACAATCAACCACCAGAAACAGTCGTCGAAGCCACTCGACGTCAACTCCAGAACGCCTCCCACTGTGTGCGAGAATGTTACATCTCAAATCACCACGCTTTTGACCGCCCGGTATGGAATCCAAATTCTCGTGTCAACAAAAGGACATTTAGCTCCAGCCGCCCTGGCCAGAGTTTCCATAAGGAGTTGTGCCGTAGGCAGTAGCACCTCCACCCCATGCGCTTTGCGCACCGCCGTTACCGTACGCCGTCTGATAGCCGTCGTTTTGATACATGGCGCCGTCGTCCATGGCACCGGGGCTCTGGGGGCCGTCGTACTGATCATCGATGTTGGACTTCTCGCCTAGTCCTGTTATGAGCTTGGCGAGCTTCTGCTGTAATTCGGAGATGCCAAGCTGGATGATGGCGTCGGGGTCGATGTTGCCAGCGCTCTCCACCTCGAAGTAGAATCGGTTGGGGACAGCGTCGTAGTCAAACGGCTCTCCCTCCTGAGGAGGGTCCTCCCAGTCTGCATACTTGCTCTTGGGCCTAGATGAAGGGTTAGACAACGGATTCCAGCTTCGGTCGTAACCCAGGGACACGGTGGGGTGTAAACATACCATTCGGCCTCGGCATCGGTCTCGTACCAGAGATCCAGGTGATGCAGCTTGTTGTGAGGGTCGTACTCGAAACCGACGGCGGACGTAGGCATCCACTTGGCGTGCTCCTTGGCGATTCCCTTCTTGGCCATGCATTCAATGTGAAGCTCCTGGCCTTTGCGCAGCTTGCAGATCAAGGGGCCGAGACCCTCGGGGTCGGTGATGATGGGGTTTCCGACGGTCTGGTTGGGTCTGGCCGAGCTCACGCTGAAGTCGCTGGCGTGCACATTCATGATCTCGTCGCCCAAGCACTTAGCGTGGAGAGTCAGGATGACGGTACACTTGTCGCAGTGGCCACCGCAGTCGCAGTCGCGGGCCATGGGCATGTCTTTGATGTTGCGGGAGTCGAGGGGGATCAGGCCCAGGCGGTGGGCGATGAACTCATCGGCCAGGACCGACGTGTTGGCCATGAACTCGACCAGGTCGATTGCGACGGTGGGGACTTCGGCCTGGATGATGCGACGCAACGAGTTGGCGAAGGACAGGTCGACATTGGACAGCTCGAAGTTGACGTGTGTGGAATCGGCCTAGACGGTGGGTAAAGGTGAGCTTCCTTGTCCTTCTTCTCCATCACCACGACCACGACGAGAAATCGGAGAGGCACGGCCGCAACCACCATCACATACTTCAGAGATCTTGACCGCAGGTCCCAAGGCCTCGGTGTCCATGTCCATCGCGTCGTAGTCCATCTTGACGAGCCTCAACGGGCGGGGCACGCACACGCGCAAGGAGCACGTCGGCGAGATGGGGAAACGTCGGCAACAGGGAAGGCGCACGAGAAAGGCTGGCGTCGACGGGCTCGCGGTGAGCCAGGAGAGGGAGTCGGTCTGGTCGGCAGGCGGGAATGTGAAGTGAATGATTTCGAGGCTGAAAGAAACGGCCGCTGACAGCCACACCCCAAGGTCGCTAAAGGTCGCGCGGCTAAAGGTGGGCCACCGCGCCACACAGAGCTGCAGGTTCTGGTGCAGGTGCTGTGGCGTTACGTTGCAAGGCTGCGGCTGTCCAGCGCCAGTTTGCGAATGAGTCTGTGGCTTAGGTACCGGTAGTCGTAGCCCAGCTGGGCTCAACCAACTTGACCTGCCAGCCTGCCTGCTGGAGGACCCCTGCCAGCCCCCCCCTCCCCCCGGGCCCCGGGATCTGGTGCACAGAGGCCCGATATAAGTCCGCGACAGCTGGGGCGGTGGGTCCCGATAGGTCCCGAGCTCCCAAAAATTTGAATTCAATGCATGGGTCAAGTAGCGCCGGTGCTCATACAGCCCGTTGCGACTTATTGTTATATTGCCGCCAGCACAATACTGTACCTCATCTCTCACCTCCCTCATCTGCTATCCACCTTGCGCACGCGACCTCCTGCATCCTGCCACTCACGCACATCTACCCATCCTCCTCCTCCTCCTCTAGCACAATCATAATGTTCAGACAAGCACTGTCCACCTCCTCCAGAGCTCTCCGCCCGAGCACCAGAGCAGTCGCAGCTCGATCCTCGATAGCGTCGCACTTCTCGCCAGCTCCCGTCCGCCTGGCTCCGTCACAGCTGTCCAGGTCGAGATGGTACAGTGATCAGGCAGAGCCGGCCGCCAAGAAGGAGGGCGAGGAGGGCAAAGCTGCAGACGCCGAGGCTCCTGCCAGCCCCGAAGCTGAGCTCAAGAAGAAGCTCGAGGCCAAGGAGAAGGAGGCCATCGACTGGAAGGTACGTCTACAGTCCGATCCTGCTTCCACCCACGTCTGCTCGCATCGCCCCGGCTAACTCACTCGCCCGCAGGACAAGTACCTGCGCTCCGTCGCCGACTTCCGAAACCTCCAGGACCGCGCCCAGAGAGACCAGAAGTCCGCCCGCGACTTTGCCATCCAGAAGTTCGCCAAGGACCTGGTCGACAGCGTCGACAACCTCGACCGCGCCCTCACCATGGGCCAGGAGAAGCTCAAGGCCCTCGAGGGCACCGAGCAGAAGAACGAGGACCTGACCAGCTTCTACGAGGGCGTCAAGATGACCGAGGGCCTCATGCTGCAGACCATGCAGAAGCACGGCCTCGAGAGGTTCGACCCCGAGGGCGAGAAGTTCAACGCCAACGAGCACGAGGCCACCTTCATGACCCCCATGCCCGGCAAGGAGGACAACACCGTCTTCCACGTCCAGCAGAAGGGCTTCAAGCTCAACGGCCGCATCCTGAGGGCCGCCAAGGTCGGCGTCGTCAAGAGCGCGTAGATTTACGACGGGATTCAGATGAGATGAGATGTTCGAACATGTTGTTGCTGCTTAAGCTATATAGCCTTGTACCATTATTACGAAAAAAGCGCTTTGGGCAGGCGTTGGGTATACTTGTACAAAAAACCAGAATGCTCCTCTCACACGGTGGGTCTGGGAGGGCTACTCATTGCATGGCTGCTTGGGACTTGGCCGGAAAGCAGCTCTGATCTAGACTTGGGAGTTTACGATCATATGTAGAAAATGGCCCGGGGCACGGAGATGCCACCCTGGAAACTACCTAATCATGACAAAATAAAGTCAACTTGCATACCCGTCAGGGGGCGTCCCCTGATAATCAAGCTTGTCCAGAGATGCGAGAGAATGATACGAAGACCAGAGGCTCCTCCCACTACCACATGTGGCATGATGGATACAGACGGCTGGATAGCATTGGTTACGTCAAGCCGTGACACAAGTATACAAAGTCATTACATATGGTTGTTGCCGAACCCAACTCAATCTCCTGGGAGACTGACAGCATCGTGTAGTCAGCCTGATCTTGCAATTTGTTAAGACTTCTGAGGATACAGTCGCATCGAAGCTACGACTTGTCAGAGCAAACAAATTGCCAAGGAGGTCATACTGGTGACTCACATATGCGACACTACTCCGACAATAAGACAGGATCATGATCTGAGAAAGCATTTTTTTCCAGGACTACGCTCGAGCTCATTCAAGTGAGCAACTGGTTCATACGACAGGTTCTTCTTCCATGCAAGACGATCGCCGTGGGGATACAATGAGCTGACTTTCGTCATCGCCCTGGAAACTCTATACGGCATTCCCAGAGGCAACAAGCCATCGAAGTCAACAGTTGCTGGTTATTGATCCTACTCCCAGCGTGACTCCCACCATCCCGAAGTCGCCTTCATGCTCTGAAGCTGGTGTCTCGTTATCATCACGAGTCTTCGCCGTTCCACTCCTTTCACCCTGTCTATCACTCCTACACGCCCCCGTTTCCTCACCACCTCATCCTCCTACCCTCGCCATCCGACATGGCGGCCGCCATCCCTCCGGTCACGAAGGACAAGTTCGCCTACGCCAACGGCGACCTCCTCGCCGAGGCCTCGGGCTCCAACCGGCACCAGCGCATGGCCGTCGCCGAGCTCAAGAAGCACTTCCAGACGCCGGGCAGCGGCGAGGCGCGGCCGGCCCACTGGTACGAGGCCCAGCTGCTGCACTACGGCCTGGCGCCGTCCAAGAACAAGTCCGTGGCCCGCATGCGCCTCTTCGACGCCGTCAGCGCCGGCGGGCTGCGCGTCCCCGCCCGCATCACCAGGCTCGAGGCCCAGCTGCGCAGGGAGTGGAATCTGCGGGAGCGGGAGGCCACGGCGCCCAAGGCGACGGCTACTCGGGGCGGCGGCGGTGGCAGTAGCGACAGCAAGGCCCGCGCCACGCCTGCGCCGAAGACGACCAGGAGGAGCACGAGCTCTGCGCGGCGTGCCCCCCGATCCACGGCGGCGCGAGCCAGGGCCAAGACCCCGGCAGGTACACCCACCAGACGTTCCCGTTCCGCGCCTCGCCAGGCTAGCCGGAGTGGTCCCTCTCGGGCGTCTTCGTCTGGTAGCCCTGCTCCTTCGGCTCGTGCTGTACCGTCTGGGCAGGTTGGGGGCCGTGGTGGCACTCCTGCAGCTCGAAACCCCGTCGCTGGCGCTCCGCCTGTATATGTGGTCATCGACGATGACGACGAGGCGCCGCCGCCCTACTCCGTGTAGTGGCCGACACGAGCGCTTATCAAGTAATTGCTCTGGCAGCAGTGGGCGAGGTGTCTTGTTGATCTCACTGCGGTCTTGCGTTGCGCTATTGCAGTTGGATTACACACCAACAAACAAACTGCTGACGATGTTGCGCCATACACGCCAATATCTATAGCGAACTATGTCTTGCGCGTTGGGTTAGCGGCTGTTCCCGTGGAGGGTGTATGAATCCAGGGGCTACATTCCTTTGCGAGGTTGCACTCTAGGCACAGAATTAGGAGTAAATCCTGGATGACTTTGCAAGCACTTCGGGCTTAGATGCGCAATGATAGTATGCTTTGATGAGAGACGCAGATGAATTGATGGATGACTATGTACTTCCTAACCATGACGAATAATATGCTTATTTCCAAGCTAACGATACGAAACTGCATCCAACCAAGGTTTTTTGTCAATCCCAGACAACAACAAAAGTCCTCCTGGATGCGACAATGCATTACTCTCTCTCTCTAAAAGCTCGATTCCGAATGCCGCCACCCAGGTTTCATTGGCAGATGGTCGGACCGTCCGGGTCGTCTCTGCCGTGGACGCGTACGTACCACGTGTAGTCGGAATACGTCTGGCTGCCGTAAACGCTGCGGCCGTTGGGCTGGGCGCACTTGTCGAGGATGATCTGCGCCAGATCCGCGATGTCGGAGAAGGACTCTAGCTTCTTGTTTTCCTTTCGCTAAGGCAAATATATTAGCGAACCGGGTCGTGGATTTCAGATGGGAGAAACGCAGGAGGGGGATGAGAGTCCCCAGGTTTTGACTTACGTCGTTGCACCACGTTATGGCAGAGGAGAAGGAGCACGATACCTGGCCACACTCATGGGGTCCAGGGCCCAGAGCTGGGGCACCCAGTATCGTTCTCAAGTACCTGATACCTTCTCTGATAACACCTGGTTTTGCGCCAAGGTTGCCCCAGTCGCAGAGGGGACGAGGTAGCTTCCCGGAAAGCTGAGCATCGACCGGCTCAGCTGAGGGTGTAGTCGCCGTCTCTCCCATTGCCGCGAAATCTGCCATGTACTGCGGGTTTGTCTCGAGCAGCTCGTCGAACACGCGCTCGACTGTACCGTTGATAATGACGGTGCGGTTGTCGAGGAAAGGCCGGACCTCCCAGGAGAGCTCGACCATTTTGTACCCATGCGGGACACCACTGTCGATAGCGAGACCGTTGGCCTGTTTTAGAAAATATGTCAGTTCAAGAAAATGGATATTGTAAACGTGGAAGAACGAATGACACATACAGCAGAGAGGGAAATAGCACCGAGTGCCACAACAGAGCGAAAAGAGACCATCTTGAGCTGTGGTGTATACGTTGGGAAATGAGATGAAAGAGCGTGACCGATTGAAATGTGTTTGAAAGGGAAGAAGTAAAAAGACGGAATTCTTATATAGACACATGTTTTTAAATACGTAGGCCTTGGTCCTTTCGGAGAGCGAGTATTTTGAGTTTGGTGCTGGAGAGCGTGTATAGATATAGAGTTAGTACGGGAACTGGGCCAAGGGTGGATATCCGCAAAACTTTGGTGTACTGCTCGTGAGATAGAAGTGGGCATATGAACCACTCTGACAACAAAATTTAACACGCACGAAGCTTGCATGAAGAGCCAACGCCATGCTGATGTAGAGAATAGAGTGCAGCTTTCCTTAGCACAACTAGCCATGATCCATGTAGACTTGCTCCGCCTCGGCGCAATCTCCTACATCAAACACAATTCTTGATACAAGGGCTCTCCTGTGTATGCGCTGCTTGTACCAGTCTCCAAAAATTTGAGCATCTTCTTTGCTCTTGGGTGCCTCCGAGGTCCTCAATAGTAAAGCCATGTAAACCGTATCAAATCAAATCTTAACCCAGGCCTCAAACCACAACCTCACTGGAACCACGTTCCACCTTCAATACTACAAGACATTATTCTTCGGTCGACATCATTTCGTGTAGCTTCGGCCTCTTCCTGTCAGGCAGGACAGGACTCGCGCCATGCTTGGCGTTTGCATCATCCTCTTGCGAGCTGGAAGGGACAATCTCGTCGTTCTGAACATCCTCGCGGTCTACGCTCATGACAGTATCGTCACTGGTAGGCATAGTTGTCTGCGAAGAGGCTCTTCCATGACGGAAATCCATGGTAGTGCGACGCGATGACATGCTTCCAGTGGAGGGTGTAGGAGCCGGGGATGCCTTGGCCACGTACCCAGTGGTGCGCCGCAGCCCCAGTGAGCCTCCGGACCCGACCGACGGCGTAGCGGAGACAGCACGCGGCAAAGGCGACTTCAGCTTTGTTTCCAGCTGGACGATCTGGGATCTCTGAACGGCGATGTCGTTTCGCTGCTCGCGCACCTCCTTTTCAAGCAAGTCTATCCGCTTCTTGGTAGCGTCGTACTTGGTGCGACACGGCTGCGCTGCATCGTAGGCGGCATCGTTCAGTTTCTCCATGATGTCCTTGGAACTCATGATCAACTCGACGATCTTTGCCTCGGTGAGCTTGAGAGCCGCCTCCTGGACGGAATGCTCCAGGATCGGCTGGAAAGCCTCGCTTGCGATTATGACACTGGCGGCGGTCTCGGTGTCGAATCGAATGTTATCCTCCACAAGTTCCTCGCCATCGTCCATGTCGAAGTCTGCATTGGCTCCGAGGTCCAGCAGATAATTGTCATCCGGGAGGACTTCAAGTTCGCTCCTCTCACTCGAACGCCGTGCCTCCTCTTCGTCGGATACGACTATATTGTTCGGGTCGAATTGATGCTCATCGAAGACCTCGGGATCCTGCACTTGTTTGCTCCGAGTTTGCCTTCTGGGGCGGCTTGAAGATGATGGCGGATGCGCTGGTGCCTTGCGTCCACGCCGAGCTGCGGACATTATTGCCTTTCCAGGGGCTGGGGATCCAGAACGACTGTCAGGATTCTCAGACGCTGGATAGTCTAGCTCCAGTCGCTTCTGCCAGTACGGGTCAACATCCCTTCTGGTGGCAGGGTCATCAATCAGGAACTCGAGCCTCGTTTCCACGAGTCGTTTCCAAAGGCTGTCGGGAATGTTCCCGTGGCCGCCGCTGCGACTACCCAGGATTCTAAGGGCATCCAATATCTCGTAAGACGGGAGTTCGCCTTCGAAGGGGATTTCCGGGGACCATTTAACGGCTTCGCCGATACCCTTGACCGAGCTGAGCTGCTTGTAAACCGAACCTAGAAGAGTGTGCGTGGTGGTGTCAAGGGTGCACTTTTTCAGGTGTTCCCGAACCTCGTCCGCGTCGCACCATGGTCTGGGCTCGTGGATAATCGTGATCGCTTCGGCAAACTCCAACTCCTCTCGTTCCATGAGGTCTATGACTCGGTCTGCTCCGGGAAACTCTCGGAGCTTCTTGCTGGCCTTGGATCCCTTCTTGATCTTCCCGTTCGACTCGTCGTAGTCCGCATCACTTGCGGCAGAATGACTGTGTCGGGAAGCCATGGCTGATCGGTGCTCAGGGGCAGTGGTCAAGGGCAACGGATGTTCGCAAGAACCGTGAGTAGCGACGAAGAGGTTGGTTGTGTCTGAATAGAGAATTCTCGGATTCTGTGGAGATGGAAATGAGAACCCAACTGAGTGGTATGTCTGTCGCTGAGGGAAACGTAATCAACGACGAATTGGGTGTTCTTATATAACTCTCAGATCACCAGAGCCTCAGGTGTATTTCTACCAAGCTTCAGTGAGAAAACAAGGCCTCAAAGGCATCTTTGGCCTCGCACGAATGAGACTGTCTCATTGGACTACCTATGACCAACTTCCATTCAAAGAGCCCTCGTGAAGTCATTTTCGTCGCAAGTCTCTGCCTCTTCTAGCAGCACTGGGTATCACAGTTACGGATGATACGTGAATGAATACCAACCTGCCATGTTACCAAGGCGAGAACCAGGGTCAAGTAACAAGTTCTTATGTCAAAAGATAGGGACCAATTCCACTCTGTTCTTCACAGTGGCAGAAGTGGCGAGATGTAGAAGCACATTTATGGGCTCACCACAAAGAAACTCACTGGTTTTCAGCATTTCATAGCTCAAGGAGCCGGTTAGACACAGCCTAGGCCTCGAAGTGTCTATGATACAATATCAGACTCTCAGGGTCGTCCATTACAGCTGGCGACAACACCAGAGCGTAGGACCAGCAGGGCAGCAGATGAAGGTGCAGCGAGGAAACAAAGTTCTCGCTGATATAGTCTTGAGTCCGGAAAGCCCATACCAAGGTAGAGCGTCTGGCACCGCCCAAAGCGTTGGCTCGCCGACCGAGTTAATCATTTAGCCTCAAACTTGGTGCTTGCCAACCTGGCGGTTTACTTGCATCGAAGAGGCTGGTGCTAGGGATAATCTTATATTCAACCGTCCTCCTGTCAGACGTGCAATGAGAGTGCCACTTCGCCTTCCGGGTTATGGCCTAACCCAGTTTCACCGCCGAACATATGCTATTGAAGTCCCTCTTTCTTGATGTCCATCCACCCTACCTTTACAGCCCCAGTCACCGAGCTTACAGTAGCAGGCAAACTCACTTCTCGAGGGTTGTTATGCGTCACCAGACTTGATACTAAATCACAGGCAGGATAAATCTTCTTTGTATTGTTTTGGTCTTGGCTTCCGACGAATGAACAGCAGTCCACATGTCCATTTGCTACAAATCTTTTCCCCGGGCAAAAAAACGACATCTTCTCTTCCTTGTACAAGTAGCAAAAACTTTACCGGAAACTCCTTTGAACCCTGCAGTAAACGCCGGTGGTATGACTTGCTCGATGCATGCTTCTGCTCTTGCCCTTCGTCCCGGGTTGGCCCTCAGCGAAGAGCCGCTCGCCTCACGCTTTGGGGTTGAATGAATGATAGAAGGATAATGTTGGAGACGCAACGGTGGTTGCCCTCGTTTTTCATGAAGTATTCCAGCCCGCTGCACGAATGATGCTGCGATAACATTTGGTGGAGTCAGAGGCCAATTTCTAATAATACCGTAATAATGATGGCAGGGCATGGCAGTGAAATCCCGAAGAAGCACTCGCGATACAAGAATCTGGGGTGGTCGATTGTCATCAAATATCGTCATTAGGCAAGTCCATCTCGTCATCTGGATGAACTGCCTGTCTTCATGGCTATCATGCTGTTGACCCTTGACTGTCATAATGGTGGTCATCACCATCATGATGTAACGTCACGCTGTTGAACTCCTCAAATGGATCAACGACCTCGTTTCCTGGAGTTGCCAGGCCGCTGTCAAGAGGGACGCCCTTGAGATTCCTCGTCTTGGTATTACTGATGTCGACACTTTCGCTTTCCTTGACGTTTCTAAAGTTGATCGTATCGTTGTCTTTACTACTGTTGGGGACAATCGGGGGTTTCATATGTCTGATCAAGGCCCACTGTGTCGTCCGGAAGAAAGGGTGCCCCTTGATGTCTGACGCACCGGCACGAGCTCCTAATCTCCGAGTCTCGTCCTTGATCAGCAATTTGCGAATCAAAGATTTACATAAACTGTACCCGTTAGTATGTTACTGATGGTCGTGCTGTCGAGAAACTCACTTTGATATCTGTGGAGCACCAGAGTGTTCCGGGAAAGGAATTTCTTCCCGAAGAATATTTGCGAAGGTCGCATTGCGATTCTTGCCCTTGAAAGGGGTGGTTCCGTAAAGCATTTCGTAGATCAGAATGCCCAAGGTCCACCAGTCAACGGCACTGGTATGCCCACTACCCTTGATGACTTCAGGGGCAATATACTCTTCAGTCCCCACGAAAGAATTTGTCCTGAAGTTGGCAATACATGACTTGGTGTCTATCGCAGGCAATGAGGAGGTGCTGGCGCCGTTCTTCCCCATGATCATCGTGGGCTTGCCGCCCGGGTCCGACTGCTTCGAGAGGTCAAAGTCCGACAACATGATGTGCCCAGACTGATGAAGCAAGATGTTCTCCGGCTTCAGGTCGCGATATATGAAACCCATGAGATGCAGATACTCGAGGGCAGCTGTGACTTCGGCGGCATAGAAGCGAGCGTCGTCCTCCGGGATGCACTTGCCAGGGCGCGTCTGCAGAGCTCTGAAGAACTCTCCACCACTGCAATATTCCATACACAGGTAAAGATGATCTTCAGACTGGAATGAATGATACAGCGTAACAATGAAGGGGTGGTTGCTCGTTGCAAGGATCTCCTGTTCAGCGAGGGCTCTCTTGATCTTGTTGCGCTTGATCATTTCCTTTTTGCTCAGAACTGCATATGGTCAGGATACACATCTGCTACGTGTTGTCGATCTGGAAATGATTAGAACTCACCTTTCATAGCATAGAGCCGCGTGCTCTTCTTCTCCCGCACAAGATAGACCTTGCCGACATCTCCCTTTCCAATGAGTTTGATCTTGTCGAAGCTAGAGGGACCGACCTCGACGGTGCGGACCTTGATGGAATTCGAGCTGTACGTCCTGCGGAAGGCCAACGGACTTGGGCCAGGTGAAGGCAGGGCACCGAGCCCGTCCCTATCGGGCACGGAGAGGCTCCCGGATTCGATGATGCCGGCCTTGTCAACCAGGCCGACGCCGGCAGAATCTGGGCCGTGGACGAGCGGCTCCTTGCCCAGCTCGGCGGTCGCGGGCCTCTCACCGCTACCTTTTCCCTTGGAGAAGAGGCCGTGGGCATTCGGAGCACTTGCTACTCTGCGGAGTTTCCTGGCCAACTCCTCCTTGGTAGCGTTGGTGGCCTGGGGTTTCGATCCGTCCGGGCCGGAGATCTTGAGGGTGGGGGTGTCGGGGGGGCTGGGCGGTATGGAGCCGTCGTTATGATGTTGGATGGCGGGCTGGCCCTGGAGAGCGTAGTAGGGGTTGGCGTGGGCGGTCGGGCTCATGGCCTCGTCGAGGGTGTTGCCCTCGCTGGCGGTGGTGGTCGACCGAAGCCGGCCGACGGTGGAGAAGAACTTGGTGTTCCGGAAGCCATTGCTCTTGCTGTCGTTGTTCTTGAGAGCGCCGGTGTCGAGAGCGCGGTCGGAGGCGTGGGACGCCTTGGAGTCGTTGTTGATCTTGAAGAAGTTCTTCAGCTTCTGGTTGAAGTTGCCTCGCGGCGACTGGAGGGACGGCATGGTGGTGTCGTGGTCGGTGTCGTTGCCATGCAGGTCATGCGCATGCCATGTTGCCAGGCGGTGCCTGATGTGGAAGTGATGGGTGAAGCGACGGCGACCTTGGCCCTGCGAAGTTGCCAGTGCCAGCGGATGATTGACCGGAGGCTCTTGTGGAGGAGGTTGAGTCGGCGACGGGGGGCTGCTACTACGAGTACCGCTGCCAGCACTGGAGTGGGCGGCCGGCGGCGATGAGGGCCCCATGGTCGATCACTGGCTCGTGAGTGGCCTGGCCCTGGTTCGGCGCGCAGTCCACTTGGCCTCCTTTGTCGTGCTCGACCCTGCTTGGTAATAATCGCTGCCTCAGGCCGGCAGTTTCTCGCTGCGAGCCGGGTCCCGATGAACCGTTTACGGGCGACCTAGCCAGCCGGGCTATGGCAGAATGCGGGTGCAGATTCCGAGGCTTTCCCCTTTCCTCTCACTCCCTTGTCGGGCGTGTGTGCTGCTGCGAGACAGCTCGACTGACTACGAGAGGATGGCGGCGGCTTGGTTGACCAAGCGTCGAGACGAGACGGGGGAGGACGGCAGTACACAGCGGGTACTCCGGAAGTTGCCAGACGGCCGAGGGGGGGGGAACAATGGGAGGGGCTAAGCGAGAGCCTAGATCTTTCACCCGACCTGACAGACAAGCGATGGAGAGAACAAGTTACAGCGGGCTGGCTGGCTGGCTGGTTAGAAAGGCAGTAACTAATCCGTAGGCTATGGGGGACCGACAGAAGACGGGCAAGCCAAGGTCAGGTTGGCAGGGCAGGGCAGGGCGGGACGGACGCGCCAGATCTCGCGGTTATTTCTCGAGATTGGACGGATAGACGGCCTGCAGCTCCCAGATGCCCGGTTGCAAAAAAAAAAGTGAAGATTGAAAAAGAAGGTTGTCAGATTGGGGGACGCCGGGCCATGGCATCCAGGTTCAGAGCTGCATGCAGGAGGACTGCGGGTGGCCCTGAGGTCTGCTTGATAATTGCTTCCTGGCCAGGGCTGTCTCTCTGGCTCTGGCTCTGGTTCTGGCTTGCTCCCTAATTCCGGATGCCCTGGAAGACACAACAGACTGACAGACGAGAAACTTGGCCTCTCGGATCCGCGTGGGTCAGCACTTGCATCACCAATTGCTCCACCGATTTCCCACGTCGGTCGTTCGTTGATGGTCTTTTTCGGGACCCGATGCTGTCATTTCGGTGGAGAGCTACGTGAAGCGAAGAGGGGGGGCCAAAAGTTATGCTTCACTGCCCCATTCTCGTGTCGTTGCCAATCCGTCTTTCGCAACTCCTGGCTCCGAACAAGGCGCAGTGCGCTGTCGTTCATGCTTCCCATGGAAGTGACCATAGGGGCCGACTAGCCAGTCCCCACGCAGCCACGGGTGTGTTCCCAGCGCCTGGGCTCGTCTGTTGCCGTGAGGCTTTCCACTAACGTGCTGCCTACTCGCTGATCTTTGCCTGGACCTGTGTCATTGTGTGCTGGGCGCTACTTGCGCAGTACTTGTGACTACTTCGCCTTACAATCGTGCACAGTGGGGTCCCAGCTTGCATGATTAATGGCGGTCCCCAAACCAGCTTCCAATGCTACGCTTCAACAGTCATGAACAGGAGATGTCTGCCGTACTCAATAATGCTGCATCTGACAGCTCGTCTATTTGGCCTATATATGCAGTCCAGGCTTAGTAGATTCTGGGGGCAAGTTCAGAGTCATTGCGTCGGTCGTCTCCCATGCCGCGCGTCCATCCAATGATTGCCTGGTCTGCGTTGCATACAGCTAATTCATAGTTTATGTATACATACCGCATGGATAACTATAACTTGAACACGCGTGCGCTGCGACCGGGATGGATCGCTTTCACTCGCCCTGGTCCAACGCTTTGCGATCAGGACATCGGCCAATGTTATATCCCCTGCTGCCGACTCGTTCGTGAAACGTGCACCGCTCAGTGTCCATGATAACTTTGTCAACCACGGCAGTTTGCGCTTCTGAAATGGTTGTCGAGTTCCAAAATCAAACTGCCGTCCATCTGCCCAATGACTACCGAGGGTAGGAAACACTACCATCAGATTATTCGATTTCACCGGCGCCCTGACTCGTGGAGTCGCGCTCCCACTCTATAAATGTGTATACGTTTGAAGCAGATTTCAAGAAGGGCGGGGCGGCATGTGATTGCCAGTATCGGAATCCAGTGATAACTATGCCCGACCATATATAGCTTCATGGCGAAACACACAAACACACACTCGTAATCATCATGTGTTACAAAGGTTGATTTCAACTAGACCAAGCTTCAGCAATTGGGCAGCCATAGATACCAAATACCTGAATGCTATAGGACTAATCCATCGAATGGTCTGCAAAGCAAGATTTCTTCGAGAACAACTGGCTTGTCTCTTATCAGGCCGATCACTACCGTCTTGACCACAGCAGAGGCCAGTATGTAACTATGTAAACTTTGGCCGAATCCTGCAGAACGTCGGCTCGGCGATGCAGCAGTCATGGGTGCGATGGTCGGCAGCTCGCCACTGCAACCGCCTGTGCCTCTCACGCACTGGGACAAAAAGTCCTACAGCCCCCCAGGTGGTGGCTTAGGCTTCCATAAGCCGCCGGTCTTACTAAGTTCATCGCCAGAATACTTCGTTCCATTCTGTTTTTCTCGACTCTTTCTCTTCATTCGATCTCTTCCCGCTCTCTCTCTCTCATCCCACAGAAAACCGAGATATTCAAGCTGATACAATGGATCACAAGGGGCGTCTCGTGCGCGATGATTCGCCCCGGAGGAGGCCCTCCGGTATGCTTGCCCGGCTCTTTAGACCCCCTCTTGAATCGTGAAGTCGCTATCGTATTAATGCACGTGCAGGTGGTTCCTCATACTCATCGGCATCTGACCTACGGAAGTATTATACAGACGTCTTGATGGTATCGTGCCTTTTTAGCGCCTTCTTCAACGGACTCACGTTGTATCACGATTTCCAATCTTGGGCGCTCATGAGCAATCTTGATTGGGGTAGACTATACGTCATTGGCTTCATGGCCGTGGAACTTCTCGTATACGCCTTCAGTTCAGATGCGTGGAGCCCACCCGGCATTGGCAGGGCTTTCTTGTATCTTATTGGCCTTATCGGTTTCAACGGAATGATGGTATACCGCGATATTGAGTCTTGGGACCGTTTGAGCGCGTTCGATAAGGTCGACACCAGCTTCAATGCCGTCGCAGCTTGTCTTATCTTGTGGTACTTTCCCGGTACGGTGCAGACTCATTCTCGCTCGCACTCATAGACGATCAGGAAATGCTACTTGCAACTGCTGTTTTCAAGTTTCCGGTCGATTTCTTGCTGTATTCCTGGCCGCCCCGTACGATGCGGATATGGGTGGGCGGTGAGATAACCATGTTCAACAAATCTTTAGAGACGATCAAGTCATTTGCTGACACGAACATGTTTTTATTTTATTTTATGAAATATCTGACGTAGGGATGATAGAGATCTATGAGATTGTACGTGTCTCCGTTACTTTTTCGGGTGAAGATGAGGGCATGTGGAAACCCGTTTTATTATGCATGGGTCTATTCAGCAGCAATCCAGGGCTAAACAGAATGCTACAAGTCGCCTGACGTAACCTGCAAAACCATGTCTATGAACTTGTTCTCTGTCGATCATGCAACGACTTCGAGAAGGGTATTCTCCTTGCAACACAATGCGAGCACATTCGACTCAACTACCTTCGACTCATCCACCTTGGTCGGGTTTCCATCTTAACTCCCAGCGGCACGATCCACAGAATCAACTACTTCCGAAGGAAGCGGCACATTAAGAACATGTCTAGCCGTGAAGAATTTGGTCGTGAAGAACGGCATAAGCTTGCTTTCCGCTGTGACGGTGCTGTAGATAAAGCGTGATGCCTGCGCTACTCAATATGCATTGATGTTTAGACTGAAGAATTTCAGTCAATCGTCAAAACCTTGTTCAGTCTTTTGATGTGCAGAGGGCCCGGAATTCGTTCCGTACTGGTATTTGCAGGGATATTTGCGGCTCTAATAGTGACGAACTGCTGCAGGCCAAGTTGATACGCGTGGAAGCCCAGAAAGTCCATCACACGAACGAACTTTGCTGATTGGCCGATTGATTGGTCTTGATCATGGTAAGGGGGATATAGCACTCAGGGAAGGCCCTTGCTATGGCCTAGGATCTGCTTGAGGTATTCCTTCTCCGTGGGCGCGTTCTCTTCTGCGAGCCGTCTGATTTCTCTCAGCTTCCGCTTCCTCTCGAGCATCCCGGCATGATCCTCGAGCTGCTGATCGTGGATGGACGGTGTGACCTGGTTTCCGTCTTTGTCAAACAGGTAGTCGGGCAACTTGTTAGGATCCTGCTTGAGCGTCCATATGCCGTTGTTCTGAATGCCGTCGCCCATGTGCCACATGTAGGACTCGAGATGTGCCTCTTCCATATGCAGTCTGAAGGCGTCTTCGTCCACATATTCGGTGGGCGGCTCCTGTTTTGCGCATTTGCCCCATCGACAGATGAGTGGATCCATGTCGCCGTGAACGAAGTAGATGTGTCTTCGGAGTGTCTCCATGTTTTGGAGTTCGGCAGGACAGATGTCGCTCGTGACTTCGTCATGCCAGACACACCCAAACGGTATGTATCTAGGTGTAGATTTGAGATACGTCTCTCTCATCGAGAATGTCAGATCCTTGTGAGGGCGGCCTCGTTTCTTGGTCTCTCCATTGACCGGAGTGCCACTGCCTGACTTTGCGAGAGGTTTCTTGGACTTCCTCGGGGGAGGGGGAGGATTTCCTCTCATCTCTGCATAAGACATGCCTGGCTTCCAACCCTTGGGGCGACCACGCTTGCGCGGAGGACCGACTTCTTGATCCATGCGAGCTAGGGCTTCCGTCACCTCAGCCGAGTACGTCGAATTAGTCGGAGGCCTGCTACGCAATCGGCCGCGGTCCATTTCGAGATCCTGCTCGGATACGGGAGTCTGGTATGACGATGTGAGGGCGGAAGATATGGTGGATAGCTTCTGCTTTGACGACAAGACTTCAGGTCTAACCATCGGTTCTTTTGATGCAACCACGTCCGAGGCAACAATCGGTGTTAGCTCTGTAAGATTGTTTGCATCCAACCTCGAGCTGGCGTCTCCTCCCATTTCCTCACTGCCGGATCCACCATGGTCAAAGATCATCTCATATTCACCAACTTGCACAGTAGCCATTACATTGTCCTGATGGAAAGAGCGTGAGATGTTGGGATGACCCAGGCGAGGCAAAGCGTTCAGCTTTAGCCCGGACTAAGAACGATGAGAGCCAATCAACTGAATAACCCTAGAAAACCAGATCTCATGCGTTGCAGTGAATGATACCAAAGAGAGCGTGCTGAGCGAAGCTTGATGTTGAGCTGCTGTAACATGATACTTGGGTACTTGGCTTGGGTTATTGACGCGCGCTACTGGTACGCGTAATTTAGCTTGTTGAGGTGTAACCCGGCTAGAAGCATAAACTCGTATAAGTGCAACAGCATCTCATTCATCATGAATCACCTTTTCCATCCCGTCGCAGGTGATGTTGACAACTTGAAGCTTCGGGGTTCCCAATTCAAGTAATGAGGGCGCATACGGCTTCGGAATGGACTTCAATGCTTGCGAGGTCTAATCGCTGTTTGTCGTGACAGTGGACACTGGAACCCAATATTTAGTGTGAATATTGAGAGACTATGCGGATTTGGTATTGTACGAATGCTGGAGAGGAAGAAAAAGGTCCAGAGTATTATTGTTGAAAGCATGGAGAGTAGGTGTCGAACGTGATTCTAACGCCCGAGGCCTTGGCTGCAAAACCTTTGGCAGCTGACATCGTGAAATCTCACAGGACGCTCACGTCTGGCATTTGCACACATTTGTATGTCGCAATGGAGTCGTGCTCAATACATCGCGTGGCTCCTATCTCAGTCCATAGGTATGTTGTAACTCAAGAGTGTGCACTCAAATGCATATCCATATCTTTACTCCAGATCCTCAGACCAATGTATCCTTGCTTTGACTCAATTTTAGTAGGCCGTTCAGCACACAAAGCATTGCCACATAAGATCACAATATAACAAAGCTGACCATCCCTCTCCCCGGCACTGATCCTGTGACAGTTCCTTCCGTAATTGACGCCGGAGTCGCCTCCATATCGTGGGTGTTATCGGTAACCCACGCCTGCACAGCCGAGCCGTTGGACCCGGAGAGACTGATACTAACGGCATTGGCCCCGGTGTTGATAACATTAACGGCCAGCTTCCCGTTGACGTTGACGAACGCAGTTGTTTTCAGCCCGCTTCCCCCTGATGCCTTAACCCGCACCGCACCCGGTCGCACCGTCCGGCTGTACTGAGCGTACGCCCACAGGCGTTTCGAGACCTGGTAGTCCTGCCCGTCCACCAGGATCAGCTTCTCGTTGTTATTGTTGTTCGTCGCCCGGTCCTGCGTGCCCACCCACCACAGGTACGCCGACACGTTGCCGGTGGTCAGGCCGGTGTGGATGTTGTTCGCCCAGGTATAGCCGTCGCCACTCCCGCCGTTACTGTACCACGCAGTCGACCAGCCCCCGCTGAGGTCCGAACACTCTGTTTCCCAGACCTTCTGTGGGGTGGGCTGGCTTCCGGATATACCAGACGTGTAGGTGTGTCCTGTGATCACGCCCACCATGGACTCGACGCCAGCGGCCTTGAGCTGCTGGGTGTACTGAGATTGCACTGACCAGCCGGTTGCTTCGCAGCAGGTTATGGCAATATGCGACATGTTGCTCTTCGCCAGAGTTGGATGAAGGACTTTGATGAAGTCGGCCGCTTGCGTCCCGTTGACCAACATAGACGCGTAAGCCGTCTTCAAATCCGGCTCGTTGACAAACCCAAGGTGTGTGACATTGACGCCTGCTTCAGCATAGAACTTGACATACTGGACCAAATAATCTGCGTACGCCTGGCGCCAGTCGCCGCTGCTACACGTGGCCCCGGGCAGACCGCATACAGTGCCGCCGTTGGCATCGTCCTTGTTGGTTTTCATGAATCCCGGCGCAGACCAGGCATCGCCATAGAACGTCTTGACACCATATCTCTTTGCCTATTTGCTCCAGATTAGGACTCGTCTTGGATTCATGTAACCTCAAGAAACCGCTTACCGCCTGTTGTGAGAACCACAACTGGCCCGAGTCCTTTCCATCCCAAGTGTATATCGGCGCTGAGGTGGGACTGCCAGGGTCTTCTGCGAAAGTGATCATCCAGTCATTTGCGTTGCTGGGACTGCTGCCGATGCCATTCCGAACGATTGTAAACCCGGCCCCATTCGTAGTGTTGAACAGCAGGTCGAGGACCTGGGTTTGCTTGGGTTCCTTCAAGTTCAGAATACCGTTGGCGCGCTGGAACGCTTCAGATATGCCAAAACCATCAATGATCTGGTATCTCTGGGTGACGTCAACTGTGATCTTCTGGCTCGACTGTCGTGGGCCAATGTTACGCGCGGCCACTGCCAGCGGCAGAATCGCTACTAGTGAGCGCATTTTGGACAGGGACTGGAATTTATACAGAACTAGATCTACTTTCAATTGAAAACCACGAGGGCTACAGTGCAAGAGCTTACAAGATCCGTGAGTGGATATAGATCGCCAGAAACGCCAAAACGTCGATTATATACAGCGTCATTGTATTGAAGCCGCGCCTAAAGTAACTCGGATGATCTTGAATACCAAGGCCGTATTGATGAACAGCTCATGCCAGCCCAATTACTTCCATTTTGAATGCCCCCAAAGATGCCATACGTTGAGAGCCCATTTAGCCTGAGTCTGAAAGTTAGCCGGGTCTCGCTGGTACGGAGAACCTCGTTTTGCTCCCATGCAAGGCACGCAGCGCACCTCATTGGATAGCGCATATTTCATGGCCGATGTATCGAAGTGTGAATTTCTTTTGGGTAAAGTCCCAGTTCCCCAGTTCTCAACGTCAAATAGCTGTCTTATGTGAGGTAGCTTAAGCAGCGCACCGACTGAGCGGCAGATTGATATGACTTGGAACCTACCCCTTAAGGTTGACTGAAAATGATTCCTGCTCAGAGCATTATGGTAAAGCACAAGGGAGTCTTGGCAGCTTGACGTTCATGGGCGTAAACATAAATCATTATTTTCTCGCTAACAATACATTCTATTTCACCTTGCTCATGATGGTCTCCGGTCCCCTGATGATCTCCATCTGCGCCGCCCTGGCTTTGACGGCATTGATCATGCTCCTCTCGAAATCATCACGCGACCTGAGGACGGCCTCGACCCAACTGATCTGCAGGTCCCAGTACCTCGCCTTGAAGCTCTCAAAGACGTCTGGGATTGCTTCCTTCTCCGCAGTGAGGAGGTCGAGGAACGGCTCTGTCACGCGCCACGTCTGTGTAATTGTCTCGCCTGAGTTGGGAAGCGACCTGAAGAATTCAAAGGCGGTGGATATATCGTTGAAGACCTTCTCCTGGAAAGGGTCTGCGCGGCGGAACTTGGCGCCCTTGTTGCGCACACACATCAGGTAGCGAGATAGAAGCTCGTCGGCAAAGATCTCTGTGAAGATGTCCACGAGTGAATGATGTAATACGGGTCGATAGTCGCCGAGATATTCTTCGAAGGTCGCTATAAGCTGCTTCATGGTAGCCTTCTGATACCACTCGGCTGTGAAGAAAGAGCTCATGGCGCTCTTGAAGTCAACAACGAAGATCAGCTTGATGAAGTTTCTTAGACACCATGTGCTGAGATCAAAGTAGTTTCCTTGAAGCAGTTCGTACTCGGACTCAGCGCGCTCCATGTAAGACGGGCTCACGAGAGGTTCAAACTTCTGCTTGAAGCTTGTCAAGTAGCCGAAGCGGCCCTCCTCTTCGATATCGTCGACGCAAGCGATTTGGTCGTTGGCTGTTGCCACGAGCCAGTCCTGTAATGACTGCATGCCTTCAAGTTCTGTTGGTATCTTGCTTGTCTCAAATTTGGCGATTTCCTCTTCAAGCATTCTCTGGAAGGACTGTTGCCGGGCCCGCAATCGCAAGAACATAGCATCGATCACGCCCTCGGCAACATCCTGCCGGCCAGAATTTCCAGCAGCGTCAACCTGTTCTCGCAGCATACGCCACATATCGACCAGGTTCTTTGTTCTGAAGTATCCGTACTCATCAGCATCGAGGTTGGACCCTTCGGCATTGCGGTCATTAAAGTCTCGGACTTCTTGCGAAAAGATTCTGTCGATCCATTCGTCGAGGAACTTGATAATGAGGTCGCGGAAGCCCTTCACTAGTTCTTGCTCTCTGTTGTCAATCACCTGTGGTTTGAGGTCGTTTTCGGGGAACCCAAGCTTCTTCATCTTCTTGTAATACTGCTCCGGCCAGTTGATGATGGCGAGCGTGTGCGCTGAACTAGCCTCGGGGTCATCGATCATGCCCACGAGGAAGTCGTGCATCAGCTGGTGATATATATCACCGTATGTCTTTAGTATCTTCCACTTCTTGGGCATAAGCGGGACCATGCCTTGCTTGACAGCGTTGAGGTCGTTGAAATACCACTTCATGATTTTAGAGAGACCATCTGCGTTGCCGAGAAACTCTTCCTTCACCTCTTCAAACTGTTGCTCGCAGTTGAGGCTGATGGCCTTCAGGAACTTGTCCTTGTAGCCTCGCACCTTCTTTGCGCCGTCTGTAATGCTCTGGAACCGCGTGGCCATCTCCTTGTGGTCCTTGAGGGCTTCCTGCAAGGCTTCGACCCTCTGATCGCTCTTCTCCTCGGCCTCTACTATTAGCGCGAGGCGCACGACCAGTCCGTTGTTGTCGGCGATGAGCAGGTTGATCTGATTGAGGGCAATCAGGCCGATATGCTCGTCGAACCATTCGATAGCATCATCCAACCGCGAGAAGTAATCCTCGAGTGTCGAGAGCAGACTGGGGTCGTCTGCGCGTTGTATCTGTTCCATGGCATCGTCACGGATATTCCGGAGCTGCGTGAGCTCGTAGTGTACCGCCAACAGATTCGGCATGTTCTCCTTGTCCTCCTCGTCCTCGCGCAGCATGAGCTCGACACCGTTGAGGCGCTCGTTGAACACCTCGAGGTTCTTGCGCATGGCCTCGACGGCGCCAAAGTTGCGGTGGGCCTGGGAGACGAGGTTGATGCTGGCAAAGTCCTTGATCATGTTCTGCGACTCGGAGCACAGGCGGTCGATCTTCATCATCTCCTCCTTGATGGCCTGCACCGTCTTCTGGCCGTCGGACAGGCCGTTCATGCCGGCCTGGGTGGTCTCGAGCTGCTCGCGCAGGCCGCCCCGGAGCTGCGAGTCGACGGCCGTCTTCTTGCGCGTGAATTCCAGCTTCAGCGCCGGCAGCTTGTCCAGGTCGTCCGGGTGTCGCAGAAGCTCCGAGAGCTTCACGGGGGGTGCGTCCATGTTGGCGGAGGGCTATGAAGTGTGATGCCGGCGTGGCAATGATTGTCGGGGAACGTTCACGACATCCCCAGTTTCCCGTCCAAATCACGCGGTGCGCTGTTCGTGCGCTTGGTCAAAAGCTCGTGGTCGTCAACTCGCCGTTGTCTTGCCTCGGGGGGCGTGAGGTCGTTGTCAGGGATAGGTAAGCGTTGAGGTGCACGGGCCTTGGCGTTCAGTCCAGGTACCTATGTAACCCCTCGATTCGATCGCTGGCTAGGTTTTGTTCTGAGCCCGTCAGACATACAGATCCATCCGCCAGATGGCAGCGCAGGCCTGCTTGAAACTGGTCCATATGAACCGGGGAATGCCTTGTTGAAAAGTCCGAAGGAGATGCTTTCCTCTCTCCGACGGGTGTTCAATCGCATCGGCTCTCTAGTCCCGTAGACCCATGAATACCTGGTCTTACACGGAGCTTCGACCCATCTCACCCCGCCCAGTACAAGCGCTTACACCTGCCCATTTCCACTCAGAGGATACGACTCGGCTGTGCTATATTTCCTCCTTGACCGCCAAAGGATGTATGAGACCTAGTCGGACCCATACCAGGCATACACGGTCCGGAGGCCTTCTAACGTAGCGTAGATCGAGTACATCTGGCTGCATGTATATGCGTATGAGGGTCCACTATATCTAGGAAACTCAGTCACCCACACATCTACAAGATCCGGATCAACTATTTGCCCCTGTGGTATACCTCAACTATATAGGTTCCCGTTGCCGGCCAGAGAACTTGCCTCTGACAGCTTACATATTCTGGCTATCCCACCCAGCGAGTCCTCCTCATTAGACTTGCAAGTGTATTCATTTGCCGCACCTCCGCTCGCCACCCAAGATGTCGACCACGGCCGAGAAGAAGGAGGAGTCGAAGCCGAGCCAGACGTACGAGTGCGGCTGCCATTGCGGCTACATCAAGTTCGCCATGACGCTGTCGCCGCCTCTGACGGGACAGGCCGACGGCGCCAACTACAAGGTCTTGCAGTGTAGCTGCTCGGCGTGCACCCGGTTCGGCTATCTTCTCGTGTGTACGTAGTGCCCCTTGCTTCTGGCCCTCTGCTCTACATTGTGCTTTCGTCAAAGCTGGACCCCCTCTCAATCCTGGAGCGCGCCCTCGTTCCCAGTCGCAAATTCATGTTTGAGCGGGACTTCTGTAGAAGCCGAAGCAACTTTGCGTCTCATCTGACCGAGGGATGAGGAGCGAGTCTTCCCAGGGAGGGACAAGAGAATCGAGCGAAGATGGAAAACGTATCCAACACTGACATCTTTGCGACCCTCGGAACAGACCCAGACGCCACCGAGGTGACTTGGCACAACGACGGCCGCGCCCGCTGCGCCAACTACCGCTTCAACACCAAGCAGAAGGACCAGATGTTCTGTCCCAAGTGTGGCGCGAGCCTGGGCATCGACTTCCGCGAGGTCCACAAACCGCACTGCTACGGTTTCAGCGTACGTTTTGTTCTA